GGGAGTCAATTGAGACTTTGCAATTGCCATAACGGAGTTGTTGGTTGTTTTTTTCGGTTTTTTTTTTTTTTTTTGTTTTGGTTTATTTTGAGCATATTACCTCGTACTCCTAGGACCGACTCGCCGAGTAGTAAATGCCTCTTTTGAGGAAGCCGCTGGTGCCGCTCTGCAACCCGCCCGGCATGTCGCGGCTGCGGCAGGGATCCTTCTCTTTCCTCTTATTCCACCTTCACAATTGCCTGTGATATACGGTGTAAAGTTGGCCTCGTGATACTTCACGATCTTTCCAATGAGACGGACGACGCGGAGCCTCATAGTCAACGCCATCTTATTCTGGGCAGTCCTGTTCCTGATCATCTACACCAACCATGATTGGGGATCGACTACCAAGACCTTTGCATGGTCTAGAATCCACTACAAGGCCTCTTCGACCGCCCTACCTGAGCCTCGTGGCAGCTGTCCCGGCTTGGAAGACAGCGCAAAGCCCGCACTAGTGGTGGCAAGAGTTGGTGCCGAGGACCGTTCATGGCTTGACGCCCTAGCAGCCTCTTACCACCTGTGCGTGTACAGGACCGACCTCCAAGACATGACCTCATGGCAACTCCAAGTGCCCGCGAACAGGGGCCATGAAGCCATGGCATACCTCACGTTCCTGATCGACAACTACGACCGCCTCCCCGCGGCTGGCGCCGTCTTTGTGCATGGCTCCCGATGGGCATGGCATAATGATGCTCCCGATTACGACAATGCTGCTCTTCTTACTGCTTTGAATGTATCGGCTGCTCTCGCCCCGTTCGGATACCACAACCTGCGTTGCGACTGGAGCGCCAGCACCTGCTCCCCCTCCGAGACCCCGGCACAGGGCAGCCTGGAAACATTGGCGCGCTCTGTGCTCGAGCCGTGGAACTTGCGCTTGGTCTCGGACAGGGCACTACCACGTGCGATCGCAGACTTGTTTGGCGGCGGGGGATCAGATGTGAATCCAGGCTCTGCGAGGTTGTTGCTGGGTCGCTCGGATGCTATTCGGTCGCAATGCTGCGCGCAATTTGTTGTCTCGCGAGAGCGCATGTGGCACCACGCCCGTGACGAGTATATCGCCCTCCGACAGTGGCTGCTGGATGAGGGAGAGAGTGCTGCACCCCCGGACGACCGCATCGCAGGCCGGATCCTGTCATATATATGGCACATCCTATTCCTGCCGCAAGGCGAATCTTCTCACATTGATCTAAAGCAGCTCAATTCTTTAGCATGCCCGCCCGCCGACGAATGCTACTGCCGCTTGTACGGCCGTTGCGACCTCGACGGCTGCTCAAGTCCCGGTCATTGTCGTGGGCAGTATGTCTTGCCGCCGGACTTTCGACTGCCGGATGACTGGGCAGTCAGACATTCGTGAGTAGTCCCCGCGGGGGGGGGGGGGGGGTTCTTACGAGGCTCGCCATGGAACGAATGTCGTACAATGTGTCGTCTCATGGCGTCAGCCAGTTATCTTTACGAAGCAGAGACGAACGGGGCGTGCGATCATGTTCCGATAACCAAGAGAACCTCATCACGAAGTCTAGAACTCGTGACAAGAGCGAACAATACAGGCCTAAGGCTGAAAAGCCCCCAAACGACAGGACTGTGGTCGTTTCAAATAGCGCAGGACCTCGTTTCGATGGTGCCGTATCGCATACTTCGACCAGAACACGTGTCGACCCCTATGTCTACGCAAGAAACCGTTTCGGGCTTCTCAGCCTAGTGGTTGGGAAATGAGGCTGGAACGGTTGCCCCTAAGCCTGAATATTGCTCTCGATCACCCTGGGCACTATGAGGCCAGGTATACTATTCAACGGTGGAGCCGTTTTCAAGCCTCCGGGTCTTTTAACCATGCTCTTGGCCTCTCGTACAGACGATTCAAGCTGAGAAGAAGGGGAAGTGGGAGTGAGAAGAAATCCTTCCGATTTACGCACCTTCCTCGCCATTCTTGGTTCCACCAAAGCTGTTGTCCTTCCCAGGGACCTCACTACCGACGCGCGGGGAAGGGACTAGCAGTCAGCAATCCAAAACATCAATGGCATGAACTCGACCCTCTCCCTCCTCCCAGTCCTAACGGGCAAAGTCCAAAATATCAAGCTGATTGCCAGCCGCACCTTCCCCGCGTCGTTTCTGGTGGCTGGGATTGGTGCCGGGCGAGTGTTGGCCAAGGCAAGTCTGAAGTCCAGCTTACCCGGACAGGGTCTCCTGAGTACCGTTGTCTCCAGGTACCCACAGCAGGGGAGCAAGTCACCTGCGAAATCCTCAGTCTCTATCTAAATAACCTCAGTGGGTTCGAAGTTTTCGGGCGAAGTACGAATAGCTAATATTGAGGAGGGTTGCAGTTGCCTTGATCCTCATCGGTGGGGTTCTAGACCAGGTTTCGACTGTGTTAATAGGGGGCCTCATCTCGTGAGCATACCCGTGGATCGGGATGGAGGTCACCATCATCCTCACCAAAGGGATATTTTGCCTTGAACCAACCCGAGAAATCGAGATTGCGAGTATTGACGCCGATAGAAACGGGCCAGATCAATGTGGCTTCGCTCTCCTGCTCCTCAAGATTCAGCTCGGCGGTCACTTCGTTTGCCAAAAGGTCACGACCGACCCCAATGTCGTCCGCGACACCCACGCTAGCCTGGGCTGGCAGTCAACTACAGCTGGATTGTGGATTGGGCAAGCAGAAGCCGCATCAGACGGCGCCGGCGGCATCTCTACAAGGTACCTGATAATGGATCAACAGAAAAACCTCGCCTTAGCCGCCGGGGAGCCGGAGAAGCAGGACAACCAAGCACTGCAGCGCGAGTTCCTGGCTGCGTTAGTGAGTGTGGACGAGGCAAACGTCGTGCCAAGTGAGATCTTTATCGCGGCTGTGGAGCAGACTTTGGACGATATCAAGCATATAATCGCGACCAATTGCTTTGAATTTTGGGTCCCAGGCTGTGATGGACAAGGTCGGCAAGGTTCGGCGGAAATAGGAGATGGAGGTCAAATACTACGAGGTATAGATCTGGCTTCCAGAGGGTCTGGACACAGGGCAGAATCATTCAATCGATAGCTTGGCCACCTGGCCGCCCAACCTACCCGGGTCAGCCTTGTCGCCCAGGTAAGGCTGACGATATGAGCCCCCGAGATCGCCAAAGGACACTTCCTGCAGTCCAACAGTCCTTGGCTCGCATGATTCGTGAGGATGACTGAGGGTCGTGTGATGGCAAACCGGCGGACGTCCATAAGACGGATTCTTTTTGGCCCTCGTTGACTTAGTCGCCCAATGGGAACCTGCTCACTGGGGACATGGCAAATGGTCTGGCCCGTGAGGACCGAGTTGGGTCAAAGTCGGTGTACGAATGGCAAGAAATCCGGCGGTCTGACAGTCCATCATCGCACATTTCTCATACATTCGGAGCTGTCACGGGCATGTCATTCTCTCCATTTGTGGCCCTCAGCTTTGGGCTTCTCGGCTTGGCTGCAGCAACCACTCCACACCTGCCACCAACTAACTCAACAGCAATTTCTCCTCCACCCCCCGCCAGACACTTTTCCTTCCTCGATCACAAGGCTGGCCTGCGTGGCTGGGTAAGAGGTAAGAAGGACTCGGTATTTGTACTGTCTTTTTTGGGGCCACAATGCTGCTGCTATCGGCTCCTACCATCTGATGCTTTGGGGCCTTTCGACGCCGCCTCTGTTTTGTGTTCAGCGACCTGAGCTGCCACAACCCGACCGTGCCGATGCTTCCTTGTGATATAGCTGTGCTGTTGTCGTCCTTGCCGAGAGTGAGCCAGCATGCGGTTCATCGATCAGTACATCAGCAACAACCAGGGCTTTCAACTTGACATCGTCGGTAAGTCAGTCCATCATCAGGTCTCGGACGGAGAGACAACACACCAGGCAGACGGCTAAGCAGTGCCTCGCACACAACAGGTTTCCTCGCCATCCTTGGAGAAGGTTCCGTCGAGACAATCGCCCAGGTTGCCACCCTGAGCTACCTCATCTACGTTCCCCGCCTCATCCCTGCGCCTCAGATTTTCATTCGGCCCTCTCGCCCGGAAAAACTAGAGACGACAGCGGGTGCCAAAGTCATTGGAGTCCACTCAGGCAATACGGGGGAGGATATCCACCATGTGGCCCACGCTTTGCACCGAGGTGACAAGCTGCGTCCAAACACTGTCAATTGCGTTCGGGTAAGAGAAAACAATAAGCCTCGACCGTCCATCAAGAGGTTTGGCCCATTGGCTTGGTTGGCATTTTTGGGTGCCGTCATGAGTGGTGCCTTACTGGGGCTTTCGATATACTATGAGGATGGGTAAGTCGGAAGGGACTTGTCGGATCTCGGGGCGTCCTGCTGAATCGCTGCTTCTCCCAGAATGTCATTGCTTGCGACTGTGTTGCTGTCAACCTTGAGCACCGTCACCGGAATTGCCAACAAGTGGTCACCCACACCCAACGACCCCAAGCCGGATCCTCACTCCCCGCCTGGCGACGTCGTCATCAAATACCCTCAAGGTGCGTTCATTGTGGTGAGTTGCGAAGAACGAACTGCGCGATATCTGTATTTCAATCCCAGCGAGCGTTGCATTTATTCGGTGAAAAGCACAGCGATCTATAGAGGGCTTTCCTTGATTTCGACACTGCTACTCATGGGTGGCGTTATTTCGCTGGCCAATGCAAAGATCCAGACCCAGACGGCCTTTGCAGGTTCCTACATGCTCATCAATATCTTCTACTGGGTCGGCGCTGCGTTGCCTCCTGCCCAACATTGGGATCTCTCGAGACTGGAGGTGGAACACATCGAGGTTCACGGTGGGACGCCGCCTCGGAACGCCCAACAAGTGGACAACTATTCGCCGACGTATACCGAAGCACTATGGAAGGCGATCGCCGTGACCGGGACAAGCAACTGGGTCAAAGAAGCCGGCTGGGCTCCCAAGACTCCGGCCTGGAGCGACTGGCTCAACGAGGCCGAAGAAGCTGCTGTGGGTGAACCCTTGAAATCCAGCATGAAGGTGGTGGATGGGAAAGAGGTTGAGGTTTGGACGATCCGCAACTGGGACAGTCGAAACGCACTGTCGACGTTGCTGCGAACCACGACAGACCGGCTTCAGGCCCATCCTAAAAGGGGTTGACCAGATGACCGTCGGATAATCCGCCGAAAGAATGCCACAATGCGAAGAAATGTCGACCCATACTCATACCCATACCCTGTGTTCTGACTGCGGCGGTGGTGGATTGGAAAACTTTCAACTTGCCTTGGCTAATGGTTGGTATATGAGGCGGCGCACTGAACACATATGATTAATGACAAATGACAAAATGACGAACGAGAACGAGATCAAGAACGAGACCATGACCATGACCACGACCCACGACCTCCAAAACAAAATACCATTCATCCGTCGAGCCGTCTATATGTCCATTCATCCATGACGCGATGTGACGCGATGTGACCCAATATGAGGAGGGATATAGACAAAAAATAACACCCGTGTACGTAGGCCAGGGGAGAGAGGTAATCAGGGAGTACGGAGTAGATATCTATATGTACGGGAAATACAACCCATCCATCTTACCACGAGACGAGACGATTTTTGTAGCTTTGTGACCTATTATTAGTAGCCTGTGTTCACATCACAAACATATTTAGTATAGTATGCATCAACAATCAACCCCCCCTTCCTTCTCTCTCTCTCTCTCTCTCTCTCTCTCTCTCTCTCTCTCTCTCTCTCTCTCTCTTTTTCTTTCTTTCTTTCTTTCTTTCTTTCTTTACAATTTGGGAACCTCTCCCTGGCCATTATACCCAGGAAGGCACGATCACCCCGGCTTGTTTGCCAGCCAGCCAGAGAACAAAATTTTTGAAAAAGGGCGCGTGGTTGTGGCCGTGGCAGCGACGAGACGGGAAACAGACAAAGAGATTGCCCCCCTCTTTATCGAAAGAGGGAACTTGGTATGAATTTGTTACTGGACGGAGCTCCTTCACAGTTCAAAGCAAACGTGCGACATTGTGACATGTGTGATGTATGTCTTCGTTTCGAACTCTCGAACTTATCAAGATCAAGGGAGTATACTCTGCGTACTATATGGTACGTTCCCATCTGCTTTACATTTGCTCCGTCTTCGTTCTCTTCCTTCTCATGGTCCGGCCAGAGAACAGGTGGTCGTCCGCATGTCCAGGATTGCTAAACATAAAATCATTACTCCAAGTCATAGTAGGCCAGGTCTGGTACCTATGAGAGATACCCCTCTTCGTCAAAGTCGTCGCCTTAGTCGTAGTCGTGGTCGTGGTGTAGACAGACCGATCTCAAAACAAAACGCTCAGAAGGCAATATTGCCCAAAAACAATCAACTATCCAACACGGGATACAAGCTTCCCCTCCACATTGCATACGATCACTCAAATCTCAAATGGCGGTAGATCACACCCTTGCACTCCTCATCCCATCCACAGGTAGCAAGCCCGCATTGATTTGCGCTGCCAGCTGCGATTCCCGAAACGCATTGAACCCCTCGGGGTCCTTCTCCCTTAGCATGAGGAGCTCTTGTGCATTCAATCCTAGCTCGCGCACGACACTGTCTGCTCCTTCCTTCTCCACCTTGTACCGAATATCCTCTCCACGGAATTCCTCCAACTTCTCCCGGAGAGCAGCGAGGTGAGGTGGGTCTGAGTCGGTTGCATGGGAACCATGTAGAGCATCATCCATGCCCGTGGGTTTGAGGACTTCTCTACGGATGCTCTGTCCAAACCGATGCATACGGCCTTCTTCGTCTGTGAAAGCTTTGGCTGCAAGGGACGTGTTGGACGACGTTCGAGATAGTTTCAGCGCATATTCGTCTTGTGCTTCCCGTTCGGCTGGGAAGTATTCTTCAGCATCTGCCATCTTCATCATTCCATTCGAGTCGACTGAGCCCGATAGCAAAGAAGTTTCTTCCATGGATGGATCCGGCGAAGGCATGCCGTCTGCATTTGGAGGAGACAAGGAAGTGATTTTGGTCTCGGGATACTCGTCCTCAAATCTCTGTATCATTCGTTGGAGCGTCTGGTCGAGGAAAAGAAGGCGTCCTGTACACGATAGTCAGTAATGGTATATACTTGGGATCATCTGGATCTAACTTACGATAGTTGTCATGATTGCCGGCACGATCTTCTCGGACCAGGACAGGCTGTAACCTTCGCCTGATCTTTCTCGCGCTCTCGCAAAGCTCCAAGCTGACATCCCGGGGCTTGGACACCGTTCTTTGCCGGATCGGTCCCCTCGGCGTGGACGTCCCGCTTGCTGTAGGACTGATATTCCTCGACTGTGCCCGACTGTTGCCGTCCTTGCGATCCAAACAGACACCCAAAGCTTTGACTATTCCGGTAGACGCAATCACGTAGTCCTCATCCGGAGCGGGCTCGTCCTTGTCGTAGTTTGCCGAGTAACCGTCCATATGACCAACGAGATGGAGTAATACTTCCGGAGCGTCCTTCTCGGCAAGGTCGTCAGGCTTGACGCCGACTTCATTCAGAGTCGTGCGCTCCATGTTTCGAAGACTGTAGGCCACAACCTGAGACGCCAGCGCCTTGACAACCTCGCTACTGTCTGCGCTGGGCATCTCAATCTCCACGGCTACAATAGTCTCCGACACTCTGACCGCGGTCATCAAGGAGGCGAAGAACGCGCAAGCCTCCTCTTGTGAGCTGGCATCCCTGGAATTCATGGCGTGAATAAGAGGAGCATTGTCCAAAATGCTGAGATGAGCCATCGACGGGCAATCCGGCAAGATCTCGGCCAAAGCAATGACTTGCTCAGAGGTCATGCCCACGTCCGAGAGATGTAGACGCTTCAAAGGCGCTAATTTTGGAAGTAGCTTTCGGAAGACCGGGACGGCGCTGGGCTGACCGTTGAATAACGCCATGTTGCGGGAGAGGTCAATAAATTTGAGATTCTTCAATCTCCCAAAGGGTATCAAGATCGACTGGAGATCGCCAGGCGTCAGATTGCAATCCGACAAGCTGATTGCGAATAAGGGGCAATCACTGTCGGCAGCTTCTGCAAGGATGTAGGCAATTCCATGTAGGTCGTTGCTTCCAAGATCGAGACCCTCACAGTGACCGGACTTGATATATCGCACAAGGTGACTGAGAGCTTCCTGCTCTATATCGTTGCCTGAGAGCCCCAGCCGTCGGATCTTGCATTTAATGGCGCAGTCCACGATGTCTCGAACATTTGCAGTCGAAAGGCCACAGTCACTCAGGATCAGCTCTTCAAGTTTGTCACCTAAACGCTCAGATAATGCGTAGACAATCAGAGCCCCTAGGTCCATTGTTTTCGGGTTCGCGTCGTTCGGTCCACTGCTGTTGGAGCTCGTTGTTGAGACTGTCCGCGAGAGATCGCCTGACTTCGGAAATCGGATCCCTGACAGATCGATGGCCCTGAGCGACCGTGACATATGCATGAAAAGCCCAATGTGTCTCCATCCCAGATTGGTAATCCCGGGGTTGTCTTTTAGAGAGAGCTTCTCAATGACGCCCACCTGCTCCCTACCACTGTTCCCGCTGAGTCTCTTCGGTAATTTTCTGTTCTGTCGGACCTGGTCTGCGGATTTGCAACTTGAAAGGCCTGACAGAATCACTCGGACGCCCTCGTCAGTCAACCCACAGTTTTCCAAGACGAGTTTGCGGACGGGGACGATGGCGAGCCAGTCGCCCAAAGTCACGACATCCTGCAGCTGCATCTGATACCCAGAGAGATCCATCACCCCTACTGTCCCGGGGGCTTCTGCCAGTGCTGCTGATGGCTTGGATATTTGCTCTTTGACTCTGCTCAAAACTGTAGTTTCACGTAGTTGACAACAGCGTTTGTATATCCGTAGAGGATCCGTCGTACGGCCATCAGCCCCTTCCACAGGTCGTCTGCTTGGGGTCGAGGCACCTGGAGGCGTGGTGCTCGAATTCGAATCCGAATCGTCGTCTTCCCGTGTCAACTCCAACGGTACGAGACCATTTGCTTCGGCGTGCCGCCTTTTTCGCTCTTTTCGTTCTTTTCGTTCGGCTTCTGACCGTTTCTTCTTCTCCTTTTTTCGTGTTCCGGGTACGGCTTGAGGGTCGGGACCTTGCAGCGTTTCCGATGTCTCCTTATCATTGGCCTCCGTTTTCTCCTCTGGCAGTTGAGCCTGGGGTTCTGGCTGCGGTATGCTTTGCTCTACCTCTTCCTTTTCCTTTTCCTCAGTTTCCGGCGAAGGGTTTTTCAACGCCGCGCCCTCGCCTTTTTCCTTCATCCTAGCATCTTTCGAGTCCTTATTGCTGGTCACTTGCTTGTCGGTTGTAGAGATAGTCTGCTTCTGTACGTTTGTCGCCGCTGGGCGATGGTACAGCTCTGGGTCTTCGTCGGCCTGAGAAGCAAATCCAGCGATCTCTACGTCTACGCAAAATGCCACTCTCTTGAGCTTGTTCTGGTCAAACTCGCGGATCTTGATCCGTTCACGGTTGGGATCGACGTTCAAAACCCTTCTCGGGCAGATTGCTCCACTGGTTGCGCCTTTGCCCATGGTGGTGTTGGACGAGGAAGACAGCCTCCGCAGGGCACTGGACAGAAACCCGGGATGTTCTAGCTTAGTTTCTTTTCCGGCGGCAACAAGGACCGAAGGTCTTCGAGGGGCAGTGTGGGTGACAACAGTAGGTTTTGATTCTTCTTTCTTGGTCTCTTTCTGCCCATCTTTAGCTGATCGATTCTTTTCGAAAGGATTCGTTAACTCGATTTTGGGGCTCGGCTGAGGAGATGCCGTTACGGTATTGTTCGCTTGTTGCACGTCAATGCTCGAACTCCGCGACGGTGTGGGTGAATTTGCAGAAGAGAACTTCGAGCTGAAACTTGCAATCCAAGAACTCCTCCTGCCCTCTTTCTTTGGGGTTCCTGGCTTTAGGCCTTTTTTATTCTCCTCCGTGCTTTGGCCTCTCGACATCGTAGGCCTGGGGGATTGGCTTTGGGCGGACGGGGAGATAGTCGGAGACGTCTTCTGCGTCGCAGACTGTGCGCGGTTCTCCTTGCCGTTGACAGTCGCTGCAGGCTTCTGCTGCTGGGATGCTGGAGGCACTGCTCGATTTTGCGATTCTTTGAGTGGCGTGTGATCGGGTTGAGGCTGTGCCAGTGTAGACTCGCGATGATTGACTCGAGGTGTTGTGGAGGACTGTGAATCTTGTTTCTTGCCATTCCTCTCTCCCGTCGAATGAGCCAGATCTGATGCGATGGTTAGTGCTTTCCCTCTCTTCACATGTCGGTAATCAGAAGAAGAAGTAGAAGCAGGCGCGACTGAGGGCCGACATTGTGGGACCACACCTTTCTTGGAATGCAGCAGCCAGTCGACATCGAGACCACTTTCGGTGGCCGCAGCCATTGTGTCTGAGGTATGAGGTTTTATACAGGCGCCTCGAGGATCAGAATCTGGCACTTGGCTCCAACGAAGACGTATAGACTAGACCGAGGGCATCTGTGGAAAGGAAGGTTGGGTGTAAACTTGGGGGAGCTGGATGACGAGCGATGATAGACTGCGCAGGTGGTCGGCGGGGTTAAAGGTGCAGATGAGCAGGGAAAGCAATGCGGCTATTGTTGTTGGCCAGGAATCGTGATCGACTGAAGTCTGGGCTTTGGGATCTTGTGGTAGGATTCGACCGCCACTGGAAAGGCCCAGCCCAGCGTGGTAACTCGATAAGGTCACTGGGAGGCCCTGGGGCGTGCCCTGGGGCGTGTGTTGCCGTGATGGGCGCTGCGGCCAAAGGTTCAATGCGTCGACAAGTGCCCAGGATCGGTAATAATAGCTGAAGGCGGCAGAGGAGCAGGAGGTGGAGTCCCTGAAATGGGAGCAACAGGAGGGGAATCTAGGGAAGTGGACCACTGACACCCGCAGACAGCAGATACCACTTTCACCACAGTCACCCACTGACACTCTGACTGACTTGCAGCTTCTGGCCTCCCTTTCATACGGTCATCGTCACCACCCCTCCATACAGGGGTTCAACGGCGGAAAACAATGATATTCCCCCTCGAGAACGAAGATGGAATGGAAACACTTGCCTCGGTCGAGCAAAGAGGCGGAATGTCGGGCAGATCGTGGGAATTTCGGAAACCGTCGTCACGGAACCGTCCCTCCCTGGCGTCGTCTCTTTGAGAATCTCCAGCCGACGCTTCTCGTCTCTTCCGTTATTAATGGTGCAGCCTCCTAAAAGCCCGCTGCACGCGTGACACAGCCGGAAAAAGAGGAAAACACCAACGAGTTCACGGGGCGCAGAGGAAAAAAAAAATTTGACCAAACCTGCAATATATCTCTCAGCTGTACTCAAATACCTCTGCAATGTGATGAGTGTTTGATGACATACACCCACAGTGCCACTGGCACGGTTACTGGACACGCTCCCTGTCACTGCCATGGTGCCTGGCAGACGGCCCCCTTACCCTTGCTTGCCGGATTGCTTAGTTGGACATTCTTGGGCATTCTGCTTAGACCTGTTTCCAGTGGAAGGCCTTGCGAGGGCGGCCCCAAGAGCCTCTGAAGGAAGAGGCAAGGAGCTCGTAAACCCACAGGCACAGTAAGGGTGGGCTCACAGGCACTCAGAGGCGGCTCACCCGTGGCTGGTCGAGGTCAGCATCTTATGTCAGATAGCGTCGGGACTGTGGGGACTGAAGGCTCGTCGCTCATTATGTACGTATGGCTACGTATGGCAAATTTTTGGATTTTTTGGCACGTCTCGACCATTCCGCATCAAACTCGGCGGCAGATTGGTGTGGATGTCGATAACTTTGATCGACGTTCTTGTGATCATGACTACATTCTCCTCATCCCGGATCTCTTCTAGCAAGCCAGGCATCGGAGTTCCAAGGACGGAACCCCATACGGAAAGCATGAATGCCCTAAGATCCAGGCCGAGTCTTCAGGGCCAGGGACACATCGCGGTCTCGAATCCTATGGTTCAATCGCCAACACCCCCATGGGCCCATCTCAGCGCTGCCGAACTAACTCCTTTTCGCTGAGATCCCATCAATGCTTCGATCAATGCGCTCAAGAAGCAAGAGCCGCAATCTTCTCCTTGATCCGGCGGTCCTTCTCCTCCTTGGACATCTTGGCCACTTTGTATTTCTTGCCTTCGGCCTTCCACTCTTCCTTGGACTTCTTGTCGCCTTCCTCCTCATCCTTCTTGAAAGGATCTTCACGAATGGCAGCATGGGCCTCAGAGTACATCTCCTCAAGTCCATCCGCCTCGACCTCGGCTTCAATGTACTTGACGAATTGAGACTTGTAGCGCTCTTCATCGTCATCAGCAAGAGTCTCCATGTACTCCGCGACGTGGCCGCCGAAGATGTACTTGCGCAGGACGTCGCTGTCCAAGTCCTTGCTCTCCTGGTCGTAACCCGGGAATCGCTTCTCATTGTGGGGAACGTACAACCCACCGTCAGAAGCTCCTTTCATGGCACCGAAAACGCGAGCGCCAGTAGAGGTACGATGCAACCCCACATCAAGGAAGCATTTGAAGGGACGACGTTCCTCTCCATCCTCCTCAGCGGCCTCGGTGAGTTTGTATTCTCCATCTGGCTCTTCCACGCCGGTAAACTGCTCGTCCAAATCCAACTTCTTGAGAGCGCGGCGAGCCAACAGCAATCCAGTAGCGTAGGCGGCAGACCAATTGGTCAAGCCATTGTTGATACCGTATCTCTTGAGTTCGTGCGAGTAGGCCGCAACAAAGACCTTGTCACCGGTGATTTCCGCGGTGACCAATTGGCAGATGATGTCGCGGTTTGTGAAGCGAACGACAAGGCGGTACTTGGGGGCGTTGTACTTGTTCTTGGCCTGAGAGATCAAGCGCTTGCGAGCATAGTAGTCGGTCTAATTCCAGCCTTCAGTAAGCGGCCTGTAACAAGGGGGCGCAGTTTCGTCACCATACCTTGCCAGCTCGTCTACGCTTGTACTTGGTCTGGTAGCGAGAGTAGTAGGGGGAGTTCTTGACACTGTCATAGGGGCCCGTCAGCTCCAAAGCTCGACCTTGTAGCACAAACCCCGAAACCTTGCACTTACAGCTTGGTGAAAGGCATGGCTGCCGAGTTCAAGACGTCCAAGAATCAATTTGGTTCACTATGAAAATCCTCGAATCAGCATTTTGCGCTGCAGACCCAATTCCGCAGCAACATGCAGGGATTCTCTCATACATCTTGGTCGTTTTCTGGGCAGAGACTTTTCAGAAGTCTCGCAATGCAATGCAGGAATCGAAAGTGAGCTGGGCTGGATGATAAACCGAAGAGCGATGAATTGAGCGCCTTGAAGATGGAAATGTGTGCAGCGCCAAGATTTTCAAACGAGGCGCTCAAACCAGAATTCTTGGGTGGTGGGGGTCCATTTTAGCTCAGCCTTGCTCAGCCTTGTTTACCTTCAAGTTTCACCACCACGATCTCGGCGTGCCAGATACACTTTGGGTGGGCTTAACATTCATCAAATCCTCCCGGCCTTTACCTGCGCCAATTCCGAGCTCGAAATAATAAAGGTGGAAACTTCCTAGATTTCCGTCAGAAAATTCGATATACGCAGCAGCTACGACATCACGGATATTTGGGTACGGCATCTCCAGGAAGCGCCAAATGTAGCCCAGATTGACTCTCTACAAAACAATCTCCTGGCAAAGACTTGCTTCCAGAAGTTCTTCTGCTTAGGCTGGCGGAGTCTCTGGGCTTGCGTCTTCATTCACAATTGAGCGTGGTTGAAATGTAGCAGTAAGATAGGTTTCCTGAACTGGAAATTCGGGTTGAGGAGAATTTTCACGGTGGATGGGAAGCATAGTGAAGAGAGGGTTTGGCTGCTGCTTAAGGCTCGAACTTAAGGCGTCATTGACACAAGATATACTTCTTTGGCAGTTTGACCAGACGACAAGGAGCATCTATGTTCTACTGCACCCTTGGTGAAGCCAATCGCTAGATTCAAGACTAGGTTCATGCAGTCAAAGGTATCAATGCTTCATCTGGCGGGCAAAGTCTCTCTATTTCTCCAATCACATTGCATAGAAATATAGAGAGATATCAGAAGTAAGAAATACAAACCTCTCACCTATTCAAGCATTGTTGACTGCAGCAGATTAAGTCCAAATATTGTCCATGGCCTCATACCAATGCCCCTATCCATCCATTGCATACTCTTCGGACCAATTTGTGTCCCAATATGTTGGATAGGACATCTCATCATTGCGGATCACTGAGATCTGTGGATTTCGGTAGGGTAGCAGTTGAGAGGCCATCCTTTCTGATTTGAATGGAGGAAGCGCAAAGATCAGGATTCAAGATGTTGGTTTCATTGACTGGTTGTAAGAAGGCTGCCTTGCACAAAGGAGTTGACGGAAACCAGGGCAAAAAATCTCAGGTTAGGTGAGAAGTTATTGTCATTTTGTTGGCCGCCGGTGTAAAACCATAGATATGGCGACAGTGAATGTCAGGGTGTGATTTCTTGGCATGCATTCGGAACTGGTCGCCCAGCTCACTTCAAAATCGCTTTTGTTTCTGTCGTAAACCTGGTCGACGTTGTAGACAAGTGCAACAAGCGACAATGTCTTCTCCCTCTTCTTCCCGTGGTGGTAAGTTAGCCGAGTTCCAATCGGCTCGGGCTGATTGTCGGGCCGAGCCGTGCAGATCCCATGGCCCTAGTCACCGGAATAATAGAAACTCCGTTTTCCGATGAGCCTCGTCCACGTCCTGGAGTTTCACACGTCTCTGACCGTTGTCTCATTCCAGCTTTACCATCACCACCACCACCACCACCACCACCACCACCACCAGCACACCGCGTCCGACCGACAACCAGCGATCTCCCTGCCCTCAGAAGGCATCGCCGTAGCTTCACCCTTCTCAACACTCCAAATACTCCATCGGGGTACACAGCCGCTTTTCTTCGTTCTCCGGCTGGCTCTCGACGCCAATCAGTCAGTGAGCCAAGTCAAAAAAGTGAGGAAGACGATGAAGGTCTCCGCCAGTTCACAGACGCACAGCTCATCGATCCGAATGAACTGAGCCAGATCCTCCAAGATCACCTCGACAGCGAGTCATCGGTCGTCGAAGAAGAACCTGACCCTGAACCAGACTCAATCTACCTCAACATCCGTGGTTACAGTCCCTACAGTCCCTACGGCGACATGTCTTCCCCAAACGCGTTTCCTTCTCTCGATACCTCTCTTCCCCCACCTGGCAACCGCGTGTCATCCGCCTCTCCCACCGCTCCTTCCTCTGTCAACGGCAGCAATGGCATCGGCCCTGGGTCGGGTGCGGCAGGAGCTGCAGGATACATGCCTCCTCTACCGGTCGGACATCAGCAAGACCTGAATCATCTCTTCAACCAAATTCAAGAGTTGGGAGCCCTATTGAGAAGCAACCGCGACAAAGTCAATTCCATCACACGTAATGCAGAGGAAGTCGCGAAACGCGCAAATGGAGCGCTTACAGATGGCGGGTCGGCCCAGCCAGAAAATGACAGTAAGTTTAGCCTACCGTATTCGGGTTTTCACGTGAGTACTTTGCTGACTTCTCTGCGCTTTGCAGAAGCGAAGATCCGCGAACTGGAACTGGAACTCGCGAAGCAGAAACACCTCGTCGAACTCTACAAGCACGAACAAAAGGAGAACACAACCTTGATCGGCATGTACGAAGAAGCAATGGGGACTGCGGTCGAACAAATACGAAACTACTGCGGCGACATCGAGGGTCGATTCTTGCGACAACGCAGACATTACAACGACCTCTTGCAGCAGGAGAAGGACGACCACTTACAGTCACGCCTTGATAGGGATCACTGGTACGCGCAAACAGTCAAGGTGTGTGAGATGATTAGGACGGCGCACCGATTGAGAACCGATGAGTGGTGCGAAGAGTACACCATCATCGCCGCGTTGCAAGGGGAGGTGAGGTGCTTGAGACGATGCATTGGGATGGAGCCAGAGAAGCCAGAGGAGGAAACCGGCTGGCCATATCTGAAGGACTTGCCTCTGCCTGAGTAAATAGGCATGCATGAATTGAATTGAATGAATGACGATACTGCATTGGGAGCTGGACCCTGGCGTCAAGAGGGAAGCGAAAGGAAATTGCATTGCATTGCTGGTGCCAATCATAGGCATCACAAGTTGATGCATCGAGGTCGTCGTAGAGACGACCAGAAATAAGATTGAAACCACCTAACGTCTTCTCTGTTTATATCCCCCCCTCGACGTCGCTATACATGTCGACAGTCATGAATTCATCTTCCGCGGTGGAATCTTAAAAGGCGGCGGTAGACACCTCGAGGCCACTGTTGGTAATGCTGGAAGGGGGTCGGTAGGAGGAGGTCCCGATGATGGGGTTCGGGGACGGACCAGGCAAGGCATGCTCTTCTGCCTCTGAAGGACGGTTTGACATGGTGAGGTCTTTGCCAGTCTCGACGGCGGTCGAGGGTTGCCTTCGTCTTCCGCAGATGAGATGTATGAGGCGGGCGGCTGTCCAGTCGTGATGACCGCAGCGGCCGCGGCGGCCGTGTCGGTGGATAGGACTTTGCCGTGTCTCCTTGGGTCTCGCGACGGTGGCAGCGGTGGTGGTCGAGGACGTGTCAAGTCCTGTGTCTCCCCGTTTGTAGGTGTCCTCGGGGATCGCAGACTGCACTGGTTCGGTAAAGCTACGGTGGTGGCTATAGTGGTTTGTCTAGGCGAAGGTATGCCACCATTTGAGGGCAGCCTTTGTTGCCCCGTCGAAGGGGTTCGCGGGAAGAGACTATATGATGCAGCCCTCCTCCGACCCCCGTCTACCACGAGATCTTGTGTGCATGAAGAGCTTTTGCTTCTGCTGCTGGACGGTCTCGAAGAAGGCGACGTTGGCGTGGCAGATCGGCTAGTAGTGGCGTCTTGAGGAGGTTCACAGCGATACCGAGCCGATGTCTTCCTGATGTGTCCCGGTTCCGGCAAGGGGGCGATGGTGGAGATGCGTCTGTCGTTGCTGCCATGCTGGGGCTGGGGCGCAGGTACGGGTGGTAAGGGCTTCTGCACAAATAGATCATGCCTGGTCGCGCCAGGCACTGGATCCAACGCTGTGGTAAGACTTGGCAAATATCTGGTATTCTTCTTTGGAGCTGGTATGTACGTGCACAAGACTCTGGAATCATCGGGAGTCGGGGTGGATATTGCTGTCCGCAGGTCGCTGGGTATTGGGACTTCACAGCTGTCCGTATCCGCAAAAGAGGGCCTGGCAGCATACGAATGGGAACTTGCGTCGCTCGAGAAACTTGTGTGAGGGGTGTCGATTGAGCGGTCATCTGAAGTGGATGGCTCAGTCAGAGGATCAGCGCTGTTCAACGTGTGGACTGATGAATTCATGGTCGACCTCGACACGTTCCGAGAAATCTTCCTGTACACCTTCGAGGGTGGAGGTGTAGGGGGCACCGGCTCGTCATGGACTAATGGCTCGATGTCTGGTCGTGGGTATGTTTGGCACATACTTGTCAGGCTTTTCTGAGTCTTCAGTGGCTGGACCTGCCTCTCGAGTTGCTGCGATGTCCGAAGGGTTGGACTTGAATAAATGGTGTCGCTAGTGGCTTGTTTCATATAAGCCGTCACTGGAGTTGAAGCACCCTGTCCTGAATGCACAGATTGAAGGAGACTGGGAGGAACGGCCGAGGCTTCAGCTTTGTGTTGTCTCGTGAACCTCTCCAGATTTGTGCGACTAAGGAGTGCCTTAAATCGAGATTTAGCACTCCTTTCAGAAGGCCACCATCCAGATACCTCCTCCGTCATGGTCGTAGGCAATGATCGCTCAGTAGACATGACGAAATGATGACCCAGATGGAAGCAAGACGATGAGATCCCCAAGGCCAGCAGCACTATTTAGTAGGCTCACGAACAGGTGCTACTGTTTTTGTGTAGGGTATCGAGCTATCCCGTGAAATCGTAGATCAATAAACAGTCGTCAACGACTAACTACCCGCTGTCTCGGAAAAAGGGATGGGATTGGATGAATTGACAATGTTGAGTCGGAACCCCTAGCTTCGATGCTGTCGATCGTCCTTTGTTTTGCCGTGGCGGCTGTGTTTCTGCGTTCTCGATAATGAATATATAGAAATTTCTGCCGAGGTGGGTTGTGGAGGCTGTGATCAATCAGAACCACTGTGCCTTCTCCTTTAGAGGAGGTGTTTAGATCGCAGGCGGCAAGCAGAGAAGGGACAATTACCTTACCAGGGCCGGAGTGCCAATCTTAAAAAGAGGGCGAGGCAACAACGGAAGCTCGATGGGCGGCTGGTCTGGGGTGCAGAGTTTGGTATGGACTGGACGGGGTCCGTGCTAGCATAACATAAGAAGCTCGAGTCATTGGGGCGCAGCAATGGCACTTGTGGCATGTATGGTGTCACAAGTGACAGGACGAGAACGAGAAAGTATTGCCGTGTTGACAACAACAAACTGTCTGCAAGGGAGGAGCATTTCATGCTTTGAAAGATAATGTATCCGTAGCGGGTTGACTTGACAGTCTTCCACATGACAACAGAAGTTCGCAGCGATAGATCAACCATTGTTAGCTGTAAGTGCTTAAAGCAGCCAAGTTGCACGACGAGCAGGATTCCTAGGTCGAAATAGACTTGGTATATTAAAATGTGAGTGAAACAGAGCAGAGAAAGCGCAGGAGATACTTGAATGCCTTGTTGGCCAAAATAGACTAGCTGAAGAAGTTCAATGTCCCCGAGATCATGGCTCAAATTGGTGATTGGCCTCATCTGAGGAGGCCGATTCGAAAACAGCAAAGAAGGACGTTATCTGTCTGCGAGAGACAATTCAGGGTAGAGAAGACGAGAGGAGGTTGACAGCTGGACCGCCCACTGACGAGGAGAGGGGGAAATCAGAGGGTGTAGAGACTGCACGACCCCTAGCAAACGAAAGCTCCCAGAAAAAGCAAGGGCCATCTTGTCAAGGGCTCTGCGGAGGGACCAAGCAAGGAGAGAAGATGGCCAGGCATTGTTTGTGTTGCCTGCGGGAGATGTCGGACTGGTCAGACGTCAACAAGTCGTCCAGGTGAAAGGGGGCATAGGGATGGGGGAGAAAAGGCCGAGGTGAGAAGAATGGGATCGAAGCCACATGTGCATGATTCTGAATAGAACGCTGAATGACAAAGACACCCTAAGGAGAGGGAAGGAAGGTGTTGATGATGAGGTTGGTGAGGCTTGCAAGGCTTGTCACCTGTTGCTCCTTACCCAGTCTTTGCCCCAGTACGGTGCATGTGCATCCTGCTGTCGAATGCTTCGCCGTAAGATACTCCAATGACGTAATGTCTCTACGTACACAAGGCTGTGCCCTTGACGGCGCTCGACTCCGTTCCATTGATGCTCGTCACCATCTCAATCGTCTCTGGTCTCTGCGGTAGGAAAGTCCTGGCCATCACTTTCATGGCTCGCATACTCATTACAGGCTCATCAGACGGGCTGGGCTCTCTCGCCGCCCGTGCTCTGGTCCAGAGAGGGCATTCCGTGGTCCTGCATGCGAGGAACGATCAACGAGCCCAAGATGCGAGGGCCGCCTGCGCTGGCGCCGAGACATGCGTTGTCGCCGATCTCTCCGACATCTCACAGACCAAAGAGATGGCCCAAGACATCAACAAGCTGGGAGCATTTGACGCAGTAATCCATAATGCTGGTCTTTACACAGGTCCCTACCGCAGGACCAAAGAAGGTTGGCCAAGCATTTTTGCAGTCAACACTTTAAGCCCTTACATCCTCACCTGCCTGATCGATCCCAAACCTAAACGGCTCGTGTTCGTGTCGTCCGGCCTCCACAGTGGTGGCGACCCTACGTGCAAAGACATCACATGGCAAGAGCGTGGAGAAGGAGGTTTCAGAGATTTCCAAGCATACTCGGATACTAAGTTCCATGATATCCTGCTGTCCTGCTTTTTCGCAAGGAGATGGCCTAATGTGAAGAGTAACTCCTTGGATCCAGGCTGGGTAGCTACCAAGATGGGCGGTGCTGGAGCCCCGGGAGACATCAATGCTGCGGTTGAAACCTACGTGATGCTTGCGGAAGGGACAGGTGAGGCCAAGGATGCCTCAGGCAAGTATTGGTATCACTCTAAGATAAGATCGCCGAAGAGGGAAGCAACCAACGAGGCTATCCAGCAAAACCTTACCAGCCAATTGGAAGAGCTCACCGGAGTCAAAGTCCCTGACGCTTGAGGCGAGATGTATGGGTGACAAAATGAACCTTCTGAGGAGGCACATTGATTGCATGGCGGTTATATCAATGAACAAGTAGGCCTGGCCTGTGGCTTCAAGTGAGGGAGGGTTTGTGACGCCACCACACAAGCACTAGCTCGCCTTCCAGGAGATGTCAGAGGGGAACTTGTCTCGCGCAATGTCAAGCCTCCGACTTCGAGTTCCGCCCTGCTAATGACCATAACGGTTATGATAGAGGTTCAGGCTTAGGTAAGCACGTTGCGGAGTCCCGCCGAATGGGGGCCATGACAAGGCAGCCAATGAACGATGGGAAACAGAAGGCCTGAAGGCTCCACTCCTGAATCCCACACATCTCACGTCTTTACATCGGATCCCCCCCTTTCTCACTCACTTCACGGTCGTTTCTTCCTGCCTTTCTAACTTCCATTATTCATTCGCCCAGGATGTTTCTCATTTACGCGTTCTGGTCCTTGGTGTTGGCTTATCTAATCTGGACCCTGATTCGATTCACGACCAACTACATCGAAGCAAAGAAGATCGGGTTGCCGATTCTTATCACTCCCGTCAACCCAGCAAGCCCTTTATGGATGTTCACAAAGGATCGTCTCATACCCATCATCAGCTCACTGCCTTGGGGACTGGGTGAATGGGCCAGCAGGGCAGAAGTCGGTTGGACTTTCTACCAAAGATACTCAGTGCATGCAAAGTATGGCGAGGCATTCACTATTGTCTCTCCCGGCACGAATGAGATTTATCTTGCGGACCCCACTGCCACTGAGGATGTAATGCGGCGGCGCAATGATTTCATTAAAGACCCGGCTATGTACGGCATGCTGAACATCTACGGGCCCAACCTTGATACTGTCAATGGCAGGGTATGGGATCGCCATCGCAAAATAACAGTTCCGCCCTTCAACGAACAGAACAGTGCCTTGGTCTGGCGAGAAACCGCAGAGCAGGCTGACCAGATGCTGAAAGTTTGGTCCGAGAAAGATTATATCACAAGCACCCAACCTGACGTTCATGCCGTTGCCCTAAACGTCTTATGCGGCGCTGGCTTCGGCATACACAGTAGCTTTGTTGACACGAAGCTCTCAGGCGGCGAGAATCAAGCACGCACACAACTAGGTTATCGAGAGAGCCTGCGAATGTTGCTTGCAAACATTATCCAGCTTGTTCTTTTGAGCGTTATGAAGAAAGCAGGGGTTCCGGATTGGTTGTTCTTTGGCAACATGCAAAAACTGTCCGTCGCGTACGAAGATTTCAAGAGATATATGAGTGAGATGCTTGCAAGGGAGAAGACGGCATTTGAACAGGGCGACCTGACAAGGCATAATCTTATGAGTGCGTTGGTCAGAGCTTCCGAACAGTCGAATGAGGTAGCCCGGACAACAAAAGATCCCGCTGCAGCTGCTGCAGCAGGGCTTTCAGATGAAGAGGTATATGGGAACCTCTTTATTTATAACCTGGCTGGCCACGATACCACAGCCGCCACCCTCCATTTCGCCCTCACCCTAATGGCTGTTTATCCCGAATGGCAGACCTGGATCGCTGAAGAGATTGATCAAGTTCGAAAAGACGACCCGTCAGGCATGTGGTATTACGAGGAGACTTTCCCCAAGCTGGAGAGATGCCTAGCGCTCATGGTAAGAAACCCATCGTTTCTGAGCCCCGGCACCGCTGACGCAACGGTAATAGTATGAGACGGTCCGGCTTTACGGGCCTGTCGTGATGATGCCTCGCTACACAGGAGATGCTGCACAACGACTCAGCATTCAGGGAAAAGAATACATCTTGCCACCAAAGACATCGGTTACGTTGAACTTTGCCGCCCTTCACACTCACCCAGACTACTGGGGTCCGGACCCCACGAATTTCCGGCCTGATAGATGGATTGCGCCCAAGGGGGGAAAGAAGAGCGCCGACGGTGACTCATCAATGTTGTTTCAACCTGCCGATGGTTCGTTCGTGCCCTGGAACGCGGGTCCCAGAGTCTGCCCAGGCAAGAAATTCTCCCAGGTCGAGTTCACCCGGGTCATCTTCAGTTTATTTGCCGACGGCTCGAGGGTCGAGTTGGTCCTGGAGGCCGGTGAGAGTGCGCAGGCAGCCAGAGCGAGGATACTGCAGATCGTAAACGAGGCGAGGGTCGAGGTGACGTTGAAGATGGTGGACGCTGAACGGGTCAAGCTTCGGTGGACCAAGAAAGGCTGCAAGCCTCTGGTTATGGATGGCATATTGTAGTCCCCCAGGGGCCTCAGCCCACGCCATTGGTTTCACCAGCAGCTTCTGGCATCTTTGCCAGGAGTTCTAGGAGATTTTGAGTTGCGCTCCGCGTGGTGAAAAGTTCAATGGGTCCTCGTCGCTGCACCAAGAAGCTAAGTAGATATTAACAAAACGGACAATGGCGCCCCAAGAGATTTAGTTGTATATTTTCTGCAGACAATGCGTCTGAAACTGCTCGCTATTTGATCAAGTCACGGCGTGGGCGCTTAAGTCGGGAGCAAGGACACGACGACGGAAGAATGCTCAATACCTCTCATTGAACTATATCTGCCCCTGTAACCAGATCAATGGAGATGCAATCATTATCCTACATAGCCTATGATCATCCATGATCTTCCGCTACTATCTCTGCCAACACCTCGTCTCTCCAAAGCTCGTCGGCAGCTCTCTCGGAGCGTAACAGAGAAAACAAGCTGAGCATCTAATCTGCCCAACAACACAACATTGGAGACGTCGGCCACAACCCACAGTTTTCAATTGAAGATGGCGCTCCAATCCTGCTTCTTGATCCATTCCTCCACAGAAGGCAGCCTCACCTGAACGTCAAGCTGTCATCACAACAGGTCAGCACGCCTTTGGATCAATTTAAGGCGGCGGGGGGATGGTATTCGGGAGCACTTCTTCTGTAGGGGCTTACTTACATCCTTGGGATGCACTGGCGACGGGTCGTCGCGGCCTTCGTATCCAAAGTCTGCGAAATAGCTGGCGTTGTCCGTCAACTCTTCGCGCAGGTCTTCGGGGATGTCACCCCACGCGCCACCACCGGGTGACATGGCCTTGATTCCCGCCTTGACGCCCAGCGTTTGGGAGACGATGGCGACAAACTCGTCCATCGGCATCCACGCGCGGTATGCGATGAGGTTTTTGCCCGCCGAGGGCGAGACGACGAGGGCGCGCGTGAATGCGCCTGTGTCTTCTTCCGCCGCGGTCAGTGGCAACTTGGTGTCCGTCGCCCCGCTGAATGAGAAGTTGTACACCCCGTCGGCGCCCTGTATTGCGAGATTGTGTGTTTCGTCAGAGTTATGTTTGTCTGTATGCGAACAGATCAAAGGAAGGGTGCCGAGGGGGAGCAACGCTTACCTTTTGCGGCCGCATGAACGGAAACGTGAGGATGTTGGACAGGTAGAAGCCGACTTGGATGATGTTCGTCTTCTTCCACAGGTCGGGGTACGTGGCCTGTCCGTATTCGGCTGCGCGGGCCTTGCTGTCAAAGTGGTACACGTGGGTATATTTTCCGCCCGACCACTTTGTGGCGTTGGACAGGCCGGAGAATATCAAGCGTTCAAGGCCTTCCGTCTGCGCAGCCGCGTCGAAGACGTTCTTGCCCTGCCGCTCCTCGTTCTGGCCCGCCCATACATTCTTTGGCTGGCCGGCGGCGGTTGCCTTTGGCGTCGTCGCAGGGTCGTAATACGGGCCCCAGAAATCTGTCACCGAGAAGATGGCGTGCGCGCCCTTGAATGCCCGGACGAGGGAGGAGATGTCGTCTAGCGACGCCGTCACTACCTCGTGCACGCCCTTGGCTCTGAGTTTCTCCGCAGAGGCGCTGTTTGCGTTGCGTGTGAGGGCCCGGACTTTCCAGCGTGGCTCGGCGAGGAATGTGTCGACGACTGACCCGCCTTGTGTGCCCGTGGCGCCAACCACGACGATGAGTTTGGACATGATGTGTTCAAGGGGTTGAAGTTAACAAGAAGGCTTTTGCTGTCGAGATTATATGGCTGTTTTCTAAGACCATCCATGTTTGCGTCTTTCATATTTTATACTCCTGACAGCCTGGCTGCCCGTTGTCCAATGCTCGTTGTAGTAAATTGATTCGACCGCCGGTCGCAGACGGACGAATACCTTGTAGTGCCGTCCATACTCGGTCGGACTCGTCATTCCTCTTACAGACCAGACGCCTTCATCTTGCGTCTCAACTGCGTAGCAGGTATTCGACGGCAATGGAATCGGACGGGTGCATGAGCTATGACAATAGCCATAGGAAAGTCTTAGACGAACGTGCCCGGCTGAACTGTCCCAACCAATATCGAGTGTAGCTGTAGTTGCAAGGGCCGATGTTGGATTTGTTTGCGCTTATTGTCAACCGGTGTGATATCAAAGAAGTATCGAACAGACGATCCTGTCAGAAGTGAGGGCTCCGGTCGGGTAGATGTCTGTCCGACCCCGATCCAACACGACACGGGCCCGGCTTGATGTCCAGGCCCGGGCATCGAGAAACCAAGACCATTCGCGTGGAATGCTCCGAGCGTGGCGGAAGGCGCTTTCAATTCAAATCGAAGCCATGGAATCATATACTGAGGCCATGTGGACGCATGGGAGGTGAGGGCCGCGGCGGACAAGAGCTTGGAAGGTTGGATTCGGGGCCGTGCACGACCAGTCTTGTACTTGGGTGAATGCGTATGCGAACTGTTGAGGTAATGCTGGAAACATTGCTCTTGAATCTGTTGGCGATCTCGCTACCAAGTTGAACAGTTATAGACCGAGATACCGCTGTCCTCGACTCCTCGCAGCTGCCTGTCCAGACGATTCCCTCTTTGCCGCTCCCTCTGCAGTCTTGCGACAGAAGATGCTCTGATTGTTTCCGATTGCAGAGTCTCAAAGCCGGTCGCAGCCTGGAAAATCTTGTAAGCCTTCAGGGTGCCCTACGAGTCTCTCCTCTTCTCTTCCCTGATTCAATCTGGTCATTGTTGCATCTGTACAACACTTCGAAGGAAAAGTCGTTCGCTGACACAACTCGTGCGAGATCTTTCCGTTACTGTATGCGACGCAGCTTAGTAGAGGGCGGCCAGTGCTAATCCAAGTGTCTGTCGAGTTCTGACGAATCATTTCGATAGTCTCTTCGTTACCAGTCTTGATTGCCAGACATGGTGAAACATTCTCTTGCGGAAATGTCCGTAGCTTAATATTGGACATGTTCCAGGCGGAAACTTGACCTCTGCTCCTTTTACAAGCAGTGTTTGCACGACGGCTTTCTCTTTGTGGAATATCGCCCATGTGAGGGGCATTAAAAAAAATCGCTGTCTCGTCATAGAGAGGCAATTCTAGCATTAGAAGCTATCAGAGGTTGGTGTGAGTCCTCTAGAGCTGCAGTTGAGTGGCTGATCTAGGATCTGCGCAACTATCTGGCAACGGGTCTACAACGCTAAACTGCTGCTTTGCTACAGCGGCTGTAGAGGACTGCCAAAGTATCCGTCAGTGCTGTTGATGTTGGCGCCGTTGTTGAGAAGCAGAGGGCAAGGTCTTCATCATCTACCCACGCCGCAGCCGCAGCCTGCAAAGGGGTCCCCAAAGTACCTCCTGCTTTGTTTACGTCAGCCTGTCGATTGAGTAACATCTGCACCAGAGCGTAGTGGTCTGACCTGGCTGCTGCTTGTAATGGAATTCCGAACTCGCAGCTTGCGTAATTGATATCTGCTCCCCTATCCAATAGTGGACTTACGCATCTCGTGAGTCCGTAGAACCATGACTGTTGTAATGGTGGGCCGAGTGACTCCATGGCGTCTCGTTTGTTGCAACCATCCACTGCCCAGATGTCCTTTTCATTGACATCCACGCCGCGGTCTAGCACATTAGCCAAGGCATTTAGCTGCATCAGATGGATGCGTCGCAAGGACCTGAAGTATTGTCGGGTACCGGTGACCTTCTTTTCTTTGCTCAAAATTTCCTGCACAAAACGGTAACTCTTTCGACACCTTCCAGTTGTCGGGGTGTACCATTCAAGACGATTCCGAACGCGAGATTGCCCTGCCACGATTCTGCATGCAGGTTGGCACCAAGGCCAAGAAGCTTCCTGATATAGTTCCAGTTGACTTGTTTCTGCTTGTGAAACTAAGATAGGAGGTATGTCCTCATCTTCCCAGTGATTGACATCGTAAACCTTTACGCACTAGAAGTTCCGTAAAATGCCAGTTGAAACATTCGCCCGCGTAGGTGACGGGGTTTCTGGCACAATATTCGGATCAAGCTCCGCGCGGGCGCGAGATGAATCATGAGCACAAAAAGGATCGCAAACTGCATAGCACCATCTTTGCCCCATGCCAGAAGATTACCATTCGAGTCGTCGCGACATAGGAATGATGCAGCCTTGTAGTCTCATTCTTGCCCAATGCCAATATTAAGTTGGTGGTAGTGCTTCATCCAGTTACAGAAAGCACAGTGAAACAACACAATATTTTGAGTCCTTCGGTGCAGCTGCTTTTCTGTAAAACACTGCCCGCTGGAAAACTCAGGTATGACGAGCAGGCTCTGAACATGTCGAGTTGAGTAGTGTCGTGGCCCATGTAGAAGTTGTCCACAACAGTTTCGCAGATCCGTTCAGACGTGAGGAATTTCCTTCACAGAGCTATTGGTATTAAGTGTATCCTAAGAACAGGAAGGCTCAGATACACTACTCACGCTTTGCATGGCACCAGAGAATCAACGGTGGTTCTGTGGACCGCTTGGTGAAGACCGGATCTTTGATCAGCCACTGCCCTGTGCCGCGTAGCTGAACCCCTGAGACCTAGCAAAGCTGCCGCCGTGTCAACAGGAACGAGCGATTTGAGCACGTCCTGGTACTGAGTGATTGCCAAATGTTAGGGAGATTCCACTTAATCTTCCCCCCTTCAAAGCAAAGGGCGTACATTCTATATGTTCATTGATCATCTCTCCATGGTCAGCTGCTGCTGCTTTCTCGGCGGTATTAGCATCTGTTTCGATCCTGTCGGTTAGCAGCTCAGGATGGCTGGTGACTCTTTCGAAGCCTTGTTTGACAGGCTTGAAAGGTGCCTTTGTCATGAGTTTCAGGGTGACACTTTTGGTCCCTGCTACTGATTGTTAGATTGATCTGAGTCGTCGGATTGAGCCACTTTGGTGACGAACATTGACTCTTCCTAGGTGAGCCTCCTTCGAGAAATTTCACGACAGTCAAGCAAAACCGAAGGTGAGCGTCATAACCCTCTACGAGGCTTTATTTAAGCCTGGTTAAGTGTGGATACAGGCGGAGGCCCAAACAAGGCTCGAGATCTCTGGCTTTGCATTTGCAAACTGACTCAATGCCTTGCCGTCCTGCTCAATGTTTCGAATGGAGGGATCGATCTTTTGTACGAGCTTCAGTGTTTGACTGTGTTTTCGACATTGGTCTTTCAAAGACTGGACCGCTAAAAGCACATCTTGGGCCGTTGAGCTGTGGGCAAACAGCAGCTTTTCCTGTGCGGACAAGCTTGAGCGGAACTTGTGTTGCGCTTCTTCAAAAGGTCTCATAGTACTTTGCACAGCGGGGTGGTCCATGGCACAGAGGATAATTATTTCCTTGATAAGCCAACATCAAGACCATCAGATTCAGCCTCCCCCCCCCCTGCAAAGAGATGAGGCTGTGAAGTGCTCGGTAGTCAACATGGGGATGCCAAGACGCTGGAGCGCCAACGGATAAATGTTGTTCCGTTGTAAGTTTAATATTCTATTTGGTGGACAGCCACGACAACTGAACTATCATTTTTTGCTCGTTTCTCGTGCATGATCTCAACCACAAGGTCTCAACATCAGGCCGGCGCTCTGCTACCTCCCAGTCCTCCGTGATACTCTGCATAGTGACTCCTATCAACCGATTTCTCGAGACTTCCTACAAAGATCGGTTCCTAGAGCTGTTCTCGGAATTGTGTTCCAACACCCTCTTCTCTCTTGACTTTCCGCGCTCCTCAAGACTCTTCCTAGGTGCTCTAATCTCATAATATGTGATCAACAAAACATATAGCAGCCAAACCACGCCACTGACGACACCGTATGCAATATACTCTCCTCGTTCGGCATCCTCGGAGAGTTTCAGACCCAGCCCCCCATTGATCATCCCCAGCGTAATCAGGATTCGGCCCAGCCATATGTGGACGACGGCCAGTGTCGTTCGGCGCCTGTACTTTGGAAAGAGGGCCAAGTGGTGCACCAGGGCTGCAACAATCTGAAGCCAGATCACGGCGAAGATGACCAGGCCGATGATTGCATGATACGAGTCCAGGTCCTCTGTGATCTGTGCCATCCAGATGCCCATACCGACGGAAGCAGTATATATGGTGGTTGCGAATACCTGGATGGCCGCGTGGATCCGCGTGGTTTTCTGCCCGGCCAGAAGGCGCATGAGTACGGCTCCGAGGGGGAAGAATATGACCCATGATACACTTGCGAGGACGGCGTGGGCGATTACGATCTTGTGATAATAGGCTGGATGGCTGTCTGAGCCGCCATCTCCCCCGTCGCTGCCGCTCTCGGCACGGTCCCCGTCGTCGCCGTCAGCATCTCGAGCACAGATAATAGTTGCTATTGAGGTTAGCCATGACGCAAAGAATGGGCGCTGCGAGGTCGTACCAAAGATGGTCAATGCGAGACACATGCAAATTCGGGCGGACATCCTGGTAGGGCGTATTTTCTCCCTTGATACTAGAACTACTGATAAACAAAATCCTCTGCTACGCGGCACATTCCATCTTAATATATAATTGTTATTAACGGGGACATTGCTAGCGATGGGTATGATTCTTGTCACAGGTATGCTGTACCCAGTACCTCGTACGGAGTGTGCCTTACAAGTACCTAGGTACCTTCCTATTGCGGTGTGAAACACTGCGTCGTGACCAATGCTGATCTTTGGGCAAGGCTGAATATCTTGAACTAATGCAGGTCGGCCTACCAAGCCCCTGATGACGTATATTCAGTGGGTATGAGAACTTCTCGGCCCGCTTCACAATAGAGGCTCGACTCTCGAAGACTGCGGGTCTTGCTCTCGTGCCCAGCCCCCTGGATATTCAACGCTGATCCCTTAATAGTGTGTTCAACGAATCAAATCAAACTAGAATGTCACTGATGCATATATGCTTGCGTATTTCACCGACCGCCGAGCCGCATATAAGGCCCCTCACAAAGACCAGTTCGTAAGTCCTAAATCCCACAGGGCGTTTGGAGTGGGAATTTCGCTCTTGTGTCCGGAGGAGAGCTTCGAGCCAAGTGCGAAGATTGCGTATCTTATGGCTTGGCGGGACTAACAGAAGCTACTAGCGCGTCGACAGCAGCCGTAAAGGCATATACAGAGGGGTGAGGGAGTTCAACCAGTGGGGACGGCTGGCCATTTGCATGTTTGTGCTGTTTGGCCAATCTCGCGAGAATCATGCCTGATTGGGTGGGAGACCACCACGTATGAGGCTGACGTGCGGCCATCCTTGGCCCATGGCACCGGTAGGCGACAGAGAGGATCGAAGGGCTCTCTAAACAGCATGAGCTCGATGGCGGCCCGGCCAGTGATAATCCATATCAGTGGGAATGTTCTTGCGCAAATGGTCCATGAAAGTTGGCGGGACGCGTCCCAGCATACGCCATCTATCGCTTGGCGGTATAGAATGCTCTTCATCATAGTGGCTCAGGAGATCCTCAATGGCACTCGCCCACTTGATCAGCTTGTCTTCCTGCCAAGCAGTGTGCTGCAGTGTCAACGGCACGGGCATGCCGTCCGGATCAAGGCCGATAGGAATCGTCATCACAGGATAGCCTGCTTGAGCGGCAATCTGGATGCCTCCCGCTTTCACGTCGCAGAAGAGGAGAGCGTCGAGAAGTTCTTCTTCATGATCGGGAGATTGCGGACGCCGGCTGCTCGAAGGACATTTCAACGCAGCATCAATCCCATTTTCGCGGCATTGAGATCGAATATGCTTCAACGCGGCGTAATACGTCTTATCCTTGATGCCCTTGGTCTCGACACACTTGCGGAAAAGCCGCTGGCCATCAGGAAACGCGGGTAAATCGGCTTCCTGACCGCCTTCGGTGCCGCGGTTTTCGTCGTTGAAGCGCACGATATCCTCCAGGGTCTTAATGGGTGTGTTTTTCAGTTTGCTCAGGTATTGGTTCATGAGGTAATATGTCTGAACTTTGCTGACCGTGATTTCGGAGATTTTAGGGTTGGATTCGCCGTAGCGTTCCCTAATGAGCAAGTCAGGATATCTCTAAAAAGACTCAAATTGTCGAGGGAATCACGATAATACTGCAACTTACCAGTCCCAGATCCCGTGCCTGCCTAATCTCTCTTCGGCGCACGGCATATCAACCGGTATGATTTCGGCACCTGCTTGCTTTATAAGATCCAAGACTTTCTCTGCAACAAGTCGCTGAGGATATGGAGCAGCATCCCAGAAGCATTTGCTTGGCAGACCAAACTTTGCACCCTTGAGCGCGTGCCTGTCAACAAGGCAATCATAGTAACTGTTTGGCTGACGTCTTCCAGGCTGAGTACTGAACTTGTCGTCAGGGTCGGGACCCGCGATGATGTCCAATGCACGGGCAACGTCTGCAACGCATCTCCCATAATGGCCGACGGAATCCTGTGTCTCTGAGATGGGAATGACTCCTCCACGCGAAGTGAGGCCGACCGTCGGCTTGATCGCGGCAACACCACTGACCATACCGGGGCTGATCACGCTGCAGTCTGTCTCTGTGCCGAATGCGAGCGGGACAATATTTGCCGAGACGCTGACGGCACTGCCTGAGCTGCTGCCATCTATTGAAATTAGTGATCCTGGCGGAACCAACCCAGAATCGAAGAGCAGATGCTTACTCGGGGAGCGAGTCAGCATGTACGGATTCCGACATTGCCCACCACGGGCAGAGTAACCCATCGAGTAGATGCTGCCTCTCATTCCTGCCCATTCATCAAGGTTGGTTTTGCCGAGGATGATCGCACCCGCTCGGCGCAGAAGATGGACGATGTGTGCGTCTTTTGGGACGATACAGCCGAGCAAGGCCCACGAGCCTGCTGTCGTTTGCATCTTATCTGCCGTAGCCATATTCTTTTGCCGCAGAAATTGCTCGTCAGCCTCACAGCGAAGGGATCATCAGCGTCAACTTACATCTTTAACAAGCACGGGGATACCATGTAATGGGCCTCTGACGCTGCCTTGCTTCCGTTCCTCATCCAACGCCTGGGCATGATCGACTGCGTCGGGATTGGTTTCGATAACACATTCGAGATACGGGTTAATCTTGGTGCTGTCAGCCAGAGATTTCAAGGAGGACACTGGGAAGCATTCACTTTTTGAACTCTGTCTAAGCAGAATTTCACGTAGTCAACAGAGGCCAATGCCCCGGTGGAGTAGAGATGTTGGAGCTCATCTACTGAGACCTCAAACAGATCTAGGCCATTGCAGCGAGGCAGCCGGAATATCTCAGGCATTCCATTCTGTGATGACCCGGCGGGTTTGGAGACCACGACAAAGCCACCGCCGTCAAGGCATGAATCATTTTGCTCGCCCACTCGAAAAAGCGCCATCTATGCCGTCTGGAGTTTGACGCCTCTCCAATGACCAAGATCGAGATAAGAGTGGCTTCTCAGGACGTTGACGGCCTGAGAAATCGGTTAGAATGAGATTTGGCAAAGCAACGAAGCGTTAATGGGCCTTTGCCTTGCACGATGTGTCCGAAGCAAAATCCCAAACGGCGTACCCAGCGGTGAGAGAGAGGAATTGCGAGATGGAAGGTGAAGGTTGGACAACAGCTGCCTAAACGGGGTTCGTACACGATCAAAATGCCGCAGTCTGACAATGTCAGTCTCACCCTCTGCCTCTGCGTGTGGCTTTGTAGTCATTTGTAGTTTTTGTCAGACCACAACTCTTCCTTCCGGCATCGGCAACTAGAGGTTGATGTAGATAAGGTCAGCGAGGTTCTTAGGAGGGGGTCGATGGAGTACTCCGCCCCTTGCAGGCTGTTCACTTAGCGAGTGCAAATAGGTAAAGTGGGTCAGGAAGCCTGGGTGAACTTGCACGAGAACAATATCTCAATTGCAAAATACTTTTCAGAATCGACACATTTCGGGTCGTAATGGGCTCGAAGCTCCTCACAGAAAAGGCAGTGGCCAAAACGCTCAAGTCGTCGCTCATATGCAAAGAACGCTCAAGAACCAAATGTCGCTTGATGAATGCCAGCAGTAACAAGATGAAAGATTCGTCCAGTATATTCGTGAATCATGCAAGCCCAGCCTCCATCGTCTCCGCCAACAGTGAGGCTTCCTCCCAGCTCTGTCGCATACCCTCAGCGTAGATCCGGTCGAGATAGAAGAATTGCAACAGCAACTGGCGGACCTCGTCCCAGTTTTGGAGTCTGAGGACTCTAGACACCCTCGCAAGATTCAGCACGAACCACGGCCTCTCCCTCTGCCCTGCGGAGATATATGCACCCAGCAGGAGAACCCATGCCAGGAGTTGATAATGGGGGCCCCAGAGACCTTTTAAATCTGAAGCCTGCAAGGCGGACTTCAACTGTGAGGTCAATGTCCGGTTGAGTGCTGAATCAGGTCGAGAGATCTGAAAGTTGCTGAACCAGAAGATGAGCAACGCGAGACGACAGGCCTCTTCTTTGTCGCTGGCAGGCTCTCGTGGCTCAAACGGCGCGGACAATGCTGCGTAGCGGAAATGGTAGCTTTTGGCGCTGATGTAGTCATTTTCCTCGGGCGCAGGGAGCAGCTGCTTTTCGTGGTAGTATTCCCGGTATTGAACGACGTCCTTCATGTCTCGAAAAGCTTGTGATATTCTCCAGTCCAGTATGGTATCAATGTCCGCGGTCAATATGCCCCTGCCCATTTTTTTCACGTCCTCACTCACGTTTTGCCTGATTTCTTCGACCAAACTTGCAGGTAGGGAAGGCAGTGCAGAGGTAGGAGGCGCCGCAGGTAAAGATCGTGTCAGCGCGGCGCACATATAAGACGTACTGTCTCCATGATTAGGTCTGCTATTGCGCATTTGAGGAGTGGCCAATGTCTTACGATAGGATGAGTTCCGTAGCATGAGGAGGTATCCCATGATACCCGCCGCGCCAGGCGATCAGTTTCTGCAATCCCGAAACATGCGCAAATATTTCCTTTTGATTTCCCGTGATAACCTGCCGCGGATTCTTTAGTATCAGGAGTGCTGAGGGCGCCTCGGAAAAAAGCTCCGCGTACCTCGATAGAAAGCAAACACATCATGGCAAACATCGTTGAAGCTTGGGTGGCCTTTTCCATCGATTTCATCGTCTCATTCGCAATCCTCACGGCGTTCACCTTATATGAAACAAATTCGGGGACGGTGCGGTTTTCGAGGTCCGCTTCGGTGAATGTCGTCTCGATCGAACCATTTCGTAATTCTCCCAAACGCGCACTTCGCTCGGCTGACGCAACTGCTAGGAGCGAGTACAAGACCAGTGGATCCTGGGCTGCATTTTGAAAGGTCCATCGAGTCTGGATTTCGGCTTGGTGTCGAGTAGGAAACACGGTGGGTATCATAACATCGGAAACTATTCGAAGAAAGTCAGCTTCTGCCTCAACTTCGGCCAATCTTGCGAGCTATGGCTGCGCTGTCTGGTAGAATATATTCAAACACTCTAACGCCGTCAAGGCTGCAGATTCAAGGGGAAAGACGCTGTATAAGAGCCTCCTCACTTTTGCGACAAGGACAGCTAGCATGGTACTAGCTGCGGGAATATTTTGAGGGGAGCTTTCAACAAATATCAGAGAAGAGCGTGCTTTCTGAGCAACCCGCGCGCCTAGCTCGGAAGGCTAGCCCAGACACAGGCTTGCAAACGGGGGGTACCCAGAGATGAGACAACTTACAATGACGCAAAACAGCATTCATGCTTGGGGTAATATGTACAGAGCTGATGTTAAAGGGGTCAAGGAGCGTGTTGTCCAGTGATGAATTAGGAGAAGATTGAATCATGCGGCCCGCATGGCCAGCATCCAGCCGTTGCAAAATCTGGGTGAGCATGGACCTCACCGAGGTGTTTTCGTCTTCCAAGTTCGCCCGTCGAGCGACTTCAGTTGATGCCTTTCGTTCATGCTGCTGCGTAGTGATGGCATTGCGAACTTCTGCTCCACGAACGCTGCTATAGTGCCGTAATCGGTCTACTTGCTCGCGGTCGAATTCTGGAGGAGATTCCGAGCGGGTAGGCGCTGGCGGTTCGGGACTAACAGTCTCTTCTCGCGGTGTGAGTGGTGATTGTGGCGTCAAAGAGCTTTCACGACTGGTAAATGGCTGTGGTTGAAGAGGACCGCGTCGCCCAAGGGTGACGGGAGTAGTCGGTTGGGGCTCGATAGGCCGTGGCTGCAATTGCGGCTCACGTCGATATCGTCCTATGTTCGCGGTCCCTGTCGTTCTCTGCCTTTGTGCGGCTTGCTTTCGATTTCTGTGCGCAGTCTGCTGGATGTGTGCATTGATTGCTCGCTGGTCAGAACGCGGTCTTTGCCCAGTGGAGGACGAGTCGACAAACAAGAAACGGTTGCTTTGCTCGGAAGCCGTCGAAGTTCTGGCACCCTCCTGATCGATTCTTCGATACTTATTCGACGACTCGCCTCCCTCACTCCCGTTGTCTCGGTCGGAAGACCTGTCCCCTTTGCCAGGGTTATGTAGGGCGCCATGAGCAGCATGACTTGGCGCTTTGCGTTCATCCATCCTCAAAGAGGTAAACGCAGGTGCAACTTGAAGAGGTAATGCAAAGATGAATCATTGACGTTGGTAGAGACAGACTCCGCTGCGAGGGTTCCATTCCTCGCCTACGTCTGCAACTCTGGAACAGACTTGACAGAGAAGCAGAGAGCCCGCTCGTCTTGGAAACCCCTCGTCGACTCCAATGGTTAAGCTGAAGAGGGAGGTCCGCTCGCCACTGCTAAACCGAACCAGGTCTGCGCCCATCACCAACCAAAGAGTGCCAATCTCGACTGGGTGGAAAACGAATCATGGCCGGCTTGTTGCACCCTGTGCCCCCTTTGAGTTTCTCATTGTGACTGCCCAAAACTGCCGTTGCCCTGAACCGACATTAGTACGTTTCGTAATCCTCACGGTGATTGGTTACAAGTGCCCTCAGGCCCACACTTACTCGCACTATTGGTAAGCACCAAGGCCAGTTGCAGGGCCTAGCCTCGTGTTTCTGCACTAGGCCCGAAAGGGTAGGCAGTTGATGCACTGTCTGATTGGTCCAGACTCCGAGCTCTTTTGGGATAATGGTTGCTGGCCAATCAATGCATCAGGGGACACTGAGGTGTTGGCCCAGCCGGGTCTTGGAAAGTCATCAGGTCCCAGAGAAATTCCGGGTCATGCAACCCATCTCGCCCTACAAGGACGAATGAGCAGGGTCCGGCATGATGACGGGGATAGGGCCATCGAGATTTGTGAACCTCTTCGGAGACACGATCTCGTTTCGTTCTTCTCGTGCGCCATGCTCATGATTACAAGTAGGTCTAACTGCGCCCTGTGCTCCCTCCAGAGCCCACAGCAAGCTCCTGCGTTGTTGAAAACCCCCTTGTTTCCTTCCAGGCAAAAGATACTTGCCTCGGGCCAAAGATGAGTGTCGTTCTCACCCAAACTCCCGCGACCCAATATGTTCCCAAATATCTTTTCATTTCCGGCGACAGCCAGCGCGGCACTGGCAAAAGTCGGCATGTCATGAAAGAATGTAAGCATTTGCTCTCGACGCCGGAATTCTCCTTGCTGAGATATCGCCCTCTGGCTAGTTCTACGCAAGCGCGATTCCATCCGTCGTCAAAAGCAATTGGCTACACGATTGCAAAGTCGTGTCCTTCCCTGGCTACGCCGAGAAGATATGGAACAAGTGCCAGTTCGAACAGATGTCACTGGGGTGGACGTTGGAGGATCGTCTGATTCTCCGAGCGACTTCAGTTCAAGACCTTCATCCCCCCAACAGTCTCAATGGACCGCTGGAAGCACAATGGATGAGGCGTACTCCTCACCATGTTTCAGTCCGCCGTGTTCTCTTTCAGACCCCACGGACCTCCCAGACATTCCAATGAAACCTCCTTACAACACGCAAGAGCTGCTTGACTACTGTAAGTCATAACTTGGGCTGTCGGTCGCGATCAAAGACGGCTGATGTCGGCAGTGCACGGTTCTGTGATATGTCGCCTCTACGAGACAGAGCAGTCGAGTAACATTACCTCGCCGGCGACCGTCATGGTGAATCATATAATGACCCGCTCAGTGTCGGCACGAATACTCCTTGCGATTTCCAGTCTTCACCGCGATATTGAAACAGGACAGCAAACACCAAGCTCGGAAACGCTCAGCTTGATCCTTGAAGGCATCGGCTTGCTGAAAGAACACCTACAACGCCCCAGTGGTGTTTCTGACGACACCGTCTTGGCAGTGCTCAACCTATGGGCATACGAAGTAACATTATCGATAGGATCTACTCGAAGTGGACCCGAAAGCGATTCAACTGAAGGGAGGATACTCCCGAAATCGCTAACGTATAATATCCAAACGCATTTGAATGGGCTTCAGCGATCCATCAATTGCCGTGGCGGGCTGCGCAATCTTTCACCGGAGACACTGTGGCTTCTGGCTTGGTGAGTCGACTTCAGCCTTTTCGAGAAACAAGGCTGACTTCTCAGGTGTATATGTACACTCCCAGGATATTCTCCTATCGACACTAGAATGATGGTGCCCGCCGTTAGCAGTCCTGGAGCCTTGCAAACAGGGACTGACGTCTACTACCGCCCGGCCAGGCTGTTTGACACGCTTTCAAAAATTCAAAGACACATGTCATTACCTCATTCTCAGGCCAACATCCTCCACGAAACATCATTTTCACCTTTGAAAACATTGTTGCGTCGACTGAATGCGATGCGGCATGCTCTCAATCAACAGCCAACGCCGATAAACAGACTTCGCAAGTCGGCTTCATTGGTATCAACGCTCCTTTTCATCTTTGATGTCTTTCTAGAAGGACCGGATTCAGCTCACCGAGAAGTCTGCGACCCCCAAGACCAGTTGATAGCAGTCCAGAGACGACTTGTCGATCATGGTATCGACAAAGAAGGGTCTCTCGAAAAGGTTTGGCAGGTTCTCATGACGCAGCAAGAGGCTCCGCAGCTTCAGCTCCATCCGAGAACTTGGCCAATTGTTGAGATGGTGAATGTGATCAAGCATTTGAACATTTCCACGGTCGATGCACTGTCACAACTGCTGCTCGGGTATCTGCTGCCTGAGACTTGTGACAATGCGGTTGAAGATTTCAGGTATGAGAAGATTATGCTGCAACTTCATTTTGAGCTAGATGGTCTGGCCGATCTTACTTGAACAAATATACCATGTATTGATAGAAGTAGATAACGAGGTGGTCATGACATGTTGGAGATTTCACGACAGCGTAATAACTCTCACATTCCAACTTGACGAGGAGATCTTGATTGGTTAAAGCATTTACGGTCTCGCCCGGATGCTTCCAGAACCTAGTCAGCCCGAAGACAAGAATTTTAGGTCCGACAAGAGCACCTAGGTAATTTCTCTCGTACACCAAACTGAGCGGGGAGTGAGGCTCGGGGAAGTTGCCGTTCCTCGAACCAAGCTCCACAGTAGTTTAGTCAGCCATATAGAGTCAAGCGTTCGCCACAGAGCACAAGTTCTTAATCCCACTTCTTGGCATTTTTTTGGAGCTTGCTTGAGCTTGTTCCTTCGTATTCGCGGTTGTCTAAAGAGACTGCACAAAATTCTTCGCAGACAGGATAGAGGTGTCCCTCCTGGTGGCATCTACGCCTGACATGAATGACCTGAAGACCGAAAGACACGGTAAGTGGAGGCTAAGGCAGCGCCTATGTTTATGGCATATGATCCGACCTTGCCCACCGTCTGCGATCTCTTTCATCGTTCCCAGCAGCCCCATTTTGAGCCCTTGATAACTGCCGAGAGGCCACGTTGAAGGGTGCGGCGTCTTGGAGACAAGGTCTACAGCTTTGAAATGGTCGCAAAGCGTACCTGTCGAGAAAGAGAACGGCATAAACATTTCCGGTTGTGATGGCCCAGTCGAGCTGCCAACAAGTGGAACCGTTGCCGGAGTTGATGCAGACACCAATATTGCGATTGGTAACATGCTTGCCTCGATCCGAAGCTGTCTCGATCCTTCAGACGGCTAATTCGCATGCCAGCACCACTCTTCTCTGTTTGATCTCCTGTAGAGGCAGCTATTGAGCCCCTTCTACCCCCAAAAGTCCATATTCCCCACGACTTGACCCCAAAATCCCCGCAATTACGGTTTGCCAAGTACCTTCGTCTCACCAGGCATGGTCGTCGCGAATTGAACGTCGTCTCCTTGGATATTGGGACGACGCTAATCATGCTGGTATATGTGGCACGGTGGAATACCGCCTTGTCGATCACGGCAGTTGTTAGACTCAACTGCCGTTCATCAACTCATTGCCACCAGATATATGATTACCTTCCTTCCACGACAGCCATATAGAGTACCTGCTCTTGGCTTCCCCCCCATTACTCTCTCCAGGGAAAGGAATTCTTGTTGCTGCTCGGCCTGAGCGGTCAATTTGATCAGCATGGCTGCAGAAGTCGTCGGCACTCCGACCGACACGGAGAAACAAATTCAAGAGACGGTTGTCCATCTTGAAGATGCTTTGGCCACCCTCAACATCGATCCCAAGGACGCTGACGAGGCTTTCGAATTTCTCCGGGACCACCCGAACGCCGACGGCGTCACACAGGAAGCTTTGAGTATTCTGGCCGATGAACACAAGCGGAAGAAGCTTTTGCGAAAAATCGACTGGGCCATTCTTCCTTGCATGATCGCCACTTACTTCCTTCAATTCCTGGACAAGACGACCATCGGGTATACTGCGGTGATGGGATTACGGGAAGACACTCATCTGAAAGGCCAACAGTATTCTGATGTTGCCATGATTTTCGTAAGTCGAACCAATTGACATGAGTTACCTTTTTTTTTGTGCCATGCTCAGCTACGGCGAAGTGTTCTTGCCCAATGCTTGTGTAATGCTGAGACAGTGATAGTATATCGGTTACCTTACCGCCGAATTTCCAACTCAATATATCTCGCAACGGGTTTCACGACTTGGGAAATACCTCGGTGCCAATATTGTACTCTGGGGTGCAGTGCTGGCAGCCCACGCAGCTTCCCAAAACTATGCTGGCCTGATGATCTGCCGCGCACTTCTGGGGGTGTTCGAATCATGTGTGACACCCACTCTTGTGCTTGTGGTTGCTATGTGGTACAAGAAATCTGAGCAAGGACGAAGGATCTCTTATGTCTACGTTTGCAACAGGTAGGCATCGCCTTTCCCTGCTGATCTATCGACTCGGCTGATGCGTCACAACAGCTTGACGTCCATTTTTGCTGGTCTAGTGTCCTGGGGCGTGTCCCACTCGAAGAACAAGAGCTTTGCAAGTTGGCGAATCTTCCTTCTCACAATTGGTCTGGTGACGGTTGTAGTTGGTGTCTTTGTTTTCCTATACTTGCCTGATTCTCCCGTCAAAGCTAGGCGATTCTCTGATGCAGAGAAGGTCGCGACGTTGTTGCGAGTCAAGGACAACCAGTCGGGAACGCAAAATGCTAAGATCAAGACGTCTCAGTTACGTTTGGTCTTCAAAGATCCCGGCGTTTGGCTTGTCGCTGTCAGTGTTCTGATGCTGAGTGTTCCAACGGCAATTCCGAACTTTTCCAGCATCTTGTTGACAACGTTTGGCTACAGCGCGCAACAAGCGGTGAGTTCCCCTGGACCGTCGAGTTTAACAGGGTCTCTGAAGGTGACCGGATACAAGAATTTGCACTGACCACAAAGTAGCTGATACTGAACATTCCTGGCGGGGTGGTTGGAGCTGTCTCGACCATTCTGACCGGGTACCTTAGTGATCGTTGGAACGATCGAAGCCTCGTCATGATTATCAGTATTCTCCCAACCATTGCGGCATTTGCCATGATGATCGGTCTCGACCCAGGTGGTGTCCCGAAGAGCAAAGGAGCATTACTCTTCGCACTTTATCTGTGCAACTCCTTCACAGCAGTAAGCTTTTTTGTTTTCTGGCCATATTTTGGCGATATTAGCTAACTGCGACGTCAGGCTTTCATGCTGCTTTTAGTTTGGAATGCGTCGAACTTAGGAGGCCACACGAAGAAAGTCACAGTCAATGCCTTGACACTTGTCTTGTACTGTGTTGGAAACATCGCCGGCACCGAATCTTTCCGTGCTTCCGAGGCCCCTGGATATATCAGCGGCAAGGCGGCCATCATGTCGTAAGTGGTCTCTCTCAACACGTGAACTAGCAATGTTGGCTGGACTTTTGCAAAAACTCTATCTTCCTGATGCAGCTCGTCGACGCTAACAACCATGCCAGCACCTTGTCGTTCCAAGTTCTGGTCTGCCTGGCGCTTAGGTTCCGAAATGACCGGCTCAACAAGAAGAATCGCGAGAAGCTTGCTCTCATGACCGCGGACGAGAAGGAGACGTTACGCCAACAACTGGCGTATGCCGATAAAACGGACAGAGAGAATCCGTTCTTCGTCTACACCCACTAGGGTTGTTGGTGTGGCGGAGAAGCGACAAGCTGTTTCGATGCTGGCAGGTCTTACAGATACGATATTCTTCCGGCACCTCGGCAAAATCCACATCTTTGAGAATACACAGATGCGTCGCCCGTCGCTTGCTTGGCAAGTCGAACCAAACCTGAAGAATCCTAGGTATTCCGGCCCTTCTAACCGTCTTTGACTCTCCTTGATACCTCGGCGTAGCACCTACCGTTGGCCCCAGTATGACCGTCATGATCTATTAAACTGCAATGTGGTGATAGGAATATACTTCCAGCATTGGTTGACATACACACAGCCTTGCCGGTGATGTATTGATGGAACCTCACGATACATTTGCCAATCCGCAAAAGGCCATAATAGATTCGAGCAATATACTTAAGTGTTTTGGCTCGCTCGAACTGCACGCTTGTCACCGTCTCCGATGCTCTCCAGGATGCTCTCCAACGTTCCTCCTGAGCATTGTAACTTCTGGCCGTTGTGTCTGGACGAAATGCCCACCTCGAACATGATTGAGAGGATGGCCAATTGCAGTTTTTTGTGAGCGATGGCGGGGCTCACTCTGCATTTCTCTGCTCCTGCAGGCTGGGTGAATGTTTCGACTCTCTGTCGGCCGCAATGCGAGGTCTAACGGGCTCTACCACGGCCCTCGTGGGCCAACGCAATTGAATTGTCTCGTTTTGTTTCGTCCCAATCCCTGGAATTGAAGGGGGCCGTTGGACACCCGCTTTAAAAACTCCACCAAAAAAACACCGAGAAATCTTGAATTCTACATTTAGAGTCATCCAGTAGCTTAAGGTGATCAATTTTCGTATACTTTCGACAAATGTTGATACACATGGTGGAATGCGTAACTTGGTATCTGTACTAATGGCAACACTACAATACGGTGCGAAGTTGACTCTGGTGGGAGTGCTACTTGTCTCTTCTTGTGCAGCTGACTATTTCTGTCTCCCGATCAGTCCGCCACGGCCAGGTTCTCAGAAAATTCCGCAGTTGAGTCCCACGGTTGCCTTGAAAGGCTTTCTGAAGCAATCTGCGCTCTTCAGAGACCTCGCATAGTGGATCTTGCCTGGCAAGGAAACTCACAGCCACAGCGGCCGGGAAGCCGGCGATGTTCAAGAAAAACGCACCCACACTAGGGCTTTGGAGGAAGGGCATCAGCATCACAATCTTGCGGCAGTACAGTCTGGGATCAATACATGCTGGGAGACCCGCACGACCATTTCCGGCAACGTACCACCGAACCTCATGTATGATATTGCACGTTGCCCAGTAGATTATGCCCAGATGAGCCATTGCGAAGTGTTCAGACGAAGGCTCCGAACTCTCATGGTGGCCGTTGGAGATCTTGTCCTCCACAAAAGCAATTGTGGACGAGCCCGAATTGGCCGACCATGTCTGCAGCTGACTATGATAGAGCCAACATCTTTCTTCTAGCTGCTGGCGAAGGAGCGCTTTTGTTTCCACTTCGCCAGACAGACATCCAAGAAGGCCTTCAAGGTCTTCCAGCAGAGCTGGAACCTCGATCAAGATATCCAACAATTTATCTCTGGGGCCCTTAGGATGCAGGGACCACGGAATTGACTTCCATGGTGGAGAACTAAATATAGATCGCTTTCGACGGTGGATGTCCGCATATACCTTCGTTTGCTGCGTCAGCACTTTTTAGGTGATAACGATATGCAAAACCAGGGGCACATTACCAGATGGAGGCGACTGTCAACGAAGAGAAGGTGGGCGTTTCCTTCCACATAGCTTTCGGGGGGTCTGGTTAAGATGATGGCCCTCTCCCCAGAGGCTTGCCTAAGCCAGGTAGGACCAGGGAGCCACAGGCGTTGGCCCTCGCCCGTCTGGATCAACTGATACCGTATAGGTTAGTCACTTTGGATGATCATGCTCATACCAGCAAGAGCAGATGTTTGGACACACCTCGTACGCGGCCAAGAGTCCCGACGCCGCCAGTAGACCGTCACCTGCTTCTTGGCTTTTGGCAGGGATCGACTTGGCTAGCGCTTGCAAGGACCTGCCGTACAAGCGCCATCCTTGCATGATGGTCGACTGCTGTCCGCTCACCTGGCCGAGCAGGCCCAGGGCGTTGGTAAGCAAGGCCAGGTGCACGAGGCCTTGTCGTTGACCCAGGTCTTGTACGACTCCAGTCCAGCTGGTAGTCGAGTATCGTGCCGCTCGAGGCGTAAACGGCTGACCATTAGGAAGGAGAGTGGTCCAGTAAAAGTCCAAGTACTTTATCTCCAACGCGGTGCGTCCCAAAGATCGCTCTAGCAACAACAGGGCAGTTGGTGACGTCAAAGCTACTTGATCTTGGACGAAGCCCCCAATTTCAGGCTTGCTCGGTTGTAGTGCTGCGTAGGATTCCGGCGTGAAGCTGCGTGTGTTGGCATCACCATGCTCTGGTCTGCTGTTGACGAAAACGCGGGCCCTCTGATAGCCTCCACACACAAGCTTAGAGCGTTTGCACGGGCCACACGATGGTTGCTGTTGATCACACTGTGAACGAACAGTACAAGATATCAGCCCAGAGTTTGTCGCACGGTGACGGAATTCCGCCTGCCAGAGTACTCACGCCCTTCTTGCGCATCCTGCAGGTCCGACAAGCTTTCGACCGTCCTGGAACCCCGACCATGTTGACGTTGGATGTGTCGAGTTGGATACTCGGTCTCAAGCGCGTCCGTTAGAGGCATGGAGAAAGGGGCGGGGGAGGTTGGGACGGACATATTCGCTGAATCTGCGATCTACATCGGCCCCGCTTTGGGCTGCGCGAAATGCTCCCCAATCCGGCCTAGCTCGAGGCTGTACGGGTACAGACCACAGCCTTGTGAGCTGTGCAGCGGCTGAAATCTGATAGAGGCGACCCCGTTCTCACAACGTGGTCAAAGGAAACAAAATGATAGTCTATTAGCCACGTACTGCACTTGTTCTCATAGCACCGTGAAGATCGACACACCGGTCCACGCATGCTACCGCCAAAAATCGGATACGCGGCAAAAGGCAATAGTCCAAAAGGCTCAAGACACACCCACTCATAAAGCTGGTTTTCTGCAGATAGTTTCTATAGTTCTAGGCGCATAGTCGATCTTGCGCCGGTTTGGTTGGGCTACTTATGCGTCGTTATGAGTCCCCGGTGTCGTACCGATCACGACCGATCCCATCCCGTGTCCCTGTAGGAAAGAGATATCCTTGCACCCGACCAACATGAACCATTCCTTCTAGTCACCTTCGTGGACTAGGCCCCAGTTCTTACTTGTACGCCGTGCCCAACAAGCACAGTATTGCGTCATAGCTGCCGATGAAGTGGGCTATCTAACTCTTCCCCTGCTGGTGTTTTAAGAAGGTGAGCATCCTGCAGTCCTTGAATAACGTGCATCCAGTTGGACTCGTTCAAATCTATATGTGTGATAATTCTAACTTCTCCCGCGCTATCGAATCCCATTTATCCTTTGATTCGAACTCCTACTACTTTATGCTGCTAGTCTGCTAAGCAGTTTTATACTCAGGCACATCAATCGCCCATGCATGAGTTGATGGACTTTGGCGATACGCCATCAAACGAGTCACCCAACGATTCTGAGCCAAAGCACGAGGCCGTATCTGAGCAGGATGTGGAATCTTTAGTCACCACCTTCATCCAGGCTCATGAGCACCCTACCACCCGCTCCTCGAAATCGCCAGCATCAGCGACGAAGCTGCCTTGTCCCGTGGTCATTCCTCAACGGCGACCCGGGAACAAGCAACGTGGCTTCGTCGAGGCGTATGCACCAGCGCTGGGACAGTATGGTATCGAGCAAGATGCCTTCCTCGAATTCATCCGCGCCATGAACAAGGCCATCCAACAGAACGCATGGCTTGCAGCGATTCAATTAGCCGCTGTGGGAGCTTCGTTTGTTCCGAGTGGCATTGCTGCGGGAGTCTCTTTGACCGTCCAGTTTGTCGCGGGTACCATTGCGCAGGCCGAGGCCAAGTGGAGGTAAGTTCTAACTTTCCTCCTTTACTTGTCTATTTCTATTCAGACAAGCCGTACGCTCTCTGCTGTCTGACCCGAGTAACGTGTGCAGGACCAATTCATTCTTGGACCGGATGAACAATGAATTCTTCCGTCCCCGGGGATTATTCTGCCTGCTCATGTCCTACAATCCAATCGCAATGGGGACGAAAGGTGTACGCGATGCCGATGTCATTTCCAACGCCCTCTCATCCTCGTCGCTCACGTCCAGGCAGACGTTAACTGCCCGAGCAAAGAAGAACCTTCGAAACCCAGTTGCCGCTACAGCGGAGGGGGAAGACAGTCTGCCCCCCACCACGGCCCGGCTGGTCTATCCAGAGACCTCTGCGACAGAAACGCGTCGTTCGCCGGGAGAGCCGAAGCAAAAACTTGGTGATCGGGTGAATAGGTACTTTGACAAACGAGCCCAGGCGCGATACGTAAGCAACCAGATCCTAGATCTGCTCGGGGCCACCGTTTTTGTGTTTTGTTTTTTTTTTTCTTTTTTTGAGTATCAACGCTAACGTCAGTATATAAATTATTTGTATAGGCAAAAGAAAGCAATGGAGACATCCTCTCGAGCCGCGAGCCGGTCCGGTTCAAGAATAAGTACCTGGACCCGAATTCTAGCACCAGTAACGGTGGCTCTTAGGTCTAGTATCGGGTGGACGTCTCACCCATGATCCTGAGAAGGTCAAGCAGCGTACGCAAGCCGTCATGGCGTCTCAGGAGCAAGCCATTCGAGAGCAACAGTCGGCCCTTATAGCAACTATGCAACAGCAACTACAAGCCATGAACCTCCAACCCGAGCAACAGCAAGAGTACCTGAAGCAATGCCAGGATCTGCATAGCCTTCAGCTGCAGCAGATCCAACACCAGTCAGACTGGGTCGAAAAGGGGCAATGGCAGCGTCGTATTGTCCGGGTAGGTAGACTTAAGCGCCCATCACCCTTCCCATGTCGTATTCGCTCACGCACTGACGGCCTGCAAAAATTCCAGGACGTGCTGTACTTGATGATTGTCGACATGCCGTCTGATGCACAAATGGTGGTTGCTCGGAGGCAGCTGAACGACGCGGGCCAGGTGCAGCCGACTGATGATGTGAAATTCACCGCCGTGGATGTACAGACGGGCGACATCCTTTTCGCATAATATGTACTGGCTAGATTATTTGGGCAGCAGGGTAGTTGGGATTGAATCTGAAACCTGAAAGAAATGGGTGAGAGGCGGGGAGGGAGGATCTTCTCGAAGAAGTCGTTATGCAAGAAGGTGATATTGACGTTGGGCATACCCTAAGTACCACACACTACACGCTAAAAAGTACATTAACTTGTGTAACAAGCAAAATCACTTATTGTCTGAATCTATTCGAGAACAAAATCCTCGACTCTATCTTCAGGTAGAGATTCCATGGCTTCCCCATGCATCAACCCGTAGACGAAACACTCGCCTACGAACGTAAAACGCCCGTTTAGGGCCGGTCGGATCACATACAATACGTCCCCACCTAGGAGTAGACAGACATGGTCCCCTTTCCTTGTGGCCAAAGGCGCCAAACCGAGACAGCCACTAGATCCTAGAAAGAGTCGTCGTCCGTTGTGGATAGGGGTGAAACCAGCACGAAGGGATGTTTTCGGGGCCATTTGCGGCAAGTGACTGTAGAATCTCGGCCCAGACAGCGTCGCCCAACTATAAAAATATCCACACCCAGCCCGCCCTGACTGACGAGCAGTCCATTTTTCCAAATTTTCCCAGAACGGCGGTGGCTGGGTCCAAAATAGGTCTTCTTGTGGGTCTCCCAAGTCCACGGTGTCCGGTCTGACTACCTTGCTGTACGCCTCTAGATAGGATTCATTTGCTTTCAGCGGGTAGTTCTCGATTATTGCCCATGGCATGTCGATAGGTTCGTTCTCATCTTCGTGTGAAGCTTTTGCTACTCTATCGACGGTGAATAAGCGGACACCACGGATCGACAATAAAGGTCGGTCCTGGTTTCCATCTTTATTCTCCAGCACGAAGCATTGGCTGACTGAAACCCCGGCGGCTCGGAAATTGGCATACAATGACACTGAAGCAGCATCGGTTGGAAAACTCCAGTCTGGGACCCAGCTCGGCAATCCTCTCAGTTCTTCCACGATATATCGGTGGGATAACTCAACGTAGCTGAGCACGGAAGTCCAACCCCCATCCAGGTTCCGAGCAAGATATCGAGCCACATCACCATAAACCTTTGTAGGAGAAGTATTGTAGTCTGGGAGTGGTAGGTCGGGGCCGCTTGCCATGCTTAAAACCGCGTAGACCTTGTCATGTAAACAGGTGACACCTTTGGATCGGGTAGTACACAATAGCCGATCAAGCCTCCAAGGGTCAGCGTCTGTCAAACATTCCTTCTCCGTGTTCACGGATGACGGTCGACGCTTGCGGAGGCATTGTATCTCGAGGACGAACTTCATAGCCTCCACATTTTTCCCGCGATGGACTAAGCCACTATTTTCCTCCATGCCTCGAGCCTGAAAAGAACAAGCCTGATATAATGCATCCCAGCACGCCTGACGGCCGCCGCATATTACTGTTGCTTGCTCCGCCATCACAGCTTCCTGGAACGTCCACGTCCGCTGGAACCAGACGCAACGTGCTAGAAACTCCTGGAACATTCCCCAGCTCGGCATAATTTGACTGAAGAAGATACTGGGTTTGGTATCCAAGTAATAGTTGAGATTCCTCTCCCCTGGTTTTAGTTCGTTTACCCAGGTAATATAGTCAAACGCGGAGTCAGTGATATCAGGTCTGTTGAGCGAGACGTCCATAATCGGTCGTGACAGCGTCTCTCCAAGCCAAATCAACACCCGCGACGCGCAAGAATATATCGTCGCCATCAGGGGCACTTGAGCGGCCTTCTCGGCGTCCTCGTTATCCTGATTAATGCATATTGCGTCGACCCACAGGATACGATCCTCGGAGGCATTTCGGAGTCGCGAGAGCGCCTCGATGAGATTCGACGTCACGGCACGGAACCCGGACTTTTTAGCATCCTTGTCATGTTGGCACCAGATTCGGCATTCGTGAGGCGCCAGCGCCCGCCTGTTGGGCCGTCCTACTTCCTCGGGGTAAAGCTGAGCTGTATATCCGTAAAGATTCCCGGCCGACCAGACATAAGACAGGGCTTCATAGCCTGTTGCCTGGGCGTTATTCAAGGCTAACGTTTCGAGGGAGCATTGAAGCTCTTGATCGCGGTGGGAATAGGGGCCAGTGGGGCCCCGATGCAGAACCATGAGTCGAATCTCGTCGGGCTCAAGGGCCGTGTATTCGTAAGTTTTCCCTGCCACCGAGGCGAAATCGTCCTTCTTTTCCCTAGGCAGCTGCTGAGGAACCGGTGTGGGGATGTAACTTCCTCCCATAGAATCAGGCAGTTTTGTAAGGCTGCGGCGACGCCGCCAGAAGCCGTGCCCCTCGTTGTTCATCGCGCCTAATTCGAAGAGAGATGAGCGTCAAACACTGCTGCCCGTGTGGTGGTGTAAAAGACGTCAGCTCCATGGCGAGGCTGTACTCGTTGCAGCCTGACAAACTACTCTGCAGCTAAGGCACAGATGCCAAGATGGCATCAAGTGGTACAACAGAGTACACAGCCTCGACAGTGTCCGAGTACCAAGGACCATAGATCCATCTTCTCTCTTTTCTATCCACATCTGGCTATGTACAAACAAGCAGTACCTCTAAATCATCGGTTCCCGCCAGCGCCGATTGGACGGTACACCCTGCAATCTATCCATCCTGCTCCATCCGGCCAGCCGGACATATCGGGCCTTGTATAGTTGCGAGCCGCCCGGGTAAGAACCATATTTTGTACTCCGTACTGCGTATTCGCAAAGTACTCTGTGATCTCGTACGTAATCTGACATGGGGCAGGGTACCCGAGGGATAACAGTAGGTACAGTATATGCCCTCGGTTTAACGCATTATTCTGTCGATCCGAACACATGGCTATATAGATACCTTAGGCAGGCAGGTACCTATGGTGCCCACATACATCCATACCTTGTATTCCCTTTACTATATACAATACAAGTACAAATCTGAATCAAGGTTCGGAGTTTCCTTCCCTCACAAAGATGCCTTTTTGCCCAGACAAATCAATTCCATCCCATCCCATCTCAATTCTACTTCGTATTGCGTCGTCATAACGCTCATCGACATCGTCATGTGGACACATGAGAGCATAGCCACGCTTGGTCCAGGGAGGCGAGGAGAGTCGATTCCGATTGCGCCATTGCCGTGCATGTATGCACACTCGTGGAGACCAAGAACACAAAACGAATCCGAAAGTCGCTAGATAAAACTTCCCCAAGAATGACACACGTACGAAGGAGGTACGACCAACCGTCCATAAACTCCCATTCCCTTATGCAGATCCATCCTTCCTGTGTGAGTCACCAGCTGTCCCAACCTTCTTGCTCCACATATGTATCAGATGCTCCCCTGGTGGATATTGTCGGAATGGTCCGAGTGCAATCTCAACGTGGATCATTTGTTGAGTAAGCGATGAAACAAAAGGCTCCACCATCCCTTTTCTAGATGGGCCCAGCTTTTCTCGTTTGGCGGACTTAAGGGCGGCCTTTTATCCAAAAGCCAGAAGCCCACACAGCATGGTTCCCACGAATCGGGCCGGGGCAGGACAATTGCCCTCCAAACTCGCCTATCAAAGTCGCAACAGGAGCAATCTGGTCAAGCAAACTCTTTGTTGTCGCCCACTCCCTCGCCTTGCCCGTGGCGAGGTTCATCGACCGATTCCCTCTTCTTCGTTTCCTCAAGGACAGCTTGTTGCTCAGGGCCGAATTGTGAAGAGGTCTCAGACCGCAGACTGGCGACTGTCGAGCCGGAGCTTGAACTAGAGGGAGTCTCCACATCTACCGCGCCTTTGGCCTTTTCGTCCTGGCTCTCCTCGTCTCGGGGCTGAGGAACGTCGGTAGGAGCAAATCGACTCCGTGCGCGGATTCGTCCGCCGTATTTGTAGAAGACGAAAGGGACCGGCGCCAGAAGGCATGCGACACCTGCAATAAGCGAGCCACCACCGCCTACTCCAAGAGTTCGGAACATTTGATTCGTGAAGAGGGGTGCAGCCGCTCCACAGGCTGATCGACAGATGGTGTTTGCGGCCATTGCGCTTGCGGTGTACATCAAGTAGGTGTCCGTAAGGTAGTTCAGGTAAGAGACGAAGATGAGGAGGATTGAAGTCGACAAGAACGTGCCAGCGATGGTGGGGACAATCCAGTGAATGCTGTTGAAGTTGGCGGTCCAAGCAAACCAAAACATCGTAACAGCGAACATGATGCCGCCAATCATGGCGACCGGCAATCGATCTTCTGGCTTGCGCGGTATACCAGCCAGCATTCGTTTCTTGTCCCGCGACGAGACGTAGAAAATAATGCCACCACCAATACACGCTCCAATAACGGTGCCGATCAGTGGAAGCTCGCCAACCCCGGAATTCCAGCCTCGCTTCTCCTGGAATACAATGGGGTATATCGTAAAGAGCATGTAGAGCAGCAGATAGACAACCGAGATGTAGATGGCGACGAGGATCGAGATCGTGTCGAAGAGGATCTGCCACGGCCGTACCAAAGCGACCTTGAACATATCGCCCAGCTTTCGCCCCTGTGCTTCGGCGGGGGCCTGTAGCTCCTGATATTCGGGGATCCCCGTTGCCCTGATCCGGCGAGCCTTGTTGATCAGGACGACTGGGGGGAATGTCTCGGGGATGGTGAACATCAGTAACTCCGTCGCTCCTCCCAGCCACAGCAAGACGTAAAAAGACCACCTCCAATCTTCCTTGAGCTCGAGGAATCCCGAAATAACAGGCCCGATGGCAGGACCGATGAAGGTCATCATACTGAAGATCGCCATGGCATTCCCACGCTCGACAGGTCCCCAGACGTCGGCAAGCACTCCGGGAGCGTTGGTCAGAGGGGCACTTGCAAATGTGCCGGTCAACAGGCGTCCAATGAGCAGGGACGCAAAATTGGGTGCAAAGGCACAGAGGAAGTTGAAGGCCACATAGAGGGTGAAAGTGGTATAGAAGACGTATCTCCGTCCGTAGAATTCTGACAAAGGTGCAAATATTAAAGGCCCTGCGACGTATCCAAGCAGAAAGAGAGTGATAACGAGACCGGCTGCGACCTCGGAAACGTGGAATTCTTTAGAGATACCGCGTAGACACCCCGAGGGGCTGGACGAAGCAAAGGTGGCATTGCAGACTAGAACGACGCCCACGAGTGTGCAGTACCACCGGCGGCCCGTCGACCATTCTCTGGGGTTTTCGATATCGCCAGGTGCAAAGTCGACATGGCCGTACCGGTTCAGATATGGTCTGATGGCGGGGTCGATCTTGCGAGAACGGTAGGGTTTAGCGACAGGTCTTGACAGAATCCTCTCGATCGTCTCCATGGCTGTTGCTGCTGTGGTGGTGGTCTTGACGGCCAGCGACGTTTTGAAGGGTATATATGACGAGGAACTTGCCATGACGAAAGGTATTTCAAGGTACGGACCTTAGCCCCTTCGTAGCATATTTTTCATAGATCATGCCATGCAACATGCCCACTGATTGGTAATGTTCATGCCGGTGTGGGTGTTGAGTGGGTGGTCCGCGATCTCGGGTATACGGCACCTTTTGGCGCAGCGATTGCGTGTCGACGTCCATTCCATGTCCCCTAAACCACGGACGAAAAGCTTGATCGGTCTAGCACGTCATGAATCTTCTGTTGGGCCTTTGTTGATTCGCAGACTCCGGAAGAGGTACGAGGCTGGACGGGCACCATTGGCGGGCGGATCTTCCAGCGCCTCCTTTTCAACGACGAAGTTTTGCATGATTTTATCCCATGCATATTTCGGTAGATCGACCGCCCAGTGTGAATTTGGAAAAGGTCCAGCCCCTGTGGATGTCTGCTTCCTCACCGGCCTCAAAGATGCCCATTTAGGACAAAAGTGAAACGAACACGGACGTGCCACTGACCGAGGACCGTCAGATTGCCTCTTCCCCGTTACCACAGCTGTGGTACGAAGTTCGGAGTGGTCTTTGTGCTTCTATCACAGTTAGCATGTGTCTTGGGAAGGCGTTCCAAGCCCTGGCATTAGTTAGCTAGTGGGGCAGATCGCAGTTCGGGCCTCTGCTTGAGCCGAGCGTCGTCGAAAACGAGACTCAACGACAGGATTCACCGATTAGTAGTCTGTACGTCTTTTACCTGTGTCTCGATCTGGGCATTTGTGCCTGTGGTAAGTCAGCGAGAGTTCGGAATCTAAACGTTCCGCTCCACGTTTGGTTCTGTCGTATGTTGGCGGCTCAACCGAACAGAATGGAACACCCTCAGCCTTGTGCAGAGGGTGTTGCTTGATATAACCTTTTATTCACCTGTCAGCACGTTTCTCGAACACCCGGATCAGGCATCCCATTCGGCCGTCATATCCGTCAAACGTGGCCTGGTGGGTTTGTGTATGTAGGCGATATGGACTGCCCGAGTTTACCCTTAGGCTATACCGGTCAAACTCCGGGCTGTGTCGGCAGGCGTTTATCCTCTCCCTCTATGTTGGGGGACGCCAGCAGTCTTCCCGAGATATCTCTGTAGGGACAATGGACAACTCACCGCGAATCCTCCTCTTTGGAGCTGGGAGTATTGGCGCCGTCTATGTGCTCCAGTTGCAGCGCGCTGGATGTCAAGTCACAGCGGTGTGCCGGTCGAACTATGAAGCTGTAAAGCAGAATGGCTTTAGGCTGCTGAGCAAGCGATATGGCAATGTGCAGTTCCGTCCGGACCTGGTTGTCAGAAGTGCAGCAGAGTGTCCAGAGGATATCACCTATGATTTTGTCTTCATTGCGACCAAATCGTTCCCTGGATCGACGCCGTCGTTGAGCGACTTGATCCGGCCTGTTGTCCGCGGTCGACCTCAGACTGCCATTGTGCTCGCTCAGAATGGTATTGCCATTGAGGACGAGGTGTCCAGGGCATATCCAGATAATCCACTTCTCAGCTGTGTCGTCTACCTGCCTGCGACGCAAACAGAGCAAGGCGTGATTGAGTATCCCGAGATGCTGAATCTCCTCGAGATTGGCACCTTTCCCTCTACCGCCCCGGAATCCCACAAGGCGGCTGCGACCAAGTTGGCAGAACTAATGATCGCCGGTGGTGGCCAAGCCGAAGTCCATGACGATATTCAAGTCGCTCGTTGGGGCAAGATCATGATGAATTGTGCTTGGAATCCCATCTGCGCTCTTTCAATGTCCACCGACGCGGATTTCTTACTCTCATCAACCCCTTATGCTTACGACCTGGTGTGGTCAATCATGAAGGAAATTATAGAGCTGGCCAAGAAGATGGGCATTCCAAATGTGAACGAGAAAGTCGCGGAGCAGAAGCTGGCTATTGGCAAACGGCGAGCGGAAACCAGGCAGGGAAGAGAGGTGAGTATGCTGCAGGATGTCAAGCAAGGCCGACTGTTCGAGGTGGAAGCAATCGTGGGCAACACTGCTCGTCTAGGGCGTCAATGGGGAGTCGAGATGCCTCTGACAGAGATGCTGTACGCATTGGCCAAAGCAAGATTTGACGCCTTGGTGCGCGAGCAGAATAGAGAAGTCACCCAATGATCTTGTCGGCCATAGACCAACACTTAGACAAGTTATAGACCTAGCCGGGCTGTTCTCCTAGCTAGGGATTCAATGCTTCGAGCTCCTCAGCTACTTTCCCTGCATTCATCACTTGAACGGCACCTGTTCTCCGGCACTGCGCCGGATGAAGTCTGCCGTCCTCTCTGTCATGCTCACGAATGGACTGTGCCCGCTGTCTACCGTTTCCTCGCGAATTTTCAAATCAGAACCTCTCTGGGCCAACACTTCGTTTGCGTCCGCAACCATCTTCCTCTGCAAATCCGCCGGGATGGCGTTGTCCTTCTCACAGATCAAATAGCTCGTTGGGATTTCCCACCACCCAGCCCCTTCAGCACTCGGCGGCAGCACCTTACAGCGCCAGGAGTGCGTCTTGATCATGGCTTTGCAGCGATCTGCTTCTTCGGCCGACACATCGTTGTAGAAAACGAAGTCCGGACCAGGTCCGCCGACGTCAACCAGATTTCCATCCGCCGAGACGACATGGATTGGATGGGGTTTACCCCCGAGGGGTGCGAGAAGAGCTGTTTGCGGCGGATACAGGAATGAACACATCATTGCGATGGAGGTGAGACGGGGTCCGTTCTGGTTCTGGCCAACGAACGAATAGGCTGCGCTCTGACCTGGAATGCCACTGTATGAATGAGTAATGAGGACAACGTCGTTCTCTGAGGACAAGATGTTCCTAATTGCAACGGAAATGGCATTTGCGTCAGTGTCGGCATCGGTATTTGGGGGATCCTTGGGATCGATTGTGGGCAAGGCCAAAGCTTCACATCGATATCCGTGCTGCTCGAGGGCTTTCATCAGTGCCTCGTAGTGGGAGGCGAATGCCATGCACCAGGCAGGAAAAGAAGTGTGGGCTTTGTCATTTCTCGCTTTGGAGCTACAGTTGAGGTTCTGATTGAAGTTTGAGGGGTATCGCGGGCACCCAGCTGGGATCGAGTTATATACCGGAGTGGAACCGGGTCAGGCCCTCTGGGGGCTAAGGCGACCAATTCTAAATACATATAACAAGGATACGCATGTACAACCCCTCCTAGCCTCATGTTGCATGATCGATTTGCCATAGCAGTTGCACCGCCAGCACAGACGACAGAGACTTTTAGATGATCGGTTGGAAATTCTCTGAACTCAGGGCTGTGGCTTGACAGGAAGTCTCAATGTCTTCCTACCTACAGAGGATGACCAGCAGGAGGACCACATGGGATAAACTGAACGATCTAGGTGCACTGCATTGATAAATGTGTGAGGCGTGATTGAAAGGGCTCATGAGCTCGGTAGAACAAGGCTGCATCTCAGCCTCGTCAAAAGTCCCGAGGTTAAGGCGATTCACGTGATCCAGCTCCAGCGATCGATGACGTCGAGCATGTGGGCACAGCAGGAGGGCCTCCACAGCTTGAGATAGCAAGAGTTAGTCAAATGTTCTGGCGTGTCGGACGTGTGATGGACAAATAAGGCGGCACCCGACTTGCGAGGTGGAAATGTGAAGATATCAAAGGGTTTGACGAGTGCAAAGAAAAATGGAGGAGCCCATTGAAAAAGAGTTAAAGAGAGCGAGAAAATTTTCTGGGCGTGAGACACCGAGACCGGAGGAGAAGACGCTGAAAAAAAAATATGCACCTCCCCGCAACCATCTCGCTTCTCCCTGCTAACTTTTCCCCCTCCAAAGTCCAAGACTCAAGCCGCATCCACAATTCACTCCCACTTTTTCTGCTACAAGCTCTCGCTCTGGCATCATCTTCCCTGCCACCGTCCCGTCAAATCACCGACTCGCCATTTTGACTCATTACTCTGCTGCCCCAGACCTACATTTACTCCCCCCCCTCACCTCACCTCACCGCTCACTTCCTCTCTGTCTCTCTTTCTACCCTGATACCTTATATTTATCCGGGTACTTCGTCCCTCCTCTACCAGCTCACTCCCTTCTCTTCTCTCACCGCTCAAAATGTGTCCTTCAGCCGACGAGGTTGACACGAACGGCGTCAACGGACAGACCAACGGCACCAACGGCCATTCAAATGGAGTGAATGGGAATGCCAGTATGACGACCTGCTGACCTAGTTGTGGTGCCTCTCACTAACAAAGGTTTAGGTCACCCTGGTTATACTGGGATTAAAACCACCCCAACTCCGCGAAATGCCAGAAACCCCTACATGCCCGTGGGCGATTTCCTCAGCAACGTTAGCAGATTTAAGATCATTGAGAGCACATTAAGAGAAGGCGAGCAGTATGTTGCGACATCCCCCCCCAAGCTGGGAAGACGCTGACGTCTATTGCTAATAGGTTCGCAAATGCCTATTTTGACACCGCTAAGAAGATTGAAATCGCAAAGGCACTGGACGAATTCGGCGCAGACTATATCGAACTCACCAGCCCTGCCGCCTCAGAGCAATCTCGCAAGGACTGCGAAGCTATCTGCAAGCTCGGCTTGAAGTCCAAGATCCTCACCCACATTCGATGTCACATGGACGATGCGAGAATAGCAGTTGAAACCGGTGTCGACGGCGTTGACGTCGTGATCGGGACATCATCCTTCCTCAGAGAGCATTCTCACGGCAAGGACATGACTTATATCAAGAACACTGCCATCGAAGTAATTAATTTTGTCAAGTCCAAGGGCATCGAGATTCGATTTTCTAGCGAAGACTCTTTCCGATCTGATCTTGTCGACCTGTTGTCGCTCTATCAAGCCGTTGACAAGGTCGGTGTGGACCGCGTGGGCATTGCAGACACTGTGGGATGCGCTTCTCCTAGACAAGTCTACGACCTCGTACGAACACTGCGCGGTGTTGTCAGCTGCGACATTGAAACCCATTTCCACAATGATACGGGTTGTGCTATCGCAAACGCGTACTGCGCTCTAGAAGCCGGTGCTACTCACATTGACACCTCGGTTCTCGGGATCGGCGAGCGAAATGGTATCACCACGCTGGGCGGGCTCATGGCCCGGATGATCACGGCCGATCGCGATTATGTCAAGAGTAAGTACAAGCTGGAGAAGATCAAGGATATCGAGGAGTTGGTGGCCGAAGCTGTTGCCGTCAACATCCCCTTCAACAATCCCATCACCGGTTTCTGTGCTTTCACCCACAAGGCCGGTATTCACGCCAAGGCCATCTTGGCCAACCCGAGCACATACGAAATCATCGATCCCGCTGATTTCGGTATTGGACGATACATTCATTTCGCTTCTCGCTTAACCGGATGGAACGCCATCAAGTCAAGAGCACAACAACTCAAGATTGAGATGACGGACGCGCAGTACAAGGAAGTCACGGCAGCCATCAAGAGACTGGCTGATATCAGACCCATTGCAATTGATGACGCAGACTCAATCATCCACGCATACCATCGCAATGTCAAGTTGGGCAAGAAGAACCCCGGCAGTGAGGTGGAACTACCCAACATGACGGAGAAGGAGAAGAGACTGCTGGCGGAGAAGCAGCAAGAGGAGCAATCAGTTCCAGAGAAGAGACGCCTAGAAGAGACTGTTGATGACCAAGTCACGACCGAACAGGCGGTTAAGAAGGCCAGAACGGCCGGTGTCACGGCCGGTGTCACGGCATAGACGGCGGCAAACATTCCATCCAAAAGAAGATATGCATGCATTTGAGCCGGAGTTTAATAGGTTATCTGAGATACGGCCTGAGATGTTCTCCGAAATCAGGAAACCTCTGCATTTTGAAATCTGTGGCCCCAGCTGGATTTGCACATAGCCACGGCCCAAAGGTCATCTGGGGCCCGATCCGGGAAACAAAAGCAAGAATAGGACCAAAAGGGCGAGGAGGTCCATAGATGAGTGTGTACGTCAATGATACAGATGCTTTGATCAACCAGAGGCTCTTGTAAAGACGAGGAGTCCATCCACCAGTGCCTGAACGAAATACGAGAGCCTTCCTTCGGAATATCAATTTGCCGACGCGTGGTATACGAAAAACGAACCAGCAATACGTCAAAACTGCGGAGAAGGTCGTTGACTCGTTTGAAGCGCGCATATGAAAATCCACCATGCCTGTCGTCACATTTGGTGACAGGTAGAAAAATACCCGTCTCCATCCCCTCTCTTCCTTTCGAGGCCAATTCATCTTTTCTATGTCTCGTCGATGACCCAGAAACATAGTCCCATCATGGGCGGCTCTTCTCCCCTTCCCCTCAGCTTGCAGAGCAAGTTCCAGCGAGCTCGAGCTGGCCATTTGGCTCGCTTGAGGGACTACCAGGCTAACTTCAACATGTACGTCTTGCCCCGGCTCTGCCATGTGAACGTCTGCTCGAGACGGCCCTGCCCGGCTTGCTGTGATGTTCAGTCAGCTCAGTTCTAAACACCCATTGCAGACTTCGTGATATAATCTTCATCTTCTTCGTCCTCCGCATCCTCCGCAGATCGTTTTACTTCCTTCGCGGCCACGGCCTACTTGGTTCCCTCGCTCTCCTCTACCACACCACACACAAAACCCTGTACAGGATCTTCCTCAACCTCCCGGGTGTACGGTCGAAGGTCTCCAAGCAACTTGCGGCAGCGCGAAAAGATTTAGAAGATAAACTTGCCCCGACCGGTCCCGGCGTGAACCGGTACTTACATCTCCCCAAGGAGCCATGGACAAAAGATCAATTACACTCCGAGCTGGAGACCTTGGCGTCAATGAAACGCACGCGTTGGGAGGAAGGTAAGGTCTCGGGCGCAGTCTACCACGGGGAACAAGAGCTGTTGGACATTCAGTTCCAGGCGATGCGTTACTTCAGCGTGGCCAACCCCATCCACGCGGATGTATTCCCCGCCGTCCGCAAGATGGAAGCTGAAATCGTGGCCATGGTCCTCGCCATGTTCAATGCGCCCGATACAGGTGCTGGAGTGACCACCTCGGGAGGGACCGAGTCGATACTGATGGCCTGCCTATCGGCCCGACAGAAAGGGTACGCAGAAAGGGGAATCACAGAGCCGGAGATGATCGTTCCGCATACCGCACATGCTGCCTTCTACAAAGCGGCATCATATTTCAAGATTAAGCTACATGCGGTCCGTTGCCCGGCACCCGAATATATGGTCGATGTATCCCGCGTTCGCCGTCTGATCAACCCCAATACGATCCTCCTTGTGGGCAGTGCCCCGAACTACCCGCACGGCATTGTGGATAACATCCCGGCCCTCTCAAAACTGGCCGTGACGTATAAAATCCCCTTGCATGTGGACTGCTGCCTGGGATCTTTTCTCATGCCTCACCTCTCCAAAGCCGGATTTCCCTCCCCTTTTGTCGACGAAGGAGGATTCGATTTCCGTCTCTCCGGCGTAACATCCATCTCCGTGGATACACACAAGTACGGTTTCGCGCCCAAGGGAAACTCGTGCGTTCTGTACAGGGACAGACAGCTACGGGAGTATCAGTACTTCATATGTCCCGACTGGTCCGGCGGTGTCTATGGGAGTCCCTCCATAGCCGGCTCAAGACCTGGAGCGCTGATAGCGGGATGCTGGGCCAGCATGATGGCCGTGGGCGAAAAGGGCTATGTTGACGCCACGAACAAAATCGTCACCACGAAACAGACGATCGAAAACGCCGTCAAGGAGCACCCGATCCTGAAATCGACGCTGGGGATACTGGGCAACCCGATGGTCAGCGTCGTGGCGTTTGAGTCGCTCGACCCACAAATATCCATCTATGACATCGCCGACGCCATGTCCAAGAGGCAGTGGCATCTCAACTCCCTCCAAGATCCCCCTGGCGTGCACGTCGCCGTTACTTTACCCATGACCAGGCCCGGGGCCGTGGACGAATTAATTGACGATCTTGTCGCGGTGGTCAAGGAGGAGAAAGAGAAGATCGTGAGCCAACAAGTCACGAGCAGCGGCGTCGTAGGAGGTCCAGTGGTGAAGAAGGACAAGGGAACAGGCACCAGTGCGCAATTATATGGTGTGGCGGGCAGTTTGCCTGACAAGAGCATCGTGGAGAAATTAGTCGTGGCGTATTTGGATACGTTGTACAAGGCTTGAGGGAATGTTGTCGCAAATGCTGGGCTCTGGGGTGATGATATGGTATGGTATGGCATGGTATGGCACGGGGCTTTTCCTTCTGCGCGCCGTCCTGTTTCTCGGATGATATTGCAACATTGTGCAGAAGGAAGGAAGCAGATGAGGTGGGAATGGTCCGGCAATCAATCAAACCAGCTCAATCCCCCCATTTTTGACCTGGCCTGCAAAGCTTGGGGGCGAAGGGAGAACAGATGGATTTCTCTCCCTCCCCACTCTTTCTCGCTGCTTCTGTTCGAGTTTCTACGTCTTCTACTCCTCCCCTCCCTCTTTCCATCCCTATTCTTATTTTTATTCGTCTTTCTACTGCTACTTCTGTTCTGACTGATCTCTCAACCTGCACGGCGTGTTTAAGGGAAGTGAGCAAGCGAGCAAGCGAACACGGCGAGCATTAGGGAACAGAGTACGAGCACAATGTCAGAGGCAGACAATTAGATACATTCGTCATCATCTAGATCAACTGCCGTAACTACCTTAACCTTTAACTCCTAGATGGAACACGTTGTCGTCCCTGACCCACCTGAAGTGCCACTATAGCGACGATGTCACGAACGTCTTGAGACGAAAGGACCGGCCTGGTGTGAGCAAAGTTTACTCGCAGCACTACCGATCACTCAGCGCTGCCTGTGCGGAGCCTCCGTGGTGAGAATCTCCGAGAATCCCTTCTGAACAGAATACGCGGTTAGCAAACTCGGTGACAGGGGAGGGCAAGATTCAAAGAACTCACGGTCGCGCCTGTGTCGCTACTGAACTGGGAACCTCGCCATTCCCCTGCGTTGCTGTCGGTGGAAGGGAGTTCCTGGACAGCAGTGCTGGCTGTGTCGGAATATACAACTGACGCCGATGGTGCCGGGGGCGAGGCTGGGGACGTATACATTGGATACGATCCCTGGTGAGGTTGAGGGGCCTCGTATTGGGTCATGGGGGCATATCCGGCAGCAGGTTGGCACGGGTAACCTATTGGTGCCTGTACAGGATAGTTTCCTCCAGGTGGGCTCTGGTACATCATAGGACTGGAAGGCGGATAGAAGTGTGGTCCAGTTGGCGAAACAGGTTGATAGGTTTGATCCCTCGCTGCACTGTTCTGGGCTGTGGCCTCTTTGCTGCGGTTTTTTCTGTTCCGGCGGCGGTAGCAGAAGAAGAAGATTGCCAGAGCTAGGATCAGCAAAAAGACAATCCCTCCAACCACTCCTCCCACAATTGCACCGATGTTGGTCCCTCCAGAAGACTCCGGATCGATTGGGGGAGGGCCACTGCATAGTTTCCTAGGCATTACACCGCCTTCGTCTCCAAAGTCCTGACGGATGGCCTCGGACAGCCGGAATTGCTGCTCCTCGACGTCCAGAACGAGATAATTCATTGTCAAGAAAGGGATTCCCCAGCTGAAAACGTAGTTGCCCTCGTCGCTGTTTTCATTAGAATAGTTCCTGGCGAGGGCGACTATCTCTGGGTCATCAGCGATGACTCTATTTCCGTAATCATCGTAGTCGTACTGAAACTGGAATAGCTCACTGGCGGGGATCGACGTGCTATAGCCATCCTTGATGGTGAAGTTGAGACTTCCAACTGGTGATGTGGCATATGTGTACGTGCCCAGAATTTCGTCATAGAAGCCGTTTGTGGCGGCACCAATTAGGTCCCAAGGGATTTGCGGAAACTCAATAAAGCCGAGCATTGGATTGAGTGAGACTTGGAAATCTGTGATGGTGTCGTCCATCAAAGGGATAACTCCCGCATCCGAGACCCAGACTAGATTCTGTATCTGGATGCAAGTCACGCATTCGGGAATGTTGTCAAATGTAGAGAATTCGGTTGCTTTTCGGGCATCGTTGTAACCTCCAATCACCAGGTCTCCATCTTGCTCATTCCCAATCGAACGACTTCCAACCCAGAGGCCCCACGACTTGGATGGTGCAGCTTCGCTCTCGACTGCAGCTTGAAGAAAACTTGAGTTCGAGCCAAGGCCAAGGGTACTATAAGATGCTAAGAGAAAGTGAGCCTACACACAGACTAGCATAATGACAATGTCAACTTACCCCATTCTTGTCCATCATCGGTCACAAAGGGGAACCCCCAGACCACAGTTTCATTGTACCCAAATCTAAGGACATCATTGTAGAAAAAGTAGTATGAAAGGTCCGCCGCATTGGTCTCCCCACCAAGTGTGCCGTTCCAGGCTGTGCCGACTGATACGCTCTCAGTGCTTGACAATTCTGGATCATATACTCCACCCTGTGCAGCTAGACATCCGTAGTCATTTTGCGACGAGCAATGGGCCTCATATGACAAAATTGTGACATCGTAGATTGAGGGCCGAAGTGAGAATCGCTGTGGCGGCGTACCAATCTCAACCTCAATACCCCATGCTGGGGCAGCAGATCCCTCTGAACTCAGGTTGTGGTACCCCAAGTTCAAAAGCAGGGGCTCAGCGAAGTTTTGGCAAGTGGCCAATGCCATCTTCAGGGGCTGACGCAACCAAGGCAGAATTAAGCCGACTGTTGTCAACAAGAAGTAGCTTTAGAAACGTGTGCTGTCGGGATGGACAGGGGACGACAATATATCTGCAGCCTCCAAGCCGCTGATAAGGAATGAAGAAGGCTGACACAATGGGGTATAGGCGTCCATTTCGAGTTTAAGAGAGCTCGACGTGCGTCTGAGGGGTTTAGAGCCTCCTTCGAATTGGCGTTCTCAAGAGGGGCCAGGAAGCCATGAAGCGCGCACACCACGCCTGGAGTGTTCTTGGAATTTTTTCGCGAGGTTCGACATGGGTGGTGGAACGTCGAATTGGGCGACATACCGCGCACACGAGCAGAGAAGTAGGCATGGTCAAGAACAACTGGCCCCCATTAGACCAGCGTGGTTGAGAGGACACGAGGTTGAGAGGAACTGTGTTCGCACCGAGGCTGGCCCTCAAGAGAAGTGAATTCGACAAAGACTGTATCCCTGTGGCCATGAAGTATACAACCATTCACTTTTGTGCTTCCAGCGAGTCCCGTTATTATTTTTTTTTCATTGCAGATTCGCTATTCTCTCACATACCTAGATAGAAGTCAAAGCTTCAGATCGGATCATTACGCCCAAGCACTGCAGCAAGACCAGAACATTGGGGCCAAGGCAGGCAGTGCACCATGGCGGACGCAGCTGCCATACCAGAACGTTGAGTCGAGAACGAGTCTAGGGGCGGCGAGGGTTCCTCGAGCACCGCCAAGTGATGAAGCGTTTTGTGAGGCAAGGACAGACCTTGAAAAATCGAGTCGGGTGGATAAGGCGGCCAATTACTTCCGATATTCAACAAGGTACCAAGGCTGTCCAAGGCATGGCAATATCTTGGATCTTCTTGGGGGCTGCTTGGCCCTTTTACTCACCTTCCAATCCGGCCTGCTCTTGTTGTGTTCTGTCCCCGTATTCGCTTCCAGCAGATATACGTGTCCAAATGAAGGCAGCCGCGGCTGAGGTATTAGCGAGTTGTTGTGTGGTGATCCGTATTTCGGGGGTCTGTGGATAGAAAGTGAGAAGTTCGGGAGGGCAGACAGAACCGACTGCGACAAGGCCTCGAAGGCAAGGACAAGGCTGAAAAAGTAAGTGAGCCCGGTGACGTCACCTACGGCGGATCTTTGCGGTCACTCTTATCCTCGTGCGGAGCATTCACACAGAAAGTGCATTTTCAAACAATCTGAAAAGTTCGCTGAGCAGGAACATTACTCCATAGATCCTTGTGTCAGGCACTGCCTCCTGCATCGTCCAGCCTGGCCTGGCATACCATCTGCTTGAAGCAGACAGAAAAAACAATAACAACGAAGATGGACGAGCCACTTCTCGACCGCAGGTCTTGCAATAAACGAGAACCTACCATACCGATGCACACGGCGGCAGTTGTTGAACGCGCACAAGCTATCGATCCACAATATGCCTCGTCACTTTTGATTCGAGCGGTTTGATCGTTTCTTCAACCACTCTACTAACCGAGTCAGACGTTTGACAGTCCCAGATAAGGCAGATGATGCCGTACGGCAAGGCCCAGATGTCTTTTTGGGCAGGATAAAGCCTGGGAGACTTCAATCCGCGATCAAGATTGAATCAAACGCAAGCTGTCTCCTGCAGACAAGGCAATGATAAACGCATCACCCAAGGTACGTCCTCTTTCATGAATCTTTGCCTTTCGCCTTCGACAAACACTTCCGGCGAGATGCTTTAATGTCATACACTGTACGGAGTTGCTTCATCATTTGGACTCCTGGTATCCTTTAGCCGCCGTGTTTGTACACCTGTCGTCTCCAAACCTTAAGGTTGTTAAACCAAATCTAGTGCTTGACAAAGCGGTCTGTCGCTGCCTTCATCGGCCTCTTCTTAGGTCGCCGGGATCTCATCAGGGGGCATACATTTCTGCACAAGTCTCAGAGTGTCCATGCTGGTCGTTGCAAGCTTGACTGAGGATCACCTTCTCTAAGCGCTTTTATTTTTCAGCTTCGTGTTCTATCACATTCTTGAAAAGGCCTTGACTGTTGAGGTCAAGTCTACCCAGACAGCCAACAAAGGCATGCGAGGTGGCTTTACTGACAGTATATTATACCCAACCGGGACGTCGGACAATACCGTGTCTCAGAAGGTTGTGGGAAGTTTTGTAAAGCAGCCTCCTCAAACTTTGGAGCGGCCGACATGGGGCATCCGGCGTGCGCCAATAAGGCCAGGCAACAACGGTCAACTGAGCCACACGCTAACCTTTCCATTGGACAAGACCAGCTCACACTTATGCAAGTCCAACAAAACAACCTTGCGTCCCGGCCACAGGAGCGGCCAAATCAGGACTATGCCTCGCCAGATGGGGACCGCAATGCCGGCGTCAAAGTGGCTCTACCGCTTTCCCCCACAATTTAATCATGAAGGCGATCCTGCCACGCAAGGCTGTCCTTTTGAACCTCGTCGACAACATTAAAGTTCGCTTGATTTGAGTCTGGCAATCCGCCGGCGACAAGCATTCTCCAATTTCTATTGAGACGAGCAGAGACACACAAGAGGTCACTGGCGCACTCGTTTAGCTGGCCCTCGAACCAGCCCAAGCAGCCCCACTCTGATCCTATCTTCCTTGTTGTTTATCTTTTTGACCGGAGCAGCATCACGAGAGCCCGCAAATTTGCAAGATCAGTTCTCTGCTGACTCGCAGCTTGGGATGGCGGCAGTTGCAAAATCCCAACGAGTCGACAAGCTGTCGAGATCTCGTTCGTCGTCGTCGGATCTCGACCAAGGCAGAAGGGGGGCAACAGACCGCCAGAAGCCCAACCTTCCTGCCAAACAATACAGCAGCTCAGAATGGAAGAGGATGCGGGACATCATCACGCAACTTTACTGCGTAGAGCGAGTTACGGTGGCTGAACTGCTCCGCCGCTTACATGGAATGGGGTTTGAAGTTAAGTATGGGCACCTATTCCTTAGCCTCCGCCTGGAGGATTCGATTCACCTTATCAGCCGTAACTTAGCCCTGTGATCCTCCTATAGAGCTTGAGCTCGAGCTCGACTCCGATTTATTATAAATATGGGGTTCAACTCTTTGTTCCTTTACTTGAGTCTTCTCTATAAGGACACTTCGTTGTACGTCCCCATGCTCGACAACTAGGAAGCTGACCTTCGTCTTGCACAGCGAGCGCATGCTGCATACGCGCATTCGCAAGTGGAAAATTGGTCGCAACCACAAATTTAGCGAAATGAGAATGGCCGCTTATCGCCTCGCGGAGTATCTTGATCGGCAGCAACAGCGTTCGAACTCATCAGGATCCAGTCCCACCGTCGCAGCAAGCAAGCGGGTGACCATGCCGAGCTTCGAAATCCGTGGCGAGCGTGTTAACTACATGGAATTAATGCGCTACTTCCGGCGGAAGAAGATCAGCGATCCCGTGAGCTGGGTCAAGGAGCACCAGGACGAATTGGACTTGAGCGAGGACGTCGTCGTCGTAGATGCTGACCCTACTGCTGAAGGTGAAGCCAGATCCTCCGAGGATGATGGAGACACCTCTGAGCGCGACCACAGAGAGATTCAACGTCTGATGGCGGCGGATCTAACAGGCCTAGAAGATGTCTCCTCGGACACCTCCCACATTACTCACCAGATTTCGAATGTGCGCTGCCTCGACGACCAATACTCCACATTGATGGGAGCCGTGCATCACGCCGAGATCAGGAGCCCCTCCCTCTCAGTGCCAGCATTCCTTCGGCCACAGACATCCTACGCTCTCGAGCAACTAAATTACAGCATGATGACTTACATGAGGTCATATCTTGTGTCTCCCGTCTCAAAGAAACACCGGGAACCAGAAGTCCACGCTCACACCGTCCACGCGATCTTTGCGTCCAAGATGCAGGATGGGATTTCTCTTCTGGCCAACGTTTCCCCAAATACAGCAAAGACAAAGTTAAGAGGACCCGAGCCAAATGCCGCACAAGCGTTTACCAGCTTCGAATACGGCTTCCAACTAATCCACAAAATCCTCACCGACCATAGCCCCATGTCTCTTGCACTGATGCTCAGCATAGTTTGCGAACTGGCCAATCGTGCTGTCAAAACCGGGATGAAGACTTCGGCTGTCGGGATCCTTCTGGCCAAACTCCTCACCTACACACATGACATGGCGGCGACTGTTTTAGGCTCTGGTCACCCATTGACCGTATTCTTTGGCATCTTGGAAGGGGAGTACATCTGCCCAACAGTCTTGCCTTCTTCTGGATCGCTACCTCTGGTGGAACTCATTCTCGCCTCTCTCAAGCTAGCAGTCGCTCAGTTCAACATTTCTTCCACTTCCATCCCCGCCGACAATTTGCAGAGAATACAGGATTGGAAACAACTCTACCTTCGTGAACGCCTCTGCGACGCTCTCTATTACTGCGGCCCGACTTACCAAGTCATCCGATCGAGGATGCGGAGCCAGCTCTTTTATGATCAGGAAGCAAGATACGGGCCTACTGCCAGGAACGTATTGTGGACGTTGACCAATGTAGCGGACGACTGTCTGGCAAACGGCGAAATCGATCAAGCGATCGGCCACTTCCAAGAAGCCCTTAATAGAACAGAGGCTTTGACGGAAGGCTACGGGCGGGCGAAGACGAGCTTTGCGGCCCGAGAAGGGTTGGGAAGGTGCTGGGTGCGCAAGGCCGGAGAGGCAGAAGCGGAAGCACTCTGGCAACAGGAACAGAGTCGAAGCCCGAGCTCGGCTTGTTGTTCATGTCATTGCCATTATGCCGCCGATTCGAAACCGGGCTCATCACGCGGCAGTACTGACAACACGGGAACATCGACGCCGACATCATCGGGGTCCTCGTTCTCAAGCACGACATTGAAACCATGTGGAAACAAGAAACCCCACGGCCCAAACCAGAAGCAGGAGCACCACCAATATAAATCCCGCAGCCCACACCACCACGACTCTCCCTCGCACAGGCGCCTGCAACACCTCAGACGCGCGCACATTTACTTCAAGGAGGCTGAGGACGAGGCGCGTCAATACTTTGAAGCATCAAGTCGACGAATCACGCGGGTGAGTCTGCGCAGGCAGGAGGTTGTGGAACTGCTTGGGATCGCGACGCCCGAGTCAAGCTCCTCCTCCGGGTCCGAAGACGAGGAGGTGTACAATATTATGAGCGCAGACGTCAATAACAACGTCCATGTATACCCCTCCCCACCCTTTCCTCTGACGGCGGCGGCGGCGGCGGCGGCAACGAACATCAGTCTGGTGCTGGGCTACGCTTCGGACCTTGACTTTGATGCCTCCTTGGCTGCCACTGCCACGGCGCCAGCAACGGGACTAGCCATGACCATGGCAACACCAACACAAACACAGGCAACGATGGAAATACCAACTGCCAGAGTAAAGCCACCACAACCACCGCCGCCTCCAATGGTCACCGTCCCAACCAGCATGCGCGGATTTCGGCCACAACAGCGGCAGCAGCAGCAGCATGTCCAGGTCCCCTTGTACGGGGCAATCTAGGTAGTTAGGCGCAAAAGAGACAAAAGACGGTGGAGTGTCCAGGGGGTATTTAAATTCGCCCTTCATCATCATGGCCATCATGGTCATCACTCTCATCTCCAAGGTTGAACCCAACATACCTACGTTGCGTGCTTGGTTAACAGATAGGTTCTTTTTTTTTTTTGGCTCCTTATTCGTTACACATGGTATTGCATGCACGTCATTGTCATTCGAGTGCTTGGGAGACATTTTTGACACATCATGGGGCTATATGAGGCTCAGTCCTAAGTCCTGATAATGCACGGAGTACGGAGCACAGAGTACGGAGTAAATGTGTATGTATGGATGGATGTATGGATGGATGTATGGATGGATGTATGTATGTATAGAACCGAGAACCGAGAACAGAGTATGGTGTGCGTATCGGTGGCGAATACCTCGTACGAGTGCTACATAAGTAATAAATTCCCTGTAGCGAGTCCAGGGTGATGTCAAGCTTATTATCACGTTCCGTACGAGTCCTTGCCGAGGACACGCAGGTAACACGGTCCCCAAAGCCTCATAAGTAAATACAAGTACGAGGTACGAGGTACTGTAGGTACTGTAGGTATGGAATTGACCTCCATTCCTGGGTACCGCTAAGCCTTACTCGGCAAGGCTGGGTGACGACTTGGGGTGCAGCACTAAGCGACACTGCCTGTCCTAACCAATGAGACAACACCACTAGTTCTTCTCTTGTCAGCGAGCAACTCGGTAAGGGGTATACAAGCTAGTGCAAGGTAAACTATACAGAGTACCGAGTACTCGTGCAAGTGATACTACAACCAGGCTAAAAAGGACCAGTCGACGCAAAGAGGTTCAAGATCTTCTCATACCATCCCCAATCATTTCGTAACGATGAAGGACGCTTGGTCTGAATACTATTACAATCGATATTCCATTACCCTGCAATGGGAAGGCTCTCATAGACTGGCGGCGCCGTTTGCGCATGTCGCCCTCGCAACCAATTCAACCGTCAACTCTTCTTCCGCTCGTATCGTGCATGGTCCTCTAATGTGATATAACAAGTATCCCGCGCATGGTCCCAATTTTCTGCAAATCTCAAGTCCCACTGTCTGCTCGACAGAAATGTGGTAAATCTGGAACCTCCCGCTCGCTCCGTAACGCCCGGGCTTCTTTTTCGGCTTGATCTGATCAATTTCGCCATGCTCTGAAATTCCATTCGGTAGTAAAAACATGGTTGGAAAAGGGCAGAAATATCAAGTTCAAACAACAGAATGAGGAGTCCAAAAAGTCACAAGTCACATGACATGAACTGCCCCAAAGGGCACATTACATGATGATTTGAGGCACTGGAAACTCAGTTAGCTTTGTCCTGTTCGAGTCCATCGTGCACTTACCCTCAACGTTGGCCTTGATGCTCTTGTGAGGCAGGACGCTGCCACCATTGACATAGATCTCGTCACCGATGGAAACGTCGTCACCGAGAACAGTGACATTCTCCAGACGAGCCCAGCGGCCGACCGTTGATCTCCAGCCTGAAAATCCAGTTAGTCTGTGATGCAAGCTTCACCTCTTCCCGCGCGAACACGTACCAACGATGGTAGACTTGACCCAGGCATGGTCCTTCACTTTGCTGTCCTCCAACAGCACGCACCGCTGCAGTCGGACACCGTCGCCAACCACGCAGCCAGGTCCGATGACGACATTGGGACCGATGCGGCAGTTCTTGCCAATCTTGGCTGTAGGGTCCACCATGACATTTCCACCGTAGACATAGGGTTCGGAATGTGGCACGAGTTTCTTGGAGTTGTTCTTGGCCAGCGAAGAGAGGTACAGGCAGGTCCCGCTCAAGAAATCTTTGGGCTGACCAACGTCCATCCAGAACCCGTCGAGATCAAACGAGTGCAGTTGGCCGTCTTTGCAGATGGCAGGGAAAGTCTCTTGCTCGATGGAGGTGGGGCGAAGCTCAATTCTGTTGAGAATTGAAGGCTTGAAGATGTAGATACCGGCGTTGATGCGGTTGCCCACGAACTCGACAGGCTTCTCGACGAATCGGTCGATGCGGGAGGGGTGGTTGGGCTTGTGCACAATGACACCATATTTGCTGGGCTCTTCGACCTTTGTGACGACAATGGTGCCCTCCTCGCCGTGGGAGTCGTGGAAAGCAGCCAGTTCCTTGAAAGGGTAGTTGCAAATGACGTCCGAGTTGAGGACGAAGAAATTCGAGTCATCCTTGCCCAGAATCTTCTCGGCGAGCTTCAGAGGACCAGCCGTGCCCAGGGGTTCCGACTCAACCGAGAATGTGATTTTGACATGGTACATATCCTCGTACTTCTTCAAAGCACCCGTCATCACATCGGGTCTGTAGTTGACGGCCAGCACAATGTCTGTGACACCGGCAGCAGCGAGAGCCTCGACTTGGTGCTCGATCATGGGACGGTTGGCAAACTCGACCAGAGGCTTGGGGAGAGTGAGGGTCAGAGGACGCAGTCTGGTGCCGAAGCCACCAACGCTGGAAAGGCATGGGTTAGTGGGAGAAAAGGGGGGTGGGAGGTGGCGTGGTCGTACAGAATGAGGGCTGTTGGACGAGCAGTCAGTCATCAGTGTGCAGAAGGCGGGACTGGTATAACTCACCCTTCATCTTGCTTTGGGATGAGTGGTAGTCTGAGGACACTTGGGAGAACTGGTCGTCGACAAGGAGCGCAGGTAGCGATTAGACTGGGTGGTTCCTGGCCAAGAACGAGTGAAACGTAGTTCAAGGACTACTGTGAGCGGTGAGATGAAGTTGTTAGGAGTGGTGTCAAAAGGGTGGACTGGTTCAACGAGCAGAAGGGGAAGGGATCAGGTCAGCAGAGCACAGGAGCTGGGGGAGGTGGTGTTATATGAATCACGGACGTTTGTGCGGGCGTCGTCAGTTGGCACTCAATTAATTGTTTGAAGCAGCCACTGTGTTCGATTTGGACAGCGAAAGAGAAGGCGGGGCGCAGGGTCACCAGGGCCACTACGGTCTAGGGTTTAGGTTGGTTACTACTAGGGTCACCCGGGCTGCTGGCTGCTGGGCTAGTGCCTGGGTCTAGGCCGTTTGGGTCGTGAGGCTCCCTAGCCCCAGCTTGTGCTTGGCTAGAGCCACCGCCGCCGAGTGATTTTGTTAGAGCTCGGGTGGCTCAAGGTTACCTCGTACTTGTCACGGGGATCTCTGTTCTTTTTTTTTCTTTTTCTTCCCGCTTCTCCATTATCGATAAAGCCAGTTCGGCAGCAGGCGTCGTCAATCTTAGCGGGCAGAGCGAGAGACCCTTTTGAGAATCCTCGTAGGTACCTCGTACGGAGCTTCCACAAGCCACCCCTGAGTCTGCTCTTTGGTGGACATTGGACAGATGCACCGAGATGGGAATCCCCTGCTTGTAGTATCCAATTTCGCAGTCTCCCCCCTTTTTCTTCCTCATCTCTTCTCTTTCCCCTTTCTTTACAGGCACAAGGTCTATTCGGTCCCTTTTCCTCCGTGGCTAACTACCGCCTTTGAATCAGTCCACTCATCACGCAAGATAACCTACACGCCGACTCTACCACTCGTACGATTGGTCTTCCTCCATATGTCGGGTTTTTGTCGAGTTTTGCCTTCACCTCACCGCTGCGTTGATTGACCCCGTGATGTGGTGTACCTGTTGCCAATGAGGCGGTTATTAGATGCTCTCAAGCACGGAGAAGTCCCTCCCTTTCTCGTGTCGCCTTTTTGGGCATGTCCACGCCGTGTTGTGCCGCAGAGAAGAAAGAAATACCCAAATTCCAAATGGCCACAATGTTTCAACAGCACAGCCACAGAACCTCCACCTCCATACCCTTCTAGACAATAATGGACTGGTCCGTGTTGGAGTTACGTATTCCTCCATCTTCCAAATTTAGTGACAACTGACTCTGACACTGACACCGTGCCACGCACACTCACACATACTGACAAGTACATAATGTTGCAATGTCACCTGTGCTTGCCCTGTTTGTCTCGGACACTGCCATGCGATTCGTGCGCCAGCTATTCTGTGCCGCTTTTCCCCAGCTTACCATACATAATACCTACCAATCCGGATCAAAAAAGAAGTGGCAGTCTGACAGGAGTAGAGTGATTCACGGGTAGATCGAAGACGCCCTTCATTCACAATATAAGTACGTTTTACCTCGAGCAATAGTGGCTCTCTGCCATTCATCTTATGCTGCAATTATATTCGATAGAGCGGCTGCTTTGACGTGATTGAGCATTCTTGAGAAATATATTCTGGGAGAGACTGTACCACTCATTTTTATATCCGGCTCGCTACCTCCCTACTTGGTAGGTACTATATACAGTGTACTCCGTGCCTCCCTGACCACTTCTCATAATGCTGTGAGGCGATTAATTTTCCTTTTTCTTTTCCCTGTTTCTCTTTCTTTTTCTTTGGTACTTGTGTTTCTTCGCGAATCATTTGTCTCGGTTTATGGGACCTAGATTAATCCATCTCACACATCGCTTTTGATGCGTGAAAATGCACTACTACTATGAGTGCTCGCTACCATGATGAACAAAACTCATCCAATGCAGGCATGTCTCGTGACTATACTACAATACAAGGGAAGAAGGGCGAGGGGTGGCTCCTCCTCGCCTTCCTCCCGTCCCGTGTCCACCTCCATCCTTCTTTGTTGCTGTTATTACATCCTCAGAATTCGGGCATTTCCACATTTCCACCCCGAAAGATCGTCGCAGATCTCCAGGCAAGCATTTCCCCGTCACGTAGATCGTCCTTCTCGTTCGCTCCGCCAACTCATTGGGTATCATCAGGTAAAAATGCATAGCCGTATCCAGCCTTGTTCTTCCTCCCTCTCCTCCCTCCCGGAAGGGCTAGTCCACCGCCACCACCCCCCACAGCTCCCTCTCGCTCACCCACAAACTCCACCAGCCAATCCCTCACTTTCTTCACCTTCAGCACCTGCGGGTCCTTGCCCACGTTGGCCGTACGCAGGTTACTCACTGAGTAGATTCCACTCAGATCGTCGTCGTCCACTTTCTTCCGAAATAGCAGATCAATCTTGGTGACGTCGCCCTTCAAACTCTGGCCGTGCACTTTCCCTCGGAAGGAGCTGAGCGCCACGTTCTGGAGCAACACCACGTCGCGCGGTTTCATAAACCGCAAACCTCGACGTAGCACACTTCGACTGCCTTCGGGGTTCGCGTTGGCTCCGTCTTTCCAGTTCACCCGCATTTCTTTTGGTAACCACATGGAGATGGGAAACCCGGATTTCGTGTCGTCACCCACAATCATCTCTACCAGGTCCACATCCTTCGGTCTGCCGTATTTCGCTCCCGTGATGACCGTCCTTGGCGGCGCGATCGAGATGATGCCCACTATCAAGTTTACCGTCATGGTCTGCGGCGAGATGTGTTGCAGATATCTGGCGTTCGGGATATCCTGCAACTCGCTCAGCGTTTTCGGCCGCGGCGCTTGACTTAATCGTCTCTGCGAGGGGGTTCTAATGATCCCGCCTGGCGTGCCCGGGGTCGTCTGTTGCGGCGAAAACATCTCCTCGTTGGATTCATAGGTTGGCGTCCCGGGGGTGATCGAGTCCGAGAAGTGCGGAAGGTGCGAGGAAGGGATCGCTTCGTAAATGGAAAACGAATGGTCGTAGTACTCGGAGAGCGGCCCTCCCTCGGAGGTATTGAACGCCCCCGTACTGTTGGAAGTGGTGTCGGGAATGGACGACGAACCGCCGGACAATGAGGGTTGTGATTGAGATTCACTGACGTCGCTGCTTGGTGTGGAGGCGCCGAGTAATTCGGAGAAGGAAAAGAATTCAGCGCCGCCGCGGTCGATCTCATCGTTCTTATTCTGTTGGCGATCCTGTGGTGGTAGCGTGCTGCCTAGTGCCGTTGGGCGTGCGTCAATATTGAGTTTGGGTAGAATCGGTCGCATTTGGAGCCTCTGCGTGGTGATTTGTCGCCATTGGGCGCCGAAGACCTTGGACGAGGGCGATAACGGTGTCGGCGGAGTTGATGAGTTTGGAATAGTGGTATTGTTGGTGAGAGACTCGACGTGGGCAGAGTCCGGCAGGAGCGATTTCTCGCTCCAGTCGAGCTTCGCTGGCTCTGGAGCGCCCGCCAGGATGATCATCCGGCTGGTCATGTAATGGATCAAACACTAGGGAGTGGTTTCTTTTACGACTGTCGCCAATTCGCACAGGAGGAAGCCTAGAAACCAAAGATCCTTCCTTGGGTTTACGCTGATGGTCAATGGCAAACCCGGAGCTCTGGCAATTTGCGAAAAGGGAAAAATATTTCCCCACGACGTGCTTTTTTTTTTTTGGACTGACTCTGACTCAGCCTTGGATCTCAACGAAGGTTCCGTCAGAGGTACTGCGTAGTCGTGCCCAAGCACCAAGAGCGTAGACAGCCAAGATAGACCCAACAGAGCCTCACGAACTCTCCCCGCAAAAAGTTCAGGCCACACAAAGAACTCGATTCGAGATCTCGGGGAAATAAAAAAGATGAGAAGAGGGAATTGAAATTTTGTGGAGGCGGATGTGGCGGATGATCCAAGGAATTTGTACTCTGCTGGTGCCTTGATGGCTTGTCGCTTGTCACTGGCGACTTGTGTGGTTCTGGTGAAATTGCCCCGTGGCCCTGACGCTAGGGAGCACTTGGTCAGGTCGGATGGAAGTCGGTGGTCACGATCACTCTCGCCTTGCACTCGGAGGCTTGAGTCTTGACGACTAGCATTCCAGGCACCGGTACTCGACGTCTCTCTCTCTCTCCCCCAGATCAATTGGCCCAATTGGTTTTGGTTTGGGGGAGATGGGTGTGTGAGTTGTGGCCGGATGATGGGAGGACCGACGGCCTACCTAGTTTGGGGCGCGTGGCTAGGAGGATGAGCAGCGACGAGGGGACAAATCAAGATGATCTTCAGTGAGTAAGAGAAAAGAGTCGGTGACGAACGAGGCAAAAAAAGTATTCAGGCTTCAGGATGTTCATTGTTGGTGATCGAAGGGTCATTCGTGTCTCCCCGAGCTCTGGTGGCTCTGCCCCGTGGCCATTGATTGGCAAAAGACAATCGGGCTGATGGCTCATGCAGTTTGGTTGGGACGCGCCAAGTCAGATCCCCAACAACTTATTTTCTCTTCCCCAGAATTATCCATTGAGGGCTACCGAGGTCGTCACCCGGGCCCCTAATCTACTTAGAGAGCCCAGGGAGCCCCCCTAGCCCCGGCTTTACACAAGAATACGAGATACGGTTAAAACAGTTGGGAGCTACAGGGAAGCTACAGGGAGCTACTGGGTACTAACTCTCCTTCTACTTAAGGACACAGTGTCTTCACATCTTCGGCCTCACATCACCCACCGATAGCTATACTCGTACATCTCCAGCCTACTCCCAAACCGGGCACCCAGATCCCTCGTGGTAATTAATCGGCACCCCGTTCGTGATGTTCCCGGACGGGACTGCACAATAGTCGGCGAAGCAGCTATAGTCATACCGCGCTTGCTGAAGCAATGCACTACACACCTGCATAATCGTCGAGAGTTCGCACCAGCCATCGTCCCCCCCCCAACATTCTGGGTACATAGCTCTTGTACAGCGGCACCGTGCGTTGATTGAAGGCCAAATGCACATACGTCGTGGCATTGCCGCCGCTGTAATAATTGGCCATGGTGGCATGGGGGGTTCGTTGGGCCCGTCGCTTGCACCGGATCAGGCGCAAGGATAATTTCCCAGACCTGCTGTTTTGTCAGTTCGGTTCAACGACAACTCTCTCCGCATGGCCAACGAGACTTGCCATTCGAGCACCAAATGGTGTGGTGTGAGACACAATCAGCTGTTGGTTTGCAGGGGGACCAGTTGGTGGAAGTGCCCGGGAAAGTGAACACCTGGAGATACAACCTGGGAGCCAAGATCCTGGTCGCTCGTGGTCGCCGAGAGTTGTTTGACAGTGGAGTTCTCTTCTACCACTACTACTACAACTACGGCTAAGTGACTTCTGCAAGCTTTGTGGGAGTTATGCTGGGTGAGTGTTTGAGCGCTGAGGGACGGTGGGCGGGCTTTATAACATGTCGACCAAGATTGTCGCTCGCACGATCACACAGGACCGAATGCTCAAATCGGCCGAGTATTTCATGGCTGCGTTCTTTGGCCTCGACTGGACACGGAATGCCAGCTTGGTGCCGACCATCGAGCAGCTGTATTACAACATTACCCTCGACGGGTATGAGAATTGCAACAACAGCAATAACTTTCTGTCGACTGGTGGCAACAATTCATCTTTGGAGTGGGAGAACATCTACCTTGACATCTCCCACGGCACCAACACCATGTCGATTATGACAGCATTTGGCCTGAGGAAGCTCAGATTTCTAGATCATATGCGCCGTACCATTTGTGGTGAGGTGGTGAATCATGCTGCCGAAGCTCGCGACCGAAGAGGTTCCAGTCGGGTAGTGGGGCCCATCGCGGTGCAGCACATGGACAATCGAAATGTTCGCTCCTGGAGGAAGGGGATACTCGTTGGAGCCGAAGCCCACTGAATGGAGAAAATACGAGCTTAGTTGCTCGTGAAGCTGGAAGATGCTCTGGTTTCCTAGTGTTTCCTTGAATGGGGATGTTGGTTTCGAGAGGCGCATTGGTAACGAACGAGGCCTCCTGGGCGAATGGAGCCGGGTTGGTCTGTGCCAGAAAAGGTGCAATCAACCCAGCGAAGAGTTCAGGAGTGGTTTGATAGTACCATGGCTCGGTGGGAGATGCCGCTGTGGCTATGATCACCTACCTCAAATCCAGCACAGCGGCACTCACCACACTGGCAGGGAGGACGAGAAGTGTACAGCTCACCATGATGTCTGGCAGGGCTTGGAACTGACTGGCAAGGCACTGAGCAGGTTACAGCAGCTAAATGATGCTCACATAGAGCACAGATGACGGGGTCGGACAACAGGTAGTCTTTGTAGTGTAGGTACGTCTCTGTGCTTTGGCGTTCCCCAACTCCCGGCAGCTCCCACCTTGAGCGCTTCACCTGAAGTACCCTATCATACAGAACCAACCTTACCTTGCCACTTCGCGCGCATAGAGATGGTTTCTTAGTCCTCACGCACCCAGCATGTCGACCGGTCCGGTCAAATCGCATACTGCCAAGCAGGGATGGAAGGGTGGCTCGGCATCCCTTGCTCGTGCTCGAGGGATGGGAAGATGGGAGTATGACCAGCATCAGAGGGCCTCGAAATGGCAGCTTGCGGTCCTCCAGCAGGATGCAACGGGCAAAAGGCTTTTGTTCAAGCTTCCCAAGGCATGTGGGCCTGTGTACGCTTGTTGCTTCTTGTCTGAGGCATGGCAGAGCAAATCGCCCAAAGATGAGACACAGGAACAGGTTGGGATCTGATAAAATTGATCATGGGCACCGAGCAGGAAGAGGGAGAGAGAGAGAGGAACGTGGTGTAGACAAGACGACGATCAAATGGTGATAAGATCAAGGTTGAAGGCCTCGCCGTCTTGCCCGGCGACCGGGAGTGAGTTGAGCCAGTCCGAGGCTTGAGCTGAAAGAAGTCTAGCATCAAGTCCAACATCAAGCCTTGGCCGGTTATCATCCTCCATCCTCTGCAAGGCTCTGGGCAGTGAGTGCTGTCTGGTGTCCGGAGGCACTGTCGGCAAAATACCTCCTCCAGCTAGGGAAAATCTGTATGTGACTCCAGGTGTAATCATGGTCTCATTACTGCCCTCTGCAAGTTCGAAACGCGGATGGCTACGATCGATGCTTTTGGTTCTTTTGATCTATCATCAGTCTTCTCTCTTCTCCTTGGCCGTCGTATCCATAATATGAGCCCCCTCCAAACTCCATGCTTCGCACAAGAATAGTTCTAGGTGTGCTTCATTGCTAGGGGTGTTCCAGTCCTAGAGTCGAGTCTTTCAGTCATCGAATTTGAAGCTCTTTCCACCACTAATGTCAATGGCTCCTCCACGATAGCTTCCCCGCTTCTTCTTGTTCTTCTCCTTTGTAAACCCCTTGCCTCGGGTGACAGACAAGTCATTGTATGCTCGATCGGCGTAGTCATAGCTTCGATAGGCGTTGCTAATATGAGAGTCCGGGGTTGCCTGGGCTGATAGTTGCGCCAGCGGAGTTGGTCTTGCACCCACATGCTTCTTCTTGGTGGCCACCGATTGCTTGTCGCTTTTGTTGGCAAGTACTTCAGGCTCAGATCTTGCGGGCTCAATAACATCTCCCGTGACTGTGCCTGAGGATGAATCAGACATGGGCTCGGTCACACCATCCGGTCTTGCTTGATCCTCCTCTTCCTCTTCAACCGATGAATCTCCGGCGTCATCTGACTCTTCCGCCGAGCTTGAAGAAGACATCTCACTTGACGACGTCTTGTCTGTGTCATCGTTGGCATCTATCTTTGCTCGCTTTGCCGGCCGATCATCCTCTGACGAGTCTGAGTCCGAGTCCGAGTCTGAGTCTGAAGAAGACGATTCTGATGAGCTGGATGATGCTTTCCGCTTGAGAATGCGGACTGGTCCAGCTACTTTCGAAGTCGTTGGAGATTTCTTCCGTGTAGCCTTGGGTTTTGCTTTGGCACTAGTCTCTCGCTCGTCATCAGCATCGCTGTCGGAGGACGCTGATGAAGATGTGGACGGCGACGTTTCTCTCTTGTTGACCTTGACTCTCTTCGCTTTTGAGCGTTGCTTTGTGTTCACTTTCTCCTCATCGGTCCCTGACCCGGACTCGGACTCGGACTCGGGTGTAGATAGCTCGCTGTTAGCACCCGCGTCACTCTCTTCACCGCTGCTTGCACTGCTGGACTCTGATACCGACTCTGACGTCGTGCCCTCGCTCTGGTCCGACGTGCTGCCGTCCGAGGTAGACTGTGAAGGTTGTAATAGCTCTTGTTTGTTCCAATTCTCGACAATGTCTTGTAGATTGGCGCCGTCTTGCGAATCTCCGAGTGCGAGAACCTCGACCGACTGATTCATCCGTTTGAGTTCTTTCTTGAGAGTCTTGATGGTCGAGTGAAAGCCATGGTCGGCGAGGAACGAGGACACCAGGGAAAGGACCTGCGAAGACGGTTCGGTTGTTGTGGCCTTCATCTTCGAAAAGCAAGTGCGAAGCCGAGCTGCAACTTGGGCAGCGGCAAGGCGCCTTCAAAGGTGAAAAACACAAAGCCCAGTGCTCGGGGCCCAGCAGTGCCCGGACTATCAAATGAGGATGTCAAGGAAGAGTGAGAGGAGATGTACCGAGTACCAACACAAGTGTTGACGGATCGCACTCGGCAGAAAAATAATTTTCTCCAACAAAAGTTGCAGTGACAGTTGCGGAAGGTGCGGCGAAGGAGTGCGGAGAAATCCACTGCAGGAAAGAGCTCGACAATACGAGCTGTACGAGGTATCTTGGCGGTATGTATGTACCGAGTACTTGTACCGGGTAGTACATAGTCTCCTACACTCTGCATTCTACACAAACTACCTCGTGCAGCTTTGGTACTTGAATATTTCTTTCTCGCCAATCGTAACTGACGTGGTCTTCTTGTACTCGATATGTCTTATGGCCCAAAATACGGGGACTCGACCGTTTCATTGCATCGCCCTTTGCGAAGTTTGCCGTTGTTGGCATTGACCGTACCTCTCCCTTCTTATTGCACCATCCCGAAGGTGGCATAGACCACGGCCAATGCCCATTACTGCTAGGTGTTTCGGGTGGCCTATCTGGATCTCCTGGAATGATACTGTGTCGGCTTCGTAACATGGGCAGACGATGTCCATTCGTCATTGTCCTACAACCGGAGGAGAGCCAGCTCAGTATCGGTCCAATAATCCATATGAGTTCCCAAACAGTCCATCGCCAGCCAAAAGCCCGGAGGCTGGGTCACAACCATTGAAAGCGGATACATCAGCATTTCCATGCGGCCGATGTGGCATCGGAAACTGTGCCAATTTGGATATAGCTAACTATCGGTGAGTTCTCCCAACAGCAATCCCCATAACCTCATTGCCGTGCTTGTGTTCGCGGTGAGTTTAATTCCGCAATGGATGCAACGCAGGAGGGCAAGAACAGCCGATCCTAGAACACCAGTCATGAATCCAAGCACCATCAGCATGTCAGAGTTCATGTCCGAGTACGACAGTCAACTCAATCCAGCGGGAACCGCCAACTTGGCTCATGTAGATGTGTCCAGAGAGATGCCAGTGTAACCATATTGCTTTCCTCCCTGCCAGATGATCTGCCAACAAGCCTTTCATGTCACTCCAGGATAAATTGCAGGGATCAATAATGCCCTTCATAACACAAATCCTTCCCACATCGCGCACGGCCGCCAAGAAACCTCCCAAAACATGTCGCGACAGGAGATTGTCCGGACAGTGCTCGATTTGTCGTCCCAATATTGGTCTCAAGCACTTTACGAGGTACAAAGAGAAGAGGCTGAAGATCTGATTGAAGAGAAAACATGGAGGTATAATGTACTTTACACAATTACAGAAGTAGATTGTTCGGACGCGAGGTTACGTTGTCCATTCACATCACAGCAGGACCAGTTCTCGCCCACCAAATTATATAATTCCTTCTCGACCAAGACTTTCGCCGAAGATCTATGTCGACAAATGTGTGCATAATTGCAGCCTGTATGCTTACCACTGAGCGTAACAGGACGAAACTACCTCGTACCCTCCACAGAGATCGATGGCAACATATCAAAATTGAGGTGCTCGAGGTTGGCTTCATAAATGAGAATGGCATTTACAAGGACTTCTTGAGCCCCACGGTGCTTCCGGTATTATATGCCTCCAGAATGACACTTGGCCTGGAAGGGCGGATATGGAATAAGTCGACAATCTTCGTCTTACCGCTGAGTTGGTTGCTTCAACTATATGGGACTCTCGCCACGCTCGATCACAATCGAGTCAGGTTGGTGAGTAGAAGTTGTCTCCTCGAATAGCTCGAGGTCGACTGGGGTAGTCTACGGCTAACAAGCACAATCGCAACTGCCTCTACCAGCCAATCCGCACGTCTAATTTGTCGTGACCTGAACAGCAAGAATACGTTGCGGTCAATCGCCATCATTTCACGCCAGTTGACAACTGGAAACTATGACAAGGCGAGGCTGAACACCCCTTACCGTGCCCCACATCCAAACCATCTTCGTCTCCTTGCCCCTACTGTAGCAGACTCGCCAATGTGAAGGATTGATCTGGTTCCGAGGATCCACACTGCCTACAGTACATCGAGGCGAAAACTCAAAATTCGCGAGCATGACCCATGCATGTCATGACCAGCTGGTTTTGCACGATGCGTTCAACCCAAGAAGGAGTCTGTTCCGTGGGCACAGGTAGTCGCAGGGTATCTTACTTGGTCTCTCCACGCGAGTCATGACGAGAACAACAGGGTGTGTCGGGAATAGGTCTCCCGCTGCGTCAAATCCAGCCGTGGATTTTCGGCTTCTCTTACCCGTTGAGGCGTGGACAAGGAGACATCCGTCTCGCTATAGTGATGAATTTCTAGCACTCCCTCATTCGCAGCAGGCTGCATACGAGGCTCAACGACCTCCCCGGCACGAACAATTGGCGCTTTCATTACCTGCCACCCCCAAGACAGGACCAATACAGCTCAGAAAATACCAGCATATGCCTAACAGCTTAGGACGTCGATTCTGGCTCTATCAAATTTTACCGCGAGTGTTCACTCCAGAGGCAGACACGCAGGCAGGCAGCTAAGCAGACAGACAGCATAAGGGACGAAAGAAAGGCGGGGGCACGCGAAGCCCATCGCTCTCCCAACGCTCCCAGCAGGAGCTCGTACAACCCCGACTTATCAAGGTAGCTAGTTTGTGACCGAGCCAGCGAGTTCGTCCCGCCGCCTTGTACCTCTTGTCAGGAATCGCACGAGATCCTCCCGGACGATTGACCATGCACTTGTACTGGCGCCCAACCAGGATGAAAATCCGGAAAAGATTCCCGGGATTGAACTTGTGTGCGCGTATATGGATCACAGGGAAAGAGAAGGAGGGGGACAGTAACCTATATATGTACCTCATATGCATCTCCCTTTAGAATGCGAGTCCAGCTTCTTTGATATTGCCTGCCAAAGTCGGTAACGTTCACCAGCTTCCCAGAACTATATCCCCCCCTTTGTCTCTCACTCACGCTCAGACTCTCTTAGACTCAACCCCTCCTCCACCCCAAAGTTTCCTCTTTGCCAGTCGAGCTGATATATAACGGGACGGGACGAGACGAGACGAGTCAGGATAGGACAACCGCATTGGCATTAGCATCGATTTTAGTGTCGGCCTCGTGAATAGATTCTTGTGTCCATCTTTATAATTCTCCGTTCATGGTGCATGGTTCTTCATTCCAGACAACATATACCTTGTAATATGGTGCCATACGATATGATATGTGCTTGCTTTTTTTTTTCACAAAAAAAAAAAAACAAAAAAAACAAGGGCCGCGCCGCCACGCCACGAAGACAACATTCGAAGTTTCAATGACAAGATTGTTGCACTTCACATCTTGAAGCCCACCTCCTTTTTCACAAAATCTGCCCACACGGAATTGATCATCATGGTCTTGGACACATCGAGTTAGTTAGCTATTCATCCATTCCGACTGTCCCTCCCTTTAATCCGCCCATGTCCTGGGCCGGAAGGGACAATTCAATCGATCTCAATCTCAGCCAAAACTTCTTGCTTGCATCTTACAACCTACAACTGCTCATTCACAAACAGGCCAGCCATGCCCTGGCCCGTGCCGATACACATGCTGGTGACGAGGATCTTCTTCTTCGTCCTCCTGGCCTCGCTCAAAATGGTGCAAATCTGTCTCGCTCCGGTCGCTCCCAGGGGATGACCCAAGGCAATCGCGCCTCCCCTGGGGTTCATCTTCTCGTGCTCAAGTCCGAGTGTGTTGAGACAATACACGGCCATTGAGGCAAAGGCCTCGTTGATTTCGAAGATGTCAATGTCATCCTTGGTCAGGTGGAATTTGCCGAGAAGCTTGGGGATGGCGGCGGTGGGGCCAATGCCCATGATCCGTGGGGGGACACCGGCGACGGTGGCGCCGCAGAATTTGGCCATGATGGGTTGACCCAATTCGAGGGCTTTGGACCGTTTCATGAGGAGGATGGCGGCAGCTTCACACCAATCATGTTAGTATCTGGCCCATGATTGTCCACGTTGGTGAGTGGGGAGGACGACGGGACATGGGTAGATTTGCTTACCTCCATCCGTGACCTGACTGGCATTCCCGCCAGTTGTCTTGTCGCCAAATTGCGGCATAGCGGGACGAATCTTCAACAGACTGTCCAGCGTGGTCCCATATCTGGGGCCCTCGTCCTTGGTAAGGGTGACCTCGTGGACCTCTCCCGTCTTGGGGTCCTTGACTTTGGTGGTGATGGGCACGATTTCATCTTCAAACCAGCCGGCCTTCTGCGCGACCTCGGCCCTCCGGAAACTCTCGCAGGCATACTCATCCTGCATTCTGCGGGTGATATTGAAGTCGTTGCCGACATTTTCGGACGTTTGGATCATGGGTTGTGTGCAGTCTGCGGATTCTTGGTTCGCCATGATCTCCGGGGAGAAAGGGGTATCCTTGCCGCCGCTGTTGGTCATGGACTCGCCGCCCATGGCGATGCCAATGTCGATGGATCCATTGGAGATCTGGTTGGCGATGTCTTGCACGGCCTTGAGGCCCGAGGAGCAGAACCGGTTGACGCTCGACGCAGCGGCGGTGTGGGGGAAGCCTGCAGCCAGCATGGCGGCGCGGACCTTGTATGCGGCGCGCGGGTCACCGACCTATCCAGCCCAACGACAAGGCATGTCAGTCTTGTGTTCTTCACAGCTTCGCTGGAGGGGAGGATGTCGGCGGATCATATCTTACATTTCCCAAGCAAATATCCTCGACGAGGGCAGGATCGATTTTGCTCTTCGCGATGACCTCCTTCAACAGGGCCCAGACCATGTAGTCGAGATCGGTGTCCTTGAAACCGCCCTTCTTGCCCTTTGCGAGGGGCGTTCGAATGGCGAGGGTGATGACAATGTCATCGGGGTGCTTCTGGGTGCTACATGCCGGCAAAAGGTCAATTGTCAGCATCTACCGAGCACCGGGACTTGTTGCGGGAAAGGGTCGGAGCTACAGCAAATCTAGCTGCGGACTGGGATGAATTAGACATACATGGCAGCCACGCCGGTCTTGGAGGACGAGAGGTGGGAGAAGATGGAGCCGAGTCGCTGGGTAGCCATGGTGCCTGTTTGGTCCGATTGAAGGTGTCCCGCCTATTGCTACAGAAGAAGTTTGGAACGACAACCAAAAAGTGAGCACAAAACAACCTGGAGGCGAAAGAAGCAGTCGAGGGTGAGTGGGATGAGGTGAACAGAGGACGCAGCAGCAGGAGCAGAGGAGCAGAGGAGCAGAGGAGCAGCAGTGGAAAAGGTGAACTTATTGATGCTCGCCGTGCTGCCGCCACCAGATTATCGCCGCTTCGCTGCAGACTTACCTCGGCATTTGGCTCATTTTGTAGGGAGGTCCAAGGAGGTCCTTGGGAGGTCTTAGGGTCTAGGTAATATGTCTGTAGGCTAGTGATGCGTCCGTCCACTGGATATCAGGCTCGCCAGGCCTAGCTGTTCCGTGCTCCATCATCGCCGCTTTATTTTCTTCGACGCCTCGTTTCCGGTGGAAGGTATGGAGGATGTTTTTCTGATCACAAATCTCTTTGCTGCTACAGTACCACTGCTACCGCTGCTACCACCACCACAAAACAAGTCTTCGTGCGTAAAACACACCACCTCCTCTTCCTCCATGCCCGTTCGGGTATTATGTGCCGAGCACATTTCCTCTTCGCCTTCTCTTCTTGTCTTGTCTACATTTCGGCCTGCCAAGTCACCTGTGCCGAGTTTCTAGTTAGTTGCTGCGTCTGGGTCTCCTGGCTACTGCTCGGCAATTTCTCCCTGGCCCTCAAAAGCCCGGGACCATGTTTCGGTCTTCAATATGAATCTCATTGTAATCTATCGTCCGTGTTTCATTCTAGTTCAGAGAGTCTTGCCTCATTCCAAAAAAAGGGGGGGGGGAAAAGGCACACACACACACACACACACACACACCTGGCAAACAAGAAGCATCTCCAGTTGACACGCTATCTAGTATGGACTCGACCTGAGACACTCTCCCCTCCAACGCCCGAAAGAAGATCGTTTTTCCATTCGCTATGCATGACACGTTGCACATACGTCCATCCTTTCATCCACCCATCCATCATGAAACCCGGGGATTGTCCATGCCCGTAGACGTGGATGAGCACCCATCTATGAATACCTCAAGCCCGAGGTGCTTGTAAACATGAGGCCATGCTCCCGCCCATTAGTTGTCGAGAATCTACTTCTCCTCCACACTGTCAGGCTTGATAGCCTCGCCATCGGGGGCATCCTTCATCTCGATATCTTTGGGCTCATCGGCCGACTGAGGTTCCGCTCCTTTCTTCCCGTCCTCTTCTCCCTTCTTCTTGGCTTCAGCCTCTGCTCTCTTTTTCGCGGCTTCCTCTTCTTGTGCTTTGAGCACTGCTTGTCGTTCCTCTTCGAGTTTGTCTTGATATCGCTGGCTTACGGGACCTGCAACGAATCGGATTTCCTCCATCTTGGCCACGTACTGGGCCTTTGTGGCGTCGTCTCCTTCGTCGTACAACCAATCCTGTCATGAGTTAGCGAGACCCTTCCTTTGGTTGTTTTACATGGGGGATTGCTTACCTCGGTCTTCTCCAGCTTGTCACGGATCTTGTCCTTCTCTTCCTGGCTCGCGAATTCGGCGAATTGGTCTTCGATCTTGCCCCGGAGCTCGTAGATGAACGCCTCGAGCTCGTTCTTCTTGTCTTCAGTGTCTGTCACGAGCTTGTCTTCCATGTACATGGCATTTTCCAGTTCGCTCATTTGAGTCTTGGCGCTCTCGTCCATGGATGAAGTCCCAGAAACCAGCTGCAACTCTCCCTTGCGCACTTGCTTCTTGACCTTGCGCATCTTGGGCTTGGCTGGTTCGGCAGAGCCGTTTGGTTGGTCTGTCTCCATGGCATCCCCATCTTTCTTCGCTTCTGGCTCAGGTTCCTCCACCTCGACATCCTCCACGTAGTAGCCGCTCTCGAGATTGAGAATGCCGTGGAGATTTAACCGCGCCTTGAGCTTGCACACCATGAAATCGTCCTTCTCGTCGGCCTTGACTCCTTTGACAGAGAACCGCCCGATCCAAGGGTTGATCTTTCCAGGTAGCATTTCCGGCTTGGCATACCGGGCTTCGAGGTCGAAAGCCTGTTTCCGGTAGAAGGTGAGGATCTTGGTGGAAGGCATGACGTTGCCCTTGTTAAAGACGGTCAAGCTAGTATCCTCATCGGGAATGTCCGGTGATTGCTCCCAAGTAAACTCGATCGGGTAGGTGACGATGTCGTGGACCGAGAAATCTCGAACTCGGAAGACGGGTGAGAGAATTGCGCAGCTGAATGCGCATCCCCGAGCAACGGCTTCGTCCTGGTTGAGTGTGAATGAGAGAGGTTTGCCAAAGAACTTGCTGATGCGGTCCTTGACAGCCGGCACGCGAGTGCAACCACCGACCATCTCAATGGCGTCAATGTCCTCAATCTTGGCCTTGGCTTCGGCGAGGGCTTGTTCGAGCGGAGCGGTGACCCGATCGAGCAGAGGTTTAATGAGTTCTTCCATTTCGTCGCGCTTCAACATCGCTCGAACATCCTTGTCATCCATCAAGGACTCGATGCTCAGAGGCGCCGAAGCATTGGCGGAGAGAATCTTTTTGAGCTTCTCCGCAGCTGCGGCGACCCGAGTTATAGCTTTTGGGTTGCTGCTAATGTCAAGCTTGAACTTCTCTTTGAATTCTGCTGCAAAATGGTCGACGAGAGCCTTGTCGATATTACGTCCACCGAAATGTCGGTCGAAGGTGGTGGCCTTGACAGCCAACTCACCCTTGCGGAACTCGACGATGGAGCAGGTGTAGTCGCTGTACCCAATGTCCACAAAGCACACCCGACGCGGCTTAGCATCAGCTTCGGGAAGGTCGGATTTGGTGATGCCGTAACCCAGGGCAATGGCAGTGTTGTCGTTGATGAGCCGCAGGAGTTTCAGGTTGGCAACCTCGGCAGCATCAAGCATTGCTCTTCGCTGGGCGTCCGTGAACCAAGGTGGGCAGCTGATGACCACGTCCGAGACGGGGAGTTTCAGTTCCTTGCTGGCCGTGTCTCTAATTTTCCCCAGATACATGGCAATCAATTGAACGGCGGTGAACTTCTGCTTCTCCCCGCGGTACGTAACCTCAGCGCCCACTTGGCCATTGACATCCACCAGAGGTGCAGTAATGTACTGCTGCTCGATGGCGATTTCGGGGTCATTTATGGTTCGGCCGGCGAGGCGCTTCAACGAGGAGATGGTATTCTTGAGATTCGAGATCTCCTGGGTCTTCGCAGCTTCACCCAGGTATCGGCTTTTCGGACCAAAGCCAACCAAGGACCTGTGAAGACTGAGTTAGTCTCTGCAATCCGTGTTCGAAGTAAGGCTGCATTGGGTCACTTACGGTGTAGATCGGTTGGACGTCTCATTTGTGATCTGAAAATGGTCAGTATTGTTGAAATGAGGTCGCTTTCTCTCGGAAAGGAGGACTTACAATGTCGATGCCCTTGTTGCGCGCGACACCGATCTTGGTGCTCTGGGCACCAAAGTCAACGCCGACGACGCTCATTGTCAATGGCGCTCAAGTAAAAAAATCTCGTGGGGGGGGTTTTTTTTTTAGTTGCGGTGGTGTGATGGGGAATTGAAGCAGGGGTGAAATGGTGAAGATGAAACGGGAGCGACACAGCAAGAGGAGGGAGAGTTGATGAGTCTAAGTCTTTTAGGAGAAATGTCAGCGCAGGCAGAGGACCGCGACGGCAATGACTTGGAAGAAAGATACAGATTCGACCAAAAATTTCACCAAAGGGCCTTTGACAGGGTAAAGGGCCAACCGCCAACCGCCAACAGCCAACACCAGCCAGTACCTTCGCGCAGTTTCGATCGTCGTCTGTTTGCGCAGCCAAGCCCTGGACGTCACTCCTCACTCTCCACCCGCAACCTGCAGCAGCCACCACACCACCACTTGACCACCACCAAAGCCCACCAGCCCACCAACCCACCAAACAGCAGTCCAGCAAACCATCAGGCTGTTCACCCTTTGCCTGCCCAAGCCTGCCCTATCCTTGTCTCCCAACCACTCGGGCCTTCAAATCATCCTCAGACACGACACCAACTGGGCAGCAATTGTTGGTCCATCATGACTGCTTCCACGACGCAAGGCAGAATGCTTGTCTCAACAACGCCCTGCGAGTCCAAAGTCGACACCCCAATGCCAGGGAGTCAGCCTGTCTATCGAGTCGCGGCTCGGTGGCGTGAGGTGAGAACAATGAGTATGCTTGTTGCAGGGGATCGGCGGATGAACAATAATACATTGGCTGGGTGTCTATGGGTATATACTACGTCTTCCATCATGGATTCAGTGATAATGATGATACATCTTGTCCTCATTCCCCTCCATCTATCCCCTTCATTGCCTTGGGGTGCCTTACACCATTTTGCCCGGACTCGGGCTTCTCTTCCGCAGCCGCTGGTGCTTCTTCAATGACCTTCTCTTGACCTTCTTGATATCCGCCATGTCCCGATCCTCTTTCTCTTCCATTTCCAGAGCAGGGACATCTTCCTCCACAGAGACGGCCATCAGCGGACTGTTTCGCCCCAAGGGACTTCGATTGTCAATGTGTTGAATTCTTATCATCCCTTGCCGAACATCACGTGGTTCGGCAGGTGTATACAGGTCCCTCTGATCCTGTAAGGCTGGAATGACGGCCACTGTGTTTCGCGCTGCGGAGTGGCTTTCTCTCATGCGTTGCTGAAGGTCTGTGACCATGCTCCTCGGCCTTGGCTCCATGTGAGCTTCCCGACTTTGACGGCTCCCTCTCTCCTCGTCTTCGCTGAAGTTGTTGATCCATTTTGGCGTATGGACAGATAAACTATCTGAATCGCTCATGTCAAGAGATTCGTGCTCATATCGGTGCTGCTGCGAGCTAAAATTGACATTTGTTGGGGTTGTCGAGGCTACATCATTGTCAGGCAACTGGCCGGGTTCTTGTTCTGCGGAAAAGAATCGACCCTCGACACTTGACGATGGTTGGAGTGCCGACGGTCGGGTACGGCGCCGTCGAAATTCAATGGCTGGCTTGAATGTTTCGGGGACAATATTCAAGTCGTCTCCGGTGGCAATGGCGTGTTCGATGGCCTGCTGTGGTGTCACCTTAGCATCTGCTGCCCCTGCGTCTGCTCTCGGCCCGCCCCACGTTCTTTGCCCAGCTGTGAAGACGCCATACACCATATAGACCCAGTTCAAGAACGGGTTCAACATAAACATCATCGGATACAGGGCAGCCTTCCACCGGTGGAGCCTGATTGCAAAGTAAAACATGAGCAACCAGTTCAAACCGCAGGAGATGCACATGAACTCCCAGGGCAAGGAATCTACACGAGTTGAGGTGCTCGATATCGAGATGATGGTGATCAAAAGGAGGAGTGCCGTCGTCCGGATGGTAATAGTGGCAAATCGAAGAAGGCAGAGCATGGGGTACTTCCTCCAAAGTCGGCCATCCGTCAACATGCAAACCTCGTTGGTGATGAATCCTAAGAACCACCGACGCCTCTGCTTGAGCAAGGACCGAAATGTTTGCACCGCTTCAGTCTTGCAAAAGGCACTGGTGCTCAGTTGGATCTGATACCGCTGTTTGGCACCGAGCATGAACAGATGTGTCAACCATCGGTCTTCGCCGAGATGCGTTTTAGCATAATCAAAGAGGTCCTCGCATTCTTCCGCCTTGTCAGAGAAGTAGAATCGCGCCATGTTTCGAAATGCTGAGAACCGAAGCAAGGTCAAGGCCCCAGGCAAACATGTGACGGCGCCACAGCCTGATTCAACTGATCTTTCGAACAGCTGGCCGTGCACGTATTCCATATCCTGCAACAAGGTGATGAAGGAGTGCTTCTTCGTGGATGATGTGATAATACCAGTCATCGCCAGCATATTATGTTTGCTGCCAGGCCTCAATTCCATGTCGTACATAAAGTTCTGGATGCACACAGGATCCAAGATACAGTCGGAGTCGATGAACAAGATGAAGAGGTCGTCTTTCTCCTGGAGATACCGTTTGTAGATCTTGTCGATGAGGAGGAATGTCGCCTTCTGGCAATGTCGCTTCCCTCCATGTGGAAACCTCGAGACTGTGACCCGCGCCCCGTTGAATGCCACGTCGATCGATTTTGGAAAGTCCTTCAAGGTAACAGGCATGCCGAGCCGATCGATTGTCTTCAGGTAAAGCTCATCAATGTCATCGCCATCGAAAGAGACAAACACGTGAATGCAAGCGGCAGGGTAATCGCAGTTTACTACGGAATTTAGAGCTCTCCACAGGGAGTCCGGTGGCTCCTTGTAGACCGGCATGACCACAACTACCTTCGGGGCGGTCAACTCATTAAGGGTATACTTGACCCGCTTCTGACGTCCAAGGGGGACGACAACTAGCCGATAGACGCAGAAAAGCCAAGGTATCACCAGCATCGCAGCGAAGGAGTAGAACGCGAACTGCTGGAGGATGGATATTAGCAGAGTAGGGAAATATTGTACGAGGTGCCTCGGTAGAGGCAGCGTGGCAACCATAACTGGCAAGAATATGCCCCTGCATTCTGTCCATTAGTGTCGTACACTCTGGGAGAAAAGAGCAACAGACTTGCCTGAGGAGGGTGAACGCAACCGTCAAAAGCACAGCCAGCACCTTTTGCGACCAGTGATCCGCCTTCATGTATGCCTTTGCAAGGCAATAACAAAAGGCTGCCACCCACAAAAAAGACTCGAGGAAGGCCGCGAGAACGATAGGTCCAATAAGCGCGAGAGAAATGATCTATGCCATCAGCAGAAGACCATGCTGCGTGGCACGACGTACTCACATCAGGTATAGCCCAGGGGCCACCAAGAGATTCGCGCTCAGCCATGTCGCTCGCACTGGTGATGCACCGTCCGGAATAGATGGATAGTGGAAGAGCCTTTGCTTGGTCTTCTGCTGTTGCACGGACGGACGGAGAATATTTGTCGACTAGGAGCAGTCGGTTGTCGAGGAGTGGAGGATGTGAGCAGCACGCCGGGATATCAAGGCTGCCAAAGCTTCAAGGTCTCAAGTGATGGAACCGCGTGTCGAGGCAAATGAGCGATAGACTTATGGGGGTCGGAGTGTGCGCTGACAACTGTGAAAGCAACCTGAGAGTGTCTAAAAGGAGTCGCTTGACTCGAGCACGGCGAGAAAGTGTTGAACCCAGAATCAGTGAATGATAGTCATTTCATGAAGATACTCAAACGGGGTAGTGAAGGCGGCGCCAGAAAGTGCTATGAGTCGGAGTGGTGGATAAAGACGGGCAGTGAGAGGGCAGCCCAGAAAGTGAATGATAATGAGGAAACAAGGCCAAAGAAAGAGATGGGGAAAAGGCAGTTGCGTTCGAGGTGCCAGCTGCCTCTCATTTTGCCTGACATGGTGGTGATTTCCACGTTGATCATGTCGGTAAGGGACAGATGCCCAGACCAAGTCTGGGAGAAGAGGTAGAATATGCATGATGGCTGGTTGCAGCTCCTGGCCCACAAAAGAGGCAGAGATATTTTCGCAGTCTGAAACTGAAGGGAGATCGAGCTGAGATGAAGCGAGGCGAAGAGAAAAGAGAGAACGCACTATGAGCGATGTTAGAGTAAAAATCCAAGTTCGCGGATACAATGCATAATTCATCTCTGGAGCAGCGTTTCACCACAAGTGGCATCCGTCATATCCGCGTTCGATATTCATACTCCGGAGCCATGTCTTTCAACCAGATGGAAACTACGACTCCGCAATGCACGTATATTTACAAATGGAAGTCCCCGCTGACGGTGCTGTCGACGTCGGTCCAAGCACTTGAAGGGGTACGTATAGCATCTGCAAAGTCGCTGAGGATATCATCGGAACTCTCCTCCGCTTCGCTGGCGTGAATGCTGCTTGCGCTGCCAGCAATGCTGGGTGTCAATGAAGCCGGTGGTGTTGCATCGAGGGGGAATCGATTGGCAATAACATTTTGAGGCACGTCTAGATATGTGCTCTGGACCGGAAGCGACGCTTGCGACTCGTGGTCAGAGAGAGTGTGCGTCGAATCCGAACCCGCCGCAGAAAAATATTCTGACCGTTCTAATGGGCGGTTGAAATACTCGGCAGACGGAATGGAGAAGTCTGGATCAGGGACACCTTCTGTCGTGGGTGTAAGCTCAATCAGGCTCTCTGAAGCATGGCTGGACAAGATTTCAATAGCTCTGCCGGACAAAGGTAAATTCCATGCTTCACGCATTTCCCGCTCGTATCTTGACTCGAATTGGTTTGGCTGGCTCTCATTGAACTGCCTCACAGAACAAGGTGCGTCCATCGACTGAGGGGGAAGGGACGGGAGCTGCTCTTGGTATGAAGGGAATGGCCTCTGCCGCAAAGCCGCTGGCTGCGCCAATGGGTCGACTCCGGACGAGTGTGCTGCTGGAATTGACTGCTCATCTTGTGCGGGTTGTAGCAAAACCCCGTCTTTGTCCACTAGGTTATCGAAGGTCGGGCTTGACGGTATTTCTTTCTCTTGCTCAGCGAGCCTTCTTCTCTTCCTTCGCTCCTCCATGATCCGTCCACGCTCCATGATCTCGGCGATCGCTTGACGTCGTCGCTCTTCGGCCAACTCACCCTTCTCCTCATGCATGGAGGCATCTGTCGATGTGCGTCGCGGACGGGGTCTGGGGCCAATTTCATCGCCGAGGGAGTACAAACCCATAGCGATCCTGTGCCTTGTACGGTCTATCCATGCTCGTACTTGAGGATTCTCATATGCGGCTATACTGGCTGCCACCAGGACGGTGACAGTAATTATGATTCCTACCGGAGGCATAGTGTGTCAGTGTATTGATTGAAAACAACGGTAGGAACAGTCTCAGGGAGACGTCTCATTTTCAGTGCCCCAAGGGCATGGTATGAGCATGGACTGATGATGTAAGGGGAGAATGGCGGCATGCGAGGAGGCACGGGGGCACTTACCTCTCGCGAGCGGAGCTGGCATTTTGAGAATAACCCTGGCGGTATCTGTCTGATTGAAAGTCTTATGATGGGAGAGAGGTGAAGGTTGCAGGCGGGAGAACACCGTGGTTGAAGACAACCCACGGGGGTCCTGAAACCTGTCAGCCTGATGATGGTAGCATCAAAGATCATACGAGGCCAGCAGAGAAGGCGGCAAAGCGGTTCGGAGGGGGGAGAGGGAAGAGGGACAACGGAAGAGGGCAGATTACGACTGCGCTGAGCTGCGCCACACACGCCATTTTTGGAGAAGAGGCAGAAGAGGAAGACCAGTGCGGTGTAGTGGGTACGAGCAAATACGAGGTACATGCCACAGTTGAGCCCCGCACCCGCAGTTACTATCAGTAGATGGCAGCCTTGACCAGCCTTGACCAGCCTCGGCGCGTCTCCTTGGTACAGCACACGCATTGGCGCACACGCGACTCAAATTGATTTTCCATACTGAGCGAGTGCGTACTCCATACTCAATACAAGCATGTAAACCACGCTTCAGAGTCAACCACCCCAGGATGTCTCGCCCCGCTTCCACCGCCCAACCAAGAGCCTTGACTCTGACCGAGGAGCTTGAGAAACTCGAGCAGTCCATTACATTGACATTGCAAGGTTGGCCCAAAGAAAGGCCCGTCTCAGGCACGAATATCTATTGACTCCAGTTGCCCTACAGAAATCGATCACAATTTCAGTCGAGCCCACCGGATAGTGACTTCAAGCATCCTGCCCATTGTCGAACAATATGCTGCGCATTCCAAGGAAGTCTGGGAGGGGTCAAGAGTGAGATACTTGGGCAAACTCATAGAGGCAATACTGAGACTTAGCACAGTTCTGGAAGCAATTCTTTGAATCGAGTGCCAATGTGTCCCTGTCAGGCTACGAGGAACAGCAATCTCAACTCCAGAATGCGGACACTACAATTACCGAAGACACCAACACCACAACGCATACAACGCTAGAGACATCGGAGTCCTACGAAACCCCTTCCGCCCAGCACATCTCAACAGACTCAATACAGGACCTGGACCTTTCAAATATGACCATCTCCCCCTCCAAGAGCAGCACCCCACGGCCTAATATCACACAAAAGCTTCAGACGCAAAATAATGCCACCTTTGCGGACTATCCATCACCGTACGAGACGCTGCGACAAGAAGTCCACAATACGGTTGTTGATACCACGTCAGTCACCCAATCGGCCATGCCCCAAACCCCGGGCGGCCGACCAGTATTCCCCATGGACAACATTGCCGTAGGAACACCACAATCCTCCCCGTTTCTGCCGCCTCCACCGACCTCCATTTCCCGCCCATCTACCGCCCGCAAAAGGACGGATCCCCTTCTCCACCGGATGCTAGACAGAAACTACCGAGTCCAGGCCACACCACTCACAAGTCAGCGTTATGCGCACCTCCCATCGAGAGCCCGCGCTCCGCCATCTACCGCAAAATGTGCGAGGTCTGCAACACTCAACGACTCAACTCTATCATCGAGTCCAGAAGCGCCTCCCCCAGAGCTCCACCCAGAGATCTTCTCCTCTCCTGAACGCAGGAGACCGGTCCCGGGTGTCAGCGTCCTAACACCATCACGAGCACGATCAAAAACCCAGCCGTTGAAGGCACCAGCCCGGACACCGGGGATTTGGGACAGTGATGACGACGATCTTGATGACGATGTGCTCTTCGACCAATCACCGCCGAAGACCATGCAATTCCACGTCCCCCAGAGTCGCCTCTTAAAAACTCCAGCGAAGGAAGCATCGAAGCGGATAGTCGAGGACATTCTTACTAATGCCGGAATTGATTACGGGGAGGAGGAACTTGATTTTACTCAAGAATTGGAAACCCTGGGATTTGAACTGGATGCCAGTGGGGAGCCGACCAGTCCAAGTGTGGTCCGCAAGGCGATGAATATCGAAGACGAGACGTTCTGATTTGGCAGCGAGAAAGATGCAGCTACCGATAGAAAGCGCCACATGAATATTCCGTCACCCTCAATGTGTCTGACCCCCCCCCCCCCCCCCCCCTTTTCGTTCCAGAGACATGTCCGCCCATTTAGTCACCTCTATATATCACGACTAGGTGGGCGGGATGGGATTAGCAAGATCAAGGATTTTATTGTGACCGACTTATTCTTCATTCTTCATTCATCATTCATTATTCCTAATCATCTTATTAATCATTAAGCAATACAGCGGCGCTGTGCTGTGCTGTGATGCATGGTGGGTGTGAAAACTGAAGGATACTGCCTCGGACATGAAAAAGGGAAGGTTTGATAAGACCATTTCACGTCCCAGGTTGCTCCATTCCGTCTTTGCCGATACCATTATTAGGGCCAAGATGATGGAACTCACAAAGTCCACGCCAGAGCCATGACGACGCCCAAGGCTAGAACGAGGGATTTTGCGAGACCTGTGTCTTTAATTGACGTGCTGCCTCCTGTGTAAGGCGCGATAGGTGGGGTGAGGACCTAGAAAATAGCGCGATGGTGAACGGCGACGTCAGCCAGGGATGTTTCAGTGCGTCGCAGACCAACGTCTGAGAAAGTTCAACGTCAACGATGGGGACAAGTGTGAACCTACCGCGTCAATCACGTGAGCAACTCCGTTTTCAAGGATCAGGTTCGAGGAGACAATCTTTGCGTTGTTGATGAAGTAATCACCACCCTGGATGGTGACGGTGATAGTTGCGCCAGATTGCGTAACATAACTGCTGCCGTCGGCTAGGCTAGGAAGGTAGCCTGCAAAGTCCTGCACAACATGTCCTGCTAGGATGGACGAGATACCGCTGGACGAGGGTGATATGTTTGCGGCGGCGAAGGCTTCGTTGGTAGGGATGAAGACGGTGATGAGAGGAGTTGCGTCCAGGATCGACGTCTGGTTCGAGGCGCTGGCGAGGGAGACGAAGGACGTTTGGCCGGTGGTTTGGGCGGTCGAGGACAAATTGAGGGGCAGGGTAAAAAGACTTTAAATGTCAGAAGTTAGCTCATGTATGGTTGTGAACCCATTCGAACGCTCGAATACACAGCTGGCTAGGACGTGGGATCGAAGGTTTCGCTTACCCGTCGGTTGTATGGATCAGACCGCCATCGAAAGGAATGTCAGCGGTGATGATACCGACCGAATCACCTAGCCCTGAATAGACATCCACCAGAGTATCCACGGTACTGGTGTTGTCCTGTCTCGGTAGGATGAATGGAGCCCATCGTTTGCTGGATGTTGTCTTGGTATTGTTCTTCGGCTTAGAGACGACTTTCTGGGTCGAGCCTTTGAGATTTGCTTTGGTGTCTTTGGTCGGGACCACAGCGCCCGGAGGGGTGCGTAGGCCGTTGATCTCACTCTGACTCTGAGTGGCATGAAGAAGCAGTTGCTGCTGCTGAGCCGGGGTGAGAGTGGCGCGCTTTCCGAACCGTGTTACGTTAACCGTGCTATCAATGAACTGGTCCGTTGGAGCAAAGACAGTGGGTACATTAGCAGCGAAGGCAGCGGAGACGACAGGGTCGGATGCAATCAGAGCAGCAAACTTGGCCGCACCTGCCGCTATAAGCGCATCGTTCAAAGAAGGAAGACTCGGAGAAGGCGAAGGAGAAGGCCAGGCGACCGAGGACCAAGATTTACTCGTTGGCCACGACGGCCAGGTGGCAGTCTTCGAAGGCCAAGAGTGTGGAGGGTAGATGGTTGTCGGCCATGAGGACCACACGGAAGTCTCTGAAGACCAGGTATGTGAGGAATAACTAATTGGGGACCAAGAGCTAGAGTCTTCAGGCCAAGTAGGGATTGAAACAGAGGGGGTGTATGCAGCAACGGACGTCCAAGCTTCCGAAGTATAAACGGTTGGCGTCCACGTGGGAGTTTCGGCAGACCAAGAGGGCTGAGTATAGTGGACGGCAGACGGCGACCAGGCCCAGGACCAGGATGGCCGAGTATCAGATGGCTGGAAATGCTGAGTAGCGACCGGGCCAATTCCCAGGGCAGATAACACGATAATGAAGTGGAACGACATGATCAGGCTGAGGGTGGCGGGTGGCGGGTGACAGGTGACAGGTGGGGAGAGACTGTGTGAGCGAATGTGCACGATGTCGAGCCTGTTCTGGTACTCGGTTTTCTTCCCAACAGCGTCGCCTCAAGCGAGCGTAGATCCGGCAGAGCCTCAAGTCTTCAATCTCAACGAGGGAAAGGGCGCGACTCACCTATATGTACAGTATATAAGCTCAGTCGGAGTCGAGCCAGAGCGGACGAAGCTTGCTTCAAAAGTCCGTCTTGCGTTGCTAACTCGGAATTGGGATCGTCGATGAAGGCCGGGCGGAGACCAAGTTTCGCTCTTCCATATCGAGGAATGTCTCTGCTTGCCTTCGCCGGATGCCCCTCTGCCGAGCTACAACGCCGCAACGGCGCAGATGGTGCCATCTGCGAGGGAGTGGTGCAGTGCGGTGTGGTGCTGGACACGCAGCGGTAGCGCAGTACAGTACCGTACCTGATTAGTGAGGGCAAGGGTACCCGGTGAACTCGGCAATAGTTGTAGATTCAGGGTCGAGGTGAGGCTCGAAAACCTGCCCAAAACAGTCGCCTGCAGGGGCATTCCACATTGCTTGGCTGGGCGTGGTCCGCACTGTTGTCCAGTCTCGTATCGGTGGACGCGAGTTAGGAAGGAGCCCTGTAGTTTTAGGCCTATATTTGACGTAAATAGGAACGGCCATCGGGGTGTCTGCTGTAGCTAGGACTAGTGAGGCTGCTGCAATTGCTTTGTCAGGAGGGCTGCCACAGACTGGCACCGAACTGGTAGGCTGATGGGGACCCCGAAATCCGGGGTCATCGTCATTGAAAGCTTTCAAACAAACGGAAGTGCCCGAGTCGCCGACTTCTTGTTCGCCCTGCATGTTCGATGTGGCCAATAGGAGATAATGAGGATCCACCCATACTCGTCTATTGCATTGTCATTGGCCAGAGGCCCCACAGCACAAGGCATCTCTCCGCCAATTACACAAGCGAGCTCGCCATGCCGATGGGTCCCGCCCTGAGCCTGGAACCGTCGACGTCCCTTTCCTCGTCCCCATCCCTCCCTTCTCCCAAAATGTCCACGATGGTGGCTTGCAAAGACACGCTGGCACACCACCATATCCACCCTAAGTAAGTATTGACATGCTCCGGTCCAACCAAGGTTGCGCCCTCTCGAACTGCGACTGTTGGCCGTCGATCTTCAGTCAACTGGTTCCTTAGTACCAGTCGGAACCCTCGCAGACACGAACAGATATCGGGCACACACAACCACCATCATGTCGAACCGTTGTCGCGGCGAAGCTTCGGTTGCTGATGATTTGTCCGAATGGACAGACGAGTCACCCAACTGCATGGGCATCTGCTAGAGCCTGGACGAAGCGCTGGGGCTTGAGGGAATCCATCTCCCTTCTGGACCCCAAAAATGCATCGCTCGCTCCATTTTGAGTAAAGGCTTCTGCTGACCCGCGCATGTGGCCATTAGAGAGGTACAGTAGCAGCCTCAATTGCAGCCGCAAGTCCCGGCTTGGATGCATTTAGACACCAGTGAAGCCAAACCCTCAGAACCCGTCTCCCTCGTCGCAAAAAAAGATCCTATACATGGGAATAGCTAATACCTTGCCAGCCTTGCACGCTCCGTTTGGGACTCATCCGTCTTCGTCAGCAGTCATAACCTCTCAACTGTAGAAGGACTAGCTGAAGCAGCCATGGTTTTCTCCAGTCTCAATCCCGGGCGGCAGACCTATCACTTATGGCGTCGCTTCTCTATGCCCACGGACCACGGGTCCAGAGACGCCATTTCGGTTCCTGCCAATGTCGCCAACCAACTCAATTCCGCATACACCTTCATGGTGCAGTTGATAATAATCGACTTCTGGGTCATTCTCATCCTTTTTGGCGTCGTCCTCTTCTTGGGGAAGGAGAAACACAGCCATAACAGCGGGGTGATTGCCACGGGCATTTGGAACGCAAAGGACTCTCCGAGCGTCATCTGCAAACTTACCGGCTCCTATTTCTTCAAGATCAAAGACCGACGACGGGTGCATTTGTTTTGGTGGACGCTGCTGGCAGCTGGCTTTGTGGTCGCTATTTATGCCATCCCCATCAAAGTCGCCCCATACATCATCATCGACAATGCCGCTCCAGTTTCAGCCGCTGCCATCTACGTTCCAGCCCTGAGTGACACCTTCAACGAGAAGAACCAAGTGCAGATCAATGCGCTCGAAGCACCGTCGGCATTCCGCGCATCGGGGAGCGTCCTGGTAGCGAACTCCACGGGCAATACCCACGTTTCAATCGATCCGCCTGAGACGATACAAGACCTCGGTGACGGCGAGGCCATCATACGCGTGGCATATCATTACAACATCACGGGCGTGGACTTTGGCCTGCAACACTATCCCGACCTCGTCCTGAGCGTCGAAGGCTCATGCCAGACCGACTATTCCTGGCTGCTTGCCGAATCTACAGACGACTCCAACATCATCCGTGACGAATACTTGCTTTTCAATGACCCCAGCCAAGGGACACAAAACGTCTCGTTCTACGACAGCGCCAGGCCCCTTGGGTATTTCTTCCAGGGCCTGCCGTCCCCCGTGGGACCAGCAGGAAACTGGACCTGGGGTGCATTAGTCTCCTCTGTGCAGCGAGAGAGCATCACGGCCGGCACAGATCCCTGGTATCTAACTGTCCCTGATGGTGGCAACGATGTAGGCTTCGTCGTCAAAGGGGGGCGACCGGCACTTTCATGCTGGCAGAACGACGTCTGGTCATACCGAGGTCACCAGAGTACCGCTATCGCCCTTGATTCGACCTCCCTTCCCGGTCTGGACCTCTCAACGGGCCTGCAAAATGTCTTGGCCCGCTTTCTGTCGCTGCCGAAGATCGTGACTTTAGCTACTCGCTTGGGCGCCTCCGCACTCGCGTCTACCGATACCTCACTGGGCGAAAAGTTCGACGCCGGCTCGTCCAGTTTCCGTGGCGATCTAGAGCGCCTGGTGTTCGCCTCATATATCGCGACCATGAACACGCTCACGGACACCACCCTATTCTCCACCAACAACTACGGCATACCGAACCTAGCTATCGAATCCGACGGTAAGCCAAGCCCTGGAGTCGACGAGTTCGTCATCTGGAGCAGCAACGTGTCAACGCTGTCGATCCTTGCCCTCATCATCGTCCCTGTCATGACAGTAGCCATGAAGGTGATCGTCTGGGCTCTCACAGACCTGCCCTTCTCCTGGTACCGCATCCAGGCCCTGCAAGCGACGGTGCTGTACAGTTGCCTGCACGAGAAGGCCACGGGGATCAATGACGTTGAATGCAACCGCCGCGACGATCGACCTTGGGTCAAGAAAGGAGACCTCGAACAGGGCATGTTCAGGCCACGGTTCGACAGAGGGAGTAGAACCCTCAGTTGGGGAGGAGCAGAGTACGTCAATTTTATTAACCCCCTTTCTGGTTTCGACGTGCATACCTACATACACGAACGAACCTTTGGAATCAAGTGACTGACCTCTCCACAGACACAGGGAAGTGACTGTCGGAATCGGGCCAACACCGCTGTCGCCGCGCGGCACGATGCAAAACGTCGACGTCCCCGCGACCAACGGTACGAACGGATACTTCGGACTACAGCCTCAGAGCGAAGCGGTGACCGAGAAGCCAGGGACCGGCATGCAGACGCAGATCGCCAGCGTCGTCACGCCGTCTGCCGCGGATCAGCCGCTCCTGCCTCCAGGTGGCCCCCGCTAGTTAGACCCTCCTTTTTTTTCTGCTTCTTTTTTTTTAACACGCACCAAAAAAATAAATAGCAAAACTTTCGCCCATGAAGAAAGCTCTTCAAGCCGGAGATGAACCGGAACACCAAAGGGAGCAAGGCTGGCGTCGTCGCTGGCTGGAGACATGACCTATCGCCAGGAGGAGCCGGGGGAATGGGAAATCATACCTAATTGACGGCGCTTGGGAATGGCTCTTCCTTTTTTGCCTTGTGGAATAGGTTAATACGGTCTGGCGTGGGAGTTATCATGATAACGACGATTACGACGATGATGGTTATAATGGTTAGTACTTGTGCTTGTGTTCTCTCTTGCTGTTTATACATTAAATAGCATCCGGGCAATGGGCCTCCTTTCGAGAGTGACAACCTATGCAGTTAGCTCTTTAGCCTCTTATGCAACGCAAGTCACGATTCTGAGAGTTTTTCACTCTAGCATGGTAAGAGTCGCAGAAAATGTGGCGGCCGTCCCGAAAGATTGAGGCCGTGGCATCAATAAAGCGTACCGACAACCTGACCTGCTTGTACCTGGTAAAGTTTCGACTTGGAGCCTCATGACTTGCATGGCGGTGCAGCGAGCACTGTGAGTAATATTCAATTTTGGGGGAGCGTCATAGTCGGCGTCATCGAGAGGGCAGCCTCAGCACAACAGCGGAAATGAATATCACACAGTAACATTCATTATGTGAATAATGTCGTCCGCGATATTAATAGCCCAATGCGGCTTGAATGACCATAGGTGAATAGATGAATACGAGGTATGAAGTAAACAATTCGCGAGGCTGGGCCAAAGCCTGGCCGCCAAGACATCCCCGCAGTCCCTTGAATTTTTCCCGGTGAAAATGTCTTTTGGTGCCTTTTGGATCCGCCAAAATTCAACACACTCGCATGCACTGCCTCTTGTCTTTGTAGCTCCTCCAATACATTCTCCAGGCTGGATCTGCGTCCTGCGCTTGCTTGGTTGACGGCTTTTGACTCACAGATCACTCCGAGTCCAACTGAGTCACCTGTGTCACCTGTATTCCCTTATTTGCTGCGCTCCCCGCACCATTGAACAGTCGCCCACCTGCGTCCAACCCCAAGGTTCCATTTTACCCTACTTCCGGCGCCTTCGCCGCAAGCGTGTGAAGATGTCTACAGAGGAAGCAGTGACGGAGGCGCTCCAGACGCCAGTAGACCAGAATACGCAGGCCGCTGAGGAGGCAAAGAAGATGCTAGCTGAGCTGGAAGGCGAAGCTGCCTTCGAAGATAAGCCCGAGAAAACAAATGGCGTTGCGGAGTCAAAACCTTCCGAGGAAGAAGCTCTCAAAGAGCCCGAGAGTATTGCAACGAAGGAGACGGCAGATGAGGGGAATGATGCTACCGAGAAGAATGGTGAGCGCCGCGATCGTGGTCGATCAGACTACAACAGTCGGGGTCGAGGTCGAGGTCGAGGCGGTCACAACAACCACGACTCTCGAACCTATCGCGACAACATCAAGTCCGACCTCACGACGCTAGAGGTTACCGATGACCCGGTTGCTATTCGGAAACAGGTATGTGCACCCCAAAAGCCTTGCAAACGGGGCGAGAGGCTTATCAGTCGGATAGGTGGAATTCTACTTCTCGGATTCGAACCTCCCCAAAGACAAATTCCTCTTCGAGCAGACTGGTGGCGTCGCGAACAAGCCTGTCGATCTTAGAGAAATCCACAAATTCAAGCGCATGCGCCGCTTTCAGCCCTTTGAGGCCATCGTCGAGGCCCTGCGGGACTCCAAAACACTCGAACTCACTGATGATGACACCCACGTGCGCCGAAAAGAGCCATTGCCAGAAAACTTCTTTGAAGCCCTTCCGCAAGCAGCTGACCCCCGAACCGTGTACGTGAAGGGATTCGGTGAAGAGAGTTCAAGTACCCAATTTGACATTGAGGCATTCTTTGACCCATACGGTCCTACTCGAGCAGTCCGTCTGAGACGAAACAACGAGAAATTTTTCAAGGGCAGTGTCTTTGTGGAGTTTGACACGGAGGAGCTGGCACAGTCATTCCTAGCACTGGAACCTAAGCCGAAATTCAATGGAAATGACCTCCTCATCATGAGCAAGACAGAGTACACTAGTAAGAAGACGGCGGATCTCAAGGCAGGCAAGATCACGTCGAACAACAAATATGAGAGGGGAGGCAGACGAGATCGTCACAACCATCGCGGTGGCCGAGATGGAGGCAAGCGCAAGCGTGACGAAGATACTAGGGACTGGAGAACACGTCGGGACGAAGACCAGAAGCGTGGGTTCAGAGATGATAAGAGACGAGGTGACCGAGGTGGTCGCGATAACAGAGGTGATCGAACCAAAGGACCTGAGACTGATGATAGGTAAGTCGATCCCTGTTGTTGTTCTGGAAGATCTACAAGGACTAATGAACTGTTGATCAGGGGCATTCCGATGGTCAAGTCTACTGCGGTCAAGAACGACAGCGGTCGTGAAGAAGCTCTCGCGAAGGCCAAAGCCGCGGTTGAAGCCGAGAACAAGAAGGAGCAGAAAGCGGTTGATGATGTTGAGTCGACCAAGCTAGATGGCGACGCCGATGCTTCTTCAGTCCAAGCCGACACCAAAGCTCCCGCTGGAAAGAAGCGAGCCCGAGAAGACGATGGTGACGAGGCTGACGCTGAGCGAGAGACTAAAAAAGTGGATGTGAAGTCTGAGGCTCCGCGGGTCAATGGCGATTCATAGCCATGAACGACCCGGCAACTTTGTCAGAATGACTGATATCATTACGGAATTCGGATAGGAGGAGCTGCAGTCCTGATCACTGCCCAAATCCTCCTGGGTATGTACCATTGCGCATTACCATCGAGGTGTTGTGAGCGTTGCTATAGAAGGGCGTTCTTATCTAGCGGCAAACAGCAAGAACCAAAATTGGGCGGCTTCATGTACTCTGTTATCATGAAATGTTGACACCTAAGAAAAAGTAATGAATATGAATTAAAACCCCGAGATCTCCAAAGCCTCGTCTTGAAATAGATTGCGCCGTTCAATGTTTGCACCCACTCACTGTGATCTCCGGCCGGCATACAAGACTCTGCACGCTGATTGTTATTTGCTGCTACTTCATGTTTGCTTGTTGTTCTTAATCCAAGGCGACTTTGTATCCAACTTGTACAACGAGATGCCGTGCATCCAGTACAAAGCAAAAGCAGTCGCAACATCTGGACATCCTGACGAGGCTGAGCACGTGACCATATAAGGCTGGCGAATCAGAGCTGGCCTGCCCTGTCACCCTCGAAAGTTTCTCAGCATCTTCAATTTCGAGCCTCGAATGAACACGTCCAACCTCAAAGCCGGCAAGTCTTGCTAATCGAAATCTTCGAAATAAAGACCAAGACCTCCAAATCCAACATTCGCCTTCACCGCCATCGACACCAGGGTATTTCAGTGCCGCAATTTAGTACACCCTTCCCTCGCCACACGCGCAGACTTGGGATACTCAGTGCGAATGTGGTGGCATCTCCCCTTATCACCATCGTCGTCACAGCACAATGAACGGAGCTGCTGGTCCTGCTCCCAGTGGTGAAGGGGCCACGTCATCAACTTCGACCAATACGTTTGCAGCAACGGGAGGACCGTCTAGGCGCTATGGTCCGCTCCCAAATTACGTCCAAGTCGCCAAATGCTACGTCTTTGAGCAGGAGATCCAAAAGTGTCTTAAGGAGAACGGGGTCAGCCAGGCGAGAGAGGATAACTTGAGATTGGCGGGAGTGCAATGGATTGATAATGTGAGGAGAGCATTGAAATTGTGGGTATCTCCTCCGTCTCTTTGGTATTCAGAATGGATCTGCCACGTAGCCCGAAGTCATTTCAGAATCGCACCGGTGCTCCTCAGGAACATAAGAGGGTACATGACTAATGTGTCTTGTCCACATCCAGGCCAGTCAGGACATTCAACACAGCCGTTGTATACTATCACAAGTTCCGGTTACAGCATTCAGATGGAGAGTACAGCTTTGTGGTAAGCCCGCGCTACAAATTTGCAAATTCTGAAGAATTGTCCGCCCACTGAACCACCTGGGTTGCTGACACCCACGCTACTATCAGGACGCCTCAGCAGCGGCACTTTTCACGGCGTGCAAGGTCGAAGACACACTCAAGAAATCGCGAGATATTCTATGTGCGGCACATAACGTGAAAGTCCCCAGAACGGAGCATTTGTCACCGGATGATCAGGTACGCTGTCCCCTTTATTCCTCATCCATAGTTTGCTTGCTCCCTTCCTCCCCCCTGTTGCTTACCCGAATTTTTGGTCTATTCCAGGTCTTCGAACACCACTCCCGCACAATAATCGGCCTTGAAAGACTCATACTTGAAGCTGCTGGCTTCGACTTCCGCAACCGCCACCCGCAAGACCTCCTCATCAAGTTTGCTAAACATTACTCTTTCCCCAAAACTTCGCCCGTGGTCAAGACAGCATATTCGATTTCGCTAGACCTGTACAGGACTTGGGCGCCACTGAAGCAGACAACGGCGACGATGGCGTTTGCTTGTCTCGAGCTTGCAGGACGGTTGCTTGGGGAAGAACACGAGAGGATCTGGAAGGGGTCGGATTACAGGGAATGGAAGGTCGAGCGAGGGATGGTGATGGGTAAGTCCTCCTCGACAATATCACCCTAAAGCAACTCCGAGAAAAAAGAAAAAAGTCTTCGCAAGACTTAGTGCGTACTGACAATCATTTTTTGCCTCTGTCTCTAGAAACTCTTCTTGACCTCCTCGAACTCTACACCCACCATCGCAACTTGACGGCAACCGGGACATCCTTCCCCGTCGACACGTTCCTCGAAGTGCGCATCCCGCTGAACGTCGAGTCCGAGGAGAAGAAGATCCCACGCTACACGGCTTGGGTGGAAACGGGCGGATCCGCAGCGGACCATGCGAAGGGCAGCCACCACGGGCACAGCGTCAACGGCATAAGCGCCATGAATGGCTCCAAGTCCGGCTCGTCGAGCAAGAACGTAAGTCCGCGCGACGTGACGAGTCCGCGCAGAGGCAGCGCGAGCACGAATGCTGCTTCTGGCGGCGGCGGCGGCAGCAGCACAGGCGCGGCGTCTGGATCTGGGTCTGGGTCCGGCTCTGTCGCCGGGATAAAGCAGCGCGTCGGCGAGAGGGGGCGCGAAGGAACGGTGCGCTTCATTCTTAACCCGGATAGGGAAAGGGAGGAGAAGAGCATTGTCGAGTTATTTCGCAAGCCCTGAGATACCCCAAAAATATTGGCCAAGAAAAAAAACAACCAGAAATCAAAAAAGAAAGGGGAAATCAGATCGAGATGATACGACAGGCAGGCAGCCGCGGACTTAAACAACTTGGAACAGGACGCGGGCTGCAGGGCTGGAAAGGACAGGCCCTTCTCATCTCATCCCAGCCCATCCATCCGGCCCTTTTTGTATTCTTTCCGTCCTTCTTTAAAAGAGGATTCGGTCCTGTGCGATGTTGATGAATTCTATTCAGACTGCGAAAAAAACAAGCGAGCAAGTGGACCAACACTGAGGACGGTTTGACTATTGACTACCGCGGCAGCGAGCGAGGCTATTGTGCGGAGTACGGTGTATTCGACTAATTGATTGAACGAACAAACATGCTCGACGGACCGGCCTGGCTGGGCAGGGCAAGGCAAGACGGCTGCGCTGGAGCTGGAGCTGTCACTCCGGCATCATAATAGTCACCATTCTATCGTTGTCATTATTGCATGCGGGAGCTGCATTGTTCTGGATATGTCGTTCAACGGCTGGCGTCTGGCGTTTTGCAAAGGTTGAAAGCTCAAGATATGAAGGGCGGGTTGGTTACTCGACTGCGATGGGCATGGATGGGGGTTCATCAATACCCAGTAGGATTATGAAAAGGCGCAAGGCAGGAAATCGAGAAGCGCTACACGCTACACAGGACACTGTTCGAAGAACAGAGAACAGAGAAGGGAGAAGGGAGAAGGGAGAAGGGAGAGCGACATGTGATTATCCAACATGGAGGTCATCTTTGTAAATACCGTACATATGTATCTCAAGGCTCGCTCGTCAGCCGCTGCACCCAACATGACATGACATGTCCACTGTCCCGTCCTTTCTTTCTTTCCACGCGACCCAAAAAAATTCCCAGAAGCGACTTTGTCTTTGACATTTGACATTTTCGTCTTGCGTGTTTATTAGCAATCTTCCAACAAAACGTCAACTGCATCTCAAAAGCAATCCATCAAATTCACTCCGACAATTTCATCCAACCGCCGCCGTTTCCATCTCTCCTGCTCTTGCCGGCCACAACCACCGACACGACCATCACCCTGTTTGTCCGCATTCTCTCCTAAAGACCGGCCAGCATCTGACTCAAGGTGCCCTTGTCATACTTGACGACTTTGCCCTTGCCCTTGTCCACCTCATGATACCGGTCCCAAAACCTGGTGTAAAGCGGCTCGATCATGCCCTGAATCTCCCTTCCCAATTGCGACCGAACCTCGGCTTCCATGTGCAGACTTTTGTGCCTGGTGATCAACTCATCAAAACTGCTGTTAAAGAGTTTGAACTTTTCCTTGATCTTGTCCTTGTCCTTGGAGGAGAGGGATTTTATTATCGACGTCGAATCGATGGCCTGTCCGGATAAGGGGCGCGAGCCGGAGGAAGTCTGGATTTGGTCGAAGAGCTGGTTGCAAGGGTCGCGCCACGCCGTCAAGTACAGCGACGAACCCGCCTTGCGGTAGGCGTCAAGTTTGGCGTTGTGTGGGGAGATCCCTAGATAGCGAGCGAGGTCTGGTGAGGATTGGACTGCCCGAGTGAGCACGGCGACGCTGTTGAGTTGAAAGATTCCCTGAATGGGTTTCTTAGGGTGGAGAACTTGAGAGCGCGCGTTGAGGGTCGAGAGGAGAGCGTCGACGATGTCGATGAGGTAGTGCGAGAGTAGAGTTGGGTTTTCGGTGGAAGGGGTTAGTTCGAGATTTAGGGTAGATTGGGAGGCCATTCCAGGGGTGGACTTCCAGTTCCCGTCACCGATGGACGAGAGCAGGGCAAGCAGGGGCCGCTCGAATATAGCGAGGTTTTGAAGGCGGGAGGCTGTTTGTGAGACCAGTGGGATTGTGTTACCGTCTGGCGGGAGGGTTGAAATCGACTCGGCTTGTTTCTTGGTTTGACTCAGTATGTCGCTGAACGATGAGCGAGCAGTGTCTCGTATTGGGCGAAGTGCATCCGCAAATTGTGATCGCAGCTGACCCGTTCGTGATTCGAGCCGGTAGCTAAGAGGCGTGAAGAGATCTAGGATTTCGTAGGCGAGGAAACAATCGCTCAAGATGCGTGGCTTGATCCCGTTGTTCAACTCTGACAGAGTACGCGTGAAGGTCGCTAGGGCTTTGCCGCAAGTCACGGTGAAGACCCGCCCAGGATCGTTGCGGAATATCCGGGACGTATTCTCTGCTTCTGCGAGAAACATACCTTCGATACCATTTGCGTACGCCCCCACGCCACTCGAACCTTCTCGGTAGATGCCCGAATCATTTCCTCGCCGCTTCGAGGTCATGATTGAGGCCGTGGCTAGGTTTTGGAGGCTGTTTTGAAGGTAGTCTCCCCTCACTTCGACGTAAATCAGAGTTGCCGCGTCATCATCCCGTTGACCCAGTCTAGCCGAATGCGCTCCAGCTGAAGCCATTGCCATAGCTATTTGACTGAGAGACTGGGCTTTTTCTTGGGAGAACGTGGGGAACGGTATTTGTTTGGTGATGTGATGCAGAGGCTCGACCGGTTGAGCGTCCTCCTGCAGCATTTGCCGGTACATGTCGTTCAACTGGTTGACGCCGGTGGACAAGAGGCTGTGGAAATCGGAAACAGCCTGCTGGTTGGCCCTCATGTTTGTCGAGCTTAGATCAGTGAGAGCCTTGTCGATACGCTTCAAGGCGCTGAGATATTGCGGCAGTCCCGAAGCTTTGGGCCCTGCTCGGATGATGCTCTCCTCGCGGCCTCTGGAGTCGAGCGGCTGCTTGAGCTTTTCGATGGCTTCATTGACCTTGTCGATATTCCGACTGGTGATCTGAAGTTGCTGCGTGTTGCTATAGATGGGCCCGATGGCATCCTTGACAATCTTACCGCTGACATCGAGCCGCGCCAGACTGGCCGCTATGCGCTTGGTGATATCTTTCGTCTTTCCTAAGGAAGCCAGGAGAACTTCAACCTCGGCGCTCTCCTCGGCGAAGGCGGCATTTCTTGGTCCCACCATGTTCAAGGGTTCAAGCACGAACGCACGCCACACAAAATGTCCGGTGGGCACCTGTGCCCATGTACTCTGGTCTGAAACAGCGTCAAGCGGTGTCAGTCTGTGCTGCACAGCTTTACATCTTTGCGGGGGCCCCGGTTGCGTTAAGATGGTGATCGGCGCTGGAGCAGGCTCGACAAAGTGCGTTCTCTAGTCGTCTGTTTGGGCTATACCAAAAAGTGATAAGGATATTCGTGAGATGATAGTAGTAAAGATGTGAGACGGGCAGCACGGCGAACGGATTTCGAGTTTGGGCCACCAGGGCTAATTACCAGGCTGCTTGAAGTTTGATTTGGCGGTTGCCAGTCCCGGTTTAGTCCAGGAACCGCCTACAAGTTTCTTGGCGGTAACTGCGCCGCGACGTCATTGTGACCTGATCATCCCAACAAAATACCGAGCACTCCGTAGAAACACCACCAACACCACCAACACCACCAAACCTCATGAGGCTTGTCGTCTAAACCCCCAAGCTTAGTCCCTCTCGCTCTCTCTCTCATACACACAAGCATGGAATTTGACATCTGCTAATCCCCTTTTCATGCAGCGCTCTTCTGAATATGAGCGCTGCGAGGCTTTTCCTCAATTCGAGCTACCTGCACTACTCCGCCTTGGCCGCAGTCGCTTGCGCCGCGGTTCACAGCTCAACGCGCAGGTCCAATCCGATCAAGCTCGACAGCCCTCCAGGCGCCCATGTCCCTCAAGATGCCTCTCTCATAGCCTACGCTCGCCGTGTGCAAAGCCACTATGCGCAAGCTGACAACCCCAAACGGGCCACCAAAAGAGGGGACTCAACCATCATTGACAGAACAAACGACCCTGATCACTATGCCCCCGCCTTTGAAAGCGATGACGAAAATGCTTGGGCCTCCTTCTCGAGGAACTTCCACAATGTCAAAGAAGGTATTGCAAGGATAGACTGGAGCACCGTCGGCGACAAGATCACAGACCGGGTTGTGCCAAACTGGGCCAAGGCCCTCCCTGACGGATTTCAAAAGCTTCAATTCGAACTCTCGATGCAGCCAGGAACGCTGGCAGATCAGATCTGGCAGGAGGCGCATGACCCTAGCATCAATCCGGAAATCGAGTGGAATGCTACCGTTCGTGTTGGAGACACTCTTGGCAAGGATGAATTGGAGTTTCGGCGCAAAAGGAGGCAGCACGTAGTAAAGGCATTGGCAAAATATCTCGGTCTCGACGAGAGCGAAATCCACCCCGATGACGTGCCGACTATTGCGATCTGTGGGAGTGGTGGTGGCCTGCGGGCGATGGTGGCCGGCACAAGCAGCTACCTGTCCGCTCAAGAGGCCGGTCTGTTTGATTGTGTCACATACACCGCCGGAGTCAGCGGCAGCTGCTGGCTGCAGACACTATTCTATTCCTCCCTGGGTAAGCAAGACCACAGGCAACTCCTGAAGCACATAAAGTCGCGAATTGGGACCCATATTGCTTTTCCGCCGCCAGCATTGAAGCTCGTCACGAGTGCTCCGACCAACAAGTTCATCCTCAGTGGCTTCGTCGAGAAGCTAAAAGGTGATCCTGGTGCTTCTTTTGGTCTCGTGGATGTCTACAGTCTCTTGCTCGCCGCGAGGCTTCTGGTACCACATGGCGATCTCGACGTTAATGATCAAGATCTGAAATTGTCAAATCAACGAATATACATTGAGAATGGCGAATTCCCTATGCCCATATACACTGCCGTCCGACATGAAATACCTGTGGACGTGGAGGAGGAGAAGGAATCCGGAGACAACCTGGCTCTCAAGCAAAAGATCAAGGAGAAAGCCAAGAAGGAGGCATGGTTTCAATGGATAGAGATGCACCCATGGGAGGTGTGGTGTGAAGAGTTTGGCGCTGGCATACCAACTTGGAGCTTAGGTCGGCCTTTCAAATATGGGCGAAATCTATTGCTCGACACCGGTGCCGCCCTGCCAGAAATCCGGCAAAGTCTTCTTCTTGGGATTTGGGGGTCGGCCTTTTGCGCTACATTGGCGCACTACTACAAAGAGATCAAGCCCGCTTTGATCGGGATGGTGGGGTTCGAGGGGGTGAATCTCCTGGTTGAAGAGAAGAACGAAGACCTCATCAAGATTCACCCCATCGATCCGGCTACTATTCCGAATTTCGTGTACGGCATGGAAGGCCAACTCCCCCCGACTTGTCCAGACTCTGTCTTCAAAAGTGATCACCTCCAGCTGATGGACGCTGGAATGAGCAATAATCTGCCCATCTACCCTCTCTTACGGCCTGGCCGGGACGTCGATGTCTTGATAGCGTTCGATGCATCCGCAGATATCCAGAAGGAAAATTGGCTTTCCGTGGTCGACGGGTACGCCAAACAGCGAGGCATCAAAGGATGGCCCGTCGGTGCAGGATGGCCGAAGAAATTGCCGAACCCTCAGGAGAATGCCAAAGCACTTGAAGAAGCACAAGCAACCTCCTCGCAAGAAGCAGCCACGAAACTCGCCGAAGCGAGGGAGCGAGATCGCGAGAATAAAGTTGTGAACAAGGACAACGCTCCGGAGAGCCCTACGACAGGTTCTGATCCAGACGCGGCGAGCACACTGGGCGCCTGCACCGTCTGGGTAGGCAGCACAGCCGAAAGATCCAGCGACGAAGAACCCCCGCCCTCAAAAAGCCTCAATTGGGACGCCGGTGACAGTGAAGACTCCGCTTCTTTTCACCTGATGCAGCCGAATGCCGGCATTGCCGTAATCTACTTCCCTCTCCTTCCGCATCCCGATGTCCCAAACGTCGATCCCGATAAATCGGACTTCATGAGTACATGGAATTTCATATATACGCCCGATCAGGTTGATAGTGTGGTAGAGCTCGCGAGGAGGAATTTTAGGGAAGGCGAGGAAAGGGTGAGGAGCACTGTGAGGGCCGTTTATGAGAGGAAGAAGAAGGTGAGGATGGAGAAAGAAGGGAAGAAGACGAGCAGGGAATGGAAAGGGCGAATGAAAAGAATAGGGAACAGTTTTGTATGAGGCGAGACTGCATTGATGATGGCCAAGATGCCTAACTGTGTACTCCGTATTCTGTTTCCGTCTGGAAGGTCTCGGGGTGTCCAGACGAGGTTCCAAATCTAGAGTTTAGAGACTCGAATATAAGAAGCCCCTGACAAGGATTTGATATATGGCTTATCCCTTACACGATAGCAAATACTCTAGAAATGTCTTCAAGAATGAACATACCATTTCGCAAGACCATTCATTATGCATGAAGAGAACTTCTATCTCTATACCCGGCAATGTTCTCAACAACTACATCTAGATAGAGCCTCCCAGTCCAATTTATTCCAGTCCAATCGAGCGAGATAGAATAAATGGTTCGTGAAAAAAAAAACAAAAAACAAAAATTGCCTTCTAAACGCTAACGTGCTGAGGTTGAACCCAACCACTCCAGCGGCCCCTTGTTCCCTTCCCCTGATCTATGAGCCATGGGATATAACATCGAAGAATGGTTCAGAAATACATGCATTCGTACATGAGACAGCACATGGATGGATGGGTGATTCTCGATCTCGGCACTTTCACTTCAGGCCACATGGGCAGGCGGTTGTGCAACGCACTGCACTGTGCCGCCACCATGCACCTACCACCGTATCGGCTCGTTCGTGGTCGGCCTCGCAGTCTATTGATAGCCGTGCCACCAGTGCAGTTCAGAAGGCCCGAGTAGACCACCCGTCCCGTCATGTAGGCTTCTTTCCGTCCCAGGGCATTGTTGTTCGAGGTCGAGGTCAAGCTTCGCCGAGGGGACGACTTCCTGGACCCTATGAGTCTGAGCATTGTGCGCTGAGGTTTGCTGGCGATTGTACCCTGTAGCTAGCTAGTGACAATGCCTTTCTGGAGTTTTCCGCTTCCTTTGTGCCCACTGCTTTGGCAGGCAACGGAGGCAAGCGCAAGGCACGTGTCGCACAGACAGTTGTCTCGGTATGACTGTCAACATCTTTTGACGGTTCATTGACAGATGTTTTCGGCGAAGCAAAGCGTGGCTGGCTGCAGTGTGCAAGACCGTCGCCTTGAGGCGCCAATAATAGGCCACCATGCTTATCCTTTGCTTCTTTCCCAGTTCATGCTTGGAACCGACATCCTCCTTCCTTTCTTTACAAGGGAAAATGCACTTTTAACGCTCACTCGTGCCACAGTCTTATTCATACGGGCGGATCGCCTTCTCCTTTCTTGTTACCTTTGATCGATTCGATGAACTCTTTGGCCCATTCTTTCGCTTTTTCGAGCTCTTCGTGGAGAAAGTTCCACCAGCTTCCTTTCTTTGCTCCCTCGTCTTCATTGGGGGTTGTCCCATTTCCTGGCGTCTCGTCTTCTGGCGTCTCATCTTCTGGCGTCTCATCTTCTGGCGTCTCATCTTCTGGCGTCTCATCTTCTGGCGTCTCGTCTACTTCAGGTTCAGTTGGAACGTCAACTGAAGCCTCGTCTCCATTTTCAGGTTCCGTTGGAGGGTCAACTGGAAAATTCGGATCGCCATCAGGACTGTCTTCCTCTTGATGTTTCTCCTCGTCGACTGGATCCGCAATTACCTCCGATCCTGGTGTATCACCTTCGGAATGCAACCCCTCGGTCTGCAAGGGAAGCCTTAAAGTCCCATTATTCGCCTGCGGGACAACCCCCAACGAATCACACATGATATTATACACCTCGATGTTCTGAAAAACCGGCACTCGGCTGTTGGGTGCATGTGGGAATGCAGGGCCCCTAGCCACAAAGATAGCTCTCATAAGCGGGTGCTCGTGATCATACCCGTGCAGACCTTTCGGTGCATATTCTTTGCCCGTGCTCAATGCTTCGGCGACGTCGAAGTCAGATTTTTCCACAACTGCCCAGCCGGTTTTTGGAATGATCCACAAAGGGGCGATGCGGGCGTTTTGGGTGAAATGATAGCGCTCCGGCATGGTTTCGAGGGTATAGACTTCAAAATTGCCTGCTTTTGCTGCTTCTTTAGAGAGCTGCTCGTAGAGTATGGGGAGATCGCGGGCTGGGTTCTTGAGACGCAGGCCTCGAAGAGGCCAGCCATCGATATGATCAACTAAGGACATGTCCATGAGATCGTCAAGTTGAATAAGTCGATTTGTGGAAGTCGTAGCCATTCCATGGTCAGAGACGATTACAAGATTGACGATTTCGGTCAGATTGCGCGCAAGAAGGCCCTCAACTAGTAAGGTCAACATGCTGTCGACATCGGCAATGGTGGCCCTGATCTCTGTGCTGTTCGGACCGTAGAGATGTCCATCTGCGTCAACGTTCGGCACGTATGCAGCGATGAACTGTGGTCGCAAGTCCTCATGCGCGGCGGCAGCCTCGTCATCATCACCAGGGAGATCGAGCCACTGTAGAACCCTCTCGACTTTACGAGACAATGCTTCACTGCCGTTGTACTTGTCCACATATGTCGGCTCCACGTCAGGTATATGGGCCTCAGAACCCGGCCACATGTGAATCGCAGAACGGACGCCCTGATGCTCGGCCGTCACCCACAGTGGCTCTGCATTCCACCACTTAGGTTGCATCGAGACTTTGATGTTGGTGTACCAGAACTCCTCCTGCAACACGGGATCCCAAAATTGGTTGCTGACAACGCCGTGACTTTCAGGGTACAGGCCGGTCACCAGGGTGAAATGGTTGGGAAAGGTCACAGATGGGAATGATGGGAGCATGTATTTAGGGGACACACCGCTCGCGATAAAGGCGTGAAGCGCTGGGGTAATGTTGCGATTGAGAAAATCAGCGCGGAAGCCATCAAGAGATACAAGTATTGTTGTGGGTCTGAAGATATGCGTCCCGTTGCTGTATCTGGTAAGTCGGTGAGCCGTGGGCGCGAGAGGGTGTTTCTTCGTAGAGGCCTTGTAGGCGCCGAACAGCAGGGCGACGAAGAGTCCAACGATGGCCAGATATATCATTGTCAGGCGTCCACGATGGGATTTTCTGGGAGCATGTCTGTCCCACTTTGTACCCTCGAACTCGGTGTCCGTGGAGGACTGAGAGCTGGTGTCTTTGAACCCGCTTTCCATCTCAAACATTTTGTCTGAAGATTCCGTTCCACTTCTCCTCGACTTCTTGCGCTTGTGCCTCCGAACTTTGGCGGCAGTGCTTGCTCCATCTTGCCTTCCTTCGTGGAGCCCAAACACGGCTCGTGCTGTCTCTAATCTCGAAGGTTTCTGCAAAAGCCTCTCATGCTCTTCAGTCTCTTTCAGAATATCTCTATCGCCCTCCTTGACATGGCCTGCGCCCTCCAATTCCACTTCGGTGTCAGATCCTGAATCGGAGGGAACAATAACGGCGTCTGCATCGTAGTGTTTCTCAGACAGGAGACCATCGCGCTCACGGGCCATGTCGGTTTATTTTCGAGTTGAATGATGGTTCGACGAGGCGAGTATAGCCAGCTTTTGCTAAGGAGTCATCTCTGGTCGTCAGATGGATGCAGCGGACAAAGGAGTGGCATGTCACACAGCCTCACGATTGACCCCTGGATTCAAAGAACATGGGCCAACGAGGTGATCGTCGGGATTCGGATATATACTTAATCCGAGAAGCCTCGCCAACTCATGGTGGATCCCAGCCTTGTGGCAGCCCCTTTTCCCCTCGCATCCCAATGAGCTGTTCAGCGAGCCCACAACATCCCCGTGCCGAGATGAATGTTTGAAATTAGATGTGGCGGTGCAATGTTGCCCGCACAGACTGGACGTATCAGGCAACAGTCAAATGCTCGTACTAAAAGCCCCAGTTTGGATGTCAACGCGCCCATGGAGAGATTCAACCATCTGTGTTGCCGTTCCACGATCTTGAAATGGAGCGCTTTGAGAAGTTGCGCGCAGTTGGTACGTTGACCATGTCCAATGAGATATCCGATTCTCTGAGACTGACCGAATCCTTGTAAGGCAGGCTGGAGCGCTACTCAACAGCCCGCCATGACTGGAAGTTCTATCTTGGCCCAGCAGTCACTGCCTCGTACAGGCTCCCAAAGGGCCATTCTCAGCCGCTGAAAGACTGCATCTACAAAGCTTTGGGAGATGTCATAGCTCAACATCCTATTCTCTCGGCCATTCCTGTAGACGAGAGTACCCAGAATCCGTACTTCGTTCGTCTCCCAGAGATTCAACTCCAAAAATGTGTCTTCTTCCGAGAACGCCAACTTGATTCTGATCTCGACGCGGATGTTGAGCGGGACATTGAATTAGATGAGCTCCTTAGCACTCAACACAGCGTCCCTTACGAACCGCCAAATCCTTTTTGGCAAGTACATATCATGACGAGCTCTGCTCATCCCTCTCAGTTTACCGCATCTTTTTTGTACCACCATGCTCTAGGTGACGGAGCTTCGGGAATAGCATTCCACAGAACCTTCCATAGCGCTTTGTCCAAGTCCTTCTCCATCTCTCCAGCAGACCTACCTTCGACCTCAGTAATTCCTTCACCTTCAACACCATTACTTCCTGCCCTCGAATCACTACACCCTTTACCCGTCTCAACCTGGTATCTTCTCACTATTCTCTTCAAAAACAAGATCTGGTCCGCCCGCGACCTCGGTCTATGGACAGGCTCCAAGTGTACCGCACCTTTTGGACAATCATGTGTTCGACATCTCGCTTTCTCGGCCCGAAGCACAATAGCATTCAAGACTCTCTGCCGTGAGAATGGCACGACTATTACCGGTGCACTTCAGACACTCATCGCCGGCGCGCTCTTTGCCCATCTACCCGAGAAATCCACCAAACTCGTATGTACCGGTGCGCTTTCAGCCCGTCGATTTCTGCCTGAGGATGCCAGGATTACAGATGATAGCATGGGCGTCTGGATTCTGGACATGTCCGAAACGTATACACGAGATCGCTTCCCCCAACACGGCGACTCGGGACAAGGAGGACGAGATCTTTTACCATGGACCGAAGCCCAGCGCTCCCGCCAGAACATTGAGCACGTCTTAAGCTCGAAAGGCCAGAATGCAGGTGTAGGGCTGCTAGGGTATGTGAATGATTATCAACAAGAGTTGTTTCTATCCAAGGTCGGCAAAGACAGGGACTCGAGCTTTGAAGTGTCCAATCTAGGACTATTCAAGCCAGCGGCGCCGGCAGAGGAAGATGAAGGGGTGGCAATAGGGAGGATGGTATTCACCCAGAGCGCCGGTGTTACGGCAAGTGCGATTCAAGTGTCTGTAATCACTGGGGCAGATGGGTGCCTGGTGCTAGGAGTCTCGTGGCAGAAGGGAATTGTGGACGATAGACTTGTCGAAAAGGCCATGCAAGCCGTGAACGCAGAGATGAGACGCCTAGTAGGCACTGATTGAGTCGACGCACGACATGGTATCATCAGTGAGCTATTCTGGACACACTCACTCTGTACATACAAGGATAGATCTGTAGATTTTACCGACCGATGGCCTCGATAACATTGTTCACTGTACACTGTTCTTTGCACAGTTGTATGTAAAATTTAATCAGGGGGTCAACGCAAAGCCAAAGGACATACCACTTTCATCATCCTGGGTTGGCTTTAGGCGCCCCAGCAGATAGAAAACTGGGGGCATTTTCTCAATCTGGCACTATCTTTCGAGATGACGCGAAATGAAAACATTGGAGGCTGAAAAGGGCTCTCGGAGAGAGAAATACCCTTTAAAAGCCCCCTCTAGTTTCGCCCTCGCTCTTCTACGCTCTTTTCCTCATTCCTCAGCGGACAGCGCACGAAGCAACATACCGATCACAACGATATCCCAGAATCAAGCCAGGACAGCGATATAGACACGGCTCGGCGGTTAGCACACGATGTTTCACCGACGGTCTACACCCCAGAGCCTCGATCAAATCCGCCTTGCACGTCGACAGGCAGAAAGACAACTCGTCGCTACCCTCGGTCCTCTTCACGGCGACTTGGAAGAATTCTACACCTTTGTACCTCTCCCCGATGGTCATAGAGGAGAGCTGAAAGTTGTGCGGCACAAGTTGGGATCCCAAAGTCATCGTCCATTCATCATCCTCTTCCACGGAGGAGGGTTCTCAAATGGCAGTGTCGATTACATGACTCGCCCAGCGCGAGACTTTGCGAGCGAGTTCAACGCTGTGGTTGTGTCTGCGACGTATCGGCTTGCTCCCGAGTATCCATTTCCTATCCCGATGCAAGATGCATGGGATACCTTGGTGTGGCTTTCTCAACACGCCAGGGAATTTGGCGCAAACCCTCAACAAGGCTTCGTGGTCGGTGGGGTCTCAGCTGGAGGGACCATGGCGGCTGTTTTGACGCAGTTGGCGCAGGATCGCGGTCTCACGCCACCACTCACCGGCGCATTCGTGTCCATCCCTCTTCTGCTCGTAAAGGAGATTGTTCCCGAAAAGTACAAAAAGGAATGGACTTCGATGGAAGACAGCAAGAACAATCCATCCTTGAATCGGAACAGCATTCGACATATCATCCGCACACTTGGCCCGGATGTCAGGTCTCCCCTATTTTCACCGTTCAATAGCAGGAATCCGCACGCGGGATTACCACCGACATACGTGCATGTAGGCGGCATGGATGTCCTGAGGGATGACGGCTTAGTCTACGAGAGGGCGTTGAGAGATAACGGCGTGCAGACGCGGTGTGACATATTTCCTAATCTAGGCCATGCTGCTTGGACGATTTATGCCACAGAGTACTCTCGACCGCGACTGGGGCCAAAGATGATGGAAGCGATGAGATGGCTGTTGAGCCGGGAAGGATCCAACAGGGTTTAGAAGGCGACAGCTGGATTTGGAAGAAGTGCTTCATCGACTGTCAATCTTTGCGGCAATTGTTTCAGACATGGGTTGAAAGCATGCGGGGTGATAAAACAACTCCTGACGGTTCAGTCGACTCCTCAAGCCTCAAGGAGCTTAGTAGTGATGTGGTAACTGCTTACCCACCTTTGCCTTGCTTGATAAGACTGCTCAGTGTACTTCACAGTATGTAGCTCGTCAGCCAAACTAGCCTTCATGATTTCGAGTGGATCATGGCCACATTTCCCGAATATTTTCAGTCGTGAATCAAATGTAAAGAATCAGATGTTGATTGCGTTTCTGGCCCATACTGTCGCAGTTGTTGACTAGGCAGAGATGGCTTGAGTGGGCGTATGGCTAAGAGAGTCGGGTGGTGCATCCATTCATTTTGGCCATCTCCGGGCTTGCTTGTCGCGATAATAATACCTCGATGAGAAATGCTGCTGATACGTCACCGTCGAGCAAGGATTGGCCAGTTAGTGGGCAGCTTGCGCTTTCGAATTCAGATTGTGGTAGTGCAGAGAATAACATGTAGCTGTGAGATCCTTGAAGCAGCTCAGCCTCGTCCGCCCGATAGGGTTTAGTGCATGAGGGGTCCATTCTTATGTAACCACGAAAAGTGGGGAATTTCGCGTACCCCACACAACACGAAAAGAAATAATTTCTCGAAACCATTTTGCTGCAGTTTGTAAAGCCCAGTTCTGGATAAGACCTGGTATGTCATTGCCTTACAGATTCAAAGCAGGAGGCACTGGAAGCAATGCTGCAATGGCACACACCACTACTTCTGTTCATCACCACAGAAGTACGACAAAAGTCGACCACAAACCGTTCAAATCGCGGTTTGCCTCCAAGAGCGCCTTGAAGGATCTAGCCAAAGGTGTGAATGGCGTTCCCGGGAAGAAACAGTTCTCACTGACTCCATTACAGGCAAAATTGAGAGCCAGCGACCAGAGAGAGGGCAGAGAAAGACTCCCCACCAACAAGTCATGTCGAAATTGGCCAGACGTAACCAAGCGAAGCAACTGCGCATGCACCACAAGGATAAGAAAGAGGGAGAAGAGATCATATTCCAAGGCGCCGATGGAGCAGCAAAACACATTGCAGTCGTGCCACTCTCCGCCGACATCGACCCGTACTCGACCATCAGAATATTGAATGAAAGTGTCGATGTTTCGGGCTCCAACGTCTCCTCCGGAACGGTCCCCGTTCGAGTCGATCGCTTTCGCCGCCATCTCCTCTATTTACCAGCTAAGTTCGACCTGCTGAACGCCCTGGACATGTGCAAGCTCGCGGACTGGGTGATTTTCGTTCTAGACGCGGAGCAAAAGTACGGCGAAGAGGAGGACTTATTTCTGAGATCGCTTGAAGGCCAAGGCATCACCAATGTCACTGCTGTCGTGAATAATCTGGATCAAAAAGTACCAGGGCCCAAGAAGATGCGACATCTGACAGAGATGAACATCGCTCTGGGTCGTTATTTCCCCGCCCTTGACAAATTGTCCAGCTTGGACAGTAAATCAGATTGCACCAACCTGGTTCGCCGACTTTGCACCGCTTCGACGCGAGGAATCCGCTGGCGGGATGACAGGAGCTGGATGCTGATTGAGCAAGCCAATTGGGGTCAACAAGTGGATGAAGCGGCAAGCACCACCAGCGTGACGCTAATCGGGACGATTCGAGGGAAAGCATTGATTCTGGATCGCCTGGTCCATGTCCCAGGCTGGGGAGACTTTCAGATTTCTTTGGTCCGACAGGTGCCCCGCCAAGGGCAAAAGAGGAAGGCAGAAGAGATGGACGCAGATGAGCCTGTCAAGGAATGGAAACCCACCGCGGACCAGGACGATCTTGCAGAATTGGCGCCTGAGCAGGCGGAAATGCAGGATTTGGCGAGTAGTGTGGCTACCACCGAGCACAAAGGCGTCCTACTCGATGATCATCACTATTTCTCTGACGACAACTCCCACATGCCTCCTCCGCCCAAGAAGCTACCCCCGGGGACTTCCAACTACCAAGCAGCCTGGTTCCTGGATGACGTCTCAGACTCGGAATCCGACATGACCGATGACGAAGATCGGGATGGAGACGTGGCGATGGACGCCGGGCAAGGGTCGCTAGACACTGAAAACGGTGGCGGAATGGTCCTCACCAACGCAGAAGACGGCGGAAGCGTTATCGAAACGAAACCACCTTCCGAATATCCCCAGTCTGAAATGAACATCGACAACGACGACAATGATGATGCCCCACTCGAAGCCGAAGAAGAAGCGCGCCAACTCGAAGAATTCCGCGCCAGTCGCAGGAAGAAGGAAGCCGAAGAAGACCTCGAGTTCCCGGATGAAATCGAACTGCACCCGGACGTCCTCGCTCGCGAGAGACTCGCGAAATACCGCGGCTTGAAGAGCCTGAGGACAAGCGAGTGGAACCACGCCGAGGACGCCCCCTACGAGCCAGCAGAGTACAAGCGCCTGCTGCAAGTGCCGGAGTACAGGAAGTCGTACAACAGCGTGATGAAAGAGTCCCTGGCGGGAGACGTGCTGGCCGGCACGAAAGTCGAGATCGAGCTGCGCGACGTGCCGATTTTACTGCAATCGAGTGCTCCGCAGCCGTCGTCCATGTTCTCGCTCCTCAGACACGAACATAAGCATGCCGTCATCAATCTCAACGTGACACTGCGCTCAGACCTCGAAGAGCCGATCAAATCCAAGGACGAACTGATCGTCCAGATCGGCCATCGCCGACTGCTCGTCAACCCGGTCTTCTCAGGAGCAGGCCAGACGCCGAACGATGTGCACAAATTCGACCGCTTCTTGCACCCGGGGCGGACCGCCATCGCGACATTCATAGGTCCGCTGACATGGGGCTCTGTTCCTGTGCTCGTCTTCCAACGTCGCTCACCTCACCTGTCACCAGACACAGCAGCAGCGCCAGCGCTAATCGACTCACGATCCAACACCCTAGTATCCTCTACACCATCCCAATCAGCACTCCGCCTAATCGGTACCGCGACGACGCTCCCACCATCCTCGACACGCGTGGTCGCCAAGCGCGTTGTATTGACGGGCCACCCTTACAAGATCCACAAGAAGCTGGTGACGGTGCGGTACATGTTCTTCAACCGGGCGGACGTGCTGTGGTTCGCGGCCCTGCCGCTCTTCACCAAGCGGGGGCGCCAGGGTTTCGTCAAGGAGCCACTCGGCACACACGGGTACTTCAAGGCCACGTTTGACGGGCACATTGGGCCGCTCGACGCCGTCGCCGTCGCGCTGTATAAGAGGGTGTGGCCGCGGCCGGCGCGCGTGTGGGAAGGGTGAAATGACTGGTGCGGATTTGATCAACGTTTGGTGGTGCTAGGGGGCTACTTGTAGGTCGAGGGGAGGGTGGATCCAAGGGAGAGTATGTCCGCATGTGTGATGCGTTGAAATGATGTTGATGGTCCATGATGACTAGAAATGATAATGGTATGCTACGACTCTAACGAATCCTATCGAGAATAGAGCATAGAACACGGGGGCAGAATGGTCTGTCTTGTCTGCCATTGTGAATGAATAAATACTTTGTTTGCCTGTCAAGAACCCATCCTCTCTCCCCTCGCGAGCGCCTGACCGACCCAGACCGAAGCACAGAATCTCGTTGCTTGCAATTTCCTAGAGTCCTTTAACCACGTAGCAAGTTCCCAGGTCTCCCAAGCCCACTAAATACTACCGGCGAGACAGCGCTCTCGAAACTCGGCACAATCCGACACAGTCTCTTGCTTAGCTGCGAAAGGTCTTCATTGACCATATTGTCAAGCTGAGCTGGGACTTGTCTCATCACTTTTGTGGCGGCCTGTAAGATTCCAAAAATTCCATCATATACCACTGGTTCTGCTCTCTGGCGTATCTCACGGCACTTTTGCAAACTTCCGAAATGGGCCTGGGTCCGTCGTAGTTATCCAGGAGCAACTTCGCCATGTCGATGCGTCCCCGTTCTGCTGCTCCGTCAATTGCTCGTCTGCCTCCGTAGGGACTTGGGTCGGCATCTATGTGAGCGCCGTGTTCCAGAAGAATTTGGGCGATGCGCAAGTACGACTTGATTGCGGCTGCTTGTAGAGCTGTGACACCAAAGAGTGGAGCTGCTGGAGCGTTTACTTCTGCTCCTTCTGCTAGCAGATACCGGACGAATTCGACATCGCCTGTCTCAACAGCAGCTTGAAGCGCAGTCCTCCCATACTTGTCACATGACGGCGCGGCATTGATTTTGTGACCCAATTCGATGAGTCTGCGGGCACAACTCAGTCTTACCGCACGATGTTCATGGTCGGTATGCTTGAGTGCGGCCTGCAGAGGAGTATCCATGCGAGGGTGGCGGTGGTTTACGTCCACGCCACTGGCGGGCAGTAAATCCATTATTTCAGCTCTCCCGCGAAACGTTTGGTCTTCTAGAAATTCGCTAAAAAGTGTAAACCAAAGGATATCCGATGTAGACATCGACTCGAAACGATATCAGAAGGCGGGCCATCTGGATATCTCCGCTGTAACATGCTGCCTCAAGAGCAAACAAGTCACCCCGTTGCGGCCGTCCGGCCTGGAGCTCGCTGTTACCAAGTTGGCCCAGATATGGATCCGCCCTATTACGAAGCAGCATGTTCGTGATTTCAAGGTCTGAGTTTGCGACCGAAATAATTATCGGCGATAATCTTTGCGGGTCATCAGGTTCACTGCTGCAGTAGATGTCTCTGCGCATGATGGAGTTGACATCAGCCCCTGTAGCCAATAAATATTCGACAATGTCTTTGCGTTTCAATGCAACAGCCACATGCAGAGCAGTCATACTGCGAGTCCCCCAAGGCTGGTTCTTAGAAATGTCAGGTTTGTTCAGATCAGCTCTGGCATTGCACAGGCAGGTTACGGCATCCAGGTTGCCCACAGCAACTGCCCAATGCAGAGGAGGTAATGAGCACGTCGCTAGCATTTCATCGATATCAAAGACAAGATACGGGAATTTTAGCTTCTCGTCCAGTGCGGGCATTGGACATGCATCGTTGGCATCTGCGCCCCATTCAAGCAAGAGAGACATGAGCGCCAAATCTTGACTCAAAATCGCTGCTGTCAAGGGCGAGGAGCCATCCCTGCACTTTGCGTTCGGAGACACTCCGTCATGCAACAACCTAAGTGTCCGCTCATAGTCGTGATGTTTGACGAACCCTTGAAGAATCATCGTGGCGTGATTTGGAACAGAGGAACAGTCAAGCTTTGCACCCGCCCTTTGCAGCAGGTCAAATATGGCACCAAATCCTCGTTCGGCGGCTTGTTGAAGTGCTGTGCCTCCCCATCTTCCCATTGAACACCAATCCAGGTCTGCCCCAGCAGAAATCATCCGCTGCACCAATTTCTCGCTTCCTGAACACACTGCGGCCTCAAGAGGCGATAGGCCGCTTTCTTCCACCCCTGCTGGGTTGATCATTGCACCCCGCCTGATCAATAAGTCGACAGTAGCATCTCTCCCATGGCATGCTGCGATCGACAAAGGAGGCGTGCCATATACTGGATTCGCTGTTGCCCCCTTGCTCAAGAGATATTTCGTCATCTCTGGATCGTCAAGGCCTGCTGCGGCTTGTATTGGGAAGGCGATGAGAATTTGACAGTCCTCATCGATAGAATCGAATCTCCAAAACTCAGACTCTTCAATAAGTTGTTTCCTTTTAGCTGTTTCGAGGATGCCCAATGCCGACCAATTTGGATCTGCGCCATATTCAACCAGTAATTTGACCATGTTCAGACCCGCACACTCGACAGCAACGACGAGAGGCGACTTGTAAAAGTAGCTGGTCCAGGCTTCCATGATTCCCCCGTGTCCGCGTGTTAGTGAACCATTTGGATTTGCGCCTTTGTCGAGAAGGAGTCTGACCATTTCGACATCACGAGAACATATTGCTGCGCAAAGAGGGGTTGACCGCCTCGCAGGGTCGAGGCGAGTCAAGTATTCAGGTAAAAATCCGCAACATTCGTCCACTGACGCACCGTGTCGGAGGAGCATCTCAACCGTTTCCTTGCTAGCACCGCAACATATCGCCTGTGTAATCACTGGACCAGCCAGTACCACCGGTGTTGATACTTGTGACTTTAGTAGTAGGGGAACGATTTCGTCAGCAGTACGGGAAAAGGCAGCAGCGCTAATGGCACATTCGTTCCTCGCCCACCAAAACTCAGCGTTGCAATAAAACCTGGGAGATTGGGAGGACTCTGAAGTAGTGCACTCAGCCGAATCCTCGTATAATGGACAAACTTCGTCATGTAGATTTCGGCCATTCATTCTCCTCACGGTTATGTCTGCGCCAGCATCGATGAGTAATTCAACGATTCGAACTCTCCCACGCTGCACCGCTTCCAGAATCAAAGTCTTCGGGTTGTAGCCGGTAGACCTGCGATTCGCATCCACCCTGTTCTTCACAGCGCTCTTCACCAAACTCAGCAGGTCCATCCTCACCGCCGCAAACAGAAGTTCTGTCACGATGGCGCGAGTGCTGGGGTCTTCTCTCAAAGGGAGCATATCGAAAGCATTAAGCCCGGCCATTTCGTTCAGACCAATCACGAAAGCGTCAACTTGTTCCCAGTCCAGAAGGTGGTTGGCTAACATGAGCGCCATAAATGACGTGAGAACTTGCATCCTCGTTATCGAGTGGGGGCTGATTAGTTGATTGACGACGCTTTCGGTCTCTCCGGGATATTGTTCGGGGATATATGGTGCAATCCAAACCATGGTATTTGCGAGAACTTCCTGGCTAGTCCACCCCGGCGTTATATCTAACAGGCTAGCAATGGTTGCATTAACGACATCACCGTCTCTGGAAGTCTTCCGTATCGTGCGATCTTCGAGAAACTCAAGAGTCGGATGATAATTTTGAATCACCTCGGTTTGGAATGGACAACGGAGAAATATCTCTTGCCAGTCTTCCCCGTAGCCCAATCCAGGCATCCCGTCAGTGACATCCAAGACAGCAGATGGTAATGGCGACGGAGAACGGTCCGTTTTCCTGGACAAACCCGACATGGCCATTTCGAGCTGAGTGCATATCTGGTGCCACGGCAACGAGATGATGAGAGATCGCGGTATCTGGATTCTCGGGCGGATGAATATCCCGTCTGGCGTTGGGGGTCTCGCCACAGTTTGTATCAACGTGGGAAGGTCGCATCGAGAAAGCTGCCTCCTCAGCTTTTTGTCCGGGATAAGTTCGCCTTTCAAGAAGACGTCCACTTCGTCAATGGTGAGGCGCCTGCGCTTTAGTGTCAAGCTGATGTCTTTCCAGAAGTCACGCTTCTGGTTCTTCCGGATGCCCCAGGCTTCGAACTGCCTCATGTATTGAGACTTGCTGCCGAGAGGGTGAGCTGAAAGCAGAATTTTGTGAGGGCGTAGTTACCTTGCACTGAAGCCATGATCCCTGGACATTTCCTCTATCAGTCGGTTCATGGGCATGTTTTGGTCGACATAGAGGCGACAGATGGTCTGCTTATGCTTCTGCCAGGCGGCATTGGAGATCTTGTGAGGCGCGGTCATGATGACAACGATGGATTCGGACGAGACACCAGACGATGGCAGCGGGAAGATTGACAAAGCTCAAGGGAGAAATGGTTTCCGGTAAAGAAGAAAGATGAAGGCTCAGGTCATGGTGCTCGTTGCAGTGGTGGCGGCCGTGGTGGCTTTAAGCCCCAGCGAGCGAGACGACCACGGCACCATGAAACTTGAATGATGAGGCTGTCACATGGTAATAAAGAAGGCAAATGCTGCACTGGTAAAGCGTCTCGTATTTGTGACATGGGTACAGCCGAGCCATGGATTTCATTTGGTGTTGCCAGAAGTTTGGGCCTGACTAGCCAGAAGGTCGCCGCCTAGTACCCCAGTACTGGGTACGGAGGATCAATTGGCAATGGGCACCCAAAGCACCCCCACTCTTGCCCACTCTTGCCCACTCTTGCCCACTCCTCAGCCTAGTGAGCCCCCTTCAACCCCTTGTATTGACTGCGGCTGTGCGACACTGACCAGCGAAGCAATTGGCTCCAGACAGAATTTCGCCTGCCTACTTGTTACAGTTGTTGGCGCCGCTTTCATTCCTTGTTCTACGCCGGTCGAATGCCATCGTAGGCGGGTGGCAACTGCTGCAGCGCGCCTGCGATTTGCCCAAGGATTATACCTGGTCAAGAAATCAGCAGAAGATGCAAGCCATCAAGATTAATCTCCAGAGCCTAGATTACGGCCGTCGTTGTGGCCGGCGTCTCTACATCGCCGCCCTCCCTCTCCTGCTTGCTCATGCCCTCTATCCTCTTCCGAGATAGCTACAGCCCAGTTATCAACAAGATCACAGAAAGGACCGAGTATGCCAACTACAATTCCTATCATATCTGTCGTCCCCTCTTGACTTTGATCAGGAAGTGAGAGGAAAAGGAAGTCGTTGGATCCGTCAACGTCGACGGAGATGTCTCGCTGGTGAAGATAGTCGTGCAGGCTGGCAAAACCGAGCATGTTCGCGATCAAGCCGCTTAGTTAGTCGAGGGCAGAGAAGATTTTCTCCAAAGGTTTCTATATCGAGGATGGCGCTGTCCTGATTCGATGGCCTGAGAACGAGGGTGGGGAATGAACAGTAAGTCGATCAGCAGGCCGAGCCCTATGTAGGAAGAAATGCTACTGACATGACCGAGTCACAGTTCCCGGGCGAGAACGCGGCTACACGGCTACACGGCTACACGGCTACACGGACTTCGGCTTTTGTTCATTTAGGAGGATCAGTCTGAGTGCATTAGCTCTTTGCTGAAACTATCCAGAATTCCCAGATACAGCTGGAGTCCAAGATTACGGGTTGACCATCAGGCCTAGCAAACCATGGTGGTGGCATGTAAGGCTGAACCTCAGCCTGGTCCCCATGCTCCTCGCTCCATCCGCATCCTTCCACCTTCCCTTCACCATCAGCCCTTCACCCTCGCCTCCAATATCTCAATGTCCTCCCCTACTCTCTGCATCTCCTGTTCAATCTCTCTATACCTTCCTCCCAACTTCCCCATGGCCCCAACTCCGGGATCAACGGCCTCATACTCCCGCAACACCCCTTCCAACAGACTTATCCTGTCATCCAACTCACCCTCTTCCTTTTCCGCATCGGTCATTTTCTCCCGGATCAAGGCCTTTCTCCCCTCCGCTTGCGGAGAAAATTCAACTTCCTTCCTGGCCTCTAGCACCAGAACCCGCACCTTCAGCGCCATGGCCTGCGCGACGGTATCCAGAAAAGCAATTTTCGCCATCGTGTAGCGAGAAAGGACGCCGTGCTTGGAGGTCTCGAGGTGCTGGATCTGCAGCTGCAGGAGCTGGCGCTGGAGAGTGAGGAGGTGCTGGAGAGTCGTGGTCAATGTCGTGAGCGATGTTGGAATGAGGGTGTCGCGCAGATCGGACAGGCGGGATAGTTGGGTCTGGATACTTTCGTGCAGATTTGGGGATGCACGAAGGTGGCCTTGGGTGCTTTTAACTTTGGCTTGGACCTCGTCCCCATGGTCGTGTTCATCTCCATCGCCATTCTCAAGTGCGATATCCGACAACACGCAGAGCGACGACTCCAGCTCGCTGAGGCGCGAAGAGAGCGCGTCAGCAATGGGACGGATATTCGCCATGAAGCGCTGGATATCCTCGTAGAGAAGATCTTCGTCGTCCTCGCCCTGTTTTCCCACCCCTGTCCGCCGTGCAGAAACTCCATTCGACAGCGGGGTCCCCAACCCGTCAAGCCTGAGGTGCAAATACGCCGCGATGACACGAACGAGCTCGCGCAAGCTCGACGGGAGATAGCTGTAGCGCCTCACAGCAGAAGAAGACCGATTGGCCACGTCCTCGTGCTCGTCTGATGTCTTGCGTCCATTCGTCGCCGTCGGGCCTTGGGAGTCGGAATCGGGATCGGGATCGGGATCGGGATTCGTGTTCGTGACAAGGTCCAAGACCTGGCTCGTCGCAGAGCCAGCCTTAGACGTGGTCCTAGATCCTGCCAGCGTAGTGGATAGGGACGCACGCATGGGTATACGACTGCGACTCGCCTTCTCCGCACCATGGGACTGATTGGATTGACGAGCCTCTCTCACCGCGCCAGCAACATCGCCGTCACCTTCACCTTCGCCATGGTCTTCAGGCGAGGAGAAGTCAGGGTCCGCCAGACCATCGAGTACATCGCAGAGGATATGCCGCTTGACTTTGTCGAGCCTGACGGCGCGGAGGTGTTCTTCAAAGCGGAAGCTCGATCGCTTCTCTTTCTGCTCTTTCGTGTCCTTTGTCTCGTCGTTGTCCTCTCCATCCTCGTCATCCTCGTCATCTCCATCTCCATCATCGTCCCCATCGTCGTAGCTATACATTCTGCCCTCCCCTCCCACGCCACCTCCACCACCCTTCCCCGTCCCCGTCCCCTTTCCTTCTCTTCTCATCCTCGCCCTCCGCCTCGCCCTCTCCTCCTCCCCGTTCCTCAACGAGCCATCGTCCTCCAACAGCTCGGTCGTGACGTACTCCCACAACCTCGCAAACGAGGGGTTTGTCTCCAGGTCTGACGCCGCGAGTAATGGGATCATTTCATGTGCGTCCGGGTTTTGTCTCCCTTCCGTCCTTCCTGTCAATATCGACCGCGGGGCCGGAGACACACTCACTCACTCACTCGCTCTAAAGGCCTATTATATTGACTAGCATCACCCGTCGGACTGGACGGGACTGGACGGGGCTGGACTGGACAGGATGTAATGGTGGGGGATTTTGACTCGCCAGAATGGGTTCGATCGGAGTCTCTAGAAGTGGAGCTTGGATTGGAGGAGACAGAAATGATTGGCTGCACAACTACTACAGTGACCAGTGTCAACGGAAAGGCTTTGGTGGCATCTTACAAAGTAATTGTCTGCACGTGAGCCTAGGACACGGCGAGATGGTACCTAAAAGAAAGTAGAGAAACGCACATGGTTGGATTCTTTTTAAATGATTTTTGTTCATTCATTTCATCTTCGTCTTTTCTCCGGTTCAAGCACTGCCCGCGGGCTGCGTCTATCCGCCGCTCGCTCATCCTCTCGGCAAAATAGCGTACTGTCTACAAACGTAACTGCCAATCTCAATTTCACCCACGAGGCTTGCTGTGTGCGTTTTGACTCGACTCTTTGCAGCCGTTCTTTTTCGCCTCAGAACGTGTGCATGACCCGGTTGCTATTGTTGCGCCGCATAAGCTGCACGACCAATTTCTCGTCGTCTTTCGAAATGCCATTGCTAAAATGACGTGGTTTGTTCTCAATCACCCATCAAGCTGGCGGGCGAGCTGAGTGTCCAAAAACTACTCCTCCTCGCTCTCTTCCGAGTTGTCATCGTCGCTACTATCGCCCGTCTCTATCGAAGGTACAGCATTCGGAGAAATTGGTCCCGCGTAAGCTCCCAATTTGCCCTTGAGCTCCTCAATCTGAGCTTCCTGCTCATGCTTGCTCATAGGCTTGCTCTTCTTGCTCTTGTGATGGACTGGCGCATGGTAGGCTTCCGTGTGTTCCACTTTCGGCTCATCTGGAGGTGGACCGGCGTACTTCTTGACGAAGCCGAGCAACTTCAGAAGTGCACTGTTGGGGACTTCCTCGATATCCAGCTCAATCTCGTTCTGATCACTATTCGCCAAGGATGGAACGCTCTGCTGGATGATGCGCAACGCTTCCTGCATTTGCTTCTCCGGCAGCATCGCTATGCCATTGGAGATGTACTGCTTCTCGGCGAACGTCACGTAACGATCTTTCTCTTGTTTCTTGGGCTGCGGTTTCTTCTTCTCCTTCTTGTCTTTGCCCGGCTTGGAGACCGCAGCTTCCGGTTTCTCCTTCTTGGCTTTCGACTTGTCCTTTTTCTTCGTAGGAGGTGACTTGGATTTCTTGACCTTCTTCTGCGTCAGTTCACCCATCTGCTTCGACATCTCCTCAATCTGGGCCTGCAGCTTTTTGATCTTCTCGTTCCGCTCCTCCTCGCTATCGCCCTCGCCTTCATCTTCGCTTTCCTCTTCTTCCTCTTCCTCTTCGTCCACATCGGACTGTGTCACCGACGGCGGCTCCCGTGCAGCGAGCCAGTCATCTTTGCCCGCCCATTTCTTGTTGAACAAATCTTCCAACTGATGGCCAGAAGAGTTGACCAAGTCGCCTTCGGGATTGAATTTGTAGCAGTTTTTGAAGATCAGACGAACATCCTCCTCAAAGTCCTTGGCCTTCTCATAAGCGTTATTTTGGAGTTTGGTCTTGACCGTCGACAGGTCCATCGGTTTCTTGATGATCTGGAAGTACGTCGGAATGTTCAAAGCCACGGGATCCACAGGATACATGAAGTATTGATTTGCCTGCCAGTGTTTATTGTTCATGAGTTCTTTCAGAACTTCATCGCAGAATTTCAATTGCAACTCATACTTCTTCTTCCTGGGTCTGCCACCTCCAAACTCCGAATTGCGCTTAGTCGGAACAATGGCTCTCTTTGGTCGGCCATCGGTCAAGCTTGAATCACGCCGAATAAGAGGCATGCCATCCGGATTGGGTGCGAATGCGGGAGTTGGGGGGGCTGCGGAGCTGGGTGAACTAGCTGCGCCGACATTGGTCGTGGATGTGCCCACAGACGGTCGTCGTGGAGGTGCTGTTCTCGTTGGCTCTTGCTTCTTTGTTGCCGCTTTCTTTACCTCTTTGGATGGCTCTTCGATGCTGGCTTTTGGTAGATTCCTCATCTGGCCATCAAACGATGCCTTCATCTTCCTGGCCTGCTGTGAGACACCGTGGTCGGGACCGTTAAAGGTGAAGCAGTTTTTCACGATTAGCTCAAAGTCGGCCACAAAAGTAGCCACTGATGTGTACTCGTTGCGCTTTAATCGCTGATCAATTGTGCCCAGGTCCATGGGGTGCTTAATGACCTCAGGATACGTGGGGATATTGAGCCCGACATAGTCCACGGGAAGTCTAAAAGGACCAGAGGCATTACTCTTCTTCAAATTTGAAATCACCTTCTTCATATGAGCCAAGCGCGCTGGAGTGACAGAATCATCGCCATCTTCCGTGACTGCCGTAGACGTCTCGGGTTCACCGTTGGCCGTAGCTGGTGACGACACAGCGGGTGCAGGTACATCCGGGACTTTGAAATGTGGCTCTTCGGTCTGTGGCCGAGGTTCGTCTGTCTTGACGCGCTTGACAGTACGTTCGGTCTCTTCAGTGTCCTCGTCGCGCTCATGGACCTGCTTGACTGGTTGAGCTGACACATCTGCCATTACTTGATCCTCCGTTTCAGTTGGAGCAGGAACAGCTGGCGTCGGCGCGGGCTCGCTGGGCTCGGCAACTGTAGGAGTTGGCTCGGTGGATCGTGGCGGTTGCTTTGCCGGTTGATCTGAGGGTTTCTGCTCAGGCAATGAAGCAGGCCCCGGCTGTGGTGCAGGAGGGGGTGATTGCGCAGGCGGGGAAGGAAGGCCAATATTTGTGGCGGCTGGAACTACGACCGGCGCAGTTGAGAATGAAGTGGCGATTTCTGGTTTGAGAGGAGCAGTTAGATCGGCGGAATTGTCGAGATTGTGTTTTTGGGTCTCGACCTTGGCGACAGCTTCAGGCGTGAGCGCGTCTGAATGAGGCGCAGTTCGAAGATCAGATACCGGTGCCTCCGGCAGAACTGCGGGAGGCTCCGAAACATCCATGGCTGACTGGCTTGGCTCCAACGGTGTGGCCGAGGACTGAATTTCGGTAGGGATGGAAGAGGGGATAAAAGATTCGGTCAGGTTGGAGTCAGATACTGATGATGTTGCTATTGGGGGTGTGGCAGAAGGGTTGCCAAGAGGAGGTTGAGGTTGAGAGTCGGGAACCATTATATGTTGCTGGACGCGTTCCCCGTCATGGTCTGTAATCCCATTTGTGGCAGGCAGTGCTGCTGCTGCTGCTTCTTCAGAAGGAGCTGAAGGCGCTGCCTCAGGAACTGCCTCAGGAACTAGCTCGGGAACCGCCTCGGACACTGCCTCCGGCACTGCTTTTACTAGATCTGATTGAGGCGCATCAACGACAGGCTGCTTGGGTGGACTTGGATTCACCGTCGCTTCCGAATTTGATATCGACGCAGCCAGGTTGTCCGCAATATGAGACTCCTCGGGCTGATCTGAGGTTGAACTGAACTGTGTCGGCAGTCTGGTAAGGGTCAGATGAAACGAGTCGCGACTTCGGGGGGAGGTGAAGTTCACATACCCATGAGCCTCCATCTGCATTTCCACGTCCATGTTGCCAAGAGGAGAGGATGCGCAAATCTCAGGCTGGAGGATATCGGACCAGCCGAATAAAAACAGGTGTTTGGTGAATGGTAATTAATTAAGATGGAGATATTTTACAAGGCGCAAAGGGGCGAATGGATGACGTGAAGAAAGAAGACAAGACAAAGAGCGTGCGCGCAAAGTAGGTAGACGCGGGCCAAAAGTGAATCGAAATCAGATATGGGGGAGGGTCGCGATTAATAAATAGTCGACGAGATCCAGATCTAGGTCCAAGACGAGCAGCAAATGGAAGTGTATCGACTCAGCCCGGTGCGTGTGGCCAGTGGCGACACCAACTTCAACACCAGCCTCGCGAAAATCTCGACGGGTCATGTGACAGCCACCGCTGCGTCACGTGGGCCGAGCGTGGGAAGGGCTCGGGGCAAGCCTCGCCTCAGCAGGTGTTTGTTTCAAATCAAAGGTCAAGAAACAGGCAACAGTCTGGACCGGGGAGAAGTGGCGACGGTGATGACGATGATGGCGACGATGGATGATTGATGATGAAATGGCGATGCGCAGGACCCTTTGTCGCGCAATAATCGATGGGAGGGTTTGATGGATAAAAAAAGGTGATGCGCGTGGATGGGGATTGGAGAATGTTTTTGTTTGTTTGGCGCGTCGTCAGCGGGCAGGCCAAAAGGAGGCCAAAGGAGGGAGGCCAGGCGAGGCGTGGGTTGGGTTCGTGGGAGGGCCGGGTTGAAGAGGACCAGAGGGAAAAAGGACGGGGACCGTGGTCTCAGAAGGAAGGCCAGCCGAGCGGCGGTATTTTCAGGTTGAGGTGCAAGCGACACAACAAATTTTGCGCGGAAGCCTGTTAAATAGGATCGGGCATTCGCAGCCACCGAGGGGTGCAAGCCCAGCGCGACGTCCACCACGGAGGCCCACAACGCCCTCTGCGCCCTCTGGCCCTGCAGCAACGCTAGGCCATCCTGGCATGGTCATCCCTGCAGAATCGAGAGAGTGGATGCACAGCGCCCTCGTTTGTTGGGCCTGATTGGCCTCTGCCGACGCCTTCCTGGCCTCTTAGCTCTGTCCAAGCAAATCGATTGCTGCCCCCCAAGTTCAAGGTCTGATTCCGAGTCCTGTGCACGGCCGGCCTGGCCTTCTGCTTCTGCCTCTGCCGCAAATCGTGATCCTCTTTCCCCTCTGTCGCTCGCTGCCCTCTCTGCTCCCCTTCTCTTTTGCCCACTCGTGGATTGGTCTGACGCCTCGCGTACCTCGGCCACCTTTCCATCATCTGTCTCCGTCATCCCTCCCCGTCATCTCTCCCATTCATCGCAGGACCCCCTTTTTGTTAATTCCTTTTGGGTGTCTCAAAATTCTTTCGGTCTCTGGTCGACCAGCTTCAGCTGCATTAATTCCCTCGACGCGAACCGCATTCTGGTTTGTTGATGCGCTTGGCAGCTTTCCTGAGCAATAACAATTCGCTTTGACACTTAGCCCGCTCCGCCTACCCGCTCCATCCCTGCCTCCAATTCCATCATGATGACCGAAGGTTGGGTCACGTGATCACACCTACGTGACTCGGGAATTTTGCTCGCATAGGGCAGGAAGTATGCGTAGTACCGTAGAGTGTGGACGGTTCTCTGTCTCCCTGAGCACTCGGCCTCCGTCAGGCAACAAAGATGGTTGAACATCATCGTGAAGGCTGTTGTCAAGAGAAATGGTCATCTGGTCCGCGAAAAGAGCACTGGTGACGGCCCATCTTGCCCCTGGAGAGTAATTTCCGCAGCTTTCCGCCTTGACCGGTCGAACCGGAGGAAGAAGGCCATATCCGATCCAGGCAACTTTGCGAACGAAACACTGTGCCGCCCTGCTTTCTTCGTTAGGTTCACTTACTCCGGAGGTCGGACGTGAAGGAAGTGGAAAGAAAAATTGCGCATGGCATCGCCTTTGTAGATCTGGTCAATAATGCGCCTTCCTGCAGCGCTCACGGTTGATGAACAAGAGATATCACAGACAGTCATCTGATGACGAGCGAAAAATGGGTGATTCGAGGGGCCTAGAGTGACAGCCACGGAACACAATTGAACATCAGGCGTCTCTCAGTTGGAGATACAGCGGGTATTTCCTCATGGCGGATGCCTGCAAGAACAGGGGGTCCTGATGCAAAGGGCAAGCCATTTCCATCAGCGGAACTGTGCACAGCATCGATGACAACTTCATGCATACGGTAAATGACCGCAAAAGAGAATTTTGGTGAAAGGGAAGATTTCTCTGGAGGGATTCGCGAATGTAAGGGCAATGCTTGGGCGATGGCACTGGTGAAGAGTTCAAGGCCTCTCCGGTAGAGCAAGGCGACTCTGAGAGCAGAAACTTCGGCTGAACAGATATGCATCCAAACGCATTTCAGCTAGTCCTGGAGCGGATAGGCGTCATCTGGACCAGCCGACGATTGATTCTCCGAATATTCGTCAACTTTTTTTCTGCCGGCCTGATAAATTCTGTAAACCACCACTCAGTAGGTCAAAGTGCGCGACTCCAGGCACCAACAGTCAACCACAACCGCAATGCCATTTGGAAATTTACATTCTACTTGAACACCCCGTCCCCCCCCTCTCCCCGTTCAACTCTCCGAATTAGCCGCCAACATGGGTCGCAAGGACCCTCAAAATTCAGTCTCCAAAATTTCCTCCGCCTCTTCGCCTGCCGTGGGCGCCGGTGTCAATACCCAAAAATCTTCAGTATTGAGATCTGCGTTTGCCCCGTCACAACTGCAGTTACATCTCTTCGCCTCAGTCATCCAGAGTTTCGATGTTCACCAATTGCGCATTCATGATACTACTTCTGGACGTTTGCGCAGCCAGCACGAGACCAGAGCTGGATCGAAAATATCTTGCCTTGATTGGGGTTACTATGGTGCTGCATACCGGGAACGACAACAATCAGCTTCAAAGAAGAAGCGCAAGCGGGACCAGGAGAATAATGATGGCGTAGTCGTCGCCTACGGAACCAATGCCTCACAGATTTGCATGTTCTCGCCTGCGGAAGGCCGAATTGTAGGTACTCTGAATGGGGCCCATGAAAGAGGTGTCAAAGACTTCAAATTCTCTTGCACGGACTATCTGCACGCCTGGAGCATAGGTGAAGATGCGAGGCTGTTACAGTGGGATCTAACTAAGGACCAACCCATAAGGTCAGTAGATACCGCGGGTCTATCCCGTCAAGTTTGGCTGTTAACAAGCGCAGGACAATCAACCTCCCAGACCCTGCTACCAGTATCCTCGCTTCACCCTCTCAAAATCCCCCTCAGATCCTGTGTGCCTCTTCCACGCCGTTTGCTATCGAAATCACATCGTCGGATGATTTTCGGATAGGTCGCTTCGATTCCTTCAAAAACCCGATTCACTCTTTATGTCGATCGGGTTCAGAGGTGTCAGGGACCTCTGAATACTTCCTCGCCGCAGACCCGGAGAGATATATCAACGTCTATGACATATCCCAAAAGAAACTAGTGCGCACCTTGGTCGCAGGAAGTGGTGTTGTTTCTCTCGATCTCTCGACTCCCACAGACGAAACAGCAGAGTTCTTCCGACAACAAGTCCTCAGCGTCGTGACAAAAGAAGGGAGCGTAGAGCTATTTCCCAAGCCCTTTACAGATATTCAACAAATTAACGGTGATTTGAAATCTAGCAGGAAGAACCTCACAAGGAAAGCCTCGGCCTCGATTCGACTGGTCAGACCGGAGTCAAAAGCTAAATATGTCCCCATATTTGCAGCATTCCTCCAAGGATCCCACGTCGTCGTCGTATCCGCCGACGGCGGCGTGGATCTAACCTTTCAGAAAATCAGATGGCAAGACGAAGGAAACGGGGAACTGCTATTTGACGGCGTAAAAGAGGTTGTGAAAGCGAGGAGCTCATCTACCCTCAATACAGCCACCCTCAACGGAGTTAAGGATCTGGGAAAGACACATGTGGATGAGTCGAGGACTGTCGTCGTCAATGGTGGAGCCGGAGGCGCGCCCCTGGCCAATGCTATCGAAATCTCTGACAGCGACGACGATGAGGAGGCTGACGAAGATGAGGGGGACGAATCTGCAGACGAAACAGCGACCAGGTCGAAGGGCGAAGGTGCAGAAGAAGATGATGATGAAGAAGAAGCTTCAGATGAGAACTCCGACGAAGAAATGGCAGACGCTGAAAAAGCTGAAGATGCCGCAGCCATGGGCGAAGCAGCGGCCGAGCTTGAAGGAGAAAGAGGAGTACCTTCATTCGGCGAACTCCTAGCATCCAAGCACCCCCACGAGATATCCATCGCATCAGCCCTTCCTCAACGCGACATCTCCACCGTTACACTCAAACCCAACCAGACAACAATCCCGTCCGGCATGTCTCTCTCCACGGTGCTCACCCAAGCACTCCGCACGAATGACACCACTCTTCTCGAAGCTTGCCTACATACTTTTGACATGGCCATTGTCAAGTCTACTATCCAACGGCTTGACTCCACCCTCGCTGGTCTTCTCCTGTCGAAACTCGCTGAACGTCTTGCGTCTCGCCCGGGACGGTACGGACATCTCATAACATGGGTACAGTGGACGTGTATCTGTCACGGCGGAGCGATTGCAAGCCAGCCGGGTGTTGCAACTAAAGTAAGGACGTTGTATGAGGTATTGAACGCGAGAATGAGGACGTTGGATGATTTGTTACTGCTGAAGGGAAAGTTGGATATGTTGGATGCGCAGTTAGATTATCGAAAACAGCTGCTCGCTCAGAGACCACAGGGCAGCAGGAAAGGAAGGGATGAACCCGGGATCATCTACATTGAAGGGCAGGATAATTGGGATAGCGACGATGAAGATTTGGATGAGGAAATCGCCAGGCCCAGCAAGAAACTAAGGACGAAGCAACAAAGGGATCTGGATGACCTTATCGGCGACGACGAAGAAGAAGAAGAAGAAGAAGAAGAAGAAGAAGAAGAAGAAGAAGAGGATGACGAAGATCTCATGCCTCTCCAAAACGGCGCTGACGATACGTCGTCCGACAGTGACGAGGATGAGGATGATGATGAACCCACGCTTAACGGCATACCGAAAGCTCATGCTCGGGGCCTGCTGGATGATGAAGCCGAAGTCTCCATCGCCGAAGAATCAGACCCGGATGATGAAGGACCCTCTCCAGCAGGTTCAGATACTTCATCCGTCGCATCTTCAGACAATGAAGACGCCAGTAGCAGCTTGGGCGAAGAGAGCGATGATGGCGAAGAAGAGGACGAAGATTCGGAGATGGACAGCTTTATCAACGACGGGTCCGTTGACTTTGAAGAGGAAGTTGGTGACGAGGTGCGTGTGCCTGGTGACTCCAGTGACGACGACGAGGAGCCCGGAAACGAAGATCAAGATGAGGAGCCTGAGACTGAGCCTGCGCCGAAACTAGCTCCCTTCGCCAAAAAGGGGAAAGGAAAGGACAAGGATAAAGCTCGGCCGAAGGCTAGGGGAAGACTCCCGCTCGTTAAGGACGAGGACGAAGACAATGAGTCCGACGACGATGATATGCACATCGAGTAGGATACGCTCAGGTTGAAGTCCAAGTCGAGAAGAAAACCGAACTGCAGTTGATCTGATCTGATTGGCCTGATCGAATCGCCGCATCGCCATCGCCATCGCCATCACATCCTCTCTCCACAAATCTATCTATGCCGACACCAATTCCCATCCATCTCCATGTCTACAAGCAACAATCCGACCGATTAATGAGGAAGCCGGGCGAGGGGAGGGGGGTTGTGAAAGGAACCCCCCAAAAACGAAGAAGGGAATTGGGGGCCTTCGCAAAGTCATGAACGCAATGCAATGCCAATTCAATAGAGCTGCTGGAGTGGAATTGGATCATCATCATCGTCAAAACGAACAAAAGCATCAGCACCGCGCGGCGAGCTTCAGCATAGCGAGGACCTGGATACCAGCGAGCATGACATGAGCATTGAACAGTGAGCATTGAGCATATTTTCTTTTCTTTTTAGATGGCATCCGTCAAAAGTCAGGTATGAATGAATGAGCATTGGTTGTTCTCGTAAGGGCTATAAAACGCTACAATGAAGATACCCATTCCTCCCTCCTGCTCCCTCCCCCAATTGGACCCTGTTCGATGGTATTACTAGGTAGGGAATGGATCTCCGGCCGTGAACAGGTTAAGGATGATCTGCTTCTCCATCCCTGCTCTCCACCATTGCCCGTCTTAACAATGTCCCAGCTTCAGATCCCAAGAGCTACCGAATAACATCCTCCCCAAATCCAATCTCATCCACACCGAGGCCCTCACACCATCCTTCCAGCACTCGACTCCCGCCCAGGACACCCTGCCGGCGGCCCAACCCACGCACTTTCCTTCCCTGACTTCTTCCCGCCCAGATCTCAAAGAACTTGACCGTTTGATCACAGCATGCGATAATGAGACTGCCTTCTTCTTCTGTCCGGCTTGCTGGTAACTCGCCGCGTCGAGGATTTCCACCATAACTGTCCCCTAATCGTCTTCCACCGTTCTGTACCGGCCGTCTTCTGGGTATCGTAGGTACAGTGATTCGCTCAGGGCTAGGTGCGAGGCCGCGACGGTTTCGAGGACCAGCCGTCTCCACTGCCACAGTTGCAGTTCTTCTTCGCTCCGCCCCCGTTTCTTGAACCGCTTCCCATGAGGCAAATCCCCTGTTAACCCTCCCATTCTGTGTTCGAGGTGGTATGGGATCATTGGGTCCGCCTGGGTAAGGTATCGCCCACAGCGCTCGACCGATTTCGCCGTTCTGCTTCCTTTCCCAGGGAATGCTAACCACACATTCACAGGTTGGCCAACTGAAAACGGCTATTCTGATTTCATGCTCAGGTTGCGAGTATCCGAACGTCGCGACTATCTCGCGTCTTGTTGTGCTCTACACCAGACTCGTGACTTGCGAGAAGACATTGATCCGGGCTAAAGCCGCTCCTGATCCTGTGTGCCAGAAGTGTATCTGGCGATCATTGCTTCCGCCCCCAGTCGCAAGCAGATTCGGCTGCCACGGAGCAAATGCAATAGCCTTCACAGCTGCGGTGTGATAGAAAGGATGAACATGGGCATTAGCCTGTCCTGGGATGCTAGGGTCCACAAGTGCATTGCGAAGGATCGACGCATCGGAATAACCAGGCGTCTGAAAGGAGGCTGTGGAAGGAGAACGACCGCCTGCCCTTCCCCGGCCCGGAGGAGTCCGAGGTGGTGTGTCCATGCCAAAATTCTGCATGTTGTTGGCTGATCCTCTGTTGAAGTTCGAGAATTCTCGGTAGCTTGCCAATCGGTATCTCTCTGGCGAAACCGGGGGCGTGGGAAGGCCCAGATCATTAAACATAGCTAACGCTTGGTCCAGGACATTCTGGGAAACATGTCTCTGATAATCTGCATGGAGAAAGTCTGATGGATCGAAAAGGAGAGCCCGATTATCATTGCCACCAGAGACAAACTGCATGCCATCCAGAGACCACGCGAGACCACAAATGTTCTGGGTATGGGCGTCGAGTTTGGCCAGTAGTGTCATGGACCCGGGAGCAAACTCTGGCCACTCTAGCGAATAATAGTAGATCATGCCAGAGTCGTCTCCGACAAGCAAATCTTCACACATGGCCATATCATTTCCCGTAACAGATCGTCGCTGCGTCTCAACAGGTTTAAATGACACGCAGGATGCTGCACAAGGGTGAGGAGCATCGAAGCGAGGTCTTATCTCCAGCAAACTCCATAATGTGACGGTTCCGCTGTTCTTGGCGACGGCTAAGATCGCCTTGCCTCCCTTCTCAGACGAGAAAGCTAAAGAAGTCACAAAATTCGTTGGTCGGCTTGGAGGCAGCGGAGGAGAACGCACACCATACTGTTCAGTCCAGAGATAGACTTTTTGACCTAGGGCGACAGCTAACGAGTGACAGGTTCGACTGTAGGCGAGCATGGAGCAGTAATAGTCGTCTTTGAGATTAGGGGCGTCAAGAACCCGGAAAGGGACGGTAGGAATCGCTTTGTCGCTTTCGAGTAGCCCGCGAGATTTGAACGCGATATCTGCTCCAAGGTCAGGAAGCGAATGAGAAACAGAAAGAGACACATACACCAAGATCCCGCATCTCGGGTCCACACGCTGTTTTTCCATACAAACGGACTGTGTTCGGGTTTTGCGTTGACGTCCTTCTCTTCCACAGCGGGATTCTGTAGCAGGATCCGAGCTGCTTGATCGATGTCGAGAGCTAGTGCTAGGCGGCGTTCGTGAGCCACAGCCTTGTCGTCGCGGGTAGCATGATCCAGAAATGTAGCGGTATGCAATGGAGCAGTGCCGTGGCTGCCTAGCATCCCACCTGAACCAGAAGGTATCCTCTGCGACTGCCCCAGCTGAACGGGCAACCTGCCTCCCACGGTCCAAAATCCTGAGCTGATCTGGCGGAGAGACCTTGTTGCTATGCTTCCATCGATGTGGGCGGGGGTGGCATCTCTTCCGTGGACAAAGGAGGGAACATATTGTGGAGGACGTAGGCTATAGACATTTGGTGCGTTTCTCTGCCTGGTTAATGCCCGAGCGCGCGTGTCACTCACAGAGCGGAATGGATTCACAGTATTATCTCGCCGTCGCTCGTTTCTCTCTCGGCCTCGGAGTAAGACGGGAGGTTTGCTGGTCTGGTAAGAACGTCTCTTATCCACGTGAAGTGGTCTTTGAGGGATGAATCGATCGGGCGAGGTGAATTGAGACCGAATGCGGACAGGGCTACCAACACTGCGGCTTCGTCTTTGCTAGGGACGAGACCTGGTTCGCGGCAGGATCTGAGCAGGATAGTCCTCGGAGAACAATCCCGACGTAGATTGGTGTTGGGGAAGGTGGGAGAGTAATGGGCGTCTTCTTATTGAAGAGTCATGCTCTTGTGGTTCAGGAGCCGCGGAAGAGATACTCGTGTCTTCGTCTTCGTCCGTAAATGAGGAGCGAGGACTGGTTGACGGTTCTGGACTGGACATGTGTGTGACGGAGGCGACGCTGTCCATGAGGAGAGAGGCCTGGTTTACAGGAGCAGAAATTCAGCGAGGATTGACCCAAGATGAGAATGGTTTGGAGAAGCAGCCCGGGCCTCTTTTCTCAAGGAGTTGAAGCACGAGGTAGATCGCTGTGCATCGCGCGGTGGACGGAACCTACTCACTTCCCGTCAGCCACAAGCAGCAGCGAGAGCGTCGACTCGATCAAAGTGTAATATAAGAGATGCGCCCACTATCTGTTTCGATGTTAGTGACAAGCCATCACTTGTCGGTAACTGTGTTGGTTGGTTATGGATGCTGGGTGGTTGAGGGAAGAAATAATAGGTCGTTAGGTTTGGTGCCTGGAATTTGGGTCCGACTCAGCGAGGCGTTGTTGGTTTCTGACCTCCATCGTTCTTTCACCTCACCACATCCCATTCGCTCTTCCTTCCGCATAGCCTATTTAAGAGAGACGGCTCTCTGCATTTGATCTCCTTCGCAATCATGGCAAGTGTAAGACGCAGAACTACGCAGGTGCTATTGCTCCTAGTTGACTCGGTGATAGCATGGTGTGCCTCGCACAGCCACCCGTGAGGAACAGACGGCAGAAGCACGGCAGAAGGAGCTGAAAGAAATCTCTCAATATCAACAGCTGGTGAAAGAAGTCAATGCCAAGGTCTCTCAGCCAGCCTCGGACAGTTCAAGCCGACGATGCTGATGTCGATTGTGAGCAGGTTGCTGCAAAGGAATTCACCCCTGCATTACTCCAACAAACAGCCCAACTACTAAAGAGGAATCCCGAGTACTACACCATCTGGAATCATCGTCGCCGCATCTATGTCAGTGAATTTGAGAGTCTTGGAAAACAGACAGTCGCCGGTGAAATGGACGAAGAGACACGAGTCAGCCAGGTGCTGGATATCATTCAGCTAGACTTGCAATTTTTGTTCCCTCTTCTTCTGAAATTCCCCAAATGTTATTGGATATGGAATCACAGGCTCTGGCTCCTCGAGCAGTCTACAGCTCTTCTTCCGGCTTCAACGGCCCGAAGGATATGGGAAGAGGAGCTCGTATTGGTGGGCAAGATGCTCAGTCGAGACAGCCGAAACTTCCACGGTTGGGGCTATCGACGAACTGTGGTGCAGAGTCTCGAGAGCCCGGCTTTACAGGGACACAGTATGGCACGACAGGAATTGGAGTACACCAAGAAGATGATTGGAACCAATCTCTCAAACTTTTCAGCCTGGCACAACCGGACTAAGCTCATCCTTAGGATTTTAGATGAGGAAAAGGCCACGGATGATGAACGACAACAGATGCTGGACGAAGGTACGTGGCTCGTGTCACAAGTATGTCGAGAGATGCTGATCGACGCAGAGCTTGAATTGATCCATAAAGCACTGTTCGACCCATACGACCAGTCCCTCTGGTTTTATCACCAAAACCTGATGTGCACATTTGATCTCGACCAAGCGGCGAGGAGCATGGCACCAAACCTGTCCAATGAGCAGCGTTTGAAATACATCGCATCGGAACGGGACTACATTGAGGAAGTCCTGGAGGATGCCCAAGATTGCAAATGGCCGTACCAGGCATTGATCAAGTGTACACTGCTGGAAAGCAAACTGAAAACGGGGCTAGACGAAGAGGACCGGCACAAAGTAACCCAGTGGCTGCAGAAGCTCCAAAGCCTCGATCCTCTCAGGAACGGCCGGTGGATTGATATGGAGCAACAGCTGGGCAAGCAATAATGGCGGCTGCTATCGACTGGCATGATATCTCGGGTATGTAATATGAAATGAAAGCAGCAGAAAGTGCTGTCCAAGGATTGAATACGTGTCGCCCTTTTGACAAATGAAACACGCCCCCCATTGGAAAGGGAGCCGCAAAGGACTTTGCGGGCTGCAGACCCCTCTCGCCCTTTTACGGCCCAGTCAAACAACGGCGTAATGGGGCTTGATAAAAAGGGGCAAGGCATTGGCAATGGGAGCTGATGGGGCTGATGCTTAATGCTAAACACGCCTTGTGGCCCCTGGGCCTGACATGGACGCCAGGCGGGCTCAAGCAGACGAGACGGCATGGGAGACGCGCACGACAGGATCGTGATGTGGTACAATTGCGGACGACGGAAAAAAGAGAGAGAAAAAAAAAAGGACTTTTTTTTCTCTTCACTAAGATCTTCATCTGAAGTCACCCGGATTTCCTCATGAACAGCACAGTTGGTGCTTGAATCCTCATTGTCAATTGTTTGGGGCACTGGTCCCTCTTTCCGCCAACTGTTTACAAACCTGAAAAAGTTGCTGGCCTCCGCGTCATCCAAGAAAAAGTTGTCATACGGTCTTTTCAACTCACCCAACTGCCTCCATTGGGTTTCGCAGGCATCGAGGCAGAAGAACTCGACTCGAACGTTCCTTAATTGTCCGTTTTCACCATCTGTCGACATCACCGAGGACTCCCAAGCACTCCCAAGCACTCCTCTCCTCAGGGTTGCTGACTGACTGCGGTGACATCTGACCCTCGTTTGAAACTCCGCACCTGACCTGTTCGACGCTCCCTCATCGCCCACAACCCCCAACGCGCTCCCCAGCTCCCCAGATAGTCCATACTCTCACTGTCTCTTCCGAGCTATACGCCACGAGTACTACTACCTAGTTATCGATCATAGTGTGGTAGAGGATGATATGAGCATGCCTGTCGGCTCCTGAAGCAAATCACCATGGCGAACAGTGCAGACAATCCGGACACTGACGAGGTAAGGCGACTGACTTCCACACCTCAGCGTTGAGATGGAGCATCTCTTCTGACCAAATTTAGAGATTTGAGGATGCTACCGATGTCAAAGATGAATCGCAACGGGATTCCTCCCACTCGGATCAGCCACTGCAAGATCCTAAGAACTCCAATGATCCTCAACCGACGTCGAACCACGATGAACAATCTAAGGGCGGGCAAAGAGAAAGCAGCGGAAGCTCAGGATCCAAGATACCTGATATAACTACTGATACAAGCGCTGTGGATGACTCCCACGACGCCCAGCAGACACCTATGTTGAAGCCTCCCGAATCCTCTACTGAGACTTCCGGCGATCCTTCTGAGAAACCCCTCCCTCCTAAACCTGCTACTCGCCCTTCAAGATTCCAAGGCTTCTCAGCTTCCCTCCCATCGGTGCCCTGGGGACCGCCTCCTCCCAGAAAAACCTCAGACGCTCGAGCGCCGTCTCCGCAACCTCCTCAACCTCAGTCGACGTCCTCCTTTAGCCGCAAGGTCACCACTCCTTTCGGCTGGCTGAGCCGAGCAACAACGGCTCCAAAAGAAACTCGTTCTCCCCCTTTGCCGTCGAGATCACAACTTGACACGCGGCGGAATACGGCAGCATCAGCATCCACTCTCGGCAGCAACGCTGATTTGACGCTAAAGGCGCTAGAAGAGTCTCAAGATGGATCAAGCGGCCAGAAACCTTCTAGAGCGTCTCTCCGTGAACAATTCAAAATGCTCCGGCTGCGGGAAGAAGCAGGTATAACAAACCTAGAAAGTACGGAACCATCTGAAGGAGGTGCGATAGCAGGGCTCATCGGACGGTCTGCCAGTCTGGGTGTTGGAATTGCCACTCCAGGTAGCGTTGGTCAGGACGAGAATGTTGTCTCTACTCCTGTCATGTCTCCGTCCTCGCCTATGGTTGAATCACTACCTACCAATCCAAACCTGGCTCCCGGGACTGTGGCGGGCGTGGCGGGAGCACCAGCAGATACAACTACCCCCATTGATTGGGACTTCTGGCAAAACGTCGTCAACGAAGGTCCGCAGGCTGTTGCTCGGACAAGTCCTGATGAGTTCACCCAGGCCATCAGTGGTGGAATTCCACAGACCATCAGACCGGTGATATGGCAAGTGCTGGCAGGCAGCAAGAATGAGGATCTGGAAGCCGTCTATTGGGACCTCAAGTCCCGAGGGCCACACTCAGAAACGAAGGAGGGCATGCCTAAATCCCCTTTACTCAACGGAAATGTCAACGGCAGCGCCAAGGAGAAAGAATCAGTCGCGTCGTCAAGATCATCGATAAGATCTGATCATTCAACGCCTGCCACCAGCTCCAATATAGGCGTCGCATCCCCTTCGCCTTCCCATGAGGCAACAGACCCTGTGAGCACTGCTCGTCTTCAGACCCAATTGGCAGCAGAAAAAGCGAAAAAGGCCAAGGAGGATGCTGCAGCACTAGCAAAGCTGGAAAAGATGATCAAACGAGACATGGGCTCAAGGACAAGCTACTCAAAGTATGCGGCGGCAGCAGGTCTCCAAGATGGATTATTCCACGTGTGCCGCGCATATGCCCTCTTCGATGATGCCGTCGGATACCCGCAGGGCCTGAACTTTATCATCATGCCTCTTTTGTTCACAATGCCAGAGGAAGAAGCTTTCTGCCTCCTTGTTCGATTGATGAACAAATACCAACTGCGCGATCTTTTTATCCAGGATATGCCTGGATTACATTTACACCTTTATCAGTTTGAGCGGTTACTGGAGGATTTGGAGCCTGCATTGTATTGCCATCTCAACCGCCGAGGTGTCACCCCCAAGCTGTATGCGACACAGTGGTTTCTGACAATGTTTGCATACCGGTTTCCACTTCAACTCGTCATGCGAGTGTATGACTTGGTCCTCTGCGAAGGCCTCGAGGGTGCGATTTTGAAATTCGGAATGGCTGTCATCCAGCGCAACGTGGCCACGCTGCTGGGAATGCAGGATATGCAAAGCCTCACGAACTTCCTAAAGGAAAAAATCTTCGACGTTTATATCGATGCCACACCTTCATCCAAATCAATCCTGGAATCGGGATTCTTCGGCAGCTCAGGCGGCTCTGACACCGAGGTTTATCGAGCGGATCTCCTTGTCCAAGACGCATGTGCGGTTAAACTGACGCCCGAGATGCTCAATCGATACCGGGAGGAATGGGAGACAACCACCAAGGCGGAAAAAGCACGTGAGACCGAGCTGGAAAATCTGAAGACTGACTGTGCCACAAAAGCCGCCCAGATCCGCTCGCTCGAGCAAAGGGCAGAGAAATCTGACGCAGAACACATTGAGATTGCGAATGAGCTAGTCCGCCTGAAAGTTGAAAACACCGAATTACAAGACCGAAATGAGAGCTTGACTGGACAAGTCGCCGAGCTGAAAAAGGTCGCTGAAAGCGAGGCCGCAAATGTCGAAGAGAGGCTACGGGCGGGAACAGAACAGGTCATGCAGCGTAACATCGAGGTGCAGAATGAGAATCGCCACATGGAAGAACAAATGGCCGAAATGGAACGGGAGCTCGTGGAGATAAAGATGAAGTATGCTGAGGTGAGCAGGCCCTTTTCTGTTTTGATGACATCTACTCTGAAACGGGGCGAACGTGGACTTCTAACATTGACGAATAGCTCAATGCCGAACACGATGCGCTCAAGCAAAAATGGAACGACTTAAAACGAGCGCTTGAATGAGATCAACTTCATGTCTCCCTACGGCCGATGACTTCTTTTGCGAGACTCCGCCGCAATTCCTTTGGCGCCTCCGAATCAATACAGGCTTAAACTCGCTTTCAGCTTAAACGATCTGCTGGGCCAATGCCCATCCTGTGCATTCCGCTGATGTTTTGTGACCCTTATGTGCGGCCTTTCTGCTTTCTATACCCCAAAGTCATGAATGATGGAAACAAGCATAGCGCTGGCGATATATGTGTGTGCTGCAACTGCTTTGACAGTAAGGCACTCGGATCGTTCCGAGTAACTTTCGATGTTTAAGAGGGATGGGTCAAGAGTGATGTTTCGTCTTGGAGATGCTCAACTGCAAATGGAGGCTTGGCCTGTGTTCGGAAGAGGTAGCAAAACAAGCGTCGGATAGGTGTCGAGCTCCTGCAAAAGGGCTTGGGTCGACCTGTCTTGCTGAGCAGGTCGCTTTTACTGCCCCCCCAATTCTATCGCCGCCATCTCTGCTGTGTGTGGATGTCTGGCCCATGAATCCAACTCTGTGAATTGATGAATGGAATTGATGACCCCTTTTGATGCTCTGCACAAAGAGGCGAGGAACGGACTGACTAATGCATGTTCAAACAATATCACTTGTATTGAGTGGTTGGTACGGCTGTTCAAAATACCTTGTAGAAGTGGTTGGTGGAGTGGATATTGTCAGGACTCGGGAGAGACCCGGAGTAAATGAACTCGGTGTTGAAATGACACCCCACCCCGCCTTCACGACGTGACGACGAGGCGGCTGTTGAGCACAAGAGCAGCATTAGCACAAGAGCAGCAGAATGTCAGTCATGTGCCCCTCGCCCCGTTCTTTCTCATTGTCTAGAATTTCGACATGCGATAGACGGTGGTGGACCGTAGTACGGAGTACGGAGTGCAAGGGATGAAACAGACAAGCATCTTGCACGCGCCGTCGCGCCGGGAGTCTCCGTTTCCTTTATCTGGTATATAGTTCTGTCTACTCTAGCATCTAGCATCTACATAGCACCCACATAGCACCCACATAGCACCCACCCGCATAGCATGTACATGGTCATCGTCCTACAGCCTGACCTTCCCGGCCTTGAGATCCTCCCACTCTTTCCGAGTAAAAGGCTCGTACTTTGCCCCTCCGGGAGGGAGCCAGAACATGCGATCGTCAGGCCTGGAGGCCCCGATCTTGTCGAGGTCGACGCCCTCGGCGCGCAGACGGCCCTTTTGTAACTTCATGGTCCCCGTGTACTCGAGCTGCGGCACCACGCGGAGAAAGATGGGCACGGCGTACCGCGGCAGCGTCGAGAGCAGGTGCGAAGCTAACCCCGCCAGATCGAGCTGGTCGGGTGAGGTGATTGACGAGACGGGCACGATGGCAGCGCACCCTGCGCGTCCGTCCGCATGGGGCACCTGCACGCCGTACACGTTCGCTTCGGCGATCTGGTCGAATTTACCCAGCACGTCTGAGACTTCGTTGGTCGAGACGTTTTCGCTGCGCCACCGGAAGGTGTCGCCGAGGCGGTCGACGAAATATACGCACCCGTCGGGATCTTGGCGCATCATGTCCCCACTGCGAAACCATAGATCTCCCTTTTGAAACAGGTCCCGGATCTTTCGTTTGTCGCTGGCGGATTTGTTCTTGTAGTACCCTGCGAACGCCGTGTCCGCCGTGGCCGGATCCATCTTGTGCACCACCTCGCCGGGTTCTCCATCTTTGCAGACAATGGCAAAACCGTTCTTGTCACGCAAGATCTCTTCGGTGTCGATGTCAATCTTGACTCTCTTCTCATTCGGACCGTTCATGAGTTTCCAATATAGCCCACGCATGGCGATTGCGTTTTTGCCGAATTCGCCCTTGTTCGCGTTAAAAGAGGCACCCAGCCCGTCGGTAGCCGCATACAGCTCGTTTATCGTCTCGATTCCGAAGCGCTGCCGGAAGTTTTCCCACACATCTGGACGCATACCATTGCCCCATGCCATTTTCACGCTGTGTTCTTTGTCCAGCGGACTAGGCGGTGCGTTGATGAGATACCGGCAGAGCTCACCCACGTACTGGAGGATGTCAGCCTTGGAGGCGCGGACTTCTGGCCAGAACGTCCTGTGGGAGAATTTTCGGCCGAGGACGACGGTGGATCCGGCAAAGATTGAGGGCGTCAGGCACAGACCGTGCGCGGCGCCGTGGTAAAGTGGTAAGCAGGTATACATACGATTATGAGGTTTGAGTTTGAGATACAAAGCAATGTTGCGGGCGGTGTTGAGTTCGCGGCCACGAAGCATGATCACACCCTTGGGCATCCCTGTTGTGCCCGAGGTGTAGATGAGACCCCCAAGTTCGGTGGGCAGAATTCCTTGATGGAGGGATTTGGGGATTAAAGTGGTGTCGGCGAGGGACGAGAAGAACGGTTCGTCGTAGTAGACGATTTGGATGCCCGAGGCCGTGAGGTCTTCTTCGCATGGCTGTACCAGATCTTTTGTTGCGCGGTCGGCGATCAGGTACCGTGAGTCGCAGAGCTTGACGCAGTGTGTGAGCGGGCCAGAGGTCAGATTGCAGTTGATGAAGGCGGGACAGGCATGGATGGCTTCCACGGCGAACCAGAGCATGAGATATTCGGGGCTGTTCCCCCCGTCCAGGGCAACGACTTCTTGAGGTTTGATACCCAAATCTTTCATCAGCCAGTTGGCGACCCTGTGCAGGTCATTGAAGAACTGCTTGTAGGTCCAGGACCGGTTCTCGAAGATGAGAAAGAGATTGTCTGCGTTCTTGCCCGCGGCGTGTTCCTCAAAGATGTGGTAGATGAGCATCTTGTTCTGCTGGTACCTCTCCAAGGTGAAGGCCATTGCGCTCTTCTGGCTGGCGGCCAACGAGCCTGAATTGAGGTCATGGCGGAAGAGGAATTTGGCATCGAGGTAGGCAGCGGTGGCCAGGCCGCCCGCAATGGCCGCTGCTACGGTGGGAACTGGAGGTCATGGTCAGTAGCAAGAACGGGCAAACAAGGGTCGGGGGCTGAAGATGGACTCACGGCCCATTTTGCTGGAGGTGCTGAAGCAAGAGATCGTACTTGGACGACAGGGTAGCTAAGAGAAGAAGCCATGATATATTGATTCGTACAACGAGGCCGATCCTGCGAGTGAGATGGAGTCGAGTTCTATGACGGCCGCATTACCCGCGATCCTGCCGAGGTCCTACGAGGTCAATGGTAAGAGGGAGCTGGAGAGAGCAAGAAGGAGTAAGCTACCAACGGCTCCGCCGCCACGTCCTTGGCACAGACAGAGCTAAACCCGATCCAGTGCTCGGCGTCTCCGGTCTGGGCAACTGGGCAAGTTGGTTAGCAAGTCTGGGGTTGGGAGCTCGATGGGGAGCCCCCGCGGCCTGTCTACTGGCGAGATACTGACACGACAAGTCATGTCAGCCGCCCGCCTAATTGCGCGTATCACTCCGAGGTCCGAGGGGCCTACTGGGTACCCAGTACATACGCAGCACATTCCATATCTTCGCGACACACACATAGGTACAGTACTGATTCCAGTGTGTTTTCATTGCTATCTCTCTTGCTCTGGGGATCAATCTGTGGCGCTGTGATGCATTCATTCATTCCTCCTTCCCCTGCTGATTCCAAACGGCTGTACTGGGTACTGATGCTGCACTCATCTCGAGAGCCCGAGATCGTCGGCACAACCATGCCATCTGCAGCATCCACCTCCTGTAACCAACCTCGTTGCTTGCATTGCTTGAATCGAAAACAATCAAAAATCGTCAATTCATGTCGTCGTGGTAGTCGTCATGACCCATTCCAAGCCCCTCGTGTCGGAAAAAGAATATTTATCAACAACACCAAGCACCCTGTGCATTCCGTTCACCACCACACAGGGTATTCCTGCCACATTTCAGCCTGCATGCTTTCGTCGTACCACATCTCACCGTCAATAGCTGGAGTTCCAACAAACCTGTCTCCCTCATAGAACACCATAGCTCCTTCTGTCGTTGCCAACTGCCATTCTGGAACGAGAGGCGGCCTCCACTCGCCGACTTCCTGCATCAACTTGGCTCCCAAAAATACGTTGCCAAGTGCCTCGAACTGCGGATCTTGATCCATGTCGACATTGTTGACATAAATCTCGTCAGGTCGAGGACCCATGCAGAAGATAGGGCCGGCTTCGTCAAATGGCAACTGCCTCAAGAAGGCCGGCTCTCGGAACGGGGCTGAAGGGTCGGCAGGAGCGCGAGGGGGAGGCAGAAAGCGACCACACTTTGTCTTTGCGAGCATGCTTTGCCTGTTGTCGCCGTTCCATTGCATTTCCCCCTTGCTTGGCCACCTGGCCACTTGTCCGAGGTATTCAGCTGACCAAATGGTAGGGAAACCCAACACTGGGCTGAGTCCGTCGTTGAAAATCTTGCCACTCTCGCCAAAGACGGATTTGATCTTACGCTGGGACTTTTCGATCTTTGGGCGAGCTTCGATTTGAGCCTTGAGCATTTCGCAGTTCTTCTTTTGCTCAGCCTCGGCCAATGCAAGTATCTCCTTCTTGTGGATCAGCCATTCGGCAACGGTCTGTGGGAAGATCTCCGACGGCCTTCCACCGAGTTTCGCGTTGGCCTTGAAATGTTCGGGGACAAAGTGGCGGACGCGCTGTTTGACACGTTCATACTCCTCCTTGTCTTTGACTGCCTGGCTCTTCCATGTCACCGAGGATGTATGAGAAAGGTTCTGGGGTGGGACAATTGCAAGTGCTTGTTGCTTCTTGCCGAAGAATGTCTGGGTCGCTAGCTCCTTACTGTCGACGCTCCCCATGTCATCGAAGGTTACCGACGACAGGCGGTCCAACGAAGCTCGCTTCCCTCTTCTCCGAGGACGCATGATTGTGGAGGTGTAGGATGAATGGTGGGGATGGAAAATAGAAGGTGGGTACGTCAAAGATGGTTAGTTAGGACGGAGTATTGGGAGTGGAAATGGGAGGAGCGGTATCGGAGACAACCTGAGAAGTATTGAAGTTCTAAGCCCCATAGGACGCAGTGGACGATGAGACGTGGTTGGCTTGAACGCGGGGTTGACGGTGAAGTTCGCGCAAATTCACTGTCCAGGCCTCTGTTGTCGTTGTGGTGATGGGGGTTGCGCGGGACCCCAGACTGACTGCAAGGCAGGATCTCGGTACCCTCGATATTCAACATGCGGATCTGGCGAGATTCACCCCCTGGTGGTGGAGCTGGAGGCCGCCGCAATTACAACACCGCAACGAGGCAGCCTTATGATGGTTGGTTATGAATGTCGATATGGCTGTGTATCAGCACTGCCTTGTACCAGCGTCACCGTGGGTGTCTCTGGACCGGCAGTAATATGCGAGGTGATGTTGGCGACACACATTGCTGTGCTGAACGAATCCTGTCTGAGGGAGTTGTTCTTTATATCATTTATGAGAGGCCGTGTTGCTATTTCGTCATATTCATCGAGGTTGAATGCCTCCGGTTGTCGCGCTGCCCCAGTTCGTGAGACAGCGTCACAAGGCGTTGGCACCCTGTATAAGGATGACTGTCAATAAAGTCCGAATGGCCACCATTGAAGCAGGGCACAGCTTTGGATTGTCGACAGTTTGCTGTCGCCATGAAGAACTTGGAAGAAGACCTTCACATGGAATTCGGCAGATCTTCGGACAGGGAATACTCAGCTGGTTGCATCTGCATCACTTTGAGTATCATTTAGAGTGATCATGCCATCGCCCGGTCCGAGCATGAACATGAGCATGAGCAAACGAGTATTGGAAGGCATGAGTGACACCTGCACAGAGGTGAAGGCTGAGAACAGTACCACAACACCAGTGCTGAGAGGGTTTCGCAGGTGGTGATTCTGAATTCCCAGAAGTTCCAAGCACATGAGTCTATATCGGCGTCCACGCTAGAGACTGTCAGGAGAGCAGGAAGTGACGGATAAGTGACGTCGAGCAAACAATATTGAATGAGATGAAGGACAAAAAGGAGACACGTCAGGCTAATGGGGGACAAGAACTTGCAGATGCAAAAGTAGGAGAGTCTGGCTACTCAAATCGGCGGTTACTTTGGATTCCTATGTTGGAAACCTGGGGTTCGCTCAGGTCCTAATGGTGCATGATGCATGATGTTTGGTATTCAATCTCGACGTCCCATCCGCTCCCTAACCTTGGCCCTTTTACGGAGGCAAGACAAAGGGACATGGCACAGAAGTCTCGTCATCCAGGCCTTTGCGATATGAACGAAGAGACTTTGGGATCTTTGTCACGACGACACTGGAAAATTAGAACTGAGCGGACGTGGATGTAGCCTGGACGTTGGTAGTTGACAGCCTCTCACGTGATGACATGCGGGAGTACGGTGAAGCATACAGAGTATTCGATCCGTCATATAGACACGACGCGTGCTTTGTCTCATTGACTGTCGATTTGTCTTCCGCAACAATACAGTCCTCAGAATCTTCAATCAAATCAATACAATCCGCAATGCCAGCAGTCGAGCTGCGTACAGCTGCTCCCATCCCAGAGACAAATAGTACAAATCCCAACCCGCTGCCATCCGTTCTGCAAATACCATCAGGACTGGCCATTGTGGAGATCCAAGGCAAAATCCATGGGCCCTTCCAGAATCTAGCAACAGATGATTCGAACGAGTCAACGGCCGTCCACAATATAGGGCGACTTGAATTTCCGCTGTACAACCCCCAAGAAGCAAACGAGGGCAAGTGGATGAAGAAAGTCTACCTCTACGTCGGCAGGCATCAGAGATTGACTGGAGAAGTTAAGAAGTTGGCAAAACCGTTGGCAGTCCTTCGGAAAGCTGATGAGAGCGATCCAAGAAGTGATGGCGACGGCAACGAGGCGTTGGAGATCGTGGATGTTGTCAAGTATAAGCTGCTGTTCAGTGCGAGGCCGGAGCCTGTTGGAGAGTGACGATGTCAACATGGAATGTTCAGGTTGAGTGGGTTACTTCCAATGCGCATCAACGAGGAAAGACACGGTGAGGAGCATCTGGGACGCAACCTGTGCCAGGCTCCTAAAGGTGGTTGAGGAACCTAAAATGAACACACGACATCGCCGGTCCAACAATCCTCCCGGTTTAATCAGAGGTCTGCTCAATATCTTCCGGAATGCGCCGAAAATGCCCTTAGGACGGACACGTATTGGACTCTGCATAAGATGACAGGGCTGTCGATGTCGAACGCTCTGCGATAACGAGCCAATCAACAGCGCAGCCTCTAATCGGCCCTTTTCTGCCCGAGGTTGAAGCATCAACTTTATGCCGACGACTGGATTGCTACGCCAACTCCACCCAATGCATTCCGGCCATATATTGAAGGAGGATAGTCCCGTCATACCAAGCTCAATATGATCCAAGCTTACTCGGCTAGCATTGTTCGATCGGTCGGCGGACTTGTTTCCATCCCTGGAAATCGCTGGCTTGGTGCCAGAACTCCAACGGGCCTATAAACCAGGTGTTGCCAGTGAGTCAACCGTTCAAAGCAGCATCGTGTATTTGAACGGTACTATGCAGAAGCTCGGTTTAGTCACCGTTGTGTGCAACAGATCTCTAGCTCTATCTGATGACGCCCATAGCAACATTTAGGGCTTAGTTGGTTTGAATGGCTGCACAGGGCATACAGCTACTATCCTCTAACAGCCTCGCTTGCACTTCATCAACAGGCAAAACAAGCGAAGGGCCGATAAGTGCCTATTCATCAACTTCTGAGTCTATACATCCGCCTACATCACCGTTACCAGCCTTCCTAAGATGGCGCCCCCAATACCACTTTCAAGCAAACCACGGCTGGATGAACGATCCCTGTGCCCCTGGCTACGACCCGTCAACAGGGCTTTACCATTTGTTCTTCCAGTGGAACCCTCGTCGAAATGACTCTGGCTCAATTATTTGGGGATCAATCTGTTGGGGCCATGCTATCTCAAAGGATATGGTGTACTGGAATGTATCTCAAACACCGGCAATCCAACCCGGAGTCACTGCTGATAAATGGTATGACACAAAAGGGTGTTTCACAGGTTGCTTGATTCCCACCAACTCGGATGGCAAAGCTGGAGCTAGACCACTGACCGTGTTCTATACGGGCGTAAGTCGATTGCCGCTGCACTACACTCTGCCTTATATCCGACAGACAGAGACACTGGCCGCTGCTCAATCATTAGACGGCGGTCAAACATGGACAAAGGTCACAAAGAACCCGATCCTCCTAGAGCCGCCCCCGGACCTTGACGTGACGGGTTGGCGCGATCCATTCATTGCAACCTGGCCTGCGATGGCCAAATTACTTGGCCAAGCCAAAAGCCAGTTCTACGGTATGATCTCCGGAGGCATTCGCGATCACTCACCCACAGCATTCTTGTACGCAATCAATCCATCGAACCCAGCAGAATGGACGTTTCTCAGTTCCCTGGTCGATGTGGGATTGAGCCACTCTATATCCCGCTGGAGTGGCGATATGGGCATAAACTGGGAGTGCGCATGTTTCATGACCCTCCAAGACGAGCACGACGGTGAAAGCAGGCACTTCGTTATTGTAGGCTGCGAGGGCGCAAAGGCAAGTTCTACGCACTGTAAAGAGTCGTCGTTCACAGAATATCCGCAAAGTCCCACGAAATTTCCCCGTCCAGAAAGGTCCTTGCAGTGGATGTGCGGAGCCCTTCAAACCACAACCTCTATCACCCCGGATACTGGCAGTCGATCAAAAATTCCAAAAATGAACTACAAATTTGGAGGCCGCTTCGACTATGGCCTTCTTTACGCCGCCACCACCTTTCATGATCCCCTCAGCGACAAACAGATTGTATGGGGTTGGATCACCGAGGAAGACTTGCCGCAACGTCTGGTTGATGAACAGGGGTGGAGTGGGATGATATCCCTGCCTAGAGAAGTTGGTCTTCTCACTGTTCGCGGTGTAATAGGGGCCTTGAGAAGTCGGTTGCAAGATATCACATCGATAGAGTTCGAGCCAGAAGAAGAGTCAGGAAAGAGGGAGCAACGAACATTTAGTATCCGCACGTTGGGCATCTCTCCCGCCCCGTTCCTCCAACCTCTCCGCAACAGCGCAAGGGAGGTCCGCCTGGCGCGTCACTCACAGAACCTCACGTCTGAAGGCGACACATTCATGGACATCCAAACGCACCGTTTCGAACTTGTCTCCAACTTCTCATTATCCCACGCATGCAAGAGGATTGGGCTGAGCATATTCCACAACGGCGGCAGTGCGCAAGGAACGCAGCAGGATGAAATATCGCCTCTATCAAGCTCTGAGCCGGCCATGAGGACGACGATCTCGTTCATACCCGAGAGCGAGACTATTCGAATTGATCGATCTGTCAGAGATCACACACACGTCATCGATGACAATGGCATAAACACGACCCCTGAGACTGCACCGTTTACTTTGTTCACGTTCCTCCCTGTTGGCGAGGACGGGGACGGTCACCTCAAGTCAGAGAGAGAGACAGAGACAGGGCCAAAGATTGAAGACTTGGAACTGCACGTCTTCTTCGACGAGTCCGTGCTCGAAGTCTTTGTCAACTCGCGGTGCGCGATCGCGACGAGAGTCTATCCGTCGGGCAAGAGGTGTTTGGGCGTACGGTTCTGGGCAGAGGACGCAGAAGACGAGGGCCAAGAGAGGGAAAGTTCTCAGATGGCGGAAGAGATAGAGAGCCAGGACAACAGCTGTACGACGCAGCAGCCATGGGGACAAGGAAGTACAGCTCCCAAAGGGGAAAGCGCGAAATCGCACAGAAGACCTGGCAAGAGGGCATCATCGTCAAAGTCTAGGCTCCTGCACGCGGTGGCGTGGGACGGCTTGCGAGCTAGATAGATATCAAGGGCTACTTCCTTGATGCCACTACGGTTGTGCACTTGGAATGATCGCTTGATCATTTGATTATCCGATCAAATCCGTTGAATTTGGAATGGACCTTGCTGTTCGCGACAACCTTTTGATCGGCTATCCTTACGATGTTATTATCATCCTATATGCCTAGTACTGGGGGGCCCCTTCGAGTCTGTTTGCCAGCGAAGCGGGAACGTGACAACTCGCTCCTCTTGGGCTTGACACGATGGGCAATGTCCAATACAAGATCGAGGACACGCAATCGCCCAGAAAATATCGGGGCTCGTTCTAGAACGTCCGAACTAGGGTGGTCAACCTGGTAGGGAATGTCGACGGTGGTGGGAGGTTAAAACCCTCCGCCTTTGGGACACTGGTACAACTGGCTCTGCGGTTTCTCGTTGCAGCGCTGCTCCAGTTGGAGCCTCCCGCAGGTTTCGAGTAGGAAAATGCCGGGCCGTCTCGATGCTCGTGATTTGGTCTGTTTGGTGCTTTCTGATTGTAACGCTGTGCTTCATAGTAGTCTTCTCTGTAGCTGCCCCATCTCTTCTCCTCTTCGGTAGCTTTGTTGAGTCGCGACACCATCCAGCCAGCCCACACACCAACGGTGATCAGTGTTAGTAGCAGACAGCATAGTAGGTAAATCCACCATGCTTTGCCCACTTTTCCGTATCCGACGTCCAGTCCAGTAAAGTCAAAGATTGTAGTGGAGAAGATGGCTGAGACAAACGTTCCCGGAAGAAAGATTAGGGTCAGAATCGAGATGGTTTTCATTGCGGAGCTGTCCCGCTTGCTGGCCGCAGCGATCTGTCGTGCCGACTGTGCAACAGAATAATTCAATCGGCTGTCCCGTTGATTGATCAGATTGAACAAGACCGGGCTTTGGTTCTGTGTGACCCGGACCCAGAATTCCACTGTCCCCTTCTGGCATTCAAGTCTGCGGAGGATGTCGTTGATACACTCGAATACAGCCGGCGAGCGAACCTCATCGGTATATGACTCGAAGATGGCCTTCAGACCACGAACAAGCACCATGTTGGCGTAGTTAAAGTGGTAATTCTGACTGAAGGCATATTGCAAGCTGTAAAGGTCCACGTTAAGTTTCGAATATTCCTGGTCGGGCTCTCCGTCAAAACCGAAATAAGCGATATAGTTGCGCATCCCTGGATTCATGATGCCTAGACGAGAGGCAATATCAAGTGCATCCCTGGAATGCCTATCGTTTAGTAGAACACCGAGCTGATCAGCAACATTTGCCAGGATAAAGCCGATAATGATCGCTGGGTTCAAGAGGGTATCTTTGGTGCAGCCTTCCAATTCTGACAATACTTTCTTCGTCTCTCCGTCTTGGACCGAGCCGATGAGGCACCTTGCGCCCGACTGGCCGGTCAAGTCGCAAATGAGCAGGCAGAAGAACGTCGCCTCCGCTGCTGAGTTGCTGAACAAGATGTTGAGGGATTTCTGATGCGGCTGCTCCGAAGCATTCGGGGTTAACACAATTTCGCCATCATTAACATCACGTTCCTCCACGCAACACTCGAGGATGTCGGCGGCCAAAGTCGGGCATTTCTTTAGCAACTTTGCTGGTATTTGCCACAACGCACAGAGATTATCGAACTCTTTGGCGGAAATGCTCAACGGTGGACCCAAACCGGTGGCGTATCCCGACACAGTCAAAATATGGAAGTCAGAGGTGCTGTTTCGGTCCCAGAGTGACTGATCACAATCATGAATGGATGTCACGATATGTGGCTCAGCTTTTTGCAAGCCACTCTTGTTGAGGATGTAGTGCTGCAGGCTGGTCTCCAGGCCGAAATTGAATGGTAGTGACGCAGCGGACGGGCAAGGCTTGTTGCTGAATTGAGAACTCGTAGAAGAACAAGAGCTCCCGGAATTCTTGACTCTCATATCGTTCCAGAATCGCGCTGTCGTGGTGCTCGATGCTGACCTTATCACCTGCTGATGCTATATGAAGCGGCAAAGGAATTGGATAATGACTGAAGAACAGCATGGTGAAAAGAGAGCTCCTTTGTAGCCTTATGAACAATCAGTAGACGGCCAGGGTCTGGAGCCGAAGACGTGGGAATATCCCTGATGTGGCTGTGCGAGGCTGTGCGAGGCTTGACTCAGCCCCAAGATCAAGATTCCCCAGCTGTTGATTGGAGGTGTTACTGCACCATCATTGATGGCGCCTCTGAGAATGAAGCCTGTGTGGCTAAGAGGTTGGTGCCCGAGATTCGCCTTGGATACTAGTACCGTACTCTATACCTGTTCTTAACCTGTTTAAATGCTGGTAGATGCGGATGCGACTCACCTTTTCAATGACAACTTACGAAGTCTCGGCCCTGGGCAAGTCCAGCCTGACTGCTCTCTGAATCTGTTGTACCAAAGCTTCAATAGGGCAGGCTTATGCAAGGATGTAGAGACAACGTTGCCAGGCGCGCCTGCGTTCGAAGGGTATAGCCCGCAATGTTGTCGCGAACTTGGTATGGAGACGTCCAAAACCATGCTCACCAGGGATTCGCCTCTTATGAGCTCTTCTCCCTGCTGGCCCGGCCTCACACATTCAGGTAGGACGCATTCGCCGTATAAATCCATCGCTGAATGTGGAAATAAATCGACGTTGTCGAAATTGTCCAGCACTCAACGAAAAAGATGATAAGATGATAGGAGCGCGACACAATGACCGACACTTACCTTGCACCCGAAAGGGAACTAAGTCGACAGCGAAGAGGTACAACCTTGAACTCGAACATGCACCAAAATAGCCTCGAATCCACCTTCAAAATGCTACACTATCGGTTACAAGCAGTAATGAGTTGGCCGAACTTGACTCTTGCAATCCTCAAGATGACGTTTCTTGAATCGGTACACCTACCGATAAAGCGATCCGGGCGGGCAGTTTCGACCTTGATATGGCCATGCCGTCCCCAGGGAGGACCAACCCCCAAGCAGCGATTCTTTATCTGGGCGACGTCCTGGATGTAACCCACACCGCGAAATTGACAGCGACCAGTTCGCTGCCAATGGATACCTTACCTTGCTAGCGGATCTGTTCAAGACTGACTGTCTGCCACCGACCGTGCGCGAGGATTTCGCCTTTGTGGGTCAGGTCAACAAGGGCACTGACGGAAACAACCCTCATACCACTAAGCAGGTTAACCCGATCGTCCAACAATGCATCGACTATCTCCACAATGATCACGGCATACAGAGGATCGGAGCTGTTGGGTATTGCTTTGGCGCAAAACATGTTTGTCGTTTCGTGAGAGGAGACGGCCGAGTTGATGTCGGCTACCTGGCGAATCCTTTCGTTTGTCTCCGAGGAGGTCAAAGGTATCAAGGGGCCCATTTCGAGTGCCGCAGGAGAGGATGATCTTATTTCCACGGTAGAGAACAGACATTTGACCGACAGGCTGCTCAAGCAGACGTTGTGCCCGTAGGAGATGACGCCGCACTCGGGGGTATCCCACGGCTTCGCGGTCAGATCTGACCTGAACAAGAGAGTGGGTAAGTGGGCGACTGAGGCTGCATTTAGGCAGGCCGTGGATTTCATGGAGAGTCGGCTGCTGGTCGATGACGGGAAGGAATGGGAGGTTGTAGATGATGGATGAGGATAAGGACTACCCAGTACTCGGTACCTCGTCTGCGGTGGTGGCTGCGGTATCTTTGCGGATGCTTGGCTGCGGGATGGTGGCGAGGTGGTTAGCGGCTTCGTAGTGACCGCATCGCCAGCTGCAGCTGCAGCTAGTCTCCTCGTCTCGTTCCCTGCACCAGCCGAGCAGCCAGTTCTTTGTGATCTCCCACTCCTCGCTGAAACTTTACTGTCGCTGTTCTTCTGGTTGTTCTGGAGGAGCGAGATCCCCTCCGATCCCTCGCCCTCTCGTTCGTTGCAGCTGTTGCTCGCCTGCGCCATCGTCCCTCTCCGATTCGTCCGTTGGCCCTGACGGGGTGCTGAAGAAGCTCTTCCCTTTACTTAGCAAAAGAGTTGCTTCTGTCTCTCACATTTACCCTCCACTTCTGCTATCGTCTCTCACCTCCGCCAGGCCGCCAGAATGGCCGATCTAGATCATCGAATGGCTTCCATCAAGCCCAGGTTGAAGTACAACACAATTGGCGGTGTCAATGGTCCTCTGGTCATTGTAGACAATGTACGTCGAAGCTGCGGCTCGAAGCTCTCTGGAACTTATCGCTAACAAACGGTCCCCTTAGGTCAAATTCCCAAGATACAACGAAATCGTCAGTCTAACGCTACCTGATGGGTCGTCAAGATCTGGTCAAGTTCTCGAAGCAAGAGGTGTGTTGGCTACAAGGTGCAAAGACTAGGCAAAGAGGTCGGCAGATTGACCATTGTTCCCGCAGGCAACAGAGCCATCGTGCAAGTGTTTGAAGGCACTCCCGGCATCGACGTGAAGAAGGTGAAGAGTCTATTGCTATTCTACACGACATGATACTCATTTATATGCAGACCAAAGTCGAGTTTACGGGCCACAGTCTGAAGATTGGTGTCTCAGAGGACATGCTTGGTCGCATCTTTGATGGGTCAGGCAGAGCTATCGACAAAGGCCCCAAAGTGCTGGCAGAGGACTATCTCGATATCAATGGAAGTCCCATCAATCCGTATTCCAGAGTATGTCTGTTGGGTTTTGCCTGCCGCCTTGATTGCTGACCTGGGTAAAGGTTTACCCCGAGGAAATGATCTCGACAGGTATCTCCGCCATCGACTGCATGAATTCGGTCGCTCGAGGCCAAAAGATCCCCATCTTCTCCGCCGCTGGTCTGCCCCACAACGAAATCGCCGCCCAGATTTGCCGGCAGGCCGGTTTGGTCAAGCAACCGACCAAGGGCGTCCACGATGGCCATGAGGAGAACTTCAGCATTGTCTTCGCCGCCATGGGTGTCAACATGGAAACCGCACGTTTCTTCACCCGAGATTTTGAAGAGAATGGCTCAATGGAACGAGTCACGCTGTTCTTGAACTTGGCCAACGACCCCACCATTGAACGTATCATCACCCCTCGTCTCGCCCTGACCACCGCAGAATACTACGCCTATCAACTCGAGAAGCACGTGCTTGTCATTCTCACCGACCTGTCCGCATATTGCGACGCTCTTCGAGAAGTCTCGGCCGCCCGAGAAGAAGTCCCTGGTCGTCGTGGGTACCCTGGTTATATGTATACCGATTTGTCCACCATCTACGAGCGAGCAGGTCGTGTGGAAGGGAGAAACGGTTCCATCACGCAGATTCCCATCTTGACCATGCCTAACGATGATATCACCCATCCTATCCCCGATTTGACGGGATACATTACAGAAGGCCAGATCTTCGTGGACCGTGGATTGCACAACAAGGGTATCTACCCACCCATCAATGTCCTGCCTTCTCTGTCCCGGCTCATGAAGTCCGCCATTGGGGAAGGTTTGACGAGAAAAGATCACGGTGACGTCTCAAACCAACTGTACGCCAAGTACGCCATTGGCCGTGACGCCGCGGCCATGAAAGCCGTCGTCGGTGAAGAGGCTCTCAGCGCGGAAGACAAACTCTCGCTGGAATTCTTGGAGAAATTCGAAAGACAGTTCATCTCCCAGAGTGCGTATGACAAACGGTCTGTGTTTGACAGCTTGGAGATTGGCTGGAACTTGCTTCGTATCTTCCCCAAGGAGTTGCTCAATCGGATCAACCCCAAGTTGTTGGATGAGTTCTATGCGAGAAAGGCACATGGGAAGAAGAGCACCAAGGATACCAGGGACAATGAGGGTGGGAACAGGCAGGTGAATGGCGAGGCAAATCTGTTGGATGATTAAAATGGGCCAAACGAGTGGGGGAACATATCGTCGAACAGAGGGATCAAGTCATGTCACCGGCCTGGTTAGGAGGTTGAGGACGGCGTATTCTGAGCGAGTAACTGTGCGTGGTACGGTGCGCCCCCATATGTCGGTCTTTGCGCCGTTGCTACAGTAATTGTCCGGGTGCGGGTAGAAGACGGCCAGAACGACATTACTTGGAGTCTGCATATACCCAGATAGAGAGCTGTATCGCTAACAGTGCAACAATGCCACGCCATGCCTTTGTCTCCCTTCCTGGAGCCGCGAGACGCAGCCCGCGATCGCTTAGCATGACTTTTTACACACATCCTGTACTGGGTAAGCTCCATGAAGCATCGCCTGTAGGAGTGTCAATTAAAGAGTCTGCCATATAACGCTACGCTATATATATACTCTGTAACATTAATACTCATAGGCCATGTCCAACCAAGTCCATCCAACATATAATGAAGTATAATGTAATCTAGTGCCGTACTACCTGCTACCTACTTGTATGTCCATGTCCATGTCCACGCCATGCAATGCAATGCAATAGAATAGAATAGAATAGATAAGATGGGATAGGATAGAATGCAACACTCCTTACAATGCAATGCAATGTAACCCCAAACCCCCACACGCCTGAAACTCCTAGATCGCGTACGGGAGGGAAGGAAGGATCTATTACAGCTCGCGCGTCTCCTGCACCGTGGACAGATTCCTCTGCACCTGCTGCCGGCTCGGCGCGCCGTGCAAGAGACGCATTCTCTCCGCTGCTGCTCCCGCGGCGCCGGTGTCCTCTGCCATTGCGCTCCCCATGCCCATGCCCATGCCGGCGTTGAGGCCGGCGGCTGCAGATATGCCTGCCACACCTACACCAGTACCAACACCGGCACCGGCACCGCCAAGGGCACCAGAACCAGTAGCGGAAGCGCTAATGCCCCCCGGTCCATTCGTGCTGAGTATGCTGTTGACACTCCTTGCGCTGCCGTACCCAGACCGCGGCGGGCCCAGGAGCGGCCGTCTCTCGTCGTTCGCCCCAGCGGCAGCGGGAGCAGCAGCCTGGGCCGCGGCGATGGCTTTCTCCCGGTGCAGCGCGCGGCCCTTGATGTCGACGTACATGACGAGGGTGACGCCCAGGACGAGCCCGGCGGTAGCGAGGCCGAGATTGATGGGCTCGGGGTCGTCTTCGAAGACGTCGTGAAGCAGAGCCTGCAGCGCCGACTGGGTGAAGGTGAACAGGCCCGAGAGACAGATGATGGCGCCGTAGACGGTGCCGAAGGTGGCGTACCCGAAGATCTTGGCCGCGTAGTCGGACATGGCGCTGTAGTACAGGGGACGAAAGAGCACGAACAGCGTGACATTGGCGTAGGCGGCCCAGACGGTCGGCACGGCGCCCAGCACGCCGATGAGAGTGCTCAGCAGCACCAACAGATTCAACACGGCAACCGTAGAAGTGTAGTCCAGCAGAGCGCCGATAAACGGAACGGTGACGATGCCGCCGATGGGCAGGGCCAGGTCGAAGAACTCAATGATCCGCGTGGCCTCCTCGACCGAGTCGAGCATGTACGAATACTGGGTGAAGATGGTGGCGATGAAGAAGTTGAACCGCGCCATCTGCAGCACCGTGAACAGCGTGATGAGCACGAACCACGGCGTGCGGATCTGCTTGCTCGCGGGCAGGCCGTGCAGGATCCCCCACACGCCGCTATTGACCCGGATCTGGTCTTCCTTTTTCTCGTGCTGGTTCTGCTGGGCCGGCGTGCCGAGCAAGTCGCTGATCGAGGCAATCGACTGGCGACGCCTATTCGCCCTCTCGGCCCGCACCTGCATGATCTCCATAGCCCCCTCGAGCTCGTCATCGCTGTCGTGCACGTCCGTCGTGGGGTCCTGCGCCTGGTCCATTTTCTCGGTCAACTCCCCGCGGGTCTGGTAGCTGTGCGACGGCATGATTGTGATTTGGGACACGAGGATGAAGATCGGGATGACGAGGTAGACGGTGAAGATCTGTCGTAAGGTGATGGCGCCGTGGGTGTTTTGGTACAGGATACGGAAGGTCAGAAAGACGCTGGCCGAGGCGTCAAATGCGCCTGTGACCAGCGCCAGGATGAGACCTTGGAACCGGGGAAATGTATTGGACAGGTGAAAACTGGGGACGAACGTGAAAGTCCCGCCTAACGCGAGGAGGAAACTCGCGACGATGTAGGCGTCGAACGGTAAATCCGAGGCAAAAGCCATGCACACACTTCCCAGGGCAAGAAGGATGGCGGATGTAATACCGCAGACGCGTGGGCCGTAGCGGTCAAGGATGCCGCCGACCAGGAGAGCAGAGATATTTGTGGTGACGGAGGCGATGACGAATGTGAGGTTTAATCTGAATACAAGGTGCATGTCAGGTCAGGTCATCTAGCTGGGCCCCAGACCACGAATGGAAAACCCCCTGCTTACCTTTGGTCTTGCATATAGCACAATGGCACATTCTTTCGCAGTTCGTCTTCGGTGCAAAGGTCGCGATACGTGCCTTCAGCCAACAAGATGGTTTTGAGAGCGTCGAACCCAAAGACAATTCCCGACGCCATGACACAAGAGACGACGCCCACCGACACCTGCGCTATTCGGCACCGAGTGATGCCATCGTTAGCTTCCCATTCCCATTCGATTCTGATTGCATCCCGCCAGACAGCTCTTTCTCATCTTCTTTTCCTTGCCTTTCTTCCTTTGCTCCCCTTTCCCAAGGGGCGGATCACCAAGTGAAGAAAGCAGACTTACCTATCCTCATCCCCCTCGACACCTCGTACGCGGCAATGGGCTCCAACTTCTCCAGCTGCCCCGTGCCATTGTCCCCAGCGCCCGGCGGGATGGGGTCATAGCTGATGGACAGGGCGATGCTGGGCTGGCGCGAGAGTCTGTGGAAGCCGCTGAGCAGGCTGGCGCGGTCGTCGAAGGCCACGTCGCCGGGCTCGGGCTCGTGGTCAATGCCTTCGACTGAGGAGACATGTTGGGCGAGGGACATTGGTGGGTGGGTGGCTTTTGAGGAAGCTCACCAAAGTGATCAAAGCAAAATGATGTTAATGGTGATATTAAGTGGTGAGGAAATTAGTGAGGCTGAGGATTAAGGAGGGGCAAAGACAGTTGACAAGGCTGAGCAGAGCAGTGAAGGGGAAAGGCCTTTTGTATTAGATGCAGATGGTTGACTGGGTGTGTTCAGATGTTGCTTGCCGACTCGCCGAGTTGTTAGTGGTGCCGCCACCATCGGGAAAAGCTTAATACGACGCCGAAGATCGGTGATTTGGCCCGGAAGTCATGTCCCGCCAATGGGGATGCGCCTGGAGGACGCCACCACAGCTAAAACAGCGTGCGCGCATGATGTCACTCCCCACTACCCAGTATACTGTACCAGTACTTGTACTTGTAACAAGTATAAAGCTTGGCACTTTGGGGAAGGGACGAGGCGACTTCGGGATACCCAGTACACAATGCACCACGGGATGTTCCATGTCAGTGCCAATGTCCCTGTCCATGTCGATGCCACAAGCGGCTGTCCGTCGCTACACGCCCTCCCCATCCACCACCCTCCTGAACTCCAATATCTCCTTCGTCAGAGCCTCGCCCTGCTCCAACGCCATCATATGCACTCCCGGATCGACCTCCTTGTACACGACCAGTCTACTACCGCCCTTCTCACACGCTTCTTTCAACCTCGCCATCCACATCGGGCCGGTGCTCTTGTCCTGCACCCCGCAGACCAGCAGCACAGGACACTTGACGCCGCCGGCCTGTATTCTACCCAGGGTGTCCAGCCCGCTCATGCACTGCCATGCGTCCCCCCAGTCCTGGACCGAGATTCTCTCCACGCACGACCGTGCGTAGCGCACACCCCATTCGTTCCGCGCGATGGCTTCGGGCGTGAACCACCGCAGCAGCGTTTCGGGGAGGAGCGGCATCACCGAGCCGGATTCTTCGGCCCTGGTCGCCCGGGTTTTCCACGACGGCTGGGCTTCGCCTGCCGTCGTGATGAGGCCGACTGACCGCGTGGCTTGGGGGTATTCGAGCGCGAAGTACTGCGCCACGGCCCCGCCGTAGGATTGTCCGTAGACATCCGCCCGGGGGATCTGCAGTGCCTCGAGTAGACTGTTCAGGTCGGCCGCAAGCTGGGTGAGCGACTGCGCCGACGGCGCGTGGGCCGCGTACCCGTGGCCTCGCAGATCGTAGGAGATGACACGCGGCGGACTGTTCTGGTCCGTGCCACTCCTGCTCGCGGCAAGGCTGGCGAAGACAGCGTCCCACATCCTGCGATCCAAGCCCAAGGCATGGATGAGCACGATGGGCACGACGCTCGTGTTGGAGGGATCCGAGTCGCGCACCACCGTCTTGTGCGCTCCGGATGCTTCTCCCACCAACAGCTCCGTCTCTAGATGGTGCAGCCGGCCGCGGAGCGACGACTTGAGGGCGGCCTCGACGCGGGCCCGCACGACCACAGCCCTGGCCGCCCCGACGCTGAAGCTGGACTGGAAGACGACGTTCTGGATCTCGGACTCGGTCGCGCCGTAGTGCAGCGCCGTCGCGATGTACTCGTCCAGCAGGACGTTGTTATTGTTCGAGGTGGGTTCGTGCGAGATCAGCGCCATGAGCCCCAGCAGCGCGCACTCGCGGTAGTTGAGTGACGACGTCGCGACGAGCTCGAGGAACGCCGACGAGGGTGTAAAAGACGGTGCAGTCATTGCGCCCCGATTTCCTTTCTTTTCTTGACTTGCCGGCCCTTTTGGGGGGGGGGGTTTGCTGCCCAAAGCAACGAGAAGGCAAGTCAAAGGAGCAGACTGATAGTGATGCTCCTCAGAAAAACGAAGACGAAAATCGAAATCGAAATCGAAATCGAAATCGAAAGTCAGTATATAATAACCAACCCGTCTCACGTACCGAGTACGATGATGAAAGTTCCTTTAGATTTCCATGACTAGCTACATACCTACATACCTAAGTAATAAGACTCCTTCTCGATGTCTTTCCAGCGAGCCGGGGGAAGAGGTGGCAGGTGGCGGCGGTGGGTGGGTTTGGGCCGGAGTTGGAGAAAGACGCCCACCCAGCGCCCTTTCAAAGACGGAGCTCCCCAAATCCCCCCTTTTCTTTTTTCCTTTTTCACTTTTTTGCGCGGAGTTTGCCCGTCACCTCACCTCCCTTCTCTGGTTCGGTTGAATGTTCTCCAACGAATGCATGTTACAAGGCTGAGAAAGCGGACGAGGCTGGACGGAGTAAATCGGCAATTCAGGCCGCCATGTACCTCGTATGTATACATGCAAAGGGCAACTGACGTCCTCAAACGAGCCGCGCTTAGACTAACTATGACTACTATGCATGTACACCACCCTGGAAACCACGCTGGTCTGCCTGGTCTGCCTCCCCATCCAGCTGCACAAGTTTGTCTCGGATGTGCTGCGTCGCGGCATCGGCGTCGCCCCGGAGCATGGACGATGCGTCCAGCGCCTGCCTCAGCCAGTACGCCGCGTCCGCTTTGTCGCCGATGGCACAGCTCAGCTCGGCCATGTCCTCCATGGCATAGGCGGCCTTGGTGTCGGGGAAATTGACGCCCTGGATAGTCTGGTAGTTTCGGATCACGGACGAACACAGCCCCCGCGCCACGCCGTGCTGGCCCATGTCCATGTGGATGTGCACCAGCTCCGTGAGGGCGGCGCACAGGTCCGCCATGACGACGGACGCCGGGCGGCGCTGGTAGATGTCTGTGTCCGAGCGCGAGAGTAGCGCCTGTTCCGTCACCTGCACCAGGTTCTCGCCCTCCTGCTTGGCTGCGTCGAGCCGCTTGCCGCGTCGCAGGAGGCTGATCAGCGAGCGATGCACAGCGGACGTGGTGTTGTGATCGCGGCCTAGGTTCTGCGTGAACAGCGCCAGGGTGAGGTTCAATGCCGCCTCGGAGGCCTCGCCGAGTTCGTTGTCCCGTGCAATCTCTCGACACACGACAGCTAACGGATGGTGCCTGGATTTCAGCTTGATCGCCGCCATGCTCGCCAGATACCTGAGCAGCGTGCTCCGCACCTGCGGATAGACTCTCGTGTTGACCGGTGAGAGCACGGTGAAGACGCTGTTCAGAAACAAAACCGGCGTTTGCGAGAATATGTCTCCTGCCAACACACAGGCTTCGTTCAACAAAGGCCACGCCAGGGTTGGCGACTGCTTCTTGAGAAAGTAGATGCCAGACTTGACGTTTGACCAAAAGGCCGTGGTGGCTGTGTCCACGACTTGGATGTGGTTGTCGATTGCCTCACTGACGGGGTCGTTGCCCATAACGTCAAGGTAATATGACCGTGTCTCATGCAGAATGAGTTCCAGGTTGACCTTGTCCTTTGGTGGGAATATCGGTGGACTCGGAGCCGGTGTTTCGGCTTGCAACTCGTCACGCTGAATGATCTCAAAGGGCTCCCCATCGTCGTCTGACTGTGACGACGAAGGCGTGAGCAAGCTGGACGTCGTATTGCCCGAACCTACCGGCGTGGAGGATGATCCTCTCGACCCGCCGCTTGAAGGGACGCGGAGCATGTCGTCTCGGACGGGATCTGACGCAGAGGAATCGGATGAACTCCCGCCGCCGCCGCCGCCGCCGTCGTCGTCGTCGTCGTCGGTGTGAGTCGGCAAAGGTAACCCCCGCTTCTGCCGGACAGCTTTACCACGCTTCGGGTCTCTGATATGCCGCAGCACGCGGTGCAGTTTGACCGGACGGCCTTTGAAAGTGAGCTCCGAGACGGGACGGTTCTGGAGGTGGGCTTGGGTGATGCGAGCCGCCAGGAGTTCCTTCTCCTCGGCACGATAGTTCTTGCGGATATTCCACTGGTTGAGTCGGGTGTTGTACATGCGCTTTCTGAGTCAATTGTCAGCTCTGTAGAGCCCATCTAGGACGGACAAAACATAGGTATATATATATATATATATATGACATGTCAAAGCTTTGGGACCGGGGAGGGGGGGATTAACTCACGTAGCCTTGAAGTTGTACTCCATCTCCATGATGCGCTGGACGTCCTTGAGAGGCAACTCCCGGTCGCGGTATAAACGCGTTATCACGCCACGGTGGGCATTCCACTCCTGCGGCGTCCGCGGGACAATTGCCCGGGGATTATGCACGGGCGCAGACGCGCGACGAGGCACCGACACCGTCACCGTCATCGTCATGTTCTTGTTCATCGGCGGCCCATCTGTGCTGAAGCCCGCCGAGAGAGTAGTGGGGAAAGAGTCGGCCGAGCACTCTGCATCTGCCATCGCTGCGGTCCGTGATCTCTCTCTCTCTCTCTCTCTCTCTCTCTCTGTGTGTGTGTGTGTGTGTGTGTGTGTGTGCAAGGCTGCGATCAGAAAGTACGAAGCTCGAGATACTGACACCAATGAGATCGACTAGCAATCGATCCTACGGTCGCGAATGTAAGGGATAGATCCACAGTCCCGGCTCTTCGCCGTTCACACTGCAGCCCGCGAAGGAAGCCAAGACCTGATGCAGGAGGAACAACTCAACTCGAAGAAGACAGACCAAGATTCTGCCGAGCGGTCCTTATGATGGTGGCCCCGGTGTGTGCTAGCGTCGAGTCCGGACTCTGACTGACTTGTTTCTGGCTAGGCGACGGGGTCTCGTTCAGTGGTATGGCTAAAAGCTCAGGTCAGTCGGGGCATGCACTTGAGTGTAAAAAGCAAGCTGTGCCAGCAACGGCCGGAGCAGGCATCGGGCTTGATTGTGGTGGTGTCACGCAGTCATTTTGCAGTGTGAGGCTGTGCAAGGCTGTGCCCGGTGCTTTCGAGTGGCGGAGCGACAGGCTTACAAAATTCCCGTGCATATGCATGAGCCAATCAGAGCAACATTCATATCGCTTCAATGCTATGGAGTACATACTTCCGACTTACTCACACATGTTCCATCCGCATGGCCCTGCTAGTTCTGTATCTGCAGGAGCCTTCCCAAAAACATTAGAGGCTCCTTAAAAGGCTCGTGCAGAAGTACCGCCCAACCCGGCTCTGCCAGGGCGTAGTCATTATCACCGAGACTCCAGATCTGTCAAGTTCTCCTGGATGTCTGTCCTCCAACTAGTGTACAAGGCGTTATCACCTGTGATCTCCTCTCGTGTCTCATCTGCCGTGCATAATAAATGTTGGACTGGAAGCCCTCAACTCCTCCTCCTCTGTATCAATATCGTCCTGATGTCTGTAGTTGACGACGCGATTCTTCCCGTCCATCCTCATCGTGATATCTGCTCTGGTGTCGCGGGAGGCAAGAACCTGGTGGCTGTGTCTCGATATTGCCAGTGCTGGTGATGTTCTGTCTGGGCGACCAGCTCGAGGTCCGAAGAGATTTGCTCTGGTCTCCTCCCAGAGGGTTTTGCATGCCGGCAAGCTGGTCACGATGTAGATTATGGTGTTCCAAAATCCCTGCAGAGGGAGTACAATTCCGGAGGCAAAGTCCAATCCGAAGAGTGAGTCGTATGGTCGCACCAGGGTATACACTCGATTTATGGTGGAGGGAACCCTAGAAGACATTGTTAGTCCATGTCATTGAGGAGCGAGGAATAACAGTACATACCATGTGCACAGGAGCGCGAGAAAGAACATTGAGGCAGTTTTGCAGTAACTCAGTGCTGCTTTATTGGCATCCAAGGTCTGAATTGGTGGCCTCTCCACAACCACGTTGGTAACCACGTTGGCGTTCGGCTGGGGAAATGCCGTGTCTTGAATGGAAGGAAAGCGTGCATGATTTACGTCGGCAGGCGAGGCGGCCTCGTGATAGGTATTCCGCGGCGAGCTAAGCCGTCGCTGTTGCTTCGCCGTTGGGGAGTGGGGAACTTGACTGCTGATGGTGATTTCATAGGTCTTCCGATTCTGCGACACAGGAGAAGTCGGCAGTTGATTCATTGCATAACCATTGCGTGGAGCTTCGGGCCTGCTCCCACTCTCGTTCAGGGAGAGGAGTTGCTTGCGCCACCGAAAGACCACGACGCCCACTTTGACGTATATGAACATTGTCAGAAGGATGATCAGCCACACCGGTCCATAGAAGGTTGCAACTCGGAGCGCGTTCCATTTCGTTGACACCCAGCACCAGAGCTGCCAAAATAAAAAGGGTCAGCAGATGCGCCAGCAGCAGCAGTGGGGGTAAGGGTGAGCATACAACCGCGTCTCCATACACTCTGCCCTTATCAGCAGTACTGACGAACAGCAACACGAACGCTGGAATAAAGGGGATGCCATAGCACGCCGCCAAGTATATCCACTCGAGGCCTCGAAGTTGCGATGCGTCGTACTGTCGAAAGAAGGAGAGATAGACATTGCACGCCATAGCGAAGGTCCATAGCGCATCGGCAGGCAAGAACCTAATTCAGCACTGAGTAAGAGCAGTAGATGGATGTAGCGACCTTCTCACCAGTGAATCAAAAGGCCCTGGAATTGGCACAACGAGGATGTGACTCCCAACTTGATCCCGGATCTTGCAATGAGAGTCGCCACGTTGGCAAACAGGTTCCCCCATGCAGCGTAAAATACAAGCCGATTGATAGGTTTCCGAAACTTGCTGTCTGAAAGGAAAGTGGCAATGATAAATGCAGCGCCGAGAACAGAAAGGACAGAGGTCACTCTCTCAGCCGTTGCCAAGGCATGGTCCTGTGAGGATGTGATCGTCATCTTGACAGCGGTGTGATGACAGCAACCACACGAGCATGCCTAACAAGATCCAGGGCGACGGGGGTCAGGAATTCTGGGAGTTTGCGGGGGAGGAGCTCTGCTTTTGTCTTTGCCAGACTTGATATGCCAACGTTAAAAAAAGTAACGTCTGTGCTGAAGTGACCACTTCTGCCACTTGTATTCCCGTTTGCCACGAGAGTGACGAGACAGGGATCCTCGGGGCTCGCAACTTCACTTGTCTCCACTAGCACTGAGGTCCATAAATTTCGAAGAACAAAAGACCTCTTCCCCCAGGACGGGTCGTTCGATTCGTCGACATGTGAGGGAGGAGAAGGACTCTGCTGGGGTCAATCTGGGGCAGAGGATAGCGGTCGAGGTTGAAACGGCTAGAACACATCGGGGATGCACCTTCCGTGTGTACAACGGGTGGACCGAGAAAGAACTCCACCCGTGGAGCAGAAGGAGAAGCTACCATGGTGCCTGCATAGTGCCAGTCCTTCGATCGTCAAAGGTAATTGATCAACGGTACAGACAAGGCGTGATGGTACGAGCCGGGGATCTGGGCGTCTTTCTAGCGGCAGTGTGGCGAGGAGAGAGCACCCAAGAGTGAATTGATGAACAGGGAACCCGAGACCGGACGCACGGCGGTAACCCTTGTCCACTTCAGATATCGCCTTCAGAATCCTTCGGTACGCAACATTGTGATCGTCAAGCAGGAGTATTTAAAGACGCGGCACTTGACCCAGTTGCGGTTTCTACTCTTCGCCGTGTTGATATCCTTCGGAAGTTGCGGGTTATACAGCACAAGTTCCATCTGTGCGAAGGGCCAGACTCTAGCCACATGCTAACAAACCGAGACTCCGAGAAAGCCGAGCACGAACGTGGGAGATGAAGAGGAAACCTTCGTTCTGACGCCGCCAGATGAGGTGACGGGCCTGCTTCACTCGGTCCGCACCGCAATGAATGAGTGCATCAGAACGGGCTTGTTTCCTCGTGTTCCCAGATCGCTTCGAGAAGACGTGGCTCGGCAGGTCTTGAAAGGGCGAGAGAATCGACAGAGTCGAGAGAGTTCGAGACGATTGTTCCTGAACACGGCGCTCGGCGGGGTCACCCTTTTCCCCAGATTGAGGAGAATTCCTGAACGGTCGGTGGAAAGGAAGCTACTGCAGGGACAAAAATGCCTAACCGTGCACCCAAGCTTACAACTGTCGAGTCGCGTGATTGATACCAGGATATGATACGAGGTACCAACTTGTAGGTACCCATCTACTCGTATTGCGTTGAACCGTCCCTCTGAAAAAGTGCGGCACTGCGTTTCGGCTTTTGGACTATCGGATGGCTTGCCAAATTGAATGAGTGAGTACCGGGTATATCTGAGCAATGGTCAATAGAAGACTCAGGTTGGTTACTAGATAGCTTGGCCGTCTACATAGCTGGCTGGCTGGCTGGGTGGATTTTCCAGTGATTAATGTGGCGTCCAAGGCGTCATAAGCCTCTCCAGGGGAATGTGGATGGCGATGAAGGAATCATTCCGAACGTCACAGATGACGCCTGGAAGGAGACATTTTGGCACGGCCTGACTAATCCCACTGGGGGACCGGTTCTTGAAACGCTGGGTTGTCCAAAGTCGACAGCCATGTCAAGAATCACCACCCAGAATCTGCCTAACAGCCGGAATCCGGTCCAGCTATCGACGTGACAGCTTCTAGACCTGTGCAAAGACCAGATTGCGACTGGCGCTTCCCCAGAGAGACTTTGTACTTGTCCCTAGAGGCGACCGCAGGCGAGGTGGACATTTGGGCCCGTCTAACAAACTCCCCAGGCGAAGACGAGGAAAACCGGGATGCGGGTGGCGTATGGTGCTCTTTCGAGTTATTGGCAACTGGCAATAAGCCTGAGGCTTGTCAGGCCCAAGAGGTTTGCTGTAGTTAAGCGGACGAGTCGCATCGTAGGACAACGGGAGAAAAGCTCGATTTCGGTATAGGTAGGCAGGCAGCCTAGGGTCGAGGGAGGGAGGGGGGAGAAAACTGCATCCAAGCTTTCTTTCCCCCTGGCTTCTATTCACTTAAGTCTGAAAAAGGGATGGCTGAACGAGGCACGGGCGAGTGGATTGCACCTCCTGTACGGAGTAAGAATTGTATGGAGAGCCTGTTGGTTGTCACGGTCCCCCAGGAACGCGAACGGGGATTGCGGCAGTATGCACCGAGTACACAAGTATGTAGTCTCCTAAAATCTGATGTGGGAATATGACCGAAGGTGACGTTGACGTTTGATCTTGACGATCCTTTCCCCAGCGAAATCAAGACATGCAGTATGGACCAAGTACAGTACTGTGACTTTTCAAAGGGGGGGGGGGGAAGTGGTATGGAGAGAGGGCACCGTCTTGTCGGGTAGCGTGATCCACAGACCCCAGTCAATGGAGACAAGAAACAAGAGAACAAGCCGAACTGCCCCCGGTGGATGCCAGCAACATGGAAGAAATTCGGGCTATTATTATTATTGTTATTGTTATTATTAATTATTATTATTATTATTAACAAAGAGAGAAGAAAGAGACATGCCCCAAAAGGGATGTTGCCCCGAGGCTGCCACCCCGAGCCACACTCACCACTCACCTCTCACCTCTTGTCTTTTTCCTTTTGCTTGTTTCTCGTATTCTTTGATTGTCGGAGCAGCAGAGGAGTATGGGGAGTACCGAGTAGCCACCGTGGTCGATGAATTGTCCCTCATATCATGTTACGAGGTACTGGGTACGCGGTAAGGGATCACGGTACTTGTACGCGGTGGTCCTTGGTGGTCCGGAGAAATAGCCTAAAGGACCGTTGAACCTAAAGGCTACGGGCCTGGCCAGACCTTGCTGACTTTGCTGCACGGTAAATCATCCAACCCACGACAAACGTTGGGCGTCCAGTCTACGTAGATGGCGACCAGGTCTAACAAGTTGACTCGCATGAGTACGATCAGGGAGTACACAGTGATGTACACAGTGATTCAGTGACCCGTACTGCCGCCACTCACCTCCTGTCTCTGTCTCGCGGGGACCAGGCCACGAATGAACCTCGTCCCATGCTGCAGCGAACTGAAACCCCCCTTTTCTCCTCGTCGCCCTCCTCCACCCTTCCAGGTTTCCTTCTCAAATGATCCAGCATGACGAATTCGGCCGGGACAATGCCCATTCCAGACGACAAGTTATGCCCGAAACGATAGCCCTGTCCAGAGAAAAAAGGAGCAATCTTCATTGATCAGCAGGAACACACCAGCCTAGGCAGGTGCTCAGGCATGTAGCGAAGATCGATCACTGAACGAAATGAATCCGCAATCAATGGGACATTGGAGAAAGGCCCTCTATCCAGGTGAGAATTTTGCAGACTGCGCGGCCTGCAAAGCCCCATTCCAACGCCTGCCCTAGCCTGTGATGATAAACGATCGCTGCGCAACCAACCCGACTCCATCATCCAGCATCTCCACTGCGGACGCCTTCGCTCCATCCCTGGAACATCATATCATCAAAAGCTGCAATGACAACGAGTCTGCGGCATGAACAGACCAATGGGTTCCTTCGTTTATCTCTTTTCTGCTTCGTGCTTCGCGTGATACCTGGGCATCCTCTCATACGCATTAGGACTGGGCTTCCTCCTCCCCTTGCCTTTTCCATGATCACATGGCTCATCGCGATCGTGATCATGATGGTGCCCGTGCCTGTGATCGTGTTTTCTCCCTCTCCGATTCCCACTCATCCTTGCACCGCCATCGTCGGGACTGTCGCTGCCACCCGCATCACTGTCGCTATCGCTAGAGGAATCACTCGAGCTGTCGTCCTCGCTGGAACTCTCGCCAAACTCCCGCGGTTTGTGGTATATACAACACACTTTGCTTGATTTTCTGCCCAGTCCTTCGTTATCCACCACGTCTTCTGCCCAGGTGATTCGTCTTCGGCGCCCTCGGCCGGTGCTCGTGCTAGACCCAGCAGCGGCATCATGTGCACCACGAAGACGTAGGATGAGGGGTTCCGGTGAAGCAGATCGTGATGAGGCTGAATCGACGGGGGTGACGGTCTGGATCGCCGAGCCTGCGGTGGCACGGCGGGAGGGGGACGCACCGTGTAAGGCTGGTGCCAGATGTCTAGCACCAGTTGGTCGAGATGGATTGTGGGACGGGTTCATGGGGGGCGGTTGGATCGACGAGGCGGTGCTCATTGCACTGGGTGAGGACATGGTCAATCAAAGGACAAAGCCACGAAAAGAATCCTCGGGGATTCAATGTCCGTCTTTGCTTTGTCTCTGTAGAAGTGGGGTCTTGTTCGTAGGTAGGCTCGTGTTCGTAGTCCCAAGATCAAAGAGCCGTTTACTAATGTATTTGGTAGATAGGTCAAAAGTGTATCAAGTGTGAAGCCACCACACACACACACACACACACACACACACACACAGAGACAAAGGTTATGGTAGTAGGAAGAGCTGCAATGAGGCTCTGGCACAATGAAGGAATGCAAATAGTGGCAGTGGAAGATGAAGACCCCCCAGCAGAGAGTGAGCTTCTCAGAGACGTGAGGCGTTTTCTTTATGGCAGACAGCGGACTGCGGCAGGCGGGAAGATGCGAGTGGGAGGAGTTTGCAGGATGCGGAAAGGAAAATGAGCACACGAGATCAGAGCATCAAGTGACGTCTGTTTTCGTCCCCGCTTTTTACCTCGCTTTGCCGTCCATTCATTCTGCCTGCTCGGCTCACTGCCTCTCTTTCTCATGCACCGCTGACCAACTACTGTACTTTGCATGCATCTGGTAATATGCAACCTGTATGCCAGAGATCCTATCGTCCTCGTCTTGGATCCCCCCCCCGCCAACCTGCATCCGACATTGTCAGCCAAAACGGCAGAAATCACTACTGCTGCGTGACTGCACGTGGTCCCAGAATGAGGATCCGTGCTTTGCCTCACATGATCGTTACCACAGCTTTAGAAGAGCCTGGACCTGGAACAATTTACCCCGAAGAGAGGACCCTCTTCTCTACCACTCTATCGGTGGCTACAAAAGCCTGTCCGGCCTCGTTTCAAATCTCCAATGCTCGTATTCGGGATGTGCTCTTCTCAGCTCTCATCTAATCTTCTAGCATCTCATGCTCTTGATCATACCGTCGCTGCTCTTCATCCTTGGTCTCTCGCTGCACTCGACTCGGGGGGATGCAGTGGCATGGGAACCCTCGCCCCCAACCGTTGATTGTTGTTCCAGGGCCAAGTTGAGAGCGCCCAAGAGAGGTTTCGCAAGCAATACTCTAACCGCAATTGACCCGAGGACCAGCTTTTTGGTATCATAACATAATTCAAGCAAAACAAAAGTATGCATTTTCTCGTCCATCTCTGCCTGCTCCGAGCACCTCGCCCTTCTCAATCGCCGGACCTATTTTCGGGCCGAGGGTCTCAACACTTGTAGAAAGCCCAGCCGCTCTCAAATTCCTCCTCCGGTGTCGATCTTTCCATCGCATAATGTTCCACCGAGGGTTCGGGAGCCGGTGGCGGTTCTGCGGTGCGTATCGCGAATTCCGTGCGTAACTCCTCCTCTAGTCACAGCTCATCGTCCTGGTCCAGGTCCGCAGGCTTGATCAACCCACCAACTTTGAGTGCGCGCTCTCTTTCCGCGTCCGCAAGAATCTTCTTTTCTTGTTCACGTTCTTCCGCATACAGTTCGGCGTTGTCACCGGCGAATTCCTTGAGTGAGATCAAAAAGTCCCGCACATGAGTCTTGAATTTCGTGGCGTCCTCGTTGAGTGTAAAGAGGCCATTGACAAAGTGCTGAACCTGAATCTCCTTGAGATTGGGGAAAGCGCGCTGCAGCAAACTCGATGTGAACTCGCTGACAAACTGCTTGTTGGAAGTCCCGGGAGCAGCCTGGTCGGGTTGATACAGCGGTTGCGAAATCTTGTTGGTCTCAACCAGCTGGAACATCCGTGCAAGCAACATGCATTGTGATTTGAAGCCTGCCTTGTGGTCCGAGTCGGTGAGGACAAAGAACACATCCTGCAGGATAGAGATGTAGAATTGTTGGAAGAAAATCCCCGCAGTCTGGGGGTCCGTCTCTGCCATGTTGTTAATCAACTCCAAACACATGGATAGGCCTGTATTCTCGACTTCTCGGTTGTCATGTTTGCTCGCCCACATGCAAGAATCGATAACAAACTTAAACTGTCGACCGTCTAGTTTGAGCAACGCTGGGAAGCAGAACAGATTGATGGCTTGAAGTAGCTTGAAAAACTCGACTCGGAATTCGGGGTATTCATGGAAATCCTTGTTGATCATCTCGAGCGTACATTCGAAGATGCTATCCATTATCGGTCCAACCTTGTCATCCATTAGGTTCTAAGACAGTCAGCAAGACGTCCTTGAGCAGGCATGGCGCATCTAACCAAATGCCGAGATCTCTGGGGGGTCCAACGTACATGTAGCTTGTGGATAATGGTGGTGGTCACGCTGAGGACTTCGGCGTCCCTGGCATCTGGAACGTTGCGCTGGTAGTCAAGCAAAATGGCATCGAGCAGTGGCGGTACCATGCTATCATTGACCATTTGCAGGTCATCCGCCTTTTGTACGTAGATGTCGACGAGTTTCAAGATCTCCTTCTTGATGGTGCGCAGACCTCGGACCTTGGGGGTCTTTGTCTGGACGTTGCCTAGGATCCACGTTAGAATCAAGCAGAAACAGATGTTCAATCCAGCTTACCTCCAGAAGCGACAGCATCAGAGATCAGCTGGCTTGAAGCCCGGTACATGTTGAGCATATCATGATAGATGCGGCCGATCTGGGAATAGAAGTAGCTACCGATCGACGAGCACGCTGCGACATTGGTTTTCATGATGTTTCCCACAACCTTGATGATCTCGGGATCATGGAGTATGGCAGGATTGGCATTTGCTTGCTGGATGACGTTGTCCCAGGCTTGGTTTGGATAGGACATGAGGTCGCTGATCAGTCGGTCCTGCACGCTCTTCTGGCCTTGGGCCGAGATCATATAGCCACAAGCTTCGTAGAAGGTGTGTACTTGTTGTGGGGTCAAATCGCAGGTGATCTTGCGCATATTACGCACAATCTCATCAATAAACGGTTCGGTCTCGCCGGGCTGGAGAGCTACGAAATGGCGCTTGCATTTGTTGGCAATCTTGATGAACGTGTCGCAAGCCATGTCTTGAACTCCTTCGTGGGTTTCATGCATAAATTCGAAGAGCTTATTCACCACAGTCTTCAAAAACTTCCAGTGGGCTTTCAGGAAACGTGGATACTGACCAACAATATACATGATGTTGCTGGCCACGACGGCTTTGTTGTCCTTGCCACGCTTCATCTCGGTCAAGCCAAGCAAGTCCTTGATGACCGTCACCAAGAACCGCTTCTCTGTCTCTTCAGACATGGCCCCTGATATTGAGCCGATGGCCCAGCAGAGGGTGTTGCAGTTGTTCCAAGACCACTCAGACCCGTCGACTTGTCGTTGAAGCTTGTCAGACATGATTTGCTCCGTGTCGACGACATCCAAGTGCGTTAGATACACCAGACATTCGCGGGTGGTCTTGTAGAGTTGAATGGTGTCACTCTCCTTGACAAACTCTCGCACAATTTCCCCCTCGTCATTTTCAACAATAAGAACTTCCTCGGGTCGGACCATCTTTTCAACCATGACCTGCCTCAGACTGGACAATACTTGAGCATACTTGTGCTTGCGGAGAGGATAGTTGGCCAGAGTGCTTGGATGAGGTGCACCGCCGTTAGCGAGCCCGCTGACACCCATGCTGACCAGAGGATTGAGTTCGGTGATTGGGAGCTGTTGCATTTCTTCGTACAACTCTTGGACCAATTTGTTCCAGTACTCCAGACAGATCTTGAAGATTTCCCTATCGTCGATTAGACTGATCTTAATGAGGTAGAAATGGCCGTGAAGGAGGTAGTCAGAATTCGGTAGTCTTTCAATCGTCTGAAGATGTGCGGAGAAGTAGTTGGTGAGAAAGATTGCCAGGTTGAGGATGTATTCTTGTTCTGAAGACTTGGCTTTGGCATACGCCTCCCGAAAATCAGTGTCGAGAGAGAGGGTCCGTGCAACGACAGTCAAGGTTTCGGTGAACATCTGAACGAGCTTATCGTCGTACTGATATTGCTGTCCCAGCTGCAAGCCACCAATTTCCGTCAAGCATTTGAGGGTTATATTGCGGAATTGGTCGACTTCGAGGAATCTGGTGACGAGAGTGTCAATGAGCTTTGTTTCAAAGATGAACCCAAGGGGAATCCAATTTAGAAATCGAAGCAATGTTTCGAGAGTCGCCTTGACCAGACTGACAGAGTCGGCTGTGGTAAGGATTTCATTGCATAGTTGAAAGATGGAGGAGAACTCGGCACACATGGTGGTCTTGAGGTTTTTGGCCTTTGTAGAAGTCATCTGATCCTGGGAGAAGTCGAAGACCTCCTCGGACAGCAGTCGCAAAATGGTCATGTTGTTTTCGCAGACCGAGATGCCGGTGTGGCAGGCGGAAATGATCTCATTGATGAAAGTGGGCCAATTCTGCGGCCACTCTTGCTTGAGAATCGTGACCAGAGTCAAGTCCAACTTGTTGAGAAAGAGCTTGTTCGCCTTGAGGGAGTCCTCCGTCTCAGAAGCCTGAAGGATCTGATTGACCACGAAATTGCGGATGCCCAAACATTGATCTCGCGGGAGAACCTTCCATCGAGTGTTGACGACATCATCCAGCACCTGTAAGCCCAGATATTTTGTGGGCACGTAGGTAGCCTCTTGCAATATTCTGTCCACCATCAACCAGGCATCGGGATTTGACTTGAACTCATTGAGCTTTTGTTGGGCCTGTTTTTGGACTTCGCCATGGCCTTCTTGAAAAGCTTTGACGGTCGCGTCAAGCTCGACGACAGTGACCGACATGGCTAGAGGAGAAGACTGCAGGAGGAAGCGCGCTCAGCGAGCGTGGAAAAGCACGAGTGTTGCGCCAGTAAGTGGCGGGGTAGATTTGAGGCTCGATCGATCTGTCGGTATGATAAAGGATCCGAGGGCGGGATGAGGAGTCTTGGTGCTTGTTGCTCCTTTGACGAAAAGAAGAGGTGAAATGGCGACAGGAGGAGTGGTGATGGGATGAAGATGGCTGCGCAGGGAGAATGAAGGGACACGATCTCTGTGTCTGTGTTGGTTGGCGGCTTAGGCAAATGTGCACTTCGTCGGATGATGGAAAATTGCCAACGAACGCGTGAGGCCCAGGCAATACTGGGTACATGGATGGGCCTCCAAGTTGGTGAGGCGCCGCACAAGGCAGCAAGCAGCAACCGCGGCGGGGCTGGTACGTAGTAGCAACTGGAGCAACTGGAGCAGCTTGTCACTGCGCGGCTATTAACGCCGGCGCTGGTACCGCTGGGCGCTCTGGGTGAATTTGTCATCCACGGCCAATTGGACTTGCTCCCTCATCCATTCGCTGCCACCCAGTGAGATACATGCTACCAGCACACAGTACCAACCAGTACCTGCTGTAGGTACATAGGTGCCCATCTGAATGCACAGGACAGTCGCTACGAAGTATCACAAGCGAATCTATATACGAATCTCAAGCGCCAACAGCTGCAATCAAAGACCAACACGGTCTCTAGACATCTCTCGTTGTCCGAATAATATATGGTTTATCTGGTATCATGGGCAGTGGCAAAGCCACATACATAGAATCTTGTGCATCAATCAAAAACCCGCGCAATCACCAAAAAGCCTCTCCTTTTGTTTGTTTGGGGATTCAATCAGTGCCTACCCCGGTCGTGTGCTCGTGGAGCTTCAGCTCTCGCTCTTCACTTTCTTTGCGATACTGTTGGTACGCCGCCGCCATCTCTTCCTTTGACTGCATCCCGTTCTTCTCGGTGATTAAATCTTTGAGCCACTTGTTCTCCATTTCCAGTTGATGCACTTTTGCCTCCAATTTGGCGTTCTTCTCCTGCACCTCCTTCACTGTCCGTTCCAACGCCTGCTCCCGCTGCTTCTTCTTTACCCGAAATCGGGCACTGGCGGCCGTATTCCTTCTCCTCTTATCTTCCTCGGCAGCCAGGCGAGACTTCTCCTCGGGATTTAAGACATTAGCATCAATAGCATCGCCTTTTCTCCGAGCAGCGTGGGGACCTGTTGCTGTGGAGGCATTGGGAGATGTATGAGAGTCTAGGTTGTTAAAGCCTGGCACAGGAGCGGGTTGAATAGGTGTGTTGTAGGTGCCGTAGTAGTGTGAAGAGTCGGCCGCCGATGTATCGAGGTTGGATGGCTGATAGTTCTGAGTGGGTGAAGAGCCGGACAAGAGTTCTTCGTACTTCATGTTATTCGGGTTGCTTTTAGAGTCGCCGAGGTCGAAATTGAAGGAGCCATCTTCAGGTAGTGGAGGAATGTCAAAATGAGTAAAGTCGGTGTTTGTAAACATAGCCAGGTCCTGGCTGATGTCTAACTCTTCTGCCGGGAACTGCTCTTGATCATAGGGCGACGCCAGAGTATTGAGATTGTTGAGATACTCTGAGAAGTTCGGCCCTGTCCGGCCGCGATACCCCGACATGGTCCTCCCAATGCTCCCCTAGTTTATGTCCCGTTTGCTACTTCTCACTACCGTGTATGAATGGGAAATGGTTTGGTAGAGGGTGATAGATTGAGGTCGAGATTGGCGGTCCTAAGCCGTCGACAAAGGGCGCACTATGACAAAGTAACTGCGCGTGGCGGTTTTGTCGATTCCAGAGCCCGGGGTGCAGCAAAATCACCTGTGTTGCCTCATGCCAAATATTCGAATCACCGTCCTCCAGCCCAGCGCGGCGTCGTCTCTGTCAAGAGGTGGTGGAAGAATGGAGGGAGGGAGTAATAGTGGTGGGGAGAGAAAATTGCGTTCGTGTTCGAGAGGTAGTGCGTGAAAGGCCGGGAGCAGAGAGAGGGGCGCGAAAACGATCAGTCAAAGGATTCGGTGAGTACCACAGGTGTGGGATCGTTTGAGCACTTTGCGGGCTGTAACTTCGTGGGAGGCGGGCGCCCTGCGTGGGCTTCGTTCGTTGCGTGGTTGGCCTAGTGGGCCTTTTCGGACTCGCTTCGGGAATTGCGTGGTGCTCCTCCAAAACTCTCTCTCTCTCTCGGAATGGCCCTGTCTTGACCTGCCGAATTTATTCGCTCGCTTTCTCCCAGATCTCGCCCGTAATAAGATAACTTAATGGCTTCAAGCCTTCCGTGCTCTTCCAGATAGCCAAGTTAACATAGTGAAGCCGTATGCATGTGACTGCCGAGGAGCTGGGACTATAGCTGATTCATAACTTTGTCTCCGTTATGTAGTCCCGTGGCGGTCGGTTCGCAGTCTCTCCGGATAGTTGTCGCGGAAAACTTGTCATGATCTCATCTGAAATTGGTGAATGTCGCGCCTGTAAGACGGATCAGACTGCCGAAAAGGGTCCTTGTGCATCAAGATTAGTCGTGCTTTGGGTCTGGGAGTTGCTCACTTGGAGGCGCTCATCGCCGTCCCCTCCACTGATTTTATCTTATACGCGCGAGCTCGCCGAAGTCTCCTGTTTGATCACAAATCCACCCTTATTCTGCCTCTGACTGTATGCACGTAATTGACTAGTGCTTGCCAGGTGATAACCAAGGCTCAGAGAGGGTTGGATGACTTCGATCAGGATTCGTCTGCTTCAAATGCTCCAAGCTGCGTAAAGAACCCTAGTGTGGGGTTTGGGCATCCATTCGGTGGTTGTGTCGCATGGCTGAACAAGCTTGCATGTGGCACGGATCTGGAAGTATTCACCGACCCATTCCAATCGAATGTATAATACGCAGAATAATCAGAATGCTACTGGGTACAAGATCTCTGTCTGCTCATATCGACAACGAAACTGCAGCTCGCAATTGAGAGGGTCACTGCCCATGACTCAGTTGGTAGGTCACATGACTCCCACATGACTCGAATGTTTACATTGGCTCCTTTATCTCATCCCACTTCATCCTCAATGTAAACAAACCCATCAGCCCCATCATGGCTCCTATTCTGGCGAAATCGCTGAACCGCCTGTCCAAGGAAAGTATCCTAGACCTTGCGCTGAGATGGCTGGAGGAAAACCACACTTCTACTCCCTATTTACAGAGCAATCGTACCGGCTTCGAAGCTGATGAAGAGGATTATCTGCACACCCCGGCCGAGACTATTGGAGAACTGCGAAAATGGTACCATGATCTCAAGAAAAATGTTGCGAATGCTGCTAAGCGCGACATCATTGATCGCATTGTTGATGGCGACTGGCGAAGGGGTCTGACGTTGCATCAACATGCCATGATCGACTTTGCCGCTCTGGAACAAAACCACAATGCATTGAGATGGAGTGCTCTAAAGTTGGTGCCACTGGAAGTAGAGGAGCAGAACCTGCTGGGCGGTGATGACCGTCAACGTCCCAAGAAAAGGCGGAAATTGGGTCATCACGAACCAGAAATGCCCTATCCTGAGGTCTCTCCGCAAGCATTTCTCTCCGCCTTGAAACAAGAGATCTCGCCCTTGGTCAAAGCGCATTATCACCTCCATCGCATGCCTTCGCCTTACCAACTTACAATCCTTCGACTTTACATGACTCCAAACTCGGCTTTTGCACCCAACCGATCCAGGATCCCCAAACGGGCCAAGCATGCGACTGATGCGGGCAGGATCATGTACATAGCCCTTCCCGACAGCTGCCCCTACGTCTACATCTCGATATCTGGCTCCTCGCCAAGCTCCAGCGGACGTCCAAAGAGCCCAAAAGACACGAAAGATCGATTAATGGCGAAAGTGGACATGGCAGCCATGAAGAAAATCGTCCTAGAAGCTATTCCAAAGGCACTATCTCGACCACATCGTCGATGGGCGTTGGATACGACGAAGCTCGTGGCCAAGTCTCTCAAGACTATGTGCGAGCTGAGAGGCAATCACAAGCCGGGGACGGGCGGTGGAGCCTACAGCGTCTTTGCGGACGGGGAGAAGGCGTCCGAAAAGAGTCCGGTGGAAGTACAGAACAGCGAAAAGGAAAACCAGGGCGACGAGACACATTGTCTAATTGAAAAACGATTCGGAAACATGTCTGGTGAACACCACGCACCACTCGATCGCATCCACGTTAAACTTAGCAACGCCATACCGATCATGGATCATGATGATGGAGGGAAAGGGTCTGATCCATCAGAAGGACAAAAGGGAGATGGCGATATCATTTTAACATTTTCCGGAAGTGACGTGTTTCTTGGATTGAAGCAACTGGCGGAGTTGGGACCGGAATATATTGATTTGGACAAAATGCCTTCTTGGATGACGGGCGAACTGGGTATCAGCAGTCTGACGATTTAGGACACGCATTGTACACCTTGGATACAATTTGTTTTTCTTGTTGTACTGGATGACACTGGTTTTACGACGTCGACGATACTGGTTTGGGACATGATATCCTGGGGGTTCAGGAACCGCTCTCGGGGCATGGGCATACACGATGAGCGGGTTGCGGGGGATCCTGTTGTTCGTTCTCCCAAGCCTTTTCTCTGCAAAATTTATAAATCCATTGCAGCGACTTTGAATGCATTACTAATGCAAGATATCCCCTTTACACGCCCCGACTCGACATTGCTGCCGCCTCCTGTCTCGTACGAAAACCCATTTATTCTCCATATTCCCCAACCACCACTTGGCCCAGAAGTTCCATGGAACGTGCTAGTCCTCCACTTCTCAAAATTCGGCGGCTCGCAACAATGAACCTTTCGGATCTGAACGGAGTCTCCCGAGAAGCCCGTCCGACACCTCGCCCACTCGCCCGTTCGATGGAGCCTTGCTTTTCGTCCGGGCATCGGACGGCCAGGCCCAGACGACGGCGTTAACGCCACATGAGGTCAACTTATGTCCAGGGCCGGGCAGCCTGGGGTGTTGGAGCTCTCTATCTCCCGAGGCCCAGCGGCTCCATGCACGCTAACCTCGTCTCGTACCAGCGAATTGGTGATTTGAATGTACGTCTTCGAGCTAACGAGGACTTGAACCCTCAAAGCTTCAAGTCGCTGGATACTAACTACCTAGGTATATAGGGTATGTACATACCGCGCTCGCACCTCTCACCTTCTCAATAATGTTTCCGCTCAGTCGGGCCAAATATGCCCCGTACCTTGGCAGCATTGGAAATCAGAGGGCTCGGTGCTGCGATAGAAAAGGGCGTTGAGAGCATTGGATCTATGGAGGACGATAATTTAAGTCGGTGTGAACGAAAGAAAAAAAACTTGCTTCGACAAAAAAACTGTCGGAGATATCTCATCTGTGTCGTTATTTCGACCTCTTCGTTCCTATCGTGCCCAAGAACTGTCCTGAACTGTCTGCAGCACGGAAGTTAGACAAATAATACCACATATATATATCTTCGGATTCTTCCTCGCAAAGATGCCCTCCAAATACCTCTCAAAACTGCACGATAAGTCCGTCCTCATCGTAGGCGGTTCATCCGGCATAGGATACGGCATCGCGGAAGCGTGTCTGGAATTCGGTGCCAAGGTCGTCATTGCCTCGCGCTCCGCGGACAAGGTCTCCTCCGCCGTGTCGACTCTCAAGGCCTCGTACCCGGAGCATGCGGCAAACATCCGCGGACACACGGTGGACTTGAACAGTGCCCAAACGAACTTCGAAGAACAGCTCGTCGCCCTCTTCGACTTCGCCACGGACAATGGCACGAAGAAGCTCGACCACGTCGTCGAAACCGCCGGCGATCTCGGGCTCGCCGGAAAATTGGGCCTCGACATCATTACGCCGGAGCTGATGACCCAGGCGAGCTCCGTGCGTCTGGTCGGCGTCATAATGCTCGCCAAGGTTGCGAACAAGTACCTGAACAAGGCGTCCACGAGCTCCTTCACCATGACCAGCGGTGCTCTCATCTACAAGCCACGCCCCGGATTCGGCCCCTTCATCGGCGCCAGTGGCGGCAAAGAGGCCCTGACACGCGGACTGGCGTTGGATATGGCCCCCATCCGCGTCAATCTGGTGAGTCCCGGCGCGATTGAGACCGAGTTGTTGTATTCCAGTATACCACAGGGGATGGAGAGGCAGCAGTTCGCCGAGATGTACAAGAAGACGAATTTGCTGGGGAAGATTGGGAGTGTTGAGGACGTGGTAGAGAGTTATTTGAGCCTGATGAAGAATAGCTTTCAGACCGGAACCGTGGTGCATTCTGAAGGAGGATACCTTTTGATCTAGAACCTCCGCAGGCAGACAGGAGTATGAGCATGGACGCGAGCAGAATCGAGAAATCCCAGAATTTCGATATCGAGTCGGAGTTGTTGAGATTCATGTCTTCAGAGGACAAGTTATTGCGAAGCCGGAATGTCACCAGTTGCCTGTATGTTGAAAGACTAAAGCCCTCTTGCTACAGCATCAAGCCCCAATCCCAGTCCTGCACCCCTGTTCCAATTTGTGTCCCGTCATTACTCGCAAAACCGCCTGGTGGTCCGGCTTCACCAGCGCTGCTGAGGCGGCCCATCCCGGCCATAGCCGCGTGGCTCAGACGGTCGCAGTAAATATCGTATCCGTCGATGGCCGTGTCGATCTCGGTCATCCAGGGATTCATACCTGTGTCAGTTGAATCAGAACTCGAGAAGGGAAAGAAATGGGTGCTGAAGTTGGCATCGGTGTTGGAAAAGGCCGTCCACGAGCTGGTCGTGTCTTGCTGGCTCTGCATGTGGGACTGTGGGCGGGGTTGTTGTGATTGAGTTCGAGGTTTGGAGCTGAGATTCTCGCCACAAAGTCGGTAAATGATATCTCGACACTTCGGGGCGCTTGGATTCAGATCATTCATTGCGTCGATTATGCTCAGGGCTGTCAGGACTTGATTCCTCCATGAGCTGGCGTCTGGGTGGCTCGGATTGCGTCGCAGACAGTGGATTGGTATCAAAGCGGCCTGAAGAAGGAAATATCTGCAAGAGGGAGTGATAGATAAGCATGACACGTTTTGTTGGCAGGATCAATAAACGAAATGGGACATCGCTACTACAAAAAGACAGAGAATCCGGTACTTACAAGACGTACCAAGCCGCGAGCCTGGTGTGAGTTCCGGAAGACCAAAACTGAAAGATGGCCGAAATGCATTCCTCGGCAGCCTTGAAGCATCGCTTGGTAGCAATTGTTTCAGCGGATGCACCCTGCGACGGTGAGATAGGAGTTGCGGTAGCGACGTCCAAGCTGTCCTGTGCCCATCGAATCAAAAACGGGCGATACATGATGATGCGCATGATTCGAAAGCGCCACCGGCTGATTGCATGGCCAAGGAGATATTGATTAGGAAGTGGTAAATCATCATCCCGGTAGTATGGTGGAAGGCTGCTGAGCCAGCCTTCAATCAGCTCGTCATCGAGGGAGATCAACTCTGCGGCAGACGGGATGGGATTGGAGATGAGGCGGTTGTAGATTCTGATGGTGTGGAGATGATAGGATGACTGAGTCCGAACATAGGTGTAGATTGTGGTCTCATTGACTTCGGATGGGTATGACGGCGAGTCCATTTGAAGGTCCTGTGGGATGATGTTCGTCAGGCGAAGAGGGCGGAGACTTTGACAGCACGTACCTTTTCATGTATATTCAGCGGAAATGGGATGTCGACTCCTACCTGAGGCCAGTTCAAAGGCCTGCCGTACGTCACAGTTGCACCGACGTCCAGCACACAAAGCGACCACCAGATCCTCCTCCGTATCTCCTTTCGGAATGGGGCAGTCTGCCATCCCCGAAACTCCTTGTGGAGGCCTAGCGATATTGCGAGCCGTAGCGCAATGCCCCCGTAGTTGTAGCCACTGTTTGGTCTGTTTCTCTTTTGCAGGTAGTTTGCGGCCATCGCAAACGCCTGGACAAGACTGAGACTCCCAGTCTCCAAGGAATTAGTAGACAAGTTCGCCTTCACGCCGTTGAAAAGAGTGACGTGCGTATCGTCGGAGCAGGTACTCGACACGAAGGACCCGAGAGCCGCAACGAGGTTAGCCAGGGTGTGCCATGTGCTCCCGTTAGTACGGCTATTGAGCTTCGCATACTGTTCCCGGAATGAAACTTCGTGGAGGATGGGGAAGGTCGGGTGGTAAAGCGCGAAGTAGGCGTCGATGAGAGTGTCGACCACCGCTCGAGTGAGCAGAGGTTGCGCCCGGAGCCACGGCGTAGTCGTCGCCGGATAATCGTTCGAGCGATGGCTGAAGAGTTGCTCTAGGCTTTCACGCCGTTCGCTTTTGCCATCGGCCTTATCCTCGGCGCCTGTGCTCATCCATATGAGCCGCAGAAGAGCAGAACCTGAGACTGATCCCAGGAAGCCAGCATTTGAGTCATCAGCAGTCAATGTGGCCATACCGTCCGTGATCTTAGGGATTTCAGCGTCGATATCACCTCCAAAAGCTGAGTTCCCTGTACGAGGATCCGCAATATTCCAAGAAGATTCCCGCTCATCCCATTCAAAATCGTCGTCGGCAGCTGGGAGATTCTCTAGTGGAAAAGTGGAATTGTCGGCGACATTGGACGTTGAATCTACGGGAGATTCGAGATAGCTCAAATTGACCTTATGATCCGGTTCCCCGCCAATCGTAGAGAAAGATTGAGAACGCCCCTGTTGGCGGTGCGCTGAGCCCGGTGCTGGTAAAGGGGTTGAGGTCCCAGGTGGGAAGCCTGATGTAGCTGCCTGGGAAGAAGTACTCGTCGTCGCGTCGGTTGCCGGCCTCGATGGGACATCATGTTTGTTGGTGATACCATGAACAAGCATTTGCGACAGTTCAGCATCGGTGAAAAAGGTCTTCAACAGTGCTTCTGCTTTTTCCAACCGCTCCTCAACCTCTGTCAAGTGCCTGTGTATGCATTTAGCCCCGAATACTTTGCCGAGGGCGTGGCGGGAAGGACTATCACACTGACTTCCTCGTTAAAGATGATCTGCTGTGCTTGTCGTACAGACAGTGTCGATTGTACCGCTGGCAAACTGAACACACTGGCATCCTGCCATCACAACGTCCTTTGCGACGACGACATTCGCGGCACGACTGGCCAGCGTTTGCGCCGGCACGATCAGTTTTTGTAGATTCTGACATATTGCTCGACTCCGCAATTGGGACTCAGCATTCGGCTTCGTTAGTCAAGGACAGAAACAAAAGGCAAACGGAATAGAAAACGTTGAATTCATCGTGTGATGGGAGTCTTGTGCCTTGTTCGTCTGCGCGACTAGCCCCGCAATGGCTGTTTTCGTTAGCTAAGCCCTGAACGGTTTCCAGTTTGAAAGCGTCGCGGGTCCGGAACCGTTTAAAGGACCGCTTTAATAAGGGCCAGCCCTAGCGCCTACTCTCGGCTCGGTAGCTCTCTGCAAAAGACACCATTTGACCAGTCAGGATCCGAAGTTGAGCGTGCTTTTACAAGCTTCAGGAGTATGATCGATGCGCATTAGGTGGGCGAGCTCGGTTAGTCCGTCAAACCTCGAAGCATGCCTGGGGTCGAATAAGAGCCATACCGGGCGAAGAGACGCTCAGCCTCGTGAAAGTCTATGTATTGTGCTTTATATATTGTCCTGGCCCGCGCATACGTCAATCCCCGACATATTTCAAGAACTTACCCGTATGACAACCTTGCCAAAGTGCCCACCTCCGTACAAGTACTGGAACGCTTCTTTGGCTGCATCGAAGGGGAACACTTTGTCGACCACAGGCCTGATCTTCTTCGACTCGTAGAAGCGCAACATCTCTTCAAATCTGTCTTTGGGCCCGTTGACGATTCCTTTGAGCGTAACATTGCGCCGCAGCGCCAGAACATTCGTATTGGTGCGATCGGCAGCATCGTCTTGCTTCCCGCTTAGATAACCGATGCAATTGATGAGGCCTCCAAATGAGACGCAATCAAATGATTTCCCCAGGGTCTGCGCGCCTCCGGTCTCAAATATGATGTCGACACCTTCGGCGTTGGTCAAGTTCATGACGACGTTCTGCCAGTCAGGACTCTTGCGGTAGTTGATAGTGACCGTGGCTCCCAACGCCTCAGCACGAGAAAGTTTGGCACCGGAAGAGGAGGTTATGATTGCTTGAGAGATGTCAGAGTCCGTAAAAGATGCTTGTAGATGTCACTCACTCCTTGCACCAACTGCATGCGCAATCTGCAGGCCACTTATGGAAACTCCACCGGTGCCTTGGAGCAGAATTGTCTCTCCATGCCCACCCGGAGAGTTGATGGGTCTCGATCCGTTGATAGCCATCCATGCTGTAAGTGCTGCAATAGGCAGAGTGGATGCTTCCTCATCATTCAAATAATCAGGCGCTTTGACCAACCCCGTCACTGGAAAGACTCGGTATTGCTGGAGTACACCATCAAGAGGTAGGCCAAGACCAAAGGCCATGTCCTTCTCTTTGATCTGACCGGTTAGATGTGTTTGGTTGAAAATGGAAAGAACACGGTCTCCAAGGTTCCAGCCGCTTCGTTTGGAATTTCCCAGCCCAACCACAATTCCGCACATGTCAGAGCAGGGGACGACATTTGGACTGGCTCCAATTGTTTTGTGGTGAGTGTAAAGGCCCATTGCCACTAATCATGAATAGACAACGAGTTTAGCAAATGTATCTCCACCGCCGCCGTCAGAGGGCAACTGGTTCGGAAACAACGTACCTTCGGTGTCTCGATAATTCAGAGACACTGCGTGAACCTCGACCAGCACTTCGTCCTCGCCCGGAATGGGAATTGGGCAAGTGGATCTCTTCAGATTGTCCAAGCCATCCTGAGCAGTCTCCCATTTCATCATCTGTCGCGAACCCACAGCCATCCTTTCCTAGAGCCGATCGATCACCACGAAGAGGTCACTCGGAAGCAGAAGTCGTCCGGGCGAGCTACATTTGTGACGTTAGCTTGTGTAACGACTTGGTGCCATCGTGGAATATGCAGAAGATCTCCCAGCAAGATGAGCATCGCTTATGTCCGCTGACCGAGTGGAGAGATCTGGCGTGGCTGAGAGACCCTTTGGAGGGCGAATGAAGCCCCCAGATCTTAGAGCTGTGGGTTGGGCTCTGGATGCGTTCAGTGAAGTTCCTAGCCGGCGAGCATTCTGGCGTCAAAATACTTTCCCCTCCGCCGGACTGAGTACGGTGATGCGAATGACGCGAATGACGCAAGGCGCCCATGGCCAACCATGGCTTGCCATTACAAGCTGTGATTCACTGCCAGTGTTTAGCCGGAGCGGCTCCCATTGCAACTCTGGGACAATTGTCCTGTGTAAGATCCGCAAACACCTATTCTTTGGATACATCACTTAGTGCGCTCTTTCACCATGGCGGCGCAAGGGAACATGCACAATCTAACAACTCTCATTAAGAGGTTTGTAGTCATTTCCTTATGCGAACTTGGCTTCACCGCCGTCCCGCCGGCATCTCTTCAAGAGCCTCAATGGGATATAACCTTGCTAACTGCGTTGCCTGGCTAGACTGGAAGCTGCCACTTCACGACTTGAAGACATTGCAACTGCCATAGATGGTCCGGGGGCCACCGCCTCAAATGGGATCGCTGGTGCTCTGTCACCTCCCTCCGCTTCTGCTGGCACCCCTGAGCAGGCAGCGACCCCTCCAGAACCCTTGCCTAAATCGGTCGAGGCCTTCAATCAGATAATCGACGAAGATGTTGTGGCTTTTGTCAAGGCCAGCGAGAAGATTGGCGGTCTTGTAGAGGAACAAGCCAAAGCTGTCAAGGAGGCGTTTGAGGCCGAACGAACATATCTGCTTGTCGCGGCTAAAGCAAAGAAGCCCGATCCACAGCCTCCTGAGTTGATGACAGAACTTCACCGGCACACCTCAACTGTCGACGAAATCCGGGAAGCCAACCGACCGTCTCCGCTATTTACTCATCTGAGCGCTGTGTCAGAGGGGATCGTCGCCTTGGGCTGGATTGTGGAAAAGAGACCAGGCGATTTTGTGACGGATACCCTAGGAGGTGCTCAATACTGTAAGTGGCGTCCTGCCATGGGGTCTGTCTCTCATATCTGGCACTTTCCATGCGGGGAGTTTCCAGGTTGAGATCAGTTTCATGCTTTGACCATGTCACTGACTGATCCTATAGACGGGAATAAGATTCTGAAAGAGTACAAGGACAAGTACGCGGACCCAAGGTCGTTCTGCTCTGTGTATGAGTTACTGACAAAACATCAAGGGACAAGTCACATGTTGAATATATCCAGGCGTACTACAAAGTCTTTCGCTCCCTTGCCGCATACGTCAAAGAATACTTTCCCACCGGTCTCACTTGGAACACCAAGGACGGCATTGATGCCCTCGAGGCTCTGAAACAAATACAGTCTGGCGCAGCAACTCAGAAAGGGCCAATGGCTGCTGGAGGTCCCCCACCTCCTCCTCCTCCGCCGCCACCACCTCTGCCAAAATTCGACGATGATGGCCCTCCAGCCCCTCCGCTGCCACCACCTGGCGCTGCTTCACAAGGCGGAGACATGTCGGCCGTCTTCAACCAGATCAATCAAGGTTCTGCCGTCACTGCAGGATTGAGAAAGGTCGACAAATCAGAAATGACTCACAAAAACCCATCACTTCGAGGCAGCTCTGCGGTACCGCATCGATCCGAATCCCAGACATCACTTACAGGACGTGGCAAGTCTCCTGTTCCCAACAAGAAACCTGACAGCATGAGGTCTAAGAAACCGGGCCGGAAGGAACTCGATGGGAACAAATGGATTGTGGAAAACTTCGAAAACACTCAGAATGAGGTTATCGAGATTCCTGCAGAGCTTAACCACAGCATTCTAATCTCAAAGTGCAACAAATGTGTTCTGAAAGTCAACGGCAAGGCCAACGCCATCTCTATCGACAACTGTACAAACCTCTCAATCCTTGTAGACTCGCTGGTCTCTAGCCTGGACGTGATCAAAGCGCCGAAGATTCAGATTCAAGTTGACGGAGTGGTGCCAACGATTCTACTTGATCAGGTGGATGGTGCGCAGATCTACCTGTCGAATGAAAGCTTGGGCACGGAAATCTTTACCAGCAAATGCAGCGCGATCAATGCCGTGTTGCCTCCCAAAGATGAAACAGAAGACGACAGCAAAGAGTTGCCATTCCCCGAGCAGATACGCAGTGTGATCAAAAACGGGTCCCTTGTCAGCGAGATTGTCGAACATGCGGGATAGAGGGGGATTACCGGTATTCTTCTTCGAGCGTGTATCATTAGCGATGGGGTTCCAGGCTGGATCAAATGGTCTCTTACAAGTGAGCCGGCAGTTCTTTCGAGTCGATGCTACTTTATGTGTGCATAGAGGGGGATGTGAGGAGGATTCTGAAAACATGTCCCTTTAGCTGGGATTGTCTCGAACATTTCCATGCCGTGGTTTGGCAAGATGGATATCGAACTTAGCCCTTGAACTCTTCCTGAATCACTCCCTCTTTTTATCCAACTTCCACAACTGTTTGTCACCTGTTGTTCGTCGTACAATACAGGCGGCACTCTTTTTTTTCAGGTTTGAATCTTGTTGGTGGCTCCTTTGGTTTCAGCCTGCCCTTCATCTGGAGTCTGATCTGTCAAATTCAGATATCAAGGGAATTTATAAACTGCCTGCTCACATAGACGCGGTCGACCTTTATAGCCTCGATAATCCGTTCCCTCCCGCCCATTCCCGCTAGATTTTGGCAAAGCGCTGGAGGACTTTCTTGGAACTTTCTGGATGTCCTTGTCTAAAGGGGGGAAACATCAACGACGACTTCCAAAACCGACAGAGCGGCAAGATGATCCCAACACGGATCCTCATCATCTCGGACACGCACGCCCAACTGCCTTTGCCAGCCAAGGAAATGTCTCCAGTGCCATTTCACCATCCACTCCCCTCCGCTGACGTACTGATCCACTGCGGCGACCTCACCTTGAACGGCAAGCTTTCGCAGCACGAAGCAGCCGTGGAACTGCTCACGTCCGCCACCGCGGACCTGAAGATCGTGGTCCCAGGGAACCACGACATCACCTTGGACAGAGACTACTACCGCCGCTTTCCTGACAAGCACGCCGACTATGGACCCTACTCGGAGCAAACCCTGGATGGGATCCGCGAGCTGTATACCAGTCCGCAGGCGAAGGAAGCAGGCATTCGGTATCTTGAGGAAGGCGTTGCGGGGTTTGAATTGCGCAACGGCGCACGACTGACCGTCTACGCCAGCGCTTATCAGCCCGCGTTTTGCAACTGGGCGTTCGGATACCCGCGGAGCATCGACAGGTTCAACCTGCGCCAGGAAGGCGGTGGCGAGCCAGAGAATCCTGTCCCGGACCACGGCGACATCGATATCATGATCACGCACGGCCCTCCGAAGGGCATTCTGGACAAGGTGTGGCGGGGCGAGGATGTGGGTGGACAAAACGTGGGCTGCAAGCATCTTCGCTACGCGGTCGAGCGGTGTCGACCTCGCATCCATTGCTTCGGACACATCCACGAGGCTTGGGGCGCTGTCATGAAGAGATGGGATGCCGGGGATGTTGTTGGGCCGGAGCAAGTCTGCACGACGGGAGATCCACCGTCGTCGACTTTTGCTGGCGATGGGACTGGGAGATGGGAGGACAAACCAAAGAACGGTTCCGCCGCGAAGTCTGTCGCGGGGCTTGGACCGCTGCATTCAACCACCACTGAGAGTAGAAGGCAGCCGAAGAAGGTCCAAGAAGAAGGCGAGCCAGAAATACTCCCATCCGTTTCGAACCTAGCAGCGTCGTCCAAATCCAGCCCAATTCCACCGTACCATCCCAGCACAAACCCAAGCAGCTACTACATGTACCCGCACCAACTCCAGCAGCACAACAATGCCGGTGAGACGCTTCTCCTGCCTGATCCATACGATGACCAAGTGCGGCGGAAGTGCATGGCCGTCGACGGGGGAGGTTTGAACTTCGGCAGGGAGACGCTATTCGTGAACGCGAGTATCGTGAATCTCAGATATAGGCCGATGAATGCGCCGTGGGTGGTGGACGTCATGTTGCCAGAGGCTGCTGAAGGGGGGGGAAGGCGACATTGAGTTCAGGAGAATAGGGAAGTAGAAATAAAAGGGATCGGGGGTCTACATCGAAATTGCACATAAACAACAGGCATCGCTCAGAGGACGTAATGTTCAAAGCTCGTTGGATCGCCGCAGCGGAATGAATAGGGAAGTGGCACGTCTAGCCAGTTCAGGTTTCGATACAGGAGGGCATTCCACTGCTGACTACTAATAGGAAGAGGATGAAGATCCTGGAGCCCGAGACATAGCCAAGATAGATGAGGAAGTCGTGCTCCCCTATATTCACTCCGCTCAGCCTCGCGCACACCAACACGGGTCTAGTCCAAACATATATACACCCACCCACACTTTACCAGAGAATTGTTACATTTAAATTTATTGTGCTCAATTTCCTGTCACACAAAGACCCCCTACCTCGACCAGGGCGATTACCGAGTCCGAACAAGTCCTCTACATCAAGTCCAGGCCCTGTCAGGTTGAACTAGCACCGGGCTAGCAGGCGTCAGGGCCTCGATTCGAACCGAACCGACGACATTTAAATCTGGGTCTTGTCAGGACGAACTAAAAATAACGGGTTGGCAGGCAGCAGGACCTGGATTCGACACCCGCGCCGATCGATTCAACTGTATAGAATCTGTAGTATAACCGGCCGAGAAAAACCAACCCGAAAGGGTGAGTTTCGCTTATCACAGACCAGAGGTTGACTGTTCTGCGTTAAGTTTTTGCATTTTGATTCTTGATTTTTTTTTTTTTTCATCCATTCTGGTTTTGTGGGTGAGGTCGTGGGAAGGAATATATCGACCCTGATTGCCACACAAGTTAAACGTCTTTAAACGACGTACCGATGTCTCCATAGTCTCGTTCAGAGGGAGCAGCATCGTTCTGCTCCAATCCAAATGGTTCTTCTGAGATATTCCAAACGCACGCCTTGTGATAGCTAGAGGGTTTTCAAATAATCCTTCCTTGCTGGCCCATATCAGCTGGCGGGAACGTCACCTCTTTCTCCAATCCCAACCCTGCAGCAACGCAAGCCGCGGATCAAATCTCGCCCCAGAAAGTCCAGCTTCTTCCCTAAACAACGGGTACAAGATAGCCCTGAAGGTTCTTCTTCTTCTCCGGCCAGGTCTTCCACCGCGCTCGACGAGTTTACCGTTGCGGAAGCTGAGAGGTTTGCCACCGGCGTCGAAGTCAGTGACCTCAAAACCGGTAAGCCCCAGCTCAGCAAGGAGGGAGAGGGCTTCGGCAGGAAGAGGGCGTGGTGGCGGAGGTGGGTCGGAGGGATTAGGTAAAGTAGGTGGTGTTGAGAAGGCGGTCGCTAGATCAGCGTGGTAAAGTGAGGAAGTGGGCGGCATGGTTTCAGAAGGGCCTGAGCTTGGCCTCACAGCGTTCTTAGAAGCTTCGATATCGCTGTCGCTGTCGTTGCCAACAGAAGGCGAGTGCTCCTGCTGATGTCCTGCCTCCGACTCATGCCCCAGAAGCTCAGGTGAATCGAACGTCAACCTGCTGACCTCCTGCCGTGAACTAGGTCCTTGATCTTCCAAGCTTGTCGGATACGTGGTCTTATTCCCCGCTACGCTCTCCAGCACTACTGCGACCGATTCGGCCAGCTTCACATCCTTCTCTCCAACGGCGAGTCGCAAGACGGACATACACATGTCTTCGTTAGGAATGATATGCATCTCCGTCACATATCCATACCAGATGAATTTCGTGACATGCGGGTCGCCATGTTCACTCGCTTTCAGGAGCAAGTGTAGCAGTGTAGGCCTCGGGAAGAGAAAGCCTGAGTCCGAGAGCCTGTATAGAAGCTGTAACAGAGCGTCAAAGTCACGCCGCACATCGCAGATAGCGTGGATGTAAATGGTCCAAAGCCATTTCGGAACGGGCGTGTTGTCCCTACTTCCTCCGATGAACGATGTCTTCTGAGTAAGCTTTTCAAGTTCGACGGTTGCGAGTTCTAATTGTCCCTCACGTATTAAGCACAGAATGTTCAGGTGGGCGTGTGTATCGTGGACGGGAATTTGTTGTTTCGTAAGACGTGCGACAATGGAAGTGCGGAGATTTGTATCGGGATGAACAGCAAGCACTGTCAACACTGCCAGGAGGATGGGCACTTCGAGGGGGATTCCTTCTCTTTCCATTTCCTGGAGGATCAACTTGACATTCTCGATAGAGCCGTACTCTGGAAAACATTGCCCCAGGATGAGCGCCTCATAGTGGTCTGGGGCCGGCCTGATTTTCCGGTCTTGAATCAGGATCTTCAAAATGTTGCGAACGGCTCGAGCGTGCGGTGTGTTCTTCGCTATCCATCGCAGTTCCGCTTCGAGGACCGCTGTGGTCAATGCGCTCCTGATTAATGTCTTCTTGGGCCTGCCGCTGTTGAGGTCTATGCTTCTGGTGCTGTCTGCACCATATCTCTTTGCTTCTGACAGAAGTTCTCGAAAGCGCTTAGGCTTGCGGAGTCTCCTCATATATGGTCTTTCGATAACTGTTGGCTTCTCGTGGCCATCCTGCGCTCCCTGGATCTTGATAATTGGAATTTTCGAGCGGCTTAGGGGTCCGTGAGATTGGTTGGGCAAAGAGGCGTTTTGGTCACCACGACCCTCCGCACTTGAATCTTCCGACCAACTCGCGTAGTTCTCCCCTCGGTCTAAGCCGTCCGTTAAGTCACAATGTGTTTTCTGCTTCCTCTGCGTCTCTTCCGTTCCATGGCACAGATCGGCCTTTGATGCTCGACTCGCTGTTGGTCCTCGACCGTCAGTGTCATCATCGACCTCTTCCAGCTGCTGCTTCTTGGCTTGCTCGAGATGGGGAAATCCTTGAAACTTCACGTTCGCAGGAAATGTCAGGTCTGAGGAGGATAGGTCTTCGGTTTTCACAGGCCTTCTTTTCTGCTTCGCGTCGCTTGTGCCTCCATTGGGTTGACGTGTAGAATGGGAGGTTTGCGTGGATGTCCAGTGAAGCCGGCCACCGTGAGGGGCGGCGACAGTGCAAAAGCTTTGCCTCAGTCCATGACGGATCAAGGACCTGTGCATCGGCTATTCATAGCTGAGTGTGCGGCTATGAGGCTTCTGCAAAGAATAGAAGTCGCTTGAACGCAATGCTCGGCGACAAAATGAAGCAGAAAATGCAAGTCCTGAGATGCATGCTGCTTTAAAGGTAGCGTCCCGTTTAGGTTTAGTGTAGCCGGGTCTATTATTGATCACCACTTGGGTGATGCCCATACTTGTTCAGAGAACAATCTTACTGAGAGAATCATGAGTATGGGTTGTTGATTTATCTCGAGCTTCGCGTAAATTGGCCCGAGCGGGATATATTCTAGCCGATTGGCAGGCTGAACCTGATAATATGGCAGCCGAGCAATTGGCCTGTCGTCGAGGTTTGTAAGAGACGGACGCGGTGAGATGCTTGCACAGCTGATCATGGAATGACTGAGTCCAAGTCTTGATGGTAACTAGGAGGTGTGGTCAGGTACGAAATTACCTCACTGTCACTCATTGAAACTGAGAAGACTTACACGGTATCAGGAGGTCCTGGGTTGTCCATCTATATCCTGAGCAGTTTCATTCGGGCTTGTCTCCAAAAGAGCAACGAGGTATGGTCGATGGCTGTACGTGAACAATATAGAGATCGGCTTCCTTAGCCAATCGAGACTGAAGCATCATTAGACCAGTCCATCAACGGTCTTGATATTCCTCTCACGGTCTCCTTTCCAGCCTTGCTAGGATCTAAATTGACCTCCCGAGGAGGGCTGTTTCAATTCAAGACATGACAGTACATGTCAGGACACTGGGTGCTCATTGATATAATCGCCAGGTCAAAGCCAGCGTTAAGGATGGTGATTGGGATTTATCGGCAGCGCTCCTCGGCTTAACGACGAACGCAAGGACGATACGGATACGAAATTTCATGCGTATTATGCTGAAGGATATGTCAAACCTGTGTTGAGATGCATGGGAACTCAAAGGTTTCGGTTTCCTTTCGGTTGGTGTCCGAAAGCCGCATGTGGTGAAAGCCATTAGCATGTCTCGGAGATTGCAACGACGGGAGCTCCAACTTTCGAGAAACTTTGCCTTATTTGAAGTTGTGCTGAAGCCCATCTCTCTTTTCCTCCCTGCCTCATTCTACTGCAGCCATCCAAATGTTGTCACGGTACATCTACCTGATCGAAATAGGAGGGTCGTATCTGTTCGTATGAGGCTGAAACACCAGCTTGGTCACGACCAATATCTTCTCTTACCAGGCTTTACGACATTTTCTGATTTGTCTTCACACCCATTGCGACCATAGCAAAGTACAGGCGCCTTTTTGCTTGGAGGGAAGCAGTAAGTGGTCTGAGCTATATCGCTCTTGGCGACCAGCAGAGACGAAACGTTAACGGAAGCGGCTTGGGCCACCACATTATGCAGCCAAGCCAGCGAGTGCGAGATGATTCGTGAAATGCCCAGTATGCCAAACGCGGGGGTGTTGCATTTACCAAATCCTCCCTCTCGACGCATGTAGCAGTCGCGAAGCTAACTGGGAGAGACCTGGAGCATTTAAGGCCTCCAAAACGCACCCTGCCTCCCTTGGGCAGCAGTTCAGGCATCCTGCCTTCATCAAGTGCATAACTATCCCTCTCTTCGAGCAATCTCGGGTACACAAGAAAGCATTGTGAAAACGGACGAACGACACCAACGTCGGATCACGACTTGGAGGTAGGCGAGACCGTTTGCTGCCAAAAAAAAAGAAAGAAAGAAAGAAAGAAACAAAGAAAGAACAAGGAGCTTACAAATATCCATTCCTGATTGGGGGTTGTTTGTGGTATTAATACAAATACTAACAGGGGAGGAAAGCGCTTTGAGATAGATTTCCTGGGGGCATGCACTTGGACCGTTTGCATTTAATTCGTCAGGAAAAGAAACAGAGGACTGAACTGACCTATATCAGTAAGACCCATCCATCAACGTCCACCTAGAGGCGTGTCATCTACCCAAATATCTCTTCGAACCAACCGAGCAGGCGAGCAAGATGGCCTCGTCGATGTCTTCCATCATCATCATCCCCGGATCCTTCACCACCGCGCCAATGTACTACGATCTAGTCGACAAGATCCAAGCCCTCCGCGGCGGCGAATCGGGCTCAGTCTTCGTCAACAACCTCCCGTCGGCAAGTCGCAATCCGCCCGAAGAGCCGGCGACCTTAGATGACGACGCTGCGTTCTTCCGGGCCATCATCGAGAAACTAGCGGAGCGAGGGCAGGACGTCGTGGTCGTGGCGCATTCGTACGGCGGCGTCGTGGGCACGGAGGCGCTCAAAGAAGTGAGCAAAGCTGAACGAGAAGCGCGTGGACAGCCCGGTGGTGTCGTGAGGATCGTCTACCTCACTGCCCACGTACCGTCGGAGGGGAGTTCAGTGACGAGCATGCTTGGGGACGCTCCGACTGAAATGGTCGAGTACGGAAAGGTATGTATGGGCCTCTGTCCATTTATTCCCCCAATGCACAATATCCTCTTGGTAGTGGGAATTAACGAAGGGGCCCTTTTAAACCTCCAGGACGGCTTCCATCGACTCGTGGGCATCGAGACCATCGCCCAAGCCACCTTTCCCGACCTTGAACTCGACAAGGCCGTGGCGGTGGTTAAGCACATGACCCGACACTCAGCCGTCAGCTTCGCCGGCGAGATCACGCACGCCGGGTACAAGCATGTGCCGGTCTCGTACATCGTGTGCGAGAACGACATGATCATCCCGCCGGAAATGCAACGGGGTTACATAGAAAAGATCCAAAGGGAGAGCGGGAGGGATGTCGATGTCCACACTCTCAACACGGGACACGCTCCCAACACCACGGCGCCGGACCAGTTGGCAAACGTCATTGTCCGGATTGCTGCCGCGGCTTCAGCATGAAAAGAGTCAAGACTGGTCTGCCATAGGGGATGTTTAAGTAGGCGTGTCAAAACAGACACGGCGAGCGAGCGACGTCCATGGGCAATCAGGAACGCGGCGACTAGTCAGCCCAGGCAGGGTTACTGCGGAAGATCAAATTGTCAGCAAGAGGAGAGAGGGGACATATCCCGTACCCAGGCAAGTGCTCGATGTGTCAGACAGATGCTCATGTTCGGAGAGTCCGGCCCAAAACGTGTGTTGGCCTGTTCACGATTTGGAGTTTGAGAGTTTGATCACTCAGTGATGTGTAGGAAGACAAAGACAATGGAAAGGTCCCAGAAATGTTTGAATAAACGTATCATTTCTCCTTCTACCTATTACTCCGTCCGCTTCCGGAGATCGCCTCGCCGTCCTACTACTGGTACTACCAAGGCTGAACCACCCGCAAAATCCAAGTTGGTGTCCCAAATCAGCCCCCCTATAGATGGCTTTCCCTGGATTCTAAACTGCACTGTGATAGACAAAAACATCGAATTGTCCAACAGACTCTGAGATATGACAACTTCAATGCAACAACGCCTAGCTCACCTGGCTTAATCTACAAATTTGGGAAAACTATATCAAGAAATGTTCAGTCCACATTCGCCGAAAATGTACCAGGAGCATAATCGCATATCCAGGCACCTCGACGAACGGCCTTTTAAAGCCATGAGGCTGGATCACCAGCTACTCGTGAGCATCTTTTGTGGCGATGGTCGACCTGCCGGTCTCCAAACTCAGCCTTGGGCTGCAGTCGATGATGCTGCTTTCCGGAGTATCGTCCGTATTGCTGGGTGTATATCGGAAATCCTCGACGACGACTATTTCTCCTTCAAGTTCTTCTTCGTATCGAGGTGGAGGTGCCACGTATGACGGGGCGGTGTCGGAAAGGCTGCTGCTACCGATGCCAGCATCGAGCTCTGCAGGTTCGAATCCATCCCGATCACAATGACCACGATACCCCGACCTTGCTCGGCCTTCTTCGGCTTGCACAAGGTCTCTCACGAAATCGGAAGCATTTCGAAGTGTACGGATTTCCTTTTGCAATCCGTCATCTTCTTCCAGAAGGTCTTCCCGGTCAAGGATCATTTCTCGCTTCTCCCCGTAGTCATTGGTGCCTTGGTTTCGGAACCGGAAACCTTTCCACCATGTCCTCCATTTATGCTTGCAGGCAGCTTTCCGGTAGAGCCTCTTGGTTCGACGCTCTTCCCATCTGGCTGCGCGCTCAGCTCTTCGTCGAGGATCTCTGAACAGGATTATTGCACGGATGGCCAGGCCAGAGAGTATGACCAGTAAAACGAGAAGAAGAATTGCCAGCCCGATGCGGTATTCCAATGCGCGTCGTTCTTCATTGGCAAAAGGTCGGAGATTCGGTGGTGGTCCGTGGGGATGGCTATGAGGGTCAAACCCAGGAGGCGGACCATGATGACCCGGTCGAAATCCTGGAGGTGGACCGTGAGGCGGTTGAAAAGGAGGGTGATCCCCATGTGTGAATGGAAAGTGAGGTCGATCGTTATTTGGTTCGTCCGGAATGGGCGTTGGTTCAGGTTTGTTGTGTTGCGCAGGGGGAGTCGCTGGTGGCGGCGACCTTGATGTAGCTGATGGTTCTGCTGGCGTCTGAGACACCGTGACAGGTTCCTCGACATCAGCTGCAACAGGCGCTTCCTCTGGAGCGTCTCCTTGTAGACTGCTATCGACTCCAAAGCTGTCCTGATTGTCCGCGGAACAAGGTGTTTGTGCATCACCGTCTTTGCAACCGCTGAGTCGATGTCTGTGATGGGTAAAGTGAGAGCTAATAAGTTTGGCGATGGCTGGGACTTCGCTCATGGCAGTGTCCCACAAGCATTTCATGTTTGAGCAAGCTTTGAACTCTTGCTTGAGAAGAAACATAATTTTTGCCTCTGTTGAGCGTATCTGCTCATGAAGGGCTCCCATTTCACCTCTCAATTCTTCGAGCCGAGAGTACTCTGCTTGTAACGTTGTGTCAGGTGAGGGAATAGGGTCAGAGACGTTGGAAGTAACCGAGAGTCTCTGGTCTTCTGACAAGAGCCACTCGTCACAAAGGCTTTCTGAGACTTGAGCGACAGGTTTATCTTGGAGACGCAGGACCGCGGGCTTGCCTTTTTGCTTGAACGAGGTAGTGAATCCAGAGGTATCTTTGAAAGGATCGCTTCCCACGATGCCCTCAAATCGGACAGAGATTATGGAAGCTTCGCCCTTGAGACAGGTTGATTCCCAGGAAGCATTGACCTTCCGCTCGTCTGAGCCATCGGAAGGCTTTGATGTAAAGGCGATCTGGCCGTTGGCAACGTTATTGCCAGCGTTTAGGGGAATGAGAGGAAGACCATTGAGACGAGGAGGGGTATTGGAGCACTCCTCTTCGGCAGAGTCGATCTCAAGGGTTAGTTCCTGTGCACACCAATGTCAATGACACCCCAACCAAAGACATGACCTGATCGAACATACCACTCCATCCTTTGTGTCGTCAAAGCATTCTTGACAGGGAGCGTGGAAGTGAATGGATAGATGATCAGGATCTATGGCTAGTCAGCCAACAACAAGACTTGTGGGGGTAGCGTCCACTACCTGTTGTACCAGCAACAGTCGTGATGTCTTTTGCCACCGGGTGAGAAGAGGAAGAAGCAGGAAGGAGAGACGCCGACGCCAGCGCAGAAAACAAAGTGGCCACGCGAGTCCAAGAAGACCTCATTTTGGGACCGATGATCGAACAAAACAACACAAGATAGTACGATAGTACGAATGAGTAGAACTATGCCAGGAAAGAAACACTGATGATCCAACGGTACAAATTATGGTTCAATTGAATGGCATGCTCCCCAGTAAGTTTTGGGAGCAAATTGCTCACTTTTTTTGGCCTCACAACTCCATATTCTGATGCCCGAAGAGTATGGAGGAGGGGAATCAAGAATCGAGGAGGAAAAGAGCGGACTGGCGGCAGGATGGGATTCTTTCGTTTTGGCTGGAGCCTGAGCCTGAAGTTGGGCCTGAAGGAGGTGGAAGAGGGGAGGCTTGGAGGCTTGGAGGCTTGGAGACTTGGAGGATCGCGCCAGAAGCCGCTTGGGCCTTTTGAGGTTTGGTTGCTCGCCTCGGACACGGACATGCGATGCACAGCCCCGACAATCTGCTCGGCCGCGTCAACGCTTCCGGCTCCGAGCGTTGAGTGACCTGGGGGAAAGATCGGCCTTTGAGGTGTGTTGTGGTGTTCTTGCTGGCGGGCTCGCGTAAGTAATAATGCTCGAGGTCATAAGCATTGGATTTTTCTTTCCGCTACACAACCTACCGCAACCTGAACTGCGCAACCCGTGGTGCACGTGACAACATGCTTATGTAAGGGATAATGCCAAGACTTCGACCAGCTTGCCCCAAAGCCCTCCACCTCCAGCCAATGAGGCCACAGGTTGGTTCTTTCAGTATCAAAATAATCACCTGCTGTGATCACCCATTACAAGAAAAAAAACTACTCGTGCCGCCGTTCGTGACGCGCAACTAGGATTATCGCGCAAGGGATTGGAAGATATTCTAGCGCACATCAAAACTACGGCCACACTAAGTCCGAAGCTGCGGACAACTGGGCAACGATGCTCCCTTTAGGCCTCCTAACGGCTGCACAGGGCCATCCCATGCTGGTCGAACTGAAAAACGGCGAAACCCTCAATGGTCATCTAGTAAACTGCGATACGTGGATGAACTTGACGCTGAAGGAGGTTGTGCAGACAAGTCCAGAGGGAGATAGATTCTGGAGGCTGCCAGAATGTTACGTGAGAGGGAATAATGTGCGTTCTGACTCCCCTAGATTGTGCGACCAATGCAATCCGAGAGCTGTGCGATGTCTTTCATGCTTCAGCTCCGGGTTGAGTTCCAGTCTTGCTCTGTCTCATAATGAAGAGCTGCTTTCACGATTACATGTCCTCTCAACTGACAATACCATCTAGATCAAATACCTCCGGGTCCCTGAAGAAGTCATCGAGCTCGCGAGAGAACAACAACAGCAACAACAGCACCAACAGGGTGGCGGGCCGCGTGGCGGACGCGGGGGTGGGCAAGCTGGTCACGGCACCGGTGGAAGGGGAGGTGGTGATCGTGGACGAGGGAGCGGTGGACAGGGAAGGGGAGGCGGAAGAGGGCATGGGCGTGGGCGAGGTGGAGGAAGAGGCCAAGGTTGAGGTGGATTGTTTTTTTTGGGGAGAGGTGCTATGGTACTCGTTCTTTATGGCATACGCATCATGACGTTGACGTTACAGAGGTTCCCAAGAAGACCGAAACGTCAACACACATTCACAACATTACCGCCTGACCGTCACAATACTGCATCCAGGTCCAGGCTTCGGCCCGTTCAGACATTGCCCAATTTTCTGCATCAATGTTCAATCAGCCAGCGAAAGGATAAAAGAAGTTGTATGTGGTCTGCTATCGAAGTGCAGACTTCAAGCCGTCACAGTCTACCATCAAGAGAATGGAGACATCAGTGCAAGATTTTTGAGAACCCATCATTTTCCACACACAAACCAAGGCCAGGACTCCTCCGCTATGCTAGTCCAGAAACAACGGCTTGCACGCTCCCAGCGACTTTCAGGGTTCACAACATAAAGAATCGAAATGAAACTATATTTTGTGCCTCCAACCATCTTCATCTCTTTGGAAGGGCAAGTTCCAGGCATCGTCCAACCTACCGATGATTGCGTCAGTCAAGCGAGCCAGGAGATCAGATGATAGTTTCTTACCTTGTCCGAAATGATGCCTTGACCCTGTAGATACCACCCCAATCTCTTCACTAGTTCAACCTGCTCTTCCGGGGTCAGGCCCATAATGGCCGTTTCAAGCACTCCGCCCACTGACGTCTTATACACAGCAATGAAGCTCTGGTAGTACATGTATGCGAACAGACCCATGATGAATTGACAGTCCATGCGATCAGTCATGCCTCCGTGTCCGGGGATGCTGTCACCAAAATCCTTGATCTTGAGAGTTCGTTTCAGACCCGATGCGAAGAACCCTCCGAAAGGAGCGATCAGCGAAGCGAACGATGCAAAGACAAGAATGTGAAACTGCATGGGCGCGATCCAGAATGTGTAGTCGAAGCCGGTCCACTCTTTGGTGTTGTACGGATAGGCCTTGAAAACCGGGTTCGGGTCACATTCTAGACCGGTAAAAATGTTGGCGCCCAGATCATTGACGGGACAAATGAAATACTTGTAACGCATCAGTATGTTGGTTAGCGCAAACCCGAAGAAAATGGTGCAGATCCAAGCTCCCACAAATCCCTCGACAGTCTTCTTGGGGGAGAGGCTGATCAGTTGGGTACGGCCAAAGGTGATGCCGCAGATGTATGCAAAGATGTCATTGGTGATGACCAGGGACGCGGGAAGGAAGAACCAGATCATGCCTTCGAAGACGTTGTTCATCATGAAGTGTGCTTGGACGACAATCAGATAGAGTGCCATATGAGTCCAAGCGAACTGGGCAAACTGGAAGCGGTAGTAGTTTTTCCGCAGCGAGGCAACAAAGGACATGAATCCTGTTATAGAGTAAGCAATTGCACAAGAGACCGCAGCAGCCTGCACACGCACCAAATATATACATCATGAAGCTGATGAAGCGGTGATGGGTCGCAAAGGGTAGCAACACTTTATCCACCAGGAGGATATGCTTGAAATAGTAAATGACACTTTCGCCGTACAGAAAGTACATGGTGATAGCCAGGAAGTACCAGTTCAGCGAGGTCGTCAATGGGAGGTTCTTCTGCTTGGTGGGCACTTGGGCGATCGCGATAACCTCTTTGAAAGAAACGATCTGGACGGCGGTAATGACCATGAGGACATAGACATGACCCGCAAACATTGCGCCGAAGAAACCACCTATCATGGCCAGTGTCCATATCGTCCGGGTTATGAAAGTCTGCTTCTTTTTCTCGTATTCTGACACTTGGGCAGGCTTTTCCCCCTTTACAATATTTCCATTGGTGTTGCCGTCGTGCTGATCTTTCTGAGGGCTCGGAGGCTCGGAAGCAGTGTCGCTGGCCGCAGAAGAGCTTTGTCGACGGTGATGGCCATTTCCGTTTCCGTTGCCGTTACCGTTACCGTTTCCATTGCCGTTTGACCGGTGTTGGAACTTGACGCCCTTTTGCCGGGGCATAGCTTCTTTATGCGCGGCGTGGAAGAGCCGCAGGGAGAAAGTTGTGCCTTTTTCTCTCAGGGGTGCGCGCCGGTTGACAATGGAAATCGCGGACTGGGAAGGAGAGGGGATGCTGGGGATGCCTCGCTTGACACGTGCTTGTTGGCTGGATGCCTGAGACCGACTTTCAGGAGCGAAACTAGGCGCCGGTGGATTTCTCGATCTTGGGCTTGGGAGCACCTGGACTGGGCACTCTGCCACATTCAATGCGCAGAAGATGCGTCGATGGCTTAGAACAGATGGCTTAGAACGGCGAATGGAAGATATTTCGAATCAACCAAGTCGTTGGCAGGTCGGGCCACCCAAAGTGATTGAGTTGATTGCTTGTGCAGGTAGCCAGCTTATTAGTTGAATTTGCGTCATACAACGAGTCCCCCGCTGCGCCCACTGCGCCCACTGCGCCCACTGCCGCCCAACCTGACGAGGCGTCTAGGCACTGCTACTTAAGATGACATGCTCGGAGCCGCAGTTGTTCCGGGCGTTCGTCACTGGAGGATCACTAGGAACAATCCGCACCACTAATGCACCCTTCACAACTTCGCCCTTCGCCGTGGCCGAAACCCACTGACAAACCCACCGACACCACCGCACACTACCGCGTCGAATGCGCGTTTTCAGTGAAACTGTGTGCCTTGACGCACTTGCCAGGCACACGAACGACGGACTCGACACGTGAACCTATGCCATTTGTGCCTCTTCCTGCTTCCATTGCGCTCCTCAATGGAGGTCAAACATGAGTGGCATGGACGACAACGAAGACGAGACAGATCTCTTCGACGACGATGACTTCGATAATCTGTCAGAATCCGCCCTGCAGCAACTAGAATACGATGCTATCCTATCAACCCAGAAGGCGCAAACCTCCAAACCTGTCCCTCTCCCTGTGCAGAGGCCCACGGCCTTGCCGCAGTCGAGGTTTCCGCCTCACCCACCCTTCAATCCTCGATCCCAGCCTTCGCATCCAGCCATTCAGAGATATCTGACGGAGGACGATGATAGCTTTGAACTGGTTGGAGAAGAAGGCGTGCCCACACCAGTAGACGATCAAGATTCTTATCCTGTACGTCGAATTCAGATCAGCGAGGCTGCCCAGAGAGCACAATTTCGCCAGCAACGATATGGCCAGACTATATCTCGTCCGCCAGTCGACCAGGCGAATCATCAACGTCAGAGAGGTTCGTTCGAAATAACTCCAGCAGGCGGCTTGAATCATGGCGCTGCAGCTGGAATGGACGAGATGGTGTTGGACGCCCCGTTTCAACAAACCGGCACAGCTTTGTCGGGAGATGCTCGTGATACTTTCCATAATGACGTCGACGAACTGCTCCGAGAGAGGGAAGAGCTCACCCGAGAGTTGCGAGCTGCCACGGACATGGTCTCTATGCAAAAGGGCGAGATCTCCATCATTCGAGCGAACTTTGAGAAGGAGACCAAAGTCTACGACCGACAAATTGGCGCTCTGAAAAGGTCAATGGAAGAAGAATCCGCAAAACACGCTGCTGCCCTCACCGCCTTGGTTGAAAAGAACCATAGCCTCACCACCCGGTATCAATTCCTGCAGCAAGAGCATAATCAAGGGCTTCAAGAGACCAAGACTCTCAGGCAACGCTTGAAGGATAGGCAGACGGAAAGGGAATCTGATCCAACAACAACCCCCAAGCGGGGCATAGCAAGCTCTCTTCGAGATGGTTTCAACGATGACGATATTATGCTCATGTCCCCCTCGAAATCTGCACGACGCTCGAAGCCGCCAACGCCAACAGCGGCAGCGAAGAGGAAACGAAAACTTGATGGGCCCAGTCCTGTGAAGCCGCTGGTTTTGCGCCCGTCCAGCTCGACAAGTCAAAATGAGATGCCGCCACCATCTCCGCAACTGATCCAGACCGTAGAGCAGGTTGTGTCGGTTGTGAAGAAGGACAAACAAGCTGAACGCAATCTGAGATTCCTACAGTCGATCGTCGAGTATCGGATTAAAGATTCGAAAGAGCCACTCTTTGAAGCTTTAAGCAAGTTTGCCTTCCCCTCCAACCCGTCTAAGACGTTCTCGGCGCTCCTCTGGGAAGGCATTGCTCAGCTCAGGGGACGCCGTCTCCCTGGTGACCTCCTCCAACTCTTGATAGATTTGTGGTCCAAGGCACTGAAAGAACAATACTATAAGCCAATTGGCTCTCTGCGGGAGATAGCGAACCATATCGTCGATCTCGATATGCTTGTCATTGATTCCGATGTCATCACGGCAATAATCCCTCTTCTCAAATCCACCATCACGATCAACGGCGAGAAACGCTTTGAACACTCACCGGTGAATCATGCAACTTATGGTAGGATCCGTCAAACTCCTCAGTCAGTTATAAACCGAGAGATTGACGGGACAAGCTGCCTGGAGTTCATGCTCACAATCGCCTACACTGTGTCAGACGACCCAGGACTTCTCGCCCTGCTATGGCGTCTTATGGACCACCAATTCATCCTGATGATGCTCAATGCCTGGCAGCCAATATCCGACATCGCACTCATGCTCCGCTTACTCGCCACAAGCATCTTCCCCGCCACATTTGGCAGTATTTGTGTTGGCGGTCAGCAATCGCAGGTTGAACATTGGATGATGAATCGGATCTGCTCTCTGCTTAGGGAAACGCCCAATGTCGACGAAGGCGTTCCTCCCTACACGACCCAGCAACTGTGTCAACTCCGGCTTGAGGCCATGGATCTCCTCATAAAAATCGCCATAACGTCTTCTCCACATCCACACGATGATCCCTCTCACCATGGCAGTCTTCTCATCGCAAATGACACCCACGCTATTGCCCGCCTCGTCCGCAGTTTGTATGACCAAGTCTCAGCGATGTACTCTCTCCACCCTACCACGCACACCTTACATGCGTCCCTAATCAACAAAGGTGTTTCTCTTCTTTACCACCTCTTACGACTTCACGGCTCTACTATAAACCTGCAAGAGAAGCTTTCCGTGATCAACGGCGGGGTGCACAAACATCGCGTGGTGCTCACCAGACTAGCTTTCTCAGAGGGATTTGTGGTAGATAAATTTGTGAGCGATGAGACTGTAGCGATGGCAACACAGATGCTGGAGGAGAGTGTGACGCCGGATGAGGCGGATGAACTTGTAAAGTGTTTCCCAGGGTTCAACGGGAGGGGAGTTGGCAGGGATGAAGACGAGTAGCCTTGTTATGTTAGGTGCACTAAAGTTTGACTATGGTTTTGATTACAACACTCCCTGATTGTGTAACGCGAATGGCCCTGGATAAGCCCTGGACTGGATTGGCTCAAAGGCGTATGTGGATTGATGACATGACGTCGCACCGCAGAAGTCAGGTCTCCCTATCCTCGTGGACTCAATTGACGGATTTATCGAGGTGCCTGTGGAGACATCTTGATTCTTCACCTCCATCTCCGACAGCCTCGTCGGCCCAATCTATATCAACCAGAGAATCCTCCTTCGGTTCCAGCGCATTTTGGGTTCCAAAGGCCCGATCGCAGTCCCTGTCAAAAAGAATGCCGTCACTACAGATAAAGGCATTCGTTCAGTGGCATGTCATAGGTCAACGAGATCAGACGTTTTGCTTTCCCACTTTCTGTATCACCTTGATAACGATGTGGATTTGTGTGGTCCTCCCCTGAAGCTCTGTTGTCTTATGCAGCCATTGTCGTCAAAGAAAGCCGGCAGCGTTGCACTGTGTAAGCTGAATGTCCTCTGCACCTCCAGCGCACTTCTGTAAGGCTCAATCCACCCTCTCCAGATCCGAAGGCCCTTGGCCTGGAGTCTGCAATACGAGCCGCTGGACACTGACGGAGATGGAGCTGCCCTTTTGACCACATGAATGCTTCGTATCCCTCGCTCCATGATGAGGTCTGGGGCCTCGTATCGCGTCGCGCAATGCTGGGCTGGAGAGTCGTCAGACCACTCTTCACGTCCAAAAAGCGACTTTTCAACCACAAGAAAATCAAAGCACGCGGGAAATCCCTGCAGTTTGGCCTTACTCAGCCTTGCTCAGCCTTGCTAACAGTGCGACATTGGCGTATGGGAGGAGGAGGGGAGGGGAGGGGAGAACGAATTGGGCTCTCGGTAATGCTGGCATAGCTCGATCGACGAGAGTAAATGGCTCTCAGCTACCTAGTATCTGAGGGTATGGAAACACCTGCCTACCTACCTTGAGGGTGAGGTTCGAGGTGGCCAATGCACGACACGTCGCTGTTGTTTGATGCCGTGGGAGGAAATCCCTGAATAGGTCTTCGCGATCTCTTGAGTTTTTAGAGCGCATTAGAAGACGTCGTTCTAGGCCGTACTTTGTACCCTTAACTTCGAGTTGTACCGAGTACTACTTGAACTTTTTCGTCCTAGTCCAAAACAATCAAAACACTATACATTACATCTAAATCGTAGTGCCATATCCAACCAATAAGTCCCTTGGCCGACTGCGAACTGAGCAACAGATACATACGCCATTCTTTACTCAGGAGCCGTCCATTCGAGATCGTCAATTCATTATGTCAAGGGACAATAATCGGATCCTCCACACTGCTTCATCTTGGTCGCTACCGTCCCGGGGGGATTTCGATTCGGTAGGGCAATCCATTCACGCCGTCTCCATCTTCTCCTTCCCTTGCAAGTCGGATAACAGGAACCTGATTCCCGGTCCTGCCGCTTCTCCGCGAACTTCTCGTGGATTGTCGCGTGAGATCATGATGGACAACGGACCCAGTGTTCGATTCTCCAGATCCGAACTCAGATCCATCAGAACGGGAGCTCAGTCGTGACACCGCAGAGAACATTCTCGAACTCGACCCTGTTGTCGAAGGCCCAGGCCTCCGTCTTGAGCGAGACCGCGAGACCGTAGTGTGTTCCGGACGGAGGGATTGCCTACCAGTGGCATCATTTCCATCAACATGATGGACGTCGGCTTTGGTATCGCGTTCTGAGGATGGGCGGTGCGTGAGATGATCCTGCTCTCGTTCAAAAGAAGAGAGGGAAGGGGCAGAATCTTCCGAGACGCGGCGTGGAGGTAGTTTGTGGTGGCGTACGGAACCGGAAGCTGAGTAGGTGGACGCGACGGAGAAGGTTTCCGCGTCTGTGTGAGGAGAGCGGTATGGCATCCTCCGACGGATTAAGCTGGAGGTTTCGGATTGAGACGGGTATTCAGAGTCGTCTGCCAGATCGAGGAATTCAACATCGACGGGGTTCATATTGCGGAGCAGTTCGGCAAACATGCGCATTAAGCTCTGGAAATCTTCGTCACTCAGCGGCGCGGATGAAAATCGGGCTCGCTCGTATGCAGCGAGAAAGGCAACTGTTAGGGAATTATCCGGTACCACGCCAACATCGATCAGATATTGGAGGTATGCTCTCATACCCATATTTCCGTTGCGGGCCAGCCGATCAATGACCCGGGGATCAGGCCTGGGTGTGCCATCTGGGTCAGGTTGCGTGTGCGGATCAAGGGGCGCTAGACTGACAGCCTTCGCCTCAATCAGATCAATCAACTCATCCACGACTGTGCAATACTCGAGTCCCGGCAACTCCTTGGAAGCAGGTGATGACCACCCAGGATGCGCTACCTTTCCCCAACTCGGCTCTGCATTCTGGTCCGTATTGGTCTGCGTCTTTGTCAATGCGAGCATCCTCGTCCCCATAATGACCGTGTCATGCTCGATCCTCCGACTCCTCGGCCGGGCCTGATATGCAATCACGGCACTCTTCTCCAAACATTCTTGAATGAGCTTGTGCACTCGCCGTCCCGGTAGATCCTCCTTTTCAATGGGCATGTACGTCTTGGGTATGTCCTTAAGCACCGACCGATTTGTATACAGCCGCGACGCATATATGAGGGCAGCTAGAAGGGCGGTAACAACGTAGTCGCCCGCGATCAGGAAGATGTCGATTAGGCGGCTCCGCTTGTAGGATTCATATAGGGTATCGGCGGGGGTGACAGAGACGATGATGACAAGGATCAAGAAGACGGCGGTAAACGAGGTGCTGTAGAAGATGCGGAAGATGATTTGGCGCGCTCGTGCCATCTCTGCGGTTGTGGCAGCGTCCGCGACTGCGCCGGGGTCATTGTGATACCGTTACGGACATCTATCCAATGGCTATTTCATGGTGAGCTAGGAAGATAAGTGGTAATGACGGAGGTGTGAAGTATAGTCATCGACAAGGTGACGGAGTTGAGGGTTGATATTGATGGATCCAGCGAGCAGGCCGACAGCCCCACAGTGCTTTCCGGCTAAACATCGGCATCACATTTATGCGGTCTTGGCAGTCTTGCCCCTTCGGGCATGGTCGCAGACCCTCGCTGGGGGGGGGGGCTGCCGCTTTTGACAACTTTGAGTACGTCGTCTTTCATCCAATCCCTCTCTCTTCCTACGCATACACCACCGGTGTATACCAAACATGTTTTCTAGAATGGCCGATTGTGTTGAATGATGACTTAGCTATTTGATACCCAGAAATTTCTCTGCGTCATTCTGGCGCAAAGTGTCCGCTATCCCTTGCCCACGACTTTCCTACAAAGTATCTGGTACTGTCCTTGACGTGTACCCACAACTTCTTTCCACTGTCATCACCCCTTCTTCCATCATACAGCCGCTCACTTTCAAATCAAATCTCTGATACGGAGCACAAAGGATGAGCACGAGCTGTATATGGGCTAGATGCACCCCCCAGGCAATTCCGCGGTCCAGTGCTGAGCGGCCGTTGCATAATCTTCATCTCTGGTGCAGGATTCACCCGGCGTTCCGGACAAATGTCTCAGGATCGGGAAATACATCGGGATCGCGCTGCGTGGCGTTTGCCATATTGCTGACAACAGGTACCAGACGGGGTGTATTCGCCCCTGATAACCTTACCCGGGGACACGCGAGAAAGTGCGGTCGGGATAGGGCCTCGTAGACGTAGGACTTCCTGAAGCACGCTGTTGACATAGGGCTGCTGTATATTAGGGTGCTCTTCTTGAATATATTGGAAATGTAGGATAACAGGAGAGAATTACCAGAGTGTTGGCAGATTCGTGGTCGGCAAACACCATCTTCTCAGGAAAGGCGTCACGAACCTCCTTTTCCAGTTTCGCTTGTGTGTCCGGTCTTTTTCCTAGTTCATATATCAAGTACAGCATTGTCGCCGCCTTTCGCCTCGACCATTAATCGTAGTAGTTTATACTGCCCATGACCCTTTTGTACATGAACCTTGTCGACACAAGATTGTACATGTTTGATAATGCGGGGTCGTGTTTCGCGCGCAGCCTTGAAGGTGCTGAAAGGGAGATATTTGGCAAGCGGAAACATACCAAATAGAGGACAAACGCTGAAGTAAGTTTCGATGTCTTCGGCTGTCTGAGAGTGCGCACCTTTGAAGATATCAAATGATTCCGCGGAGCTAAGCTTACTGGTCGTATCGAGACAGAAGGCATGTGTGAGATCGTGAAACTCGACTGGCTGCTGCTTTGCTTCCGCGATATTGGATGGATATCGCTCGAATTACTCGATGAGCTGCTCCCGGAACTGTAATACACCTCGTTCGGAGAAAGCGTTCGAACGAAGCAGCCGCATGCGGGAATGTAACCCATGCTCGACCGCACTGAAGACTGAATATGTCTCTGTCAACGTGAAGCCGTCATAGAAAAAGGGTGATTTAAGGCATGGCTCTGAACTTTTGTCCATAAATATCCTTGATGGAGGCCTGATCTGCGAACGAGAGCTCATTAGGTCCGACACGGGACTGGGCCAAACTTTCAATGTAGGTCGTATCCGACAGAGGTTCAACGACATTGGACCGTGCTTGCTGACCGAGGCAAAAGATACCACTCCCCAAGGCTGAAGACAGCGTGTGTCTAGGTAGAGCATCTTGGAATTTGGGCCTCGTGTTCAACCTAGGGAAGACAGGTCCAGTCTGAGCAGCAACCGGCGAAGAGATTTGAAAGGTGACGAGGCTTACAAGATTGGCCACCTTGAGATATTCCCGGCTACAAGTTTTCCGACTCTTTGCCTGCCTAGTAGATGATCAGGTCTCAAACACCATCTTGCTTGCGACCGCCCTCAATGTCTCCATAGTGATCCACAAAATAGCAATGATTTCACGAATGCGAAATAAGCAGACCCATATCGAATGGACCAGAAGCGGTTTTTCCATCATGAGGGTTTTCGCAAAAACACGAGATCCACGACTCCATCCTCCCCACCTTCGCCCACCGGAGGATGCTCGCATCTTCAGCAGTAAGGCTTTCCAAATGGCGCGTTGAACGTCGAGGAGCTGCTCAGTAGCACTTTTTGGGGATAGGTAAAAAGTTCCATGTCAAGCTAGAATTCGTGTGAACTAGGGGTAAGGGAGTTGCACTACCACAACGAATAATGGGTTGGACCAGGCAGACACCTGCTCAGATGACTCTCGATCTTAGCTGAGATGCATAGAGGCGAGATATTCACCATATTACCCCAGATAACAGCTACTTTCGTGAATCATCTCATCTGTGAGGGAGGGCGCTGCTGTCTACGTGATCGATACTTGCTCCGAAGTTTTGGAACAAAACACGTTGGTGGACAACATTTGACTCGTTCAGTAGGTGATTGCTGGCGAACCGCATGGCTCCAAAAGAGCTCCTAAACCATTTCGCAGAGCATTCATTTTTTGCAGCTGCCCTAGTCCTTGGGCTAGTCATGTTCTCACACACCCAGGCAAATAAGGATGTCGAAATCGCACCGGAGAATGCGATGGGAATCGTGAGGAAGCTCTCCACACGGAGCTCGTCAGGCCCAGGTCCTGACTCTGACGCCACGAATTTGGACTGGGATTTCCTCTCATATCAACGTTGGGATGATTTCTCGATACCCACTCTAAAATGAGATGCTCGCTCTCGCAGTTGTGATTTCTCCGTCCTGGATTACAGGACTGCTCTTCCAACAAAGACCCATCCCCCAAATTAACAGTTTCAAATTTGCCGATTGTTGAACCTCACAGATTTCGCTCAAGTTGGAGCAAAGACGCAGAGTCATCCTGTATGCTATGGATTTATCTGCTGTTACACTATCTATGCACCTGTGAAGCAGTGATGTCGTGGCCGTTGACAAGAATCAGGGCAGACTCAGCCTTGTTGCAAGGTAACCGCGGTTATCGTGGTCTGCGTTATGTCCACTCGGGCGAATTCAAGGCTCCGCTAGAATCCCGAATACGTCTAACGGCCAATTAGCTGTGGAAATTGGGCGCGACGTCCACCAAGCGCCAAATGTTTAGTTTCAGGAAGCCCCAGGTTTTGGAAAGAAGCAGTGGACAGATGGTGCAGCTGACAAATCAACGTTTATTTGGCGGCAGTTCTTGATGCGAGCGGTGGAGGTAGAAGAAAGAACTATTTAATCTCTTCGCCGTGCCGCTCCTTGGAACAACCCTCACAGCGCCCATATCAAACGCGGCAGAGCGATCTCCCAAGAAGGTTAGACAAGTAAGAATACGCCAGAATACGCCTTTGGAACGCCCTGTACGCTCGGTACCATGGCGCCACTCAACCTCTACGATACGACCATCGTCCCCATCATCAGCACGCTTCGCAATCTCTCCGGCATCCTCAAGAAAGGAGAGGCGTTCGCCGATGCCAAGGGCATCCCTCACTCTGAGCTCATCGAAGCTCGTATAGCGCCGGACATGGCGCCACTTCCCTTCCAAGTCCAGACTGCCTCCAACACCGCCAAATTCCTCGCCGTCCGTGTCGCTGGCGTGGAAAACGTCCCCTGGGAAGACAACGAGAAGACTTTCGAGGAGCTGCAAGCTCGAATCACCAAGACGATTGAGTTCCTTGAAGCCGTCAAGCGAGAGGATTTCGATGGCAAGGAAGCGAACCACGAAATCACCTTCCATGGTATGAAACTTACTGGCCTGGAATATGTTAACGGGTTTGCCTTGTCCAATTTTTATTTCCATGCCGTTACGGTGTATGATCTTTTGAGGATGAAGGGCGTTGATATTGGGAAGAAGGACTGGCTGGGCAGGAATTGAAAGAGTGAATGGGTGAAAGGGGGCGGATCTAAGTCTGCTGAGACTAGCCGGACATCCCATCGCGCAAGGTTTGAGTGTCAGCTTAGAAAAGCTCTTGAAATAGGGGCACAGTGCTCTTCTGCTGCCACCTGACCACGGCGCGAAGAACCGGCCACATAGAACTTTCAAAAGGAAAGACAAATTTCAAGCAGGTAACATGCACATTGATATGATCATCGCTGTTCTTCACGCATCTCGCACTGTCCCAATCATTCACCCACACATCCGCTCCGTGGCCAGGTTCCGGACACCAGGATTGAATCGGCGTCGATCTCCAGCGGCAGTCGTTCAACTCCAGCCTCGCCACTCACGCAGGGAGCAATTGCAATGGCTTGCATGCATTCGCTATCTCACTGCTAGTGGTGCACATGTCCCAAGCCTGCATGAGCATTTCGTGGCCCTTGAGCATCTCCACGCACTCAATGTCCGGTGCCAGAAGAACGTTACCCTCGCCAAAGACTGACCTGTACAAAGATAGAACACTCTCCTGCGAGGCCTTGTCGATACCCGCTATGAACATGGGAAGCGGATTGACCAGAGTGTGCTCGAGACCATGCGCGGGAGCCTCGCGGAGCTGAACCATCAAGTCAGATTTTGTTGTCATTGTGTGTGAAATTGAATATTCTTCAAAGACTAACCTGTGGAGCAATACCGACTCTATGTCCCGAGGCATGAAATCTCTGTAATAGCCTCCTCGTTGTGCCTACTTCTGGAACGGCGCTCGCCATGATAATAGTCGCGTCGGACCTGTCATTGACTGCGCTTCGGACGACATCCACAGCTCTTAGAAGATGGCCCATTCGGGCTGCTGTATCGTCACACGCTGCAGAAGACCGTGAAAGGGGATCTGCAATGATGATATGCGTCGTCCAACGGAGATCGCTGGGTGACGACGTCCACAGAATGTTTCTTCCCATATTACTTTGCGGAATCCTTTGGGACTGGGAACATTCGTTGAATACGTACACCGGGTGTCTCTTTGAGATGCTCTCCGCGAGGCAAAGTCCAGAACTTGATCCTATTCCAATGATTCCAACTCGGCATTCTGCCGCGAATGGCATCAGTGACCAATACCCGGAATCCAGGACGTCTTCCATCGTGCGATAGTTAATACTTTGCGACACCACTGGTGTATACTCGGTTCGTTTCAATTTAAGGGCCACGGAGAATTTGGCGCATGAAATAAGGTCGCTGGGTCAAGTGGAGCATTTCTTCCTAATATATATATATATATATATATATATATTTATATCGAGGAACAGTTGTCACTCCATCTGTCACAATCCAGCTGCGATGCTGCAAACAGGTGATGAGAGTCGAAAACATCATGCGTGGCCTCGCTCCGTTTGTGGTGCGTTTGATTTGCTTTGGTGTGGTTCCTCATGCCATAGTCAGCGAGGGAAGTCCAGATGTGTATATCATGATGAGTGAGTTCTTGTCACATTTCATGGCCACAAATGATTCATAGAGTGATGAAAACCGTAGATTCCATCTCGCTATCCCTCGCACTTTTCCTCGCTCACTTTCGCCCTCATATCGCTTACCCTCGCACTTTTGTGACGATCCCTATCATCAGCTCAGGCTATCATGGGGGGGCATCGCCGCAATGACCAAGTTGGTGGCAAAGCATTCGCATGAAAGTGTCTATCTCGGAGGGTAAGGAAAAGAGAGTCTGAAGGGGCTCGACTGGGGGGAAAGAGAGGGGTGCCAAGGCCTCTGGAGTGCCACGTGACAATCCTCGCAGTTTTGACGATCCTCGCACGTTTGGGAACCATCCTCGCATCTCTTCCACCAAGTCTCGCACTCGCCGTCGCACTCCCGCACTGGCCTCGTTGACCCTCGCGCTATTCTCGCTGCCTCACGCATACTCCTTACAGTCTTTTCGCTGCGTTTCGCACTTTAATTACCAACTCTGGCACTCGCCGTCGCACCTGCGCAATGGCCTCTCTATCCCTCGCAATAACCTTGCCGCCTTTCGCACTCTTCTTACACTCTTCTCGCACTCTCTCGCACTTGCTATCGCACTATCACACTTATATCGTTCATCCAGAACCCACCCCCTATTTCTGGTAGCCTTGTCACGTGACGGCGGTGGGCGTCGTACGGCCGACATGCTCAAGGCTCAGCTGCGATGTGCCTTGGTATCACGAACTGCATTTGTCTGATACATTGACTTTTCCTTGGCTGGCATCTTTTGAAGGGCCAAGGGCGATGTACTTTGGCCAAGAGTCATTGCAAAGGTCTTTGTCAGCATCCTTTCCGAATATGAACAGAAGAAGCCAATCTGAGCCGTGGATAACTCCCCAACGCAAAAGCCGATGGAAATCTAGTGAATGTGCCGTGTTCAAAGCCCGTGAAGGTTTGAAGTTGAGCTTGCTTGCCGTGTGCGGAACTGGTGTATCAATGTGCTTGGCATGTAAGCACCAAACGGATGGCCGGACGACCAAGCTAGTATTAGCTGATACAAGACGAGCATTTGCCATTCGAGGATAGCCGAGTCCTTGGTACGGGATCCGCATTTAGAACGAACGTACTTCCCGTTCTGACACAGCCAATATATCTGTCGCGGCACCTCATTTGCCACCACTGAGCCGCCGTGACATCCAAACAAAGACGTTGTCCCAACGAGGCAGTGCGGTCCTCACAGTCGACGGCTTTGGAAGTCACAAGATGCCTGTTCCAGGTGTAAGTGAAATCTCAAAGAGCTGGTTGAGGGCAGCTGTCGGCTGTGATGATGTTGCGAGCGAGCTTATTCTGCAGGTATAGACTGGCCACCGCTCTCGCGGTGAGCCTTGGCCCGCTTTGAAATGTCTCTGGGCCAGCGACTGTGCTCTGGGTAAAAAGGCCACGACATGGCCTAGGACGGAATATAAAGCGATACAATCCATCCCAGGACGTCGATTGAGCAACTCAGCTTTCTAAGAACGCAAGCTCTCAAAAGCAGCAGCAAGGATATCGCCACCCCGGTATCTTAGCAGAGACAGTCAACATGTCATCGCCAAAGACAGACCGCAACACCCCGCCCGGTATCAAGGACCAAAAACGGCGCACAATTGTCAACAAAAACACAGGAGAAACAATCACGTGGACAACATATGGATATGAAACCGGAGGAAAAGAAGCCAATGCCGTCCTCGTGTGCAAACCAGGGGGCGGTCCGCCACTGCACTACCACACCAGCTATGCCGAGCGGTTCCAAGCGGTGGAGGGCGATCTGGGCGTGATTCTGGGCAACAGAGAACCGTTCCATTTGGAGCCGGGTGAATCAGCCGATATTCCCATTGGCACAAGCCACCGATTCTTCAATGATGGAGACAAGGATATCACCTTCAAGGGGTTTGTACTGCCCGCGCACGCAGGTTTTGAAAGGAGCTTGTACATCCTCTTTGGCCTGAACGATGATGGGCTGGCGGATCCGAAAACGGGCATGCCACACAGTATCTTGCATACAGCTCTGATTGGGGAGATGAGTGATATGAGGTTTCCGGGCTTCCAGGGAGGATTGATGAATTATGTCGGCAAGATTCTGGCAATGTATGCGAGATGGACTGGCGTGGAGGAAGAGTTGCTGAGGAAGTACTGGGATTGATTCGGTTTCAGGGGCGAGGATCAGGAGCAGACTCGGGGAAGTGGCTGCCTCTTGTACTCACCTCGCTGTCTCATACTCACCACTCTTAGTTTCGCATTCGCCGTTGTACTCTCGCCCGCGCCCTTTTACTTACGCCATCGCCTGCCTCGCTATCTCTCACACCTTTTGGCATATTTGCGCATCTTTCGCACTTTCCTCGCGTCCTTCCTCGTGTCCTTTAATACCATGTCGTATCCGCCCTCGTACTCACCAACGCTCACCGTTGCTCACCCTTATTATCACTCATATTTATCGAGGTATCTTGCTTCGTTTTATACTTATTATCGCACTCTCTCGCACTCCTTCGCACCCTCTCGCGACATAAAGAAGTATAGCGAAAGAGAGCGATAACGAGCGCGGGAGTACGATGGCGAGTGCGAGACTGCCATAGTGAGTGCGAAGGTGAGTGCGAGAGAGTGGGAGGTGAGTTGTGATGGTGAGAGGGGAGGAAAGTTGTCGTAAAACGTGGCATGCGCTACCGGAGTCGCGTAAGCGCGGAGCACTTCTCCTCTGCTTTGAGTTTCGCTTGGCATGTTTGCCTCCCAAATGTTCCGCAGTCCATCATTTCCAATTGTCCAGGCGACTTCGCCGGGGCAAGGGATCGGTTGACAGAGCATGCCAGGGGTCCAAAAGTCGCTTGATCTACACTTGTACTTTCGGCGCGCCAGATCTTCCTTCGGAGTTCGTTCATCATGTCCGAAAAAGCCTCTCCCTCCCTGGCAGCTGTCGCGGTCTCTTCCCTCATCCTTGGCCTGCTGGCAGGCTACTTTATCGGTCAAGGCTCTAGTATTGGCGTCTTTGGCGGCACCGGAAATGCGAAGCAAGTTAGGAAAAGCTGGCCAAACAGCTATGATGTCAAAATCCACGCCGACTCGAGCGACGACCAGGCGGATGACGAGGATGAAGCGGACGACGAAGACGAAGATGATGGGAACGAGCTAAACGATTTCAAGGACTCCACAGAGGAAGTGAAGCTCGTCTTAGCAGTGAGGACGGACCTGGGCATGGGCAAAGGTAAGAAGATCTGGGAAGCAATCTACGAGTTGCTTTGGCTGAACCTCTATCGCAGGCAAGATCGCAGCTCAATGCTCCCATGCGACTCTCGCATGCTACAAATACCTCCTCAACCATGTCACTTCCGCTCCTTTACTGAAACGTTGGGAATGGGGAGGACAGCCCAAAATTGCAGTGCAAGTCAAGTCCGAAGAGGAATTGGAGACGCTACAAGCACAGGCAATCAGCTTGGGGCTGTGCGCGAGGATCATACACGACGCCGGAAGGACCCAAATTGCCGCCGGCAGCGCCACGGTACTGGGTGTTCTCGGTCCTAAAAGTGTGGTCGATCAAGTCACCGGTCATTTAAAACTATTATGATTGCAAAAATCAATGGGAAAAGCGTTGCTGTAAATATCACAGCATAAGCTGGGAAGACAAAAGCCTCAAATTGCCGGTCATTTGACCAAACATCCAATGTCACCCCCTCAACACCAAAAACCCACGAGAGCAAACAGTCGAGCAGCTCCTATGCCCTGAGATTAGGACGACATTAGATGTACGTCTCCCTCGTCCCCTTCTCATTGCTTCTATATATCGCATCAATCATTTTGTGCCTGACCAAGGCGTCTTCAAAAGTGGTCACGGTCCCGGACCCCGTACCAGCGAACGCATCCCAAGCTTTGCCGACATTGTACGCAAAATCGGACGCGACTTCCACCTTGACCTCCTCTGGTTGTGGGCCTCGTCCGTCATTGAACGATTTGAACGATCCCTCTTGGTCTGCCCTCACGAACTCCAACTTGGGGTGGAACATCTCGACAAGTCCGCTGGCTGCTTCAAGAATCAGGCTGCCTTTGGTTCCGTTGATTTCCCAATAGAAGTCCTTGCCCGTCAGGGAGTGGCCGCCTTGGTACACGACCGTCGCCACACCTCCCCGCGCCAAAGATCCTGTCACGCTCATATAATCATGGCAGGTCTTGTTGCCGATTTTTAGCGTTTGGCCAGAAGTCGGGTCGATTAGGGGCATCTTTGGTCGGTGATTCGCCAGAGTGGCTTGCAAATCTTTGAATTCCCCAAGCACAAAGCAAAGTGCATCGATTGCATGCATGGCAGGGATGGTGACCAGGTTTGCGCCGGAGTCGATGGACAATTCGTATTCGAGAGGTGCGGGCATAACTCGACCCATTACCACACCTGAGCCGAGCATCTTCAAAATCCCGAAAGTCAGTGTCCTCGTTTAAACGGTTCCCAGTGTCTAACGAATGGAAAAGACATTACCGTCGTTCCCAGGATATCGCCCAGTTCACCTGAAGCCACCATTTCCTTCGCCTTGCGGATACTTGGATTCTGACGAGCCTGAAGCCCGATCATGGTCTTCACTTTCTGCGTCTCCGCGAGAGCCGTGAGCTCCTCTGCTTCTCTCAGGTTTGCGCCAAGAGGCCATTCGACAAAGACGTCCTTTTTGGCCTCGAGCGCGGGCCTCGCTAGTCCGTAATGCGTTGGAGTCTTGACGGAAACAACGACCATATCGACGTTCGGATCGCGGACCAGAGATTCCACATCGCCATAACAGGCGACGTCGCCAGGGAGACTGTACTTCTGAACGGCCCTTTCCGCGGAGGCTTTGCTGCTGTTTTGAAGAGCCGTGATCTGGTAGTGCGAGGATTGCAGCAGATAAGGCAAATGAGAACCAGCAGCCCAGGAGCTGTTTCAGAAAGGAATCTCTCAGTGAAGATGTTCTCGTGAAAAGGAAAGAAGAGGGGATTGGTGGAACACCGTCCTCACTCACCCTTCAGCAGAAAGCCCAATCACGCCTAACCTGATGGGTGCCATTGCTTCAGAAAGTACGTAATAACTGTCAAGAATTCTCAAGCGGTGTCTTTGGCTAGCAGGTGCAATCTCATGTGATGTGCGTGGAGGAGTCCGACTGTTGACTCTGCTCCAGATATGTATGTCTCTGTATATGTGCGTGTTCTTTGACACCGACCATGCCTCTCATGCCTCCCATCCATCCCCTTGTTATGCTTCTGTATTATGTAACGATGCATCTTAGCGATCAACATCCACATATGCACGTCTGTGTGCAATGTATGCAAGCTCCAGGGGAATCAATCACCCTCCCTCCAATGCGTCTGGCCGTATTTGCTGACACGAGAGTGTGTGGCGGCGTTCACTGGTGCAGAGCACCAGCACACCCACAACGCGAAACCACTTGATTGTTAAACGGTGTCGCCGAGACGGGCCCAACGATCTGATGAAGAGCGATGGACTGCGCCACTGTTTGGTAATAGCGGGCGGCGATGGGTGAACCAGCGAGCCGGAGCAGAATGGTATTCGACCGTCCGTCACGGACCAAGTATGGCTTATAAATCATTTGGTGCAGCGGGCATAATGTTTCATCAGTGGTGCACAACGTTAACATTAACATCACAGCGCTGTGAATCGGTTCTCGCCGCTGCGCGGCTCTGTGACGGTTCTTTGTATAGGGGGAAGAAAGAAAAAGACAAATATATACACAGAGAGAGAGGGAGAGGGAGTGGGGGGGGGAAGCAGACTTGGTAGAGGCTCTGAGGAGGGCGCTGTACAAAGTTTGACCACCAGTCTCGAAACAAGTTATGTCACTTCATTATTCTTATTAATATTTTTATTCTGAAGTTTTTTTTTTTTGTTTCCCCCGATGGTGGTATTATCCTTCTAATTGTAACGATTGCTTGCGGCTATTTTTATTTTATTTAACTGCATTGCCGAGAGATATAACAGCATCAGCTCCTAGTGGTGGTAAGGATGGATCTCCTTAGATCTCTCTCATTCATACTTCCTTGCCAGCTCCTCGCTCCGCCTTTGGTATTTCTCTCTGTAGGTGTTCAACAGGTCGAACGAGATCTTGGACCCGCCGCAGACGACAATCACGACCTTCGCGTCGGGCCCGAATCCCTTCAGCACCCTCTTCAACCGCCCGTCGTATGCGAGAGCGACGCTCACCCCGCAGGCCGGCTCCACCAGAATCCTCTCGTCGTCCAGAAATCGCCAACAGGCTGCGCAGGCCTCTGCGTCTTCGAGCACCACCGAGGTGACGGCCGGTCGTTGGGCTTGCTGGAACGTGTTCTCCGCCACGCGGATGGCGCCCAGGGACGTGGCGACGGACGTGATGCCGGGCAAAGTGACCAGTTCCTTCTTCTGGAGGGACTGCGCCAGCGAATCCGCGCCAAGCGTCTCCACCGGCAACACCTGGACCTGGCCGGACCATCCGACGCGGTCGAGGCCGTGCATGATGCCGGAAAACAACCCGCCGCCGCCCACGGAGCAGACAATGCCGTCCGGCCTCTCTCCGTCGGGCATTTGCTTCTTGATCTCCTCGACCATCGTCCCCGCTCCCTCCCAGATGTATGGATGGTCAAAGGGATGGATATAGATCCCCTTCTCCCCCTTCGCTTCCGCGGCGGGGATGACGACTTCTCTAAGGTGCTGGTCCGCGAAGAACCAGCTGTCGCCGTGCGAAATCACTTCGCTGGCCCCCGCCGCTCGTAACTTTGCAATCGTAGCTTCATCAGTGCTGGTGGGAACCACGACGGACGACGCGTAGCCGAGCGACGTTGCGGCCGTGACGCACGCGAGGCCCGCGTTGCCTCCTGAAGACGAGTAGAAGTGTAATGGTCGGTCGTCCGACGCCGACTCTGACTGTTCTCGAATGCTTTTCAACATCAAATTGCCGATGCCGCGAGACTTGAACGACGACGAGGGCTGCAGGTTTTCGAGCTTGAGAAAGATGCGGCTGGTCCAACAATGGTCAGCAAAAAAAAGTTGTGTTCGTTGATAGAGATTTTTTTTTTCTTAGGGGTTGTGGGAAAGGGTTCGTTCTTACCAGCCAGCGATTTTGGACAGGACTGTAGATTCGAGCAAGGGCGTCTCGATCCACGGCTGCTTGACGGGAGGCATGCCGTCCGCCTCGTAGTGATTCCTCTCTATCATCGCAATCCCGTATATCAATCCTTCGAACTTCTTCCCCAACCAAAATTATTCCACACCAGGTGTTTGATCAGGTAAAGAAGGGACAGGCACGAGGTATTGCGCTCCCAGATTCCTTGACCAAGGTACCGATGTCCAAAACTAGCGACAACAATAATAACAACAACAACAATTAAAAGAACAAGAGGGAAGGGCAAAACGGGAGGCGGTGGCTACCAACGGCCAGCACCGGAAGTTTTTGGTTTTGGAGGCTTTTGTATTATTGAATCCCCTGATCGACGCACGCGGCCTCGAGATCCACGCCTTGTTACAACGACTGGAGCCCCGTTGGTGCCGTAGGATTCGATGACCTAAAAATTACCTGATGCTTTGCCGGAGAAAAGCGGGGGGCCTCACCAGCCCTTTGCCTGGTCAAGCCTGCGCGCCTGGTCTGAACTCAGGCTGAGCCTTGTGACCTTTTACGTTGGCCGAATCAAGAGAAAAGGATGGGGTTGATTTTGAAGGGAGAATTCCGTACCCTACCTTAGCAGTAGTAGTGATGTGATTGATATTCTTTCTCACGCGGAATGGAAAAGGATTTTTGAAAAGACTGGCCCTTTATTCTGTCCCGGCATTTGCCCTGTCGTCGAGCCCTGATTGGTTAGCCTTGCCATGGCGGCCAGATTTCCACGAGGCTGCGTTTCCCGCGGCAATTCTATAATCCTCCTCTGAGCACCGTCAAGGCACTCCATCCTCCAGGAGGACAAGGAGGACTAAAGGGATCGCTCTTCAGAAAAGAGCGGTCTGTCCATGGCCCAGCTCGACAATGGAGGAAATCCTCCAAATAAACTCGCATTCTGCACCATGGGCATGTTCATAATCGGTCTGTTTATTACAACCCCCCCCCCCCCCCCCAAGGTCTATTCCCATTGTCTAAAGCTAACCACGACTTGGCGCGGTGCAGACAAAATCGAATATCTCAGCAACGCGCAAGCGTCCCAGGACAGAATCATAGGCGGCGCCGGCACATATGCGGCGCTCGGCGCACGACTCGCCGCCGGCAGCCGCCTCGCCGCGTCGGTGGGCTGGATCGTGGACATGGGCTCCGATTTCCCAGGGGAGTTCAAGCGCTTGATCGAGGCGTGGCGTACGAGTTGCGTGTTCCGATTCGACGGGGCCCGGTTGACGACCACGGCGTGGAACGGGTACGGGGACAATGAATATCGGGCTTTCAAATATCTGACCCCCAAACTACGTCTCGACCAAGACTCCCTGTCCGACGACCAGCTTCTCGCGCGCTCTTTTCACATGGTCTGCTCGCCGTCGCGGTGTATATCGCTCGTACATGGGATTTTGGATCGGCGGCGGAAACTTCTTCAACATACAGCCACAGATTCGGCTGGAGGTGGAGCGGCAGCAGAGGCTGATAGACCGATCTTCGTGTGGGAACCGATACCGGACCTGTGCACGCCAGAGGAATTATCGCGGCTGCGTGAGGCGGCGGGATATGTCGACGTGGTGAGTCCGAATGCTGACGAGTTCGAGTCATTTTTCAGTGAAATGCCGGGGTATTCGTCACGGGAACTCATGGTTGAGCACCTACTTGGTCTGGCTTCACGAAATGGAGAGCAGAAACCACCATTGCGGACGGCATTGGTCGTTAGAGAAGGTGCACAGGGATGTACCACGTATCTCGGGAGTACAAAAGGTCTACATCTCCGAGCATATCATCAGAGTAAAGAAAGGGTCGAGGATCCTACGGGCGGCGGAAATACGTTCCTGGGGGCCCTGGCGATCGGCATGACTGGAACCACCGCCCCTGGAGAGGGCATTCTCAACAATCTAGACGTTCTCAAGGAGTCTGTGTATTGCGAAAAGAGGCTTTTGCTCGGACTGGTTCATGCAACGATTGCAGCTGGATATGCAATTGAGCAGATTGGCATGCCCAATGTGTCGACAGAAGATGGTGACTGTTGGAACGGAGAGGCATATCCCGAGCGCTTTCGTAAGTACATAGAAAGAGAGAGGGAACATATAATTGTCCAACTCTCAAGCCCATGCGGTTGAATGTTGATAGTGCCATTTTTTTGCGCGGACCACATTATAAAGTCTATCAAGCACTCAGGGGTTCGTCAGTGATGAGCTTGAATTAGCCACTCCTGCAGGATTGCCCGACCGAGGCAATGGACCTCGTCATTTCGCCATGTCGAGATATGTACACTTGTAGAATTGTTGTTTCCTGCTTTGCTAAATTTGGATGCTCAGGAAATGAGCCAAAGGGTGTCTTCTCTTTCATTGTTTTTTCTGTCCTCCACCAACCTCGCATAGTCGTGATAGTCCAGCTGAATCTGCGCCGAGCAGCAGTGTTGTGGGGGTATGTACAAGGGAGTGTTCTTCAAGGTAAAGCGGTTGTCAAGTTCGGTTGAGATTTGATCTGGTTTCGTAGGGTAATTGTCGAGACGGGCGGTGGCTCATTGCCCCTTCTGCGCCTTTTCGTGCTCGACTATCTGTCTGCTCCAACTGTAAAACTGTCAATATAACTCTTTTGCACACGTTGAAATGGTCCACAAGTTGTATCCGATACAATTTTGATAACGTCGCATTCCTCGCACCATCATGTCTCTTTGACCTCCTCTTCGGCATTCCGCGCTCACACTTAACAACCACTCATGCCGGGGATGACTTACTACCGGCTCGGGAAAAACACACCCTTCTCTGGCATCTTATTCCTGAATTCTCTCTCGGCCGAAACCCTCCAAGCAAGCCCCACGCACGCAGCAATGACCACGCCCATGACCAACGTATTCGCTCGCCAGTTGTGAGGTTGTGCATACCATCCACCAGCGGGGGACCAGACGTGTTTAGGGTACGGTACTTTGCCGCCTCCGCCCATTGTTGTTGTTGTGAGGTTAGTGGGATCCGCGGCAAGGATGGGGACAGAAAGGGGGGCCTGGAGGATGAGGAGGCGGTTTGAGACTGGTGATGACCTTGGAAACACACAGAGGATCTGGAAGACGATACAATTGAGGTGCAGCTTGGAAGTTCAACTGCGATTGGCTGATTGAGAGCTGGCCTCGGCACACCTTCTATCTTCGAAGCTCGAGACGTCTCGACGTTTCTCGGTTTGTATCTACGCCAAACGCGCCAACTCCCCATGCGCGGTTTCTATCTACAACTTTACCACTATTTTGCTTGCAGATACTCCTTTTTTCAGCTTGTCAATCCCCATTTGAATGCTTTCCAGTCCTTGACCAACCACATTCGCACGGGGCGCAGGTTTGAACTGGCCGCTCGCCAATGCCGCTGGGAGAAAGTCTCTCCAAAGAGCTGTGCCAACGTCTGTACCGGGGACCAGGGCTGCTAACACTGATACTACATTAGTGAAATTGCTTCAAGCCATGCTGCATACCCCTTACTTTGTTTGCAGGTAACATTCTTCGGAAGGTGTGCAGGTGGCTCCTCCACCGTAGCGATGAACCCACCGCCGGTCCGTGACAAAATTTCTGCAATTTTATGAGTGCTTTCTTTGGATCCAAATGCTTGAGTCTCTGTTAGCTGTGTCCGAATATCGGTTTTGATATCTATTATAGACTTACCGTCAAACGCACCAACCATCTTGCAGCTCCGCACTCTGGTCGCCAGTTTCTCAACGATATCTTTATCCGCATGATCGAATACTGCCGTTGCCCCCAAGGACTTGCAATAATCAAAGTTCCTTGGAGATGCCGTTGCAATGACATCGAACCCAGACGCAGTGGCAAGCTGAATCACTGCACTGCCTACGCATGAACTGCCGCTCCAGACAAGGAGGGTCTGGTCAGTATTCCCGTGGGCGTTTTGGGGTAGCTGAAGCGCCAAGTGTCCATCCTGATATAGCCCTCCAACTGCCGTCGAGAACGCAAGAGGTATGACAGCTGCGTCCTCGTAGCTGAGTGTCTGCGGAATAAGAGCCGCGGCGTGTGCTTGGACGACTGTATAGGTTTGAAACCCCCCATTCTCTGGTTTCCCGGTGATCATTCCCAAGGCTTGCGCTATGACACGCGCCCCGGGCTTGAATTCGGTCACTCCCTCACCCACTTCAACCACCTCTCCAGCAATGTCGTGTCCGAGGATTGTCGGCCATTGTTGGACGAATATTCCCAAATCTTGGATTATCCCGTCAATCGGGTTTATTGCGATGGCATGATTTTTGACCAGCATCTCTCCGGCAGCAGGCTTCCGAACGCTCGCTAGTCCTACCCTGAGACTTTGTCTCGGGCCATCGAGGAATGCTGCACTATTCTCGAGCGACATTTTCTAGGCTCACACTTTTGATTCGAGGTGGAATAGATTGGCCTGCTGAGTGCAGCTGAAATAGGCACCAGCAGTTGAGGGCATCCTACGGAATATCAGATGTCAACTCGTGCTGGGACGCCAAGATCTTAAAATAGCCGGGATTGAGACCTCGCCTCTTTACATGAGAGTCTCCTCCTTCCCTAATGCTCCGAGTCCGGTTTGACCCGAGAGGTCCGGAGATATCTAATACTTTGGTTACACTCACTATTTCCGCTGCCTATTCGCCCTAGGCTATTTCCTAACGCAAGGGCTTCTGGTAACGCAAGTTACCTATTTGAGAAATGGTCCGATTCCAGGAAATATCCCGAAAACGGCAACTCGGAGTTAATCGCGATCCAAAGGCCCAAGATGGTGTCTCTAGGGTTTCCCAATGACTTTCCGGTCAGTTTTTTTGCAGCCATCTCAGCTTCAAAAGTCGAACGACCTCATCGGTGTTGCGCCTTCCTGGATATACTGGTCGAGGATGCTCTGCGAAAGTTGCTAAGCAAAGACGAAGAACAACAGGGAAAAGAGTACCCAGAACTTACCCAGTCGACCACGTCTGAATCGGCAAAAATCGCATCCAGAAGTTCCTGAGATGCCTGATCCTGGGTCGTCGAATGCCCATTGTTTGATATGGGGATCGCGGACTCATTCAATGGCAAGGGTTCACCTACTGATCCATCCCTGCTGACGTTTGCAGTACTTCCTCCATCCAAGCTTACCTCCGACAACGGCTGAGATATGTCGGTGCTTGCAATGTGAGTTCCGTTCGATTCTTCCTTCTTCTGGAAGCCTGGCCTAGGTACCTTTGAGAGCATGGTTGCAAGAATGTTTGATGCTCTCCTCGCATCTGATGAGATTGAATTTCGCGATTGCCAAATGTCATGTGAGATTTTCAGCGCGTCATACTTCATCCTTTGAGCGTCCAAGTCCAAGGCTGACAAGAGTTTTGTACTACTGTGCCGATGGGATTCGTATAAGTCAAGACAGGTGATCATGGCTGCAAGAAGGAAGTCGTGATTCGCCAGATTAGACGACGTCCATTGATCGTGGTGCAATTGACCTCCGGGCTGGGCTGCTTGGTAAACCTCCGCTTGGTATTGCAACACTTGAAGGCTCGCAGTGGTGCAGGCATTCCGCGAGTATTCAAAGGCAGGGTTCAACCGATCATGACTCAGATACCTCCTATGAAGGATCATCATGGCCTTCTGATAGACTAGCTCAAGGCTGAGACGGTGCATGATTATATGAATCTCGTCTGTGACAGAAGAGCTGAGAGACTTCCATTCAAGGCTCGGCGGTATCTCAGCGCGAACTTTGAGGAGCTCGCCATCTAGGCTCAAGACATCTGCATAGGCTGGAACTCGTGGTGACAAGGCTTGCCGCGCCACTTTTCTGAAAACCTGCGCGAGGTGGCCCTTATAACAGTAGTAAAGCATCGGCGTTGGATCCGTGAGCGGTCGCGACGGCGGAATTGCCGTGGAGGCTTCGTCAAAGTCTTCATCGAACAGGTTGCTGGGAGGTGCAGTATCACAGACTTCTTCATGGATGATGGCTGGGAGTCCTGCCTGGAAGGAGAGAAGGAGTTCAAAGGTCTGGACCGTGGAGAATGTCCTCCGACGCATTTCCCCTTCAAACGGGGAAATGTGAGAGAAATGACTCGGGTCTCGATGATATCCCATCCTCAAAGCGAGACGAGCAGCCACGCCCATCAACAGCCATGGCTCAGTCTCGGACTCATGCTGTTGGAAGAACCTGGAGATAGCGTAGAGCATCACAGCTTCGACACTGTAGGGTCGCGCCTTTTGATAATGCCCAGCTACCAAAGCTCGACCTGCATTCATCAAGAACAGATCCGAAGCTTCTTTAAGTGACGGAAAATAATCTTGCTCTTCGGGCCGTGAGATTCGAGCGCCAAGGTGGAGGGACGAAAAGAGCATCGAAATCCAAAGAAAAGAGACTGAGGCGGGATTTTTCCAGAATGACTCGTACTACCAAGCATTAACGTCCCCATTATCTCTCGATGTAATGGCTCGGGTGTCAGATCTACCTCTCGTAAGAATTTTCGTTTGTGGATGAATGCTGTCATGATGAGCCAAATCTCCACGCTAGCACTGGGAGCAGATCTTACATATGTGCAGATATCGTGCATTAAACTGAACTGAAAGCAGTTTGTCCACCACAGGCCTGGGAGGCAACGAATTGCAAACCTCAGCCAAGGTCAGAAGCTGCGAATTAGAGAGGAGGATATCAGGGTCATCCCTGTAATTTAAGAAGTCTCCATTCTCTGTCCCATCTGGCTCCGGTGCCAGACAACCCTGAATATCTTTGATCTGTTCATGGTCAAGGTGAGGAGCCGACTGAGCGTAGCGAGAGGTGAACAAACGTTTTCTAAAATTGCAGCCCAATGAGTAGCCCCAAGGTATTTAGTCTCCGTACCTCTGATGTCGAGATGGCCATTGGGAGGCGGATCTAACGCCAGCGAGGACGAATCGGCCGTTGATGGTCCTAGAGCCGTGACGGGATTTGCGCTTGTCGGCCCACTGCGCAGGCTGTCGTCGGAAGACGGAGGCGTCGCCCGACTATCTTGCACAGCCAGTCCTTGATTTGCCTGCATCAACATAGTCACCATTTCTTCGAGTTTCTGCAGCCGAGACTGAGCCCTGGAGATGTTGTCTTCATTGCTGAGGCTACCGTTGTGGTCGGGAGCAGAGATGCCAGAAGAATTTCCCTGGAAGCCATTTGCTTGATGCTTGCGTTTACCTGCTTGGCTGGATCGTTTAGAAGAGTTTGGTTTTGCGATCCGGAAGACGGTCTGGTACTGGGATAAATCAGGCATGCCTGGCAGCTCTACAGCAAGCCCAAATCAAAGCACCTGTTGGAAACAACAAGCGAATGAACAGGTAGAATGTGAAAGACAGAGCGGAGGACGAGTGCACGATGTACGGAGTAGTTGATCTTGGACGATACAGAGGCGGTCTCGGGTGGTTTACATGATTCGCCGTAGTGTGCCGATTGCTGCAACTTATGTACGAGTGTCCAAAGGAGTGTCCAAGGAGTGTCTTATCTCACCCGTCGCACTAATTCGAAACCTCTCGCACCACCTGCCACTCCGTCGCATTCGCTCGTACTTCTTCTCTCACCTATTAACTTGATTTAAATCTCATCATAAACTCATGCGAGTTAAGCAATTGAAAAGCGCAGGATTCACAGAAGGTCTTGTGATTAAATTTTGCTAAAGGAGTGTCTATCAAACCAGAAACAGAGAACGCCAGTCGCTAATGCTAATAAGAAAACGAAAACGCCAATCGCTATGCAACCCAAATAACAAAGATCCATCCATGCCATCAATTGTCAACCACGTACGACCTCTTCTCAGATATCAGCCTCCATCATCGAGCGGCCGCTTGCACTCCATCACTCAGATACCTTTACAACTTTTGGGCAACAAAGGTAGGGTCGCAGATAATTTCACCAACCTCGCGGGGGGTTTGCAGAGTCCACGCACCCTTGTCGGCGTCGGAAAAGGTATTGTCCTTGTTCTCACCCCGGAGGACGGTCAAAGGGTTGCCATAGATGTCGAGGATCTGGCATCGGTAATCCTGCTTCTGGACCAATGACCCGACGCGGAGCTCGACGGTTTCGAAGGGGCCGCTCGTGGCAACAGGCGCCGACTCGGCGCGGTATCCAGAGGGGAGGACTGTCTGCGAGCCGGTCTCGGTGGATTGGCTTTCGAGAACAACGCGCAAGTTGAGCTCATCAGAGGTGGGGTCGATCTTGACAAAGGTAGGGTCGCAAATCACCTCGCTGACATAGCTGGCCTCCCGGAAGGTCCAGGCACCCTTGTCGGCGTCAGAGAAGGTGATGTCGATGTTCTCGCCGCGGGTTGCCACAATCGGGTAGCCGTAGTTGTCAAGGGCCTGGCAACGAAGATCCTTGTTCTGGACATCCGCGCCGAGTCGGATCTCGATCGAGTTGAATGGGCCACTGATGGCCGGAGCAGCCATGTCTCTGACAGTTGATTCGAGGGTAACCTGGGCGCCAGTTTCTCCCCCATCGCTCAGAGCAACGGTGACCTTGTCGTCATAGTAGCGACGGTTGTGAGGGGCAGCCAGGGCGCCGGAAGCGGCAAGAAGAGAAAGAACAACGGCCTTGGAATACATTTTTGGATATGTTATTTGCGTGGGAGCTTTTGGAATTCTTGGTGTTTTCTTATTGGAAGGGTAAAGAGTGTCGAGCAGTTGGCCCAAATGACAAAGGAAATAAGGAAAGGAACAGGAAAAGGAAAGAAAGGCTGTAAGTTGGTTGACTGTTGGTTGTGTGTGTTGTATGATGGGGAGAAGATTACCGATGGTAGGAATACATGCCATCTTTATACCCACTCCATCTCATTGCTCGGCTTCCCAAGACAGTGTCATTATTCCGTGCGTACAAAGCAGACGGTGAACCACCAACGCAGTATCCACTGGGTGAATTACACACCCGGCCTAATCGAGAAATGCGGTTTTACTGCGCCTGGACTGAGGCAGCGTGACAAAGCACTCGCCAAGGCGACTATATCCATTGGCTCGATGGCGAACTGGTGTAGCCATGCAGGACCATACTCCAGTTACAGCAGAGCAACCCAAATCACCCGAAAGAGACCGAATCTGCCATTAGCCCACGTTACGTTAGCGCAACATGGTGCCGGCCAAGGTTTCCACTCGGTCGGTCTTGGCTTCTAGAAGTGCTTACTATATCACTACTCCCAATAATAGCCACCGGGATAGCCAAAATATTGAATCAGCGGGAAAGGCCGAAAAAGCCAAGCAATTGGACAAGCCTTGCGGAAGCCAAGAAATCCCCCCCCCCCCCCCCGAGGATTGTGGCGAGCAAGTTCTAATGAAGCTACAGAGGAGTCTAGGCGTAAACAGAGGGTCACAAATTGTCTCGGAACCGCGGAAGGTAGTATGTACCTTAATGCACAGGACGAGCAAGGATTCTTCTTCGGGTAGTATTCGACCATATCCCAAAACAGGAGATATGTACTTGCCTATGGTCGCTTGCAGTAATCCTTCTCAGTTGCGCCTCGTTCCACCTTGGATCACTTCAATGAGGCGCTCGGCGCCGCCGACGTGGCTGTTATTGTCCTTCTCACCATCGATTTCAAATTGAATGAATGTCAGCTTCACCGCCATGCGCTTTTGTGCAGTTGCACCCAGTCATCGAATGTTATCGGCGGTCGCCCCGTCACTTTTTCAACATCACTGTTCATTCTCTCCTCGGTCCCTTGAGCCGTCATAGTTTCCAATCGAGTCAGCAATGCGGCATACTGTTCGGGAAAGCCAGCCTCGATGTATCTCTGAACGTTGTCCTCGGCAGATAGCCTGACATGCTCAATCTTGCGCCCCAAGCCATTGCTTAGTTTGACACCAATCTGCTCCTGTAATCAGCCTGGGCCTATCACTGGAGCTGGTCTGTGGGATCGGATCGCCTTTACCTCGTCGTAACTCAACAGTTCGGGTCCTAACAGTCGGTAATCGCAATGCTGCGGGGCCTTGTCGGTTAGTGCGTGAAAGGCCACTGCTGCGATGTCAATGGCACTAATGAACGGAGCCTTGCCATCCCCGCAAGCTGTATAGAATTTGTCCTCGTTCTTGATTGTGGTCAGATGTTCCTGCTCTGACATCCTCTCTGTTTCGCCCACCATTAGCGAGCCAACGAACTTCAGCAGGGTCAGGACAAAACATCCTCGAACTCACCCATGAACCAAGTCGCACGAACCACGCAGTATTCCACCCCAATATCAACCAGGTGCTGCCAAACTTTGCCAACATGGTGACTGCCCTTCTCAACCGAGTTACCCGCCAAGAGAACAAATCTCTTGACTTGATGCTTTTCAACTGCAAGATCAATGAAGGCGTTCATTGGTGGTGGAGGGTCAGGTATCTCCGGGGAGATGAGGTAGACTGCAGATATCTTTTCCTGCTCCGGGAAGCGATACTTGAAAGGGTCGTCATAGCTTGAAGGGTTTAGCCAGTCGAATTTGACAGCGGGCATTCCCTCGGGCGCCGCAGCTTGGCCTCGACGAGAAGCTAGTAAGAAGGGCACTTTTGCATCTTGCAAGAGGGAAGCGACGCGAATAGACGTCTTACCCGCACCGCCAGTAAGAAGGATGGCCATGATTGTCTGTTGACTTCGCAAATGTCCCTGGTTCTTTCATCGCTGCGGTGATACATACTTATGTGCCCCGTTTTCGCACATGATGCGTTTGCATGGGCCATATCTTGATATCAGCCTACCACCTGGGGAAGCCATCTCTAGAGGTTGAATACCTCTTCCGGCTATGATGTTTGTACAAGGTAATACAATCTAAGTCATGTTCTGGTAAAGGAAGGACGCGGACTTAACGAAAACACTTCCTCTTCGGGATTGGTTGCCAAGCCGCACGCGGATTGGACACTTGTTCGCCAACCGAATTTCCTTCGCGTCCAAACTGTCAATGGTCTCGTGTCGCAGGTGAAAAAAAGTCTCCCAGACCCATCGAATCCGCTGTCCACCGGCGCTCATTTATCTCTTGAGTTTCCCTATCTAGTGACTTACTTTGGGAGCATTGCAAAACACTGAAGAGTCCCCGAAGAGCTCGTTTAGCTCTCATGAAGAGGCTGAAGCTCCTGAGATGGAGTGGCACTGTACTCTCACCCCGAACGAGACCAGAACTCCTTCAACATCAACCTCGTCTTCTCCGACGCTTCCAAGCGACCGCTACAGCCCCTTCAGATCTCAAAAATGAATTCCTGCATAAGCCTACAGATGGACCGTATCTCTCGGAGGAAGAGCTTATGAAGTTACCCTCACCTCCGGTTGCCGCGGCGAGGACGTCCGCCAAACTAGCTGCCTTGCACGCTCGACTCGCCTTACCCTCTCGATTTCCCCTCGAAACTTTGGCACGAACCCTTATTGACGACTCGGCGGATCGCTCGCCGCGATTCAACAACAAAGCATTTGCTCTGCTTGGAAACGACCTGTTGGGCTTCTATACATCTGAATACATTATAAGTCAATACCCAAGGCTACCGCTCGCGGTTATCTACGCAGCGATGTACGCCTATCATGGGCCAGCGACGTTGACACAAATGACGAGGGAATGGGGTGTAGAAGCTGCTGCAGAGCCTGGCGGCGAGGTAGACCCAGGGCTCTTACAGTTCAAGAGGATGTCGCCGGAGCAGACTCTCGGAGATGGGGAGTCAGGACCAAACAACAATAACAATGACCCGAGAGCCAAATGGACGCGAAGTTTAAGTGCGAAGTCGGTACACAACGATCAATTTGGTGAATTGCCGGAACATCCAATTCCACCAGAAGATCTGGCCTCAAAGGGTGTCACCCTGCAACGAGCCAGCACCAACTTTGTGAGAGCAGTGATTGGTGCAGTATACTTGCACGCCGGAAGAGCAGCCGCAAAGAAATTTTACAGCGATCACTTCATGTCGCGACAACTGGATATGTCGAGTTTATTCCAGTTTAAGAATCCAACCAGAGACTTGAGCCGATTATGTGGAAGAGAAGGATTCCAGGCACCCGTGGCAAAGATTCTGAGCGAAACAGGGCGGAAGAGCAGGACGCCCGTCTTCGTGGTGGGAATATACTCCGGCAGCGATTTGTTAGGGGAAGGCGCAGGGGCCAGCTTGGACGAAGCCAGAACACGAGCAGCGGTTGCGGCACTCAAGGGCTGGTATCTGTACAGCCCAACCGAATTTCGGTTGCCGAGCGAAATGGAAGAGCCTGGAGCCAAACCGTGGACGCCCATTCTGGTGGATGCCGGCGAAGTTGTCGGCTAAGCTCTGCTCGAGCCTTTTGTCCTCGCGGCCTTTTGTCGCCAAGGCTCAATGTACTTTTATGACACCTTGAACAAACATTCTGAAGGGACATATGTAAGGCATTATCAGGCGCTGGGAGCAGCTGTGGTGAGGAAGGCATCCACTGGTGGGTCGTGGAGACCCATGCACATGCAAATGTTAACAAATGTTCCTCTCCAATATGCTCTGTGCGACTTACATGCTAGCGGTCCTCAGCCGGGTTGCAAGGCGCAAATAGGCTGGGCAGCTAATTAAAAGGATAGGGAACATATACAACATGGCTGAGGCCGTGACTGCCTAAGAAGCGGTGAGCACGGTCGAAGATAATGTATGTACGTATGTAACAGGCGATCTTGGTCTGTGGTGGTTTGGTCAATATCGACCCAGCTCCCTGACCAGCCTCGCCAGATACTGCGTAGCACAGAGCAACGCCAACGAGTATACGGAGTAGCCAGCTCGCCAGATGTACTCCATAATCCCCTCGCTTCGTACTCGGTCTCTATGTAAGGGGCCCCTGCATGATGCGCAATGAACACTGCCAGTACCAACAAGAGGCAGAGGCGTTGGCGGCTTGGCATTCTTGGCGGCTGTCTTGATGACGTCGCTGGGTCGATTGCTAGGAGCCGTTTTTGGCCGTTTCCACCTCCAACTCGATCGGATACGCACAGTGCCTGGCATCAGCAGAGGCAAATGCTAAGCGATAATTAACTGATTCAACCGGCTGAGAGACTATTGGGAAGAGCGCTGGGCTCCCCCAGAATTGGGCGTCCCGTCTCTTTGGGGAGATCGACACCACACGAACACGAGGGACCTTTGAGCAACACAAAGTTCTCTCAGGCATCGCCCGGCTTGCGCCACACACACTCAAACAAGGCCAGCAGTCCGCGAATCATGTTCATCACTCGCCCAGGACCAACCGACGGACTTGCAGAAACTGATCAGGGAACAAAGAGTCAGGATGCGAGTCTCCCCCGCTTCGCCTTGGATCCCTGAGATCAATTGCCTTGGTGGGCGCATGACTGGCGCTTGTGACTTGGTGCCTTCGACCACCATCATTTCGAATATTCCATGGGCCGGCATTTAGCCTTGCTAGGCGGTCTTCGAATACTCTTGTTGAGATTGTTGCCTCTTGTGGCGGATCGACGTTCCCGCAGCATGTGGTTCCTATTCTTGTTATAAGCCTGCTTATAGACTCGTCCTTCTTCAACCTGATTTTCCCACCATACTTGTCTCTACTGGGAAAACAATTCACGAATTCCCTACGATGGCAGCAGCGGAATACTTTACAGCAGGCCCAAGGCCTCCGCTGGAACAACAGAACTATAGCTCTCATGCACCTCCACAACCTCAGAGGGTGCACTCCTCGCAGCATGGATTCAGTTACCAACCCACTCAACCAGGCCACCTGAGTCCACAGTTTGGCGTTCAACCGCCATCTCCATATGCTCCTCCTCCCACTTCGCACCCCCCTGCCTACCAAACTCTCAACAACGAACCGAAAGTTCATTTTGCACACACCCCTGCGACGTCCGGGCAGCATCGACCTTCCCTCTCAACCCAGCCGACCTACTCCCTCAACCAGCCCAACTTCCAGACCAGTCCCGCGCAGCAACTATCTCCATATCCTCCAGGTCCATACGTGCCTCAAGCCTATCAACACCAGCCTTACGGACCACCTCATCATCGACCCCACCACAGGTCATCACACAGCGACCCGGCCGGCGCCGGGTATTCCTCAGATCCTGAGCCCAACAGAAGAAAGCACAAGGACCGACCCCGTCGCATATCAGACAATTCACGATCTACAAACGCCGATGGATTCATCGGCGCCGCTGGCGGCGGACTACTAGGCGACCTTCTGTTCCCCGGCCTAGGTACTGTCGGTGGCGCGTTGGTGGGATGGGTCGGCGGCAAAGACTATGGAAAGCACAGGAAGTGGAGAGAAGAAAAGAGGGATCGAGAGCAGGAACGCTGGGAGAGGGAATACCACAGAAGAAGTAGCAACAGTCGTTCGAGGAGTCACAGTCGAGACAGTGACACGCACCGGTCGGGACATAGTCATGGTGACCATGATGGGCGAAGACACAGTCATGAAAGACGGAAGGGCTATGAATAAGCCGGACCAGATATTCGTGGGACTTTTTGGACAAGCAATTTGGCAAGCAATTTGCAGACGTTTTGGCGACGATATGATGTGACCTTGAGCAATGGGAGCCAGATGATGATGACGCATCATCAACGAGTTTACGAGCTTCGGTCCCAAGAACACGCTCGGTCCGAACGGCTGGTCTATCCGGGCTGAAGCGTACCAGGAAAATGAGGAACTTTGGTTTTTTTTTTTTTGAGGTTTCGCTGTGGTCGTGTGATGTGTAAAGACTTGCCTTGGGACGAATCAAGGCGACAGCATGACATGCACCCCAGATCCGCCGTAGGTGGCAAATCTGACGATATACCAACGAGGAAGTACCGATATCATGTCGCTTGATCCACTTCTGCAGCACGTTTGCCTATTCTGGTGGGGAGAGCAATCTTCCTGAGGCTCAAACAGGCAAAATCTCCATTTCGACCCCTTCAGAGAAAAATGCTCTTCATTGTCGACAATTCCCTGCTTGTTTCATGGGAGCCTAGACTGGGCATGTCCTGCGAATCACTCCAAAAACAGAGTGCGCCTTGTGTCTTGGCGTTATCAATGTGTCCAGCCTGACGAGTCTTTCCGGACCCGTAAGAGCGCCTTCTGGGGGCGAGAATTGTGGTGCCGTGAAAAAGGATGTTGGCCAGCCAGGGCCCCCACCCACAACGTTCTTCGCGGCACAACTGCCTGGCGTTGGCGGCAGAGACAAATATGTGATGAGGCGCTGCCTCCTAGCCATGGGACCTAGTTCGACCTTCTAGACTTTGTTGCTGTTTGTTGCTGCGCCCGGCGCCGCGGACAAAAGTCACACAGAAGTCCTGGAAGCTAAAGCTTTTGCCCGGCAAATGGACCATGCAGACGAAAGTCCCCACGTGGCACGTTGGCACGAAATCGCTTTTTGTGTTCGCTTCAGGGCTGTGTCAATCCGCGTACTTGTTGAACCTCGAGCTTCATCGGGTCGGTTGTTTGTTGCTTGAGAGATGAGAGGTGATGGACACGCTCTTTCTTCAATGCTGCAATCCACCCGCGCTCTCTCTGCCATTGCCCAGCCACACAGTCATCCCAGCTCTGGTAGGGGTGCGAGCTCTGAAGTCTTCCGTCGACGTGCCTGGCAAGGTAGGGGAAGTTTCACCAATCGGTCGGACCCGCCCATTGTCAAGGTGATGCAACAGCTTGGACACCAGATATATTTACGAGCATCGGTAGCTAGAAGGAAGATTAGAGTGGTATGGAATAAAGTGAAATCGTTTCGAGAGAGCGTTTTGCAACAAGTTTGACCAGCCTCTCGAAGGGGGTTAAAGATATTTGTAATGACATTAATTTATTCCTCACGTCCAGCCAATTGGCGGGCGATTCCTTGCCAAGCCCGACAAGACATGTCAGAAAATCTAATGACATCGCAAAAGTGCTCTTTGCTTCGTGACTTCACGTCTTCACTCCCATCTCCTTTCTCATTCTGATTGTTGGTTCTTTGATCCCACTATTTCCCGTCCTTTGCCCATATTTGAATGATTCTGGTGGATAATTTGAAGGTCAGATGGACTCGTTGAGGATTTAGCTAATCAACGAATGAATTTGCCGATTTGCCCCACTGAATCAACATGTTGATGCCTTCAAAACAACCACGGTTGGAGAGACGCGCAACCGCAGACTGCGGGAATGGCATGCGGAATGGACGCGGACGACCTATGAAACACTTTAATGAGCTCAAGCCTTCGCGCAAAGATCGAACCTTACAATCGAGCATCATACACAAACAGCTCACAGCTGAAATCGAAACTCCGAAGGAGGCATCAGCTCTAGAGATATTGCCAGTCGAAATCATTGAGCAGATCTTCTTCGATTGCTTGGAACTGAATCTGCCTAGGGCGTCGCCACATCTCGCCCGAGCTCTCTCCAGACGCTCAATCTATTCTGCACTCGTTTTGCTCGCCTATTTCGAGGTAGACTCATCGAGTCATGTCGAGACTCGCCATTTCTTGCCAGCTGCATTCAGGGTGATCGGGCGTGACAACCAGAGGCGCCTACAGGAAGACATACTGAGGACTAGATGGTGCACATTGGACCTCCTTCAATCTTGCATGCCAGCTCTGACCAGATTGACCATGGTTAGGCTCTGGCATCATCAAAAAGAAAAAATTGACCGTGCCAAGGAAGAAATGATAGCAGAAAGAACTGACAACCAGGAGTCTTTTGGGAGCGACATCGTCCAACCCGATTTCGATTCCATTCTCCCAGTGCTTGACGACCAATCCAGCATGGAAAAGCACTTCAATCTCAAAGCAGCCATGCTACCAAACAAGCAACAAGATCAAACGGCATCATCCGTTACTTCAGATGAATATCTCAATTCATTTATCGAGACTTCACCTGACTGGGGTGTCCAACCACCATGGGCCAACCACCATCTTCCCACTTGGACGACAAAGAGTATATTCGCGGTATACGTCATCCCAGATAACATTGTCCTCCGCAACCCATGGACGGACACGGACATGAAACTACTCCGGCTGTTGATCCAAGGCATACGCCCTGAAGGTCTCGGCGATCAAGGAGTTCCATCGTTTCAAGCAATGTGCGACGGCATGGCGAATGCGATTCAAGAGGGTAACACGAAAGCCCTGCGCGTGCTGGTCGACCTATATAACACAATCGGGGGTGCGGGTCAACCTCTACCCTTAAGCTTGCTCCACTTGGCTTGTCAACAGACTACTTTACCTATAGACCTTCAATGCCGCATGATGCTTCAACTGCTGAGAAACTCCGCCACATTCGCCAAGATTGTTGTCGCGGACGACGAGATACTCTTGCGTTGGGCCTTACGTATTGCGAGCTCTTCACCATCAGCGCATCATGTGCGGGTAGCAAGGGCCGTGCTCTTAGCCATGGGGATGAAGACACAATGGAGGCACCCGGTTGAGTCCTAACCCAAGTCCCGGTACCCAACCCGGAACTCTATTAGCCTAGGCGTCCACAAAAGAAAGGCGAAGTATTTTGCTGGCTAAAGATATCGCTGGATCGGATGAGGAACAATGGTTGTAACCTGCATCTGATCCATTATCTTCCATTGGTCAACCAAAGGCATCATCTACAAATGGTCCGCTTTGATTTCAACATCGTGGTCGGAGCACGGAACGAGGCACTCAGTGGTCATTATACGCTACACAGAAGATTGAAAGCAGGACCTAGCGTGAACCCCCCACGCCTGCGAAAAGCCGTAAGAGAGAAATGCACAATCAAGGAGATCCTTGACTTTGATTGGATCCTAGATTTTGGGCTGTTGAAGCCCAACTCCGTGCCCATGCCATTTTCGACGACAGGCGCTATGCTCAATGACCTTGGATGTTCCTCATCGACACAAATTCTCTCCCTGACTCAAACCATCTCACTTGGGAGTAGCCGATCACGGCTCCCCAGGCCAAATGCGATCGGCAATCCTTCTCACCAGCTTCAACTTCTCCACCATATCGGGTCTCTTGACGGCGTTGCCGCTAGAATGACTGGCGAACCCGCACTGCGGACTCACGCCGCACCTGTTGAGTGCTTCCTTCTCAGTCTCGCCTGTCCCCTTGCACATCCAGCCCGCGGCCTCCTTGACGCGCTCGACCATCTCGTCCTCGTCCTCCATCTTGGGGAACTTGCTGGTGACCACGCCGAGGATGACGTTTTTGTTCTTGGGCAGGTGCTGGAGCGGCTCAAAGCCGCCGGCCCGCGGGGTGTCGTATTCGAGGTAGTAGGTGTGCATGTTGAGCTTCTGAAAGAGCAGGGTGGCGATGCGGTCGTAGCCGCCCTCGGAGAAGTGGCGCGAGTTGACAAAATTGCCCCGGCACAGGTGGACGCCGACGTGCATGTCGGAGGGGATTTGAGAGATGCACGCGTTGTACAGGTCGATGTACTTGGCGAGGAGTTCGTCGGTGGAGTAAGTGTTCAGGGGATCCTTTTCCCAACCTGCGATCATGGCTTCGGAGCAGAAGTCTGTCTCGGGGGAGAAGAGAGAGAGGAAATTGTCAGTTTAGATTCGGATACGTACCTAGTAAGTGTGGGCGGTGGTGACCACAAAAGAAGAACTTTGGACGAGCGAGTCCACTTACAAGCCAAATTCGGATCATCAAACTGCACATTCCTCAACCCGTGCTCGTACAAGACCTTCAGTTCCTCCTGATACGCCTTGGCAATGTCGGCAAAGTACTCATCGTCGTTCTTGTACACGTCGGCGGGATAAGCCTTGCCCTGCTTGTACCTCAGATGGTACCAATTGGGGGCGGCGAGGGTGAGCTTGAGATCCTTCCAGCGGGACTGCGGGACGAGGCCCTTGAGGAAATCGAACTGGGCGGTGTAGGTGCTGCCCTTGTGCCTGATCTTTCCCGTGCACAGGACGGTCTCGCCGGGCTTGTAGCCCTCCTCGGTGAAAGCGGCGATGTCGGGAATGTACATCCTGAAGAGGTCCGGGTCCGGGTGCTCGATCTCGGTCATGCCCTCGAGCCCCGGCCAGAAGGAGCCCCAGAACATGTGGCGGCGGAACTCACCGTCGGTCAGGGCGTGGAAGCCCAGCTCCAGCTGCAGAGCCACGATGTCCTTGATGTCGCCGTCCTCAACCTCCTGCAGGGCCGACTCCGACGCCTTGCCCGCTTCCCACGCGTGGCGCGTCTCGAGCAGCTTGTCAGTGCGCAGGAGGGAGCCGAGGTGTTCGGCGCGGAAGGGCGGGTTGCGGTGCAGAGGGCAGGACATGTTGATCGTACTCGGTATGGGTGTCTAGGGAGGTTGAAGGGGGGGGAACGTGGGGACGGGTCGTTCTCCAAGCGTCTATCGGAGATGTACTGGGTAGATAGAACCCTATGTTCTCAGGCACAAGACTATCAACCCTATTTTATTTCTGGGCCAGTATTTGTGTGTCTTTTTTTTTGCCTCACAGCATGAATAAGAGAGTTGCTCTATAGAGTAGACGGCAAAGCAGAGCGGGGAGGGAGGGGGGGAAAAAAAAAAAAAGGAAACGGCTGATGATTCAATAGGTGAACAACATACTACCTGATAACTAGCTAGCCAGCCAAGTGTATTAAACTAGGAAGCAGTTAGTATGAATCTCCACAAAGTTATTGCCCCGCGATTGTCAAATGGGATTTTCCCGTTCTTTTTCTTCCCTTTTCCTGTACAACCAAGGGTGACGAGGGGAGACGAGGAAGGAGGGGTAATTAAGGGAGTTTGGTAGATGTACTTGGTAAGTTGGTGTTGCGGGGAAACGGTGACGATGACGTGGGTGGATTACGTAAATAGCTCAGGGCTCACGTGATTGTTCCATCTGTGGACGCTATCTGCCTGGATGTTTCACCTCCTCCGCCCGTCTACCCGTCGAGCCGTCCACCCAATTGATTCAGCCCGGAATTACCACCACTAAGGCAGCGAGGCAGCACCACGGCGTCTTGGTTGGTAGCTCGGTAGGCACCAGCAACAGAGTCCGATGCCTGTCCATGAGTGTCATCACCGCAACCACCTTCACTCAGCATCGCCCGTCGCCATCGATCGATTGATTGTCAAGCCGACCGTCTCGATTGGGATGCTCAGTAATCTGAAGTGCTTCGCGTTGCGTCGAACAATCGGCACCGGATATTGCAACCGCCACTGAAGCGCGGACATCAACGAACTCTCTCTTAACACCCCTAGCCGTGGGCCCCAGGGACACGAGCTAACGCTTATTTCACCGTCCAAATGAAGCTCATCGAATACCCCAATGAGATCCTCAGCCGCATCATCTCGTTCCTGGACACGCCCAGCCCATTTGATGATGAAATCCTACAGAAGCCCAAATCAGCCCTGACTCCCTTCGAGTCCGAGGCGGGCATCGAGTTGACCACTATCAAAGCATCTGCCCTGAAGAACTTGACCCTGACATGTCGCTTCCTCCGTGCCCTGACCCTCCCCGTCCTCTTCAAGCACGCCGTGCTCCATCCCCTCCTGCTCAGCGACTTTCTCTCTTTTCTCAAGAGCCATGACCTGTCTCAGCATGTCGTCAGCGTCGTCGCCCATGTTCCGGGCCATTACAACCACGTCCACCCGGCCTGGTGGGCGCGCTTGCTCAACGAAGTTCCCGCAACCCGCCTCAGCATCATTGCCGCCCCCGAGGTGTTCGCCGAATTGGCCAGGATATCCCTATGGAGCAGTGATGCCTGGGCCTTTGACATGGCGTTCCAGATCCTGCAGCTCGACCAGTCGCCCGAGGCCGCCCGGATGAGGATCGACTACGACGACCTTCCCAATTTTCTAGTTGCGCGACCCTGGCAGAACATGGTTGTCAACGAGGGCTCCAGCCTCCTGGCGTACACGACCTACGAATTCTTTCTGCGGCGGACCCCGTCCCTCCTGACGGCGCTGCACTTGAATTCTTCGGGGCCCGGGGACGCCCTATTCGCGAACCTGTTGAGTTTCGACTTCGTGGCCATCTTTCCCTTTTACAACCATGTGGACGAAGTGCTGAAGTGCGTGCGCAAGATGAGGCGGCTGCGGCGCCTGTTCGTCAAGCTGTGCCCGGAACCAGAGAGCACGTGGTTCCGCGACGAGATCGAGGCTGCCGGCGGGGCGCTGGACATCCACGACCCGTGGAACGAGTGCGAGACGTCGTGGACGCTGATCGCGCACAGTGTGGTCTTCTTGACCACGGCCCACGGCCAGCTTTGCGAGTTGCAGATGGACGACGTCAAGGTGGAGGCCATGCGCCCGACATTGGAGCAGGGCATTGGCTCCCTTTTGAAGGAGCGGTGGTGCTATGAGGATCCGGCATCGGGCATCTGGCGGCGGCGGCGGGTAGAGCAGGGTTCTCCGGGACAGGGGTAGGGCGGAGAGGTATGTGATGGGAAAGAAAGCCCAGATCACCACAAGCAAGACTCCCAACGCCCTTGCTTTCCTTTCCCTTCTTCCCCTCAACCGGTCATATTATATTATATTGTCAATGGGGGCTGTATTACCAAGGCGAGGAGTGGATCACAGTGAGCCATCCGAGATGTATATCAGCCAGCAAGCCAGCCAGCGAGTGAGCAAGCAAGCTACGGGGACGAAAGGAACAAACCGGCGCATATTGGAGGGGTTGGGCGAGGAGGAAACCAAGTCTGCCAGTTTTTACCGAATGTGAATGTGAGTGCGAACCTAATTCTGGGATTTGGATCTGGTTTTAAATCTCAATCCGAACCTGTCTGCATATGGGTATCATCATCATATAAGAATTGAACCCGTCAAGCTGTCCCCAGCCTCTGCCTACAAGGTATTCATGTCATTCCGCCTTTCCCGGCCCCTTTCCTTTTTCCTTTCCCCTTCCTTCTTCATCCCGTCCTTTCCATCTCACATGCCCGTGCATAGAACACAAAGTTCAAGAGAAGTGTCCGTCTCCCGTCCCCCGTCCCCGTCCCCGTCCTCGTCCTCGTTCTCCATCGTCCTTCTCCTTCTCATAGATATGTATGGTGCTATGATGTAAAGCAAGCCAAGGGGAGGTGGGACATAGACTCGCAAGGCTCGGCTACCCTGAGAAGGCACCCACGACGCAAGTACCGTACTAATTGGTAGTTGTGCCTACCTACCTATACATCTATAAGTATATATACCCTTGCCATCATTGTTGGTATGAGAAGGACTTGGCCACTTACTCAAGTACAAGTATACTGTATGTGCAGAAGTAAATAAGTAAGGACGCGGCCTCGGGTCCGTGAAGATACCTGGGTAGGTATTAGGTCGTTTAACAACAACAATGCAAACATTTCTCATATGTCATATATCATACGTCATCAGTCATCAGTCATCAGGTGATCGAAAGCATGACATGATATCAGACAATGGAGTACCCCGTATCTGTACCTATGTACAGTCTAGTACCGGGGTTTCGTATCAAGGATCTCGGGAAATAGGAGGTGGAGGAGCGGGAACCACCAAAGGAAGAAAGTTCCAAAGGGACACCAAGCTCGACAAAGATCTACAAGTAAAGGGGAAAAAAGGCAATTAACCTCCTGTGTACGAGGTACCGAGTACCTTCTTAGGTAGGGAACAGGAAGATAATGTACGTGATCAAGGACAGGGCAGATTTTATAGCCCCTTTTACATATTTGTTTTTCTTCTTCTTCCCGTTATACCTGCCTCATACCACCCAGTATTGTTGTTGCCCTTGGAGATCAACTTCCCTTTTTGTTTTGCAGGCCAGGGGAGAGCAGACGAGAGGAGGGAAAGGGAATAGGTAGGGAAGGATTCTTCACAATTTCTTCACCGGGAATCCATCATCCATCCATCCTTCCTGACTTCCTTCCTGGTCGGCGACTTGGGCGTCATTACTGGGTACAGCCTGCCGTGCTGCTGCTGAAGACTCGTCTTATAGCCATCCACTCCTTCCGGTCTCCTCGTCGTGCTCTGTTTAGCTATAAGCCAGGAACGTACCTACTTGTAGTTAGGTGCCGAGTACCTCTTTCGACATACTTGTACAAGTTACAGTGCGACGCCTGGAAGTTTTTTCCGGGCTCGATCGCGATAGAAGACTGGCCAATCACAGACTGCATTATGGGGGCCATTATTCCGGCGCCCAGGATCGTGGGTTGCACAAACAATGAAGGAAGTGGAGACTCGGAAGGCGCTAGTGGTGGAAGCTCGCGGCGCTAATGACGCTAGTGGCTGTCCTCGGCTGCCTCTGATTGTTCGCCCGAAGCTAAGCTGCTCGCCGGGAGGCGTTGTGTCGTGTCGAAGAAGGAAAGGAAAGGAGCAAGAGGCGATCGCCGCAATGGCGAGAATTAGCTGCAATGCCACTGTTGGCTAGCCATGGTAGCTATCTATCTGGTTGGTGGGCAGTCTCTGAAGGTGAAGGAAGAGCAGAGAGAACAGCAAAGGGAGGGAAGAGTGGATACCCAGTAGAGAAGGCTAGATGGCCCTCGGCACACCTTCCCATCCATCCAGGCTATCAGCCGGGTCCTCCTTGGCGCACTGAGGACCTCGTACTCAGCGAGGCCAGTACCTGGGTATCTCCCCATCCAACCATGCATGTGACATAGTGTGGCATTGTGGCATTGTTGGGCATTTCGCTTCGCAACTTGGGCGAGGAAAATCCCTTGTACTTTTACCGAGTCGTGCGGCAGAAAGCATGCATGCATACCTGTGCTCTCTCTCCTTGTCCTTGTCGAGGATCCAGCTGACCGTGCACTCGCCTCCCGGTCTTACTATTTTTTCTCGCCGCTGGTCTCGCCCAGCTTCGTCGTTGTCTTTGTACGTCCGGTCAGGACTCAGGTTGACCATGCAGATTGGGTCCACCCTCCCCCCCCCTCATGCCCATCTACTTGTATATCCACTCCAAAAACCGAATCATGGCCACTGTTCGGCGACATCCACCAAGCCAATCATCATGGCCGGATGTACAGTTCCCATCATTTGCCCACCCCTGATCACCTGACGAGCCATTGCTGGTCTTTGGGTCGTCTTGGTCGTCCCTGGGCGAGATTTCTCCATTACTGGCCCTGCTGGCTGTTGGCCACTGGTCACTGGTCACTGGCCACTTACGATTCGCTCTCCCATCTCACTCGGAACTACTCCCCCCCCATAATAATAAGACCGATCTGCATGGGGAGGGAAAAAAAAAGCTGGCCCACGACCACCAACCCCTCCTTGGTTTCTTTCCCTTTGTTGTAAAGAGAAGGCTGTCCTGAAATTCCAATCCCCCATCTCGTCATCGACATTCTCAAACACTCCCCAACAAAATCCCCGTCATCTCATCGCATGGCTTCCTGCTGAATCCTCGCATTCGAAAATCAAAGCCGACGAGACTGATTCTCCCCCTCCGCTGTGTCCCCCAAAATCTGCACCATGGGGACCAGACCCTGCACTTAGAGAACGAGAAGATGCAATCCGCCGTCTAGGGAGAGAGAGAGAGAGAGAGAGTGTGTGTGTGTGTGTGTGTGTGAGAGAGAGAGAGAGAGAGTGAGTGAGCGGGGCAGAGTCAGAGACAGTCAGAGACAGATGCCTTCACCACCCAATGCGCGGCCCATCAAGCCGGCCAAAGAAACTCCCTCCAAAACCTCCCGGAAGAAGACACCCAGTGCTCGCATCTCAGCCGCGTGTGAAGCATGCAAGAAACGCAAAACCAAATGCACCGGTGGCCCGCCGCCCTGCCATCTGTGTGAAACCCTAGGCACCGAGTGCGTCATCGACCTCTCTCTGGATATGAGACGGAGGGCCGCCCTGCAGCGCACTTTGGACGAGTCGAGGACCTACCAGGACGCTTTGAACAACTTACTCGATGGCATCCGCGAGGGCCCTACGTCACGCCTCGATGCCATGTTTGACTTCATCCGAAGCGGCGCATCAAATCAGGAAATCACAAATGCTCTACATCAGTACTCGAACCGTGCTGCCGAGGATGACGACGTCGACGACCCCATGTCGTCCCACGTAGACGGATCTGACTCCCAGGTCGACGCCGGCAAGAGTCCAGCTGATACCTCCAGTTTGGGATCCGTCACTTCCGATTCGGCAAAGGGCAAGGCTCCCGAATTGTCCATGTCCATCGCCACCTTGCTTGCCTCGTTGAGGAATGCCTCCCTCCCGGAAGGTGAAGCCATCTTGCGCCAGTTCTTACCACTGCGATCTGAAGACAGAGTTGGTCTGCCTCTCTGGACCTCTGAAGCCAAGAACCCTTGGGAGTGTGCCGATTTTGGCACAATTCTCCCCAGCGTTGCCGAGCGCGCCTTGTGGCATCCGGTACTGCATTTACGATCGCAAAGCAATCGTGTGGAGGAGCGCCCACAGGTGAGTCGACGCTGCCATCCACCGTTCTCCCGCTATGGACGAGAAATGGACTGTTATCGTTTTTTTATATTTTGTTTATTCAGACCACACAATCGTGCTTGGGGGAAAGGACAAGACACTGCAGTATTTAACCCTAATCCCTACCTTTTCTCTACTTCTATCTGCCCTTTCCGTATATTTGCACCTCTGGATGAGAAATTGGTCTAATGATCGACACTCGCACACAGGTGAACGCAGGCACTCGACGGTTTTCCGAAGGGAACCCCAAGACAGAGCAAGCAGAAACAGTTTCTTCAGATTCGCCATCGCCGTTGGCCGGGCTCTCGAGACAGTCATCCCGATACCCTCTGATCACCACGGACCTCCCCATGAGTGGATTGACGGTGGTTTCCTCGCCCGCTACCCCATACGTCGAGTTAATCACGAATTTCCCATCCGGCCAACCGAGATTGAACGAATGGGATTTGTGTGTGGCACAAGAGGACCAAGTCACAAGACTCCGAGTCCCTCGACATCTTGTCCTGCCCTTGGTGATCCCCGATGACTCGCCTATGAGCCGCACGTACACCGATTACGTGCACGGGGCGCGCCGCATGCTTGAAAACGGTGTCCCCATTTCGGATGTCTTGGGCGCCACAGAAAAGGTGGCGGTCGACTTGTTCTTCCGCCCTCGTCGGGCGACGGATAAATTCGACTGCGCCTCGTGGGCATGCGAAGTCTCTCGAAGTTTTGATACCGATATCTTCGTACGCCTAGCTTCGGCTTATTTGCTTACGCACATGATGAGAGTGAGGTCCAAGTTCAAATCCGGTTCTGAGGAGGTACTGACATATTTCGTATAGTGGCTGTTGGTCCCTACCCTGGAAAATTATCAGAAACTTCCTGATATGATGAAACCGACACCTGCACAATGTATGGTTCCCCACATTGGCGCGATTGAGACAATACCACTGTATGCATCTCCTCTACAATTGATTTGTGCCTCATTTAGGAGATCAAAGCTGATGTGGATCTTAGACCTCCAGTTCGGGACGCTGCAATCAACAAGCTGCGAGACTGGCTCACGCCTCTGATCCAGGCGGAATGGGGTGTGAATTGGCCTCACGGTCTAGACTCGGCCGTCGAACAAGATGCATTGATGGGGACCACAGTATTGACCCAGAAATTCATCGAGCATGTGACCATTTACGACAATTGGAGCGTGGGAAGTCGCTTCCTGGTCACCTTTCCCGAGGTGGCAGGCAGGATTCGAATTCACGAATTGGGATGACCATACGGACCTGGGTGGAGAGATTTACCTTGGCTCACACGTGTCCGAATCACAAGTTGAAAGAAAAGACTTCAGCTCAGTAGCCCGCCACCACGGCCGACACGGCCGACCTCGATTCGAAGGTCGACTGATGTCTTGAGAGCGAAGTGGGATCTCCAGCCGTCCTCACGGCGATTCCGGTTGGCGGCATCGAGCAGCGCTGCTATCGGAAAGCATTCCTTCCCCAGGTTCACCTCTTTTTGCCGCAGACCCTCCTTTTCCTCCAAGTCAACAAGGTCTGGGGGCTGTGTGGTGCCTCACACCAAAAGGCAAGACAAGGCCAAGCCAAGACCAGGACCAAACCGGGACCGGGGTATGACGAAGTAGGACAGAGAACGGCGTGACAGCCCCAGAAAAGGAATGGTGCTGGGATTGATGGCCCGAAAAGTGGAACAGCGATGTAGGGGTTGGACACAAACACAGGAAAATTAAGCCGGGCAAGAAAGGGTCGAAGAGGCAAGGCCTTATGGGATATCATACGACTGACCGAATGATGGTTATCATGAGACATGCCAGACTGAAACACCGAACCCCCAAAAAAGAGGGTTTGGAACATGGCGATATAATGGATGGAACTATGGAATGATGGAATGATGGAACGATGGAACGACGGAAACGAGGAAATGATTGTTTTGGAAACCCAAAATGATGGACTGAGGGTTTGTAAAAGAGTAACGAAGGTGGAGCTGTTCCTTTCAAGACCGAGATCGTGATACCGAGCACCTTTCGCTGCAACAACCAGAGACAAGATGTGGTCAGGTGACCTGCCAAGGCCTTCGCCGTGACTCAATGGAGAAATGATAGATTCTACAAGTACAAGTACAAGGTCTTCGAACACCTGTCTGACTGACAAGTATATACTATCTGATAAATTACACAGGGGTTACAGATGTAATTGGCATTAGTACGAGACCTTCGACCAGAGACTAGCGTGACAGTCTTTACATGTCTTGGCTATGCTGCCAGTGACATCCCCAGCCGCGTCACGTGAAACTACTACGGCTAAAGTACAATTACTGGTAAAATTGATTCGTGCTGTCGAGTCGCCGAGTCGTACCTTGTGTAACGGAGTGGCTACTTAGTCCTTGTTTAGACTAGCTCTGCCGTTTGTCTTCCGAGCCGGTGAGCCCGCGATTGGAGCTCTGCCCGAGAGAGCCTACCAGTCCATACTTGTCCTTGTTATGTCTTCTCCTCGGAGGCCTCACGCCCATACGGATAAATCTCTTTTCCCGTCTCTGCGCCGTTTGGCCCGTGTGGCCGTGTGGCAGTTTCCGCGGGGCCAGGCTCGCTAGCTGGGTGTTATCCTGGTAGCGGTGAGGTGGCTGGTGACGATACTTGTAATGTTGATGACAGGGGAGAATCGATCCGCTGTCGCCGTCTCGCTAGCGGGCGAATTACACGGATTCTTGTAGATAGATGAGGGCTTGCGGCGAGTGAATCAATTGGCGGACGAGATCCCGTCCTATGGCTGGATAGATACCTCCTGAATACCCATGCAAAGAACAGCCTAGCCAGGTAGCTAGACGGCCAGGCAGCCGCGCAGGGCAGCGTACGAATACATCTGTGCAAGTAGCCAGGTGGACGAGCACGCGAGGGAAAGTATACCCACGCCAAGGACTGATTGTGGGTTAGATACGGATAGGCAAGAAGTAAAGAACGGAAAAGGTGGTGCAAGACACAGGATTAGCAGGGTAGAGGTGATACCACGGTACGGATGGAGGGATGGATTGATCAATAGACGACGTGCAGGTATACTCGGTACCTAGTATGTGGAGATGCACAGGTATGTACCTAAGTAGGTCTGCATATAGCATGTCATGGTGCTTGGAATGGCCTCGACTCGCTTCGACTCGACCCCAGCGGAGCTGAACGAGATGGGAAGGCGTTGCTTGGAATACCATACACAATATCCATACGAGGTCCCCCTCCCGCTATCGTACGATCGCCGAACAGCGCAAGCCCATCCGACGACGGCATACTCACTTGCAGGCCAAGGAGCAAATAGCCAAGCAAGCAACCAAGACAGCAACCAAGCAACCCGGCAAAGCTGAAGAGAAGCCGAGAACGGCGACTTGTCGTTTTGCATGGAACCAAATTTCCTATCTGGGTAACAAGAAAAGTCAAAGCGAAGCAAAAAGCACGGCAGAACACAAGGAGAAGGCCCGAAGAACAGGGCCAAGAAGGGAAAAAAAAAAAAAGTTTGACCAAGCAAGCCAAGCGAAACCCGAAAAAAAAACAAAAAAGAATCCTTGTATTGGAAAGAAAAAAGGTTCGGAAGGCCGAACAAAACAACCAAGCCAAACCGGAAATGTAGAACAAACAAGCAAAAGCGGACAAACACAGGAAACCGGCAAAACGGAGAGGCGGGACATGCAAGCGCTGCTGCCTGGCGTCACGGGGTACAGCATTTGCAACGTTTGCCTTGGCCTTGGCCCTTTGCATCCGCATTCGCCTTCGCCTTGGCATCTTCATCGCGTGTCTGCCTCGCGACGACTCACTTGCGCGACGACTCGACCACAGCCCGCCAGCCCGCCAGCCCGCCCAGGTACCCAGCACAAAAGCTATCTACCTATCTAGGTACCTACCTACCAAGGTAGCTACATACCTACCGCGTTGACTCACAGTGTTGTTACCTAGCTCGCTAGGTGCTTGTGCTTGTATCTACTCCCGCACTAGGTCCCCCGACCAACCGACCTTTGCCCGTGCCGTGGCAGCAAGCAAATAAACAAGCAGCAAACAGTGTAGAGGGGATTTTCAGTCATTCATTCAGTCATTCAGTCATTCATTCATTCATTCATTCATCATTAGTGGAGGAGGTACTGCCTGTCATCTCTACCTTCATCAAAAGAGTAGAGTAGGTAGCGAGGCGGTATAGGCTCTAACAGGACGAGGAGTAGTAAGTAAAGTACAGTACAAAAATGAGTTCCGTGCGTGTGCGTGGCCGTGACTGTGGTATCTTTCAAAAGAGCGCAATTCCATCCTCCCACATGTAAGTCGTCGTTCCCGGTTTCCCAAACGCCGAATTCCTCTCCTTCCCCCCCCCCCCTGAAATTCATCCAACGCCACTGCCAGGCATCCGGTTTTGCATATGATATATCGCCTGTGGTGGCAAACTGCGTAACAGATTCTGCAGGCGGTGAATTTCGGCCGCTTGGCGGCGAATAAATTCCTCCTTCTGTCGCAGCTCTTCTCTGAGATGCTGGATCAACTGGCTCTCGGCGCTTCCGACAATGTTGTCAATGTTGGGTGCCACCACCTCGCTGCCGAAATGTTGCTGCCCCTGCCCCTGCCCCTGACCTTGACCCTGACCCTGACCTTCTGTTGCCGTCGAGATCCTTCGTCGCTTGGTTGCGGGTTCGTGTGCGATTGTCGAGGCGGTCGCGGTTCCCGCAGCAGCTTGCGAGGTCGCTTCGTGCGGGCCGTGGTCTGACAACTCCTCCAGATGCCTCCGCCGCTTGTGCTCCTCGAGGTTTTCTTTCCTGGTGAAGCCGGTGCCTGAACTTCGGTTGCAGTTGGGAAAGGGGCAGAACAGTGGCTGCTTCGTCGATAGGTGCATCTTGTGAACTTCCCTCTGGTGCCTCAGGAGCCCGCCTGAGTAGGTGAATCCGGGGTTGAGTTCGCAGCCGGCCTCACGACACTTGTAAGGTCTTTCATGTCTGTCCATGTGCTTGTTCCATTCACACACTCGCTTGAAGGTCATGTTCTTGCCACGACAGTTGATGTGGTCGCAGTACATCTGACCTTGTTCGTTGCGAGGGGGGGACCTGGTGCGGCGAAAAGCTCCTTGGAGCTTGACGGATGGGTCGGGCAGCGAGGGCACGATTTCGTCTGCCATGATGATGATGTGCGCTTTCTTCGGATCGGGGGTGACAGTGGTGGATATCGATGTGTATGTTGTGGTATCGTAGTCGCTTGGAGGCGAGACCGGATAGTTATCTCTCATGATCATGATGACAAGGACCGGTGGTTGAATAGGAGGATGGAGATGGGAATGATGCTGAGGGAGGAACGATGACAGTTCAAGCGACCCGACATGGCACGGGAAAGAAGTACCTTGGGTCGCCCAGAGATATAGTGTGGAGAAGGGGAATGGCTTGACGAGACGCTCTGGTGCCTGCAAGGCTGTGCAACATGATGTTTCCGAAGGGTTATGCCTCACCGGGTTAATAAGGATTCGCCCTCGAGATAGCCGCGCGATGAGCTTTTGCCAGAAGCAGGTTCAAGCAGCGAATCATGCGCCACATGGGGCAAGATCAGAGGACGGCAGCCCGAGCTGCTAGCGGAACCTGCGTTTTATAGCACTAGCAGCGGTGGCAGTAGCTCCATCACCCACACAGCTGACCACCAGACGGGGAGTGCGTGCCTGATTTCTGGGTTGACTGACGTGGGAGCCTGGGGGGACCAGGGTGTGTGCGTGTGCGCGAGGGAGTGTCAAGGATGTGTGAAATCCCCATTTTTGGGTTTTTTGGGTTTTTTGGGAACCCACATGACTTGTGAGTAAAGAAGGAATAACTCAAGAGTCTTGTCCCCGACCATGACTCACTTGATTGGGCAGCTGGTGAGCTCCGTAGGGGGCTTCGTATGGGGGCAAAGGAATCATCATCAGCAAAACATAGCAGCAAAAGTTCCCGCGTCACCGCGGACGCGCGAGTGACATCCGTTCATGGATAGGGCCCCAAGGCCTTCCCGTCAGTACTTGGGAAGTAAGTACGAGGTACTGGCTAAGTAACTATGTACCGAGTACCCCCCCCCCCCCCAAAGTTCCACGCCTCGCCAGAAGCCTCCATCGCCTCTCGCTGTCCTTTCAAGTCCCCTTGCCCTCGACCCGACCATACCCACTTAGGCACCTGGGTTCGCCACGGCGCCGGCGACCTACTGTTTAGGTCTGGTCGCGAGACAAAGAAAACCACCAGAGGCAACGGCCCTCCGCTCTTACGACGCGGGCGGTGTGATTGGGTGGGTGCGGCAACAGACCAAAGAAACGGGCGAGTCGGTACCTCCCAAGCAGGCAGGGAAAACTGGCTTCGAAAAGGCGTGTCCGACCGCGCCTTTACCAATCGCACGAGAGGGGTAAGTTTGAGAAGCGGTTGGGTGGTTCGCCTTACAGTACCCAGTAGATGAGCATCCAGATCTTATGGTCCATGGATCACGTTGGATGCCCTCGCTTGCTCGTTCCCAGCTTAGGGGCTAGCTTTTGCTACCGTCTCCGAGGCGCAGCTGCCAGCTGCTGAGCTCTTCTCAGTCCTGTCAGCCGGCCCCCCTTACGAAACATATAAAAGCGCCGCATGACCCCCCAAGCCATCGGCCACATAAAAAAAAAAATACATAACTCCCGCACCCCATAAATCCAAGACGTCAGCGGACGCGGTCAAACTGAGAAAAAAAGGTTGTGCAGTTGCACAAGGTTGGGACGACGTTACGATATCCTATCCGAGCATGCAGGTGAGGGCTGGCCCCCCCTTGCTGACATGACAGCATTCCACCAGCACAATTCCTCCCGGTTCCGTTTAGTTGCAGGTTTGGCAGAAACGCCACCATGATGTGGCTGTGGCTGATCTGATCGGCTTGCGCGGCTAAAATGGAGCATCTGCGCTGGGAATCATTCTTGCTATCGCGTTTCCAAAAATCCTTGGCCCTTCCTCTCGAGATCTCGTGTTTCTCTACTTGGTAATTACTTGTTACTTGTCCGCACCGATTGGGACTTCACCCAGCAAACCGTGACGGACTGGCTCTGGGCATTCGACTCGACAATGCTCTGTGAGACGGTGATTGCCATCTAAATATAGCCATGGCTACGTCCGCGTCCTGCCTTTCACTGGGCATGATACGTAATGCGACTGGCGGAGATCCGGTTGGGTGCTAGTAATGTCATCCAACTGCTGGTGTCTGAAGCCTCTTCGCCATCTCACTTACTCGCATTGATCGGCGCGGCTCCTCCGTGCGGAGTTTCTGGTCGCGACAAGCCCGTGCACAGGGAAGCTGAAAAGAAGATCAGCGCCCGTCGGACCATTGAGTGGCCAAGCAGCCATGTGCTCTCAACCCCAAAGTCTCATCTTTTCCTCTCGGTGTCCAAGGCGTTGGCAGTGCTAGAGAAGCTGAAAGAATGCTTGACTCATGGCTTGTAGGACACGGATGACATGATGCTGAGACGGAGGACCATGCAGAACATGCAACAGGTGCAGCGCATATGCAAGGTACGAGTGCTGGGGATTTTGGTTGCCCTTTGGTCTGGCTTTAATCGCGATGTCCACCTTCAATTGATTGCTCCGAGATGCGACAAATGACAACCGGGAACTGGAGAGATGGCTATCACTGATCTACGGTGGTTTCACGCCTCCCCGAGCATTGGGAAGCAGGGCGAAAGACATGTGGACTCTTGAATGACGTGTTGACATTTGCGACCTGTGGGTGGCAATGCGCGACACTCGCATGGTCTTCAAGAGGGCATTTTGGACAAGTGGTCTCTTCATCCAAAGCATGCGAGCAGTGGCGCAGTACCAACATCACTCCAGGCGAGTCATCCAGTCAACCCACATTTCCAAAGCAGCAACCGCGACGAAGGTCAGTATTGTTCCATCACACCTTCCTACTAGACTGCGCCACGTTTCGTTGGCCGTGGCCCGTCATCTAGGCTCACATTCGGTTGCTGAAACGGGGGAGATGAAGCCAGTGAGACGCACACCCAACTTGGATAACCCCTGGAGTCTCGAAAGCTGAGTGGCCGCTCTAATTTCCCATCTTTGGTGCTTTGCGGATCATTTCTTGACATGTGGACGGTAAGGCAGCAACGCACTAGGCGGACCAATAAATTTGTGTCACCCAGATATTCGGCCGCTGCAGCTAGCAAATCAGTCTCCTGTGCGAGTACTGCGCCTCCCGAACATGGCTGGCCAACCCCGAGTATGGTTGATTTATATTGCTGGTAAAGTACTTCGCAGATTTGCGAGTCATAACCGAATAGCAAACAATTTCGATGTCGCTTCGCCCCGTGTGCTCTGCTGGGGCTGCATGTGCAGGCCCAATATTGTTGCAAGACATGAAGTCCCGATGGCGCCCAGAAGCTCTTCAGTCATTCTGAGTAATTCAGTGTGCGAACTGCAAATGCGACCGGGAAATGCAAAATTGCCGTTATTGTCGTGCGAGGACGTGGATCCAACCAGTGGCAGAAGGGAAGCTCCGCGATGGGGAATTGGCCGGAAATCAATTCTCCACGCCGTCAGGGCTGTCGGCCTGGCTTACCCATGGTGGAAGCCCAACCTATTCAATGCCATCGCCATCTGGCAATCACTGCTAAGAATGAAGCACTGAATGGCAATAACTGTTACCGCGAAAGTGCCTGGGCGATTGGAGCGTGTCCTATTGTGGAAGGAATATTTGCATTTCAGGCGTAGAGGTAAGATGATCTGTCAACGGACCAGGCCACCGGGCGGTACGAGGATACAGAGTGGACCAAACCATGCATGACCACAACGAAGGTTCCACATACCCCGAAGGACCGCCCTCAGACACCGGTTAGGACTTGTTGGACCCGAGGATAGACGTGCACGAGGCGCTCCCAGAACTCTGGATGATCTGTCATGGCGACTTGGGGATCCCAAGCCATGGCCACGAAAATGGTGTCCACCCCAGATCCGATGGGGGTCGTAAAAGTCTGGCAGATCTGCAAGCCGATGAGGAAAGCAAACGCCATGATGACAGGTGTGAAGGTCCGCCCTTCGTTGTATGCCGGATGAGTATATTCGAGATACAGATATGCCAACAATGCGGAGACATATGCCACGAAAACGCTTCCCATGGTAAGGACGGGCCCTACAAGGCAGTCGTTGACCAAGGCATCAACGCCTCGGTCCTTCATCATTTTCCACGTGTCTTTGGCCGCCGGGATGTATGCCTTTCCGTAAAGAGCGATGTGAGAGAATGCGTACCTGTTGATGAATTGAACAAGCCAATTGAGAATGCTGATGAAGCAGCCAAGAATGCAAAACATGATCGTCCCGACGATGTTACCATCCGAGGCTTCTTGCTGTTGAGCAATACTGCAGGCTTGACGAAACATATTAATGAGCGCAACAATAAGGCTGCCGAAGGAGATGGAGCCAAAGGAGTAGGTTGTTGCCCGCCTCAAGGCCCCAGCCGTTGCCCCTCGCGGAATACCACCTGGTTTACCAGCACAAAAATACCACGAACCATACACGCCAGCATTGGTGGTGTAAATAGTGTTCTTGATCCATTCTGTAATCCAATAGCCCGCAAATGTCACGAACACCACGAGTCCAATCACCTTGCCGCTCGAGCAGCCCGCCTGTGGGCAGGATGGATTGGCGGCGCTGCTGGAATTTCCAGGCATGTAAGACGTGTAAATTGCAACGAGGGTCGCGGAGAACCAGGCAGCAAATGCCACGCTAGCAATTCCACCGATGAAGCTGACCCAGAATACATGCACTCGCCTCATTCTAGCAACGTCCATTGTTTGTTGTAGCATCACGACTGCGAAGGGTATGCGTGGGATCCAGCTGATGAAGCAAATGACGGCAAAGAGGGCGAAGACGGCAAAAACAATGCCTGCTCCCCACAGATGCCGGTAAAGATAGTAGACGGCAGTGCCGATTGCCAAGGCACAATTGAGGATGCCAGTCAGCCAGACAAACTGTTTTGTGAAGGCGCGAGCGGCGAGGAAGTAGGCCCAGGAGAAGACGAGGCCGACGCACAGGATGAAGGCGAAGAGGATAAGGGTATTGGTGTCCAGGGAGCTGCAGAAGTCTGTTAGCACGTCGCCCGAGAACAACCCTTTTTCGAGTCCGAATCCGTCTTTCAAAAGACATTGGGGACTTACAAATCGTTCGAGGCCCCGTAGATTCCTCCCCCGTTGAAGCTATGATATTTGGAGTAGCGGTACAAAGTGAGTCCTGAAACGGCGACAAATCCACAGAAGGTTGCGATGAGCTATGACTTGTGAGCACATGTTCGCGTCCGGGCGGCCGCCAGGGGCTTTAGAGTGCTCACCAGCAATCCAGCCCACACATCATTAAATTTGGGTTTTTGGATCTTGAACGTCTCCTGGAAGGTCTGTTTGTCGTCTTGAGGAGGAACGAAGTTCTCACCATAAATGGGAGGTGCAATGGAGTACTTGGGTTCTTGATGTTGGTATGGCTGCTGAGGGGGTGGGTACGGCTGTTGTGGAGCATTAGAAGGAGGAGGATATGACTGATAATTCTGCGCTCGATATGGGGCACCTCCCATGGTCTGATTGTAGTAATCTGCTGCTTGACCTTGGTGAGCCATGATTGCGACGCGCTCTCGTCGCCTCAGACCGTAGAAACGCGCTTAGACAGCACCAGGCCAGCGTAGGGCCGTTATTTGACGCAAAGCGCGATATCGAGATGCACGGGGCATCAATAGTGGAGATATAGAGGATGGAAATGCTGATGGCGAGGTACAAAAGAGCGGAAGGAGGATAGAGACAGGTGAAGGAATTTCCAATGCGGCACGATGTAGTATGGTGATGCTTGCACCTGTCACGCCGTCACCACAGTGGCACATGTAATAACTTGTGTTTTTCAGCTGGCATGGGCTGGCGGGTCCAAGCCGAGATGTCGAAGGAGTCCAGCCATTGGACATCGGGCGAGCTTAATCTTGCCGGCAGGGGGTGTCCGTCCAGTTAAAGCTGTCTGTGTGTCGCCGCCTACAAGTCCCTACAGGTACAGAAATCGCCTTGCTCGGCCCTGTAGGGGGAGGACGATAATGCTTGCAGTCTGACCAAAACATTCTCCAAATGAGTTCCTGCTATGGCCACCATGGCCGCCCATGGTTGCCCTGCAAGGCTCGATTGGACCAGTCTAATCCACGTTGTCAGACGATCCCATGACCCAAAACACCCTCTCGACCACCTCCTCTCCTCTGTCATGATCTCACTGCTTCTCAGCCCGATGTCGACCTCGCCCTGTGGCACCAAACCACGTTCTTCCAATCAGCGACATGGCTACAAGATCCCACTGTGAGTCGATCATTGCGTATCCGATGTGCCTAACTAACGTGGACCCGGCTCGTCAACTCCAAAGCCCAACTATTAACATCCTTGATAGTCTTCTCATCTCAATGCCGTCGATCACCCGCTTCGACAACGCTCGGCCATGCCACTGACAATATCCATCCATTCCATTCTCGTTGCCTTCGTGGCCGCTGCTTGTATTCCACTGTCGACGTTGCTTCTGCTCATTAATGTCCTGTGTATATCGCTCTACCCGTGGAGATGTATCCGCCAGCGCCTGAAGAGAGTGCCAGGGTTCAAATCGAGGACGATTTTCATCACTGGTGTGAACTCCCCCCACGGACTGAGACTGGCCAGGGCGTTTCATAGCACTGGTCATACGGTTGTTGGCGCTGATTACGAACCTGACGGATTTCCTATCCATGTGCGCTTCTCCAATGCACTGGCCCGCTTCTACCGCTTGCCGCCCAAATCCGACGAGAGCCGCCAGGTGGCGTACATCGCATCCTTGGTTCGGATCATAGAGCAGGAGCATGCTGAACTTTGGATTAACTGCACAAGCAGTGCAGATCCCAGCACTGAAGCACAAGCCAGGAATGTGATTGAGCAAAGCAACCGGTGCCAATGTTTCTCCCTTCGAGTGAACGATGTCCCCTATTTCGCAACAAGGGAAGCCTTTCTCTTATACACGGCCAGTCAAGGACTACCGGTCCCCGAAGTGCATCACGTCAAATCACGAGATGAGGTACACAAGGTGCTTAATCAGACGCGCGGAAGTCGAAGGTATCTGCTTCATAGTCTGGGCCAAAATGGAGTCCACGCCCACTCGACCCGGACAGCTCTCCCACGGAGGACGCTTAGTCAAACGTACAATACTGTTTCCCAGATGACCATTACGAGTACCATGCCGTGGAAGCTGGAACAAGATGTGAACGGACTCGACAGATACCACGCGTTTGCCATCATTGTCAGAGGTTCTCTCAGAGCATTTGCCGCCAGCCGATCAACACATCCCGGCTGTCACCAACTCATGGAGCCAAAATCTGCGCTCAGTCTGTCGATGCTACGGTTTGTTCACAGATTCGCCCGCAATCAAGGCCATGACTTCACCACGCACCTGGGAATTGACTTCTGTGTTGAAGAGCAAGTGACAGAATCTGGAGTGGCACAAATCATCCTCCCGGTGCAAGTCTCTGTCCGGGCTCAGGCTGCGGCGCAGTTATTTCATGGCCTGGGTGGGTCGGTGCAATTGACTCGAGCCTATCTAGAATGTTTGCTCGCCAATGAAGCCACTGCTGATAAGCAAGTGACAAGACCAGCTCCTGCAGTTGCACAGCACGCTCTACAGGAAGATGTGGCCATGCCGGATTCAAAGATATCCGGGACGTACTGCTTTGGCCAAGATTTACTCCATTTGTGCTTTAAGCCGCTACTCGACCTGATTGTTTTGAGAATCGGCCTCATTGACTGCATTCGACAGTTGTCTTCTTTTTTCAACCACCTGGTTTCCTGGGAAGATGATATATTCAGCTTTAGGGACCCCATGCCCTTTTGGTGGTCTTACCAAGTTTATATTCCGTTGCGACTCGTCAGGACTGCGGCGGGTTGGACGCATGACTGTCCCTTAGAGTCGGCGACAACGTGATTCTAACAGCGCTGACCGAATATCAGACGTTGCGAACGCCCTTGGCATAAGAACACAGTCTCGTTTAGAGTCCAGCGAGAGATGCCTGGTCTCCATACGATCATTGATCAATTCACAGCATTGAGACTTTCAGTCCTTGCTCTCTGGAATCGCTCGTCACCCTAGGTGGCATTGCTCGACCGGCACGATGTCAGGGGCAGCCATCCATTACGGATGATTTCTGGTTGGCTACGAGGCCAACACTTGCTGGAAGTTGCCACTGCAGATGAGAATCCATGCTTTTCAACATTGAGTTAACAAGACACTGTCCATTGCAGAGTGGTCTCTTCTCGCGAATCCCTTGCGACGCGGAATCTGTCATTCGTCCAGAGTGGTCAAAAATTTTCAATTGGAGGAAGGGCCAGAGAATGGTTGGGCGTTGCTTGGCTCTGCGTGAGTCCAAAGAATATCAAATCTGGACGCAAGCTCAAATCATCCTGGTGGTGATCGACAGTTTGCAAGAGTCAAGAACGACTATGTCCTCTACGAGGTACATGCTTTACGAACGAAGGCTTACCCGCGAGAATCGGGCTTCACTGGAAATTGCGGCTGGCTGAAGCGGTGGGCTTTCACGTCAAACTTTGCAGCGTGATGGGAGACCCCGAGACTTAATGCAAGGTTGCGAGCGAACAAAACAAGGGTGGGCCATTCATCCTCATCAATCCCCATCCCCATTCCTTCTCGGGAACCCCAAGCGAGAAAGCTCCTTTTTTCTTCGATGGACCGAGCTGAAACGGGTATGGGAGACCGCGTCCACTTTCATGCTGGGTTAGCGTGGGGTATATCCAACCGAGCACTTTCGTCCGTGCAGAGGTATGCTAGTGAGGCTCGTTTGGTTACGAAGGAAGCTCATTAGCATTGATTTTCTCCTCTTCTTATAGGGACCAGCTAGTCTACAATAGGCCAGCGGAGACTCGAGCTGTAGTGGAATCGTACATTTAGCCTTCTTCGAATGCTACAAGACGTCTCCAGAAACAGCCCCGGTCAGTGGATGCAGTGTGCGATTGGAACGGGACGCACCAGGTCCGTCTAACCCTCTTGCATTTGTCAAAGAAATAGTGAGAACGACGCGATGCAGGAACAACGCCTTTACCCACTGATAGGTATGTCACTATGAGCAATACCTCCCACGAGAAGGTCATGGAGAGGAGTCTGTTCTCCAGACAGCTCAAAGTGACGGTGATCAGTTCTACAGGCGCACAGGGTGGCCACAGACCCAGCTGAGTTGCAGCGGATTCGCTTGTCACTGATTCCACGCTGCAGAGGCAGCAACTTGGCATGCCCGGCTGAGACGGGCGATTTGCAAGCTCAATAGTCGGCTAGTTGTCCAGCCTATCCTCATCACTCCATAACTTCAATGGAGTCCGGCTCACATGGTTCAACCAAGGGGCAACTAAAACACCCAAGGTGCAAAGATTGGAAAGGGGCTCTCTCGTCGAAGATGATCCTGTATCAAAGTGGTCTTAACATCGGATGGGGAGTGCCGAAACCCCAGAAAATCCCACCAAGATCAGCTAGAGGAAACCTGGAGACCGATCCCAAGACAAAATGTGCGCAAGCAGGCGGGCTGCAACAAGATTGGGGGCCAGTTCTGCCAACACTACTGAGACCTTGTGAACACACACTGGCACCCAACTGGAAAAGGTTGCTGCTCGGGCTCCGCGGTGGATGGGCGATGGACGATGGTGTAGGGAGTTAGTCGGTCTAGACGGGCGCCACGTTTGGTTGAAGGCCGAGTCGTTGGTCAGTGCACGACGGGCATGGCGCGTTGTGGAGAGTCTGGACCTGCGCCGAGGACGCCGAGGACGCCTCCTCGCATCCATGGCATCCATCCTCGCTTTCAAGTTTTCCGGGGAGTCACACGCTGGAATAGACGATCCTACCCCGCAAAAGCCAGAGAGACCGGGGTGGTGAGAGAAAAAAAAGCAAATTGGTGGCGGTGAGTCCAGTAGTCTTAGTTATTTTGGGCCCGTTGCAGCGGGTGTCAAATGACGGGCGAAATGCGACTTGAAAAAGAAAAAAAGGGGTGTTTGAGCGGGAGGAGGAAGAGCAAGGAGAGGTATAGGGGACATGGGAGAGCAGACGACGACAGACTCCAGGCCGATGATCACTGCCCCCGTCGATGTTTCTTCTTGCGGTCATTCCTGAAGACACACGCGGCTCACGAGAAGCTAGCGAGATTTCAAATCAAGTTCTGTTGGCGAACTTCGGTGCACTTCCGTGCGATCTGAGTGACGAGGACCCCTTTTCCTTGCCCAGAGATTATGTCAACTCCGAATAGAAAGGGTCTATGGATGGTGTGTTCAATTGTGGCTTTTTACTCCAGTTCAGAGAAGTCCTGTCACGCGCTGGTCTCCCGGATGTAAAAGTGGAATAATTAATGGCACCAGGCAGTCAGGCACACAAATAAATTGCATCATGAGATGGGATGAATGAATGTAGATGGGTTTGATGACGACTACTGACCAAGAGGGTTGGTGGTACATAGTGGTGGTGGTGGTGATGATGAGGAGGGAGGTGATGGGCCACAATCCTGGCTAGTCCGCGGCCAGAATACGGAGTACTGAACACAGAGTACCTTCTACCTCGTATACCGCCCCCCCAATGCGCAGCCTTGACAAACAGGTCTTCCGTGCGTGTAGGAGACTGTTATGCGGATCTCTGGAAAACCACACTTCCTCATCCATGTACATGATAGTACATACGCATGTACCCATCCACAGATAAGAAATATTTGTACCTGAGTACCTCGTACACAACGTAGTGAACAAAGGAGATGTGTTCCTGCGGACGGAGCGACCGATCGATCAATCGATCAGGCCATGGGTTGCACGGGAAGGGAGAGACGGCTTGTAGTCGTACTTCGTAGTTGGGGTTCCGCAATCGTTTCCTGGCTGCCTGCGCGAGGGAGGGGGGGAGGAAACTTAGCCTCGCCGTGCGGGAAGGGAAGGGGACGAGGATCGTTGGTTGGCTTTGCTTTGTGGCCGAGACATTAGGATCCGAATGACTTTCCAGAATAGGTGGGAGGACCGGCTTGGGCCAGGCGGGTGGCCGGGTGTTTTCAGGGAGGATTAATAGAAAAATACAAGGATGGGAGAGGAAGAGACATAGAACAGAGGAGCGAGCGAGAAGACTCGACGGAGCCAGGGGGGAAAATCCTGCCCTGATCAGTCGGTTGTTGGTCCTGCTATCTTTCCTGTGTTCTCAATGGGCTCCCGGCTCAGCTCAAGGGCTTCGCGGGTCCCGGATGATATTGTCATGCTATAGTCGAGACTTTGCTCTGCCAGTTGTGTGAAACAGCGACATGATAACAAAGTGCAATCAGCCCATTTCTGCAATGAACAAAGGAAAAGCAAAGAGGAGGCGAGTGCTGTGCTCCTGATACATCAACTGTCCGGCCACAAGGCTTCAAAAAGTAAGGCGAAAGAAGAGATTGTGTTCCCTCGATGACTGGTTCCATCCTTCTGTCCAACTTTCCCTCATCCCATCAGGACCCGTCACGGCTTCGCATCTTGCATTGCATAATGTAACAGCTTGATATCACACCAACGACCCAAGGGCATCAACTCGATTCAATCCCAGCACCTTGTTTCCCACGCCACAACCAGCCCAATCTAAACGCTTGATGCACAACATTGACCGACACCAGCAACAACAGAGCCCGTCATCATCGACAGCAGAAGAACACCATATGCATGCGCTGCTCTTGAACCCCTCTCATGGACGAAAAACGCTTGCAACCGCTCCAAATTTTGCCCAGATCCTCTTCATTTTCGTCAAGTCAAACCAACGCCAATGGAAATGCATTAAACTTTTTATCCCACATTCTCCAGGCTATGCATAAACCAAAATGAGATTAGAGCTGGTATTGATCATCTCGTTCCTCCCAAGGCCCAACGTGAGTGTCCCCGATCGTCAACCTCGTATTCCCATAGTACTTCGTAGCAGCAGATGAAAAATGCTGGTTCATGGCCCTCTCCAAGAGGCTTTTATGTCTTCATTGCTTTGCATTGACACTCGTCTCTTCAAGGTCCTTGTCTGGTCGAACGATCCCACATAGTCCTTCAGATCATTCTGGGCTTGTTCGGACAGCTTAGGGCTGACTGGGCGAGAGATCTGGGATGTAGAGAGCGAGTTCGAAGACGAGGTCCGGTGGATGGAGAAGTCGTAGGCTGGTGGAAGGTAGAGACCGGTCGTGTTCGTGTTGATGTACAGTGAAGGGCGTTGTAACGAAGAGAAGAACGTGGTGATACTGGTGTCACGGGGAGAGGAGGATGGCGTCGACGACGCCAGGGTATAGTGATCGAGTTGTGTGAGACGGCATGCCGAGGAACAGAAGTTTGTCCCGTTGGTCTGACGATCGCAGGACAGGCAGAAGTCTCCGAGAAGGAAATCCATGTTTTGTACGACTTTGCGAGGGAAAGATAGTAGGGTTCAAGTGACGAGAAAGGCTGAGGAGGGAGAGGATGGTCCAAAAAAGGCTGGAGGGTGACGATTTATATTCCCTCCGGGAGGGTATTGCAAGGCCACAGGCTGACCAATGCTGTGGTTGTAACCGTGTGGCAGTGATGGGTGTCAATCAAGGGTCACGCAGGCAGACTTGTATCTCATTCTCAGACGCGGCTGACGTTTGATGTATCTTGGTCAATGAGAGGGTGTGCAATAGGCGGCGAAGCTATCCGGGTTCAAGAGGGTGATGATTCATAGAAGGTGTCTTTGGACGAGAGATGGAGGGTGTGTGAGTGTGTGTGAAGGTTGGAAGGGCTGGTGATGGGAGGCATCACCCTTCTAGTAGATAAAGAAAATGTAATGCATATTGGGAAGCGTGGAGGTTGAAGGGCATGGGCCCAAAAGATGGGCAGAGGAGGGTGCCTGATCGGGAATGGCCTTGGTGTTTGAAGTCTGCAGTAGCCTGGAGAGCAAAAGAGGGGAACCAACTAAGCTGGTGTGGACGCCCACCAAGCAAAGTCATTAACGGAGCTTGGGGGGGAGGGCAGGGTCCAGGGGGTTCCACCCTCCAACAGCAGCCTAGCACTTAACTGGAACATCCTGGTCGGCGAGCAGCGAGCAGCGCAGTTGTGCAGCTTCGCACCCTGCGGGCTTTCAGGCTTCTCTCTGCCCTGCTCTCTGGTCTGCCCTTCTCATCTCCACGCTTTCCGTCTTCACACCACCAACGTTGGACACAATCCCATCCTCACTCGGATACTCACTCCACTTTTTCACACTCATGCTCACACACACCAGCCAACTCCGCAGTACCCTGGACCATACGAGGTCATCTATCCACAACGGCTCCTTCGGCCTGAGGCTTGTTCCTCTTCCACCCTCTGTACCCTTACCTTACGCTTTCTCTCGCTCCTCGCACTCGCTCCTTACTCCCCCGTCCTACCGCCCTGACCCTCCGACATCTCGTCTGCCCTCGATGGCCATCTGCAGCTAAACGAATCCATGATCCCAGGGCCCCCAATCCTGGCAGTTGTGCCTCCCACGCAATCAAGGCACCATCCAATCCGCTCCCTGCAGCCAGCCTGGGAAAGCTTAGACCATCCTCGCTACAGGCGAGTTACTCACTTTCCAAGAGGGCTCACAATTACGCTATTTCCGACGGCCAGAGGAAAAGGCGGGATGTGTATGCTAGTAGGAAGAGACAGGTAACAATACACGGCGCTGCTGCTCGCTGTTGCAGTAAGTCACCGGACCCCCTACTGTACACCCTCCGAGTCACAGACTCTGTAAGTACCCGTTCGAGACGCCCTTATACGGGTGATCATGCCGCCGCGTTGTTAATCCAAGTGTCAAAGTACGGAGGTTTTACTCATCAGGCCTTTGCTCAGCCCTAACGGTATTCTCCGTGCTCAATAACCGCTGACACAAATCTTATGGGCGAATACCCGCCCGTGGTCATGCTTTGTGCTGAGCTCGTGAGATTGACTCTTTTCTCGAAATCTCGGTCGCTTCGAATGCGTTCTGGCATTCTTTGAGGCCCAAATCACCCAGATTCGTGGCTAGACTTCCAAGAATATGCCCGCGCTCATCCCGTTTGGCTCAACTGGAGAGTTTGGGCTACAGTCAACATGGCTCATTAGGCCAACCAAGGGACGGACCACGCCCTCTGCTAAGTTTAATTCGTCGACCTTATGCAAGACCTCCCACACCATCAGATTTGTGGGCTAGAGCTTGCAGCAGCTCTATGCACAAACTCTTGGCCGTCGTACGGTTTGCGCTCAAGTACGTGGGATGTCGTTTGGCTGCGACTGATCTATCACCTGCAATGCCATTTTACATTCCATACAGTACCAAAAGGCACGGTTGGAAAATTATTGACCTATTTCTCAATCCTCATGTACGGGTGTGGAAGAGCTCAGCCCACATGGACCACGCACAACCACATTCCGCACAATCCATCACTGACCTGTTGCCCCTCTTCGGGATTCTTCTCTGGAATGCTGACCTTATTTCCTCAGAATATGTAACGGATCACATATTTTTCCTTTTTTCTTTGTGGGCACGACGTCAGCATGCAAAATCCCATTCCCAAAGTCTCTCACTCACAGACCAGTCATGGTGTCGAGTGGTGGGAAGATCCGGCTAGCTGCCCGGGTTGATGCAGTAGCTCCACGTTCCTTGCGGAAGACTATCAGTGGGGTAGTGTTCGAAACACTCGATGCTCTCCTACTAAGGGCATCTGTGAGACCTGTTCAGTGGATGAATTGTAACTCGGGCTTCCAGGATAGTCAGCTGTCTCCATGACTCGTCCATGCCAGCTCGCCCAATCTGTGTCCATCTGAGAACAGGGATTGCAGCCTATGTCTGATTGGCACGGACAAAAGAGCGCTTCGGCACGCCCATGGAACCGCCCACGTTAAAGACTGAACATCGTCGTTGCTCCACCAGTATGAGACCGTCAACTAGCAGCAGAGCATGCTGTCGACCGACCAAGTCAACTCTTTCAATCTGAAATGCCAATCTCGCTAACGATATCGGTGTTCAAGACGAATCACGCGCCTGAACCTGCTCGTGCTGCCACTACTTCAGAAATGTGACAGGTCAGATTGCGCCAATGTTTCCTCGACCCCGCGCTGTCAACGGTCTGCTAGCCGCGACAACGGCACTGGATTGTTTCAGGGAGTTGGCGCCCCTTTGGCCTGGTTTATGCTGTAGCACAAAGGCTGGTGAGGCGGACCCCACATCACTGAGCTGCTACCCTTTGGTGGCAACTGAAAAAAAAAAAAATAGTGGTGCTTGAGCAATTATTGCGCACCAAAACCACGAGTCAATGCTGTTGTTGGGTCCGGGCAACTTCGCAATAATGCCTGTCAATGGTAGGGACACTCTCATCGGTACCCTACGCCAAGTATTACAAGGAACAGCATTCACCTCATTGTGTTCCCTGATCATTTGACTTTGTTCTCCCAGCTTGAATTGGACAGCCGGATAGCTGCATTGTCGCAGAACATACAGGCATTCTCCTTGTCTTTGTGGTATCTCTTCCTTTACATACCTATGATGCCGCACTATCCGGCAATTGTCTTGGCCGGGGTCATGTCTGAGGTCGATCTCTAGAGTTCCAGTGGGCAAAAGGGGTTAGGGGTGCTCGAATCCGTGACCCACGCCAAAAGATCGACTATCAAACACCTTGCACGAACAGCAGCAGGCGACCTAGTGCCCCGCAACTGGGATGGGATATTGCAAGATGCAGTGTTCACCTCCATTAAGACTTGTCCGATGAGCGAAATGAAAGAGATAGGTGTGCCAAAGTAAGTTGGCCTATTGGGTCGGGCTCCCACTTCAACCAGAAAGCTGCAAAATGTCATGTTGCCGACAGGATGCACGCACTCAGAGGTTGTCGCAACCCCCTGTCTTACATCTTTCTAGGGTCGCCTGTGTGGACCAGTCGCAGTATGCTCGGTCAGGGCCTGCTCAGTGGTTCCCATGGACTTGTTAGTGACTTATCTCATGCCTCGTACCCCGACCAAAGACGATCACTACTGTTAGTTTATGTGGACAAGACCGGACAACAAAACATTTCTAGGAGGCTTCTTGCGATAAGAGAAGATGGAGCTCCATCAGGATGGCTGACCGGTGCACGTCGGTGCGCCATTTCTGCGCGTACGCTCTCCGGTGAATGCACAGATGGTGGAAGACGTTTGAGCACAAAGCGCGCACACAAAGCTGATAATGCTTTCGTTTCCACCATTTGGTGGCCATCCCGCTCTCTCTGAATAAGATACTCTGGAGAAGCATTCCCGCATCAGCGGTCAGGTCCGTCACCCGCTCACCGAGCCACGCCGACCTGCATTACCTCTAGTGCTGACCCTCTTCTCAGCCTGATGCAACCTTTTTGTACCACTGACGTGATCTCAGGTTCCTGACTCCCGGCTACCGCGCGGAGCCCCGTTGAACTTTTGTCAGTAATACTTCCGAAGAAAGCAATGTGATCGGCAGCCTTGCATTGCGCCAGCGAGGCCGGAGGCTGGACGATAATCTTCCGCCCTATGGGCTACGGAGTGATCTACCCTTTATGGAAGCAGTCGGGATGATTATCTAGATTGGTAACACGACGCATCCAGAATCGGGGCGTATGCTTCGTCTCATGTATCTGCCATGCGCCGAATTAGTCAAGTCCAACCCCCGTGCGGCTGCGAGCCCTCGGCCAGTTGAAGCCAGGGGGCTGACCATGCAATGCTTTCAAATTTACGAGAGCAGGATTCCAAGAGAAATCTGTCCTCTCGACCAAAAAAGTGTGGCACCATGTGCGAGGAAAAATGTCTTCCATTGGATGAGAACAAAGATCGGTGCATTGCGCGTTCCCGTCGATCACATGGTGCAGCGAAAGCTCTGTGTTCTGGTCGCACGCGAGCAAGATTGTGAGTGTGTGCAGTGCTCGTTCTTCCTTCCTCCCTCTCGCAAACTTTACCACAGCTAGGCATTACCCGCCGTATCTAGCTATCCAGTTTTACGAGATGACTGGGTCACATTGTTCGCTTGCCAAGCTGAAAACCTTTGTCAGGACCTGATTTCGCCTGGCTACATTTGGTTTGCTGATCGCAACTATGCTAATTCTAAGTCTCGCCACCAGGGGAGACAAAAGATCGTGGAAATGGGCCAACCCCTCCCCACAAGGGCCGGAGTGTCTGGATCGAACGAAACACATCTCTCCATACACCTGAGTAATAAGCGGACAGCATCGTGACAGTTGCAGCCTCGACCTCTATCAGATGACTTGTGGCGTCAAGAAAACGATAAGCGTCCGGGTGGGTGTCACTACGAAAGGTCAAACACTTTGCTTTCGACACAACAGGCAGAATGTAACCGCATCTGGCATTAAAGCGTGAGGGTGAGAAGGTTGAGTCGTTCACAGGGTTGGGACTGCTGTCGGGCCAGCCATTATCTCGTCCAAGTCTACGAACCCACGTAATAACTGTTACGAGGCTATCGTCGACAGTTGAAGACATTGTGGCATTCGTTGACCGGGCAGACACGGCAATCCCACCACCACAGGTTTGGGGTCCTTTGCCCGATCCAGATACAATTAGTCGCCATGCGCACGTCCTTTGATTCTGCCGCGTGGTCTGTTCCATCACACCACCCCTAGAAAATGCTATCTTCCGTCGCTTCCACAAAATTATCTCCTAGCCGATTTCCGGCCACGATCCTCGCAGTATTGCCGGCTTATTAACATGAATCCTTGAGTTTCAGGTCCATGGTAGCCTCGTAGGGCCGTCTTGGAGTCTGAACGTGTACCTGTTACATACTCCTTAATGGGAGTTGCTGGATCTCTCCTCAGTTCATGCTATGACAAAGGTGAGTTCCACACCAGAAGTGTCCTTCCTGCTGGAAATGGAGAATGAGAGCTCATCTGCACCCTACGGCGATGTAGCCACACCGCATTGATTACAACAAGGAGAGCAATAGCCAAAAGGCAATCATTATGTTATATCAGGTGAGGTCGCATCTCGTTCTCTCCGCTATACAAACCTACCTACCCAGTACGGGCCGTGCATCCCAGGACTTCCGCAAGGTTTTGATGACGGGAATAGGGCTGTCTTTGGCTGAAGTCTGCTTATCCCGTCTGCTCTCGTCGACTATGTTTCCGTTGAGCAACATCAGACGGAAGTGCGCCAAAGAGCCTTGCTAAATCCCTCACCACCCTCAATTGCTCAAGACAAGAAGCGAAGACAATGAGCGACTTTTATCTGGCGACCCAGATAGCCAGAACCCTCTTGGTCCTCGTGCTGTGCTCGTGCTCGTGCTCATCACTGACACCCTGAGACAGTCACTTACCTGCTACCCTGAGTACCTGCTTGACTGCCTCCCACTTGTATAGACGCGGCCCTTCGTGTCTTATTTTCTCCTTTCCGTTCCTCTCTAATCCGTCCCCTCCCCGTTCTTCAGTAGACCAACGTCCTTCATTGCCCCCTTTCCTCGGACGCAGGCGAACTCCAATAACAACAGCAACAAAAAGAGAAAATAAATTCGGCTCCCCAGGGAGTAGAGACAGCTGAAGAACAGGAGAGCGGAGAACGGGGGAGGTGAATCGGGATTCATATTGAGACACTCGACACTCGAGACGCAGGTTGTAAATAATACGTAACATACCTACTAACTCCAGCATTTCTATGCATAGTATCTCTCATTGCAGAAAGTTCTCACCCGCTTGCTATGCATACAATAGTAGTACATTCACATCAACCCACCAGGCACACCCAAAACATGTAACTGCACGATGTCAGTCTCATTAAATTTGTTCGGATCCTGGCTATATTCCTGAGCCGATGAGTGTTGCGATCTCGGCAGAACAAGGGATGGCACAAATACTCAAGAGTCTAGGTCCAATATATGAACAGCTCATACACAGCGAATTCCGCCATGGTTTATCTTTCCGCTCCGAGCCAAATGGCTTGTTCTTGCTTCTTCTTGTCGCCCTAGCTGATATCTTTCTCCGTTCTTCTTGGCCATCCTCTTCGCAAACACCATTGTCGGTTTTGTTCTGGGTGTTGCGATCGTTGAGCTCGGAGAAATGCTAGAGTCATCGGGAGGTAAACCATATCGATCCTGCCTGAAAGAACTCGGCAGCCTTTAGAAGCTTCTCCGCAGAGAGGAAGTAAGCCTAATTTTCCAGTAGTCTGAGAATTCAGTTCGATACCACTCGTCTCTGCTCGCGGATTTCCTTCTTGGCTTGGGCTCTCTGCTCTAAGCGTCGATACACTGGATTGTATAAGCCCCGCCCTCCTGAACGCGGAGTTCCTCTTTGAGCCAAACTCTCCCCCGAAGGGATGGTTGGATGACCAATGTAAGCATCACTGATCGTTCGCGGCAATGCTACATCGCGTCGAATTTTCTCCAGCACTTCCAGAAGCTTTCTTTCCCTTTGCCGTACTCGATGATTGACTTGTTCTTCGTCTTCTCGATTCTGGCTTTTTTCTAGCAGAATCGGAGATCTAGTGACTTGCCCTTCATATAGTTCTGCTTGGCGTATCGCACGAGCTTCCGCCGCCGCACCGAATGACTTCTTGTCATTTGCATCGCATCTGACAGCATCTTCAAGGCCAAGGAGTTCTGTGACGGGAATGTGGTCCGCTGGTGATTTGCTTTCCAATACACCAGAGCGATCTGGCTCAGCAAATTCGCGAGGACGCCTTTGCGGATCGGCTCTTTTCTTTCTTCCGCGAAGGAGGACCCCTTGGATTCGGTCTCTCTGATAAGGCATGCGTCGGATGAAGCCGCAGGTTTGAGGTGCCTTCTTCTGGAGAGCTATGTTTGTGGCATTGTCGCCTTCTGCTGCAAGTCTGTTCGCTTTGAGCAGAACGCTGGCGAGGTGGACTGCAGTGTAATAGGTCGGCATCAGTTGGCCCGGATCTTGCTTTTCGATAGTGTTGCGAGGAACGGGAACAGGAGGGGAGCCGTGTGGCGCCCGGGGTGGCAACCATTTACCGACTCTTAAAACCGGCCATGGCGGAGTGTTAGGAATCATCTTCTGCTCAAAAATCTCGTAGGCAAGGATCCAATGTTGCGGGTCCTGCGACTGCGTCAAGGTTTGAATGTACATATTCCAGTTTTTACTAGTCAATGCAAAACCCACTTTCTCTAGCTTGGCCACGAGGGAAATGGCACGAGATTGGTGTTGACGGACAGCTAGACTATTCAGATACCGCGTCAAAGGTGCTTCAAGAACGTATCTTTGCGAAGGGAGGATTGTCAGTCCCAACTCATCCAATGGACCAGAAGTCAGGTCATTCTGTGGAATCATGGACTCAAATGAGAACTGCTCCTTTGTGATCAGTTCGGAGTCGGGTACACCTATGGGCTGTATTGGCAGTGGTCGCGGGATGGCGGGAGCTTGACTTTCAACACAGACTTGCTCTACGGCTTCGTAGGAAAACTTTTTTGCCGTCTCGACTGCACGTTCCAGTATCTGTTTCCAAAAAGACTCAACATTTTCCCAGTCATGTCTCTCGCTCGAGATCATCAGGCGCCTGGTTAGGAACTGGATCGAGGTGGACGCCGTGTTGCTTAAAACGAGGTATGATGATTCCGCGAGAGACTCAAATCGCTGGATGAGCTTTTCTGCATGTTTGATTTGACCTCTTGCCGCCAAAAGGTCAATAAGATACTCCAGATACACCGTCGGGATGGCATCAACGCCTCGGCGGCGGTGCAGACCGGGCTGCGGTTGACGCCCTGCGCGGTCTTGCGTTGAGAGCCCATGGAGGATTTCTTCCAAATACTGAGCCGCAAAACGCGGCCGTTCATTTGGGATGGAGTTCCGACTAGCTTGTAGATGAAGCATCGCAAGGCGTGGACTGGCTCCGATTCTTGGGAACCGCTCAGCCATCTCTTGATAGATAACATTAGCCATATCCCGATCACCTTCTTTAGCGAATCCGTGCAGAATGATGGCATAATGGAAGGGTGTAGCAGTGAGAGCCTGACTCAAATTTAGAGTCCTTAGTATTTGGACCGCATCCCGAGTTTTGTTGAAGAGCACAAGCGCTGTCATGAACGCAGCGTGAGTCATACCGTCCGGCTCGACCCCCAGTGCCCTCATGCGTCCCTGGACACGGAGCATGCTATCAGAATCAGCTGCGAAGGCGTAGTGACGTAGCAGATAATTCCACATTGTGACAGGTGAACCCCGAAGATTGGCAGTGGTGGCCGCTTCAGCGAGCCCCTCCGCAGCCTCTGCTTGATCGTTGAGACAGTATGTTTGTATCAGACCAGTAACCAGTCCGTAGGAGCCTTGCACTTTATGCTGTTGGGCTTGTTCAAGGATATCCAATACGGTGTCGGTGTCCCCAGTCCGTGCAAAGACGCCTATCAAGGTCGTAAAGGTAAACGCATCTGGCGCCACTCCTTCGACCTTCATCTTGTCAAAGACTTCAAAAGCGCGCCGCGGTTCGGTAGATCTGGAGTGGGCATGGAGAAGAATATTCCAGCAATAAGAATTCGGCTGCACTCCAGAGTCGACTATTCTCCGAAACTCTCTTTCCGTCCCTTGAACGTCTCCCAGGCGAGCGAATGCGTACAAGAGCGGCGTATAGTACGCGACATCGGTGGGCCTTGAATGGGTCTCGCAGAGGCGCGAAAACACCTGCTGGACACCATCAACATCGCCTTGAGCAGCAAGGGCTGAAAGAACCTTTTGGTAGCTCTTCAGATCTGCAACACCATGGAACCTTGAGAATTCATCCAGATAGTGATTGTATGTCTCAGCAGGCGCTCCTTCATCAGAGTGTGTTGACAAGAGCGAACCGAAAGTCTGGGGCCGTGGCGGCACTTCTGGCAGGCTTGATCGAAGCATGTTGTACACAAGATCAGCCACTAGCCCTTTGTCTGGTCTCATGGCGTGTTTGTTCATGGTATCGATGGCAGTGAAGTAAAGGGATGGTTTGGCCAGCGACAGGTCGTTCGACAGCTGGAACAAATGCTGTAGTCCTTGGGGCGTGATTATACCCATAAGCGCACCATTTCGTACCAAGGCGTTCAAAAGCTCGTTAAACAGCGTTGAGAGCGTCCCGGAATGTTGCATGGTGACTGGTGCCCGCTCACGCAGCTTTGTTCCGAGTTGGTAAATTGCGAATGGTAGATCACGGTAGTTGCCCACCTCTTTCGTGATGGCAAGGCGAGTCGGCGATGTTCGACCAGCGCGAAAAGGGATTGGCTTGAAAGATGTATCCCATACCGTAGCAGCGGTGTTCCAGAGTTGGTTAGAGACAGCATGCAATAAGAGGAACACACTACAACCTTGTTGCAAGTTGCGCAGGCTTGCACGAGCATTGATTCTCAGAGCCACGCGATATTTGTCTGCTTTCACTGCCGATCGAACAGCCCGCTCGTAGTCATCTTGAGTTCTGTTTCCTTCATCGATGAGTCTGAAGGCACTTAAAGCAAGAGTCTGATCTCGTCTTGTGCTAGACTTGGCAAGGAAATGAAAGACTTCCGCTGCGTGCGCCTGCTGATTCGGGACCTGATTGAACAAAGCCCAAGCGTGATCAAAGTCGGCGCTTTCTGACTCTGGTTTCACGTCTCTATTGGAATCAAGAATGTGCAAGAGATGTTTCTCTGCTTGGCTGAGGCTCGGTTTGGGTTGTTCGTTGCATGACTCTTGATCTGCCCTTGCGGGAACAGGAATATTTTCTTTCTTCTCCGTATGGTCCAAAGTCATGTGCCTCTGCTGGTCGGATGGCGAACAATGCAGAAGCACATCCTTCACATTCTCCTCTTCAAGAGCCACAGCAGTGGCCTTTTGCGTGGAGGTTGCCGATCGGGTGTATGCTCGCGAAGACGAAGACACAAGATGATTAGGATATTGATCGGGGTTCGAAGCTCGGACTCGTGATCGGTGAGGATTTTCGCGAGGTTCGACTAGCCAGGATGGTCTAGGGCACGGTGGTGCAGACTCGAGACCGAGTGGATTTGGACGCAGAGCTCGGATGCTATTGAGGTACAACGGCCACCAGGGAGGAACGTCCAGCTGGTTGCCTCCATTTTTCCAGAACGAGGGACCAAGCGCACGGTGTGTGCGGACAGGAGGCTCGAGGCGTCGGACTAAGAGTTGAGAAGCTGGTTCAATGCATGCTGCAGTCCGCTCTATCATTCCACAATCAAGATGGACGATATACAGTCAAGCACAGAATGGGATTGTGAAGAGTGATGACTGGCTGTCTTTCTGACATGTAGAAACGGATGCGAGAAACCCACAGGAATGAAGCCGCAACTGAAAACAAACGCGGGAAGCTGAGATGGCAAGAAATGTGAAGCGATAGTGAGCATCAGGTGAGAGAAAAGTCAGAGGTAAACGCCGAACAGAATGTACTTGTATTTGGGCCTGCGCTCGCCAACGCCACGACTGGCACACATTCGGAATTATCCCCACATTTTCACCTCTGCCCAACTCTGCCCTCGTTTCCCTATTGCAATTGCCATATTCCGGCTTTCAACGCACTCAACTGGCGGTCAACTAGCTTTGCAACATGGATATCACGGGCTCCCTTGTCTCTGAGCGCGAACGGGCCTTGCTGGGAGGAGACTACAATGCTTACCATGCTCAAGCCACTCGCAAAATTCACAACCTCCGCAAGCGACTTGGTGCCGCAACTCGTGGGAGAAAATACACTCCGAAGGCCCCCGTCACGGCAGAGAACGTTGCCAAAAACGCAGAGTAAGATGCCCATTTCAAGCAACGGACCTGGTTGACTGACTGGCCTTCAAGATGGGTGCAACTGCTTCTCGCCAGCTCCGAGCGGGCATGGGCATCTTCAATGGCCATGAAGTCGGCCCAGTCGGCCGAAAACTCCCAGAAGCCCATGCCTGGCTCGACGAAACGACAAATCGCCTCCAGGCTTCGCCGAGCCATCACCTACGCTGAGAACCTTGTGACTATTCTGCAAGATCGCAGCACAACCGGCGCGAAAGCGGTGGATGAACTCGAGGCACGTGCTTATCTCTGCATGTTAAGAGGAAGTTTGGATTTTGAGAAGGGAAGATGGCCGGGATGTGTGCAGAATTACTCGGTTGCTCAAGTTGTATACACAACCCTGGCACGCTCGTCGAAGACGGATACGTACAAGGAACTGTTATCGGGCATCGTCGACCCCAGCATTCGATATGCCGCATATCAACTAAAGATGCCCCGCACAAAGGCCATCAATGATATCGCCATTGAGAATTTTCCAAAAAGCGAAACCACTGTCCGAAATGAGATTGAGGAAATTAACGCACAGGCCTTTTCGACTGGAGCCGAGGCGGCTCCCACAAAAGGAGGTCCCAAGGAAATCCCCTCAACAATCTCCTGGAGGAGTAGGAAGGTGAATCTAGAAGACGCCAACATCTCTCAAGCTCTCGGTTTTTCCCAGGAGCGGGAAGACGACCTAAAGACAGCCTACCAATCCTTTCAAAACGGATCTTTAAGTGCGAAAGACCTGGCAACCGCATACGAAGAAGTCATCACCGTCCGCCAGGACGCCGCAGATGCCACAAAGACCGCTATCGACGAGCTGATCGCCGAGGGTGTCGACACAGGCGATCCTCGCATGCAGTCACTGCAAATCACTCGGACGGCTGTTAATTACGCCGTGATTGAATGGCGGATTGGGCGCAACAGAGTCCTCTGCGGTGCTGCAGACGATGGTCTAGCTTTTGAGTCTGAGAAGCCTACGAAGCCTGTGAGACCTCGCGGGGAGGGCAAATCTCGCACCCCCAAGGAAGAAAGTTCAGGGCGCAAGTTATCAAGACTGCGGGAGAGGGTTGCGCTCTACGACTCGATTCTGCAAAGTCTGGATGCTGTGAAAGATTTACCCGGTGTCATTGCGGACAGTGCTTTTGTGGACGAGCTCGATGCGAAACGAGCATACTTCCGTGCTTTAAAGTGTTTGGCTGTTGGCCGCTCACACGCCATCAGTGATCACATACCCAATGCATTGGCGCTGTATGCTCGGGCTCTTGAGTTGGCAGAAAAGGCCTCGGCTACATTGAAAACAGCGGCCACTGACCACGACTCAGCGCCACCAAAACTCGATCTACCTTGCGAGCGCCTCACGCAGACAATCGCGGCCCTCAGCAAACTAGTAACGCAGTTCCGAGCACTGGCCGATCTGGAAGCACTTACCAGCAAGGCTCAGCCGGTCCTCGGGAATGCTCCTCAAGCGACAGTCGTAAAACCCGCTCCTCTCATCGAACGTCTCTCCCACAATGAATACATTCCGAACTTGGACCTAACGAACCTCGTGAACTACCCACCCAAACTCCGCCCAGTCCCGGTGAAGCCACTATTTTTTGACCTGGCATGGAATTACATCAAGTACCCGGGACAGACGGGGCCTGAAGACGATGTGCGAGCGGAAGACGTGCAAATGGGAGGGGTCGCAGAGGAGGTGAATGGAAAGGTGGAGCAAAACGAGGAACAGAAGCCAGCGAGGAAGCGATGGTTTGGCTTTGGCCGCTAGGGTTCCCAGACCAACTGGCTACGCGAGGCGAACTTGTTGCAGGGATGACTTGGTAGGACGGAATGCAGGCAGGATACAGTTTACGATTGCGAGCTCGAGCATACTAGGCGCGAGTCGTCTGCCGCTGGTGGGTTGTTGCCGAAGGCACAGCGAGCAGGCGGATCATATCGGGGGATCTAAATGATGTTTAAGGCGAAGGGGTGTCTTGGTGCTCAACCCAAGCTTTTATCATCTAAGCAAGGTGCACGGATGCAAAAGTGGCGATCAACTCGAGACATGGAATGGCAGTACATCGACGAAGACTGTAACGGTGGTATGGTTATGGTGATGAAACAAACAGCACAGGTACCTTCGAACCACCCATCTCCGTATGTTCGGAGTACATCGTCAAGTAAGGACGAGTACCGGGAGCACACCGACCTGAGACGTTACTTAAACTATATATTCGAGGGACCATACAGTCAGCTACGTACATATACACGAACTCCCTCGCTCGTATATAGGTATTCTACAGGGCACGACGATAGACAACCGGTCATACTGCGCGACTGATAGACGCAAGACCCAGACCCGTTCTAAACCCAGACCTTGACCTTACTTCCACTTTGAGAGGCTTTCGGGCATCTAGTCTCAGTCTCCTCGTTGCACATGGACTTGCACATGGCAAAAAGCATGGTCCCTATACACCTGTTTACACGAGGGAACCCGGGGGGAGGGGGGAGGGGGGGCGGTTACCTTACCCGGTCCGCATCCCTGTCCAGCTGAAAAGATCGGTACAAACAATCTCGGGCCACTGGGGTCTTCAGCATGCCTAGATTTCTTTCCTTCAAGGTGTCGATGCAGAAAACTTGTTTTTCGGCTTTCCCGCATCACGGTAGTCCAGTTGCGTGTCATAACCACCTATGAAAGGTACTGCAAAATCTCCTCGCCAGCAGCATCGTTCCCTGCCTAACGCCTCCCAAAACCCGGGCGCCGGGAAACCCCCAAAAAAACCCAAGGTGTGCTATTCCGAACCGAAATCCACCCCACCAGTTTGCCTTTCCAAAAAGAACTTGTTCCCCTCGTATTCGACGTGCTGGTTGTATCAAACTTTTCATGATCCGGTCCAGCCGATGTCCAATGAGTGCCAAGTCGAATTTAGAACATCTCTCACAATGCCTTTTCCTGCCTCGTCGCCTTTCTCTCGATGATCACGAATAGCATTGGCGATGAGCTTTGAGATGAGCTGTGAGGGATCTAATAGCAGTGGAATTGGCTGAGCAACAAAAGTCCGCCTAGAGATTGTATCGTCCGTACTGTGAAGGCTCGGGTGACGTTGGACGCCTCAACGCCTTCCCTCAAACGTCAAAGTCCGGCGTCTCCAAACAATTCGAGCATCTTGACCATCGCAGAAATGTTCTGTGCCGTCGAATCTGCAGTCATCACGGAACAGACTGCTCTGCTGCGAAGGTTGAGGGTAGGAATGCCGTCTCCATGGGGTAGCCGTTTCGTCGTTTGAGCTGGGATTTACTATAACTTCGGTTTTTTGAGTCCGAGCTCCCTCTTCGAAGTCTACCTTTCTCGCCTTCTTGATCTTTGCCTTGGCTGCCAGATACCCACTTGTGACTGGAGCTGACCCTGTTGAAGCAGCGTTGTGAAGAGGATGGGAGAGCTCCGCTGACACCCGCAAATCCAAGGGAATCGGCGGGCTTGTCGGAGGCTGATCTGATGGTTTGGAGTTCTTGTCTTCCAAGGCCGGTTCTGGTATGTAGTATCTGAGGTGTGATGTGTGACTGTCGCACCTGGAATGACGGAAGAGGAGGAGAATGCAAAGAAGGATACAAAAAGAAAGTGCATATATGGTATGGGTCAAGAGATATTCCTGATTGGGATATTGGCCAGGATTAACATGAAGTGGCGCCATCATAGTACAGTATGAATATGCTTCACCTGAGGGTGTGTCTGAAGACATTCCTGCTTATGCTGCAGCAATATACGATGGACGTGGTCTAGACGAGCAGAGCCAGAATCGATCAACTAGACCTACCTTCCAGATATTTGGCGAATAGTGCACATTATATCATTGGAGTTCGTGAGCGCCTTCCTTCGGAGAGGACTCTGTGTGACCTCGCATGGACACGAGAGCAGAAGGGCATGGTACCAATGGGGCGAGTTGTCGGATATGTTGCTATGCGACAGATCTAGATCCCGTGCACTTGCTGCTGTAACATGGAGCGAAAGCACAGCAACCTGCTCTGCACCAAGTCGAGAATGGAGCATGGCTGGCTGGCTGCTCGCGCAGGTTGGCGGGAGGGAGCATGTTAGAGTCGCCGTCGGGGCATGGGACAAGGCAGACAAGGGAGGGACAATCTCCGTAATGGCGCCATTGTGTGGTCATCAGACATGGGGAAATTGACAAAATCAGCCATCAAGTTGTAGTCCGATGGTGAAAATGGCCCGGGAGGGAGACCTTGGGAGACCCAAGAAAAAGAACACGGTGAAGCTCAGCTTGGATGGGATGACGCCGCCAGGAAAATAATGGAGCCAAATGCTCGCCCGGTCGTGAGCGTATCCAAGAGGCCGATAACCGAAGAGGCGGCCGGTTGGGTCTTCAGCTCGCCTGATAAACGCCCCTGTTCAGGCTTTAAGCGGGGGCCAGGGCGCGGCTAGGACGCTGTCCCACCGTGCCACCCGCAATCTGCGACAAAAGGCCGTGACATGTCAACGGGATATTGTCAAACCTTGACGTGATTCGGAGGATATCCTTACGTGAAAACAGAATACGAGGTCGGGAGAGAGCGAGGACAGTTATGTCAGAGTGGTGACAGGCCGGGTGTTTGATGGGGAGAGAGATGGGAACGACAAGGCGAAGGAGAAGAAGAGAAGGAGGAAGACGAGAGTCTGGCTGAAACAAGGCCGAGGAGAAAAACAGGTGGTGGAGGGTGAAGAAAGTCTGTCTAGCGCCAGGCGGAGGCCGAGAATGTGCGACAGTCTTTTGGGACAGACCCCTTGCCGCTTTTACCAACTCCTGGTCCCGCAGTTCCTGTCAACGCTTTCCTGGTACGAGGTATGAATCTTCAGGTGGAAAATATCGAAGCCACTTTGGCCAGTCCATGGTCCCGTCGCAAAACAGCATTAATCATCGCTTAATCAATTTCTCAACGTCAGCTCTGGGATAAAATAAGCGACCCTTCTAGATGCTTGTTCAGCATGTCGCCAAAAGCGCACCCATCCCTTCCTCCGTCTTGCGCCTCGTATCCTCTTCACACGACGCCCAGCGACAATCCCCGAGGCCAGAAGCCAAAGGACAAAATACAACACACAAGTCCCGAACTTGCGACTGTGCTGTGAAACTCTAGCCTCTATCTTATCCGGCAACCTTCATGACCTTCTCTTCGTGGCTCATGGATTGCCGTGGTTGAGAGCGTTGGACTTCACCACTATTTCTCCGCGACGTGCTTACCACGAGCTTTTTCAGCACGTCCGGTGCATCCTCTCGGCCCATCATCACTTCAACAATGTTGAGGCCCTTGCCGGCCTCAAGTCCCGGTTCCGCCAGGATATCCTTCAACTGACCCCAGGTTTCAGCTCGCCTGGTCACCACGGGATATGCAGGGTCGTCCTTGGGTGCCCCAAAGTAGCTTGGAGCTTCGAGGTATCTCCACGGTTGGATGTCGTTGTAGCCCGCCTTCATGCCATGTATCCATCTCTCAATCACATATCCGTCATTGTTGATGACGAAAATGGTCACGTCAACTCGGTTTCGGATCATGTCGCTGATTGATTGCGCCGTCATTTGTAGACTACCGTCGCCCTCGATCAGGATAGTGCGTCCTTGCGGACGCTTGCCTTCTGCGATCATCTCACGCTGAGCCAAAGCGGCGCCTTGAGATGCTGGAAGCATGTAGCCAATAGACAGCCATATGCAAGAATTAATGAGTGAGGTATGTGCAGGGAGGACCATATCCCGGCATCCTATTGACGCTGTGCCCGTTTCCACCATGACGATGTCGCCCGACCGGAAAAATTTGGAAATCCGCCGCCAGAAGGTAGCCTGCTCGACCATGTCATCCTCGCCGGCTGGCGGTAGAGCCATGAGTTCAAACTCAGGGTGGCCAAGGTCCATGGAGGGGTTATACGTGGGAAGCTTGTCTTTCTCCAATTTCGAGAGGATTTTGCGCAGGAGAGACTTGATATGAAGGTTGTGGTACTTGGTGCCGCCGATCTCGACGTAGTCCCGATGGAAAACAATGGACGACTTGGGATCTGGGATTGTGCTGAATCCAAAGGTGTTGACATCGCTTTCCAAAGGTCCCAGCTTGACGACCAAATCGCAACCCCGCGCCCAGGGCATGTATATTTCGTTACCAGCAATACCGGCATAAATTCCATAAAAGTTGGGATATGTCTCATTGACGATCCCCTTGCCAAAGGGGGTGGTCGAAGTCGGAAATCCTGTGACTCGGACAAGCTCATCGGCTTCTTCGCTAACGCCATACCTCGAAGTGCAACCGTCGACGACGATCAGGGGCTGCTTGGAAGAGTACATTTTGTTGAGAATCAGCTCAACTTCGGTGTCTTCGAAGCCTTCATCATTTGGAGAGATGGAAAGATCGATCGGCACATCGAGAGCCGCTGCTGATACCTGGGCCTTCACCATATTGGTTGGCAATTCCAGGTACACTGGCCGGCTTTGCAGGACACATTCTCGGATGCATCGATCAATCTGCGATGGTGCAGTATCTGGATCTCTCAGATTTGCCTGTGCCACGGTGATCTTGGCGTACATTTCGGCAAAGATTCTGAAGTTGCCGTCCCCCAACGAATGATGCATGCATAATCCGTTGTCCTGCACATGAGTTGGAGCTGTGCCGACAATGTGAATGACCGGCGCCACTAGCAATGGCTGTTAGCTTATGCCTACGAGTGCAAGTTTCCAGTCGCACGTACTTTCGCTGTATGCTCCGGCAATGGCATTGATGGCCGACAGCTCGCCGACACCAAAGGCAGTGACGAGAGCCGACACTCCTCTGACTCTGGCATAGCCATCTGCAGCGTATCCAGCATTCAGCTCGTTGGCATTACCGACCCAATCAAGGCCAGCTGGTTCAATATAGTCCAGTGCTGTTAAGTTATAGTCTCCGGGAACTCCATGGACTGACTTGATTCCAACTTGACGAATCCTTCGGAAGAGGTATTCGGCTAGGTCGATGTGGGAAGCCATGGCTCAATGTCTCAATGGCCAATGCAAGGCAATGGAAGGATATGGAAATCTGGGGGGGGTGGGGGGTGATTCAACTAGGCAACAGCAGGTTGGGAAAGGAAAATGGCCTTCGAAAAGCCAGGAATCGTGATGGTTATATAAGGTAAATGGGTGGACTTATCTTATGCTCCCCCGGAAACGGGAGGGTTCAAAAGCGAGAATGAGGTGAGATATTATCGCAGCAGTGGGCCAGATAAAACATTTAAGAGCAATTACGTATCAAGGAACAGATTCCATGAGGAAGAGGGTGAAGATGAGATGATGTCGTCAAAGGATTGGGGATGTAGGCAGAGCAGACCAAGTGGTTGTCCGTGGGCGGCATGAACCTCAATGGAAGCGGTTGCCAACGGTTGCAGTCGGTTGAGGGCGGAACCATGCCGGAAGCCGAAACAATGCGGTTCATCAAGCATTGACCTTTGAAATGCATCGAATCTAGCGGTGGACACGAGCGTGCTCGAACACCGTGTCAGCGAACCTCACGGGAGATCCTTCGATAGGTCACCATTGCCCTCGTATCAGCATAAGCATATAGTCGGTTTGTTGGTTGCATTAGAGTCGCTTTTTGGTATGCGGCAAGAGCCGCCTTGATGGATTTGGTCCCATCACCTCTGTCTCGACCATCCGCCGTATCTTAGAGCGAAATTTCGGGACCGAAAAGCTCTGAAGTACCTAGGTACATGACGTCGATTCCCCGTCCCCACCTTTCTACTCCTCCCGTGCTCGTGCATCTTCGACAGCTTTTTGCCAGTCGGTCAACCGCATGTACGTGGCCATGATGATTGTTGCGCAGCCGAGTCCTGTGCATGGACCGATCCACATGCCGCTTAGTCCCATTTGAGGCGGACCGAAACACAAGAAGAACGATAATGGAAGAGCGAAGAGGTAGTACACCCCCAAATTAACCCAGCCGCCGATTTTTTGTCTGCCGAGGCCACGCAAAAGACCGTTTGAGATTGCCAGAAGGGCGTCGAAGAGTTGGGCTGCCGCGGTTATAGGCATGACGGTCGCGATGATTGCTCTTACCGCATCGTCCGTGGTGAAAATGGCTGCAATAACGTGTCGGCAAGATGTCAGCAAGATGACATCAAACGTGCCAATGCACACGAAGATGAGATAGTGTGTCTTCCATGCCGTCCGAGCAGCTTTCAACGCACCATATCCAATCAGATTGCCGAATCTGGTCGAGGCTGCAATGGATATGGGAAAGGGAATATGATACATGGTAACAACCACAGTCACCAAGACGGACTGAGCTGCGAGGTCTGGTTCACTCAGATACCCGGCTGCAATTGTGAGGATGTCGAAGGCAAACCATTCAGAAAAGGTCATGAGGACCCCAGGGATCGCCAATTTGATCATGGGACCCCAGTTCTGACATGCTCGCCGCAGATCGAGGCCCGGCCAACATTGCAAGTTCGAGGGAGCGATGTAGGCGACGTACAACGCCAGGACGATCGGCTGGAGGTTGTTGGAAATGACCACGGCCCAAGCGGCACCCGCAAAGCCCAGGTTGAAGTGGAAAACCAAGAGCCAGTTCCAGAGAATGTTCAGAGGAGCGCAGACCAGGACGACAACGAGGGAGGCGGTAAAGTCGCCTTGGGCCTGGCAAAGACGCTTTCCAGCTTCAAAGATGGCCCAGGCAGGACCACCCACCAAGTAGATGCGCATGAAAGTGCCTGCCAGGAGAGCCTCGTCTTTCTCGGGCACAATGGCCGATAATATCCAAGGAGAGCAGATCCAGATGGCGCCGATTGGAATGGTGACCACACAAACCAGGAGACTCATGCGTTGGACATGGAGACCCACTAGGTGTTTCTTATCGTTGCCAAATGCCTGCGAGGTGAGAGTGTCGAGACTGGTGGCCAGTCCTTCATAGACGCACAGCCCCGTAATATTGGCTGTCATGGTGGCAAGGGAGGCCGCTCCCAATTCCTTCGTCCCCAAGCGCCCAGCAACGTAGACCGTGACCAGGGAGAACGAGTATTGTAAAATATAGGTCAATATCAGGGGACCCGAATATCGAGCCACCAGAGCAGTTTCTGTCTTCCATGTCGTCTCGAGTTCGGGGCCCTTTAACAGCGAAGATTCCTCCTCGTCGGTGGTACCGTATATTCTCTGATCGATTTGCTCGATAGATTTCCGGAAGTCATCAATTCCATGCTCATTGAGAAGAGCACTGGTCTCAGAGGGTCGACGTCCGGCCATCCTTTGTGCAACGTAGGCGGGTGATCTAACTGGGTTGGATTACAGGCCCTTGAAAGTCTCCTTCTTCCTTGCTCGTGCTGTTATCTATCTGCTGTCATAGCGGAGAAGAAGGGGTATGCTAGATCGTGTCTTGTAGAGATAGCATGGCTCCTCGCTGAATCGCCAGCGAAAGGAGAACGAATTGTTGGAAGGGCTCATTTGGCAAGTTTTTGTCGCAGGGTTGCTGGCGGTGTGGATCAGCACTGGGCGTCGTGCAGACGGAATGGGGGAGCAGCATACCCTGTACTGGGTAGCGGCTCACCAGCCTACCAGCCTAACTTGCCAATGGCGCCATCGCTTATGCAGGCGAATGGCTGGTTATCGAGGAGATGCCCGCGAGGATTTCTCGTGGTGTGTGTGGTCTCGTCTGTGCTGAAGCCCCTCGACAGGCAAGAGGGTACCCGGTAAAGGCCGCCGTTGTTGAAAATCGGCTTGTCGACTTAGAGATCGCCTTTCCAGCTGCCAATGGTGATGCTTTGAGATGCCGCGCCAGGATCACGCGTCTGATCGCGTCAAACCAGGGCCACAGCCTGCGGCAGTCAGTCAGTGGCAGTCACGACTGTTAGCGGGCATGGCGCACCCTTGCGCACCCTTACGCCCCCATGGCGCACCCATGGCGGGGTCGTCACGTTTCCTTCAGCCAACGACTCTTTTAAACTCGTGGCTGGGTTGCAACACCAAACACCAAACACCAACAAAACGCCAAAGCTGAAGCTTCTGGACAGTCTCCAACTTGGCCCATTCTCACTCGCTCTCAAGATATGGAATAACTCCAGCTCCAAGCCTACCAACGCGTTCTCCCTGCATCCCACCCTCTGCGCCCTCCGTCTCTGCCTCACCCGCGTGTCATCACGTACTGCCAGTGCAACAATGACTGCGACTTCCATCTCCCCTCACAAAGTCGCCAGTCGCAATGTCATCTTGCCCGCTCCCTCCCCCGATCCTGTTTCCATCAGGCTGCCGGACTCGCCTGAGAAGAATAATCTGATTTCTACCGAAAGGCCTCGGGGTCTTCGTCGACTGCAATCCCACAATCAGCTCTCCTCGACCAGCGCCATGGGCACACAATCCTCCAACCTGAGACCTCGGTCTGGCGTCTCGACAAAACCCTCACGCGAGCATCTCATTCTACCTCAGTCCTCTGCGACAAACTCGCATACTGCTGTTTCAAACCCCGTTAGCCATTCTCGCGCCCGCGCAAACAGCGATGCTTCCCTGCCTCATGTTCCTCGCAACCGCAAGCCGCCTCCTACGCTTCTCTCGAACCCCTCCTCCAACCACATTCTCACCCATGCCCGTAAGTCCAGCCTCGAAATGACCCTTCGCGACGGCCCACCGCCCGGAACTACGGCCGCCACCGCCCTCTCTCTGCTCCGCCACTCTGTCCTTACCAGTGGTGTCAATGCGACCAAAGAAGGCATGTCCGATTATCGAATATATCTGTGGTTGACCCTTCTGAACATTGGCCCTCTCTCGACTGATACATATCTCGATCTCATACATCGAAGTCGCAGTCCAGCATACGAGAAGATCTCCAACGATGTTTTCCGCACGCTGGCGACCGACACACTCTTCAAACGGCGCGTTACCGATGCAAGTCTGACCCGACTGCTGAATGCGACCGCCTGGCGAATACATGATGAACAATCCTCCGATCCTCTCTGCGAGTTTGCTCGGAGATACCCACAATCCACTTACATCCAGGGCATCAACGTCCTCTCCGCCCCCCTGTTATATGCATCTCGCTCGGAAGCTCAGGCATACGCAATCCTGACAAGCCTGTTGACCGAGCATATCCCGACATACCTCTCCCCGACCATGTCTGGCGTACATAGAGGGCTTGATCTCATTGACAGAATCTTGTCGGAAATAAATCCAACCCTCTCATCCTTCCTGCTCAGCAAGTCCCTACCGGCCAAGATCTACGCCTTTCCTTCCGTATTGACGCTGTGTGCCTGCACCCCACCTCTCCCCGAGGTTCTGAAATTATGGGACTTCTTGTTCGCTTTTGGCGTGCATCTGAACGTCATCTGTGTGGTTGCACAGCTCTTGTTGCTGAAGGATAAACTCCTCGGAGAACCCAGCCCTGCGAAGATGCTCCGAAGTTTCCCAAACCTGAATGCTGATGAGGTGATCAAGATGACTGTGTGGATTGTGAGAGAGTTGCCTGAAGACCTGTATCGCGACGTGGTCATGCATGGCCGAGAAATTTTATGAGAAGCATTGGACGACCAACCCCAAGTTCGATTATTCTCTTGGTTGTTGGGAGGGGGAGAGAACCGTGAACAAGTGCAAGAAGTGTCGATTCAACTGGCGCTCATTTTGGCTGCAAGTGCAGCTTCTGCATGTTGACTGACATAATGCGTAGCACATGTCTCGGCATCGCGTCGATATTTGATTGTGCCTTGAGCTGGACAGATTGGTACCGGCAGATACACCATACACGTACTCTCCAAGCGGGACGGAATTCGAGCAGATTCCGAGATTTGGCGCCATTGCTGTCAATGGCTGTTCCTACTCATGTTGAAAACCACTGATCTCACACGGCACCAGACCGCCACACCGAATGTACCCGAGCGAAAGTTCATGGAGATGGTAGATCACATTCTGCCTCAAATTCAGCCCGGCGCAAACGAAACCTCCCCTGAAATTTTTTTGGGCCAATTTGGCAGGATGAATAACAACGCCTGCATTTTGTATTTTGAGTATAAGCGTTTATGAATTGGAAACATGTACCAACACCTGACGATGGAAATGAGTGACAAGAGCGGCATGAGGTGTTTAGAATTGTAGGAATAGTTGTCAGGATGAAGCTCGAGGAGCATTTCAACGTGATAGGTAATATTCATTGTTTCAGGTCCCGGGGAAGTTTTGCGTTGAAAAGCTCGAATTTCCGCCACGCAGAGACCGATTCCTTGTTTTTTTTTTTTTTTTGATGTCTGTAAAATGAGGGAAAATCCAACATCTAACCGCCATTTTCGGGCACAGAGATCGTTAACCTGCTCTCGTTGACTCGTCTAGGCTCTCAGTAGCCTTCATTGCAGGCCGGTGCTCCGCTTCGAGTAAGACACAACAAGTGCGGATGGACGGTGGACGGTGGACTGTGGACGATGTGACGAAGCCTTCGTCTCTGATGCGTGTCCTGCCTGTCGTAGATCCATCGTGCGTCATCCTCGCCCCCCTTCCTCGTCCTCGCTTTTCACGCTGACCTCTCGTAAAACAGGGCTTCAAAACCGACTCTCATAGCATGCATGCATAGGTGGAACTAGCTCCGTGCATCCAGCTTTGCACGGCGCGCGGTGGTCAGACATATTTTTTGATTCATCAATGCTTCAGACCCCCGTTCGCGTCGCCGTTGGGTTTGAAACCGTCTAGCACGCCGAGCCCCGTGGTACTCCTCCTCATCCTCCTGCGGCCCCAGACCTCGCCGGCCCACTCGGTCAGCTGGAACATCCAGCCGCCGCCCACGAGCACGCCGCTGATTACATTCACCAATCTGACTAGCAGGCCGAGCAGGCTTGCCCTGCTCTCGCTGACGATGAGCAGGATGGGCTCGATGTCATACTTGAAGAAGATACCCGGCACCGTAGACGTAGGGACTTCGCGGGACTGCGACTGCGCGGCGTACTGATTCGTGAAGATCGATTTCGTGTCCCTGCCTTGCTCCGGGTGCGGCACGTGGTGGATGATTCCGTCCTTGTCGCGCTGCGTCTTCGGCGTCATGTCCAGTGTCGGAGGCTGCGGAAGCGCCGCGGGGTCCAGACTGCCACTCTTCGTGGCGACTCTGCGTTTGGTGAAGATCGTGGGCACGATCGAGAGGTAGTATTGGTAGCGCATGAAGTGCGCCTCCGTCGTGTCGCTCGTTTTATCCAGCGGATTCAACAGGTTGGGGTAGTGGGGACCGAAGCTGAGCTCGTTGATATGGTGCGAGAAGTTGAACCGGTTGTGCTCCAGATGCTGTTGCATGCCGAATTCCATGTACCCATGTCCTCGCGCGGTGATGTGGAAGTCGCCTTGCACTTTGTTGCCCTCGAGGGACCCGTAGATGCGGCAGCTGTTAACCGGCATGTGTCTTTGGAGTTTTGGCGACCGCGCAAACTTGCGGCCCTTGTTCTCGCGCATGTGCCCCAAGACGTGGCCCACGTGGGAATCTTCTTCTTCGGCCTTCTTCCTCTTCCTGTCGCCCTCGTGCAGACCGTGGTATATGCCCTGCTGCATCTTTCTAAGCCGAAACAGCTTTCTCGGGTCGAGCCAGAGTTCAAAATTCGTGTCCTCTTTCTTTAACAAGTCGCCTGCCATGATCCGATCCATCGCCGCATCCTGAACATTGATGTGTAAATCGCGACAAGGCATCGCCACCACGATGTCCAAGTTCAATTGGAGTTCATGACCCACGCCGCGCTCAACGCTGAAATGGTGGGTTTCGGTCCCGGCCCACCATGTGCGAAGCTCGGAGGCTGTTAGACACAGACATAAGATTATAATGGCGAGGGTCCATTGGCCGCCGCGGGCGGTGGCAGAGGTGTAATTTGGTTTGGTTTTGGCTACAAAAAGGGATGTTAGTGGTGGTCTCTGTTCTGTACGCAAGGCCACAAGAATGTTCCAGGAACATAGATCCATGTGAGTCGATCCCAAAGGTCCAAGACGACACTCGACGGGGTACACGAGGCACTCACGAAATGCATCAAATGTCCTCAGCCCCGACAAGCCCTTGTCTCCAAATGCTGACTCGTCGAAGCCATGTTTCTCAAAGGGAGAGTCCATTGCCCTGTCGAAGTTTATGTTTTATGAGAGCCCTGAGAGCTCCTGTATCGTAGTCCGCGACATGTATGATATGATCGCGAAGACTTCCTCGGAGTGAAGAGGCGGAGATCGATTGGAGAGAATCGGTAGTGGAGCGTTTCGCAGCGCAGCATGGAACAAATAGACAGGAGGCTGAGGCTCATTTTGGCCAGATCTTATTTTATGCAGGGTGCAGCCTTGCGCCGACAGAGTGGGCTGGCGAGGCTGGCATCCGGCGCTAAAAATGTACGAGGTACGCGGCGAGGCTGACAGAACCCAAGGTGAGCATGAATCGATTTACATGCCACCATGGGAGATTATGGTGGGCTGGAAGAAGAGTTAAGTTCTGCGTTGCTCGCATTTCTCATCAGAGTTCATCGTGAGCCCTGTGCTATTCCACGTCTTCTCGCTATGCAACGCTATGCTATGCCATGGCATCGTAAATGCAAAATAACACTGACTGTTTGCTCGGTGGGTATCTCTTAAAAGCGGTGCCGCCTCCAACAGTCCCGGTAATTCTTCCGTGTGGACTTTCCGGGTTGAGGTTTCCCTTGTTCCTGACTCCAATAGCAAAGTCGATTCGAATGTCGTGTGAGCGTCTGCTGCGCCTCCAGCGCGCAAAGCCGTTTTGTGTGTGCCGGACAAAATGTGCTGCCCAATCATTCTTCGATGGGTTCTAAAGAAAAATCCGCTCTTCGTTCCGCTCCACAGACCGACCATCGCTTTCTTTCCTTGTTACTCCTCAGATTGCTCCCTCGAATCTCAAGCGAGCTTCTTCGTCTCAGTTCACCGGCATCCCCATCTTCCCCTCTCAACTTGGCTTCCTCGTCCTCAAGCACCGCCGCCTCTTCCGCATCTGGCGCATCCTCTATTGTCTCCAGCGAGCTGATAGACGGCGACCGAGATCGCAGCGACGTTGGCGTACTAGGCATGCTCGAAGCAGAGCTGAGAGAATAAATCGGGTACGGTTCATAGGTGTACTTCTGCGGCGCGAAGGACGGCGACGGGGATGTCCTTCCCGATATACTAGGGCTCATAGCCCTGACGTAGAGAGATGGAGCACTTGCGCTCTGGTGAAGCGGCTGTGCGTTTCGCCGCCGTGCTCTTGGGAATGTATTGGAGAGGGATGATATGGGTGAAGGTTGAGATGCCTCGGCGTCTGCTGTCAGTTCAAGCTCTTCGTTTTCTGGTATATTCGGTTCAATATTAAGGCCGCTCCAGGATGGAACGCCAGGATATGGGTCTTCCACAGCTGTTCGCAACGGGCTTCTTCTCCTTCCTGAATGAAGTGGTGAAGACGGTCTTCTCGGGACGCCGTAAGGCGTAATGTATCGGCCCGAGGCGTCAACACCGGGCGACGAGTGGGCTCTTTGCATTGGCGGCGCGTTGGCCACACTTCCTACCGACAGCGGCCTCACCCTTCTGGGTGGAGATGCAGCACGAGGCCTCGAGGGTGTAGTGTTCTGTGAGAGATAAAGGCTGTGGTTCAGAAGTGTCTCGACACTCTTCGACGGAGACGATCTAAGGGAGGAAGAAGAGGTTGATTCAGGTTCGAGGTCCGAAGGAGACGGAGGTAATTCGATATCTTCTGCTCGGACCTGAGGAGAGGAACTGGGGACAAGGCTCGTGAGGGTTTGGCCGTCGGAGGTAGCGGAGAGGCTCAACGGAGGGTTTGTCAGCGGCGACATGGTGAATGCGGGAAGAAGTTCTCGGTAATCCAGGATATGGGGTGACGCAATGATTCAGCTGAATAAGAGAGCAGGAGTCGACATAATCGTGCAATCAATGGTAAGGGATCTGGGATCTGGGATCTGGGATCTGTTGTGGTGGAAAGGGTATTGGAAGAATTCCCGAAGACTGTAGAATCTCCAGGCGTTCAGCTAGTGGCACCTTCACGATGCTCGCAGGGTGCTTTTGTCCAAGGTACCTAGGTAGGAGGAGAGAAAACCCAGCAACACTCGAGGCACAGAAGCCTCTGAGGTTGCTGGTGGTGGATGATTCAAATGGCGGGTGGCTTGATCGAGAGAATGCTTTGATGGGACAGTCAGGAGGGAGGAAGAGGAGGCTGTACTGGGCACCGGCTACCAGTCACAAATTGCGGAGGTGGTGGAGATTGGTTCCAGGTGCAGCGCCCGGGTCAGGAGTCCAGATCGGGCGAGGCGGGTTTGCAGGGCGCTGTTGTGATGGTGGATGTGATGTGAAGAGTACTTACAATTACTGGCTGGAATGGCCGGTGGGCTGCTTTCAGCTGCGGCCTATCTGTGTCCCTGCGTTGCGGCGTTCCTGCATTCACAATCCGCCTGCACTCTCACTCCTTAACACGTTGTCTCTGGGCTGGCTGCTATTTTATTCATGATATATCCATCCATTCAATCTGGTTCTCCAGCTGTGGACACCCCGCTCCAAACACTACCCGCCCGGTCTCGATAATTCTCAGACGTGAAACTGTAAAGGACAATCCGCAATTTGCTCGACAAATCCTCGCGCGACGATGACCTTCACCCCCTAATTCTACAGCCTGTCGTGAAAAGGGGGGAGCGCCGTACGGCAGTACATCTTGGGTGGGCAAAACCAACGGACGGTAAGGCCAGCAAGATACAGTCCCCGTGTCACCGGCGAGATACAAAGCCGCCGAAAGTCCTACTCTCAGCAAGGGCCAGCTCTATTATAATTGGATCTGACCCAGAAGAAGTGGTGGCAGTGCAATGCATACACTCAACCAGAGCGGGAATGCGGTAGGTCAAACTACCTCTTGGCCGCAACCCTGCGCGGTATTGTTGGTTAGTTGTCCGCCGTGCTGTCACTATTTGCAACTCCAATGGTCAATAGAAGTGAAAAGAAATACTTGGCCTTTTTGCGATGGCTATGCAGCGTTGTGTTCGCTCCGGATAACTTGAATGAGATTCTCGGCTTTCCATCAACTTGAATTGGATGTCTGCTGACAAGAAGCTGCCGCAAATGTCGTGTATACCTTGGGGAGAGTCTCGTTGCTAGGGCGGTCGATTAGGATGAGGCAGTGACAATACAGCAGGCTGAGAGGCTGCACCGAACGCCAGCAAGTTATTTGATCGCAGGAGGGTCATCCGAGGAGGAGCAGAGATTGAATCACTCATTGCCCTTCATCTAAGTCCTTGAGGCCGTAGAGCGGTGCCACCTATAAATCCTTTTCCCTTTTTTTTGTTTTGGGCAAACGACACAGTGACCCGTCACGCCGCAATCTCTCTCCCCCATTCCCAACGTCGTGGGCATATTTGTGACCGGCCACTAGCAACATTTTCGCAAAGTTTGCAAGTGCTGGGACGTCGAAATCGGTAACTGATCAATTGAGTAATGCTCAGTACAGTAGCGTGTTCTGATGTCCTTAGATACGCAAGTGGGGGCGAGAAGATTGTGCCCTGTGGCGTCTACCGAGACTTGACCTTGACAATTCAACGTGGCGCCGCACGTTCAGGCAAGCGAGGATCTTCGAATCTGAATCTGCCGAAGATACTGCAGATCGCTGTGGACAGGCGATGTTGACAACAAACCGTTCCATCTGCCGCTTGAAACTCGGACATCAATGGGTTTGCTGGGTGGTTTGGGAGAAAGATTATGCATACCTGCAAGCGCAGTCCATACTTCTTGTTGCTTCTACGAATCCGGCTCGGAGTTGGGCATCACAAAGTGAGTTTCTCGGAGAGGTATTTCGACACTTCCCCTTTTCATAGGGATCATACTGATGGCTTCTTCATACCTGCATATCCAAAGCTCTAGACCCGCTAACCAAATTGTCGGATCCGACATTCATACAGCCTTCTTAGCGGTGGTCAGAATGGCGACCCAGTCCCACTTGATCTCGCCATCGCCGTACTTTTGTTTCATGTATGAGACCACGGCATTCGTCGCTCTGTCTTTGTATTTCTCGCGTTGCTCCGCGGTCCATGTCTTTTGCTGAATCATACCCACCATCCCAGTCATCAAGTGTGTGAACTGATCAACGCCACTTATACTCGTATGGGGCACCTCCCGCACATGCACGTCAACGAAGCCAGACTCGGTAACGTTGTCTTTGATCCAGGCGCTGTCACTCCAGAGCCCGTTCGAGTTGATTATCTTCAAAAGTTCTTCCACTGACGGGAACGTGGGTACCTCTGGATCCGTGGCGAAGGCGGCTTTCATGTCGTCGGCCCAGCCGAGTTTCATCCATGAAGACATGGCCAGAATGCCCCCAGGCTGCAATACGCGGTGAGTTTCGGCCATGCCGACTTTCCAATCTGAGAAAACCATAGGTCCAAAGTTGAGAAAAACATGCGTGAATTTGCTGCCGGGTAGTTTTGTGTCCATGGCATCCGCCTTAATGGCGTGGGCACTTTTGGCCTCAAATGTGCGGATCCGTCGACGTACGAAGTCGATCATGGAGTCTGAAAAATCTGCGCAGGTGAGATCCAGGTTGGCCTTTTGTTTGTTGAGCAGCACATTGACCAGTCGCTCTGAGACGACCCCCGTTCCGCACGCCTGATCGAGCACGGTCAATTCTTCGTTGTCAGCCACCTTCGCAATGCTCGATTGTTTGATGAGCAGGTCGGCAAAGTAACCGGTCATCTTTTCGGCGCTCTCAGCATATACCTTGGTGAAGGTTGTGTTATTGAACATTTTCTGTGTCGCTTGAGTGTTCATGGTGCCGTGGGCTGTTTCAGAGAGGCGGTTCTGAAGACTGTATGCCTTGGTCGCTGCGGCAGTATTCGAAGTAGACAATTGCTTGAGTCTCTGTAAGGGGTTCTTGCGAGAGGTTCGCATTCACGTCTCGGAGGTCGCAGAGCAGCTCTGTCACTGTGTAAAAATACATAAACGGCTCGAAGAACCAGCTGTTTAAATGCAGCACCACCGCCATTTCAGGCCCTTTCGGAGACATACAACATGTCTCCGATGGAAACATATTATGGGCTTCAGATGGTGGCCTGAAATTTGCTTCTGTCAAAGGGTCGTTGTCCTCCGTAAGTGTCTTAAATTTGTATCATGTTCCAGAGGGATATGTGGCCGGTCTCATTAGTTTTGTACCTACCTGCTACAATCTTCGTGGAAGTCATTTTACCAGTGTCCTAAAAATTGAAAAGTGTTGCAGGAGGGGAACTTGGAAGGATGAACGTGAGGAAGGCCGAATGCATCGAGGCTTCAACTTGCTCAACGAATAGGAGACTTTCCTGCCTTCTCTCGGGATACTTGCCTATTTCAGTCACTAACAGGCCTTGGCATTATAGGTGGCCTTATGGCATTACCACATTTTATCCCCCGACGCGGTTGGTTCACTTTCTCCATTCTCACTCGTCAAACCCCAAATAATAATAGTTTCTGACGATACGTCCAATGACAGCCATGCGAGCAGTTTGAACAATGTTTGATTTCTGTTACACATGCAAATGCGGAGAACCATTGAAACGGAGATCTTGCCGATAAGCGCCGTGACTAATGGGCCATTGCCTTCCCATATCCCAACCCGAGCCCAACCCCCAATCAAGGCAAATTCTACTCTACCCGACGCTTCTTCAACATCGACGTCCGGGAAGGCACCGCCGCGGAACACTCAATTAGATGCAAAAGAACCGACAAGGCTGGAAGCGAGAGCGGCGTCTCTCCGCGCCACGAGCGACGCCTCTGCACGACTACTCAACGACCCGTCGAAGCCTCGTGATTCTCGCCTTATCACAAAGGCTAGTCCAGTCAATGCTGCCTCCCGTGGTAGTCGTCTAGTGCCCGGCCATTCTAGGAGCCAGTCATCAAGTAACGCAAGCAACGCAAGCACCGCAAGCACCACGCGTCCAGCTTCAAGCGTACCGAGAGTGGCAACCGCTACGGCAGCTTCGCGGCCGCAGCATGCCACCTCGATTAGAAGTCTAGGGGACGCACGATTGCCAGTGGCACGGGCGCATAGCAGAGCCTTGAGTGCATCAACGCGGCCTAGACCAAACTCTGACACTCGGGCCACTAGACCGGTGACCCTTCATGCGTTTTCGGGAGGAGACGCGTCGTCTCCGTCTGTTAGACCAACTTTGAAACCATACAGGAAACCCGAGTTCAACACCGACCAGCAACATTATAGTCCCAAGAAGGAGACGACGGCATCGACCACAGTCACTCCAGTCTCAGGCTTGGATCCCCAACACGGCGCCATTCGCCCCGGATCCGCAGGCCGCGTCATACATTTGACAGAAGTTGCACACCTTGAAGATGAATTGCTCCAATTGTCCATTGTACACCAAAACTCTGCGGCAACTTTCCAGAGCTACCGGGCCTCTATCAGGTCACGATTAAAAACTGGGCTTGAGGGTGTGGAAGATCAGCTAACCACCCTCAGGTCCCTGCGCCATGATCGACAGGCTAACATTAACGCCGTCGCCGTGAGCAAGTGGCTCGACGGCGAACGAGCAACAAAAGACGTCAGTCATGCAGGACCAGATACCTTACTTCTCCTGGCACACTGCCTGGGGGAGTTGCAAAAGGTCCGCAGAGTGCATGGACCTCTGGAGGCGGCCATGAAGTTATTTGACGAGTGGTATGTCTACGTGTCTCCTAGAAACTATACCGGAGATGGCCTTTTTCCTGAGGAACATAGCGAGGAAAAAGGCTATCGTCTCCACCAATTGGACCCACAATGGTCAGCCTTGGTGTCATCTGTGGAAGATCGAGTCGGAGCCTGTGCGGCTTTATTGGCGGGTCTGCAGAGGCCCCTCAAGTCATCGTCAATTGGATTCTTGATCGAAATGCACAGCTCATTTGCCGACCAGATACTGCAAGAGATTTGCATTTGCAGGACCATAGAAGGCCTCGTACTTCGAGCACAGGAGGAATGGCTTGCCAGGGCCGTAGAACAAGCCCTCTCGGACGTGGAGTTACATCATTCCGTAGAAGTAGCACGAGACACCCCAAGGAGGGGTATCTGGGACCTACGACCGAAGGATTCTTAAAGACCGCAGCGAGAGCACAACAACAGCTGAGGCTCGGGTGTGCTTTCTTAACACCTAGAAAGACAGCAAGTGAATGTAACTGGTTCGGTTCCATGCAGTTTCCGTCGGAGCATTGGTCTCGTCTCATCCGAGGCTGAGATTATTCTTGAAACTGGGCCTTAATAGATGTCGGCTTCCTGGGAATTACGATCCCTCGAGAGGGCATATTCCTCAAACGGAAGATCTGATGAGAGATTGTCCAGCTTGGATCGAAGATATAGAGGGGAATCTCTGTGAGTGCGGTCCAAGGCCATCTCGAAAGTTCGAGCAGAATGAATGATGGAGTAGCATTTCACCAAAAAGGATGGTGGATTAGCCTGAAGCGAAGTCGTAGGTAGATTGTCAGTGAGCTTCGAGAAAACGACCCACTGCGTATCCGAATTCTCGGCGACCGGAGGGTGTCGGGCTAGTGGAGCCTGACTCGAATCGGTGGCTGGCGCGAGGGCAGAGGAGGAGCGTTCGAGAGGCAGCCGAATCATGAGCAACTTGTGAAGCCCCGTCGAGATGCAGAATGACGCGGGTGGACACGCCTCAGGACCCGTCGAGGTGTTTTTCCGAGTCACCTCACTAGGATCGGATCAGTGATGGTGCGGACGGTGCATAAAGCTCCCTCCAGAGTCCATGACCCAGGGTGAAAGTTGAGGGCGGATCTACCAAGCTTCGCTCTAACAAGTAGTCAACTCCCATGGCCCAAACGTAAGCCGCTCCGCTGCATGGCAGTGGGGAACGGCCGACGTGATGTTTTTGCCATCATGTCAAGGGCTGGATGAATAATACGCCCCCTCTCTCCTCTTCGGCCCGCGTGAGGTGCAGTGAAATGTGTTGAGAGGAGTATGTTTTTCGTTGTTACCCATTACTCAGAGGAGACAGGTCCCTTCTTACTGGCTTGGTTGGCAAGAAAAAACTTCCATCTAAACCCCCCCTCAAGCTGCTCAAACCCTTGCTTCGTCATGCTGTCTCGGACAGGGGTTCGCAGCGGGTCCCGGTTTTCTCTCGTTCTCTTTTCAGGAGGAGCAACTTGGGCGTCTCGATCTTCGCTCTTGCGGACCAGCGGCGAGACCAAGAGGCGTGGTGCTCAGTACCAGGCAGTGAGAGGGAAGGACAGTTTCCTGCTCTGCAGATCTCTACCGAATAGGTGCTAGGCTGCGAGAACCGCCAACAAAGGCAGAGGAAGGAAGATAACGTTGGATTTTTCATGCTCGGGGGGCCTGCAGGCCTCGGCAAGTATTCGGTGCGATTGACCCATGACATCCCTCCGGGACTTGCCTGTCTGGAACAACACGACTGGCGACGCGGTGTCTTGAGGATCAAAAGAGTTGGGTGTTATACCTGGGTCAATGCTGCTAGCTACAGAGCACCCACGTGGTATGCTTGATCGCGGCCTTCCCTCGGTTACCGCTGCCCTTCAGGGAGTATGGACGACAACCCCTCAGGCCCATACACATAGATACCTACTTGTTAGTACCGAGCACCTTGCACCCAGTATCCATGTAATACTCCGTACTCCGTCCATCCATCCCTACCTAGGCCCATGTTCTCCTCGTCTTGAGTCGCCAAGCACGGGGGAAGAGAGCTCACATCCCAGTCCACCATCGACAAACTAGGTCTTCGTTCCGTTGTCTCGTCACTCGGGCGGTGGTGCTTGGCTCCGGAGGGGATGGTCGGAATCGGGTATAGCGACTGGCTTATCTAATACTGTGATCAACTGTAGTCATCGAAAAACTGGGGCTCGGAAGGTTACAACACACGGTAGTCGACTGCACCACCAATGGTGACAGTGGCAATTGATCAGGTAAGAAATCCCGGGAGCTGGCACCAGCTGAAGACTGCGAGGTGAGTGACAGGGTGTTGAGAAGAAGAGGTGAAGTGAAGTGGTCGATGACTACCCAGTAGAGTGTCGCTGCTCTTACCTCTTTACCCATCGAGCCATCTCACTCAACCAGCGCGAGGCGGTGGCGGCGAGTCAGCCCAGTTTCCCCTGCTTGCCTGCTCTACCTACTGGGTACTCGGTACTTGTAAGCTTTCCCTAGGCTGGGGAACTTCCCAACAAGGAATTGCATCTGCCTTTGGGTATAGGATCTTCTAATTCACCTGGCACCTGGTGCATGACTCTCGCTTCCTCCTCTTCCACCGGTGCCTCTTCCATTCTTTCCACCTCAAACCCCCCCTTCCTTCCCCCTTTCTCCCCCCCCTCTTTTTCCCTTTTCCTTTGGATCACGTTATCTCCCTTGGCATTTTAGGTCGCTGGTCGCCCTGCCCTTGACCCCAGCAGCCCTTACACCACTTCCCCCCTTCAGTTAGTTTTTGATGTCAGTCGTTCGTGATGCCTCCGATAGGTTCTTCCAGGTCCGTCCCGCCCTGCCAATGACACAATACCCGGCCTCATTCGCTTCCCGAACCAATGCGCCAGCCGTGGCGAGCCCAAAGGAGCAAGCGTACCATTTCCAGGTCTTCTTCAGATGCCATGGCCCATAGGCCGCACTGGACCAAGACAACAGCACCACAGTTCGTCCTCCACCCCCCCCCCCCGAAAAACCCTGATGGCCCTCAGCATGGGCGAATCGGAGCATCCCATGTCCCAATGCAGATGGCGATGGAGACGGAGACACACCACCAGGCTGTCCATTGCAGTATCCTACTAGTATTGAAACTTTGTTGGCTGGCTTGCAGGCTAAACTTCGTCCGATGGGCGCTGCTGGTAAAGTAATCCATGCAGCGCCTGCGTACTAAACTGCTTCGAAACCAAGTACGGAGCGTGGTGATCTCTGGATCTTTTTCCATTCCCAAAACTTTACTTCCTGCGGGCTGACTCCAATTGTAATCCAGTTTGGTTGCTCCTCGTCTCCAATCCTTCTCGATCTCTGCCTTCCTTCATCCAGATCCTCTTTATCCCCTGGCGCCCGCCTCCCACGGTCCAATCGACGATCGCCATCTCTATTACCTTGCCCTGGCCTTTGCCCGATCCTATTTCTTCCCTAGCTGCAGGGCGATCCCTCCAAGGACATAACATACTGTACAGTCTCCCATGCCTGCTTAGGCATGTTGTGGTCCCCATACTGGCTTTCGTCGCATTCCGCGGGTATGCAATATATACAAGGATTTGCCCCCCGCGCCCATCTTTCACGATAAGTCAGGCGGGAAGGTACATACATAGACGGCGCCAAATTTTTTTTTGAAAAAAAAGCCCTCGTCCTAGACCATTTGGGCCACCCTTCCCTGCGCTGGCTTGCCACACGCGTCCCCTTCTTCGGCCACTGTCACAAATGTTGCCTTGCACACGCCACTCACCTTTGACCAAGGACCAGAAGCTGGTGGGAGATCGGTGGAGGTGATGGAAGGTGATTTCTATTCTCCAAACGAACCAGATGATGTGAAGTCGCAAGCGTCCATGGCTTCCGGCCTTCTCCTCTCCCGCGTCACCAGTGCGCCTGAATCCGGCCGTTCAGTGGTAGATGGTCCTTTCTTGCCATCATTGCATCAGACGCCGCGAAAACGCGACTCGCCCATGGACCACTCTTACCGGCGACATGTTGCCGACCAATCGTCTCCTCCTGCCAGACACTTGTGGTCTCCTGGAAGCACCAGTCCGCGGGGTGAGCTGGAAGAGCCTCCGGACAAGCGCCCGCGTTTGGATTATATACCGGAAAAGTTGGAAGCAGCACAGGCATCGTCTAAGAGAAGGATATACCCTCAGGTATGTGACCGGTGGTCCCCTTGGGCGCTCTACCCATATCCACAGAAGGCTTGAGATGGGCACCCATCTATTGGTGATTATTTACTGACCGTCGCCTTTTGCCGCCAGACCGGCTCGTATGTTTACCCGGGCGAGCACCGCCCGCCCAATCCCCCTTCGGAGGACATTTCTCAGCAGCGATCGTGGCGCGGATCATGCGGCAACTGTTCAGATACCGAGTCTCTGGTGATGGATCTTGTGCATGGGTTTTTGGAGCTTCAGTCAGAGGTCAGTCGAGCTTTGGCGATTTCCACAGGGCCAAAGAGCCCTTTCGAGGTAAGCCCCGGTCCGCCCCATTGGAACGGGAAGTGCTGACGGGACCAAAAAGTCTATCGGACTCGAAGTGACTAAGCTAGGCCTCAAACAGTCTCTTACATGGACCATCAATGAACTTCGGAATACAAGTCGCCTCATACAGTCACATGCAGCTACTGCGAAACCGGGGTTACCACCCCTGGCTGATGTGGTTCCGCCCCCGTTCGTACACGATATACGTCGTTTGTCCATCCAAGGCCAATCTTCGGCGGTTCCCACATCTATAAATGACCCCCGCAAAGCATCACTCCCGCCAGATACTCCTCGAAGTGATGATTACCACCGACGGCTGCCCGAGCACCCACCAGTCCAGATGCCTCGCCCATTCGAACAAGGGCTCCCCCCAATCCTCCAAGGGGAGGAATTAAAACGAAATCCACCCTATGAGCAGGCGGCTTCGGGTTCTGGGCAGTCACCACATCCCTCGTCGTCCAGTTCGGTTTTTGGCTCTGCTCAATCACCAATGCAATCTCAGCCATCCACCAGGACGCTGCCTTCTCCGCCGGGAAACCAGTATCCGCGGACAGGGAGTTCGGAATATATACAGTATTCTCCCACGACCACTCAAGCCGCGCACAATGCTCATCTCCAAGATCTGCAACATCAGATTTCGACCAAGACCCTCGCGCTTCAGACTCTACAGCGTGAACACGACCAGTTGCTGGCCGCTTTTTCAAGGTCTCAGATTCGATGTACCGCCTTGGATAAGAAGTCGCAGGTGTCAGATCACGAAATCAACACCTTGAGCGAGGACAAGATCCGGCTACAGCAACAGGTAGAGGCATTGGAGACCCAGGTTCAGGAGTTGGTCAAGTCACGTGACGAAGTGCATCAGCAATCGTCAGCCGATGGCGCACAGTGGAGACAAATCGTGGCCATGTCATCGCAACTACAACTCAAGGGGGCTGACGAAGCGCGACGGTTCAAGCTGGAGCGAGAGGCGTGGGAGCGAGAGCGGTCATCGCTGCAGAAACGAATTGAAGAACTCGAGTCTGGTAAGGAAAAGCTTCCCGAGACGAGGCCGGTTTCTGGTTCCACGACCCCCGTGGCAAACGACCCCATTCTGACTTTGGGCTCTGTTGAGGTTCTTAGAGAAGAGATTATCAGGCTTCGGCGCCGGTGCGTCGAATTGGAATTAATGCTTCAAGAGCTTGCGGGAGAGGCTGAGCAGATCGAAAGTGCAATTGCCGCAATGGAGAACGTTCGGAAATCGCTTGCGAGCAAGAAGCGCCGCACAGACGATAGTTAGGTGAGACAATTCGAGCCCAATTCGAGATAGTTTCTCGAATACGGGCTGTCAGGAGGTTCTACGGCCGCTGGCAAAGTTTTGCATGCTTTCGTGTTGGACGGTCAATATGGAACATCAAACGATCCACCGCCAACGGAAGAGGGACTTCAATGGCTTCTGGAGTACAAGGAGACAATCAATTCCACTACCCAATTACCTCTTTCGCCATGTCCCTTTTACCCCGAACAAGGGTTAACAGCCGACGTACATGCACAAGGATACAAAAGTTCCGAGGCTCGAATGCCTGCATCCGTTGAGATACGCCTTCCGGACACGGGGAAGGATTCATCTCTTGTGAGTGCAATGAGACCTTTTCTGGAGCCACGGCACACACAACGATGAGTGAAACCTGGGACCGGGTGGCCAGAAGCCAACCAACAACTAACTGCCCGAAGGGGGAGGAGCATACAAAGAATGGCGGAAAGAGGGCTAGGTCGACGGCCAGCAAATATTACGTGGGACATGCAAGTCTGTGCAATTACTGGTATTTCAGTGTGGTCGCTGGATTTGGGGGGGGGGGGGTTTATACCCGGGCGTTCCAGAAGACTGGGAGGCAATATGTACTATCACCATGAAGTGGGCTTGAGACCCGTTTTCTCACGGGAGCCCCGTCTTTTCTACGACGCACATTCGAGATGGCATCGTCGCTGCAAAAGCGAGCTGAATTTATTGAAATATCAGTGGCCTTGTTCAAGGCTGGGAGTATAATTGGCAGCGGGTTACTTACTCGGTACACGACGGCGCATTTCTCAGATTTTGGTTTGGACTAGCATCTACATCGGAAAAGGTTGGACCGGAACCAGATTATGCCGATGTGGCGGAGAGCAAAGAGAGGACACCAAGGAGGGAGCTGGATGACACAGAATTGAGCGATACTGATGTTCAGATGAAGCCATGGCCAGTTTGCCTGGTTGTTACTGTCTGGTCTGTACAGGTGACTGCGGGGGTGGCACCAGTGGCACCAGTGGCACCAAGAAAGAAACTTCAAATCATTCCAGTCTTTCCCTCATTTTCCATTTCCATCGTGCCATCGTTCCTACAGCTGCACCTCCATCATCACTCAGCATGTCGTAAACACCTCCTCTGCCTGCGGCCGCATCACTAAGTCCACTGCGTCCACTGCGTCCACTGCGCCCATTTCTCCATCTCCGCCTCCGTCCCTTGCAAAGAAACATCGTCTGTATCACACTCGCAAGCTGATCCCCTCTCCAGTTCTGGTTTGCCACTGTTTTAGCCGAGTGCTGCCATAACACAGCACAGAACCACATGCTCCTCCTCAGTTAGCCTCGTTCAAAGGTCCCCCTGCCGGCTGCAACGGGCAACGATTGACGCCGAAGCGGACGACCTCATCTCAACCTCGCCCCTCGAACCGAGGTTCAACCTTTGCGACACAAGGCTCCATATCTTGCATGTGTCAATTCATATCCTCTCTCTACTGGCTTCAGTTGCCTCCCGGTTAATACAACATGGGCGACAAGTTTGATATGCGGCTACTGAAGCGGTCTTTGGGCGAGACGAGAAGGAGCCGATCCATTAAAACTCTATATGGGGACAAAGCATGGGTTGAGGATTTAGATATCGTCAATGAGCTTGGGGCTCACACCGGCTGCGTCAATGCCCTTTGGTATACCTGTCCCTTTCATTTCGTTGCGCACGTAAGGAATATCTCTGCTAATACCGTCTCTGGCAGTTGGTCGACAAGTGGCAACCTTCTGGCTTCTGGCTCCGACGATACCTATCTCAACATCTGGAACTACAATCCACCCGGAGGTGCAAAACCTTTCTCGCTGAACACAAGTGTCAGCACCGGTCACCGTGCCAACATCTTCTCGGTCAAGTTCATGCCCCACTCGGGCGACCACACCGTGGTCACTTGTGCCGGAGACTCCGAGGTCCGTGTCTTCGATCTGGAATACGGTGGTGCTGCAAGCCAGAGCAGTTCGAGCGATGCAAGCACAAGAAGTCGGAGACTCAACAGCTTCTTTCGGGACGCGAGGTGGCTGAATGAAGGGAATACAAACTGTCGGGTGTATCGAAGCCATGCAGATCGCGCGAAGAGAATCGTGACCGAGTCCAGCCCATACCTGTTTTTGACATGCTCCGAGGATGGCGAAGTCCGTCAATGGGATCTCAGGCAGCCGTCATCAGCATATCCTGCTCCCCGTGGAGGTCGTGGCTTCGCGCGACGTCACGCGGGAACCGAGAGCGACAGCGACGACGCACCCCCTCCCCTCATCTCCTACAGGAGATACGCCCTAGATTTGAATAGCATCTCCTGCGCGCCCAGTCAGCCACAGTACATTGCGCTTGGTGGGGCTCATCTTCATTGTTTCTTGCACGACAGGCGCATGCTCGGTCGAGACCTGGACGCTGAGAAGGGTCAGCCTGCTACTCGCAGACCTGCCGTCGGGACTTTCGAAGACGAGGCCATGGCTGAAGCCACCAGGTGTGTCCGACGATTTGCCCCAAACAACAAGCGCAAGATGGGACCTAATGATCATGGTCACATCACGGCCTGCAAAATCAGTGACGCCAATCCCAATGATCTGGTGGCCTCTTGGTCCGGAGATCATATCTACAGCTTTGATATCGTCAAATCCCCTGATGCGAGGGAAGCTGATGCTCGAGCCGACGACGAGTTTCAGGCCAGTCGGCTCAGAAACCGCTCGGACCGCAAGAGGAAGAGGGGGAAGCCGAATGCTTCCTCCAGCAGTCTTGGTGATTCGGCCAATCCTAGCAGACGTCTACGGAGGGTTCCGGATGATCGCTCAGAAGAGGGTCACACTGTGCTCCTGGCGAGGTTTGCCGACGGAGACACTGAGACGATCCCCTTCCCTCCCAGAATGTCCGAGCCTGCGGCTGAATCACCCTCAGCTCATGAGCTCTTGCTTTCAGAAGCTCAAAGATCGAGTGAACGAGTGGCAAGATCACTCATCCAGCTCCGCAAAACCTTGTTCGATTTCTCTGCCTCGTTGAGCGCCGATGCTTCTACATCCATGGAGGAATCTCCAGACCTAACTCCCCATACAGCAGCGTTTACTAGTGCCCTTGGCCAGTGTGCTTCGCTACTCCCTCAAATGGATGATATCATCCGCACGTGGTCCTATCCAATCAACCCGAGTGAGGAAGATGTTACTCTACAAAACGCGTTGAGGAGAAATCGACAGTCGAGCTGGCGTTTTGTGCAAGCGGCTGGCTGCTTAGCGCGAGCCCTTGGTGGTCGTTTGCAGAGTCTCAGTTCTGGCCCAGACGTCCGGCTTGCGCAATTCGATCAGATCAAGCCTGCTGCTCACGAAGGTAAGAACATCCGCAAGGAGTCGAGGTTTTGTTACGACTTCCTGAAGGCGATTCTGCTATGGTTAGATGGTGGGCAATCAGCAGTCCTGCAAGGATTCAAGCGGCCACCTAATGTGAGTGCCGAGAGTCCTCGATTCCCTCTCGATCAAGAGGACACCGTACAAAACTTTGTCCCCAAATTGGAAGCCTATCTATTGGACGTTGCAGATGACGAGACGCCGATCGTGGACCTCGATACAAACCGTTTCGAGCGAGATGAGACTCGTCTTGTCTTTCAGAGTCAGAAATCAGCTGTACTAGCGTTCACGAGAGCCCTCGGCAGTATTGAGTTAGTGGCCAGCCAAGGTATGTCTGAGACTCGGGCCGACCCTTCGAGCCCCAGTACGACAATACGTGTGATGGACAAGGGTGCGGCGGCGAGATTCTGGGGGGTCAAAGTAGGCCGCTCACTGCTCATGCGTGCTGCGGAAGGGGTCACCTTCGACTTTGTAAATCGAGCATTTGGGGGATTGAGACTCCAATTGGCCAGTTCGGACATGGGAGATGAACGGTCACAAGAAGAAGTTGACCTGGACGAAGAGGAACGAATCGTTGAAGCTATCGATATTGTGAGAACTACAGCCGTATCTGACATACCAGGCGGATCGACCTATGGAGATGCTCAGCCAGAAGAATCATCGACGGGATCTCCCCAAACTGCTCGTGAGACCACCGGAGGATCCAGTCAGGCGGATGTTGAAATGAGCACACCCCTTACCGTCCATATCGAGGATGCAGACGAAGACGAACATGGTCAAGTTCCGGATGCAGATGAACACGAAGACAACAACGAAAACGAAGATTCTGAATCAGAGGGTACAGGATCCGATGAGGATGACTTCTGGGAAGAGGCTTCGGGAAGCATCCTCTTCCGAAGACGGCTGGGGTCTGCGAGATCTCGTGAGCGAGCGTCCGTGAACCTTCAAGTCCCCTATTCGTCTCATACCAAGGTCTACAAGGGTCATTGCAATACGCGTACTGTCAAGGATGTGAATTACTATGGTCTAAATGATGAGTACGTTGTCAGCGGTTCGGACGACGGGCATTTCTTTATTTGGGATAGAAAGACTTGCAAGATTCTGAATATCTTAGAAGGAGACGGCGAGGTTGTCAATGTGGTTCAGGGTCATCCATATGAGCCTATGATTGCCTGCAGCGGCATTGACAGCACGGTCAAAATCTTCGGGCCTGGAGGCGATAGTCGGGAACGCGAGGCGGCAGAGAAAGGAATCGACATTGCCAATCCCGGAGGAAGTGTGCATTCCTCGCTCAGATTTGGGGGTCGAAGAAGCCGACGCACTCGCAGCGGGGAAGACGATGATAGCGACGAGGATGAAGACACCGCCAGGGCCACGCCATCCAGGGGACTCAGAAGCCGGCGGGCCATGCACCGCAGCTACGAGATTACTAGTCAGAACGATGCGGAACGGAGGCGCAGCGCGGGAGACACCTTGGTCACGGTAGGTTCCCTGGAAGAGTGGTTCTTCTTCAGGGCATGGATCAGTGCCCGTGTGCCCAGGATTCAACGCACAAACCCCCCAAGTTAAACTGCACTGACAACTAACTTCTGTTGTCAACGCAGGAGGGGATGCTCGCTAGATTCGCACTGGCACTTCAGCGGGGCCATATACAAGCGATTGGAGGGCCAGGCTTTGAAGGGACAGGCGGCACTATAGTGGTGGATGACAATTGTTCTGTAAGTTCTTCAAAGCTTTGCAGTTGTAACGCCGGCTGACGATTACCACGCTTAGGTCATGTGATATCATCCTCCACAGACGTCGCGCCCCTACCTCGAATGTCGGCCAATATCTCTTGTCACCTTGACGAGCATCAGCTAATTGCAGCTTACTGGCTGTATTACGCACAAAGTCGCCTCTTTGGAGAAGGACAGCGGTGGAGCCCCAAAGTGGTCGAATACCGCGTACGCAGAGCAGCTTCTTGGGCTAGTTGGGGCGAAACTGGCAAGACCCACCCATGCTGCTGACTCAACGATCGCCTGGATATCTGAGCGGAGGAACTCGTCCGGGCATGGTGCAGAACTCAGGGAGAGGCTGTTTGATCATCTCCATCTCGGAGACTTGTTTGGTGCACGGAACCTTAGGTGACAATCAAACTGGGCTTCACGGAAAATGGCCTAGGCAACGGAGTTCTGTTACTATACCTGCATGTGCTGTTCTGAAACGACGATTACAATTTTTGCCTCTGTGCTTGTGAGACCCTGTCATCAAGTCACTTATGTGGAATTGGGAATGAAATGGGTCTACTGACGCGTCGGTTCTCGGTTGTCTGAGCTGCATACCCTGTATTGGCATGTACATGCTCGTACACACTTCAACCAGTCCAAAAGATATGCCTTGAATCAATGAACCTACGGTATTTCATTTTCGGTGATCGACATATTGCAACGATACCATGATCTCAGAGGGGCCGACTGACAGGTACGAGTCCTGGCCTGTGTTTCAAACTTCTCTCTCAACGAGCTTCATGGGGCGCGTAGTATGAGCACACTGAGACGGGAGCAGGGATCGGCTCCGAGGCTCCTATGAAATCTTGATGTCTCAAGCTATGCCACGCCGGCCGCGGCGAGGTCATATTACCTAGCGAGTATGTAGGTACAGAGGGCGGGCAAGCTAGGCTCGGCCAACGGGCCGGCCTGGGGGCTCCTCAGCCTTGCCATGCATTCATTGCTTTGCTTTGGCACCCCCCCCCCCCCCCCCCCCAAACATCCTCTTCCCGACGCCGACGCCGACGGCGACGGCAACGGCGAAGTCGCCGGGTATTTTGCCGAATTTTTTTTTTTTTTGAATAGTCCGTTTTCAACCAGCAATAGCCATCATGTCACTGGCTGACCCGACCAACCGAACTGACCTCCGCCGTCTCCTTGGGCGAGGACGAGTTAGGACTGCCTGACTGCCTGACTGACATGTACGTAGCTAGGCGGCTATGACTAGAATACATGGGGGCATGGACATGAAAATATGCGTATGCGTATGCGTATGCGGTATGCGTACCCTGTGCATAGGCGTGCGTGTACGTCGACAAGAACCCCCATGGCGGTTCAAACCCGTCTCTGTCCCCGCCCTTGTCCTCGGCCACCTTGGCAATCTCCTCCTCTTTTTCCTTTTTCTGGGGGGAAGGGGCGCTTTGATGATATTCTGGATGAGCAGGGTGGATGGGAAAGAGATTGATGATGGGGTCCGGGGTGGGGGATTCGTTTATTGGGCTCGAGAGGCCGCAATGGGTGTTCACTTATTTTTTGGTATTTTGTGTGTGTGTTCCTTTCTTCCCCTCTTCTGAAAGGACTCACTAGCTAGGACACCTAACTATATACGTACATGCCTTGTTGTATTGTCCTATGTTTTGTGATACGGCCAGCCAAGGTAGTCGACAACTGAGAAACTCACTCCCGATGCGCCCTTGTTCATCTTTTCTGCGTCGCGCGTCCGAGACTCATTCCCACTTCGACATCCATCATGACCAAGCGGCGACTCACACTGAGCAGGTCCTCGTCGAACTGGATGCGGCCTTCCTCGAACGCCACGATGATGCTCGAGCCGCCGAACTGGAACAGGCCTACCTCGTCACCCTTGCTCACCTCGGAACCGGCCTTCTGGCATTTGGGGTTGATCTCGACGGTGCCGACATCGGTTGCGCCGATCGCCACGAAGAGCACCTTGCCGAATTCCTTCGAGTCGATGCACACCGCACAGCGCGCGTTCGTGGTCAAGATGTCGATGTCGCTTCGCAGGCACAGAGGGTCCACCTGGTAGCAGTCCCCGGGGATCTGCTTGAACCACTTGACGGTGCCGTTGACGGGGGAATGGCAGCGGTGGTAATCTTGCGGCGACAGGCGGAAGCTTGCGATCGCGCCGTCGTGCCACGGTTTGGCCGCCTCATCATCGCGGATGAGATTGCCGATGGTGAAGTTCCGGCCCTTGATCCAGAGTTTCTTGGTTTGTGCCACGGTCGGGTAGACTACTAGCCGACAGTCGGCGACGACTACAGCCCGCGTAGGGTCGTCCTCTTCGAAGATGGGTCGTGCGCCGGGTTTGTGATGTCGGACGAAAAAGTCCTCAAATGTTCGATATTGGTTCATGTCCGAAGGTGTGAAGTCGTCCATATTGATGTGATAGAAGTCCACAAAGGCCTTGATCTGACGAGCAGACGCCGGCGTGCCTTCCTGTTTGCCTATTGAATGTTGTAATGCGTTAGCATTGACTGAAATGTGCAAAAAGGCGGGTAGGAAAACGGATCGAGCGGCAACCCCGAGGCTCTTACCAGCATTGATGGTCTTCTCGTGAATCCACAACCGAAGCAACTGGGTGCGATCAACCCATTCGACAGGATGGCTGAAGAGTACCCAGAGCTTTATCTTTTTCCAAATTGGCTGCTGTTCGCGCACGTAGCGGCCAGTTTTGCGATTGAGTGTTTTCCACCCTATCTGGCGGTTCCGGATGAGTTTGACTGTCGAGAGAGCATGGTCCAGGACCCGGTGGACCCATTGCAAGATGAAGTCGAACATGGTCGTGGCGTGTACAATACTGCGAGCGTCAACTTGGTTTGATGTGCCTGGGGCAGGGATAAAAAGGATCAAACTGCTGTCGGAATTCATCTCTGATTTCGACCTGTTCTGGAACTGCGCAACGTCATAGCTCTGACATCAGTCATGGATGATGCTAGCACTGCCATGGTAAAGTGGCACACGAGGCTCGAGATTGATCTGAGACTGCGCCGGTGCTGGTGGTGATGCTCCCAACCTCTATTTTATCGTCATGTCTGGATTCTACCACCTTTGTTTGGTACCGAACAAGGTCGTTGGCACTGCGACTTTTGTTTGCCACAAACCATCCTGCTACACTGTTTCAAGTTAGAATGGGGAAAGATGAGGGGTGGTCCCAGCGACTCTTTTAGAAAAGGGCAATAAATACAAGGCGTTGCTCGAGGTCGTGGTCATCACCAGCATCCCCCTCTCCTTGTTGCATTTAACGAAGTTACCCGTTTGGAGGGTGCTTAACCAAATCCTGATGATGCTGGATGCTGATCATGAAGACCATGTAGAAGCAGCATGAGCGCCCCCAGGCCGGATCGTGTTGGCTCACAGCGCAGAAGAGCCGTCCTGAATCGAAGAAGAGTCGTCGTCGTCGTCGATATTGAAGCTTAGTCCACCCAGAAACGAGGGGTTGATAAAGCGGCAGGCCTGTTTTCCTTTGGGGTTAGTGCCAGCCTTTCGCCTCGCAGTCGCCAAGCAAATCAATGGTCTGGTTCGCGGCGATCAACAATCATATGATTTCAATATTTTGGGAGTAAACAAATTCCTGCCTTCTAGTAATCCGAGTTCCCTCGAGCAATCACCATGGTCGACAGGACTGTCGACCATCTGTCGGATCTGCCTCAATATTTGCGCGACACACTGAGTCGGCTACCAGAAGATCACACCATTGCCCTCAGCAATACCAGGGGACCCTCAGTACCGGACATCAACAAGCTGACGGATCGTAGGAAAAGATATGCGTACTTGCTTCTCTCCCGCCACCGCTTGACTCAGCGTCTAGCCGAATGTCCAGGTCCCTGTCCGGACCTTGTTCTCCAGCGAGCTGAAGTCTACGAGGCTCTTGGGTACAGCGAGTTAGCGCTGGCAGATGCCTATGTCTCGTACACCCTTTGTCTGGTCGCTCTGGACGGTCCTGAAGTCTCGGATCTTGAGCCTGTTTACTCCGATGGGGAGCCTTGGCCGGCTTCTGATGGAACCCAGAGCGAGAGTGAGTTGAGCCCTGTGGCATTGGGGCACAAATACCGCTCGCTTGTCCTGATGTGTCGCTCTGCGATTATCCTGGGTGCCCAGACCCAGGCGAAACTGTGGATTGACGAGGTCTTGGCGGTGAAGAGACTTATCCGGCGTTTAAACGGGGAGGAGCCTCGAGAGCCGCTCCGGGACATTGAGGAGGTAGTGGGAGATTTCTCAGAGTACTCCACTGTCTACGAGGACGAGTCGAAATTCCATAAATGTGTGAAGATCCTCCGGCGCGATGACAAGCCAACGTTGTTTGGTTGGTGTCAACGCCTAATATATCCATGGAATGATTACGAGCCTGACAGAATGTCTAAAGAATCATTGAAGGAGATCAACGATAAGCTCCATGAGGTTGCGCCGGATTTGGAAGTGGAAATATCCACACTGCCAACTCTGACTCCATCGGCTGATGGTAGTACACAGAGGATTTCTGTTGGTGAGGTGAAAACCATTGTGTCTTCTGCAGCTAATTGCTCTTCTCAATTGGGGTTGTTTGCCAAAATGCAACTCGCACCTGGGACAACCATCTTGAAAGAGCGATCAGTCCTCACCGCCATTCGGCCACATGGCGAGGCCCTCTGTGACGCCTGTGCGGCTGACATGGAAGGCATTGATCGAGAAGATCGTAGATATTGTACAGGATGCAATATCCCCTTCTGCTCGGAGGATTGTCTTGCAGCCGCAACAGAACGTTACCACCGACCGAACGATGAGGACTATCAGACCGATGAGGGCTATCCTCCTGCTGAAGCGCCCTTTTGCCCTGGAACCAGTGGCACTGACGACATCCATACACTTGGTCGCGCCGAAAGTTCGACTACCCCTGAATGGGATTTGCACTTTTTGCTCCTGTCACGAACCATGCAGATGGCCGAGACACAGAAGCTGCATCCCCTGGATCTCTTTGAGACCAAATATCTCTGGGGGGACTTCTCTCCGACACCAGAAGTCATGGATCTTCCGATCAAGAGTGGTCCCAAATCACTACCGTACAGCGTGCGCCATCATGTCGAGTTGCCTCTCCAGTGGTTTGAAATTCTCATGCATTCACGGGAAAGGTGCAGACCATACAGCGCCCATTGGTTGAAGAATTACGACTGGTGGATTGTTCAGACACTCTTTGCCAAATTTCGTGGAGTAGCCGACGCACAACAATCAACTTGGACAGGCAAGCCTGAGGTCGCAGCCGTGCATCCTCTTTGGTGTTTGGCAAACCACAGCTGTAACCCGAACGCCACTTGGAAACCTTCGGGGGTGAGGAACTTGACGGTGGTTAAAGAGAGGGTATGGGAGAGGCCTGGAAGTCCTTCGCCAACCACCTGGGAAGGCATCCGTGCTGGTGAAGAGATTTGGAACCACTACACCGACGTGCAGGAAAAGGACTATCGAGAGCGGCGAGCCCGGTTGCAGGCGGTCCTCGGTGGAGATTGCAGGTGTGAGAGGTGCACATACGAATCAGAACAACGCTGAACCCTGATATCAGTGTTCGACAGCACGACATCTAAATTAATAGCCTGCAAAGTCAACGGTCACGATGAGCAGCCCAACAGCATCCAGGAATTTTCAAACAGCCTCGAACTCGTCTGTAACGCCTTCGACACCAAGAAGGTACTGTCCACCTTTTTGTTTGCGTGGTTAGTTAATGGTGGGATTGAAACTGGCTTCTCTACAATTTGCAGAACGCTGGTAGGTACGACTGGAATCAAACGCTCTACTTACAGCAGGCAGTCTCCAGCATCATTACACTTCTCACTTGCCGATAAACAGCGTCGCCATAGCACCTCTAGATCTAAATATCCCGTTCTTTCTGAACCTCATTACTGCTATCACTGCAATCTCCGTTCCCCGTCACAGTCAGTCATAATTGGGCCAGTATCCGTCTTTATACGGCATAAGTTCGATATGGATCAGGATCCCAACCAACCGACACAACAGCAATCCTATCCTCAACTACGCGCACCGCTTTCCTCACGTGTTAGGTCCCTTGCCACCGCCCTGAAGCCCGGCAAAACCACATTCCCACGACTAGGACGGTATCTGAAAGCTTTCTTCTTGGATCATTGGCTTGACCTCGTTGGCATCCTGATCGTCGTGGGCATAGCGGGGGTGGTAAGTGTGCATCACATCTCTGTGCTTTCGCCGTCTGACCAGTGCTAACTGATGACCACAGATCTGGATCATTCCTGCCCGTCCTCCTCTTCTCTTCCCGCTCCTCACTCCAGACGGCGCTACTTACAACCCCTTCATTGGCTACCCTTATGTGACGCCCATTCTCTCCTCTCTCCTCACAGGTCTTCTCTGCGGCTTTATACCCCTTGCGGTGATCCTTCTCTCGCAAGTCTTCATCCGATCCTTCGCCGATTTTTCCTCAGCCACTCTGGGTCTCTTGTACTCGTTGGTTACGGGGACATGTTTTCAAGTCATCCTGAAGAAATCCATCGGTGGGCTCCGACCGCACTTCCTTAGTGTCTGCAGACCAGTTGTCCCAGAAGGTCTCGTCGGCTCTGGATATCACGGGATGATGTACCGCGTCGAGGATGTCTGTACAGGCAACTCGAAAGACATCACCAACGCGTTACAGTCATTTCCCTCAGGGCACAGTGAGATTGCGTTCGCCGGGCTGGGATACCTTTCGATTTATCTCTTCGCCCACTTACAGATTGGTGACGCCTCCAAAATGAGAAAGCGAGGCTTTTGGTGCATGATTTTGGTGCTTATGCCCATTCTGTTTGCGACGTATATCTCGAGCGCTCTGGTCCTGGGATATCACCATCACGCGCATGATTGCCTATTCGGTGCGGCAATTGGTTGTCTGACCGCGGTGTTGGGATACAGGATTGCTTTTCGAAGTTTGCTCAATGCGAGGATGAACTGGAGACCCAGGGTGGGGAGGAGGCTGAAGAGGGCTATTGACACGGAGAGCGAGAGGGGAAGCGAAAAGAGACCGGAGAGGGATGCTGCTCCTGATGGAACAGGCCATGGCAGCGCATTGAGAAGGCCGAGTCCTGGTAGAGGAGAGATACGAAGTGAAAGTGATACGGGGGATGAGCTTGAGACGGATACTCGTGTTTGACAGCCGGTCTGGATGCCAGATGCATTTGGGCGTTGATTGTTGGATAAGAACGCTTGAAAGCGCTTTTGGATGGCCCATCATCATTATACATCATGGTTCGGCTAACAGGAACTTGTGTGGCAGTCAGTCGTTAAGGCACCAATTATCCGGCAGCAGCGGTACTCCTTTTACAGTGTTTCTTCCACCTCGAGCTATGGGGACATGATATAACAGTCGTTCTCCACCAAGTCGTGTATCAGTAAGAGATTCATCATATACCCCGTACCTGGCCAGAGCTTCACGCCACCTCTGGCTCGGTCTTGGTCTTGATATCGGTCTCATTGGCCGAAGTGGTGGCCATGTCAAGAGAGAATCCTCCCTCGCTCTTCGGCGTGGTGGGAACGCTGCTCTCTCCTGCTTCGTAGCCTTTCCCGTTGCCATTGCCACTGTCGTTCTCGGCCTTGGACTCATGTTTGACAGTGGTGGGTTCCTGCTTGATTCTGTTCTTCCTCTTCTGCTGAGAGTCTTCCTCTTTGACGTGCTGCTCCTTTCCTCTCTCCTTTTCCTTTTCCATTTCCTCTTTCTGTTTGCGCGCAGCTTCCCTCTCCTTCCTCCGGCGCTTTCGTTCTTCTCTGTCATCTTCTCCACCAGCGCTGGTCAAAGGACTCAACAGCGGGGTGCCGAGCGGGGTGCCATCGCCTCCACGTTCTCTGTTACCGTCTTTGTCTCTGCGCCCGTCCTTTGTCGGTTTCCTTCTGACGCTGGCTGTGCTACTGACCGAGCTTCCTCTCCTCATCCTTTCTGAGAGAGGGCGTTCGGTGGCCACGTCAAACTCAAGATGGGGTGTGGAAGAGCGCGACGATTGTCTGCTCCGGCTGTGCGTGGAATCCGAGTCGAGGTTAATGCTCCTTCTTTTGCTGGCTGTCCCACTTAATGCTCGAGCATGAGAAACAGCGTCCTTTTCTGACAAACTTGCGCGGTGTGAACCCGTCCCCTGCGCGTGTTGCAGGTGTGGATGTTTCTCCAGGTCATGATGCCGTCTCTGGCCATGATGTCTAGATGATTGTAATCGCCATGCTCCCGTCCACCATTTCCATCCTCCGGCTTCCTTAGCCTTTGCCCTCCTAAGAGCATTTAATTTCCTCCTCAACCCTGCCCTTCGTTCGTTCTCCTTTTCCCAATATTCTGTGCGGTAGTCTTCCCAGTTCTCCCGAAACTCGGGAGAGAAAGACTTGGGGAGGAGGAGAAGCATGATGCTGTCCCCTCCCTTGGCGAGATCTTCTTCGATCACGAGCCCGTTTTCGTGCTCGACGAGGTGCCAATCCGAGCCTCCCGCCTCGCGCCAGAGACCGAAGGGGAGCAAGAAAGAGAGATGTCCAAGCATTTCCTGCCAAAACTTTCCCCGGATTCTAACCACGCGCAGATTGAAACCCCTCAGACCTCTATTCGTCGTCCCTAACCATTTTCTGGGCCAGCGGATGCCTCTTTCCCATTGTCCCGTGCCCCAAACCAAAAGAACCGTGACAATACCGCCCATCAATGCGAGCTTCTCGGATGTCTCGACCACCCAGTACACGGACCCGCCCAAGCCGGTGCCATCTTCTCGGGGGCGCAGGAAGAGCGCGTAGAAGAAAAGGCAATTCCAAGCAGCCAGCAATAGCAGGAAGAACGTGTTCAGCCGGCGACGGGAGACGAGGTGCAGATACTGTGCGCGCAGGGAGGATTCGAGAATTAGGAGGTTCAAGTAGATCTGAGGAGGGGAGGAAGGCAAGGACGCCAGGTGAGGATCGAGCGTGGACTGCTCGGAAGATTGTTTTCCTAGAGAGGGTAGCGGAGCGGAGGGCAGAGGGCGGAGATTAGTTGTAGGTGCGCCTTTGACTATTTGGTTGAGGCGAGATTCGGACGAGGCCATGTTTGTGGAGGAGGAGGAGGAGGAGGAGGAGGAGGAGGAGGTAGTGGTGGCGGTGGTGGTGGGACGAGGAAGAGGTGTTTCGGCGTAGACTACCGCAGTGCCATGGAGGAATGTGAGGAGTGGTTCGGCTTGCTCTCCCATCCACCGCTACACCATCTAGCCAGAGATGAAGTGATCTTGCGCCGTGTCCTCTCACCAAGTCTCGTGTGCTCGAATGGCGGGAGGGATGAGAGTGACGAGGCTAAGTCGGACGAGGGGTTTCAAGTGACTCGGAGGGCAGGATGGTTCCTGCAGGAGATGACGAGCGCCAGGCACCGAAATTAACGCTCGAGGGAGGGAAGTCTCAGTGTCTTACTGTCTGCACGAGGACGGACGAAGAATCCAGATGGAGAGCTTCGTTAACTCCGGCGTGCATGAGCTGGGCGAGGATGGCATCGGATGGCTTGCACGGAGCGACTTCAACCGGCTGAATCGAAATCCGAGTGGCTGATAGTGGCTGGTTTGGCGCTTCTCCTGGCGTCCCCATCCGTGTCGATGATGTTGACGTTGCAAGAATGCGGAAAGGCGAAGAATTCTGCTTCTGCTCTTCGCATCTCGCGCTGCCTCTGGGAGGGGGGCCCTCGACTTACGCTCATTGCTCATTGCTTATTGCTCATTTCGCTTTCACTACGCTTTGCTTTCTGCCTAATCTGCACGGCTCCAGCTCCAAATGTCAGACTTCCAGTCATGCCCTTGAAATAGACTGCTCTCCCCTGCTTCACTATCACCTGCGGTCAACGTCTCGTATATGAGACGAACTCTCCCCTCAGCACTTCCACTCCTAGAGGCAGCCCCCCGATCCCCCATCCCCTATTCGCGTCGATTCCAGTCTTCTACAGCATCGTCGCCTCTGTCGACGGATCCTGAAGACCTCAACCTCCCTCCGACCTCCCACCATCCGCCCGTCATGTCCACGTCGGCCTCGACCGCCGACTCAGACGGCGAGGTGCAGTCCCGCACCCATCAGAGTCCCCTCGCCTCCCAACGCACCCAAGTTGAGAACCCACGAAGATCTCGCCTCGAGAACCTGTTCCCTTTGTCCTACAAACAGGGCTTCTCACAATGGTGGACTGCTCTGCCCGCCGCTCAAGCAGAGCACCGTGTGCTCTCGTTCGTGCCACATTTGCAACAACCACCCACCCACGCAAAGACAGGCTCTGCGCCTCCCTCCCAGAATAATTCCACCATCACCATTGACACGACTGCCTCCCCAGAAGCCACCACCTCCACGAACTCAATCACAGATCCATTCGGTCCTCGAACATGGCACTCCCGCCTCGTCTCTCTCTCGGGAAAGAACCGCGCATTAAACGAATTCTCGGTCGTACGCAACGTCCCCGAGGAAGGCGATCCGGAGCATAATCTGGTCATTCTGCACGGCTACGGGGCGGGTCTAGGTTTCTTCTACAAGAACTTTGAGCCTCTCTCCCGCGCTCCAGGGTGGCAACTCTACGCATTAGATATGCTCGGCATGGGCCGCAGCTCGAGACCGCCCTTCAAGTTAAAATCCAAGACGAGGGAGGCGCAAATAACCGAGGCCGAGGATTGGTTTATCGACTCTTTGGAGGAGTGGCGGGTGCAGAAGAAGATCGACAAGATGACGCTTATTGGGCACAGTATGGGGGGATACATGGCCGTGTGTTATGCATTGAAATACCCCGGGAGACTGAATAAATTGATCCTGGCAAGCCCCGTGGGAATACCAGAAGATCCTTACGCCACGCACGCCGCGATGCCGCCTCCGCCAGACTCGGCGATGCAGAATGAGGCCACTGAAAGGGAAGCCCAGTTGAAGCAAAAGCCCAACCCAAACCGCCTCCCGGTTCAAGATACCTCGTCGGCAGAAAACTCGTCATCCGAAGAGGCCTCGACCCCTCCCCCACGTCGCCCTCTACCGAAATGGCTCACCTACCTCTGGGACGCGAACATTTCGCCGTTCAGTTTCGTCCGATGGTCAGGGCCCCTAGGGCCTCGCCTCGTCTCGGGGTGGACATCTCGGCGTTTCTCACATCTGCCGTCTGAAGAGGCCTTGGCATTGCATGACTATAGTTACTCTTTGTTCCGGCTGAGAGGCAGCGGGGAGTACGCGCTCGCCTACATCTTGGCTCCGGGAGCATTTGCGAGGAGTCCATTGATTAGACGGATCGGAGCCGTGGGGAGACAGCCTCTGACGGCTTCGACGCACGAGATCAGTGAAAACGGCCAGCTAAAGCAGTTTCCGGGGTCATCCTCAATTGCACAAAACGACACTACTTCATCATTCACCCCATCCTCGGCCGCAAAGGATCTAGCGCGAGAAAGGGGCATCCCGGTCGTGTTAATGTACGGCGAAAACGACTGGATGGACGTCTCGGGAGGGTATGCGGCCAAGAAGAAGATCGATGCCGAAACAGCTCGCGCTCTGGCCGCCGCGTCGCCCGAAGAGAGGGACCAGGACCACGGGTCCGCCAAAGTCGTCATCATCAAGAATGCCGGACATCATCTGTATCTTGACGGTCCGGACGAGTTTAATGAGGTGATCCTCGCCGAGATGGAAGATGTGAGAAGGCGGACTTGGAGGGAGAAAGAGAGGATAGATTGAGATGAGAGATGATAGATCGATTTTGAGTTGCATGGCAGCATTTGCTTTAGGGCTGTCAGGCATCATGATGGTGGTTATGAATTTTAAATCGGCATCACATTGAGCGTGAAGTCCGGGGTTGGGGAATCATAGAAGGGCGATGGCACGTCTTTAGGTTGGGAGGCAACAGAAGAAGCCTGGGATTGTCTGGCAGTTTAGATTGGTGCTGTCGTGTCATTTTCCAGGTTCAACACGTCGTGACATTCTGGATTGTTCCCTCCGTATGTATATATCAGTACCAGAGGAGATGATTCCTCGGGAAGGGGGAAGAGATTCGTCCACTTAACACCCCCTGATTCACTGACTTGCTCGCTCACTCACTCATGAACGCCGAGATGCCTTCTTAGTGGAAGCTGGCTCTGTGACTCTGAGAATCTGCCTTTACATCTTCGTCTTCGTCTTCATCTTCATCATCTTCTTCCTCCTCTTCCTTCTCGACTGAATTCCCGCTTCGCCCCCCGCCGCAATGCCGCGTCCGCCGTGCAGTGCAGCGCGGCACCGCACATATCAGCGTGCCATCAAATGTCCAAACCACAGCCGTCAGTTGCCAGGGGTATGTTACGTGAGTGTGGCGACTGCCGTGTCGACCCCCTTCTCGGTCGAGAATGCCATGATGTCCATGTTCGAGGGCCCCCACAACCGGGGTGAATCACCGCCGCGGCAATTGATTGGACTGATGATCGACATCAGCGAAGAATTTGGATTGTTCAACGGGTGCGCCCGGAGCAGGATGGAGCAAAGAAGAGAGAGAGAGAGAGTAAGCGAATGAAATTTTTTTTGGTTATTTTGACCAAGTCATGCCCGTAATAGTATGGCAAGACGTTGCTAGGCGGGCAGGGGAAGAAGCCAACCAAGCAAGACGCATTGGTTGGTTTGCGAAGTGAGGGCTCAGCTCAACTCAATCAAAAAGACCATCCAGGTTTTGTCCAGGATTTGAACCAAAAAAAAGGCATTTTCCCACGCTCACGGCGTTTCGGCGACGACGAATACCAATTTCTCACCGCTCACTTTCCCGCTCTTCTGATCTGCCATGCCCTTCAACACGCCTTCCAGCCCGTCCTTGCCGACCTTCTGCTTGTGCGCCTTCACCTTGCCGTCCCGAAGCAGTCCTTCCGCCATGGCCATGAACTTCTTGGCGTACTCAAAGTCCTCGTTGATGGCTGGGAACTCGTGGGGCCCAAATTTGAACGGCTCGCCGAAGATGGTGTACATCAACGTGGTCGTGCTCTCGACGTCCTCGCGCGGGGAAGTGACCTGCAGGATGGTGCCGTATTGGCAGCCCGGTTCGCTGGACAGGGCGTCGGCGCAGAACTGAGCGCTGGGCTTCTCGCTGATCGTGTCCCACGCCAGTTTGAGCTTGTTGTCGGTCGATTCGCGGATCTTGGAGGGAGCTTGCGGGTCGTTGTAGTCGTAGACTTCGCTGGCTCCGAGCGACTTGACATAGTCAAAGTTGCGTGGCGAGCAGGTGGCAATGACCGTGTATCCGGATCTGTTGAAAGCCGAAAAGTTGGAAACCCGCCGTTAGCCTCTTACTTTTCATCCTAGGAGGGGATGGTGATGGGATCGGGACACTCACAGCTTTGCGAACTGAATGCCTAAGGCGCCGGTAGCGGTGCTTCCACCGTAGATAAGAACATAAGTCTTCTCTTTGACGGGGTCGGTGGGCCAATTGAGCTTCAACGCCTTTTGATAGAGTCCTTGCATAACAGTGGTGGTCCCAAGCGGGAGGGTAGCAGCCTCTTCAAAGCCCATGGAATCCGGCATCTTCATCTGAATGTCTCCCTTTGCAACCACGTACTCGGCAAAGGCACCGTCTTCCGGCTGGACTGCATTACCGCCATGGCTGACACCGGCAATCCTGTCACCTTTGGAAAAAGACTTGGTGACGGCAGGACCGACCTCCTCGACGATTCCTGAGAAATCACACCCTGAGAGGCAGCCATCAGCTGCCAAGCCGAAGGCAGCGTGCTTCCAATCCGTTGGGTTGAGCGCCACGGCGACGGTTTTGACGAGGATATAGTCGTCGCGAAGTTTAGGCATGGGACGGTCTCGGTCGACATAGACGTCATTGCCCTTGATGACGACGGCCTTCATTTTGAATCTTAAAATTTGACCTTGGGAAGATGAAATCTTGGAGAATTCTCTTCTCAGGTGTGCCTCAGTGTAATACGTGATTTGCACAGTGGTGTCAATGGACAAGCCCGTATCTAGTCTTTCAGGGGATAAAGTTGTAGGCGATCAGGATCTACGGTTGGTATCTGACAGTGTAAAAGTTTGAGACGACTACGTTTCAACGTGAAAAGCGGCAGGAGAAAATGAGGTTCTCATGATATCATTAACTTAAATACCTAAAACACAGTGATAGAAGTCGAGAACATGGCATAGGGCCGCGGTTCGGTCAGAAGGTTGTCCCGCCCGAACAGAAGTGAATGGCTCCCTGGAGTAGAGAAAGGCTCCCCGGAGCAGAGGAGGCTTTGATAAGCAAACCGTGCATTGGATTGTGGCTCGTTGGTAATGAAGCGAGGAAAGGAAATGGACGGCGAGGGGGGTAGATCGCCCACATGTACCGGTACCGAAGGTAGCCATGTGTGGAGGGCATGGTGGTGGAGTCGTTCAAATCGTCACAGCCATTACCTCGGCGAATCATCCCCTGGGTGGCAACAAGGGAACAAATCCAGCTGCGTTCAAGAGCTTGTTATGGGTATCGCGCCTTGATCCAATTGCCGATTTTGGAGAGTGCTTCATTCGTAATGCATATCGGCAGGTACAGGTCGGCATTGGCTCGGTCAGCGGTTGGGCTTCCGTTTTGGCATCCCCATTTCGTAAGGGCTTCATAAGCCAACTGGCACATGAAGATCCCAATCTTGCTGCGGCGCGGCAGCTCGCCCCACCCGGCAACTGGTCTCATATTGTACAGCACGCAGGATATGACTTTGCCTCCCTTTGTCGGGACGATCTTCTTTGCACTGTGTCTCAGGTGGCAGACGACCACACACGCACAAGCCAGTCGCGAAAGCTCTCCGGCCGGACTCCCACCAGCTGGTTGAGGTTGGTATTGACAAAATCATAACGACCTTCGGCAGTGGCGATCAAATGATGAACCCGAGTCTCTCGCGCATGGTCTCCTACGGCCCGGGCGTAGGTCAATGCATCTTGTAACGAACTCCTTGTATGGCCCGAGATTTCAAATGGCCGGCCTGCAATTAGTCAGTCTGTGAACTGTGTTGGAGGGGATCTCGCCGGTGTTTTGACCGTACCTTGGATTTCCTCAGCGATGGCCACTACATCTCGTACCGACAGTCGCTCGCCTCGCAGGCGGAATTCTCTCGGCCACGAAGGCAAGTCCAGGGCTGCGACCACAAACCTCGCGACGTCAGCAGCCGATGTCATGCAAATTGTAGCAGGCTGTCCGGCGCTGTTGAGATAAGGGACCTGTGCCCGCCTTCGACGGAAGTCCATCAGATAGTCCCCTTCCTGCCCGATGTTACTTCGCAGACCGATCTGTGAGGCCGCCATGCCTCCAGGAGCGAATCTCTCGTAGAGGACGCCGCAAGTGAAGACTGTGAACCGCATGCCTGAAGGTTCATGTTGATGAAGCCGAAGAATGGCTGCACGACGGCCGTTGTCAAGAAGATCGTTCTGTGGACGCAGAGAAGGAGGCCCACCAAACTCGGAGGGGACAAAGCGACGTACGTGGGCTGCCGCTGCTGCATCAATCAGAGCAAGTTGGGCATTGCCGCTGACTGTTGAGATGACAGTGTCGACACCGGCCAGTTTGAACTTGAGGTCTGCAGGGTTTGAGTAATCGACCTGATCAACCGCAAAGTCAGTGAAAGCGGATTTCCGAATGATAGCCCTTGCACGCAGGCACAGACGAATATCCTTCACCCACAACATCGTACATAACGGAAACAAAGTGGGCAACTTACTTGGAGCACCTGCCATCCTCTCGCTGTCAGACCTGGACTAGGCTTCGTTGGTCAGTTGCTGCTAACAAATAGCGGTGCCGGGGACGCTCACGTACCCTTCGAGACAGGATTATGAACTGATGAGAGGTCTGTGTCGCGATGCTGTTGGCAATGTATTGGGCCAACCCGTTGGTGCCAACGACTGCGACTTTGATCATGGCTGCGCTGTGCCCAGGAGGGTGGTTTCTGGGTTCAAACATCTGGACATATATTTGCCAGAGACCAGCATCGTGGCAAGGTCGCTATACTACAGTGAGTCAAATCAACTGCACCAATATCAGGAGATGGTGCCTTTATGCAAGCACATGCAGTTGCATGACGCCTAAGCTGCCTAGCCAGATGTATATATCAGTGGATGATGGGTGAATAGAAGTCGATCTCTCAGCCAGGATAGGGTCAAGCAGCAGTATTAAGGCCCAGGTGGTGGACCCAGAGAATGGGAATAGACCACCAATGGGGCCTAGATCCGGGGGGAAAGAGGCTACACAAGGCAGACAAGGACAGAAGTTCTCGATCACTCCTTGCCAATGATAGTGGCCGTCTCAAGAGTCATGCTAGGCAGAGGAGTAGGCGTCGAAGGAAGTCTGCTAGGGATGAGTCGGTCCGGCATTCACGCGGGAGTGGATTGCTTCATGGCCTTTTGGCCATTTCGGTGGTTGGAACATGATCAAACCGGTGTCCATGGTGCAGTGCACATCAAACAGGCAGGGAATAGAGTCCACCCGGAGGAAGATTAACAGTCGAGGACGACGTCGATAAGAACAGAAAATTGTCGCATCTTCGACAAGCAGCAAAGCCACGATTGGTGGGATTTACACACAACAGCAATTCTGAAGGAGCTTGCCGAGGTTTGAGGTTCTGCACAACAGTGTCGCGACGGATCTGTGTACTTTGATCGAGGTTTAAAATGTACGAAGTGGTTGGTGCAACAATGGTAGAAGCTAGTGGTATCCCGGACCCAAGCCAGAGGATGTTGGTCAGCCCTATCAGGCCCGCCGCGGGAATGACCATTGGGGTCCATCCCGCAATGCCAGGACCCTCTTCAGCCGTATGGTCATTCTGACTTGCTGACTCGTAATCTCTAGTGACTCGATGGAAACAAGGGAATTTGCTGCCTGCTGCGACCTCATGCCACTGGAGCAAGCGCCAAAGTGCGCAAGACGGCCGCGGCGGGATTCGCAGCCTCCCCCAAGCCTCTGGCAGATCATGTTTGTGTCCGGCCTTGGGCACCAAATAGCGTCCGAATCTCGGGATCGGTTCAACCTGCCTTTGGCGCCAGGGGAAATAGAGATATTGGAACCGAGCTCGACGAACGAGGTTCGAATCCGCAGACAGAAGTCGTCATCGTCCATCACTGCTTTGCGGAGCAGCCGAGATCAACGTCACAATCGCCGCATGGGTAATCCTCCTCTTGAAACGGCTGAGATCTCGGCTGAAGACAAGCCTAACAATCTTCTGTCCGTTGCAACGGCTTTCTGGCACTCGGTGTCAAGGGATGATTTGAAGCCGAAATCTAAGAGAGGAATTGCGCTCGACCTCGGCGCTGTGGCGGTCACGTTTTCTCGCGTGTTCGTCGCGATAGGGCCGGTGGCTGATCCAAGCACCACCCTGGTCAAAGTAGCGTATTGATAATAATCCCTCGACCGACAACACCCACGGAGCCTGTCCTTGGGGTGGGCTGACAGATCCAAAGGATTGCATAAAAGTCAAAGCTTTGGAAGTTTTGCGCTGGATCCGATGAGAAGGATGGGGAGGAAGGGCAGGAAGGGGGGGCGAGAACCAGTGTGGAGTGAAGGTTTTTGGCATTTCCTCGAGGCCATGGGGCCGGGTGCAGTCACCCGAGGATTCAAGCGTAGACCATTGAGATAGCAGTCAGGTGTTCGCGAGGTCTAAGCTCATTGCGATGGATTCTGGATGCGACGGGTGTCGTTTTGGTTGCTGAAGGACGAGAGGCAGCTTGACTCTTGATGGCGGTGCAAGCAGTGCCAGTGCGAAGGCAGCTGGGTGCTTGGTGAGTGTTGGTGCAGTCGGCGCCAGTGAGTCGAGTTGATCTCATTGTCTTGGCGCCAAAAGAGAAGGGAAAAGCTCACCCAGGCCGTGCCGCTCTTAAACCTACGCACCTCCCTCTCACCTTCACTCACCCTTCACCCTGAACTCCTCTACCATGTAAAGCGCCTACGAGACTGTGAGATCACGCCTATGAGTCACGTAGGATTTGTTTTGATTTGGTTTGGTTTGGTTTGGCCGTAAACATGGTGTACGATGAAATCAGACCGACGGTTTGTTGAATTCGAGAAGAAACCATACAACTATTCTCAGCCCTCCAGCCTGACAATTCATAGCTCAGTCCATGCAATAGCCTGTGCCGATAGGTAGGCTGTAGAGCACCGGCAACGGAATGAACAGTATTAATGTGACAAAGGGGGAGATCATCAACACCAGATATAGGCCCCAAGTTGCATCAAGTGTTGGCCTGGTTGACGCGATGCTCTGGCCTCGCGGCGCGTATCGAGTCTCCGGTTACGTTCGAAAGATATATCCTGTGTCAGGTGTCCCATAATTGAGGAAAGCAGAACGAGCCCACCATGTGTTTGCTACGGCCACCACATAAGATATCTGTTTCCAGAGAGAGGTAGGGCGAATCGTGCTGAAAATGCCAATGGTGTTTACCAAGACCGGCAGAACATCAAATGCGAATGGATTTGTCTCCCAATCGTGAAGGACGCTCGAGTTGGCTACCGATTGGTTGAAGCAGAGGCCCGCCAGGAGCTTCACTCCGGATTGAGTGATTTCCCATTCCCCATGGCAGCCTTGCCGTCGGATGCTGAACATTTGCGCCGACTCCATGAAACTGAGGTAGATATCGTCGGCCGCGTCCCCTGTAGAGCCTATTGGAGATGGCGCGGCCACCGAGTCGTTACCGAAACTGCCCATTAGACAATATGCGTCTCCTAAGTCGGGAGTGTCGGCGGATATCCATCCAAAGCCCAAGCCTGGCGCCGTTGCTTCAAACAATGACGCAGACACAAAACCATTGTATGAGTATTGCATCGTCTGGTTCAGAAAGATGTGATCATGCCTGAGACTAGTAATTGATTTGTTTCGTGTCGCTACAATGGCGTCGACATCGGCGGATACTTGCCATGTCTCATTCCGGGCCAGTCTCCTTTGAATCTCAGTAATGGAGGCAGCAGTGGTAAGTCGAGCAGCGCCGCCGAGTTCTCGCTAAGGATTAAAGTGTTGTAACCGTATGCCAGGGGAAAGTTGGCGGCACTAGAATACTCCTGATCGTTCCTCGAAGCATTCAAAAACCCGGAATTTGCGTTCATGCCCAGATAGATCGAATTGCTCAAAGAGGTGTGCGACCCAAGGTCCGGATATGCTAGCCCGTACAAGGCATTTGGAAAAGCCATTGTTCGTAATCGGCGCTGTGCTCATGCCGCCCAGATACTGCTTGTAGGCGACACTCAGGACTATTGGTAAGAAGGTAAGTATACAGAGTCCAACACGCCATGCCATGTGGACATGGCTACCGATGAATTGCTTTCGAAGTATGGCGTCGTAATTTTGGAGTGCTGATTTACCAACTCGAGCTTCGAGAAGAAGGAATGAGCTTTGCATCACTCTCTGGAGGCAAAAGTTTTGAATGCTAAGCACGATACCGATAATGGCGATTCGGTTCTTGACTCCGAGGCGCCATGGGAATGAGCAATATGGCAGGATCGTGAATATCGCAAGTACGAGGCAGGCAAGACTGCCAAGCAGAGCAAAGCTGTCCTTTTTATCGATCCATGGCTTTGCAGACGCCTTGCCGAGTGATGCTGACTGCTCATCTCAGGAAGGTTGCGATTCAGCGGGAGAGAGTAGTGCTTGCGTGGAGGATTCCATGGTTGGCTGTGGAGATGAGTTTCCCCAGATGGAATCGCCGGACTGTCCTGTTCTCAAATAACATCGCGGATATGAATATGCTGTAGCATTATGGGTACAGCCTTATGTGCCTCAGCGCGGCGCACCAGCATTGATACACCTGCGCGCCATGTCCCAGCCGCCGACAGGAGTCCGTTGGTTGCAGTTGGAACTAGATCCCGGCTCTGGTTCAAGTGGTGTATGAGGTAGCGGTTGTGAACACGAGCTAGAGGGGTTGATGCTCTATTTTAAGATAGATTCTCCCCCTGGTGATTGGGTACTGTTTGCGGTGGGACGGCACGAATGGGGGCCATGCCATTTTGTTCATTGTGGTGATAGAACAATCTTCAATTTTGGACAGGGAAACTATCCAAAAATAAGATTGTATTACTGTGCCTACATTGTTACGACTCCAGCCTTGTCGACAGCGGGTAGAGTCTGCAAAGTTCGCTCGGCGGGGAGGATCGTGAATTACACCTGGTAACGAATGGCACATACGGCAGGGAACAGGCAAGCCGAAGCGCCAGCATACCCGTGTGTGTGAGATACTGTGGGCTTGTCATAGCTTGCCAGCTTGATCATTGATGAGCAAGAGCCTGAGCAAGAAACACTTTGCCTAGAGGGGAAGCTGGCCACATTGGGCTATTATGTACCCAGAAGCATTGACTCCCAGACGCTGCTTTTGACCTCCCGGGCCCCCGTGGCGGGCGAACACAGGGCGGCATCACTCTGTTCCCAAAGGGCGGCCGAGGGTTGGTGGTGAGGGCGACAGGGCAATGAGGGCCATTCAGGGTCGGGCTAGTGAGGCTCGCTAGCTAGAGCCAGTGGGTCCCGAGGTCGAGTTGATCTCATTATCTTGGCATAGACGTGACGCGCCTTCAACCCCCAACCGCGCCGCCGAGGAAAACGACTAGGTACCTACTATACTACTTTACACCTTGTTTTGCTGTCGCGCCTCTGACCGTCTCCCTGCCCTCCATATTTCGTTTCACGTTGCGATAATGGGGCGAGATGCACGCAACACGACAGAACCAGGACCTCAACAACCTCCTTATGGCTTCCAACTCCATTCGAGTAACATGTCTTCTGCCGAGACATCTGTAGCGGTCAAAGCAAAGAGAAGAAGAACGAGGTTGGTTGACCTACCCCGCGCTTTCTGCCCTGAGACGTCTTCTAATCACCGTCCATAGTCCCCAGGACTGTGCCACCCTCGAAGCCGCGTACCAACAAAACTCCAAACCAGACAAGGCCGAAAGAGCCCAGATAGTCCGCCGGGTTGCACTCGGCGAGAAAGAAGTTCAGGTGGGCACCCACCTACAGTCACCAGTTGGTATCAAGGAAGCTGACCTCCTTCTAGATATGGTTCCAGAACCGTCGCCAGAATGACCGCCGTCGGTCCAAACCACTGCAGCCTCATGAGCTCGTTGCCCATCTACGTAACAATGCTGCGAGCCCTGTTCCTGCTCAGACGAGCTCATCTCCAGTTCCTGAGGACCTTTCCGCCTCTTTGCCCCATTTCAACTCAACTCTGGCGCCTGTTGAGCCAATCAACCGACCCGCTTCGCGAGGCTCAAGCATTCACGATCTTCTCAACCCATCCCCATCAGAGGATGAGACTAGCGTCAAGCATAGCTCCCAGGAAACCCTTGGCAGAATCACGCCGCCATCCAGCTTTGAGGAGGGCGGGTTGAGCATTGGGACCATGCCGCCTGCAGATGGGATTCAAAAGGACGTGCCCGAGAATTGTGATACCCAGTTGGAAGCTAGTAGTGACCAGGGAAGCGCTAGAAAGAGAGGCCACGATGAGATGACCGGAGTAAAATCTCCTAGTCACGGACCAGAGGGACAAGGGAAGACCGGAGTGATCAGTGTCTCTAAGGAACCTCTTGTGAGAACGTCGAGTTTTGTACGGCTGGCAATGACTGTGGACGGAGCTGTCAAGGTTCGGACCAACAATGACCCCACACCATCCCCAGAAAAGCCACGGGCTTCACCTCCAACCGCACATAACAAGGAAAAGGCCCCCCTGGTTCGCAGCAAAAGCGCCTTGAATGGTGTGGAGGTTTTCCGCGAGAGCGCACAAGGGGCAGGGTCGAAAGGAATATTTGGCCGATCTCGGGACGCCAGAACTTGGGAGTTTTACTGCGATAGTAAGACCAAAGATGCCCTTTCGACCCAGGCTGAAGCCGAAAGTGCGGGATCTGCTGTCAGCGCCATCAACCTCATTCGATCAAACAGTTTCAAGCCGCGTCTGCAGGCTCTCAGCCCATCTTTGTCGAAGACCAATGCTCGCCTGGCCACTCCGAAAGAAACCAGACGGAAGCTGTCTCGCGCGAAGTCTTCACTGGGGCGTCTACAAGGCCTGGATTTAGCGGTGGAGCCATCGGGTTGCAAATCTAAGCCTGTTCACGGCCACGTCAGATCACCATCTGGAGACTCAGACAAAGAGAATTGGGCGCCTGGTACGAGACTGTCGGAGCATCCTTTACGCAGAACGCAGCCTAGCGCACGTCAACGGCCGGTCTTGCAGGAAAATGAGGAGATGACGTTCCCAGATGCCAGTTCTTCACGAAAGCGCCATGAAGAAGGGTTTGACAGTCAGCAATCCCCAACAAAAGAGAAGGCCAAAGGTGAAGAGCTCGACTGCGTGCAGGGGCTGCTTTCGCTCAGCCAGGGAGCTTGGTCCAGATGAAGCGGCCTGCAAAGATATGGATGGAAGCAGCAGGATGACTGGCCAGGGAGGATATTTGTTTGATTACGGAGGCATGTTCGAGATAGCACAAAAGAGCATGGGATATTTGCATTTTTATCTGCATGGACTGTTCGCAGCCAGTCTGGGGTGGAAAGGGATCATCAACCAAATGTATTATGATCGCTATTGGAAATCAATTGAAGAGGTTATGTTTGTTGAAGGATTATTGTCTTCTATTCCTTTGCTCTTTTTGTGCCCGGCGGGCAACCGCAAGTGCCTGACGGTAGCAAGCCACGTGGGCAACAGCGACGATCCAGAGCCATCACGCCCCGATCTCAAGTTGATGGCTCGACCACCAATCAAGGGCCATCGTGTCCCTTATCCAGTTGAGCTCTTAATATTGATAAACACCCTCGGAAAATATCAGCGTCACTGTTTACATTCTTATAATCTTTTAAGACCGAAGTCTATATCCCTACTTACCTACTCAAGGTACAGCCCCTCCAAATTTCAGGGAGCACGGCAGTTTGTCGAGACGCCGCATCTCATTCGCTCAGGGCCGACACTCCTTCTCCACGTCTCCTATCGTTGCACCAACCCTCGCCCTCGAACATCCAACTTGGATTGTATGTCTCGAATCTCTCGGGACCTTGCTCACAGTGCGCACAATGGCAATGCGGATAGTCCAATGCTATCGTCTTCTCCACCCTCTTCCACTATGCAAGCCTTGCGATGTGCCGGCACGCTGCCATCTAGCAAAATCCCCCACGTGGCGGTTATCGGCGCGGGCATTGCAGGACTTCGCTGCTCCGACGTCCTCGCTCGCAGCGGCGTCAAAGTGACGCTGTTTGAAGCCCGAAACCGTATCGGCGGGAGAGTCCATCAGATGGAATCAGGTGGCTACCTCATGGACATGGGGCCAAATTGGATTCACGGTACCAGTGGGAATCCCATTATGCATCTCGCCAACAAGACCGGCCTGACCATCTTGGAGCCAGAAGAGCACCAGGCGCTTTTCGACACCGAGGGAAGAAGGAGGTCTGACTCTGAAGCCGTCTGGCTGTCGAGTAAAATGTGGGAGATGGTCGTCGATGCATTCAAGTATTCCGATGAGCACTCTGCCGACATCGACCCCCGAGTGAGTCTCTTTGAGTACTTCAAATCTAAGCTTGACGCGGACAAAGAGCTCAGTGGACGGAGAAAACAAGACCTTCTGCATGAAGCGCAGATGTGGGGGCCTTTTGTGGGCGGCTCGGTCGAGAAACAGAGTCTCAAATTCTTCTTCCTGGAAGAATGTATCGAGGGAGAGAATGTCTTCGTTGCCGGAACCTACAGGGACATCTTGAAGGAAATTGGCCGCTCCGCGACAGACGAGAGTAAAGTCGACCTGAGACTCGAGACGGAAGTCGTTCATTTCGAAACAACGTCCGACGACAGCAACGACGACGGTGTCAAGGTTACCGTTACAGCTTCATCTGGCGACCAATCCAACTTTGACGAAGTCGTCATCACATGCCCGCTGGGCTGGCTAAAACGACACCACACGCGGGCATTCACGCCGGCGCTGCCACCAAGACTGGCCTCAGCCATCTCCAATATCAACTACGGCCGCCTGGAGAAGCTCTACGTGACCTTCCCGTCCGCCTTCTGGCTTTCTCCTCCCGACACGGAAGAGGACCCCAAAAACCTGTCGAGCTATCCGATATTCACGCACTTCCACGATCCGGCCTACGTGCCTCACGCGAGGGATGAAGCATGGAATCAATCCGTCGTCTCACTCGCTCACCTCCCAGCGCATTGCGCCCATCCGACGCTGCTATTCTACATCTACGGACCCTGCGGTACACATCTGGTCAATTCCATCAAGGACCTCCCGAGCCACTCGCCAGAATACAACGCCACCCTCGACAGCTTTGCATCCCCATTCTACTCCCGTCTGCCCAACTACAGCCACGCCAACCCCGCCTGTGAGCCCGGATCGTTCCTGATGACGAGGTGGCAGGCCGACCCTTTCGCGGGGAACGGCTCGTACTGTAATTTCCAAGTCGGCCTCGAGCGGGGCGACGAGGACATTGAAGTCATGCGCGACGCGGGCGGGATGTGGAAACGGGGCCTGTGGTTGGCGGGCGAACACACCGCGCCGTTTATTGCGTTGGGAACGACGACCGGGGCGTGGTGGAGCGGAGAGGGCGTGGCGAGAAGGATCTGCACGAAATGGGGGATCAGTGTGCCTGAGGATGCGGCAGTGGAGGAGGCAAATGGAAACGCTGTTCACAAGAAGGAATTAGACAAAGACAAGGCAGACGCGGCAAATTTGAGTGCGTTGGCGATTTGATTTTCAAGGATACATGCATATTCTCGCCTCTTTTTTTGCATAGCCAATGCTCATCTCATCTAAGACCTAAACCTCTTTGCGCAGCTAGTGAACCACTCTGCTTCACCGTGTCGCACAGTATTAACTCTGAAAGGAAGGTCTGCGGTTGAAAGAAATAATGCTCGCGTTGTCGAGCTGTTCCAAGGAGAGCGCCGTGTCGGATCACATCTTCTCGAAAGCCTTCTCGAACTCTGCGCATGGGAGGCGGTCAGTTGGTATGTCACTTTGACGGCCGAAACCAAACAAATCAAGACTACAAAAGGAAACAGAAAGAGAGCGCTCACCCTTGGTAATCACGTCCATCTTGTCGTCATCGGTCAGGTCTCGGGGCTGGCCTCTCCAACGGTTCTCCGTGGCCCTCGCCAGTCTTTTCTTCAATTGCTGTTGCCGCTGGTGGCCGTACTGGTCTAGAGCTAGTTTGATGCCGATGCGTTCGACGCGGCTGGCAAAATTAAACGGGTTCTGGGTGCGAGCCAAGAAGCGCTTCTCAGGCCTGCTGGATCTGGCTTGCATCTTAGCTTCTAGAGCTTCGAGGGCAGCTCGCTTCTGAGCGCGTGTTCTTGGCCTCGCGAGTGATTCATCGGCTTGTTTAGGACCGCGTTTGCCTCGCTTCGGCTGTCGTTTGCTGACACGATACGGCGTTCTTGAAACAGAGGTTGAAGGAGTAGGTCCATCACCAGCCTCAGCTTGGTTGTCTTTAGCAGGAGCAACAGAGGCATGGTTCGGGGCAATCGGAGGACCGGGAGAAGCGGACGAGAGTGTCGAGTCAGCTTTTGGGATCGGGTCATAGAACCAAGTGATCGGCTTTTGAGTCAACACATCCAAATGCGGAGCGAAAGGGGTCTCCTCCTCATTGTCGGGCAATTTGTCCCAAGATGGAAGCGAGGGATTCGAGTTGAACATATGGAAGACAGCACTATCTGTTTCCTTCGTGTCAGCAATGAAGGATTTATGAAGTTTTGCATGGCCCGTGATGCGGGATGAGGCAAGATACCCTTGACTGCTCTAGTAGCTAGTTCTTGACCGACTTGCAGACCAGACACGTTGCCCGGATTTGAAGTAACTAGTATGCTGCTCAGCTTGACGCCGCGCCGTGCGAGTTTTCCCAGAATCATGTGCTGGACCGTTTCAGGGGAGGCCGCGGGATCCGGGACATTGATGTATAGCGACTGCATCGCCATCACGTTCACCTGCAACACATTTTGGTCAGGTGAAGAAGCCATGGTCGATGTTGGTCATGGGTGTGTATTTGGGAGGAAATTGAGAAGAGAGTCAAAGCCAAGTCGCAGTGGACGACGGGTATAAATTAGCCGCAAACAAACATTAGTAAGTGAAGTGAAGTGAGAGTGAATGGTCGTGAAGTCCTGTCTTCTCGCGCAGGCGTCTGCCCGCAGTAGTGAATATGGCCGTGAGCGACATATCACATTGCGATGCACGGCGTTGGCCGGGAGGATCCAACCTGTCACACACCAAAAGTGAATATTTGCAACAACTTCATAGCGTGGTGATGGACATAGACATGGACGTGGCGGCTTTGTGGTGTTTTGCACGAGATGAAATTTGAAGCATCTTGAGCATCACCATCATGTCGTCATTGTTTTCTCCCTCGATGGATCAACTTCGGCTGCTGCTCTGGCGCCTCACCAGCCTCTGCACGTCCCTCCCGTCAAAGCGTTACACGGCCCACTACCTCGTAACCGCCACCAGCTTCACTAACTTGCCTCCAACCTCTCTCCTCTCTCCTCTCTACCTTCTCTCTCCTCTACTCTGCCTGCCGCACTTGTGGAAACATATATCATCATTATGGCAATGTCCGGTGTGGAATTGCAATGAATACCCACAACCATGTCTGGTTTGAAGCGTAAATCGTCACGCCCCGCACACCACTCTAACAATTCCGCCAGCGCCTTCATCAATCCATGGCCATCCGCAGGGACGCCAACATGGGCCGAACTGTTTCAATCGTCCTTCCCACTTGGATGGTACTCTGATGAGCTCAGTGGTCATCAAAGAGCCCGACAACTCAACGTCATCACTCCAGACTGGGGTAAGGCGGATCTGGGAAGGAGGAATCTTGACAAGTCCAGTTGTATCGTCGGAACTTGGTTAGGCCATGCAAGCGCCCTGGTGGAGCTGCCACCTCTCGATAATCCCGAGCACAAGAGCACATGGCTTCTTTTCGATCCTATCTTTTCCATGCGAGCAGGACCGACACAGAATAGCGGTGTCGCACGGTTCAAGCAAGCTCCTTGTCAGGCCGGGGACCTACCAGGTTGCGATGCAGTCTTTATTTCCCACAATCATTACGACCATCTGGACGCTGCTTCAATCAAGGCGATTGTGAAGAAGTTTCCCCAGGCAAAGTTTTTTGTCGGACTTGGCATCGGACAATGGATGTCATCTATTGGGGTTTCAGGGGCACAAATCTGCGAGATGGACTGGTGGCAAAACCGCGAGTACAGTCTTGAAGACTTCGGTGTCCAGCCACTGCTAGCGTCGACCGATCAAGTCGTTTTCAGATTCTCATGTGTGCCCGCCCAGCATAACTCTGCACGGAGTCCCGTCGACCAGGGGCGTACGCTCTGGTGTGGCTGGGTCGTCGAACGTTTTCTTCGCTCACAGGACGAATCAAGCGAATCCAAGGTGGCCCGACGAGGGGCCATCTATCATGCCGGTGATACAGGCTATCGCAGGACATCAAGATCGGACGTTGTCTGTCCCGTTTTCAGAGAAGTTGGGGAGGAATTCGGCCCTGTCGATCTTTCATTCATTCCTATATGGCGCGGTGGAACTCTAGGGTTCTTTTCCTACATGGGGCTGCGACTGTCGCATCACGACATACCCGCAGCATTCCATGCTTCTCCAGCTGATGCCATTGCGATCCATCTTGACGTCCAGTCACGTAACAGCGTTGGAATTCATTTTGGGACATTTGTTGGTTCAGAGAGCGAGACTTACGAAGCCACCATCGAGTTCGCTGAAGCGTGCGAGAATCGATCTGTCGAAAGCCTGGACAGTCAAAGCGAGGGTGGCAATGGGCGTGCAGGATTACTGGACATTGGCGACAGCCTGGCCGTACAAATTTCTTAAACAGAGGGTTGCGGATCCGACGGTTGTGCAGGAAGAACTATTACTTCCACCTATTGAAGGTGGTCATCATTGGCGTCTTGAACATCAACGAATCCTCTGCTTCGCCTACTCCATATACTGACAGCCTCGAGCTTTCCCTTCATCTAAGATGGGCAAGCTGAAACTGCAGGCTGATGGGTCTGAATACGGGCGACCTAGCCCCTAAGTGAAAGAAGCCTCTGCCTACCTAGGTAAATTATCGGCGATGAAAATCTATCCGCCAAATACGCCCCGGTCCCAGAGGGTGAGGTACGACTAGTGAGACCTTCGGAACGCCTGAGGTCCACCCAGACCATATTTAAATCTATCCTGTCCTTCCGCTGAGTCGTCGCATTCAGCTTCACTTTGTTCACTCCCCATTACAAGGATTGTAAGAGGATCTAGTTGTACTATATACCCTTGATGTTCAGCGAAGCTGGATAGAGTGCCATTTATAGTGTAACAAGGTAAAGTGGCTGTGCTGTGTTGTGCTGTGCAGGGCTGGTAGAGAGGTAGCAAGGGGGGAGAGCAGTTGTCTAGTCACATGTCAAACCAAAATGGGCTGGCAGAGTGCCTTTCTTTACAGTTTGAGTAGAGTATCACGAATTCTATGGCTTTTGGTGCCGTCTACCTAATTCTTGAGTGTTTTATCAGTCCTGTCCTGTTCCTCGATGCTGCCGCTGTGCTAGGTGTTCGTAGCCCTAGCCGCTGCCCCCCCACCCCCCCGGGGGGGTTTTGGTGGTGGTGTTGTCTTGTCAGTGCCAACCAGAAACGCGTTCTCGATTCCCGACCTGCTGGACAGGCCTCTGTGCGTTGTTGCACGTGCACGCCGAACCCTGAAGTGCTCTGTTACAATAGGAGTGCCTCGTAGGGTAGATTAGCCGGCCATGTGAACCAGGTAATTTCCTCTCCCTCTCGCACAATCAATCAAAATTCAGACCCTTTGTCCAACATGGTACTTCCTAGTCCTCTCTAATCGCCTACCCATATCTTGCTCGGCCTGTGGCTCCTGGCACGGTATTACAGGTGGAATGGTCACCGTTCCACATGCCTTCTGCCTAGAAGAAGGAGACTGCAGTGCTGGCCATGCCCTTAATCTTCTCCCCAGATCCAGGTCAACACTTCACAGATATAGTCCCAGATCTTCCACAGCGTCCGCTTGACGTATTCGAACACCTTTTCCCACGGAACGAAGTACACAACGACCGCGGCAGCAGCCGAGAACAACTCGTCTAAAGCAAACACTCCCTGCGCAACGGCGTTCCCAGGCGCGCCTTCTAGAAGTCCCCAATCTGTATCGAATGAAACACTGTTGTAGCTGATAGCCTTGACTTTGTGAAATATCGATATTGAGCCATAGACCCGGAGACGGAATGCGAAATGGGTGCAATTCGCCAGAGAGCAGCAGAAGTCGCCGACCCCGAATCATGATGGAATTCTCGTCCCAAGTCACCTTGAGGCAGTCCTCAATATCATGCGCACCAACACCGGTAGATGACACAAATGCTTACCACGTCCTGTAGTGGTTGGACTCGTCTGGAGAAACTGCCAGCTTGCTGGCCGGCGTCACCCTTGACGACAACGGCGGCAAAGGCAGCAGCTAGCCATATGATGAGAAATCCAGTCACCAGTATCATGGTCTTTCACTTTGTCCTCCAAGCTCCTCTGTGGAAGCTAGACCTGACATACCTCTGAGTTCGAGGCCCTTATGCCTGAGAGATCACCTGAAAGTATTCATCGCAAGTTCCAGCATCGCAGGGATAAATTTTAGGCTAGGCAAAATGCTTGGAGAATGAGGTCTTAGCGGAGGTATTTGTAGGGATCGGCAGCGGGAAACCATAGAGGGTCACCGCAGGTCATGGTCAGCTTGCAGCCATTTGGGATAATTGCCGGTGGCAGTCATTCCCTGGTCTTGGCTCTTCTGCATGATTTGCAAAAAAAAAAATAGGTGTTAGGCAAAGACTGTATTGATGAGAATGTTTAATATTGGTGTAGTCAAAGAAAGTAGACAGACTCCTTCATCAAGAGCCGTGTGGGAAACGCAGTGCTGGATCTGTTATGTGAAGGTGCTTCGGAGAAGTCAGTCAGGGTGACGTGCTCTATCGAACTGCCTGGAAGAAGCTATTCGAGCTGTGTTTTACCTATATTTAACGAGAGGGGAACTCTCTCGTAAGTTAAATACCAGCTGTCGGCGGGAACTGGAAGCTCTTTGTTGCCCTGCCTTAGGGAACCTCGGTGCTGGCGTGGTCGGCCTGAGTATTCGCAATCCCCTATTTTTCAGTCTAATACCAGTAGTAAGCCTTGACGTGTCAGGCCCGTCAATGGATGGAATGGCGCCAAGGGGTGGATAGGACAGGTCGTACGTTTGGAGAAACGTAGTTTTGAATTGTCGCTCTCCTCTCCGTACTGCATTTTCTGTAAGGTAATATCCAATATTGATTGATTACCTCGTCCTTGGAAAAGAGGGAAAAAAGAGCAACAGAGCGTTTGAATGAAAATACCAGGCGCCGTCACGTGCCCGGATAACCTTCCTCATAGTGGTGGAATATTTTTAGCACTGGTTCCAAGTACGAGCAGTACGATGTAAACACCAAGACGCTGTTCGGCCCCTGAATTAATCAATTTCAGCAGGCAGGTCAGGTATTTCTAGGTAAGTAATACTAGCCTAGGGACAAAGGATTGGCCAGGTTGGAGGGCGGCTATCTGACCCTTTTCGGCGGCTCAAATGTGCTGCTCAGGGCCTCAGGAAGCGCCGATGAAGTTCCACCAAAGTTCACACTTGCTCCCTGGGCGCCTACGCGAGCATTGGCAATGCTGGGCGAGCCCGAATCTGGCTCCTCTCGCCTGTTGCTATTAACTACCTCCTCGTCCCAACGGAGGTAGGTACGGAGTAGATATAACGGTCTTTAGGAAGCTCACATCTTTTCAGGGCACCAGTCCTGAATCTCTTGGATCAGCGTCTTGTCAAGATGCCTTGATGTTTTCGTATGCTTGACGCCTGCCTCCATTCAGTCTCCCACCAGCCTTCCATCATGGCCGAAATCCTGGGTGCAGCATCGGCCATTGCGGGGCTGATGTCGTTGAGCGGCACTGTTCTCGCTGAGGGCTACTCATTCGTGGGAGCTGTCCACAGAGCCCCGAGAGAGCTGCGGCAGCTCTTGAGTGAGACTGCCGCAATAGACACTGTCATCGGGCAGCTGCAATGTCTGACGGATGATGATGATCGGGTGGCGGCTTCCGGCAGCAAGTCGGCTCTGAACGAACTCAGCAATTCAGGCGTTTTACAGGAGTGCAAAGAGTCTCTGCTCTCTGTCAGGAATTCCATTGCCGCCTGTGAGCAGGTTGCCGGCCATCGAGTACGGAATCTTGGGAAGATGATCATATGGCCGTTCAAGGAGAAAGAAACCAAAGATGCCTTGGCCAGGTTATCCAGACTCCGAGATCTTCTGAGCACAGCCATGGCTGTGGATGTGAGGTAAGCTCTAAAGCGGACACTGCCTGATCAGCAACCAAACCGACACTAATTTGTCCTGTAGCTTAACGTTACGGAGTGTCCGTCTACTTTCTCAGCGAAGCTCTATGGGCGTCGAAGCTCTGCAGACACGAGCAGCACGCAGGGATGACAGAGAAGAACGAAGAGTTTTGTTCAAGTGGCTAGATCCAAGTTCAATCAATGTTAACGAGAACTTAGAGGAGGGTTTGAAACATCATCATCCTGGAACAGGCAGTTGGTTCTTCGAGTCCGCAACCTACATATCTTGGTCGAGCGGGCCATCAACCCTCCTGTGGATAAATGGGATCCGTGCGTGGCTCCCTCAATCTCTCAAAGCTTTACTGACAGGACGAGCTAGCCGGTAGTGGGAAGACCGTCCTGGCGTGAGCTTGTCCGCTTGTTCTCCGTGCAGCAATCTCTCTGACGCCTCTAGGTCTTCCATTATTCAAGCGCTTCGTGCACAGACTGCTGAACCAGCAATGAGCTTGGTGTATTTCTACTTTGACCACAGAAACTCAGCGAAACGAACCTTGAAAAGTTTCCTGGGGGCTATTTTGCTGCAACTCATATGCCAACATCCAGACTTGCTGGATGAAGCCACCAGTCTTTATCAAAAATACGAAGCTAACTTCGGCAATGCTATCAGCAGCACCGACCTTCTCGCTCTGCTAACAACTTCGATTCAAACTGTTGGCACCCTCGTGGTTGTGATCGACGCTGTGGACGAATGTACGGAACTTGAAGATTTTGTCTCAGCCCTAGGCAGAATTGTAGGAACAGAAGGTGCTATAGTCCGAGTTATCGCTACAGGTCGCCATGACCACTCGCTTCAGAAACACATGGGAACCATGGCCGCTTACCGTGTCACGCTCGAACACAACATTGGAGGCGACATCAGTTCGTTCGTCCGCGCCGAGGTGAATGCACGAGTTGCTGCACGCAAAATCAGGATCAGGTCTCCTGAGCTAAAAGCCCTCGTCATCGAAACACTATCTCGCGAAGCCGGTGGCATGTAAGTCTTCGGGACACTAGAGCCCTTCGCGAGCTGATTCATTGCGGGACAGGTTCCTTTGGGTGAAATTCCAGTTAGACATCATTTCAAAAATAACAAATGATAAAGCAATCCGCGGGGCTCTCCGTGAGCTTCCCAGAGGACTGGAAAACACCTACATCCGTGTTCTGGAACAAGTCAAGGAACAGAATGCCCATGACTTGGACGCAGTCTGCAAGATGTTGATGTGGCTTGTCTCATGCTTGACACCTCTGACTCTGAGTCAGCTTGTCGAAGCCGTCTCCATCAAGCCAAATGACTCGGAGAGAGACCTTGAGAAGATGGTCACCGACGAAAATGATCTCCTCGAGATACTTGGGAGTTTGGTCGTTGTTGATCGAGATCAAGACGACCCAGTGGTGAGTCTGGCTCACTTCACTCTTTACGAGTTTTTAGTTTCACACCGGTTGAGAGGCCACGAAGCACTCTCAATGTTCTTCATCCCAGCCCGCGGCTATCTGGATGTCGGGTTGTCTCTTGTCCAATATCTGTCGTTCTCTGATTTCAGGGAGCCTTGTGCAACCCAGGCTGATCTGATACATCGCACATCCTCCAACAAGCTATTGCTACTCGCCGCAAGGCATTGGTTTACACAATTACGCGCTTTGGGTGGTCGAGGTCCGCTTTCCAACTACATCCACAGGTTGCAATGGTTTATTGAGCCATGCCGGAAAGGAGACTTTCACTTCGTCTCGTGGCAGCAGGCGTATCACGGTTCTGTCTCGGACTTGCCTCAGACGAATCCATTGGTTTACGCACATCGCTTCGGAATGTCCAATCTCTTCGACATCCTGATACAGAAGGGCGCCGACACCCAAGCGTTGTCCGAGGATGACTACAGTCCTCTCGCGATAGCGGTGATCTCAGGCAAGAAGGATCTTGTCGCAACCCTGCTTCAATCGAAGCCCAGGCCAGACCTCGAAGCACAATATGGCAGGGGCTTGACCTGCCTCCATCTCGCCGCCGAACGTGGGAAAGAGGATATCGTGCATCTGCTACTGGAGGCCGGAGCTTCTCCCCACGCACGGAGCGTGTCTGGCACGACACCATTGTATCGCGCCGCTCGAGCCGGCTCGATCGCCACGATGGAGCTTCTGCTCAACGCTGACAGCGAGATCAACGCGGAGACATGGGACGGGTGGACCGCCATCTTCGAAGCGATCGAGAATCACCACGTCGGCGCCACCCGGTGGCTGATAGCCAGAGGAGCCGATGTAAAGCGCAAGCTGGGCGTGGGTACTTCGGTCTTGGAATTCGCCCAATTTCACGAAAACGCAGAAATCATCCAGATAGTCGAGGAGGTATTGCGGTCGCCATTGAGGACATTTTGATAAAGCAAAGCACGCCTCAAGGAAACACAGCAACTCCATACATGAGTGAATGAACCAACGAATGGACAGAGGAATGGCCTTCTCAAATCGCAATTGTTGGCCTGTATACAATCCGATCTAGCTGAACCTCCCATTTTTCAGGGAAATTTTCTATTTAGTGATTGGAAAATGTGGTATATACGATCCATTTAGTCGAAACAGTTGGCGGTTCGACTGTTCAACTGGCCATGTATACACCTCTATTTCTCTGTCAATATAGAGCAGACTAGGATAAAGAGAGGAGAGAAGGATGTGAGGATTTAGAAACGGACGCGCGACGAGGGCGAGGGAGAGAGAAGATGTTCTTTTTACAGATGGATCCATTCCTTCATCGCTCAATATAGATACCACGATATTTCCGCGATGTAGGCCTGAGTGGGAGGTGAGATCGCTCGGTCCAGCAGGACCTGGGGGGCAGCATCGCCTCGACCCATCGAGAGCTGTGCCCGCTTACGCAAATGGATTCGGACCGAGATTCTCCTTACAGCTCGTCTTCCCATCAATCACCCGGAGTCGTGGGATGCCGGTCGGAGGAGGAGACGTTGCTTCGGGCTGCAACAGCTCGCGCCGGCTCGGCCGCCACGTGGCGGCTCGCTGATTCTCCATGTCCTCTGGGCCGTTCACCATGCCGCTGAAGGGGCAGGTCATCTTTTGCTGTTCGTTGGCCAGGCGGACCTGCTCCATCGTCCGGCCGAGACTGGTGGTGCTCTTCTCCGACGAGGTCGACGACACCGTCCCGGCGATTGAGTCGTCGTCGTTTCCTCCCCCGTTGCCCAGGATCCTCTTCCCGTTGAGGTAGCCTTCGGGCTCGCGCGCCTCGGCCTCCATGTCCTCCTCGATGTCCTCGTCCAAGAACTCCCGGCCGTCCTCGACGTGCCATTTCGCCATCAGGTCGTTCTGGATCCAGATCACCTTGCCGATGGCCTTGACGATGGCAATCTTCTGCGTGAGCTCCACTCGCGGGTGTGAGAGGATGGCTTCCGTCATCGAATCCTGGATGTAGCCCAGACACACGCCGAGGAATATGTAGTCCACATGGAGAGGATTGCGGCGTCCTTTGCCGACATGCATCAGCCTAGGAGTGTTATGGTCAGACATGTCCTTCTCTCCCTCGATGATGAAGTAGACGACCAGATTGGCACGTACAGGACGTCCGGTCCAAAGTTCGAAAGGGGGGGGGGAGGTAGTACAGGCGCTTACCCTACTTTGTCCAGATATTGCCAGTACTCCATTTTACTGGGGTCGGAATTGAGTTTCGTCAGGTACCATCTCAAGAACATCTTCCGATGCCTGATCTGTGCGTCGTCTTCTTTGATCCATTTGACGGGGTTTTCTTCGACACGACTATCTCGTGTACTGAAAACTCGGGCCGTGATGTCGTGTTTCAGCAACTTCTTGTAGACCATGTTGACGATGGCCGGGATAATGGCTTTGATGTATTTTTGTCCCTCGATCAGGGCAACGACATCATCTACACCGTACCAAAGGTCAGCAGAGGAGGCCTATGAAATTGCCCGTTTGACAGCTCGATGCTCGAACGGCATCAGAAGCTCTCTGGGCGGAGGGAGAGTGCTTGCCTGCTCCGAATTCAAGGAATTGCTGGAGGTATTGAACTCGAACTGGGAGCGACGTGTACAGTTCGCGCCGATCCACATGTTCCATGGAATTCGGAATATCCCCCATTGTGCCGGCGTACAGTGAAAAACGAAGGAGACGTCCTGGAGCTATTTCCGCACGGGATCTTGTCCGCACGTTGCGGATCTTTTTGAATGCGAAGCCTTCTCGACCAAGGAACAGAAAGCCAGCTCAAGAACGACTCCAACTTTGGTTCGCGATGGCGAATTCATGATTTTAAAGCCGGCCGGATTGATCCTGTGTGCTTTGTCAGGCCAAGGAGGCGCTTCCGACAATTCCTCTCACCGAGCCTATTTGCAACAACACATCTCCATAGTCGACTCCCCGATTGGGACGAGTCGAAGATAATTTTTCGATCCGTCCCGCTAGGGAGCAACCCACGTTGCCAGTTTCCACGTGCAGTGGCGTGACCATCATCCGCCTGGGGCCAGGGCCGTTACGAAACCTTGTTCTAGTTGCATATTGAAACCATGGTAACGCCACTCATTGATCAACGGGAAAGCATATTGTCGATATCTCCCGCCAGTGCAGCGGCCATCTTGAAGACCCTGCAGCTGCGTAAGCGAGTCTCTAGAAGGTGATGTACGGGCAGATTCCTCGTTTGCCGAAACCGGTGGGTCAAATTCGGAAGATACACAAGGGGGTTGCTAGCCCTAAGGCATGTCTCAGAAAGCAAACCACGTTTCTTCCAAGCCCGTCAGGAGGTACTGGGTACCGGTAGGGAAAAATTTCAACTCTCTTGCGCCTTGCGGGGCATTCCAGAACCGTGGATCCAGGAACTTCTTTCAAGCCCGGCGATTGGTATCCGAAGCTAGCAATCCCAAAAGCCAACGGGCAAGAAGCGACAACTTGTGGGATTGGTGCCCCCTGAAAGACCGTAGCAGTCTAGCCAGTAGATAGTAGCCTCGCACGCGGCAGACCGATTATTAAGCAGTAACAAGTAGAGTTCCCGATCGCAAAACGAGGCTGACACTCGGCGATCATTGAAATTGAACAACATCTTGGTTGCCCCTTTCAGAACCCGAGGCTTCGTCGAGCTCTACTGGGTACTCGGTACCATTACAAGTAGGCTTGACTATTATTGGGGGCCAGGGTTCGCTCTCCTGATATTGTACCTCGTACTAACTTAGATCGAACCGCTTGAAGCTAAAGCCGAGGATGTGGGTATTGAACGGAGCCTTCACGGCCTTGTCCACCTCCTGCACTTGGTAAGTAGTTGGTGAAGGGACAGAGTGCCGCCTACTGTCTGACCACGTAGCAAGGGATGTTGCGAGAATGACCGCTTTCACCCACTGCAGCGTGATGAATCCCCTGCGGTTGCGTTCCAGAATCATTGATGGAAGCAATCCCCGAACCTTGGCTGTATCAAGTAGAGCAACAATCTGTCGGACAAAACCGTCGAGGGAACAGGGGAACCTAGGCGACTCCCACCAAAGGCTCGTTCATGCGGTAATGTTCGACGTTGCCGGCTGCGAGGCTCTGTGATGAGGCGAGAGGTTTTGCGTGTCCTGTGGCGTGATGGAATTCCCTGCGGTATCCACAGACCCATATTTACTGCGTGCCTGTCAAGTATCATCACTGCGGGCAGCCTAGTGGAAACAATCGGAAAGAAGCAGGCACAATTCGGCAGTTGTGGGCATGCGGGACAGCGACAGAGCCAAGAGGGAATGAATTCTTCTGTAGCAAGCAGAGGAGGGTCAGAGGCTGACGAAGAGTGTGTGAGGACTCTCGTTGCCGTCAAATGTACTCGGAACTCTGTACCAGGCGAGCTGCCCGTGCCCGGGTCACGAATAGTGGCATGTAGCTAAATTACCACTTCTCGCCTTGATCTGCTGGGCTTTGCCTAGTATGTCGTTTGCTATCGCGAATGGTGGGGGTATTGCGCGCTGACCCTCCTCGCCTCCCTGATCTGCTGGTCTGGCGGTTGGTGTGTCCCTTCCGCTATCCTCGAGAACAGTTCTGGAGGGATATCTGGGCTATGGCAAAAGGCAAGTCTCTCAAGTCCCACAAGAACCTCGATGATCATGTAATATCTTTTGGAAGTTGCATCGAGGATCACGACGGGGAAAATCCTTCCAGCCTCCCATGCTCAGCATCACTTGTCGTAGCGGAGATTGAAGAATCCCATCGCGTCACAGCCACCCGTAAATGACCCCTTCACCACGAAGTCTCGGCGTCAAGGGGTGTATGTCAGTATGGCGCGATGGCTGCGTGCCCGGCTTCAGCCAGGATCTGGGCCGTGGTGGCCCTAAGACTACAGTACTTGTTACTGTCGTTCGACCAAACGGTCTCGTCACTAATCGCTCCAATAGCGTGCTCCTCGGCGATCGTACATAGCGACTACTCGGTATGTGAGAGGTGCGGCCTCGACCCAAGCCCTTCGCAGCGCCAGGCAGCAATTTATGCGCCAGCAAGCCAAACGTGGAGGCGTACCCAGTATGTACTGGCCCACGATCAGGACCAAAAGGTCAGATACCAGGATGGCTGCGCGACAACGACGTCATCGCCGGAAGGCATCCCATGCCTGCATACTCCTATAGGCAGTCCCTTCGTCTTTGGCGATGCGTGCATATGGAAACCATGCACATATGGACTCATCTCTTCGGATCTGCTGCCTTTGTGGCCGCAAGCTTCGCGTTGTATGGCTATTCCCGGGCATCCGCGACTCTCATCCTCAGCGTGGGCGACCAATTCGCCGTTTGCCTCCTCGGTCAGCACAGCTGCGGTGGTTGCAGCCGTCACTCTCCTTTGACACCGGCGGTGGCGTCTTCTCTCTCCTTGCAATCTCGGCAATGCTGCCTATATTCCAACGCATTGGCTCGCTGGGTTGGAATGAAGCATATCATCAGATTGGGGCTCAGTGGTATGTAATATCCTACGGAAGCCCTGTCTCTGCTGCTTGGTGTTGGCTTGCATACGAGGTATGGCCGCCCTAGCTGGTACAGCCTTTCATGTTGTTGCCCTCAATCACAGGAGACAAGAACCGCCAGGCATATCGGCATTGTTGAGTTTCGGATGGCCTAGGTGTCTGATCTCGAAATCGACTTCCCTCGAAGGCCATTTGGTGCTCTGGTGTGCATGCTGTCGGACGCTCAAGATATATTCGTGATTACACGGTGAAGGGGGACCTGGGAGCAATGCTGAGGCACTGAGGGCTGCACTGAGGCCAAAGCGGGCGAGTGAGTGAGCGGGTGAACCAATTCAGGGGCTCCTGGGCAGTGGCGTTGGCCACCTGAGTTACCCAGTACCCGGTACTGGGTACGAGGTACCCCCTACTTAGGTACTTAGGCTTGCCCTAGGTAGGCAACTAGGCGGAGCCGACATCAGCCTGGGCAGCCTGGGCAGCCTGAGGTGGGTGAACTAGCGGTCAGGCTAAGACCAACCGCTTTGGGTGCTAAGGCGTGGTCACTTATTACTCCCTGATGATAATGTTAATAAATACCGGAAACATTGCAGTGGCCATTCCTGTCCGCGGCCTCTCGTCGTTGACTTCGTCAGCCCAGATCATCCACATTATGATGAAGGAATATGTTGCTCTCTTCCTTTGTATCGCATCTGCCCGGAGCTCACGTGGTCACTCACTTCGTACGCGCCGCTTTCAATCCGCCTCAGCCTACTGGGTACTGACCTACAAGTACAGGACTGACCCTCTCGCCTCCTTAGCTTGGACTGTTGGTATCGCCCCTCGATCAACAGGATACCCGAGGTTAATGGAAGTTGAATCTGCATGAGCAATGATGCTTGAACATGTACCGTCCGGAGTTCTGCCTTGTGGGCCTACGCTAATTCGGCTTTCTGCCTTCTGGGTAGAGCAGGAGAGCTGATTCCCCGCTTGTCCCAGCCGCATGGCACGTCTCCCCAGCGCGGGGAGCTCGACCTCTCCAACTCCATTCCCCAAATTCGTCAACATTCCCCCACAAAGCGTGTGTGTCTCTTTGCTGCGGTATCACGGAAACACGCTTCGTCTCCCTTGGTTCACACAGCGGCGGCCATGATGCCGCGCAACGGCCAGGCTGTACGCCATCGCTCACGGTGGCGACACGGTCCCGCTTCACGGCTTCTCACCGCTCGTGTGCCGTGTTCTCCAACACAATAATGACCTACGGAGAATTGACGCCCAGTGTTCTCCGCGAGGAGCGTCTCCAAGTACCGAGTACATCACCTTGTTCAACTCCAAGAAGGATCCACTTTCGCCTCGTGGCAAGCATCGTAGGTGGCCGCGCAGAGGGAATATAAACCCCTGATCGGCCCTGCGAGTTCATTTGTACCCTGTTCGATCTTCATCGTTTGTATCTGGATCCACCGCTCGAGCCGCCTCGTTCTTCAGCATGGGCTTGTTCAAGCATGGCACAGGGGACGCGGTCGACGCCTCGCACTCGGCCAAGGCCAACACGTACAACTTTTATGTCGTCTTCTTCAGCGCACTAGGGTCATTTACGTACGGATACAATTCATCCATTATCGGTTCCGTCTTTGGTTTGCCCGCATTCTGGGAGTATTTTAACATTTCTCTCACCGGACCAAATGCCAAGAAGGGAAACGATATAATCGGCGGTGAGCGCAACCAGGTTCCCTGGCATTACACACGTCTGACAATGAGAACTAGCTGCCAATGGTCTGTTCGCCGGGGGAGGCATTATTGGTGCTCTCATTGTCAACTGGATCCTCAACAGACTCGGCCGCTGCAGGTCCATTCAGATCGTCTGTGCCATCTGCGTTATCTCGGCCGCGATCCAAGGGGGGGCGGCTCACGTTGCCATGTTTCTCGTTGGACGCTTCCTGAATGGCGTCGGTGTCGGCATGATGCAAGTCACCGTGCCTGCGTACATGGTCAGTCGCTCGGTTTGACGTGCGAGGTGCACCTCTACTGACGTGCGGTAATAGTCGGAGTTGTCGCCTGCAAAGCAACGAGGTCGAATGACGGGTAACCAGCCTTTTCCGAGTCGCTTTCCGTTTCCACCTCGTGCTAACATTTGCGCAAGGTTCACACGGGGTCCTGATTGTCTGTGGCTACGTAAGTAATACATCTGCAACCCATTCCCGTACAGTGGAGATCTGACTCCGGCCTTCAGGGGTCGGCCGCATTCACCGGTCTGGGCTGCTATTTTGCAGCGCCTCAAGTGCAGTGGCGACTATGCCTCAGTCTGCAGATTGTAGCGCCCCTGATCCTGCTCATCGGCTCGCCTTGGTTGCCCGAATCACCTCGTTGGCTCATTTCCAAGAGAAAAGAGCGGCATGCGCTCGAGATTCTCCAAAAGCTGCACTCTCGACCGGATGATCCATCAGGCCTGGCAGCCAAGGAGGAATTCTACCAAATCTCCAAACAGATCGAGCTGGAGAACGCGACTGGTGTGCACGGAATCTGGGGCATGCTCAAGCGTGCTTCGTATCGCAAGCGAATATATTCGGGCCTGCTGGTGCAGTACGTTTCGATTTCGTCGCGACTGGTGGGTTTCTGCTAACACGCTCGGCAGATGCGCCGCTCAATCCACTGGTGTGCTCGTCATCAACAATTATCAGGTCCTCTTGTACAACAATCTCGGCCTGTACGGGTGGCTCCCTCTCCTCCTCTACGCCATCTATACCTCGTGGGCTGCGTTGATGAATTGGATCAATGCCATGCTGCTCGATCGCCTGGGGCGGATTCCCATCATCACGTTCGGCCTGACCGGCTGCATTTGCATGATGATTGTCGAGACTGCCATGGTGGCCACTTATGCGGGAACATCCCACAAGGGCGGCAATGCAGTGGGGGTCTTGTTCTTGTTTCTCTTTGTGACCTTTTATGGAGGCAGCCAGGACGCCAGCAGCTACGTGTACTGCAGCGAAATCTTTCCAACTGGTGTACGAGCCCACGGACTAGGCACCTCGATTGCCGGTCTTTTTGCATCGACGCTGCTCTACACTGAGGTCGCACCGACCGCATTCGCCAATATTGGATGGAAGTAGGTGTCTCGCCTTTGCTCTTGTCCTCTACATCGCCTTTTCCCGCGACTGTGCTAACCAGTCGTAGATATTACCTCGTCTTTATCATTGTTCCGGCGGCCTGCATTCCATTCTTGTGGCGCCTCCCCGAAACCAATGGGCTCTCGCTTGAAGAGATTGCTGCAAAATTTGGTGACGAAGTCGCCGTCGACCTCTCACATCTCGACGAGGAGCGCCGGCGCGCGCTTGACGATCGCCTCTTGGCAGTTGGTGTCGACATTACTGGGTCGCCGCCGAGCGAGGGCGAGGTCGAGACCAAGGTGGCTGCCGTGGCCAACCATCGAGAGTCTGCTTGAAGTGACGGCACGCTGGCGTCGGAAGGGCAGAATACACCACAGCCAATATTGCTAGAGCGAGTAAAATGTTACGTAAACCGCTTGAATGCAGACAATCTTAGTTTGTTCTAGCCACCCAAACCTGATCTGATACTGCTTACCGTCTCCGGTGGAAATTCACACCGGTTTTACATACCTTCCAGTACCTGCTGCGACTTTGGTTACAAAGCTTTCAATCCAGCTACATCAGATCCAGTAGTGTCGTTTCATGCTTGAAGCCAGCACGGCTGTCCATTGTAACTTGCTTTGCTGTGAGCTCCTGATGAGTATCCTCTCTGTGTTTCGGCACCATACCTATCATTCTCAACCCTCACCAACTTCACTCTCTCGAATCCGGCGAGAGAATGGTAACAGCCGCAGTCAGAGATCATCAGTCTCCCTTACACAGCTCGCCCGAAGCACGCCACTCGCGCCACTAGCATAGCCTAGCTATACCCGAAGACATACCTAACCCCCGAGGAAAGCCGGATCATAGTAGACAAGGAGCGCAGGGCGCGAGAGGCGTGATAGTCGATCTAGATTCCCACGACTATTCTGGAGGAGGCTAACGGTCCTATACCGCAGTTGAAGCCCGAGTCCGTGTCATGGACCGCTCCGCAAAGGGCCTCGATGTGAGATGAATTCTTACTCGAGGTATATACCGTGAGGGAAGGCTATCAAGAAATAGACAGATCAATAGAAACACCGAACGGTATATATCCTTCTTGTACTGAGCGCGTATATACAGAGACTCAAAAACCTTGAAGAGGTTTTGAGAAGCTTCGACGTCCGGTTCCTATCTGTTTCTCCCCCCCCCCCCCGTTACGTCCTTGGCGTCTTTGCCGTGTTTGTGTATTGGACTCGTGCCCTTTGTCGTTGGTTTCCTATGTACATGACATGATCTCCCCCGAGATGTTTTGATAAGATGCAACGGCATTTGCTTCTCCATCTTACGCGTTCTTCATCATTCCGGCGAGCAGGCATTCCCCGGAAAGGCGACAGCGAATCGAGTTAATTCTCGGTCTCAAGAATCTTAAGCTCCGACACAGTATAGTAAACTAGTTACATTATACTATAATTTACAGTATGTGAGGGACAAAGGTGGAAGTAATGGGGATCAGAATTGGATCTCATTTCTCTTTCTCTATTACATGGGAGCCAAAATTGGAGTCCAGGGGGACCAAATGTGGCCCGAAAAGGCTGCTTGACTTGACCACAATGCCCACATCTTCTTAGTTTGTGGCTCCCAAGTCCTCCCTGTTCTTGCTCGAAGAGGATAGGCGACCCCTTTCCTTGTTTCACAGCCATACCCAGGCGTCGTAGCGCAAATCGCCAAGAATCAGTACGCCGGCTTCTCAGCCAGTGTGTGTAGACGGAAAGATCTGGAATCTTCGCTGCAGAGCCTGGCAAACTGACTTCTCTTGGTGAGGATGATGTCGGCGTTCCGTGTTGAGCCTGCCGCGTGGTCCAAAGAGCTCCTTGAGGTCGTTGTAGCTCAGACAAGCCTGCGAGCTCATCACAGTGGATATATTAGTGGTGATTAAACAATCGTTACAGATTCGCAGGGCCATTTGCTTTTACTATACTCTTGGAAGAATTCTTTGCAGAAAATGCGCTTTGACCGTCGGAACTCACCCTCAGGATTCAGACGATAGTCCAGAGATTTTTCCTCAAGTCCGATCTTTCTGGATAATGAAGGAGACGTCGATGTGCTGTAGAAGCTCAGTTTCAAAACACCCAGGCGTTCAAGAACTATGCTCCTCTCGTCTTTGTAGGACGGCAAATTCTGGAGGATAAGGGCGTCAACACGATTATCGAGTGAAGGCCATGCTTTCATCACCAATAAAGCGACGTAGCAGCCTTCACGAGAGAACTCGTTTGCCCTCTCGCCGTAGTCGAGCTCAATCACATGAGAAAGGTGGCGCTCCAAAGCTGAAAGATTACTCCCTGTCGAACGCCAGGCAGGATGGTAGAGCCGAGAAAACCGGTAGACCGGTCCGCGTATGGTAAGTTTGGCATGCAAGACACCGCCGAAAGGATTGTTTGACTCCACTAGACCAAAGCTGACGTCTTCCAGCGTTGCTAATGACTCAAGACTCTTGTTTACCCCCTCATTTCGAATGGTATACCCGGAGGGAGCGTTGGCCCAGCTCCAGGAAAGAGCATTAACCTCGACGTCAGTGGACTGACCAAGGTTGCTGCCGAATAGCTCTAAGCCTTCGGCATACCACAACAAACCTAGCAGTATATTTGATTACCAAAGACCCGCCACATACCTGTCGCCGTAGAGAGCCATCCCGTACAATTTTGCTATTCCCTGAAATTGCAACGAGTCGATCTCGCCGGCATGTCACACCGCGACTAGAGTAGTCTTCAACGATGTTGTACTAGATGCGGTATCTATCGTAGTCCGAATCGCATTCCGGACTCTCTAGGTACTTAGGCAGGAGTTTAAATTTTGTGAAAAGGTCGAATCGTCAGAAGGGCCTTCCACTAGGTTTGTCCGCAATGTTGAGGCCGAACTCGATCAAGGGGACGTATTTCAGGGCTCGCTCGTACTGAACTACGCTGCAGCATTTCCACGCGATCTAATGAGAAGAATAGAACAAGATTCGATTTGGCAGAAGTCCTTCTTGCAGAGTCTATGCCCGTTTAGACCATGGTCCGATTAACTGGTCGTGATGATCGGGCCACGCGTGCGAGACGTAGACCTACGGCGGGTTTCGGTATTCTTCACTGGCGCCCTGATTCGGGTTCGCTTTCCAAGAGATTCCAACGAACTCCGTTTCTCGCGGTCTCAGAAAGCTCTCTGAGGCATCATTTGTGTCCACACTGGCGATAGTCACCGTCCACTGTCCATAGATGTAACTCATCTGCGAAGATTGTTCCAACCAATCCGACTTCTGGTCTTGAAAAATGCACAACGAATCAATCCACAGATATTGAATTCCTAATCCCCCGCTGATGATGATTGCATCCCGAATAGTTGCGTCCAGAGTCCCGATATCAACACCGGCTTTCAAAGATCCTTCAGTTTCTTTCTTTAACTTCAACAACGGCTCCTTTTCCCCCCACCGGTAGCTTAGAGCAACCCACGGCTGCAGTGATGCTCCCGACGGAAACTCGACAAGGTGTGGATTTCTGCTCGCGTTCCCGACATGGAGGAAGCGTGTTAACAAACTTAGACCTGTTAAGTTGGGGGTTGGGCAATCGTGATTCTCCAGGCAAGATGAAAGCCACAATGAAGCGAGCGTCACACAGCCAGGATCGTTAGAATGGCGATGCAGTTTGCTAAACGGTTCGAATGGAAGGTCTGTAGGCACGTCGCCAGAAGCTTTTAGTATTATGTTACTGAAATATTGTAGGCTTTCTAGTAAATAAGACATACCGTTATCAATGCTAATGTCAAGATCACAAAGCCTGATCAGTCCTTGGTCGGGGCTCATAAAGAAGGACCTTAGTTTAGGCTCTATGTATGTCGAAAACTGAAGAGGATCATCCCGTTCATCTTTGATTGTCCGGCCCCCTGCTAGGATGATCGGAAGATCACCTGCCTCTTGTGCTGCCTTTGATTCTTTGCGTTCAAATGCATCAAACAATAGCGTACACAGACCACAACCAGCAGAAGCCGCAATCTGTATCTTGAATATGTTATCAGAGTGTCTGAAACACCATCCGTGATAGTTATCATACCAAAAATATTGCGGGTCTGGATCTACATATGTCGGTGAACCCACGTTAGGGGAATTGAAGATCCGGCACAAGTCGAAGCAAGCTGTTGCAAGTGGTGCATAGAGCCATGACATCGAAATATGGACATCTGTGAATCACAAGGAGTTGTGGGAAAAGCCCAGCAGCAGGGAAACACGTTGTAATGTATGTAGCGGTTGCACACCCACACTTCCGCTGTAGCAGGGCTTACACCGCAATGCGTTGGGCTGGTGGGCTGTCTTGAGGCCACACAGCCTCACGCTCCCATTGCTGATTCACCAGAATAGCATCGCGTTCGCTATCCCAGAAGCGGTCTATCATTGGTAATATCTTAGGTGTCGGGGCCTACATTGCACTATGTACCTCCGTTTCCACTTTTGTGAAGCCTCCTCCGGAAATTTTCTGTATTGTCGTCGTTAGAGCCTGGGCTCTTTCTTATATTTACTAAAGTAAGTGTAGCTTTGGCTAGACTTTTAGACTCAGGCACACATGGTAGGGCAGGGAATGAATGCCTCGCTCTTCAAGTGAATTCTCATATTCAGGGCCACTCGGTTCAACAGCACTAGAAAGGCCGGACTGAGCGCTGGTAAAAGAGTGGGACATCTCTAATAGCGTCAAGTCGTCAGAAGGGATTGGGCGTAGATTTGCTTCTGTATATTGGGGGCTACCGTCTTCGATGCTTGTTCGTGAATCCCTGTACTCGGCTGATGGATTGCAGAGTCGTCGTGAAAAGGTTAGGTCCTGTGGACATTTTGGAAATTAACTAGGCGTCTCTCCAGCGGTGTGAGTGGTGATATGCTCTATGCCGTTCACTCGCTCGAGTTCTGTGTTCTCGACCTTGTTCTCTTGCCCTCGAGAAAGCTCTGGGGCGGTTGGAATACCCTGTAATGGAGACCTGGAGCGGACCTCATCGATGACGGGTAAGATATCGCGCTTGAGCTCTTTACTTGTAGAAGTCGGATATTCCGCATCTTCAACGTAAGGAGTGAGTGGCTTGTTTTGTGGTATGGAAGTACCCTGTCAATGTCTGTAGAGCCTTTAAGCTCAGTCAGATTGAATACGATATTTGTCTACAATGGTTCGGCGGCAAGATGACCAACCAAAAAGTATAGGAAGTGTGGGACTTATTCGGTGGCACCACGGGGAGCAATGAGTCCCTAATCGCCGCGCTGTGGTTTGTAGCCGCTGGGTGCTCGCAGTTTAACGGAGACCAGACATTAGGCATCTTGGCGCCTAAACCACCGAGTTACTGGGGTAGCTTTCTCCGCACTCGCGACTTGCGACTCCAACCCGCGTGTCAAATTATTGTGCGTCGATTCTGGCTGCGATAGACGTTGATCCCATTCTAGGACAACCCAGACAACCCAGACAACCCAACAACCCACCCACACACGCCATTTCTGTTGCTGCGCTTCCGGCCTGGCAAGAATGCTGCTGGAGGCAGGCATTTTCCAATAGCTATGCCACCAAAGCCTTCTGTTCGCGGCGAATACATCGAAACCGTCAGTCTCCGTCCATCACAGGAATCATCAACACCAGGCAATTGCTGACAACCCCGTTTCAGGAAACTGGCAACAAGATCAGTCGCCGAGCCAGCGTCCTGGGTCCGCGCCACATCATACTGGCTGGCAAATGTGTCATTCAACAAGACGTGGTAATCCATGGGGACCTTGTTCGTCCCCCACAGCCAAAACCTCCCTCGCAACAGCAGTCGGGCGACCAGAAGTCGGCAACCCAAGACCAAACCTCGATTCACCTCGGTCGATATGTCTTCATTAGTCCCGGCTGTACACTTCATCCCCCTTCCCGCCTGACCACGGTCCCAAACCCGAACGGCGGTGAACCGCAGCAGATCATGACCTACTTCATGCTCCGAATATCCGACTACGTCTACATTGGTCCCAACACACACATCCGTGCAGCTGAGATCAGAAGCAATGTTTGGATAGGCGCCAACTGCACGATTGGGAACATGGTCATGATCAAGGATAACGTGAAGATCTTGGATGGCACCGTCCTTCCTGCGAACACCGTCTGGGCTGGAGGCACAATCATTGCAGGACGACCAGGAAGAGTTGTGGGGGAGATTGGTGAAGGTTGGGCTGCCGGTGGAAGCAGTGGCTCCTCCGTGGATGAAGGAGTTGGAGTCAAGAGTAGAGAGAGATGGGCTGCTGTTGGAAACAAGAGATGAATCTGCGCCTGGATACGACGATGGACGAAATCTCGTCACTTTTTAGATCCGCCTCGAATTCCATGTCGAACGACAAGTTCCGACAAGAAAGTCCCCCCTGCTGGACGAGATCGAGCGTCATCCATGTTCTAGTCTTTGCATCCATTGCAAGACCTTTCTCTGGAGCGGGATGCTGAGGGTTAAAACCGGTTCGCGCGGAGCAAGCTGCGTGAATCTCGGGCCAGAAGCGATAGAAGTCTGTACGAACCAGTAAAAGGCATTTTATCGTCAGAAATATCGCGGAGAGGCTATGCAACAGCAAGCATCGAGCTCCAGTCTCCGTCCGGTCGAATGGAGAAGTATTACATCAAACAAATGTCACCAATGATGCCCGCTATATGCCAACTGATCGATCAAACAAAGCTGCTCGACTTCAAATTGTTGTTAATCATCCCTCCAAAACCCGTTGGAGAGAACAACAGACAAGGAATCATCCGCTGTCTTCCCTTCATGCTACCGAAAAATGCCACTATACTCTGAAACCAACCCTCACCTTCGGAGCAACCTCACAGAGACTCCTGCCTTTCTATCACATCCTGACAGCAACTCCCCTAGATCATTCCAGCAAACGTTGCCTACTTCAAACAGCATTGTCGCCCTTGATCCCCACCACCCTGAAATCCTCAGCTGTCCAACTCCATCTCTGCGGCCTGCGGGATGGCTGCGACTCCGAAGTCAGCGGAACCGACGTCCAAGCATTATCGCATGAGCTGAAATGACGATGGCGTTGGGGTGGAAGATGATGCTCAGATGCACTCGCAGGCTGAATTGGGGTCTGGATGGAATAATGTTGGATCGGCACCTTCATCTCCGTCGTTAAAGGCCATTCGTTTCGGACGTCATCTTTCGCCCGAATTTGGCCAACTATAGCTCCCGACACGTGTTCCGAATTTTGCCTCGATATCTCCCTTGAATCTTGCAATTCGTTGCGCAGCTCAGGGGGATGCTGCCTTAGCGGACTCTCAAAGCAGCTGTATCTCGCATCGGGCCCTTCCTTTGAGTGCGACTCCGAGCATGAAGCTAGCCGAGAATGAGCACTCGAAGGACGTCCCAATTCGCTAAAAACCGTCCGCACTGGTTCGGGGGGTGAAGTTTGGTTGTGGTCCAGATCGGCGTGAGGGCTGTGCCTTCCGCGGCGTGGGTTGAGAGGTGCAGGGACAAGGCTTTCGCGTTCATATTGCAACACGGGGAGCCGCCAGCCTGCATCTTGACGCGGGAGATTAGGAGTTGCTGGACAATGAGCGATGGGATGGTATTGATACAGTGGATGGTCTTTCGGGATCGGGAGCGCCGCCATCATGTCATCTCGGTGTTGGTGTATGGTGGGAAGGCCATTGTACGACGTCAGTGGAGATCCATATCCCGACTCCATCGAGCTTCTGTTGGAGGCTTGAGCGGAAGGACAAAGACACGCCGGTGCAGCTTCGACTTCGGCGATCTCTGATGGATGATGATATGGATTCAGCTCATTAACCAAAGCCGGAACTGGAAGCGGCGCCATATTGTCATGTCCATACGCGAAATCGCCATATCGATACCCACCAAGTTTCTCGAACGGCGCGACCTCTGTTGGCCTTGACTCTCTCTGAATGGCACTCGGGCGACTCGTCTCAGCCTCGACACCGCCAATGACCGCGGAAACAACTGCTTCGTCTGCCTTTTTATCGACAATTCCTCGTCTTCCTAGTACTCGCATCTTCTCTTGATCCTCAGCACTGATTGGTATCTGTGCCCAACCGACCCCGTCAAGGACCCTCCGCCACCAACCGCTTTCTCGATTCTCTGCCGGTCCATCACCATCTTCCGCACGTATACCTCGATCTTGTTTCCCGTTCTCGGCATCGCCATGATTCTCATCAACCGCGATGCCATCAGGTTTGCCCTGCATGCGATTCCGGCGATGTATCCTCCAAGTCGCAATCCCCGCAACAAACAGAATCACCCCGGTGAGGCTGAAGAAGGATATCATTGCCGGTTCGTTCATGGTTTCTATCTCTCCCCTGGATACCACTCTGGGTTGGATGTAGATATCGTAGACTAAATGGCGGGGGGGGATTGAGGCTCGTATGTTCCTGGGACTGGACTCAAGTCTGGGCTGTAGAGGAGAGGACAAGTATGTACAGCAGAGAGAAAAGTTTGGTTTAGATGATGGGGACTGGGTGTGTAGCTCTACCACGAATAAATAACTGGATAACTGGCTGGCTCCTTGCTGATAAAGCCGAACAGCTTGGAAAACCGAGGGGTGTCACGGAATAAATAGATGAATAAACAATACCGGGAACTCCTATCAGATGGCGCAGAATAGCATGTTCCTCATATCGTCTTGTCTCGTCCCGTCTCCCTTCGCGGCCAACAACAAAACCACCATCACTGCGACGACGAACCCTCTGCTCCCCTGATCCATATCATCGAGAGACATTGATCCTTTGCCCGCGACCTAAGACACCCTCGCGACCCGTCTCGACTGAGTGAGGGAGAGTGTCGCGCGGATGGAATCATTCTCGGCTCTCCTCTTCTCGCCTCGCCTCGTCTCGTCTGGACCGGTCCCGCTGCCGTGGGTCTCTTTTCTTTATCACCAAATGTATGCATACATACATACATACATACATACATACATGGGAGCGGGCGTTGTGGGCAGGGCACAATACTCAGACATGTCGATTGTCGCGCGGTTTTCACCGGTCTGTCTCAGCCGTCAGTCTCGCAGCTCCAGCGGGAACCTCGACCTCTGCTGCTCTTTGGAAGTGGAGATCAATTTCGAATTCAAGATCAAGCTTAAGCCCAGCCTCAGTCCGTTCGTTCCACCCCTTGCAGGGATTTTTATTGTTGTTGAGCTCAGTAGTTCTTGACCCCGCCGGCGGGGTTGTTGGGAGGCACTTCGTCGATGTTCGTGTGTACGCATATGCATTGATGGATGTACAGAAGTTGGGAGGACAGAAATGGGGATATCCGGAGACACACCAGGTAGTTGTGCCAGGGCAAGCACTTTGCAAGATCTGAGAGGTGTAGAAGAAAGTTGTACACGGAGAAAACTGGGTGTTGAGTCGCTTTGATCGCATCCCGTAGGTGTGGTGCGTAAAATTCTTGTCTCAGACGAGGTCGCAATATGTTCCAGCGCATAAGCTTGAGGCTTTCCCCGGTAACTTCACCCGCCCAAGGCTTCTCCTTCGCCGGCTGAAACTTCTTAATCCGGGCAGGCCTCATGGAGGCGTCATTATCTGGAAAAGAAAGAATTAGCCAAGCACGCGGCGTAGGTATTCGACTGGCTAATTACCATCTCGCAGACCCTGCTGTGGTAGTCGCAGTCTTGATCATGCTTCGCTGGGCGATGTCTCCCTCCCAAAGACGACGATTTCCCCCCGCCTCTCCCTCGTGATCAGACTTGACGAAGCCTCTCCACGGGTTCTGCGCGACACATGCGTTGCTAAAGCAGACCGAGCACCCTGTAATCTGTCTTCCATATCCGCGCAGATACTGCTCTCGTAACTAGGCAATCCATGGGGATCGGTTCGAGAGTATGGGGGTAGGATAGACCCTTCCGACGTTGGTGAGTGTCGAGGGCTGTCGTCGAAGATGAACGGGTCGCGAATTCTTTCGAAAGCGGTGTTGGAGGGATCAGGGGTACCGAGCTCATTGCGCTGTTGCGACCAAAGCCAGAAATACCGGCGCCCACTACCAGCGTGGAGGGAATCATAAGCTGGCGGAAGTGGGCGGATGTTGTTCACACTGCCCTCAACTGGATCAAGTCTCACGCGAAGTTGCCGTCTGATCCTGATATGGCGCAAAAAGCTCAGGCAAAGGAAAAACACAAGGATGAACATGATGAATGCGATGCCAACGATTCCTTCGATGGCAGTTCCTTTGAGGCTCATCCGTGTTGGAACCTCGTTGAACTCGAACACGACAGAATACATGGACCTGCCAACGTTGTAGGAAGCACTGATGTTCTCACAAGGATTTGGTTCAACTGTGTGGAAAAAAAAAAAATTCACAAAGAGGGGACCAAACTATGAAATTACCTAACTTCCCATATTTTCATGCGCTGAAGAGAATGTATTCTTGTTGGGAGGTGAAAGCCACTCGAACCGCTGGTTTGAAAACCATATTCGCGTTTGTTGACAAGGCAGATAGTAGTCTCCGTTTCTGCCATTCGAGAGATTGCCTTGAACAAGCTTTGAATCTCAGGTGGCCTTGATATAAAGCAGAGCAGAGCGAAAGCTGATGGATGAGAGATATCACATTATCATGACTGCACCACACGACGGTACCAAGCTATGCAGGGTCGCCGGGCAGGCAGACACATCGAGACAACTGCTATGTAATAATACTCGTGAAAGATTAGTCTGTAGTACCCAGTAGTGCCGTCTGTAGTTGGTATAGCGCATCTTGGCGTCTCGCCATTGCTTGGCAAGAATCCGACTATTTATTTTCGCTCCTCCCTGAATGCCATTCTAAATTTCTTTTTCCTTCTTCATACTTGTATGTCCCACTACCCCAAGCGCAATGAGGTTTGAGTGTTTCGCTAACATTTTGATAGACCTTGTGGGCGCAACTTCGATCACGACTGGAGTCTGCGATAGCGGTGTCCCTGCATTGCACATCGCGGTGGATGTCGCCATCAAGTGTCCTTCGGGGCTCTTGTCCGCGTATTTTTTGGCCAACGACTCTTTTTTCATCATGACTCTTGCCTGGCTGTAAGATCTTGGAGAAGAAGATGGGATGAGCGGTGAAGACATGGTCTGCAGAATCTGCGCATGCTTGACAAGTGTCGTTTTAAGGCCAATAGGAGGTTCACAATCCCAAGATAGAGTAGAGTACGGCTTTGGCGTGACCTAGTATTATTATCGTTGCCATTAGTATCAGCAAAGACTGAGGTAAACTTAACGGACACGTATGAATGAGATTTACTGCGAGCTCTGCTGCTTTGCCGTTTTGCTGTCTAGGCACCAGCCGAGATGAGCTTGATATGTACATATGTATGTACATACAGTACAACGGAAGGAGTGAAGATAATCGCAGCCACTTCGACTTCAGAGGGAAAAGGTATCCGTTCAGGTGCCCCGGTCATCCTATGTACGTACATAGATACGTGCAGGTGCATGCACAGAAGGCATTATGATCACAAGGACATTCATTCATTCATTCATTCATTCATTCATCCATTCGTTCATCCGTTCATCAGCTGTGAGATGAGATGGCATAGATGCGCAGAAGGGTGTGATGACATGGACCTCTCAGGTCGCGCGATGTGGCAGTGGCGGCGCACCAGCCTCAGCGGATGCGAACGGTCATCGCGGTCATCGCCACCATTCAAGTCGCTCTCTCCGCGCCCACCCCCTTTTCGGCATACCTTGCTGGCTGAAGTCCATTCATTCATATACCTCGTACTGTGTGATTCAACCCCACAGCGAAGAAGGCGACCCCGGGATCGCCAAGTCAAGATTTGCCTTCCCCTGGGCACGAACGTCTGGTGCCCATTCTCGCAGTCGCCATATTCCTTGGATGCCCCATGTCTCAAGCAAGCTGAGATAGTTTGCGGTTATGGGGTTGAATGAGGGTACGATCAACATTTGGTCTCACATGCCCACCGAAATGTGATTCAGATGGAACCCTCATTCCTCTCTCCCACCCTTCCCAACGCTCTCTAGTCTCGATTCTTTCCAGCACATGAATCAATTAATTGCAGGTGATCACCACGTAGATTGGGGGGCTAGTACTCGGCACACCGACAAAACCAGGCTGGATGTTGTTTTGTCATGTGTCTTGTCTACGTTACATTCAGAACACATGGCAACTTTTGTCACATACCGGCAGGAAGAGACTGCTGGCAAAATGGTACCCATGGTATCTCATTCTCTGCGAGTGCTATCAACATGATGCACAATTGTGACTACTAAGGTCAATCGTCATGTCAACTCTGGTTTCTTCTCTTTATGCACACCACCAGTGTCTTCTCCTTCGCCAGATTTGCCATCAGGACCTTGAGTTTCAAAGCCCGAAGACCGTTTTGGAGGCTCCTGCGGATCTGGCTGCTTCGCTGGGTGTCCTCTGCCTTCGCTCGACGTTGCACTTTTCCCAGCCTTGACATGCTCACCCCGCTTGCCTAGGTTGGGATCGTTGTTGTTCTTGGTCTGATCAACCGTGGTTGCAACGCCTCGAGGTAAGGACGACGGGTATCCTAGAGGCACATCCCTGCAGTGAAAGACCCCATGGACGCGATGGGGGGTACCTGGAACTGCAGTTATACAAATTCGTGATGCAGTCGCTGCCCTTAAATATGTGCTCATGCCGTCGGACGTGGGAGAAGGAGATCCTAGCCGAGCAAGATTGCCACCTGAGGGCGCCTTGTGCCAAGTTGTCACGATGGAGGTAGGCCTAGCACTGTTAGGATTCTCGACGGTCTTGTCTCTCGATTCCATGACCTTTAAGATTCAATCATATCATCGTCATCATCGACTGGGAAGCCCATTCCGTCGACGTTGTGTTATCCTTGGCCACGTCGCAGGCAGGGCAATCCATCCTGTAAGGATGACCCAGTGTGCAAGCATCATTTGCAACGCTGTTCCAGAGGTTGGCTCTTCTCACATGGATGCACTTAGTGTCGATTGACCAATCGGTGATGGCTGATGTCTATGCGGCTGCTCTGCGCAGTCATGAGGAGCTCGAAGGTGCAATCCAGAGATAGTTCGCGCGAAGTATCACTACTCCCAAGTCTGAGCATTGAAGAGTAGTTGACTGGCGTATTCTCATGCTTCACCAGTGCCCGTCTGCTGACGCTCCTGTGGACGATTGACTAAACAAGGTGGTGGTGGCAGGTGATGAGAGCGGTACGGTGAGATGCTTGTCACCGGGAAGTAGAGTAAGTGCAGGCAGGTAGGCAAGTGGTCATGTCGTGGCTGTGCCCTTCAGGTGGGTGTTGGGTGATCTGCGGCAGCAATTGTGGCAACTAGGGGACGGATGCAAGCTGGGGAAAGGGATTCTGAGACTTGTCAGGAGGTCAGAGCATGTGGTATGCGGAAGCCGGGACAAAGAAAGCTGAGACAGAATATGGGCCGGGCTGGAGTGGCTTGAGGCATTCGCCCGCAGGAGGCACGGAACCAAAGAAAAGAGGTCGAGATGCGAGTTGTGAGGTGTGGCAGCGAGTCGCGCGTCTCGTGGAGGGGGGCAAACGAAGGGAGAGACGTGTTTCACCAGTCACCGGACGAGCCAAAGAAATGATGCCGCTGACGGGTGATGTGCGTTAAGCGACCGGCCAGTGACCTTACGCGAGAGGGAGGCCTGGGAAGCCCCTGAAGCGCGTCGAGAGGGGGTGCCTAAAGTGTATGAGACGTGTCAGGCGGGTGTCTCGACCTCTCTACCAATCAATGGCCCGAGGGGGGAACCACTTGGCCACAAGAGTGTGTCAAGTGGCCATTCTTGGAGAATAATACCACTTCAACGGAGAGGAGGAGTGAAGCAGCACTCACACAGTTGAGAGTTGAGAGATACGAGATGATTTAGCAGAAGGCCAGGCGAATTCGTAAAGAAACTACCATGCCGAGGTACAGTACTACGTACAGTACTTTAGGAGCTGACTCTGGCTCGTAATGCGTAATGCGTAATGCGTAACGCGTAATGGGGCAAAGGGAGGGAGATAGCAGCTGCAAGGACGGCCAAATAACTATTGACAGATGGCAGATGGCAGCTGGATCAGCAGCGAGCTGTGCCCTGGCTGGTATGGTTATGGGCTCTGGCTATGGGCTATGGTATGGGCCATGGGCACTCCGATCGCGAGCTACTGGGTACCTACCGAGTCCGGAGTGCCTGCCTACAGGGCGTGTCGCCATCCCCATGCAGCTCCCTGGGCCTCCAATGTCCATCACCAACCTAACAAGTCAACCCCTCGGTCGGTCCATCCCTTCCCCCCCCTTCCTGCTTTTACTCTTTCATGCACACGTGTAGAAAGTCAACTGAATTGATCATTGGGTGCACTACTAGTGGCCGGTGGTCAGTAGGACTTCAGCAAGGAGGACACAAGCGACACGCTCACAGTCCAAGTAGATGAACTCAAAAGGATCGGACTCCATCAGTCCATCTGGAATAAAAAGCCCAGTCAGTGCACACATCGCATCCCCATAAAAAAAAAAGAGGCGTGCATCGTGCATCGCTCAGACTCCCAGTCGTGCAAACCGCGGCCCAATCCACTCGCTCTGTCTGCCAGCCGCCAGCGCAGGGCGAAACAAGAACCATCTCGCCAACTCGCCTGCGATTCTAGCCACTGGCCCTGGAGACCTGGCCGCATCCTGCAGCCGTTACCATTCAGGGTCTGCCAGGTCTGTGCAAGCGCCCATTCAATCTATAACGAGTCTTGTGGCAATGCCCTTTTGCTTCACCTTCACTTCATGCTCTCGATCAGATTCATAAAAACCACCACCTCATCGCTACCTCAACTCACCTTCTCTTCTACCCTCCATCCGCTATCCTCATCCTCACCTTCGTCAGTGTCGAAGGCCCGAGCTTGAGCTCTCACCAGCTTCAAGCACCACCCCCCCTTTTGTCGACTTCCACCTCCCTGACACGTCTGGGGCCGGCCTCCCCACTTCTCTCAAGCCTCCTTGAGCTCGCATCCTACCCCAAAGCGCACCCTACTACTAGCCCTCCTCAGTGACAGACAAGCCGAGGGAACGACGCTGTGTCCGCTGCTCCAGGTTCCAACCCCTGACAAGCCGAGCAATCCTTGTCTGCGCCACCCAGGGCAAGAAAAAAAACCCTAATACCCCCCAACGGCGCAGTTCCACGCCATCCCACCAAATCTGTACTCTGTACCTGGAGTTTATCGTCCGCCTATCCACTAGCTGCAGACGCCGAACCCACTCTTTTGCAGTTGCGACATCACTTCCGGTACAACTTTTCAGGAGAACAACTCGCTTGGATACTACGAGACTCTCTCTCAAACATCAGGAGCTGCATCCCTGGGCTGTGCCTGGGACTACCAATAACCCAATATATCCCACGCAGCACAGATTGTTGTGCGAATTCTGAGTCTCTCCTGCTGGCCAGGTGAAAAGTCTTACAGAGATCGGCCCAGTTAGTATCTTGGATACCAACCTCCCCTCCCCGCTTGTGTCAGAGGCCTGTCACTTCACTTCAGTCCACTCGCTTCATAACCAGCCTTTGAAACCTCTCTGAGAGAATTGTGAAGGCAACTCCATAAACACTCGGACGTGCCTCACCTCACAGTCACTCCCTTCATCTTCTTCCGCCTCTCACCACCAGGGTCAAATCGACTTTTTGCAAACAGGTCCGTCATGGAGTCCAAATACACCTCAGCCCAGAACAGGGCTGCGCTGGAAGATTTTGTGCGGCAACCTGTACGGACATACATGGTCCAGCACCTTGCAAAGCAAGCCTCACAGGTCATACGATGTGATCCAGAGCCTCTACCCCCCACAGACTCATTACCTACTCCTCCGTCAACACCGCCTCACCCATCGTCAGCAGAGCCCGCCCTCGCTCCTTTACCCAGCCTTGAACAGTTCATCAGCTCGCTCGTCCACCGGTCTGCCGTTCAGGTGCCGACTTTAATGACGTCTCTGGTCTACCTTGCCCGTCTTCGATCCAGACTACCACCTGTCGCCAAGGGGATGCGATGCACTGTCCACCGTATCTTTCTTGCGTCGTTGATCCTGGCTGCGAAGAACTTGAACGATTCGAGCCCCAAGAACAAGCACTGGGCAAGATACTCCACGGTCAAGGGTTTTGATGGTTTCGGATTCGGACTGGCAGAGGTGAACCTGATGGAGAGACAACTGCTGTACCTGCTTGATTTCGACACTCGGGTGACGGAACAGGACTTGTTTGTCCATTTTGAGCCATTCCTCGCCCCCATCCGTTTCCAGATGGAGCTCCAGCAGGAAGAAGAAGAACTCACCAGCAGCTATCGACACTGGCACTCTCATCAGACCTCTTACGATTCTACAATGTCTGTGCCACCTTTGCCACGCAAGGAGCCGGCTCAACCTGTGGTTGCCACACCTCCTCCCAGAGCGGTCGGTGTATACGATTCCCCTGCTTCCTGCATCGATGAGGACCTAGCCGGCGGCCGGTATCCAAGGCACAAGGCCAACAACAGTTCGTTGTCGCTACCTGCTCCAAGTCATCGACGATGGCCATCCCCATTCCGTCATCACGGCAGCAATCGATCGGTGTCACCGCCGTCCATTCGTGACCTTCCGCCTCTAGTTCCATCTAGCAGACCTGGCACGATGCACAGCCACAGCAGCTCCCGGTCTTCCTCATTGGCCCCATCATCACGATCGCGATCTTCCTCTCTTGCACCGACCTCTCGAGGTACCCCGTACACTGCGTCATCGAACATCGACGACAGTATTGTGGTGGTCGACCTGACTCAGAGCCCTGACGCGTCATATCACAGTGCACATGGCAAGACTATCTCGGTACCGCGGGCCAGCCTGAAAGGCCATCAGACAAGCTTTCAAGGCGAAAGCCAACAGCCGGCCAAAAAGGTCAAGGCGGATTCTGGTGTCGGCAGTGTGATGGCGAGGTTCTTCAGTTCTGCTGCGAGCAATTATCGAATTGGAAGGACACCTGTTCAACAAGCAGTCTAGGAGGCTGTGAATATTGTTGACGACACGACAACCGGAAGGAAACGCAAGCGAGCACGTCACAATTCAACTACAGAAGAGTTGTAATATCGACCCAGATGCTGACGACAAAGCTGATGCCAACGACCCATGCCATCTAAAGCCTCAGATTTACCATACTCTCATTTACGGCAATTATTTTTCTTGACTCATGCGGAGAGGAGTTCTGTCTTGCATAGCGAATGGCGTTATCGGGGAATGTATGCAAAATTGACACATCAACGGGGGGCCGGCAAATTTCTTGGAGATAAAGTGAGCTGAACGCAACCCATTCCACATGTAACACTAGTTCAGAGATCACTTGGAGCTGGAATGGAAGGAGTGCAACAAGCAGTATTCGTTGGACTGGTGCCAATGGCTTAGATTGGAAAGGAAGAGAAGAAAAACCTCAAGGGTGACGACGAAGCGTGCCGCGGCCCGCATGAGAGAACTTGGATTGAGATAAACTACTATTGGAAGGAGGATTTGATACCCCTTGGAGACAGAGAAGAGTGGATGACGGCCAAGATGGAACCGTCCCTGGGATTGAGATATGATCAGAACTCATCTCGGGTGTCTTGATCAAAAAAGAATCTTTTCAATAAATAAATCCTTGCTATGATTTTGAAATAGCCGAAATAGAAACAATTCAAGGTCGAAATCAATGCCAAATTCAGATTCAGATTCGAGTTTCTGATTATGCTCAATAATGGAACCCGACAAACGAGCAATCTCGCTTGCTTCCAGCGGGCTGTTTGAACGCTTCGAACGAATACTCAGATACGTAGTACCTCGTACTCACCGAGCATTACTTTGCTGGATGTATTCATGTGTGGCATGTCCTCGTGGGGTACGAATGTACAGGTGCAGGTAATACCGGCGCACACCCAGCCACTTTGGAGTCATTCCTTGCACGTTGCGATGGATAGTGCTCGTATTTCCTTGTTTTCCTTATCGCATGCCCATACCTATGTATGTACATAGGTACCCATGCCCACTACCTCGTATGCCAGCGCCAGGACCTATACATACCCATGGCGGGTGCTCGTCAGTCTTGCAACGTCGCCTTCGCCGCCTCTCCATCTTCCTTCTTCGTGGAAATGATTGCCCCGGGGAGGTTCCGCTAAGGCCAAACGCACACTCGGCCCCGAAAGCAGTGCAATCCCACGCAGGTACACCGTGGACGGACCCATTGTCCGCGAACGTGCTCAGCTCCAGCCAGGGCTTCAGCATGGAGGTGCGGTGAAGATCAACGGACCCGGCACGGGGCGTGACGCTGGTCGCTAGTTTGTAGGGCGTCCTGACCGGAAGATCGGTGTCCTAGGAGTGCAAAAGGCACCGTCCGTTTTGGAGACGGTGACCTGTTCCCTCACGCCAGGGTTTACATGCCACTTTCCGGTCTTGTAGATTGGGATTTAATCCATTTTTGGACTCCGTCTCTGGTGGTAACAGGTTGCTTGAACCCGCTGGCTCACTCGGTCTTGTCCCCCTCCGTCCTCTTCGCGCCTCCCACTGGGATACTCTCGTCATAGACCGGTTCAGGTTCCTCCTTCTCGCTCAAATCGATCCTCTTGCCCTTGCCCCATCCCAACCCATTTGTGATGACCCTACCAACCGTCCACCCTATCACCACCCCCCAAATAACCGTACAAGGCCATTTCTGCCACTCGCGATCCCAATCCAGCGCCATCGGAATGGCACCCACCCATCCCCCAATAAAGCTTCCCACTGTCCCTCCCCATACGCCTGCTGTGTCGAAAGGGAGCCACGCGGCTGCGACGTCGCGCCAGGCGAGGGAGGAGACACCGTGGGTGTAGAACAGCGGCAAGAAACCGAGCAGGGAGACATGCACTGAGAGGAGGAATGTGAGGGGGAGGAGGGAGGTAGGGTACAAAGGTGCGCCTAGGACGAGGGCGATTAACGCGAGCGGGAGAGGTGGAAGAGTGAGCGTTAAGATCAAGGAGAAGAGTGCGGGCTGTACCTCGCTCAGGGTCAGTCGTTCAATCTCGAAAAGTCATGGGAAGCCGTAGATGACGAACAGGAGCAATGATGGGGCCACCAAGCATTACAGACGCAATGGAAATTGTACATGTGAAGAAAAGACTCACCATGATTCTCGCATTCCAGCTCCCCTCCGCAGCAGCTGCCCCGATACCTCCTTTTCCAGCCCCATGACCATGGCCCTTCCCAGCCCCTGTTCCCAGGTTCTTCTTCCTCAGGCTCCCTGCTCCCACACTTCCAGGCACCTTGGGACTCTTTGGATTCTTCTGCCCTGGACTTGCTGTCCCCTCCACAATCGGACCGCCCGGCGTACCAGACACCCAAGACCCGGCAGGCGGTATGCAGATTGCACAGAACAAGCACTGCAATGCAGCAACAACTCCCAAATCGCTCACTAGGGTGTTGGCCGGATCTGCGACAAGCGATGAAGCACGGAGGTAGTAGTATAACGGAATGAGAGCGGTGTGAATGTAGCTATAGGGTTTCGCGAGTGACGACGGGAGCAGAGGGATTGGGTGGGTGGTTGGCGTGAGCAGGCGGGCTTTGCTCGAAGGTTGAGCGGGCGTGGGAGGAAGGAGGTGTGTTATAGACGTAGACATCTTGTAGAACACTAATGAGAGTGTTCAGGACTTCTCCTAGGTGAGTGAGTGTCGAAGGAGTAAGCACGGAAAGGATATCAAGTCATGACTTTTTGGCATTGAGAGAATGCGAGAATTCACTGCTGTCTGCGACCGTCTGCAGCTGCGGACCATGAAAACATAGTACGAGGTACGTACTGGGGTTCAAGTTAGGTTTCACTTGGCGAACCTGAGAGCCTCGATGTCAGCCTTGTGGTGCGTCTGCTCAGCCTTGCCGGGCCCAAGTGCGTTACGCAGTGCTCGGTACTGAACTTATCTCTCTTCGATCCAATCCTACGTCGTAGTATTTCCCAAATTGCTTGTGTTATTCTCAAACAGATCGCCCCGTTTCAGGCCGGATGTATTCATACATAAACGCTGTTGCCCCGCTCTACTCATAAGAGCTTCATCACACCTGTGTGGGTATCTCATGCAAACAGTTTTCCCGATATATAGGCTCGTGACAACTGATTGCCTCTGTCAAAACAAGACCAGAAGAGCCAAGTTTCGCCTTCCAATGCCAAAGTCCAAATAGAAGCGCACTGAGAAAGCCAATGAAAATGCGTCTGTGGGTGTAAAAGTCAAACAATGCAACACAATCATCAGTTGCCGCTCATGTAACTGCCACCTGCTGCGAATCCCTCGTTGTCTCAAATTTATCACGTTGCTCCTCTCGTGGGGTTTCATAGACGTCCTCAAAGCCTTCCTCAACATCCGAATCTTCTGTGCCGCTAAAACGAGAAATTTCTTGTGGTACAGGTGGGTCTAACAGAAATGGATGCGTCCGATGCAGTGTTTTCATTCGAGGTGGTGTGCCAGATGCATCCTGTTTCGACTCAGGGCTAGGCGTCGGATATGGTTCCCTAATCGTAGCGTAGATCGGAGTCCTCAAGCTGTTCATCTCTTTCTGTAGTTCGTGTACCTGCTCTTCCAATTTTTGTCGAGCCGCTTTTTCTTCCTTCATCATGTCCAATAGAGCCTCGAACTTGTCTGAAGGAATATGAATCGAGGACGGCGAAGTTCCCCGAGAGCGTCTGGGTGATCTTCGTCGCGCAGTCGCGGGTCTGATGGTGGCAGTCGTTGCTTTGCTCGCTCTTTGAGGGCGGAACATGTCATCGGCTTCTGGGGAGGGCAAAGGAGACTCGCCAGGAGAAGATAGGAAAGTTAGATCCTGGACTCCGCCGGAAGAAAGGTAGCTCAAATCGTTTGACGATTCCGTTGTCCAGGTTAGGCTTGTCTTATTCTGCTGGAATATGTCCCCTATCGAGCCGCGGCTGAATGGTCTTGGGTTCAGCCTTGGATTCGGCAGGTCGTTGCCTTGGAGCTTGGCCAATGCAAATTCAAAATCGAAGAGCTTGATTTCGAGAGTATTAACCCTCTGCTCTAGTCCAATCTCGTCCCGTTCTGGACTTCCAAGGCCAAAGTCAAAAGTCTGCATGGGGTCTACGATAGAACGATCGTGCTCTGATTCCGCCACCGCCACCGAATTGTCGGGCCCCAGGACGTGTGTGGCATCTACCGAGATCGACTGGCCGCTATAAACAGGCACAGGGTTTTGAATGGCGCTGTTGCGCCAGTAAGCGATCTCACCTGCTCGATCGCGAGTGGAAGGACGCTCAACGGAGCCTCGATCGACAAGTTCGTTGAGTGCATCTGCGCTCTTAGATCGTCGCTTGAACTGACGGTCCGAGACACAGTCTTCTTTCGCCCCCTTTTCCACTGGAGAGGATCGTGGTACAGGCCAATCAACGACTGCCTGTACGAAACTAGACTGGTGATCACTGAAGACCAGACTAGGCAAAGTGTTGCGACGCCCGCGCCGCGGAGGAGGCGGTAAGCTCTCGTGAACAGCTTCAAATTGCGGATACGTGGTGGAATGGGAGGTCAGCGCAGCTCCTCGTGAGGTAAAATCCGCTCCCAGCGGAGGAGCCGAGTCCAGTCGTGTTCGAACTGGTTGCTCTGTGACGGATTTGAGATGTCCAGACTCGCCGTAACGGAATCCACTGGTATCGGTGGGCACGGACCTGTGTTTCTTGCTCGAGAACATGCGTTTTAGGGTCGCGCGCAATCCTCCAGCCTTCTTCTGATTCAAAGACGCCTTTGAAGGAACTGAAGACATTGAGCTTGGAATTAGTGACGGCCCGGCAGAGGTTCGAGCACGCGCGTGAGGCGGGACATCACTGACGTGTCGCACATGGACGTCCTGCGTCGCCGTACTCTTCCGTGGCCATATAGTGTCGTGATGTCGCTGTCCCGAGGGATGTCTGGATGGTAGTACGGTGCTTGTGTTGCTGAAGAGTCCGGATTCATCGAAGGGAATTGGATCAGATATCTTCAGGTCGCCACGGCGCAGAGCAGCACCCGTACTGGCCAAAGACAAAGATCCCGAACCCTTGGCTCTGTGATTGGGAGAAGGCATATCGCGAAATTGCAAGGCCCAGCGATACTACCTCCCAAAATTCACCGACCATACAGCATCAGGATTGGGCGAATGACGCTGGAGAGTTTCGCATCATGCTGACGCTTTCAGGCTTGAGACTGTGCCGGCTTCACAAAGTGTCAATAGACATTGGGAAGCTCGTATCGATGAGTGCTATCCCCGGTAGCCCCAAGAGTGGCACAATAGCATCTGTCACCGATATGTCAGTCGCAATACTGTAGCGCTCAAATTTCGGAGGTTTGGGAGGCTATGTACAGACCACAGATTTTGTGGAAGATTAAGATTAGAGCCAAAAGTATATCTATGTAGATGAGGCGGGCGACACCAGTCAGAGGATGTGGTGAGAAGGAACAGTGGGCCTGAAGAATCCAGAGCCAATGATGACCTTATGAAGGAGCGACCAGGAAGTTTGAAGACCGACGCGGCGGACAGAAACCGAAGGTAAGGCAGACTCGAGACAGACAATGGGGCGAAACAAGAGGTGCAAAGTCACAGAAGTCGCAGAAGTTGCAGAGTTGCAGATGGTAAATAAGGGCCGAAGCGGCTTTGAAGAGAAGAAGACGGAGCTGGCCTCGCTAGAACAGCAGACTTTGGATTGAGGTGGTGTAGGGCGGTATCCTTGTAATACTCCGTCCGTAAGTAGATCACAGACTTGGTGTTGGCTTCGGCATCGCTTCGACCCGCACGGCCATCCTCAAGCTTCAAGCTTCAAGCCTCCAAGGCCCTCGATGGGTTAGGAAGAACCAAGGCCAACTCAGAAGAAGAAAGGGTGACAAACCGACAGTGTCCGGCGTGGCCCAGAATGACAGCTGGCGGTGTCCCACTTGGACCAGCGCGCTCACAGCTATCATTCTCTTTTTGTTCCTGTTTCAGCAGCAGAGGAATTGGAGCGCGGACGACGACTTGGGCGGACAGTATCGGCGCAATGGAGGGGCAGGTAGGTTCCTGATGGGGACTGGGATGGAAGTGGGTGTGAAGCAGAGTGAGCCAGGAGGCGAGAAAGAGGAAATGTGGGCGTCAAGGAAGTCGAGGCTGCCAGCGCGTCGACCAGTCATGATAGAGAGCGGCCGATGCGCCCCGGTCGGTCATTCGTTAGCCTTGGAGGGGCTCACTAGGTAGGCTTGCTGGGCATGCTGGGCTTGCTAGGCTGCCTAACCCTCACTAGACCCTACTAGGCCTGCCTACCGCCGGTACGTCGTACCCAGGTACGCTCTAGGAAGCCCCCTTCTCTCTTCTTGCACACCTTTACTCCCTTCTGCCCATCTGCCTAGGTAGGGATTTTCCTCGCCGCGCCCTCAGGCTGCTGGCGTTGCACCCGACTCCTCTTCCCTAAGTACCGAGTACACAAACAATTTATTATAGCCATTGTCTCTGGGAAAAAAGTCACCTGCCGGCCCCCGACCAACCATCCTACTTGCGCCTGTCAAGCCCTCCACCCACTATCCACCACCATCCTGCACCATCCTCGTCCATCCCACTAGCGAACTATCGACATCCTGACATGCCGGTTGGCTGCAGCCGACATTGCCTCCTTCTCCCTCGTGACTGGTCAGCACCAGTTCGTGTGCTCCCGCCGCTGTCGTGGCACCTTGCTATCTCACCGCACAATCCTACTTGCCGCCTCCACTCCAGGAGCACTCTACAAACATACCACGGACGCGCCGGCAAGCTGAAAGAAACACACCGTGAAGGAGGAGGGTCAGAGAACAAGGGCAACTGCGTCGTCGGACACCACCCCCGCCAGCTAGACCCCCCCTCCAGCATGACCATGTGTCGGGGCTCTTCCAAGGTGGCCAGCCCACTCTTTCCCATTCTGCTCAATCCATTGGATTCAACAGGACTACCCCTGCGCCATGCAGCAATGCAAGTCATTTTTAGCGCCGAAATACCCGTTTTCGACTGAACTCACGCAACGGAAGTCGCCCACGTCGCTGTTTCGAATTCATACAAGCGAACTTGAAGGGTAATCGAGGACAGAAACATGTCTCTGTCTCTGAAGCGCACCGGAAGACGCGCCAAAAAAGGATCAACCGATGTCAAACCCAAGAATCCCATCAGCGCTGGTAGTAAAAACGTGCTCGGTGAACACGGACCAGGAGGATGCGGTAAGGCTGGTTGGGCTTTATCGCCCGAGGCCAGAAACCAGCAGCATGTCCCTTTCGCCACGGGTGACTGGCTGGGACGTGCTCGCTTGTTGCTAATCATCGCTCAGGGCAAGCAATAATACGGTAGGGACTTTGCTGGCAACCTTTGCAAAGGGCGTCCGCTCTTGAGAAGCGCGAAATCGAGTCTCATTGGCCTCCGGTCTTCCGCTTGTACGTTCCCGCAACCAACACTTATCTGCAGACAGGACCAATTGCACATGAGTGCTGGCTTGAGGCAACGTAGGTCACGGGCCAATCAAGTTTCCATGAAATGGAGGATAACAAAGCAGACCTTATGACCGAGACCTCGTTATTTCCTACCTGTTCATTCATGCCTAGGAGCATGGTCTCCTTGAGGACTTGAGGACTTCGTTGACTTGTCCCTTAACTATTCTTTGACCATTTCCTTGAGCACTTACTTGAGCACTTCCTTGAGAATCTCCCCGAGCATCTCCTTGAGTACCTCCGTGAGCACCTCCCTTCCTATCCCCTCAGATATCTCCTCGAGGACCTGCTAGAGAACCTGCCAGGGAACTGCTAGGGAACTGCTAGAGAACGTTCTGGAGAACGTTCTGGAGCACCTGCTAGAGCACCTGCTGCTAGAGCAACTGCCGAAGGACCTGCTGGAGATCCCGCTGAAATGGCGGTTGGAGATCCTGCTGGAGTACGTGATGGAGATCCTGCTGGAGTACGTGATGGAGATCCTGCTGAAAAGAGTGCTGGAGACCCTGCGGGAGTATGTGCTGCAGACCCTGCTGGTCGAGCGCCTGCTGGAGGAGGCGTTGGAGTACGTCTTTGCTGATTTTTCTGCTGAGATTTCCTCACCCCTAGGGCGCTTTCAATTCTGACCCATAGGTCTGGATAATTGACATCAGCTTCCCTCAGTACATCTTGGTATTTGTCCCAAAGGGTGTTAAACACGCTGTGGTGATCATCATGATTTGAAGGGGGGTCCCGCAAGGCGGCGTCTGCGCGCCACAACTCGTTACACACGTCCCGGAGTCCATTTCTAAATTGAAGTGCTCTGTTTGGCTGGTCGCGAGACTTGAGGAAAGTCAGGACGCCCGCAATAAAGGTATTGATGGCCCCAAGAATTGTAACTGCTAGTCTCGCGCGGCGATTGTTGTCGGATCCGATTGCTGTTACCGTGGCTCCAATGGCGATTTGCAACCAGAGCAAGCCATAAGATAGTGTCGCAACGAAGTGGTAATAACGGTTTTCCTCTTTGTAGGCTTGTTGAATTCGTGGCCAAAGATCCTGGTCTGCATATTTGCCTTCGGAGATATTAGTACTTCTCTGCCGGCGGCATCAAATTTTCGACTCTAAAGTGGTCTTTTAAGGCACAGTACCGTCTTTTTTGATTCCAATTTTTGCTCGGAATCGTTCATGCTGGGTCATATCTTTGAGCGGCGCGGAAGACCTCGATGGGTTAGTCTTACTCTCTCCCGACGCGGCCTTGTCACTTTTTTGAGCCTTTTTGAACACTTCGGACACTTTGGACATCGTGTACAATTTGCTACACCGAGTAGAATGGGCAACGATTTACAAATCTGCCTAGCCATGGCGTCCATGATCGTGTACGGATGGAGCGTGTTGATCATATCCCCAGCCTGCTGGAGACGAGAGCTAGGATGGGGAGTCAGCTGAACGATTTCAACAACCTCGGCGACGCACGCAGACTGCAGGGCCATGCAGCGTCATGGCATCAAGTGGTTGGCCAAGAGAGAGGCTTGCATGTCCTCCAATCTCAGTTCGAGGCGGCGGTAACAGAAACACCGACTTCTTTCAAAATACCGTAGTGTTCTTCGTGTTGGGCCGGAATGGGAAACAGAGAGGAGAAAGAGGCGCATCAACACGAGGGCACCACTGGGGGGGTGATTGAACAGTTGTCTCATTGGAAGATACTGTTGTCACATGCCCATGTCGGTACCATGGCTCACATATTGCTTGGTGTGTCTTGCAGCAGAATGAGGGCAAAACGAGGGGTGAGTCGAGATTCATGGGCTGAGCCTCATTCCCTCATCGTGACAGGGCGACGAGTTCGGAATAAATTGCTTGGCAGAAAAAGCGCTGGGAAAAAATGGCTCGGAGCTCCTTTGGCACTCTTGGGGGCCACCAAGGGGGCACTCACTAGCGAGTATTATTAATAATCATCAAACTCACCACAACCATGCCGCTTTTATATCCGCCTCGCCCCCCGCCCCCCATCGACTCACCTTTGGTCACAGACGCAAACCAGACCATCTTCTCTTCCCAGCCTGCCTCGTCGTCTCCATCAGTATCAATCAGTGATGACAACAGTCTCATGCCCAGAATACATGGGGGAGATGTCGTACCCACCGAGTTGGCTGCCTCTTCATGGCTGAGTTTGACAACAGCACTAAGCCGGGTCAAGCTGTGGCTTTCCCAGACCACCTCTCCGCACAAGCAGCACTGTTCATTGGAATTTTCCAGGCCTGTCGGTAAGCCTGGGAGAGCATCATCTTCCGTGTTTCCGTGTCCCTTCAAGTCCTCCATGTCGAGGAACAGAGTTGTGTTGTCCTTGTCCTGGTGCGGTCTACTGACTGTGCTATGTGTCGGACGCCTTGTTGATAGTCTGGCTGCAAATGTAGGAGCAGCTTGTAACTCTAGGTTCGCGCGCCGAGGGGTACGACTTCCAGACAGAGAAACTGATTTCTTCGCTCATCTCGTTCGGAACGCTGCGAATATGGTATCCATGGCGGGTACACAATGGGGCCATGTTGACCGAGACCATCGTAGACTGAGACGTGGAAGCGTCCAAACGCAGGATGCTCGTATTCGCCGACCAAGGATTCCCCCAACAATCCTGCTTAACGTTGCGGTGCTGCCCATTGTGGCCACGCCAAAGTCGTCGTTTGGTACGAGGTATAGCTGTGTGCCAAATCTATTCAAGCCTCCCCCATGATCCATGATGGGATGTTCGATGCCCGCAATAGGAGGGGCTAACATCCAGCCAAGAGCGTATGTGCGATGATGCTTCAAAATCCCCCCTCGGGTACTATTGATCGATCGGTGGTGAGCTCCTCGAACAGCTTCTTGGTAATGACACGTCGTTCCTCGAGCTCGCTGCTGCCCTTGGATTGTTTGGCCGCGTTGAGCAGCTCGAGAATTCATTGTGTGAAGTCCATGACTGACGATACGGCTGCTCCAGCCGGTGCGATGCGACAGCGCGTCTTCAACCGTGATGTTGGCAGCAACGCACTCATCGCTGAGTCGGAACTTGCGGGAAAGCATTGATCGGATAAGTCGTTGCCCATCCGTTCGTCTGCAGGGTAGCCAGTAGTGACTGGTGGGATTCCTCCTTTTCCCCAGTCATAATCTTGCACGGTCCTCATCTCAAAGAAGTCATTGCACTCAGTAAGGACAACTGCTGTGAGCACTGTGACTGCCGCAATGGAGCTGAAAGACCACACCTCTGCGAGATTCCACCTTCACCACAACCGACGTCCCATCCTTGGTGGTCCGTACTCGTCCACCCTACTGTATTTTACTCAGAGCCTATGTATATAGGAGCTAATGGACCCAAGTCTTGATCTAGACCGAGTCATGTATTTGCTTTGGTTACGATGCCTCGGTCCTCGGCGGCATCCTTGCCATGCCTGCCTTTATCCAACGATTTGGTACCGAGCTCCCCGATGGCTTAAAGATCTTGACTGCTAGTCAAATATCGATCGTAACGGCCATCAGGGTCGTGAGAAGTGTTCCGGGTCAGGTTTTGGATACTTCACCATGGTATCAATGTCCTCCACACTCATTATCGAGATCTCCCCTCCAACGGTCAGAGGTGTTCCTGGTACGTTGTCGGCAGGAGCCATTGGTCTGACCGGTATTCTCAGCTCAGGCGTCGCTTGGGGCACGTTCTGTAAGTCTATCATCCTTCTGCCCTCTGTGTCACCTTTTGGGGACCCGTGCAAAATGTCACATTCAGCGTCGGTCGATTTCGTGGAGAGGCTTTATCATCTTTGGCGGCTCAGTTTTCGGTGTCTTGCTTCTTGCAATCATCGACCTCATCATTGGGTGTTGCGGATTTGCAGACCCTACGAATGTCGGGGTCATCAAATCTATTGCCGGCTTCGGTCTGCTCTTTGGCTTCGTTTGTTATGCCGGGCTTTCACCGTTAGTGTGGTTGGTCGCTGCCGAACTGCCCACCGTACGACTGCGCAACATTTCCAACGCTTGGATACTTCTGGCCATCTCCTTGTTCGATCTCGCGGTAACTTATATCCTACCTTACATTGCCAACGTGGATGCTGGCAATTTGGGTCAAAGACCTGTCTGATCTTCGCGGTTTGCATGACTCTGGGACTAGTCGTCACTTCCTTCTACTGGCCTGAAAGCAAAGGAACCCTAGCGGAGCTGGACGAGATGTTCAAAGCTCGCTTGCCCGCAAGGCTGTTCAAATCGTACAGGACAACAGTGATCACTGAAAGTATGGAGGTGGTCAGTACGGAGGAGGGAAAGCTCGGCGAGATTATCGGCGTTGAAAATGTATCGGACAAGAAGGATTGACCGCTTCACGTCGTGACCGACTCGCTTGACCAGGAATGTGACTTCTGGCTTAGCCGCTTGGGGAGAGAAGGAGTATGATCCCTTGACGGGTACCAGGGTCTCAGCTGTACCAATCAGCTGATGGCCGGATAGAGCCTTGGGAGGCTGTTGGAGAGACAGCAGAACTGTGAGCTGAGTTGGAGAATCGAGGTTTTGTGTGTCACCCTATACGGCATTGTCGGTGTCACTTCCATCGACTAGATTGATCCAGATGGACTCAGGCAGTCTGCAATACTTGTCCAACTCTAGTATCCATATAGATGAGATGCCGAATCCCTTGAAGTCCTGACTCCAGACTACATAAGAGGCCAATCCCCTAGTGATTTATACCAACCTACCTGGTAGTAGGCTGGATAAAGAGCAAGGTTCATCGATATCGGAAGGAGCGTTCAATAGACAATCTCGGGTTTAAGTTTTGATCCTTGGATCTGTACGAGCTCCCTTTTTTGCACAACTCGAGGGTCAAAATATAGTAGTCGGATCAAGCAGCACCGCCGCTGATGAAACCTGACCACACCCCGTCCATGTCTATCTCGGGAAATCCGGTTTCCCAGTCCTGGAGCAGTGCATTATATTCCCAAGAAGGCCGCCTGACGATGCTCATCGATGAGCTCAGCACTCGCTCCCGCGCATCGATGTCTTCAAGCGAAGCCGAGAGGATAAATCGGATTTTAAAGTCAATCATATCTTGATTCATGTCTGGAAGTCCATTTCCTTCGGTGAGATGCGGAGAAAGGCACTCCTGCGACTTGCTCTCGGTGACGGCCGGGAGAGGAGGAGGAGGAGGAGGTGGTGGTGGTGGTGGTGGCGGCGGGGGCGCCTCTTCATCCGCCTCTGTATTTCCAGCGTTAGGGCGGGCATCTTCCGGACTGGAAATCGTAGTTTCGTATGTGGCCTGACGAGCTGGCGGAGTGATGCGAGCGTGCTCATCCATGCGTCTGCCACCGGCCACTGCTTCCTCCACGACTCAAACACGGCCACTACTTCCGCGACCCTCGCTGCAGCGTTTTTGCAAGTCTCATCCTCTTTTCTTTCGACGTCTTAGAGCCATAACTCAATGTTCACCGCGGACAACATCGCTTGTGCCGCAAAAAAGGATCGCAAATCTCTGGCGCCGCCGTAGCCGTTGGCGCGGAACAGTTCGGCCACCATATCGATGATAGCTTCCGATGCAAACAGATTTTGTGCTGCGATCGCGACCATTGGCATAAGGGCTAGTTAGCGTCCCATAATATTGAAGTCTCTGATCACCTGATGTCACATATGTTGTATTCTGATACGGAATGTACTCTTGATACATCACACATCTCGCATGACAAAGCAGGAAGTGCAAATTGACAAATAGCGCTTCTTGATTCTCGGGTCGGAATATTGTTCTGTTTTGTCTGGTCCACTGCATGGCAGGAGGCAGCGAGCCATATAACTTTCGATTTTCTGCTCCAGCTGACTGAGACGGCCTTCCACATCGCTGGAGCGATGGATATTTTCTCGAAAATCTCCCTTTACTTGCGCATAAGTACCCGTGCCCATAGATCAAGAACTGCAAAAAAAAAACAATATGGTGTTATCCCGTGATGAGAAATATTATAAGGGACTGTTAGTGCCTTTAAACTCGGCCCGTTGAATGCTTCGTCGAAGATGAATATATTCTCCGGAGAAGGAAATTGACACGGACGGTCTCGCCGTCAATCATCTGAGGCCTCCAGCAGCATTGGGACACAAGGCGATTCATTAGAAAACATGACCAATACGCACGTGGTTGGCCTTCTTTCTGACGATTAGAAAGCCTTTGATGGTATTCCATGCCGGGTCTCAGAGTTTGTGCTTGCTGAATGGCAATTCCAGTGAATATCCAAGCTTTGTATGCTTTTCCGGGTCAGGAGTTCTTTTAATGACAGAAGAAGGTTGGCTTGAATTGAACTTACTCAGACGAACTTGTCAACCTGATCACAATGAGCGTAGACTATATCTCGCATCATACTTGAAGGCGTATCGACAAATTGACGAGAGTATCCTCGTGCCCCTATCGTATGCCCCTTGGGCAATGCTGTCGGCGTCGTAAATCCTTCTCCCACCACTTCCTGACTCATATAGAGTCCAGCTAGGGCGACCAATGCATGGGCCAGAAATCCTGATCGGCGATGCAACGCGTCGACTACAAGCAATGACACGTGGAAAAACGAGCAAAACTCTATTCTGTAACGTTGTGCATAGAAGATATCAAGCGCGCCGAAAGATGATTGTTACCTTCGCAACGCGCCATTCTGGATCGCCGCGTTTCTGTGCAGGCTTGCAAGACTCGAGAGCTAGCAGACGTAGGAAACTAAAGTTGCGTCGCGGCTCCCGGTATGGGTGGGTTAGCGGAGACGGGTGAGGAACTCATAATTCGACAGCCAGGGTATTTCGAGCTTTGGTCGGGTAAGGCGTCTAACAACCAACAAAGGCAAGCACGAGACAATGACAATATGGTTAATGGAGGTCAAGAGTGGGCGCGGAGGCAAGGGTATATCTTGGAGGTACAAGTAGATAAGGGATCGAAGTGACCTTAGAGCTCCAACTAAACTTGCGCTAGCAAATGCGAGAACCTTTAGCGACAGCCGACTCGCCGAGTATTTGAGCCTATCCCAATTAGGCTAGTAGGAAATTTTCTTGGCAATGCGGTATTGGAGACAGACGGAACCTCTCCTCCTCCTGAACCGATCAATCAACTTTTGGCCTCGGATTATTTCGATAGTCCGGAGCGTGGTTCTGCCTTTTTGAATACTTGAGCGACGACCGAGTTCGTCAATTTGTTGTTTGCTGATAGCAACAAGATGACTCGGCGACGTTGACAACCTGGTGGACTGTAGACACCAGTGATTCGGTCTTCCACTCAAAAAAAAGAGCAATCGAAAGAGCAAATTCGCTAGACCGACTTCTCTCTCATATCACAGCTCGTCATGGCAGAACGTCATTCTCTCCGCTACCTCCTTGACATCTTTCGGCCAGTACCCTTGGACACCTCCGGCACCCCATGGCGTCGCGGGAAGGTCCTTTCTCTTCTCCCAGATGGCAGATGAGGGTAATCAATCCTTGAGCCTCTCGCCGACCTCCTCCACCTTGTCCACAATTCTCAGGAGATTGCCTCCCAAAACTCCGCGCATCTCTTCCGGCGTCCAACCTCAAGAGAGAAGCTCCGCAACCTGGATCTATGTGAGTTATTGCTGGGCATAGCCGGACTAAAGAGATAGGAGAAAGAAAGCGAGTGTGTGATGAAGAAGAGACTTACTATGTTTGGAAATTTACTAGCATCCTCCAACCCATCAACCTCCATATATTGTAACAGAGCACTCCAGGGTTCGGCGTGCACGTGCAACAACGCACATAGGCCTGTCCAGCAGGTCGGGAATTGAGAACGCGTTTCTGGTTGGCACTGACAAGACAACACCACCACCAAAACCACCCAGAGGGGCAGAAAGAAGGTGGAATGGATTACGCCGCCCTTTGGCCCGGGGCCGTCGCCGACCAATGCCAGGACGTCCTCGGCGACGTTTCGCGGATGGTCCCAGAGGGCTCGGGCACGGCGTGCGTCCAGAAGACGGGCGCCTCTGACACGGCGATGGCCTGTTTCATTGTCGCGACGGTCGTATGGGAGAGGTCCACCAGGATGCCGGGCGATCATGTTCTGGATAATGTCGAGCATCTCGGGGGAGTCTCGCAAGCGATTCGTAGGGGGGGTTGAAGTCGAGCCCAGGGTCTTCGTCGACCACGTCGTAACACAGGGCCCAGACAGCCCAGAATGCTGTTTCTAGCCTGCCTTCTCTCATACCGAGGAATGTCAACGTGGCCGAGGAAGGATGTGTTGAGTTGAGAAAGGGCGTCCAGTGGTCGCCGGTCTGCATCGCCAGTCAGCAATCCGTTTCTCAATCAGTAGAGTCTAGAGGGGCCGAGAGAACACTATCGCGACCGAGGGCTTTCGATCTCCTTCAGATAGTGTTAGCTGTGAATTCCAGTCTTTATCCTTGGTGAGGATCCGCGAGCCATGATGGCCTTGAAGATAACATCAAGATGATAACGGCCTGTGCCTGATTCCCATCCTCGACTGGCTGAGTGGAGATAAATACCACAGGAAGTCTACCTTCCCAGGCATCGCTTCTCTCGTCTCTCTGACTTCTAGGTCTTGTTCTCGTCTTTTTTTTTTTGAAATTACAATGAGTTTGGACAAGATTAGCCGCAACGAAGAGGACCGAGTGATCGTCCAAACCCCCTCCAATGACACTGGCGCCGACATGGGCGGCGTGCAGTCCTTGGAGTCTCGAACCGTCCGCAAGCTGTGACTAATACTCGACTTAATCATCCTCCCCACGTTGGCCATTGTGTATACTTCCAAGTGAGTGCACCTGTCTTGGTGATGGAAATGGTTGAGACAGCCGGATGGATTCCTGATAACACACCCTTCGTCGGGACAACCAACAGCTCCTTGGATCGAAGCAACTTGGGGAATGCCAAAACAGCCGGCCTGGCCGAAGACATCAAGTTGACCAGTGACCAGTACAACTTGCTCCTGACCCTCTACCATGTTATGTTCGTGGGCTTCAGCCCGGTCATGACCGTCTTCACCAAAGTCTGCTCGGCCAAGGTCAGTTTGCCTTGTATGATGCTGACCTTGGGTATTGCGTTGGCCTGCACCTCGGTCGCCAAAAACTTTGGTCAACTGCTCACCTGTCGCATTTTTGTCGGTATATTCGAGTCCGGGTTTCTGGCGTCGTAATTCTCTCTCTTCCTCTGTCTCTGTCTTTCTTCCTTACTCACACACCCATGCCCCCGCGCGCAGCCTTGGTCCCCGCAAAAGAAGAGAAAAAAAAGAGCACGCTCACTGATTCCACGTCTTTTCTCCCCCAGTGCCGTCTTCTACCTGAGTAAATGGTATACTCGCGTCAAGATTGCTTCGTGCACTGCCATCTTCTTCTGCACCGTCGGGGTAAGTGTATACTAGTGCAGTGACGTTCTCCGACTCCTGTTGGCACTGACACCGACAAGGTCTAGGCATACCCCATGAGCTTGATATTCTCAGCTTGGACCATCGCCAATACCACCAACCTGAATTCCCGTGCCCTTACCACCGGCGTGCTCTTGGCAAGCATCAACTCTACGGGGCCTTGTAGCATACAACATGTTTTTCGCCCAGGCAGCACCCCGATATCAGACCGTCCTCATTGTGAATATGGCCTTCGCATGTGCCGACATCCTCTTCACTGTTAGTTATTCTCTCTACCTGAGATCCCTCAACAGAAAACTGGCGAAAGAGGAGGTATCGGGCGGACCGCCGCCCTAAATTTTTCATAACTAGGGCGTCATGGAGGGTTCACCCATCTCTACTTTTTGTTCTGCCGGAATATGAAGATGGGATCGAGAGGAACTTGCGCGCGAGCCGGGGGCGATGAGCACAGGGCATCGTCACCCTCATCCTAAGACCTAAAGGGTGAGCGGCACGCAGTTTCCCCGGCACTTGGCGACACATATGTACAGGTACCTCGTACATATCTACCTATGCAATCGCGACTTGTATTTCCTAAACCGCATGCACTCAACAAAAAACAATTACGAGAACATTCCGGTTGGATACTCCAGTTTCATTCGTTGCCCAGAATGTGAGCATCGTATTGTGCCTACTGCATGTCTTGTCATGCTTTCAGCTTTGCCGGTTTGCGCCAATGACGGTGGATCCTTCTTCAAGGGATGTGCTGGGCAAGGCTGGGCAAGGCTGGGCTTTTCGTGGCACTCTTGACAGTCGAGGAATCGTAGTCCACAGCCTCACCATTCGAACAAGACCTGAACAAGGATGTCGACAATGCAGCTCAACCTCACGCCACCTCTTGCATCTCATTTACGTAAAGCTTTTCGCATCCATTCGTGCCAATGCAGAACTATGATCCCCCAAAGGCAACCGTCGGATTATAAAATATTCTTCTCAGTCCTTGGGACCAAGGGCACTCTGATGAGGCCGAAGTTTTCCTACTACCATTCCATTTGACTCCTAACGCCCACTGGGTACTTTCTTGAACCTCTCTCTTCTGGCTACTAGCAATGGCTTCCGAAAGTCACGAGGGGTTGAGTGCCATGTCTGCTGCTGCGACAGCTCTACAGGGCCACTGGAGGTACTGCGAAAAATGCTCTTGCCTTCACTATGCCGGGACAGCGAGATGCCCTGCTGGTGGAGTGCACAACCATTCGACCAGTTCAAACTACAGCCTACTCTCTGGGGGCGGCGGTGCCGGCCAAGACGACTGGAGGTGGTGCAAAAAATGTCAAGTCCTCTCTTATACAGGTGGCGGTGGGGGGTCAAACGGCCCGTGTTCAGCGGGCGGCAACCACGACACCAATGGAAGCGGCAACTACCGTCTCACACACAACGACTCTTCGGCGCCGGGACAACAGAACTGGAGATGGTGCAGGAAGTGTTTCGGCCTCGCGTACGCCGGAGGGAGCGCGGGTAGATGCCAGAGCGGAGGCACCCACGACCACGGCGGAAGTGGCCATTACACCCTGTCCATCGACGGGAACCCGCCCAACGGCGGCCAAGATCAATGGCGCTGGTGTTCGAAGTGCCAGTTATTGGCCTACGACGGGTACAATGCCTGTGCCGGTGGCGGAGCCCACATCAGCAACCCCAGCGGACTGTATAGCGTGACGCACAATGACCCGAACGCGCCCGGACAACAGGGCTGGAAATGGTGCAACAAGTGCTACGTGCTCTGCCACAGTAGTCCAGGCGCTGGGCGAGGCGTATGTCCCAAGCGAGGAACTCACGACTATTCCAACAGCGGGAACTATACCGTTTTGCACAATGTTCCAAATCCAGGGAACGACTACCAAAGCGGTTGGCGTTGGTGCAGCCAGTGTCACGCCTTGTGGTACAAGCAAAACAACCACGCAAGGTGTCCTCAGGCTCCCAATAACAACCACACGGACCAGCCGTCTGGTCAATACTGGATCCGCCACCAGCCAGCGTGAAGATCAAATCAACAGCAACAACAACAACAACAGCAGATGGAAATGGGCAGAAACGTCGGTAAACGAGACTGGACAACAACTTGATTATGGGATATGAGTATGCAGGGCTATGTCAAGGGTGTATTTGCCAGCTGCCTGTCTATTCACCTCAGAACACTCCCTGTTTTTATAATAGTACTGTCCATCGACACAAGGTTTAATTAGTATCTCCATCGATTTGATAGCCGCGTCCGAGAATGGGCACATATCCACACTATCAATTTTGGGCAATGGCAAAATGTTCGGCCCCCGGGACGAGCTTATTGGGGATTCCATGGCGGAATTGGCCGTAGGAGGCTTGACTGAATCCCCTTCCTTTTCGCAACGACGGGCTCCGTGGACGGTAATATTGAAGATAGCAATAGCGGCATTTTTGCCCGTTTTATCCATACACAACACTCTCAATTGGCCTTGTATGGCGCTGGGTGATATGAGTCGCTGGTACGTACTCCCGTACTCTGCTCCTGATTGATGAATCTCATGCTGATTGCGGGGTCGAATCGAAAAACAAGTTGTCATGGAGCTTCCTGGGGGCTACTCGGTGTAAACCAGCCAATTGCCGTTTGAAAACGACTTTCAGTGTTGAGGACGTCCCACGTCAGGCCTCTTTTACCTCGACTTGAAACTAGCTCGCCAGGGGGCCGAGGGGACCTTCATATGCGTTTCAAAACCTCCTGGCCGCCAGCAGGCCAATACGATCGCGTGCCTCCCGCTGGTGCTAAAGGTCGTTTGCCACGTTCGCCAGATTTGCCGACATTGGGTGTTGATGGTTTAGGTCATGAGCCCGAATTTGCAGATCTCTGATTGCAGGTGCATTGTGTGACCACGCAGGTGAACTATCCGAGTCCCAAATCCCCGAGATCTGGATATCTCAGATCGGCATTGTCCTCCAAGAACTTCATCCACCTCTTCAAAAAGGGGCTGCCGCGAGAAACCGTCTCTGAATCGCCAATCACGCATAAATGGCGTTTTGGTCGGGTCATTGCCACTAAGGAGTGCAATTTGTCAGGTATTCTGGACACAAAAAGAACGATTCCGGCGGCAGGATGCCTTGCATTGGCGCGAAGTAAGCACCCAACGACAACAACAGCGTCTTTGGCAGACAGGCAAAAGTACACAGGGACACGTAACGCAGTCGAGGTCGATATTAGGGAGATTGGACCTACCGTTTAATCTCCTTTTCTCACCCAAGAAGCCCACCTCCTTTTCAGCGTTGCTTCTGACCAGACTGACAACGACAGCCTCTTTCTCTCGGCCCTGAAAGCCATCGACACTGCCGAGTTCAAGGTTTGGATACTTCTCCTTCAGCATGGAGCTCAGAAGTGCGACCTGTGCATTGTACGGCGTGACCACTGCAATGTCTTCGTCCTTGACTCCGGCTTCGACCAGATTCTTCACATGCATGGCGGCCACGGCCGCTTCCATTTCATTGCTCTTGCTGTCTCCCAGCAAGGTCAATTTGTGACCCTGGCTACCTGAATCGTCTTCGGTCTTCTCAGGGAAATCACCTCCTTGCGTGTCGAAGAACACAAGAGGTTCGACGGTGTCTTCGGTCGCTTTTACTGCATATGGTAGGTCTCTCAACAGTCGGGATTTTACAGCATCGGCCGCGACAAGCTTCCCTCCGTACAGCTCGTCGCTTGGAAACTGCATTATCTTCTCATGCATTCGGTACTGCGTATTGAGCAATCTCTTGATCCCAGATCCGTGAGTGGCCAAGAGCCGATCAAACATGGTTGTTTCCAAGGACCAACTTTTCGCTGTCTTTAATTCCTCGTCCTTGATAGATAGCTTTGCCAGGTCTTCTTCCAGAGTCTTGGTCATGGATTTCTTTTGCTCCTTGGTGTCTTTGTTGTCTGCACTCTTGACCGTTGGCGGCAACTGCAGATGATCGCCCGCTAAGACTAGCTTTTTCACGTTGGAACCTCCGAAGACCAGCGGAATCCAGCATTGTGGCTCGAGAGCCTGACTCGCCTCGTCAATCACCACGACGTCGAATTCCTGATTACGGACTTGATAACTCCCTGCACCATGAAGTGTCGACAGCACGACTTTGCTGCCGCTCACCAGCCCGTGTATGCACTTTCCCTCCCTCTCCCGGTACTCTTTCCTTAGTTCTTTCAAATCGGCGTAAATTGTTCGGCGTTCGCGGCCATTCCGAGTCTTCCGAATTGACGCCTGCTTTTCGTCCATTTCCTTTCGCACGTCGCTTACAATCCCCGCTGCTTCGCTTGTTCGGGTCAACACTTCGAGCGAGTGATTCAAGACACTTGGTAAGAGGCGGGCCGGATGACCTAGACGAACGATTGGTGTACTAGGGGAGGTCAAGGAGAGCCGTTCGACGATGTTGTCAACGCTGATGTTGCTGGGTCCGCACACCAGAACACGTTGGTTACACTTGAGAAGCTGCAGGATCAGTTCGATAAGCGTGTAGGTCTTTCCCGTACCAGGCGGGCCGTGGATGAGCCCTATCTCCGGCGAGGAGAGGGCGAAGCGGATGGCGTCCTTTTGAGAAGGGTTTAATGTCGGGTCAAAGAATGTGATGTCGCTCGTTTGAGACGAGTCGGCTGTGCCTGGGGAGGAAAGACCCAGGAGGACGCGCTGGAGGGTCGTGTATGACGATTCTGGTGTCTTGAGAAGTTTAGTCAAGGTTTGGTTCATTCTGGGGACAGGTCAGTCAGCCACCATCGATTCTCAAGGGCCAGATGTGCTCAACTCACCTCTTGTAAGTGACATCGTTCGCAAGTTTGACTCTGCCGAGAAAACGATCAGTCGCTTGTCAGTGCCATTCTGTAGCAGATCATTGGCTATGTCAGGAGAAACATCGAGGAAACGTACAGCCACAATTTGCCGTCCGGGACCTCTTCGACATTCTCGCTCCCGCCACCATCCTTGCCCAACGCGACCCAAACAGCCCTCTCCCCAACGCGAACCACCACCCCTTCAACCCCCTTTCCTTTCAATTCTGCGGCTTCCTTCTTTCTCGCCGTTCCCTTCGGGGTCTCCCCGACCCGGACGATATCCCCTGTCCGGATCCCGTGCTCGGGCAACTCACCCCTAGAATCCTTGCTCACGACGGCCGGATCGAGGCCGAGCTCGACTACGCTACGGCCTCCGAGCCCGGTCTTCAGGGAGTGGACTGAAAGGTTGAGGATCGCAAGTCCGGCACGAGAAAGGGTCGTGGGCGGCGCAGACGAGAGGAGAAGGGACGTCTCGGCGATCTCGGAGCTCTGCTCGAGAGTCACCAAATGGAGAAGGGTGGTGAAGAAGGCAGCCGGGGAGAGCATCTCGGGTGCTGAAGGCGCCATCTTCTTCTTGGGCAGACCTGAGAAGTGTGATGTCGCTCTTTCTCGGATGGGAATCGAGGGGCAATTGAGTGTGGGCCTGGGAAGACAAGTTGGGTGGTCTTAGCCCCGTGAAAAGTTGAACAGCAAAATTGTTCTCACTGAAAATCACCGATCTATTTCGCAGATCAATCCATCAGCATCGCAGAACATGGTAGCTTCAGCGTCAAGCAGTACAGCCCCTTGTCATTGTTGAATAGCCTTTTTCTCTACCCTGGAGTGAAAACGTGGTGAGGCCAATTATTTCTTCACGCCTTCGTCGAGTTCGAGATGGTAAGTGGAAGCGCTGCGGGGTAAGAAAGAGTGCGAGGACTGCAGGGACTGAAGGCACACGAGAAGATACAATGAGCTGGATTTACGTGCCCTCCTGGAGCTCAGCTTCGAAGCGATACTCTGCGTCAAGGGTGGATTAGCCGTGAAAAAGAGCGGCCTTGTCTCGAGTTTGTTGAGGGCGGACCGAACCGTTAGAGGGCAGCCTTGCGCGTCTTGGCGTCTCGAGCCTTGGGCGGAGTATACCGAGAACATTGCGGATTGTCTTTCCTTTGGCTTTGCCTCTAATATACCCCATGACACCCAAGAACCCTCCCAACACCACATTCCCCCCAAACATTCAACGGTTGAATGAAGAAAGAGGTAGCTCCCGACCACAGTTACATCACTTAGGGCGAATCTAGTTGGTCACTGCTAACCTCGCTCACTAAGAGGCGGCGTTGCCAAACCGACTGCCCTGACCGAGCGACGGTTGTCGCAAAGGACTCGATGTAAGTACTTACCGTTACGAATCCAGACGTACGTCCATTATATCCAGCAACACCATTCCTTGGGTCATGCTTGATCCCGCATACTGTTTCATACAAGGCCGTTCCTATATTGTGTGGCCATCCCATCGCTACGGTCGCTTACGGTGCATCGCCTAGTACGGGCACCGGTCCAGGCTTCCTGCCGTAAATGACGGCGCTGCGAGCAAACGGGGTCAGCATAATCGATTCGCACTCGGTCATTAACGTACCATGGCCAGTAGGTATAGCGTTTCGTGGCTTTAAACTCTTTCCTCACACCAGCTAGGAATACTTGAACACGTTCTGCCTCCCAGCCCAAGCAGCGCGTAAAGACGGCGAGGGTCAATGCTTCGACGCCATTCAACATCGCGGACAGTTGAAACAGTCCTGCTTCCTTCATCCTTTTATCAGATGGCCATCGACCTATAGGGATCTTGAACGGCCGGACAACCACGTCGACAAAGCCAACTTTTCGCATTAGATCCCCGAGTTCTTCAAAGTTTAGGTCAAGCCTGCGCCCCATGCCGGTGATGCCTTGTCGCATGAGGCGACACCACTCGTCGACGACACTCTCTGGACTAATCGGAGCATGGTCGCTTCGTAGGTACGTGGCCAGGTCGTGGAGCTCAAAGTAGCCACCTGGCCTGCAGTGTCTACACGAGAGGACCGTGCGTTAGATTCCAACTGTGTTTTGGGAACCCTTGTATCGCGTGGAGTTTTACCTAAAAGCCTGTTGAAAATACTTTTGAAAATCGGCGATGCTTCCGCTGAGCATGAATTGGCTGTATATCAAATCAAAGTGGTCTAGGGGCCATGTCCAATCGTCCTCGACATCATCAATCTCCCATCTGACATTTGGTGGACCGATCGAGGGTTGAATAGGACTCAGGTCTACGCCTGTCACGATGGCCTCGGGGTGCGCGTCGGCCACATCGATGGCCCATGTTCCAATGCCTGTGCCTAGATCCAGGACATGCTGAAGCTGTGTGACAGGTGCATAGAAGAGCTCGGCACCAGCGGCAAGAAACATTGCACGGTGTTGCAATTCCAGGCGCTCGTGCTCGGCTAAGTCGTTTGGCATGAAATATTGGCCTTCTTTATATGCATGGTATGTCCGGCCATTCTCAACCTTGTATTGGTATATGCTTGACCGAACCGATTGTGTCAAGACGGAATCTTGCTCAAAACCCGAGTCCTCGCTGTCATACTGCCAGGATGATTAGTTCAAGCAAGAGCCAAAGTTGCAATAGAAAGTCCGACAAACCCCGTGGTCGATCTCTACATCGCTAGCCGTTTGATTTGGTTCATCGACATCAGCTTCTGGTTGTGTTGAGGCCATTTGGGTTTTGCTGCTTCGATTTCTGATGCTAAACCGGGGTAAAATGAGAAGATTGAATTGGGTTCTTTTCTTTTTCTTTTCTTTATTCTCGACCTTGCTGGATCCCGGTAGATGGCGCCTCGACTCTGCTGATAAAACATGCCACATCAGCCCATCAGCCCATCAGCCCCGGCTTAGTAGGCCAAGAAACGGTTTGGTTCCAGAGATCCCTCTGAGAGCCCACCAGCCGTCCCCGGAAAGGCTAGTGGGCTAAGAAGCGGGCGACAGCGTGGCCTTGGTGGTGCTTGGAGTGTCGGTTCTAAGTCGGGCGGAGATTATACTTGGGTCCGTTGGTAACAGTTAATAGTCGCTATCTTCGTAACTTCCCGTCAGTCGCAAGTGGTTATCATTTCCTCGCAGAGAGGGCGAAGGTGTAGTCATTCGGAAGGTGCTTTATTCTTCAGTGATCTAGGACGGTAAGTAGCCGAAGCCCACAAGCCATGTGGTCAATCTCCTTGACTTCTCGCTACTGAGCCCACTACGGATTGCGTAGAAACATCCCCGAAAGCGCCCGGATGTCACGCCAAACACATGCCGGCACATGGATTTTGTCATGTATGCATATGCATCTCGATGACTGCAGATACAGAAGCAGCTACATGAATGCGAACTCTCCCCTCCTCTACCACCCAGGTCCATCTATTTGCACGCCAAGATCCCATCACCACGAACCTGCTCGTCCATACATGTAGTCACCTGAGCCTCTTGAAGCTGCGCGGCCTTCCCTTTCTCTGGGCAGTACGCATAAACGGGATTGGTTCACTCAATTCGACCGACACACTTGTAGAGCTCTGGTAGAGCTGCGCCGAGATGCTGGAGCAGATTACTGGACCGCTGCAGGTCAGCTTCGTCAAAATCTTCGCCCTGTTTGCCGTCTCCTGGCTAGGTTGGTTTGTCATCTCAACCCTTATCGCATACAACAAACTACGACATATTCCTGGGCCACCGTTGGCAGGTTTCACGAATTGGTGGTGGATCAAAGCTGCAATCTCGGGGAAAGGGCATCTGGCCCTGAAACAGGCTTGCGATCGCTATGGTATGAACGGCTGTTCTTCTGGTAAGGAGACTCGGACGAGGTGTTCTGACCAGCATTCCAGGATCCATTGCCAGAATCAGCCCGTCAATGGTGGTGACCTCGGATCTGGATTTGTACCGTAAAGCAAATGCGCACAGGATAAATGACTACTCCCGCGGGCCATGGTACAAGGCGTTCAAGATGGACGCCGAGCGAGAAAACCTTTTCACCGAACTGAACGACGAGAAGCACTCTTTGATGCGTGCAAAACTGTCTCCTGGGGTAAGCGCCAAGTTCGTCTGCGTCAGTGAGTAAAGACTTACCAAGGAAAACAGTACTCGGGCAAGGATAACCCTGAGTGTGAGCCTAGTATCGACCAGATGGTCATGGACGTCGTGCACTTGATCAAACGGAAATACCTCTCGGTGGGATGCAACATCAAGCCGCTCGACTGGGCCCAGCTAGCACAATACTTCACACTGGACGTGATCACATATCTCTCCCTCGGTGAGGCATTCGGGTTTGTCTCTGACGACACTGACAAGTATACTTATGTGAAGTCCATGGAGGACAACTTCCCTATCATGAATGTCTTCTCGGCAGTGCCGTTGCTGTCAGCCATCGCCAGAATCCCGACAGTACAAGCCAATCTTGTGCCTTCACCCAAAGAGAAGACTGGGTTAGGGAAGGTCAAAGCGTGGGTTATCGAGAGTCACCCATTAAACAGCGAGACTAATGCCGTTGTAGAGTTGCTCGCCAGATCATAGCCGGCCGTTTCTCCGGTGAGAAGGCAGGACGCTACGATATGGTAACGTCGTTCAAGAACCATGGGTTGTCAGAACTCGAGATCTCGGACGAATCCCTGTTCCAACTCCTGGCCGGCTCTGATACAACGGCAACCATCGTTCGCACCGGATTCCTCTCAATCCTGGCAAATCCACACATATACCGAAAGCTCCAAGCCGAGGCAATGGCGACAGATATACCATTGGACAGGATCATCTCCTACGCTCAGGCCCTAAGACTGTCCTACCTGCAGGCTTGCATCAAGGAGGCTCTGCGCCAGCACCCAGCGGCAGCAGGCTTACTCCCTCGAGTTGTCGGCGCACAAGGTGATACGCACAATGGCATCTACCTCCCTCCTGGGACTGAAGTCGCCTTTTGCGCTTGGAATATGCATCGCCATAATACAGAAGTATACGGTGCTGATGCAGAAATCTTCCGACCTGAGCGCTGGCTGGAGGCATCTCCCGAGCGCCTAGCTGTCATGGAAGAGGCACACCATCTTGTCTTCGGCAATGGCAGATTCCGCTGCATGGGCGAGAACATTGCAAGGTTAGAGCTGAACAAGATCTTCTTCGAGATGATCCGAAGGTTCGACTGGAGCCTGGTTGACCCTGTAAACCCGATTAAGAAGAACACGAATTATGGACTGTTTGTGCAGAAGGGCATGCTTGTTAGGGTGAACGAGCTGGAAAGCTGCTGATTTCCGTCCCGCACCATGTATGATTCCTCATCAATGTAGGAGTTATCAAAGTAGTCAGTCCGCCATAGGCCTCGCGAAAGATTGATCAAACAATCCAAACCTTGAATGTGAATACGAGGTGCCTCATAGTGCGGTGGAAAAGCGACAAATTTTGTCATTTGAAACTCCACTGTGGTGCCAGTGCCAAACGCACAACATTTGAATCCGTCGCTCCCCATTCACTTCTTTTCTTTTGGACCACAGCGACAGGCTATTATTCTATGACTTCCAATCTTTTACAGGCAGTGCTGACCTCGTAACGGCCAGCACTGCCATGAGTTGCTTCTAAGGCTTTGAGTCTCCCTCTCGCCTCCTTGAGTCTTTGCTTTGTGTTGCTGCGCCCGTGTTGAAATTCGCCTTCCGGATCATGGTGCTTCCGCGTCGCTAGGGTTGAAGGCTCTCTGAGAGGCATTGGCTGGCAATAGGCACGCACTCCCTACATCTTCCTTCAGCCATGGCCTCCACAGAAGATTCGCAGAAACATACTCCCTCGAACGGGGATGCCCCCGAATCACCCCAATCGTGGACGTACCCTACACGCACCTGCCGACTCTGTCTCGAGGAGGTGCCCGCCACAGTTACTCTCTACCCTCCCGGTCTCCCTCCTGCCTTTCAACGTCCCGTTGTGGAATACAAAAATGAAGACGAATACGGTCGGCTGATCAAGCCGTGCCACTGCAGAGGAGGCATGCGGTACATACATGAGTTGTGTCTGCGGCGATCTAGGACCGAGGGCGTTCGACCCGGCTCCCTTTGGAAATGCCATGAGTGTGGGTACCAGTTCAACTTCAACAGGCTCACTATCCAGAGATACCTCGGCAGCAAAACAGCATCGGGCGTTTTGACGGCATTTGTCATGCTGGTCATCATATTTCTCCTCGGATTTATCGCAGATCCGATCCTTAATCTGTACACAGATCCCTACGAGACAATCGTTGGCCACGAGGACGTCTGGCAAGCTGTCGATGTCAACGACTCCCAACGAAGCCTGTCAGGATGGGCTCAGCATTTTATAAAGGGGATGGTTTCTATGGGCGTGCTAAGCTTCCTGAGGACCATGATCCTTAATCCTTTCCACTGGTGGAATCTTCGAAATACAGGCCTCGTCACTGGCAGAGTTTCTGGGAGATCTGCTACCGGTCGTGACCGCGCCGTGAACATCAGCTGGATTGTGGTGGCCATGGGAATTCTGTCGGCATCGTATTTCTTCTATCAGTGGGTGCAAACTATCATCGGCAAATCACTCCAGCGCATAGGAAACAACATCGTTGACACTCAGCTTCCTGGGGATGATGACGATATCAAGCCACCGCCAGGGTTCAAGTTTGAAAGCAACTATCCGGATACTACCAGTTCCGGAATCGGCGCTCAACAGAGTGACAATGTCCCAACAGGCCAGGAGAACGAAACGACCAAAGCGAAGGATTCGGGAATTCTTACCGTCGGACCGGGTGTCGTGCCTGGGGCTTGGGGATCCAGTGCGCACAGCTCCGCACTCGATGATGCTCAGAGTCAAGGCTGGTCATTTCGAGGGCTCTAGCTATCGCCTTCCAAGTCAGCTGGTATGGAATCTGGCCCTGTCTGACGACCGGCCAAAAGTGGACGGAGCCCCCCTGACAGCAGTCAGGCGTCTGCGGTTGGAGGCGAAGACCATCTATAGCCATAGCTCTGAGACCTGCTCTCTGAGACCTTCGTCTTGAGCTATATGACTATGGGCTTGGTGTGCTGGGCAAGGTCGGGGCTCCGATTGGCTCGCTCTTGAAGCTCCTGTGAGAGCTACCCTGTTTGATGACCCTGCCTTTGTAACCTAACTGTTGAATGCTTATCACTATCTTACAATCGCCCAACTTTGAGTTGTCACATCTGTTTCAGTGGAGTGCCAATCAGTCAGTGCGCGAAGAACAACAGCAATCCGGCCCCGAAATTCGTTGACGTTATGTCTTCGTTTCCATGGGCGGTTTGCCAGGCCAAAGGCTCTCCTCAAAGCAGATGGCCCGGTCCATGGCCAGCGATGGAAACCATTTGGTAAATTCATGAGATAAAAATTCGATGCGGTCAATGCGTGTATGTGCCATGAATGATTGAGTGTCTTGACTCGGCGGCCGGTTGTTCTGGATGCAGGTGAGGCAGTGAATAAACGCGAGCGACGCGACAATGCAACAAGCCACGGTTTGGGTCTATATTCCTCTTGTTCTTTGCTGCTGCTACTTCTGGTGCGACCTGTTCCTGCTTGGTCATTCTCTGTCTGATCGTTGCTTCCCCTGGACAGCGCAGTCAGTGCGTCTTGTCATTCTCTGGCTGTCGCCGTCTCAACTGCAAGTCAACTGTGCCTCTGGTGATCAATGCTTGCTTTAAGATGGCGAATTCCACAGAAGCAACAGAAGCTGACCTCTCGGCCTTGTTCGACCGGTACCCAGACATTAACTTTGACACGACGGGAGATCTCATATTCAGCTCAGGGATCAGCGAACATTTCTCGTCCCCGTGTTCGAATGCTACAGACCACAATGATACCCCCGTGTCCAAAGACTCAACGTCCACCGCCCATACCACTCCTCTTCGACCTAACCTTTGCTCTGCTGATGCATTGGACTCTCCGACATTAGACCTGTTCCTCAAACAACTGACTAATGCCGATCTCCCATTGATGTGTAAGGAAGCGTTCGAGAGTCTTGCACAAGAAATAGCGGGACTTGGATCGTTATTGGTGCCTACCAATGGTGATCATTATAATGGTTACGTCGATTCCAACAAACTGAAGATCCTCTCACAGATTCGGTCGATGTCAGTTCAGCTTCAACAATCAGCTGACAAGGTCACTGAACAGATCAACAACATCGACTTTGTCAAGACGCGAGCCCCATTCACCGTCGACCCTTCAAGTCAAGATCTCTGGTGTACCTATCGACAACGAGCTATACTCATTACATGGTGAGCACCTGCCTTGCGTGAAGATGAAGATGCTGATCGTTTTTGCAGGTACACAGCCTTGCCCTGCCGGACAGAGAAGATGATATTGGAAGATTTGACACACGTGTTTGATTCTTATGTCTATCACCCTTTTCTGCAGCTGCTGGGCATTGAAGACGTCGATATTGATGTGCAGGATGCAGTCAATAGCCTCTATGACGTTCTGATGTCGCTGCTTCACAACTACGCCCTGTGGATGAATGGGATGAGGGACATCCAGGTGAATCACATGCGGCCTCTCATGAGAAGGATACGGACGTCTCCACGGATACTAGAGGAAATTGTCGAAGCAGAGCATCTCGGTGAGACAGTCAAGGCATCAATTGGGAGTCCAGAGGCGCCAGGCATGCAAGCCGCCGACGAGAGAGTCATTCAAGAGCTTGGTCTGAGTACCAGTCGACGGAGGGCAGCAATTCCGGCCCGAGTCAGACAAAGATATCGGCGAGAACACACTGTGTAGGATGCATCTACGGGGCACGATCAAATGGCAGTGGTGGTCAAAACAGCGAGGCCCGTGCCACACCCATGGCGTTCAGAAGGAGCGAAGGGGGTTGCCTATTCATGTCTTATCACAGGTGTGTCCTTGATCGATATCTGCCACCGTGGTGCTCCTACATCTATCATGAAATACACCCGAAAATGCCCAAATGAGACTTGTTGCTGGCTCTTGGAAGCGCTACTTCCTATATCATTCGTGACCCTTCAGGCACTTCTCCCACCTCCGCCAAGTATATATTCTTTTTCTTTGGGTGCCATGTGTTGCTCCGTGTTGTTAGAATGCAGATAAATATCGTAGCTTACATCTGTTTAGCCCAGCCTGGTAGTCATCAGGTTGGCATCAAGAGTAAAGATTGGTATTGCTGTCATCGTCATGATGGCCTGTGGGATCTTTCAGGATGAGGCGACGGTAATTGAAGGGGCTTTCCCTCCTCATTAGATCTTACTGTGGTTCTAGAAGCAGCGCTTCCTTATGTCTTGGATTAATGGAGAGAAATACTTGGTATGTTGGCTGCGGTCATTTGACGTCATGCAAAATCACTTTACGCGCCTCGGGACGCGTCTCTCAGAATTCTTGAAGAATCACCCACCAACTCACCACCACCACCACCAAAACAACCCGACTCGGATATCTACACCACATCAAACCCCCAGCCATGGCGCTTCTCGTCGATAAACTCCGGCCTCGATCTCTTGACGCTCTCACATACCATAAAGACCTTTCAGAACGGTTAGCAGCCTTGGTAAACTTCCCCCCTTTCATCACCAACCCCAACCCAATTACTCACGCGATTTCAATCCTGACAACCGCAGGCTTCTTCAGCCGACTTTCCCCATCTCCTCTTCTATGGCCCCTCTGGCGCAGGCAAAAAGACACGAGTCCTCGCAACATTACGCGCGTTGTACGGCAGCGGCGCAGAGAAAATCAAGATTGATGCCCGCATGTTCACGACCGCCTCGAATCGCAAGTTAGAGTTCAATATCGTCTCCTCAGTATACCATCTAGAAATCACGCCTAGCGACGTGGGGTCCTACGATCGCGTGGTCATACAGGATCTTCTGAAGGAGGTCGCACAAACGCAACAGATAGACCTGAGTGCAAAGCAACGGTTCAAGGTGGTGGTCATCAATGAAGCAGATGGACTTAGTCGCGATGCGCAAGCCGCCTTGAGAAGGACAATGGAAAAGTACAGCGCAAATGTCCGCTTGATCCTGGTAGCGAACAGCACGGCTGGCATCATCGCGCCCATCCGCAGTCGAACACTACTCGTCCGCGTCGCTGCGCCCACAGAGGCCGAAATCTGTGACGCCCTGGTGAAAGCGGGCAAGAAGGAGAACTGGAAAATCATCCCTGCCCTCAATGAGCGGATCGCGAGGGAATCCGGTCGCAACTTACGCAAAGCGCTGTTGATGTTGGAAGCCGTGTACGCTCAACATCCCGAGCCCAGCGAGAAAACCCCCATTCCGCCACCGGACTGGGAACTCCTGATCGAACAGGTCGCAAAGGACATCATCCGCGAACGCACGCCGCAAATGATTCTCTCGACACGGGCAAAACTGTACGACCTGCTCACGCACTGTATCCCCGCCACATTGATCCTCAAGACGTTGACCTGGAAACTCGTCGCGCAGCCCGAAGTCGCAGACGAGTTGAAGGCCGAGGTGGTCAAGTGGGCGGCATTCTACGAGCACAGGGTGAGGCTGGGCAGCAAGGTCATTTTCCACCTCGAGGCCTTCGTGGCCAAGTTCATGCGAATTTTCGAGGGATACCTCGTGGGCATGGACTTCTGAAGAGCCCTCAGGGTCCCAGACGCGAGAGCCAGTCGAGGGCGAAAGAAAGTACGGAGCAACTACGCCAACGAAGGAGGAGATACATCCTTGCAATGTCCTCCAGAGTTGATCAGGACATACATGGCATACCCGTATGCCCGTATGCCCAGGGCTGTCCCAGGGATAGACTGTCCACTGCAAAACACTCGAGATGTTTGAGCTAGGCGTTTGGAGGAGAAGGCGGGACTGGGCTGCATTGGCCATGACGAATTCAACTACCTACTACTTCGATAATAATCCCGGCGGCAAAAAAAAAGACTACCAAGGCGCCCGTGAATGAATAAATGAATGAATAAGATCAACAAGCAGATAGGACTTCTGTGCGGCCTTTTTCTGTTCACTGTAGAGGTGGAACGACGACAGGGACGCTGAATGATGAATCCGAGGAAGATAGTTTCTGGTTCTGGTTCCCTTGCATAGGATGACTGCCATAGCAGATCTACCTGGGTACCTGGGTGGCATTGCGGTATTTGACTATCGTTCTGTGTCTGTGTTTCCCTTCAATACTGGGCAGTTGCCTTGATCCTTGGTCGTCAATATCGTAACTCGTAACTCGTGCTATTCCCCGTTCCCCCATCCGTGCAAATTCGGATGTTGGACACGATGAGATGAACCTCTCCTTGTCCCCATCGCCGATATGGATGCTCTGCTCGCTCGTCTGCAGACCGCTGATGCCAAGGGGGCTCGGTACCCCTGTGATATTGGTGGGACTGAGCACAAGGTTCGTCCACCATCCCGCCACCTCGTGGTCTTCTAGTCCAACCCCTCTTCTTCCTCCTGCTCCTGACCGTACTCTCCCTTGCGGTCGGGCCGCTGCTCGAGGGACTCCCTCTTCCTCTTGCGACCCACGACTTCCAACGCCTTCTCCGCCGCGCGACAGTACGCCTCCTCTTTACAACTCGCCCCTTTCACGTGTGCGATCCTCTTTCCCTCAACCATGACTTTGCACCTCCAACTCCGACTAGCCTCGCCGGTGGCTGCTTTCTTCCTCTCCTGCGCCACAAGTCCACAGTTCGGGACTGCCTCATGCAATAACGCCTCGGGATGTCGCGCGTCGATGTCCAGTTCTGTTGCAAATCGATGCACTAGTTTCATGTACCCCATTTTCTCGAGCACTGCTTCACAAGCGGTCAGGTCTCCTTGGGAATCAACAAAGACCGCACCAAGGATTGATTCAACAACGTCCGAGTAGCATTTCGGAGCTGCCAGGCGTGATAGTTCCCTCCAGGGAAACTTTTTGCCGATTTCAAAGCTCTCGATGACCGAGGACCGGACTTCTTGGTAGGCTGCCAAAGTGGCTCGTCGCTGCAAGGGAGCCTCCCTGTTGCCAATCCGTCTGATGTAGTCAGGGAGGTAGACTGTCTCAGTCTTCTCCTGGGTGACGGTTTGTTTCGTGAGATGGTTGGTTTGCACATCAAATATGGTGCGGGTATGTGAAACCTGCAGAGCGAAGAACGCTAACGCTGCATGGCTGACCAGGGCGTGACGGCGGCATGTCATCTGATCAGGGTCGAGTTGGAGAGAAGTGTAAAAAAGCTTCGGTTTCACAATGTGGTCGAGGACGGCATCGCCTAGGAATTCAAGCCGATCGTAGGATGAGGAAGCGTTGCCTCCAAGGTTCGATTGAGTTAAGGCCTGTGCCAGTAGAGCCTTGCTCACAAAGGAGTAGCCGATTAAGGACTCGACTGGCGCCTCAAGCCGGTGGTTTGAAGGGGTATCCTGAGGTTGGATTTTGACAATATTCTCAGACAGAGGCCTCCAAGGGATCTCGCTAAGAAACAACTTTAGTGCAGAAAGCACTTTTGCATCCGAGTCCTCTAATCCAACGTCACTGAGACTTGCAGCTCCGATCAATGCTTCAATCACATCTGCCAATATCTTCGACGATAGCCGTTTCTGTAGCAGGTTCTTCGCACGAATTCTGGAGTTGCTGACGCCAGCTGACCACTGAGGCCCTGAGAATCGGTTCCGAGTGAGATACTGATCCAGGCCCAGAGTTCTGGTCGCTCGTTGTAGCCGTGCGTTGCTGACGATTCTGTCCCGATACACACTGAGCTGGCTTTCCGGATGGTTGGGATAGTCAACAAAGACTTGAAGTGAAGAATAAAACTTCAGCAAATCATCTCCGAGAAACTCTAGCCGTTGATAATTTCTACTTCCCACGTTTGGAAGTGTTAGTGCTTCGGACACTAAATCGACACTGTCAAAACCAAGGCTGAGCAGAGGCCCTTTACAGGCTTCTGTGGTACGAAGAGCAATTTCGAGCATGTGCGTAATCGACGGTATGAGCAGCATCAGTCGCCCATATTCCGCAGGTAATCCCAGCACCGAACAACCATCCACAGGTAAGATTCTGGATGCATCGGACCTTGTTGCTGGTAAGATATTTGAGGTTAGATATTCTAGCTTTCTGGAAAGACTTGTCCCCACGATTTCGGTAATGCTCTGTGTCCTCTTGAGCTGACACTCGTGATGACTCGCATCCTCCTGCCATACACCGGGCTGCCATACGTACGGAATATTGTGATTTTGGAATCGTACAAGGTATGCGTTGTCGCAGATGGGGCGGCTTTCGAGGAAGCTAACCATTGGTGTGTTGCTAGACGCTTTGTGATACCAGTCTCGCATCGATGGCAGGTCCATGTCGGGGACGAGGAGAAACGGGAGCTGTTCCTTGTTGAGACCTGGCAGCCTTCGCCCAAGGATTACGTCCAGGGCAAGAAAACTTACGTCTCGGCCCAGATCGGTAGGAAAATGGTGTACCTCCTCCCCAGTGCTCACACTAACTTGCATTTGGCCGGATGGCGCAGTGAAGAGGGGGAATGAGATGCCGGAGAGTTTTCGGGGAAGGAGAAGTTGCATAGTGGGATAGGGGAAATCGGCAGCTTCGACATGAAGACGGTGAGCGTACCTCGTACCAGCCGTTGTCCACTGTGCCACAAGCGTTGGCCAAGGGTCGTATTGACTCTGCACATCGTATTCACTGTCTCTCTTTTCGATGTCGGGTTCGTTGTTTGTTTCTTTTGGATATTCCGGAGGTAACAGATGCTCTGTCACAAGCCCAGCCCTGTAGAGTGCTAGATAAGCCTGAAAGGCGGCGTCTTGCTTCGCCAATTTCTCTGTTCGCCGGCTAAATTTTGACTCTGCCTTCTGCAAGCTCGGAGGGAGGGTAGTAGGAAGGTAGACTTTCGCCACCACGTCGACACCAATTTCCCCTTGGATGCAAAATATCGGATTCGGTCGTTCACATTCATCTGTCTTGGGCAACTTTGCGCAAAATCGATCCAGGAGTTGTCGCGCTCCTCTATAAGTCAAGGTAGCTCTGTGTTCATCATCAGATAGACACCAAACAGGCTTCTGAGATCGCCAACGAGACCGTCAGCGCCATCTACGACTTACCCAGTTGACTCGACTCTAAAGATTTCACCCTCGGATTCATCCATGCTCTCGATATACTCTCGTCCTTCCAACGTCCGAAGAGAATCCTCGCACTCCTGCTTCATCTCGTCCTCTAGGGCTTGCCATTTCTCCAGCTTGGAATCGACTTCTTCGATGAGTACGAACTTGGAACCTTTTTGCCGGGCTCTCCCTCGACTTTGGACGAAACTTCGGAAGTTTTGTCGCTCATCGAAACATATCACCAGGTTCATTGCAGGTACGTCAATGCCTTCTTCAAGCACTGAGGTTGCCACACAGAGATTGAGCTCTCCGCGTCGGAATCTCTCCAGGTTGTCATGCTGAATGCGTAGCTCTGCAAAATCGAACATGCCTTGATGTGATGGATTGCGCACTCCGACAAAGGAAAATGATTTGTAACAGTCTTTTGTAAGTGGATGATTGTTGAGGACTTGGTTGAGTGACCAGGCTGCATTTCTAGATTGCACGAAAACAAGACATCTGAGGTTGGAACGATGTTCCTTTTGGAGGAAGTCGAGTAACACCTGAACCTTTGGTGAAACGCTATTCACTGCGGACATGCTCAACATATTTGATAGGATCTGCTCATGCAGAGGCTGGAGGCAGGATTTGATGAACTGATAGGACGATAGCTCCGTATTAAGTTCAAGCGTGTGAAGCTGTTTGATCTCAGCTTTTTCAACACATTTTTTGATGAACATGTCACACGCCCAATTCCCCAGATTTTCTTGTATGTCTTTGCACGACCGGTCAAGTGCTTGTAACTCTTTCATAGCTGGTGTGCAATTCTTTCTCAGGATCTTGTCAAGCTTCTCGTGGGCGGCCGGACTATCCAATTCTCGTAGGGTCTTCATGATCGGGTCATCATGTATTTGGATGACAGAAACAATGCCGGCTAAACATCGGTAGATTTGGGAGGAAGACTGCAGGGCTGTCTTGTATGTCAAATTTGTGAGCTCTGGCATGTTCAGGAAAGCTGTATATTCATCCAATTGCTGAAGAGGAGTTTTGCAAACCGCGTTGAGATTTCCCTCCAAAACCTTCACTTCTGTCCCTGCCTTATTGGTGATTGGACTTGCGGACAGGCCAAGTATATGAGGCAATTCAATGTTAGATCCGGGTACATTATGTGGGTGATAGTGAAGCTTCATAATTTCGTTCAGGCTGGCCTTCTTAATCCCATGATGAGCTTCGTCGAAAACCAGCAACGAGATGCCAGCCAAGGAAATGAAGCCGTAGTTGAGAGCCTGGGCCAGGATGGCAGGGGTGGAAATAACAACCTGAATATTGTCAAGGACTTTGTCCCAAACCGCCTTGGTGGTCCAGTATTCAGCGCTGTCCATGCCGGTTATCAGTCTGAATTGGAATGCCGGTAGCTGTTGCGAAAGGAAACGATACTGCTGATAGGCTAAGACCACGCTGGGAGCAGTGAACCACACCAACTGACGGAAAGGGTCAGCAAATAGAGGGAATTGGAGACGTGGAGCATACAGACCTTATCTGGGGAGCGTTCTAGTTCCGCTTCTATACGTAATTTGGCACTAGAAAAAGGTTCAAGAATTCAGTCTCCCCAAAGCAAGTACTCATGTGTCGAGGGAAAGGGGGGAGGGGGAAATCCTGTAGGAAAACAGCGCGTGAAGGGAAGCAGGACGGGAAGCTTTTACATCAGTGTCTTCCCACTACCAGTGCCCATCTGTATAAAAGTCAGGATACACTCATGGCTCGGAATAAAAAGCATCTTACAACAGCAATAATGTTTCCCCTCATACTGTGGTGGAACATCTCAATCTGGTACGCCCGCGACGGAAGTGGTTGGCTCGCCCGTGTTTCTTCTTCCTCAGATGTGTCTGACCATGTATCATCCGAGCCTAGATCCATGATGAGTTGATGACGAGGTGTATATGAAGGTGATGAAACAGAGGACTGAAGTACAGCTGAGAGGGGCGAAATCACTGGCGAAGAAGCTAGAAGGATTGAGAGAGACAAGGAAGGTGAGTCCGAATAATGGAGATAGAAGCCGACACTACAGGAAAGCAAGCATCTACCTGAGGTAGATTCATTGCGAAGGAGTATTCAAACCATAGGAAACCATCATCATTTGTGTGATTCCAAAGAAGTTGGAAGATGAGGCTGTTGTGTCACAGGCGAACAGGCAGGCATTGCTTGGCAGCTCTGTGTAACGGATTAACTGTTTTTCCACCTTTCTAGCAAAGCTGCGACTCGGAGGCTGGTGAGGATGACTGACCCTTACATTCCCAAGTACCGACTAGCCTTGTCAGCCTTGCTCTGTCCATAGCACGCAGCAGGGCAAAGCAGGGCAAAGCAGGGCAAAGTCAATCTCTATCAGTAGAAGCAGCTAGGGAGACCATAGATACTACCCATAGGCCCTCGGGAGAAGTCTAATTTCTCAAGATCGACTACTCAGTAACACCCATCCCTGTCACAGAGCAACTGAGCTTCCTCGACCGTCAGCGAGCCATCACCGTTCCTGTCATGTGCTCGAAACTTGGCCTCAACATGTTTGCCGAAGTCGGTTTCTGTTCCATTGTCTGTGACGTTGAAGAAACCAAAGTACTGATCCAGCGTAATAATGCTTGTCCCGTTCTTCTCCTTCCCGTTGCTCACGCGATCGAACGTCTCCTGCAATCCTGAAAGCATTTGGTGATTGTCGAGAGGATGCTTTCGTACGCTCGTGAAGGTTGGCTGAGGATTTCCTGTGAGGGTTGCCACTGGCTCACTGGCGCTGAATATGGTTGTCGCTGAGTCTTCGGGAAGTGCGCGTTCTGTCGCCGGAGGAGGATACCACGTCGTAATGTGGCTGGCACGGCAGGTCCACTCTTCATAGGTGGAGTGCACGGAGTCGTAAGGCGCCGTAATGACAGACGTCCATTCTATACCCGGCTCTTCGATGACCTCTCGAATGACCGAGACTGCCGGATATGGTCAGTGATCGGGGTGGATGGTTGAGCGGCTGTGACTGGTGCAAGGCAAAGGTCAAAGCGATCCATTCTCACCTCCTGGACAAGCACAGCAGAAGGCATTGCACTTTTTGTATCCGCAGCAAGGCGTTCCTGTAGATCCATCGCCGCAGATACCTTTAATTGCATCTCCCCAGCAGCATTTAGCGTACGTGCCAGGGGGCAGCAGAATGAGGAATGCCGAGACGATGGGCTGAAGGAGCATCTTGAGGAGTCGAACTTGTTGGCCGAGTCCGTTTGAGAGTGAGAGGCTTGGGGGGGAAGGGGGCCGAATCACAAGGTTTGGAAAAGAGAGCCGCCTCTCACGAAGAAACTGCAAAATGAGAATGTCGTGACATGCGTCTTCTAGGCGGCGTCCCAGAGACTGGCTTGTCGCTCGTCATCACTGTGACAGTGAAAAGACGTTAAGGGAACAAGTGAAGCTATCGCCGGATCATGAATGGCAACCCTGCGTCGAATTCTGCCGCTCAGGGCTGGTCTTGATAGACACGCTCACCTAGACGTGCGCGTCGGGAAGCGTCTTCTTGGCCTCACAGTGAAGATTGATTTTCGCCTTTGAAAATGATAGTGTGCTGTCGTTTGTCCCGTAGCCTGCCTCGAACCGTTGGCTGCATCTGACATCTTCGCGACCACCCTTGGTCATTGTCGTCAAGCACTGCCCAGCCATGTTTGCTGCAGCGTTGCCTTCTGTGCCAGAATATGCCAGTTGCTTTGCAAAATGGCTTGATGGGTGGTGTTATTTGCACAAATAGACAGGTAACATGGTGAATACCATATGGATAGCGCGAGTATATCTCTCACCAGCACGGCCTCCTCTCGCAACCGACTCACTTGAGAGAATATCGGCATCGGGCTGCCATCAGCTGATCCACACGGACGAAGCGAGCCAACGTGCCCTACTGCGTCAGTCCGACGTCCGCCATCCAGCAACCTGGGTTGACAAACTGCTTCCTTGCATGCCAAGAGGTGTCTCTTTCATTGAATCCAGTAGACGGTCCTCTTCGTCAGCCGTGCATTCCATACTTCAGCTATTCTGTCATGGAGATCGGCACTTTATCAAACGTCTCTCTTTCCTGTCTGGGAGTCTGCTCAGATGAAAGTCGGGAGAGCAATGAGTTTCCTTCAATTACTCGACGAAATATAGTACAAGCAAAGATAAGGACGAGTGTGCCACGCTGTATGGCTGAAGCCGATGGCGGTCAGCAAAAGTTGAATCGCGTGCGGGGAAGATTTGTTGGAGAAGTCGGAAAATATGTACATAGCAAGTCTTATCAAAAACCTCCTGGCCTTCCTTTTTGGGCTATAGCGATATCTCTCGTATTCACTCTGTGCTCGACGCTGGAAGTGGAAGAGATGCACATCTCCGTTCACTTCGGAATTTGACCGGGAGCAAAGGGAGAATGTGAAGGTATAAAACTCATCGTGAACGAGTTGTTGTCGCATTGTAGGGTTTACTTGGATAGTCCTTAGTCGCATCCCCTGTTGTTGTTCAGCCTTGCTGGAAATCCCCATACAATGGCTGTCGCGAGATTCTTCTCCCCGATGAACCTGCTCGTTTCCGCTCTCGCCATCAGCTCTTTATGCTCGGCGAGTCCATTCGGATTGGAGGAACGTCAAGCATACGCCTTGGTTGGTGACGGCTTCGAGGCGGCCACCTCCACTCTGGGAAGCTACTACAACTACTGGAGGAAGCTGCCCAATGGAACTTTTGACCTGACACGCAGTGATCGCTCTCCGGTAACAACGCCAAAGGTATTGCCGATGATGGCCCACAGATCTTCAATCAAGATCGAGCCAAACCGCACCGGCTTGGTGATCATCGACATGCAAAACTTCTTCTTGCATCCAGATTTGTCACCGAAAGCAGTGAACGGCCGCGCTGCCGTTCAGCCCACGGTCAACATGATCAATGGGTTCCGCAAGCATGGCATGAAGGTCCTCTGGGTGAACTGGGGGTTGACGGAATATGACCTGCTGACGATTCCACCTGCGTTCAAGTCTGGATTCAGCGGAGGTTCAGATCTCGCCAACGAGACATTCGGCAGCGATATGGGCACCATTAAGGACAACGGAACGACGATTGAGGTTGGCCGGCTGTTGATGCGTGGGTCTTGGAATGCCGAGCCTTATGGTGTGTTGGGGACAATGAAAAATGAAGGTCTCGCAGCGGGCACGGATATGTTGTTCAACAAGAACCGCCTGTCCGGACTTTGGGGACCACAGACGCCTTTAGGCCTCTGGCTCCAAGAGAACGAAATGTCGACGCTCTTCTTCGGGGGTGTCAATGCCGATCAATGCGTCTGGTCCACCTTTGTGGATGCCTACTTCAAAGGTAGGCAGGACAAGCCTGTCTCGTGAGCTTGAGAAGTACAAACTGACCACCTTCTTTAGGCTATGACGTGATTTATGTCGACGATATCTCCCAGACAACAAGTCCATCATATGCTCAAGAGATGTGCCGTTACAATGCTGCGGGATATGGTGAGTGCCAAAAGGGGACTGGTCGAATTGAGACTGACATTTTCACAGGATTCATCGGCAACAGTAGCGCTATATTGAAAGCACTTGGGTAGATGAAAGAGATATCCCGCGGCTGACAAAGGGGCAAGAGCTATTGTACATAGGCGAGATGCCTCTAGATATGGGCCATGCAAGCCCCATTCCTGTACCTGAGAAAAAGTAGAGAAAGTGCGTTGCGACTGCTCTAGGGACATTCCCTCTCATTGCATTAGCAAATGAGAAATGCGCTCACACCGTCATCGCGCATTCATGCATTTGCACTATCTGGGTGGAAAAGGAACATTCACTCATGTGACTTGTTCGTGGTGAAAATCCCGTGGACGTTTCAACTGAAATAGATCTGCGTCGAGCGTTGTGTATCGAGCAAATGCTCCGTTTTACCTTGGTACACCGGCGAACCACTAATATCTGTCAGGGACTTCCTGGCGGGGACAGTAGGGAAGATGGCGACAGCCTCTTCCAGAAGATCGCGAAAACCGAGAATGGGTGAGGGGTCTGTTTCTGTACAGCTACACTTGCCTTGATCTCATAGGGCGTCACGCCGGGTTTGATGATGACGAAAGATATCACTGAATGTCGCGCGCTCCCCAAGATGAAAGGAGCCGGAGAGGGAGGGATCCAGGGACTTTGTGATGATATCATTGACTATCATCCTCCCAGTAGATCGGGAAAGATGGCGTGCTGCTTCAGCCTCATACACAAGGTGTGTTATGAGCGTCGGAATGAGCTTCAATGCGCCGTTGGCCTAGCAGCAGGCCGCTAGCAAAGGCCAAATTGTTCCCTTAGAGCCACACGCTTGGCGGCCAGATCCAGGCCCATCTGTTATAATAGCAACATGGCGGATGTGCCGAATAAAGCCAGATCAGACGAAAATGGGGGGGGGAACGGCAGCTCTCGGCCTCTCATGAAAGTGCCATAAATAGAGATATCTGTTTTGGGAATAGCGTCTTCTCTAAGCGCCCAGTCTAGGCCCACTCAAAGTCCTTGTAGCCAATCATGTGTCTGTCCCTCTGTCGTCCCTCCCATCTCCTCTACCAACCATCCTTTGCTATCCTCCTTCACCTCCAACGTCCTGCCAACACGTCTCAGCACTATCGATCCCCGCTTTGATGCTATTTCCTGCGCGTCTCGCTGGCTGAACGCCCCATGGGATCCGGTATTGGCCTACAAGGCTTCTTCAAACACGCAGCTATCCCTTTTCTGAATTCCAGGCCTCGCCCACTGCGGCCAGAGCCAATCGACACAAGGTCGACATGTCCCTCTCCCAATTTGTAAAAGAGTGCGTGACATTGCCGTTCCGCTCAATTATCCCACCGGTCTCGAGCGAGACGCCAATGTCGTCCTCACAGCGCTTCCACCGGCCTCTTTTCCTTGGTTGTTTTTCTCTTTCCTTCGTACTTTCTTCCCCTCCCACCTTTCTAACCTCGCCGTCGCTGAAGTTGCTGGTCGCTCTCAGCTTTCTCTCGTTAGCAGTTTCGATTTGAAAGCCATTCCAGCGTGCGACCGTTGATCGGCGCCGTTTACAACTATTAATACCGATTTCGACAGCCATCAGATCTCGCCTTTTGCCGAGCGGGCAGTGGATGGCCATTTGACGAAGACCACAATCTACCGACAATACTTAATTATCTTGTGAAGGCCGGCACTTTGCAAGCATGAGCGTCCTACCATCTGCCACCTACCAATCTCCGCCGCGGCTGGGCCGTGGTCGGCAGCTTAATACTATTCTCGAAGAAAAGGAAGACGGAAGTCAGGGCCTGAAAAGCGATAGTGAGGGAGATGCAAGCGATTCAACCGTAATCGGCCGCCCTGCAGCATGGGATCCGGCCCTCTTTACTGCCGCTGCTCAAAAGAGCTCACTCGCAAGATCAACCTGCCCATCCTCTCCAATCTCTTCCTGTGCGCCTTCTCCTGCCAGCAGCGCTGGTGACGGCTACCGACGAAATTCAGCCCGAAGTTCTCTTACTGGTAGCGATGGAGGTACAGTGTTCAGTGACGACTGCCCGTCTCTTGCCAGCGACCCGACTAGCTTCGCGTCCGACTCCAGTAGAAACAGCTTTGCCAGCGAGAAGTCCAGCCGAAACCGCTACCCCGCTCTGATAATACCCAGAAACTCTTGGGGTCCGATGGATGCGAGTCCTATCAAGGAGATAACCTTTGGGATGTCTCCTGCCACGAAAATTCGGCTTTCCCCCGGTACACTCTCTGCCCTTCCAAGAGATGTCCCGGAAATCAGTGCGCCACCTTCGCTCGGGGACAGCAATAGTTCAATCTCTGATTCACCGTGTAACACGGGAACTAGTGCTCCCGTCACTCCGGACATGGGACAGCTCGAGGTTGGGGAAGGACAACCTTGGGATGGTCCGCCGCCTGCGAATCTCGAGTCACAGCCTCTCGAAATAGCGCTTGGCGATGGTCACAGTGTGATCCTGTCGCCGGCGGAAGCCCATTCGGGCAATTCATTTGGGAATCTTACATCACCAGCAGCATTCACCGAGATGATTGTCAGTTTCCCAACTGTGCCTGGTGCCACCCCACAAGATCTTTCTCCTCTCATGCCTTCCCTTGACGAGCTCAAGAAGTTCGAGGACAAACCACCGTCTAATGGATCTGATGTGGGGGTCAGACTTCCTCCAGAGGCATTGCAGCTGCTTCAGCGCCTGGCCGGGCAGAGAAGCGCTGACGACAGGTCGACAAGTTCTGGCGGCTCACGGCAGTCGAAGAAATCTGGGAAACGACAAGAAATGCGCGAACGGAATGATCCGGAGCCCATCAGTCGACCACGCAGCGCGGACGGGGAGACCCCAATATCCGACTATAGCTTCTCGCAGCTGAGTATTCCATCGCCAGGAGGCTTCTTCTCTTCTCTGCAACATGGCTCACGACACACCTGGTGTCTCACCAAATCCAAAGGACCAAGCGTACCCAGCACCGCTACCGCAGAGATGTTCTACCATCGGCCTTGGGAAAACAACTCAAAGGACAATGTCGTCGAGACAGTTCTCATGATTGACGATACAAATATGACCGAAGGTCCGCCCACCGCAAAGCAGGCCGTCTTTAATTTAGGAGAGCCGGGGGAACGTACGAGCCTGCAGTCCGAAGATGACGACCTCTACGGTCCTGCCGCTGATACTGGTGTTGGTCCCAGCAAGTCTTCTGAGGTGATGACTGTAAACTACGAATATGACGAGATGTACTATGACGAGCTCAAAAAAGCTGCGGGCCAGAATCTAGACCGCACTGGATCGTGGCTCGCCGCACAAACAGGCTATCTGTCTGCAATCCTGGACTCCAATCCGAATGAGGAGAACTCTTACACTACTGAAACCCTCGATGACAAGACCAAGGGAGTCCGTCGGACGGTGATGTTCGCTGACAAGGCCAAGATAGACACAGTTGTGGTTATGAGGGGCCCAGAGAAGGGCAGTCCCGATAGCGAACCCGAGGAAAAAGAGCCCATCTTTCTCTCTGCTTTCCAGCATCTGCTCGCTGTCCGCAAGCGCCAGGATGCCTTCATCCACTCATCATCTCGCCTTGACGCGATACAAGCTATCCGGATTGCCCTGCCAGAAAAGCATATCAACAGTCTCCTCGGCCGGCACTCGCTGGTTGACCCATCTCGTCCGAAATATTCTGGCCCATTCAGTCAAAACCCTCGACAGACTGGGGTATTCGAGCGCACGGCCGAACAACTCGCTTATCGGGCGGTCGAACGCGAGCAGCTTGCACTCGGGTCCATCGAGCCATCGAATTGGCAGATTGATGCTCTGAGGGCTGTGTTCAAAGGCCGTCTCCTCGCGTCTGAGGCAGCTTGTCAAAGGTTAAAAACCAAAGCCACAATTCCGTTGGACGATCCTGCATGCGTGGGCAGCAAACGGCTTCGCGTTCTCGACCTTGGTGGGACATCTTCTGCTTCGTGGGCCTGGAACGCCGCTCTGGAATGGCCGAATGTGAAAATTTACACTGTCATTACCAAGGATCAAGCACGGTCTCAACGACCAGCCGAGACGACAAAACCTGAGGCTCCGACAAACCACCGTACTATCTCTGTTCCGCACCTCTGGCAGCTGCCCTTCCGCAGCGGCCACTTCGACGTCATCTCGGCACGTTCACTGCACGTTCTTCTCAAGCACAATCCCGTCCCTGGCGTGCCAGAAATTGACGAGTGGGTTCTGACTCTTCGAGAATGTATGCGGGTGCTCAAACCACATGGGTACCTTGACTACATGATCATGGATTCAACCATCGCACACGCAGGGCCAAGAGCAGAAGCCATGTCGGTAGAGTTTGGGTTCGAATTGCATCGGCGCGGCTACGAACGCGAAGCAGCTCGAAGTTGGCTTCGACGCCTGAAAAAAGAGGGCTTCGTCGGCGTCAAGAGAGCGTGGATGTTCATTCCCATCGGACGGAGGCCCCCCAAGGAATCAGAAGAGCACGGTCACGGATACACAGGGGGCTGGCAGACATGGCGGCAAGGGGGCAAGCCGTTCGTACCCGCACCACGCCCAATCAGCGAAGTGTCGACCATTAGCAAGATCGTCAAGCAATACATGGACGTGGAGGCCGTGCAAGGGCCAGTCGGTAGTACGCAGGACGTTGCAGACCTGACCGGCCTCCTCGGCGCCCGGATGTGGGAGGAGTGGCTGGTCAAAGTGCGCGCCGAGTCGGGAAGAGAACAGAGCCGGTGGCTCGAAGGCGTCGACGAGGTGATGGAGGAAGGCAAAGAGCACGGCTCGGGGTGGAAAGTGCTGATCGGATGGGCGAGAAAGCCAAAGCCCGACAAGGGGAAGAAGAGTGAACGAGCAGAGATCACGGTGGCGGTTGAAGACATGGCGGAGCTGAGCCCGATTGATGAATCGATGGAGATGGGCATGATTCCTATGGTGATTCAAGAATGATGAAACGCGCCCCTCTTTTATTTCCTAACTCAGACCGGGAAGGGAGAAAAAGAAAAGAATATGTTCTTCAGAATGGATTGGAGCATAGCGAGTAAGGAGTTGCGGGTTCTGAGTTGATTTTCTGGGACAAGGCTGGACTGGAATGTGGAGAGGGAGAGGGAGGATGTATGATAGATAGATAATGGGGCATCTGTCACGGACATTCGCTTTTTCTTTTTGACCACGGCTTTCTCACAGCAGTCAGTATATAGCAAGCTACCTAGATACAGTAACCGAGGATGTTGATGACTATGGATTTTCCCCATTCTACACGGGTTTGTCGGTGGGATAAGCAATATGGGATGGATGAGTCAGCAACTCCACCCCCTTTAGGCACCGATTAGGTGACTTGATGCCACCCATGTGCTCCTCTTTAGGTGCCCTCCACCACCCAAACACCCCTGCCCAATGCCTAGCATGCCTAATTATTAGCGTCGTGGCCTCATTAGCCTACCGGGTACTGGGTATTGGGTGCCTACTAGCCCCCTAGCCCCTCCTGTCCTCAATCTTGTGCCCCTCGTCTGTTTTCCCCTCCCCCTCCTTTCCATCATGATTACTATGGGAAAATAGTCAACCACTCCTCAATGGATCTATCTTCCGTAAACATTGCAGTGATGACTTATGACCAAGCTGAGTACTCAACCCAATAGTCTCCATCCACTTCCTTTCTGCAGATCCCCGATCCGCTTCTTTAGATTTCCCGCCCGGCTCCTTTGCTCCTGCATAAATCCCCCTACGTCAGTTCCATCCCCATCCGCCTGGCAGGACACCAACAACTTCCCCCACCAAGAGCCTCTATATCCCCCTCCCACAGCCTCCTTTATTTCCTGAACTCTAGCTCTCCTCCGTTCCCTCTAGATCTTCTATCTAGCTCTCGTCTGTATTGCTCAGGTCAAGCCTTTTACAATTTGAGTTACAGAAACCGAGGGATGACGACCCCCCGCTGCTTCATCGTCCGGCACGGTGAGACAGAATGGTCCCTCTCAGGAAAGCACACGGGGACCACCGACATACCCCTGACCAAGGACGGAGAGAAGCGAGTGCGCACAACGGGGAAGGCCCTCGTGGGAGACGATAGGTTGATCGTGCCGAAGCAGCTGGTTCACATGTATGTCTTTTCAACCCAACCCTCTCTCCTTCTATTTCGCGCACCTAAGATCCCATGGCTGATCCTGATTGAAAAAAAGTTACGTCTCCCCTCGCCACCGTGCCCAAAGAACCCTCGAACTCCTCAGTCTAGGCTGCCAGGAGCCCTACCCCTGGCAGCAGTCCCAATCCAAGCCCAACGATCATGAACCACTCCACAGAACCAATGCCCCGGTCACGGTCGACCCGCGCATCGCAGAATGGGACTACGGTGATTACGAAGGCATTACAAGCGCCGAGATCCGCGCCCTGCGCAAGGAACAGGGGCTTGGGCCCTGGGACATCTGGCGCGATGGCTGCCCTGGCGGCGAATCTCCCCAAGACATCATCAATCGCATTGACGATCTGATTCGCGAAATTAGAGAAAAGTACCACTGCAAGGTGATAGGGAAACCGAAGCAGCCCGGTGTCACAGGGGACGTTCTCGTCGTGGGCCATGGCCATATTCTGAGGGCCTTTGCCGTACGCTGGATCGGCCGACCACTCACGGAGACGGCGATGATTATGGAAGCGGGGGGTGTCGGCACGCTGAGTTACGAACACCACAACATTCACGAGCCGGCAATATTGCTCGGTGGAGGGTTCGTCGTAGGGGACGATAAGGATGAGATCGAGAAGGGACAGAAGGAGGGAAATGAAGGAAATTCATGACAGTGGTAGCTTTCCCTTCTCCCCTTTTTGAGGCTTCAATTTCCATCTGGACCTACAATCGCCGTTGAGATCCCCGTCTCTCGGCAGCTCCAGTCGCTAGCGGAAGAGCACGCATCTCAAGCTCAAAATGCACCGCTTTGGAATCTAGAAGGTGCGGTAATACACTTGATATCAGAACCCAAGAGATTCCGATTCTGTTGACAAGAACCAGCCTAGCATCCCCTTCCCTCTCCTGTTATGTGCCCCATTGACCTTCTTGCTTTTCTCCAGCCCGCTGGCCGACCTTGCTTTCACCAACCGCTCGCCGGCTGCCGTGAATTCTCATTTTCCCCTGCTCCCCAGTCGCCCGGCCCGAAAGCTCCTGGATCGTGGACGCTAGGAGGACTGCAGGGCGGCGGAGGATCCGTGGGCGTTGGCGGACGCGGACCAGCGCCGTTTATGTCCATGTCGATATTTGTCTGGCCGCCTGCGACCGTGCCGCTGCCGGTGAAAGCGATCGCAGGTGGCGGTGGCGGTGGAGGTCCAGCCATGCCCATCTTCGCTGCCTCTTCAGGGTGGTTGAGGATGTAGTCGAGCATGTCGCCTTGGGCAAGAGCTTGTCCTGCATTCTGATTCTGGCTTTGGATCTGGTTCGGGTTTGGGTTCTGGGTGGAACTCACGGGGCCGGAAAGTCTGCTCCCTCCCTTCGGACTGATCGCTGAGCTTCGGCGAGAGGGGGCTCGCACACTGAAATTCCCTGAGGGCTGTGAGGCGGCGACGCTGGACTGCTTCTCCTGTTGCCCATCCCAGCCATTTTTGTTACTGGCGGAAATGTTGTTCCAACTGGTGTTGCTATTGCTGTTACCGTTCCTGCTGCCGTTGTTATTGTTATTGTTGTTGGCATTGCTCCAATTTTGGTTGTTCCAGCCACTTTTACTCTGTTGATCATTGTTGTCTTGCCATTTCTGGGAAGCACCATTGTTCCCGCTACTGTTCTGTTGGTCGCTACCCTGTTGCCAATTGTTGTTCGAGCCACCATTCCAGTTGTTGCTTTGGTTAACGTTTCCTGCATTGCTCTGGTTGCCTGAAGCATCGGATAATCGAATCCCGAGGCCCGCGGTGTTTGAAACGTTGCGCATGCGCGGCAAGCTGTATCTGAGAAATCCCACATCAGGAGCGTTGACGGGCACCTGCTCAAAGCTCTTCATGGAAGGCGGAGTCACTTTCGGCGGCGGACTGGGTATTGTCCCCCCCAAAGCACCTTTGGCCCTGAGCACCATTTGAATCAACTCTGACTTGTCCAGGTTTTCAAGAGCATTGGCGTCCTCGTCTGGACTAGGCTCGGTTGTGATCTCGACCCCGATCTCGTCCTTGAGTTGCTCCTTCGTCCGGTACTTGAAGACAAATCTGGCATAAGGCTCGTCCAGAGAATCAATGTAGTAAGGAACGCATCTTTTTTTGTTGTAGAGGTAGCCTTTACCTGGCTGAACTTGTTTCGTAACTCCCTTGGATTGTGCAATAGCTTGAGGGACGTCATATCGTGGCTCCTCCTCGGCGTCTGCAGGAGGAGCATTCTGCGCACAGGATTTCAAAGTGTAGTACGCCCCATGGGGGCCATACAAAGCTCGACTGTTCGATCGGTTCCCAACTAGTACAGGCACATTGTTAGGCGTCGAGTTGTTGTTTTGATTGCCGCTCTCGCTGTTCGGTTGATTATTCCCATCACCCCCAGAGTTCGGATTTTCGTTTCCCCAGCCACCACCACTATTGCCTTGTTGGCTTCCGCTGTTATCCTGATTTGTATCACTCTGCCAGCTACCATTTCCGGTGTTCCCATTCTCGTCATTCCAACCTTGGTGGTTGGTATCGTCCTGTGTATTGTTTCCGCTGTCGCCCCAACCTTGATTGTTATTGTTGCTCCCGTTGTCGTTTGCGCCTCCATTTGCCCACGTGCCAGTGTTGCCGCTAGTGTTATGTCCACCCAAATTCCCCCAGTTATCATCATTGTTACCGTTATTCGGATTTTCTGGAGGATCTTGAGCAGAGGTAGATTGCACGGTGTTAGAGCCCTCTATGTTGTTAGTAACTTCACCTCCCTGCTTCTGAGAACTACCATCATTTGGCCGCTCCTCGGCAGCAACTGGACCTGAGGTGCTGTCATTTTGCGTGCTTTGGCCAATGTCGGACCCGATTCTCTGATTCTGGAACAAGGGGGCATTGTTAGGTGGTGGGTAGATCGGCACGGCAGCGGGAAAGGGGGGAACTGGCATTGTTGGCTGAGGGATCCATATTGGGATAGGGTATTGAACCGGCTGTGGTTGGCCTGGGGCCAGGTTCGTGGGCTGGATTGGAAACTTAGGAGAGAGAGCAGGGAACGGTGTTACTGACGGAACAGCGTTCGGAAAATTCGCTTGAGAGCCGCCAAATGTTGGAGGCCCGTGTGTTTGCTGAGTCTCAGGTATAGGCCCTTGAATAGGTGGCCGATAGTATGAATGTTGCGTAGGGTGACGGTCCAGAGGAGGACGTGGCTGAGAGCTTTCGTGGACTTGGTTCGGCTCAGGGTATGGCCGGTAGACTTTCCGATCAGGATTGTACATGTAATGCCCGCCTTCAGGAGGAACAGGATAGTCGGCGTAAGGATTGCGATGTCTATCGTATTCCGGGCGATAGTAACGGGGACTAGGGTGGGAGTATGCATGTTGATCATGTCGCTCCCAAGTGTGATGGGGTTGGTGGTCGTATCTTGTATGATAGCTACTGGACTGCGGCCCTCTCCCGTCACCGTAGTCGAAGTGAACATGCCTCTCTGGTCTGAGACCCGGAGGAGGCGGATTCGCCGGGGGTGCATATGTAGAAGAGGGCGGAGAGTCATGATAGGTGTACCCTGTTCGTCGTGGTTCTTCATAATGCCCAGAAGGTAGACGATAATCCGACGGGTGTTGTGGTCTTTCCTGCGGGCCATAAGGAGCAGGGTGTCCAGCATGTGCTTGCCAATGCCATCGAGAATACCCATCTGACAGGGCATCTCCTGGATTGCCAGCGAAGCAAGACCACCCGTCGGCAGGTCCATCGAATAGGGCAAAAAGCCCACCGAAGGCGTCCTGTGGTTCAGGGTGAGGATGTTCAGCTTTTGTAGAGTGATTTTCGGTGTTTGAATTGCCGTCAGGACCAGGTTCTTCCGGCCCTTCTCTAGCATCCTCTTCGTCATCCATGATCCCGCTGTGCTCACCTGAAGAGGTCGTCGAGCATTGACTATCTTCACGATTGTTGCTATGGCATCGCAAGACCAAGACTTCGATCGTTCCCAGATCATCGAAGTGGCACTCATCAACGCCCTGGGGGAGTTCTGAGACTGGTAACGAAGCATTAGCTTCGAACTTGCTTCCTCCAAAATGGACTCACCAAGATTGCAATCGTCGAAGCGCCACTGCCGACCCATGTACGTCCCGTCACCCATTGGTTTCTCTTTTTGTCTCACTAGAAAGTCAATATTTGTTCTGATTTCAGGCAAGTTTTTCTTTGCAGGCTGTAGGTTGACTCTATTACGATTGCATTGGTAGTTTCCATCAATGAAAACTACCATCGCCAACCCGTCATAAATGAACTTTCGTGAGGTGAGTCGAATGGTAAAGACCTGAGGATGAGTAGGGATAGCAATGTAGGCCTCAACAACACCGTCTCCGTAGACCGTGCCATATTCTGGAAATGGAGACCCTGTATCTGCCCATTGCACGTGGCAAACAAGATCTTTCAGAGTCGGCATTCTGATGGCACGGCAACATGCGTCCACTCACGCATCAGTAAATCACGCGGTCAGTCAGTTGGGGCGGCCGTAGCACACAACAACACGGCGAAAATCCAGCTGGTCGTCAGGGGTGGTATCATGGAGATGGAGGAGGAGGAGACGGCTGCAAGACAGGCTGGGGGAAGGGAAAAAAGACAGAATAGAGAGAGTGAGTGCGCGGTGAGAGTAAGTGAGTGAGACAGAGACATTAGAATAAGCTGAGGAATACAGGTTACCAGTGAGGAGGACATGTGAAAGAGATACACCTAGCATCCATAGATCGAGGTTCTGTCTTGTTCACACGATAAAATTCGACATACAAAGACTGTGTCTGGTGTATCTTCTGATAGACAACCCTCTGTCGACCTTTTCACGGTCTTTTTTACACGCTTCTTTATTCGCGGGTAGAAGAGCTTCCAAGGTACGGCACAAAAAGACAGTAGCATCTTGCACCTGAATCTCAATGACTTGATCTGATCGGTCCATGCATTGTATATTCGAGTTCATCCATAAAGCAGAAACAGATTCCCCTTGGCCAGTACAGGTAGTAGTGGTAGTATTGTGGAGGCGGCGAAGGGACATCCCGATTTCGCTTAGTGGCATCTACATGCGAGGGACATAATACATACTCTGGCGCATGTTGATATTATCCAGATTCCCGGTCAAGTACCTTTTTCGACACTGTACCTCCGACGACCACCTTTCTACCTTCTCTTCCACCTCTCTAACATCGCCCCTGTCAACATGAGCGCGACGAAAGCGCAATCGCAGAGGATCTTCGAGAAGCTGAAAGCCAAACCAGCCAACAAGGTACTCACACCAGAGCGTGGAAGGCCACCTCTAGGAATCTAACATTTCCCGCACCGCACCTGCTGACATCGCATTCACAGATATGTTTCGACTGCGGCCAAAAGAATCCGACTTGGTCCTCCGTCCCTTTCGGCGTCTATCTATGTCTCGACTGCTCTTCCAACCATAGGAATCTTGGTGTCCACATCTCCTTTGTTAGATCTACAAATTTGGATGGTAACCGGGACACTGCCTGCCCCTCAACCAGAATCAAAATATTGATTGATAATAGTTTGGCAATGGAGTCAGCTGCGCACTATGAAAGTTGGAGGCAATGAGTCTGCCACGAAATTCTTCCAATCCCACGGGGGGAGTGCGGCTCTCGCAAGCAAGGATGCGAAGGTCAAATACACCTCTAATGCTGCGAACAAATACAAGGAAGAACTCAAGCGTAGGGCAGAGAGAGATGCTCAAGAGTATGCTATTGTTGATCAATCTGTCTGTATTGACATCGCCTTACGCGTTGAACAGGTACCCAGACGAGGTGGTTATCACTGACGACCCTCTCTCCACCCCTGGCGCCGACGGTACATCCACGCCCGCAGGCGAACCCGCGGACGATTTCTTCTCCTCTTGGGACAAGCCCACCATCAAGCGGCCTAGCAATCCGCCCTCACGAAGCGGCACCCCTCCTGTGATTTCACGCACTGCCTCCCCCTTCCTCTCGGCCGGCAACGCTCCAAATGGCTCGCAAACACGGCCTAAATCTCCCTCACCTTTGGCCGCAACTGCAGGCAACGACGCCGTAAAAGACGCCGAAGCCGCTCTCCCTGCTCCCGCCGCCATACGTACGACATCCTCTTCCGCAATCCGCAAAGGTCCCAATGCTGCTGGAGGTGCAGGTGCCAGACGCACAAACGTCCTCAGCGGAAAGAAACAAGCCCACAAACTCGGCGCCAAGAAGGTCGCAGGCGAAGAAATCGACTTTGAAGCAGCTGAGAAGGCGGCAAAGGCCGAGGCCGAGAGGATAGAGAAACTAGGCTATGACCCTGAAGCAGAGAAGGCAGAAGAACTCGCTAACGCCAGTAAATCTCCCACTTTCGGATCGTCTTCCGCTGGGACACCCAAGGAGACGCCGACACCTGTCAATACTGCGACGAGGTCGGGTTCAAACCCGACCCACGCGCGAAGTCCGAGTGAGATTGAGAGACTGGGAATGGGCGTTGGTCGATTGGGGTTTGGACAGGTCGGACCTAGCAAGGCAGCGGCAGGCTCAAGCGCAGCAGCACCGAAGAAGTTGGGGTTTGGTGCTGTCGGCCCCAGCAAGACCTCTGCGGTAGAGGGTAAGGACATCCCTAAGAACATAGATCCCCCTCTTTCCCCTTTCCTCCTTGTCCAGTCTTGTCCAAAGCACTCTCTTTCTCTCTCCCTCCACAACTAACAATCTCCTTTCATCGCTTCGACGATAGACGAGGAAGAACAATATGCACGCAACAAATTCGGTGGCCAAAAGTCGATCTCATCTGACGAATTCTTCGGCCGCAACAACTACGACCCCAATGCTCAAGCCGAGGCGAAATCGCGCCTACAGACCTTCGAGGGTGCCACGTCGATCAGCTCAAACGCGTATTTCGGACGGCCCGAGGACGACCCCACTGGTCTCGAAGGGCATGACGGGTACGGCGACATCGAGACAGTGGCGAAGGACTTCATCCGCAAACTCGGATTGACTGCGGGTGACGACCTGGAGAATTTGATCAATGTAGCGGGCGAGGGCGGAAGGAGGCTGAGAGGCGCCGTGGCGAGGTATTTGAACAGCTGAGCTTGAGCTTTTTCGAGAATTCGAATTAGAGAACAACGGCGAGGCGAGTGCAATGTGAATGTGCATGGGAGCCGATCGATCATTGCAGGCCGGCAGATAGGCAGGGGGAGTGGTAGCTACATACATGGGGAAAATGCAAGCAGTGGGGGTGTGGATAGCGACCAACGAGTATGAGCATGAAACATGAGCATGAAGTTTGGATTGCCAGCGCATGATTGGCTCTAACGGCACCCCTTTCCCCTAAGCTAGCATGAAGTTTCTTGGAAAGCCCAACGACGAGGATCCAGAATATGAACTGAAATCCTGTTCAGCAGCAGGAGCAAGAGCAGCAGCAAGAGACGAGACAGAAGGCGCAGAAAGAAGAAGGGCGAGAAGCATTGATTCAGAACGCTCAGAATGTTCATCGTGGTTCATTTCTGCAGAAAGGAGAGCAAGCATAACAAGCACGCAAGCAAGTAGGCGAGCAGTCAAAAGCTTGCGGTCCTCTATAGTCCCGTTCGGTACGTCGGTCCATCCAGCCATCAATCCATCCGTCCACTTACTTCCCGTCATCGACGCCTGTCGGAGAAAAGAGGTTGAATCCCGTCTGCACATGGGTGGAATGGATGCACTCTCTCCCAGGCAGCCGTGGTCCAACCTTGTCTGGACAACGCATCCTCTGCGTCCACCCTCTCTTCACCGCGCCACACTACGCTTGCACTCAGCCGTTCCAACGCCAACAAATCTGCCAGGGAAAGTGTGAGCAAAGCTAAGAAGGGAGGCTCTCTGCGGGGCATTTCTGCCCCTGTCAAGTTCTCCCAGCGTAGTGGCTCATTCATGCAATAAAAGGAGTGTATCCGGCCTTAACAAGACAGTTCAACGACTTGCAAAACAAGGCAAAAGCCAAAAAGACTGTTCGATGGAAAACCGTTCATTAAGGAATAATCATAGTGTTCCGATCGAGGTTTCAATGCTTTTCCCGTCAGGATGGGTCGAGTGTAAAGCAGTAATATTCATGCCAATCAATCGCGGAGTAGTTAGTCATCAAGGTCGTGATGAAACGAGCGGCTGAGTCTTCCAAGAGAACTCAAATGATGTGGTAGAAAGGGGCACCTGCCCTCGTTAAGCCTTCCGCTTCACATGACGACGCTCTTTCGTTTCTCAGCGCTACTGAGCACCATCAATGGCGTGTTGCGTCTGGCAGGTTCCACCTCGACAATAGATCCTCCAACAGAATTGCCCTCATCGCTACTCAAGCTCTTAGCACTGATCGCTCCAACGCTGTCAACAGAAGACCGTTCTCGAGACTTCTCCTTGATCTCAGACCCAATGGCCCCACTGGCAACAGCCCGGAGACTACCAAGGCTTGGCTTGCTCGAGAGGCTGCTACCACCAGCAAGAACAGAGTCATCAGATGAGACCGAGAAGTTGAACTCGTTCTCGCTGCCAGGTGTTCCAGCCCCCGAACCGGGTTGCCGACCGCCATCGCTGCGACGCTCACGGCCCGCACGCACAAGGTCATAGACAGCTCTACGGCGCTGTCGAGTAGCAAAGTTCTTGCTTCCCTCGTGTTTGGAGGTAGGCTTCTCCTGAAGCTCTTGCAGAAGGGGAGGGCCCTTGGGTTGCCTCACAGGATGTTCTCCCACTCTCCCGTGTCCAGGTCCAAAAGTGGCGGTCATTGGAGTTTGCGGAAACCCGGCAGATCTCGCTCCAGAACCTTTTGTCCAGTCGCCGGCAGTCTTGATATTGGCAGACGATAGGTTCTTTCGATGACCTCGTCGGAACGCATTGGCGGATGGAGGTGGGAGAGGCTCGACTTCCTGCGGGGGCGATGGAGTGGACTTGGGAGGCGTCTTTGAACGGGCTTCGATCACAGAGAAAGATGACTCGGGCATCTGGCGCTGGTAGGCTGCCGTGGCAGGAGGCGGGGAAACAGAATTGTTCTGACGGATGGGGGAGACTTCTTTCTGCTGCTGCTGCTGCTGCTGCTGCTGTTGCTGCTGTTGCTGCTGGTAGGAATTGTCGACGAGATAACTTGACTGGCCCGTCATGGGATTGTAGACAGTGAAGACACCAGGGCTACCAGGGACTGGGTGGACCACGGGTTGCAAGCCCTGCTGGAATTGCTGATTGTACAGACCCATTGGGGAGCTGATGGGAGACTGATACTGCTGCTGGCCGAGGTTGTTCATGAAACCGGTGTTCAGGTTGAGCCCAGATAGCTGATGCGCCGCAGCAGTGACATTCAACAACTGCTGTTGAAGGGCTCGCTGCTGTTGAGCAAGGTAATTATTGGTGGCTACTAGTTCATCGTACAAGTGTTGATCCATATTCTCTGCTCCGTCAACGAAGTCAAGAGATGGAGGGGCAAGTACATGCTCAGGAAGCGAGTAAGGTTGTGGCAAGTTGCTCTGCAAAGCATTCCTGCCTCCGGGAAAGTACAAGCCAGTCGCTGTCTGCGGAACATGGTTGCCGTACGGCGCAGGGGCGTACTTGCTGCTTTCCAGACCTATGCCATGGGTGGCAGGAGGGACCGTAGCAGATTTAGGGGCTGTGCGCAGACCTGCCAGAAGGTGACCACGGCTAGTGCGGGGAGTGGAAATGGTATTGGCCTGCTGGGTTTCGTCGATGGTCGAGATCTTAGATGGAGGCGCGACGCTGAGACGTTTGATATGGGAACCTTTCCCTCGAGAAGCAAAACCAGGGCCAGAAACGCCAATAGAGTTGTTGAAGGGAGACTGGTAAGTCATTTGAGCAACACCGCCAGCGTCGATGCTCATTGTACTCTAGAAAAAGAAAAAACCAAGACAAAAGGATCGTATATTGCAAGTTGACAGACTGAAACTTGGTATGGACGGGACAAACCGGAGTGTCCGAGCTGCGGTGTCAAAACGTTCAGGAAGAAATAATAGTCCGTGCACTGCCGACGCGAGAATTGAATATCAGGAAGGAGTGTCAGTTCTCTTTTGCCTGGGGGATTAGAAAATTAAGACAAGTCGTGACTAGGCGGGAGACGATTTCGTGCGGAGCTAGTTCCAGGTGCCAGGAGGAGGGAAGGCGTGTGGCGTAACCAGGAAGGAAATGCCTGCCTGGTAGATCCCGTCAGTGCAAATGCTTTGTAGACAAGAATGACTGAACGAACCAAACGTTCAGCCAGCTGTTGGCAGAAACCTTGAAACCGTGGTAGAGCTACTAATGTGCTGAAGTGCGAGGCCGCAGGGGGGCCAGATGGTGGATTGTACAAAGCCGTCTTGAATATTGTGGCGAACCAGATAACGGAGGTTTAGAACAATGAAGGTGGTTGGCAATCAGATCGAGGTGTAATACTGTAGGATATTGCGCGGCAATGATCGAGCGATTGAAAGCGTTTTGATGATGTGTATGGACGATTATCAGTTATGTTGCAAGTCACTCTCCACGACTGAGGGAGTCCGAAGGGCCGTATGGTAGTATATCGGGTAGAGATGGGGAGTCTCGAGCGGATCGAATTGGGAACTGGATGTCGGCGCAGGAGTCGATGAGAGTAGAAGCGATTAGAGCGAAAACGGTAGAGGGCGAAAGGAAAGGCGAGCGATGCGGGACCGAGAGTACTAGGAGGCCAGAGTCGACGCCGGAGTCGACACTGAAGGTGAAGGGAACGGAACGGGAGGCAATAAGGTCGGAAGAGTGAAATATGAAGAGTGACAGCAAAGGACGGTGAAGGGGGAAATAGAAGATGGAGCAAAATGATGATAGAGGGTGGATGGATGGGAAGAGACCCAAGCCTGGCGGGACGCAGGGAGGAAGGAGAGCAGCGGATGGAAGAGAGCAGCAGCAAAAGGGAGTGAAAAGGAAGAGAAGCCGAGCGCAGGAAAAAAAAAAAGGGTGAGTCTGACAGCAGGTGATGCGCCACTTCAACGAGGCTCAACGCACCCAAAACGCCTTGGGATGCCCGTAGTGTGCTCATGTCAGACGGTGCCGCTTTTCCCAGGCATCTGACGCACCCACTCACTCCCGAACTGGGATGGCAGCCAGCCAACGGGAACTCGCGTTGGACGGTCCCAGGGGGGTTTCTGGATCCTAGGCGATTGGTTTGGGGGTTCCCAAGGGTGCTTCTTCGGGTACCACCAGTGCTGTTGGGCTTGGCAGGCTACTGGAACAGGCGCCACCTGGGCCACTCAGGGCCCAAGGGCGCTTGACGCTTGTGGCTTTCTGGTTAAAGGGGGTTATCAGGCTTGCTTAGTCTGCGTCCTTCACAGTGCTGTCACCCAAGAGCGAGGCCCTTCTCACCCATCCACCTGCCACCATTGCTGCCCTTCGCACTGGCCATCTGCATTGTTTTCTTTTCTTTTTCCCCGGGGGCGAACTCTGGCCTGCTTCCACCAACTCCCGCAACGCCCCCTTCCCTTTTCTGCTATTAATACCGCCCGCTACTGTCTACTCGGTAGGTCTATCTTGGTCTACTTGCTGATCTGCTTACAATAGTCCACCTCGTCCACTAGGGCAGCGCTAGTGCCGAATCCCACGAGGGTTTTATAGGCTGTGGTGCTCCCCAGACCACTGTTTCAACCTCCTCCGAATTGGTCGGCTCGGGTTTCGGGTGGAGAAGCAGGTGTAAACCCCTTCCCAATGCGTATACGGGGAAATATGTCAAGGGGGGAGCACTGGGTACAGAAGGAGCAGGCCACACAAAGACGGCGGGACACATTATGGGCGGCGGCGGCGGCGGCGACAATGACATCTTCTAAATCTCTTTCACTACTGGGCACAACTAGGCAAATTTCGAGAACGCGTTCGTCACAAAGAGTTTCCACAGCCGAGTTAAGCTATCTGGAGGACCATGCCAACCTCGATCGCGTCCGTCTCAAAATTGCCTCGTGGCAAGCCAAGCCCGATGCGGAGATTGCTTGTTCATCAAAATCCTTACCCAGCGAGGCTAGCTATCAAATACCTAACATACCTACGAACGAGGACCCAAAATTGTGTCCCATTCATGCTCTCGGTATGGAAAGGTCCGGTACCGGATACGGATTGTCCAAGTCAACAGCTCTCCCACATAGCGGCCTTGACCTTAGCTCACTTCATTTAATGGGGATCTATGTATTCCCCGAGCCTGGTAAGGCTCGTAGCGAGCAAACCAACAGCGGAAGTTGGACTGGAGATGAGGTCTTCGTTTTTGCTAATTACATCACAGGGCCGCTCCGTATCGAACTCTTCCTAGTCATCTGTTGATCCCATACTGTACAAGCCGAGCCTCGCATCAATGATGTACAATACCTTTTGTCTTCCATGTCTGTGTGTAAAGGACTCCATCCAACTGCTATGCAAGAGAAAAGACAACCAATCTTTTCTGTCGTGTACAGTGCATTTCCCTCTTCTATCTTCACTTTTGCGTCTCCTCCATCTCACTTCCGGTAGCGTCATGGGCCGCCTTCGGCACAATACTAGCTTCCGGATTGAACGTCTCTTCAGTCTCACCGGATGAAGTATTCTTTGCCTCTCTCGTTACCCCTGATTTTTGGCCCTCTATGATGTTTTCGCGCTCGGGCGACATTGTAGAAGAATGAGACGGGTCACCACTCACTTTCGTCTTTGCCTCTGCTAAGGGTGGTCTGCTACTCCGGAGGGGCGCTGGTTTTTCGGATGTCATGGCATCACTCTTCTCGATTTCCGGTTCGGATTGTGTCTTTGTTGGAGTTTGCGGATGCGTTTGTTCATGTGATTGTTCTTGTCGTTCAGGGGAGGCCACCTTCTTCGTCGTTCGAGGAGGCTTAGGTGCTGGATCCGGCTCCTCCAGCAACCTGCGCTGCACCACAGCTCCTTCTTGTTGCCGCTTCCTCTCCGCAATTTCATTCACCAATTCTTGCCTCTCAGCCTCCAGCCCAGCGTCCAACTCTTCATCCTCCTCCAGTTCGCCCTTGTAAATTTCCGGATACCTCTGGAAACACTGCTGCATATTTTGGAACTTGTCTATGCAATCCATGCCCTTGGGTTCCTCTTTTGAAAACACGAAACATGAAAAGGCTTCGCGGAATTCAGGACCGCAGGGGCCATGCGCCATACCACCCAGGCATGGGCAGTCCCAGTTGATCTCCCCTGTTTCTGGGTTGAAGGCGCCTTCGCCGGCTGCCTCCTCTTCTAGCTCTCCGGCAGTGCCGGTCGTGAGGGGCTCATGGTCGGAAACGATGGTTGTGGAAGCATTTTCGGACGATATTGAATCAGCGGCGGAGTGGAGGACGGAGGCATTACTTTCGGCTTCTCTTGCTCGACGGGAGGTCAGGGCTTCTAAGGTCGAATGGTCCCTCCGTTCGTCTTCCACGGCGTCGAGGTGAGGATTTAATAGATCTGTCGCTCACACGAAGATGAAATCAGTATTCAATCTACAAAGCAGATGTGAACCATCGGCAAGCGACCCAAGGCTCTGGAGCGTTGACTTACTATATTGTGGCTGCTCCGCAAAGACAGGGCTTGTGTTATAATAGTAAATGCCCGCGATGGCGATACCCCATCTCAACGCAGTACCTTTCCAATTCCGTCGCGCATTTGCTGGCGATGTACTGACGAATCGTTTCCCGACTGTGCTTCTGGCTGCGGGAGCACGGGAGAAAGAGGAGTGAGCTACGGAGCGCAGCTGCGACCGGGCCGCTGGTCTAAACATGGTAAAGGAACCTTGTGGTTCTTGTTGCGATCTTCTTTCGGTTCAAAGATACAAAAGGGAGAGAAACATGGCATCAAAAGAAAAAGAACCTGGGAGCGCAAAATGAACGACAGCAGGCAAAGTCGCAAAAGTGGTGATGCAACAGCAGTGATTAGACCGAAAACTCACGACATTAATAATGGGGAGCTCGAAGATTTCATATTGCGTTTCAGCACAGCTGAATCCCGCCGTATCGGAAGAGGTCTATAGGGCGGAACAAGTAGGCACCTGACGTCTGTCGCGTTCAGCCTTGCCAGGGCCTACAGGCCACGGCTCTCAGCATCATTGCTCCCTCCCTTTAATCGGGGGACCTTGAAGCTGATATGATATGCTGAATCACGACCACAAGTGACTAAAATCGCAACGAAGATATTCTTCGCATCTATTCTTGAGATCTTTTACGTGGTCTTGGCCACGACCTCTGTATTCACGCCCTAAGCCCGTGAATATTTGCACGATACTCCTGCTCCGCCTTCAACCGCAACATGTCCTGGAGATAGAGCGACCATGGATCTAGCAGGAACTGTATCTCCGGGTCCTTATCCGCATTAAAGACGCGTACGAGGAAATACACGTCTGTTGGAATGCCGGTATCTGTTGATTCTGGAATGGTGTAGATGCGCGCCTGTTCTAAAATCAGACTGGGATGCCGGAGATATTGCTGAAGTCAACTCACCATCTTCCACTGATCATTGCTATATGAGAATTCAGAGTTCAAGTCCCCTTTGGTCGTTCTCACATCAAGGTGATACACAGGTGGACGCTTGATCCATCTCTTGGCCTCTGGGTAACACTCCGCGACATAACGAGTGAACATTTTGCTGGTGTCATTGACCGTGAAGCTGGCATACAGCTTGGCCTTCCCGTTGTTATTTTGTTCCCGGACAAATGTTTTGTGTCCATTTCTTGCCCTCAAACTGTTGGTCCAGTGGTCATCTGGATTATAAGCAGCGTTAAGCATGCGTCGTAGTTCTTCCGAAACCTATAAAGCTCGTCAGCACCAGAACCGTGTTGTTCACATATCTGCCTAATTTTCGAACAGGCCTCAGCACGATGAGGCTTACCTTCTTCTGCCCGACAAACTCCAGATTGTCGTCAACCTCCCGTCGCATGTTTTCGGAGAAGATGGTACTTCGCCGGATCATTCTCGCGGGAATTGCAGCGAAGATCTTCATCTTGCTGCCACCCAGTGTTGAACCGGAAAATGTCGACGAGGCTCGTGACGCAACAGATTTAGTATCATCTTCATCATCTTCTTCCATATAGAGATCGTTAGCGCCGAGACTGCTGAATCCGCCGGTCATCACAAAAGCCTCGTCGGAATTGTTCGAGCCGTGATAGAAAGAGATGCCTCCGGAGCCCAAGCCGGGAGCAAGCATACCGACAGAGGTGAACATACGGACTAGGTCTGCTTTGAGCGTGCTCTTTCGCCCATTTTGATGGACTCCAGTGCCCCGACCCTGGAACCTTCGCGGATCGTAGTCGTCAATGTCTTCAAACTCATCCTCTGTCTCATCATCCAGATTAAGGGTCGGAACTCCGTGCTCCTGAAAGCATCTCTGTATGTTCGGAATGTCCTCTTGTAGAGCGATGGCGAGAAGAAATAAGCCTTTATCTTCGATCCCACAGAAGCTAGCGATGGCCTCGATTAGATCTCTCGGGACCTTGTTTGATTCAAAATACCCGTTTTTAAAATAGATTTCGAGGCGGTTGTGCTCCGTGGACAAGACAACATTCCCATCCTTTGAACGTCCCGACCTGTTCTCCAAGGCAACTTTCACGGACCATTTCTGAATGACTCTGGCGGTGGAAAATGCTTGTAGTGACTTGAGCTTAGCCGCTTTTTCTTTCTTGCTATGCTCTTTCTTTGGAATCAGTCTGGAGAAAAATCGTCAGATACGGGCGTTTCCGGAGCATAAGCGAGAGACAGCCAACGTCTCGCTGAATGGTGAAATAATACTCACCTTGCTATGAATTCTGCCCTTGACCGCAGGTCAACTTGTCGATCCAGGTCAGGTCGGAAGGAACCAACAGTCTCTGCAATGCTGGTCACCGCTCGTGTCAGCCGTCGTTTGTCACCGCCTAGTTTCCGAATCAGGAGCGGGATTTTCAATACATCCTCGACCTGAAAAGCAAGCAAGGGCACGATCCCACTAAAGCTCTCCAGTAGATGTGTTCTATCAGCAATGAACCACGGATCCAAGTTCTTGGCACATCCAAGCATATCCCACTGGTCTTCATTGCTCGTATTGTAGACAGGCCAGATGTAATGTGTCTGAAGTGAGTCGATCGCCGTCGTCATCTCGTCCTTTTCTAGATGTTTCTCGATTTCGAGAAATAGAGCTTTGATGTAAGATAGAGGGTCGCCGACGTTTAGCAATTTGGCCTCCCGTACGAGGTCTGCAATACCAGCGTCCGGACGGAGGAAGAAGTCACGGAAAAGCCGCTGACAAGATGGATATATGTTCTTGAGAGCAACAAACCGTCGAAGACATTCTGGGCCGCTCCATAAGCAATCTTGCACCTTGACCCAGCGAGGTTCTCCTCCAGGTCTTTTGTTTGGGACGCAAACAAGAGGCTTTTCGTTGAATGACTGTTTCACAAGGTCGGGGAGTTCTGAACATCGAGCTTGGACTTGTTCAAGCATCAACGAAGCCCTGTCGATAACAGTTGCATCTTTTGTTCCGCTCAGTGCTTCTAGACATCGAAGATAGAAGCAAACGTCGCCCTCGACACCAAGGCCCAAAATTTTCAACCTTTGCCAGCGAGGGTCAAGAGGGTCGTCAACATCAACGAAAGGTACCTGACCATTTGCTTGTTGGACAAGTTCTGGGATAGGCAGGAATACCTCTCGCAGAGCCTTGGTCGTGCCTCCAACGCACTGCACTTGCGCTTCTTGCAGCGAGCTTCTGAGCTTCTCTCGACATGCTTGTCTTGCCTTTCTCGAATCATCTCGAGCACCGCCGGCATCGTCTTCCAACCATCGAGAGTAATATCCCCAGTTATCTCTCAGGAGGACCAGGAAATCTCTGGAAGTCTGCATAATCAAAGCGAAATGACGAGATAGACCAAAAGAATACGGTGATTCTCCGTCAAGCTGGGTGAGTCGTGGTAGAATGGAAATCTTGACAATGTTCTCCAGCCACTCCAGCCAGTTCGCTAGGTCATCCTCCACGGCATTCAAATAGTGTGGATGTATGAAATAGATATCATTCCGGCCAGCAAAGTAGTTGCTTGCTGCAAACGGAGCCTGACAGGGCAGATATGCGCTTTCTGCCCGGCAGCGGTCAGAACCATCAGTTGTAGCGAGCCAGAGATATCTAACCTCATAGTCGTGTACTCTGGCTCTAAAAAGGAACACCGCTTGAGATATCAGATGTGTGACGGTCAGATTCTTGGGGTTGAAAGAAGGCTGCCTATGGATATGAAGGAGGTAATCGGCGATGGCATCTTGGCCGAAGACCTTGAGCCCGAGCTGAAGATATAGAGCTCGAGCTGTGGGATTGTTAGCAGCATCCTCTCGAACCAGTCGGAATGCGAGACCCTCGGGGGCCATGCAACCTTCGGCCTCCTGAGAGAGAAAGACGTTCTTCTCTTTGGCAGAAACCCATCTCCCGTCATTGAGAGGAATGATCGGTAGCTTGCGAAGCTTTTCTTGGCATTCAATATCGAAAGAAAGCTTCAGGAGGACTTCTGCAAGCCTCGTATGCCACTCAGCTGATTTCGTCCCCTGGAACAAGGTTGTATTTTGATCGATGTAATGATCCAAATGCTCCAAGAATATGGCCGCAGTCATCTTTGTGACGCCTAGTGCTTCGAGATTATCATGAAGTGACACATCATATCGGTGGCACAGATATCCCTTATCGTTTCTTGGGGACGAAGTCATCGGAACCCCATCTCTGTCGCAGAAGTCCAAGGGGACGTACGTAAGGGAGGACGGCATCATCAGCTCTTGACTTCTAGACTTCAACACCGGTTGTCGAGAGAGAGTTTTCATGATTTCGCGTCTGGCTGGTTCGAAGAAATGCTGCTGCGTTAGATTGAATGGGATGAACCTGGGCCAGATATAACATAATTGACCGTGACTGTATGCCCTGGTGACAGCAACGAACGCGCCGACAAACTCTCTTCGGAGGGCTCTGTTCCATGGCGAATCAGACAAAACATCCTCTCGACTCGCAGAAAGCAGAAAATCTCCCTGGAGGAGAAACTAAAGAAGGTCAGTCGAGGTACATGCTCAATTCGGCAAAGGTAAAAACGTCTACACACCTTGAAGCCATAATCTCGGATTGGAAGGAAGGCGTACACCTTTTGAGATGTCAATGGCTGGTCTACTACGTCTGGGAAGGCAAGCAGGATCTGAGATTCACTTGCCCCAGGACGCTTGGGCTCAACTGGAAGGTTTCTAGCACTGTGTGAGCTGACTAGATACTTCATGACTGCACCATCCCGGTTCAACTCAATCGCTGTTTCGCCGTGGCTAGTACTGACGGTCTTGCTGAGTGTAGTTTGCCATGTCAGTCCGCCATCTCGAATCGTAATCTTTACAGTTCTCAAGCGGCGAAGAAACATGAGCATACGCGGGTCGAACTCTCTGAGGTCTGAGAGCAGCCGCGTCTCATCGAAGTCCGGAGACAACTGCAACAGCATAGATGTCATGAGTGGCGTTGAGGGTTCAGGAAACGGCTCCCAGATGGGCGCGATCATACCTAAAACCTGCTGCTTGTCGAATTTGAAGGTGTAGGAGTTAGACGCGATCCAGACAACATCAGCGGCTTTGAAGACCGATTTGAAGCCAATGCCCTTTTCTCCAACATATGCAGTCGCTCGATTCGCACCAGCTTTGGTACTACTGCCCACCCTGCAGATGGCCTCAACATTCTTTTCACTAAACCCTCTCTCATTGCAGTCGATCCTGAGACGTCGGTTCTGGTACGTTAGCGAAATGCTAGGTTCGGCGTCATCATACTCGTTGTCGTCGGCGTTCTGTATCAGCTCTAGGAGGAAATGAGTCGACTTCTGGTACAATTCATCCGCCAGGCTGAGGTATGGTTAGCCACGACTCATGACAGGGTGAAGAGAAGGCCTATTCACGTGTGAAGGGCGTTCTGGAGATTCTCGACATTTCGACTCCTTCCGCTGGTGCCGTCTAGTCCAGCTTCTCTTCTTATGGCATCAATATGGCATTGAGCCCTCTGGATAGCCTGATCTCGGTTCAGCTGTACCATCTTGGAAATATAGCCAGCTAAAGACCTTCTCAGCCTGACGGAAACTTGAGGGGCAGCACGGCTTTTTGTAGCTGTCAATGAAAATAAGCCACCGAGATAGCTTTAATCCCACCATGAGCCTTGACTCAGAGGATAGACGAGGCAGACTGCGAGGTAGCCATTCCTTAGTCTCGTCCAGATAAAGGATAGGCTGAGCAAGGCAACCACCTTTGTTAGCATCGGAGAACTTGTCCACTAGCACCCGATACATTTGGGCCCGTGGCAGGGAAAAATTGCCAAAAGAGTACAAGACGCATCTGTCAAGCACAGTTGCCTGCAGGCTGCCACGCACACAAGGCCTCTTGTACCAACGAAGCTAGAATGAGACCAGGAAACCCATACGGTTGGGGCGGTGGCAGTGACATCTTGAATGAGAATAGACTCGAACCAGCTGTCTGTGTCAAACGCATTGCTTTGGCAGCGCACGGAATCAATTGTGCATATCGTACGAAGGTGATTTTGCTTGAAAGGCTGACCACACTCGTGAGCATGGAGAGCTGGGAAATGAAGTGAGGCTGATTCTGAAATCGACAATGGATGCAAGGCGTTTCCCTGTAGGGACGATGCCGCTTTATGGGCAGAGAGTGTCATCACCAACCTTGGCACCCATTTCGCTAAAAGCGGCAGCCACGGACTGATGCTCGTCCGAGGCACCGAGATGAGATCAAAATCCCAAGCAGCCGCTTGAATCCGTGCATCACCCTCCCCGACAAAGATACCTAAGTCGACCTGACACGATTGCGGCCCAAGAGTGTGCGGAAAGCAGCCCAGCAACAATGGTAACCGACTGGTACCCTTGCGGCCTCCTGAATAACAGCCCCACGCATCCCTACGCTATCATCATCCTCAACCAGCCCGTGAACAAAAACGCCCTGAATGCCGTTATCGGGTCAGCCTCGTTGCTCATCTGCGCCGATGGCGGCGCCAACAGGCTGTACAAGTACGACAAAGCCGCACAAAATGGCTTGTCAAGGCTAAGGCGCCGACTTCCAGATGCTATCGTGGGGGACCTTGACTCCCTGACAGGTCCTGTGGAAGAGCATTATCGCTCACTAGGGTCCCAAGTGATCAAGGACCCAGACCAATTTTCTACGGACTTCACCAAGTGTTTAAAGTGGATTCGCAACTGGGTGATATCAAAGCATGAACGTGGCGGATCAAATTACGACAAAGAGCCACAGGCCGTCATGGACGTCGTTGTACTAGGGGGTCTCGGAGGTCGGGTGGACCAAGGCTTCTCGCAAATCCATCACCTGTTCATGGCAGAGAATGACCCGGCGCTTTTGAGAGGCTGCATTTATCTATTGTCAGAACAGAGCTTGTCATTTGTTCTAGCTGATGGCCACAATCTCATCCACCTCGACCCTGGTTATTTCACAGAGAATGTGGGAATCCTCCCTGTTCTCGGACGCACTTTCCTCACCACAAAGGGTCTTGAGTGGGACGTTGAACACTGGCCCACCGAGTTTGGCGACCAAGTGAGTACCAGTAACCATATACGCTCCTCCGAAATCGGCATTGCCTTCGAGGGTCCAAGGCCTCTGTTCACCATGGAATTGGAAGACCGTCTCACAGCTAGTGGCGAATGAGACTTGCATCGCGGATGGTGATTGGCGGTCCCTTCATAAGCCTGTCCCACGCAGGAGGCAGATCTCCATCGCGGCTTGACCCTGGGTGCTTCCATCGGGTCGGTTAGCAATCAATTTAAAAGGCGGTTGCCAGATTCGTGACCAGACGCTGTTCGTATGGCAGGTCTCGCTTGGCCGTCCTTGCTTGGCCGTCCTTGCTTCGAGGCCGCATGGTGCTTTGGACTCTTTCATGGTCGAGCGCATTTGGTGCAGCCCTAAGAACCGCCTGGCGAGGCGTGAACTCCGGTGCAATCAATGCCAATGCGGCGTACCGCAGCTGGTTTGCAGAGTACATGAACCAGAGAGTCGGTTGCTGAGCGATGAGCGAAGTGGCAGAGTCTCACGTCCTATTGAGGCCAAGCGGCCAATCAGCCTGGCTTCTTTGATGAAAATGGGGAGTGCTCGTGCTGTGACCGAGAGCTGCTGGTTGCCTCGTTCTCGCACGCTAGGGGTATGAAGGGGTCTTGATAGTGCCGTACCAGTCAACGTCGCTCAGATTGAGTCTTCTTGCTCGGGGCGCATGGCGCCCCGACCTCTCAGCACGACTGAGGGAAGGATTGTAATGATCGGGTCCTAATTTGCGGCCTTTAGTATTGGGGTTCTTCTCCAGGGGAGGTTGGACAATAGGGTCACAAGGAAATCCATTGGAAATACCATCGTGCTGGTCATCTTCGCGCAAATCGTAATTCAGGACCAAATTCTTGATGCGCTGTTGTTCCTCCCTCTCTGCGGCTTGCTGTGATTTCATTGAGACGGCAAAGCTCGAGTCGGCCGGTAATTCGATTGTCCTTGTCTGAAAAGCTGTCAGCAATGTGTTGCCTATACTATCTCACCTGGCTTATTGTGAAAGGATGGTAAAGGGGTTACTTGCTTGTTGTCGATTCCCCTTTTTGGTCATCAACGAAAACGCCATTGTATTCGATTCAGATTCTGGAACAGGACCGGGTTCCTCGTCACTTGGCTCGACCTGCGCTCGTTGAATTTTTCGAATTGGCAAAGGCACGTCGAAGTGAGTTTTGCGTTCAAATTTGCGGGAGTCCAAGCTTTCAGCCATCATCTTCTCGAACGCTCGGTCAAACTCGGCCTCGGCCTCCGGATCAAGGTGTTCCTCTTGACGCAAGACGACAATCTGTTCTTCTTCATCGGAGTCAATGTCTTCTTTTTCCTCACCAGTGTCCTCTTCTGCGGCAACCTACTTCTAGTGAGTAGACGATGAACTATAAGGTAAAAAGGCCACTTACCTCGGCTTCCTCGTCTGACGATCGCCCAATTTCAGCTTCGAGTTCAGCATCACCTTCGCCAAGTGCATCCTCGGAGCCAGAGTCTTCAATGTCTTCCGGCTGCTCTACGCTCTTCTCCCCCCCCTGCTGTTTGTAATTTGCGCTTACTGCTTCAGCAAATAGTTTCGCTGCCTCGCCAAGCTCCGTAACCAGTTTCCAGTTAGGGCGGACAAGAGAGTACGTGTCTTGCACCAGAAAATCAATTTCCATGGGCAGGGGATCCTTTGTAGCCATGTAGTATTGGAAAAAGGTCAGGAAGAAGTCGAGCTTCTTGCGGGAGCTACCTCGGTCAAAACAGATTCCACAAGTGTCGAGGAGAGTACATATCAATCGGATGCGAAAGTACTCATCAGGCGGATCAAACGGTGTAAAGTTGTCAGGCTGCGGTGTCCCTCCTTCATGACCAAATGTCACGATCCGATACAAGGTGTCGAATACCACGGTTGAGTCGATCATCTTGTAGTTGTAGAGCTCTCCCAGGTATTTGACTTCAGCAACCCTTCGCTGATTGAATTTGAAGTCGTTCTGCTCCAGGCCAAGAGTAATTTGTTCCAGGATATTATCGATAATTCCGACAGCGAAGTCTTGATGATACCGGAAAAGCGCCTGGAGGAGAACGGCGAGGAGATGGATGTTGCTGAACTTGACTTTGCCAGGCTTGCTGAAAATCTTCTCTAGCATCTGGACAACTTCCTTTTCTTCCCAATGCAGTTTTCGGATGGTCTTGAGAACCTTCATGTAGTTGCGTTTGGTCATTTCCATATATACCAGCTGTCGAACGAAGAGCTCCGTCGGGGTGCGTTCTTTTTGTTGGATGGCAGCCCGCTGAGGAGGGTCAACGTAGTACAAAGCATTTTCGATCAACATGCGCTCTTGAGCCCCCATGTGCTGTGCAGACTTCTTGCGGTTCAACGTCTCGAGGAAAGACGTCATCCGAGGAGAAGTCTCGGGATTTCGAAGGAGATATCGACCACAGTTTTCCAGTAGATGGGCGATGATCTCGATATTCATTCTCGAAAAGTCATCCAAACTGACTTTAAAACAGTGGAAAATGACGTGCTCTGGGACGATCCCAAACTTTGTGAGTTCCGCCAGGTAACGGATGTTGGCCATGCGAATCTGCCCAAGGAAGTCTTTGGATTTCCTTCTCTGAAGGCTTCGAAATTCATCATCAAGGTGCGAAATCAGCCCTTGCACAACATCAGGCATGTACTGTCCAAGAGTGGCGGCAAGCCGCGCATATAAAGGGAGCAGGTCGATCCGACCTTTGGGAACCTCCTGGATCGCCTTGACCAGACGATTTCGAGAGGCTTTCGAGTTCAAGAAGCAGAAGTCCAAGGCAATCTGATCGACCATATCTTTGGTCTGGAGTTCCGGCAGGCGTAGGAGAATGGCATCAACCTGTGCACCAACCGTCTTATTCGTAATGGCTGTCGACTGGTCGTCACCGTCCGAAGGCTTACTCGTGCCACCTTCAAGAGATGTGGTGAAGGTTTCGGCACGTTCGTCTGATTCTAGCTTCTTTTTTGAATCCTCGAGGAGAATGCCTGGCACACGGCCCTTGAGATCGATCAAGTTCTCATAGAAACGACGTTCTTCTTCATCTTCCCAGATACCAGCGCCTTCTCCTTGGCCCTTGAGGTACTCGCCTGTCTTGATCATGCCAACGGTCCCCGACGTAGCGGTCTCTGCGCTGTCTTTCTCTTCAAGGTCTGGCATTTCTTGTCCGAGGACATCGCAAAGGATTTGGGCATTTGCCACCAGTCTCTCTTGAGCTTTCGCCTGCTTTTCGAAATTCGCTTGCCTATCTTCGAAGATTTCGCCACTCTTGACATAGGCTTCTGCATTTCGGCGGCTTTGATTGTTGAGAGATCTTTGGTCTCGAATGACATGAGTCTTGACGCTTGACAAGTATCGTTCAAAGACATTGATGAATCTCTGCCGGACGGGTTGGGGGATAATAGGTGCATCTTCCTCAGGGAAGTCGGCGGAGCTATCGCCGTCTTTGGCAGGCTCGACAACATGACCGTCTGCGTCGACAGTTTTCCGGCTCTCCTCAGACGGTGGTTTGAGTCCCAGAACATCCCAGGCGAAATTCTTCACGAATAGAACGGCCAGACTCAGGTTAGCGTGCTCCGGGTCATGACCTAACAATTCCTTGAGAACTTCCAGAGGGAAGGGCTCATGCTCAACGAGGGCGTCGGGTCGAATACCATTTGTGCTTGGTTTTGGCTTGGATTCGGTTTGTGAAGGGGCATCTTTGCCTCGCGGTGTAGCTTCATCTGGTCGATCCACATCATCCAAGCTTCGAAGAATACCGCACAGCCAAAATTCGGTGACTACGCGAAGGAGAACCCTGTGTCGGACTAGGCGCTCCTTCTCTTCACGTTCGCGAACCTCTGGGCTCCAAAGCTTCATCTGAGCTTTGTCGGGAGGAGTCAACCCTTTGCCGAGAAGCCATGCCAGTTGTTTGGTAAATTCTTGCGGTCCGAATCTTTGGTGTAGTGCACTGACCACTTCGACACCGGTGGCAATCTCACTCGCAGTCTTGAGTCTACCCAGGCCTTCAACTGTGGCTGTCGTGATCTCGGAGAGGTACTTTTGTAGGGACAACGTGCGGATCTCTGATAAAAAAGTGTCTTGTGCAGCAGACGACAGCCCTGTCCGTAGGCGTTTAATAAACGCCGTGTTTTTCTTCAGCGATGAGTCGAGGGAGTCGGCTACTTCGTAGACATCTGCACTTCAGGTTAACAAGAGTCAGTTCCGACCCGCGAGAGACGATGCGTACCCTTTGCGCCTACCCAGACGCGCAAATTTAGGTCACGTAGTTCTCCTGGCGCCGGAATGTCAGTTTGCTATGACCAAACGCGGCAGAGTGAGCGTACTCTTGCGCTTGCGGTCCATGACGGCCCGCGGTTTTGTAAAGAGGGTCCTGACACTCGCATGACGACAGGATAAGATGCAGAGGAGCTGCAGGAATCCTGCCTTGTAAATCGAACGGCAGATATCACCACGCGTTCGCTGCTGTAGAGTTGCGCACCTGATGGGTGAATGAATCACTTCCCAGGGGACTTTCAGTTGAGGGGCAATATTATGTTTTCACCCAAGCCTGGCAGCTGAACCGGGCTCGCTGGAGCCCGCCCCGATGATGGGTGCCAAGAGTCCTCATAATACGGTCCTTACGAGCCTGCCAGAAATGAACCCGGATAATTGAAGTGCTTAACTAAAGAACGGCGGCTTTATAGCCTTGTATAGCGCACGGTCTCGGAACTGGGAAGCTATGTACAAAGTAGACATTGAGGTAACATTAAGCTCTTGATCGTTGTGATCGTTTCTGCAATACTTCCCCAGGGTGACTCTCACATGTGCTATGATCATCGCTTAGACTTGTTCCTCAAAGAGCTTCGCTTTCTGAGCAGCCAATTTACTTTTGCGTGCACGTGCAGCGTCCGGGCCAGGATCAGACTTTCCATTCTTTCCTCCGTCTACTTTCAGTCGTTTCCGAGAACCGGCCTGGGGACCTTTGGTGCTCGTTGCGTTTCGCTTTCGCTTCTGTCCTTGCTCAGCCTCGTCTTCTAGAAGATCATCCTGCGTTGTCGCAGTAACTATGTCCTCATGCCCAGTCCACAAGTCATCTGCCAACCATATCGGCACTGCGAATGAAGATTGGCCTTTAATGTGAATGCCTCGTACATTCCTCCATCCTTTGACAACGTGCTTTTCAATCAACTTTGAAACAACGGTTGAAATATTCTCCGACAATTGCTCGGGCTTGAATGAGGCCAGGCCAACACGAACGGCGACGAGTGTACCGGGCCGCAGGCTGACAGGAACCGCATTAATCGCCTTTTCGATCTCTTTGGCCAGCGCGAGTGGCGATGTTGGAGCCGCAGTGCCATCTTCCTTTGACTTTTTTGATTTGTCTGCCTTGTCTTTTCTTAAGTCGGCAATCACAACTGGGATAGGCCTTTTTGAGGTACCCTTGTAGAAGACTTTGCCCAGTGTTCCCGGCAGACGGGTGATGATGCGGTCGTCGGCAAGAAAAATGTCGTGCTCTGAGAGCAGTTCCCTCAGTTGTTCAAATGTCTTGTACCTCGCCTTGAGCTTGGTGTATCCGATGATTCGAGTAATCCGAGACTTCAGGGGCTCGGGAAATGCGGGGTCGGCCACTACATTTTTCACTGCCCTTTGAGGATCCGTGGTGATGAGGCATATCCGAAGGTCGGGGGATGTGTTGAGAGAATGCGGGACTGCAATTTTGCTGGGCTTCAGACGGTTCTTGTCGACGATGTGTTGTTTCGTAGTGACGGTGAGCCAGATCGGGGCGGTAGCGTCGTCGGCGGCATCGTCCTCCGAATCCGAGCTGCTGGGGGCGAGGAGACTCTTCTTTGACGATGCTTGCTGCAAGCGCTTGGTCTCTGCCTGAATGTGCTGCAGCAAGGCCCGAGAGGCTTTGAGGGTCTGGGAGGCATTAGAGAAACGGATTCAGAACTGACGGCCATTGCATACCTGATCAGGGTCGAGGTGATACGGAGTCTGTTGAGGCTGCTTGTCGGTGACTGTTGTCGTCGCCTTGGTTACAGCAGCCATGGGAGGAGATGGTCTTGTGGTTGCGTGTGTCTCGGTGTCTATTGTGGTCAACAGCCTCTTGTCGAGAAGGATGTTCCTTTGGCCCAGGGCGCAACGAGAAAAAAAAAGTTGGCTCTTGCTGTGAGCAAGTCGCCAGTGTGGGGAAAATTCAAAATCCCGCTCGGTTAACCTTCCTCGATCTGAGTGAGTCTCCAACTCGCATTTCACCTTCAAATCAATGATGATCCCTCGTGGCCCTCGCTATCTTTCTCCCAGATCTTCCCGCCAAAGCCGACCAGCCGGATGGCATGGACAAGGCAAAGGTCAAGAAGATTGATACCTTGAAAGCATGTTCAAGCACAGCGACCCCCCTCCTCCCCCGCGCATTCCGCACAACTACGCTGTTGACTAGTCGGTTCGTGAAAAAGTACCGAGTACCGTAGGTGGTGTTTCGTCAATTGCCGTCTAGATGAACGGAGTACAAGTATATGGAGGAGATGTCGGTGTAATAATATGAGGAGGGCAACATGCAATGCAACTCTAGCGTAGACTGCAGCCAACGACACGATAACTGCCAGTTGGAGCCATTTTCTCACCCTGCTTCTTCCCTCCTTGATAACACACAGATTCCAACCCAGCATAATAATCGTCTCTAAATGGCGGCATTGGGCCGACTGTGAGCGAATCTGTCGAGCTTCTGTGCCAGACGCGCTCCTCGGTGCGTGCCATGAACAGTTAGTGGCGTCAGAAAAATGCTGGCGCGAGAAAGGCGACTTGGGCCACTCCACACCCTGTCCACACCTGCTATTTCCCATTTCTCCAATCCACACATCGCGTGAGTTGCCCTCGATCCATCCATTCCAGCACCTGGCACCTTTTCATGCCCGGCCTCTCTTGACCTCTGACCTCTTTCGTGGCCAGCTGCCCTCTTCACTTGCTACCCTTGGTCGTTACCATTGTCTGCTCCTCTGCTGAACATCTCATGAGCAGATCCAGCACGTAGGACCCTCCGGACCTCTACCGAGGACGCGCCTCTGGAGCTGGTCAATCTACCTCAGCAGTCGCGCTTCCAGGTAGCTGAGCACTGTGAGGGCTGAAGACCATGTCTCCCTCGACCACCCTCTCCGAGACGGCGGTCATCTCGCCCCCTCCAGGCCCGAAAAGACCAGCAACTTCACTTCTTCCTGCTTTTGAGCCACTCTCCTCGTCGCCGGCTTTACCGAGACCCCTCAAGCGAAACCGAGATGCTCTCGAAGAGCACACGACCTATCCTACGCCTGTACCTACTTCTTCTACCGCCATTCTATCTTCCTCGCCGGCACATGTAATCAAATCCAGACCCAGTCTTCCGAGAACTTCTGCTACCCTTGCTGAACGTACTCCCCTCGGCGCTGTCCCCTCTATCCAATTGCAAGCCGATGGCAAGGTAACGCGTATGGGAAGATCCAGCGCTTCTTGCGACTACCAGTTCTCCTCGAACCGTCTGATATCCAGAGTCCACGTGGAAGCTTGCTACAAACCAACCGGTTCGCGTCTTGGGCGTGATCGTGTGGAAATCACATGTACCGGGTGGAATGGGATCAAGATACACTGCAAGGGTCAGGTGTACGAGGTCAAGAAGGGAGAGACATTTTCGTCCGATATTCGAGACTCGGAGATCATGGTTGACGTTCATGACAGTCGTGTTGTCGTGGAGTGGCCTCCGAAACCTCATCTAGGCGCCTTCTCGTCCGAAGACGAGGAGGAGGATAATTCTCCTGCCAAGCGTCAACGGGCCATGTTGCGGCATTCAACACCACCAAGCCCAAGCCCAATGCAGGTTCGACGGCGACTCGCTTCTCCCATCTCCCCATCACCAGCCGTACAAGCTGTGGTGCCCTCTTCACCCCCACTTCCTCCAGCTACTGTCGACATATATGAAGATCCTGAACCAGCGACCGAAAGCAGTGGAACAGTCACTGGTGTCGAGGTGTCCCAGTCCACACAGGCACTGTCTGGGAATTTTGAACACTCCGGGACGTCCCAGAACGGTGCGTCGATGTCTGCCGAAGATTTTTCGGACAATGACGAAGAAAACGATCCCATTATCCATTCTTTCGGACCCTTTGGAGCGAATCTTCTGCCCCGCATGGCATCGGTTTCTGCTGGAGATTCTCCCAACCCGAGTGTTTCTGCGAACAGCACACGATCTTCGCATACGGAGCCCCTTCCCCTCAACGACGCTCCGAGCTCACCGAAAACAGAAGAATCAGAATTTGATGTGCGAGGTCACATCATCAACCAGCTTGCGTTTTCGAGATTGTCATCTACTCCGTTGTCCACCATCTTGAGCCACCTTCCCCGCGAAGCCGGTGTTTTGTCCATTCATGAAATTAGAAAGCTCATCCGCGGAACGGCGTGCATTGGTGAAGTTGCAAGGGAAGGCAAGGACGCAGCGGGCAAACCGCTGGAGAGCGAATTTTATTACATTCCGGATGAAGATGAGGACGAGAAGAGAAAAGAAGCCGTGGTCAATGATTTGCGAAAGCCGGGCTTGCGAGCGTGTCGCAAACAGCATAAGGTAACCTCTCCCAGGTCGCGGCCTTTCGATAACATATTACTGACACATCATAGCAATACTTCTGGCGAAAGCCCAAATAGTCGATGCTCAGATGCCGTGCTTCCAAAACTGTTTGAGAGGGGAGCGGCGAAATGTGTTCTGGGGTACAGCTTGTCAGTCGAGTATGATTCCCTAGTGTGTCCTTATTTTTTGGTTGCAGGTCTGTGCAATCGTCTCTGTACACGGCAGGCTGTCGTCCCTTGTCTAGCGTTCAGCGTCATGCATAGCGAAAGGAAAACAGACATCAGCGCCTTCATCTGTGGTCGGGGAAACTGGGTTTCATTGTCTTTCATGCCATTTTTGAGAGCAAAGTTAAGATGTGCCTGGAGGGGGGGAAACAGCAGAGCAATCAAGTAGTCGATCGGTATGTGCGCAAAGATGGTCGTGCAGACCCAATGCAGAATGTATCTCGAGCCGCGCTTTTCCTTGATACCTCTCATCGCTGTACTCAATGTCGATGTTGACCCAGCATGGTGTTGAATCTCGAGAAGAATAAGTCGAGGTTTGAACATCGGAAAGACTTCGCCGACATCGGGATGCCCCCTAGCACGTCTTCGGGAGAAACTCGCATAAACCCTATTACTGTGGGAGACATCCCGAGGTCGAGCACGAAAGCTTGGGCTTGGGCGGCGAGGCGGTTCCGTAGACGTCAATCACCGAATTAAAGACTGCGACCAAGAATTCACCTACAACACATTTCTCTGGTCTTTCGGCCGCCGTTCCTTCAATCTCCTCTCTTCTCTGTGACTCCGGCAGGAGAGACATCCTCTACATCCATGTTGACGATAGCTGGGCAATCTGCCTTGCGGGCAGTTCGGGCCCGGTCAACTTCGCACGCTCTCTCATCGCACTTCGAATCATCGTCCCTCGCACGACTACTCTCGACACTCGCCATCCTCGAGCAACGGGACGGCAAGCTCAACAGTGGCTCATTAGGCGCAGTCACAGCAGGAGAAAAGCTGGGGGGCTCCGTACACGGCTTCATCGCCGGGAAGTCAGCCAAGACTGTCGCGCAAGAGGCATCAAAGATCAAGGGATTGGAAAAGATCATTGCAGTTGAGAACGAAGCGTATGACAGAGGGTTGCCCGAGAACTGGGCGCCACTGCTGGTGGAGAATATCAAGAAAGGCGGCTATACACATGTGATTGCGGCGCATTCGGCCTTTGGCAAGAGTCTCCTCCCGAGAGTTGCGGCCTTGTTGGACGTCCAGCAGATTTCGGATGTTATGAACATCGAAGGCGAAGATAGTGAGTTGTGCCCACCACCGGAAAGAATACAGTCATGTTGATTCTGATACAGCATTTGTCCGACCTATATACGCCGGCAACGCTATCCTCACAGTTCAAAGTACCGACCCCACCAAACTGTTGACAGTGCGTCAAACTTCCTTCCCACCTGCAGAGATAGAAGGTGGCTCCGCTAGCGTCGAGGAGGGCGCAGACCCCAAGGCCGAGTCATCCACCGAATGGATCTCGGAGAACCTTGCAAAGTCCGACCGCCCTGAACTCGCATCGGCTGAGAAAGTCGTCTCGGGTGGTCGTGGCTTGAAATCTAAAGAAGAATTCGATCGATTAATGCCTCCGCTGGCAGATGCATTGGGCGCCGCGATCGGAGCTTCAAGAGCCGCTGTGGATAGTGGCTTTGCAGACAACAGTTTACAAGTCGGTCAGACGGGAAAGAATGTCGCCCCCCAACTTTATCTGGCCGTCGGGATTTCTGGCGCCATCCAACATCTCGCGGGCATGAAGGATAGCAAAGTGATTGCATGTATAAATAAGGACCCAGATGCGCCCATCTTTCAGGTTGCGGATGTGGGACTAGTCGGGGATCTCTTTGAGAAGGTCCCTGAGTTGACGGAGAAGTTGAAGTCCCAATAATGTTTGATATGGTCAAGGAAATGGAGGAAATGGCTCTAAAAGTACGGTCATTCTTTCCCCTTTTTTTTTGTCCTTTTTGGAGGCTAGGGCCAGTGACGGTCTAATATATGAGGTAAAGGCAGCACAGCATACTGGGGTAGTCTCCTGGATTTTCCCTCTATGCATACAACTCCCAGCTACGTGGAGTGGTTGCCCAAAGCCCCCTGGAAGTGTTGAGGGATATTCTGATGAACATGATGCAATACGAGCACGCCCGGTTGCTATGCTGTACTGTACACAATACTTTAGTAAGACTACCAGTACAAGTAGAGTGTGTACCCATGCCGTATCAGGTGACCATTGGCTGACTCGAGGATTCAAGTGGAGTGACAAGCTTAGAAATAGATGTAACATGATAGGCACACAAAGTTTTATATGCCGGTAAGAATCTCTTCCTACTCCTGGTAGAGGACCATTTTATTTTTCTCTCGGTAAAAACTGTATCGGAGTTGTGTTGGAGGACCGGCGGCCAGACTCACGGTTTTACTCGATAGGAAAAACGCCTCGCTTCAACCCACGGAGTCCCATTTAAGCCAATCGGAGTGGATCTCCGGAGGCCCACACTTACGCCTCATTATGTAATCCTATCATGTGATATTTGAATACCCTGGGAAACCTAACGGCTAGCCGGTACGAAGTACGAGGTACCTACTTGTAGTAGGACCCTCAGGACCCTGCATCATCGGCAACGCCCCTGCATTGCATTCACACAGGACAACATCAACTCATCTTGCATATGGTCACCTTCAAGGCCATTTATCGAGGTGTGTGAAAGGGAGAACGTGGGGGTATCATGATTTCACGGCAACGCCAGGAATCGATGCTGTGGATGGAAGCCGCCACCACGATCAGTGCATTTTGTTCCCGGGCTACTCAGCTCCCCAAACCACCACGAACACAAGCGGATGTCAACATTCATTGTACCCGTTCGGTGCCCGTCATCACTCTGCAAGTACATCTGCTTTTGTGTTGTACTTATATCCGGGCCTGCATAAAGTTCAAGATTCCCGAGTGCTCCAGCAGCTAAGGCTGAACGAGGGCGAGCATCCGGTCGAACAAAAATGCAGACGAACACGACCCAAGCACGACCCAAGCACGACCCGTCTCGCCGTCTCTCCTCGAAATCGCCCACTGATTGGGAATTTTGGAGACTCGGTTACTCGAGTGGCGTTTGGGTTTTCATTCCTTGGAGGGGAAAGCCGTCAATGAGGGTAACGCGGAACAACTCCGGACACGGTTTTGTGGCCGGGGTGCAAATGCATCCAGGCTTCTTCTCTACCAAGAAAGAATTTTCCATGGATCGATTCGGGCATGGCTCAGAAATGGAGTAGCGCATCCGCTGATCCGCCCAACTGAGATCGACGATCTGGTCACCGTGTTCAAACTTCAAAGCCGACTGTTGATCGCCCAACCCACCAGGTTGCGGGACGCGAAAAGTTCTAGACGCGCCGAGTCTTTACACGATATTACGCCGGCCTCCTTCCATGATCTTTCTTCGGGTAAGAATCAGGCTGACGCGCAAGAATTCCAACGCTACGGCCGTCGATGGCAACTTCTTCATGGGCGAACTTGGAACAATCGCCACTCCGTCCACATTCATCGTATGCATACGAGGGACACATATGAAAGTCGGAAAAGGACAGATTTCGCTGAGAAATCCCGAGCCGTTGGCGACCAAAAGGGGTCTGCACCCGGGAAATGGGCACGAAATCTGCTTGCCGTGGGTCTAATTTGATGGCACACCACGACCCTTGAAACCTCGTCCTGGATTTTGATTCAGCCTCCAGCCTGGTGTTGCTAGTCAACACAAGCCCACAGACTGCGCATCGCGACCGCAACGCCCGTTAAACACACACACACACTCTCTCTCTTTTCTCATGGAAGTTGAAGATTCAAGAAGCATCCCTCCCACATTGAGTAATATTCGGTCATTTCCCTCACCCCGGGTTCCCTTCTATTTCTCGGGCTCTTTTGGCTCCGATAAAAGTTCTCATCCTCGGGCATAACGAGCACAAGTTTCTCGCTGCTGTCTGAAGCAGCTTCTTGGGTGGCGCAGTCGCAGGGCACTGCTTGCTCAGTACCACCAGTGCTGAGTCCAAGTTGGCAGCTGCGCCAATATTGTCCCGAGGCCCTGCCCCAACACAGTAGGCGATGTGGATATCATTTTCCCACATGAGCGATGCCAGTCTTGTGACCTTCTAGGAGGTTCGATGAATGGTGCGACGGCTTCTACTAGATTCGAAAATGGTGCGATATTCTCAAGGCGGTGCGTAGAGCACAAGGTGGAACGAGAGTGTCGTGCCATATTATTCTGGGAAAGCGGCATGCCCCGTACCTGGGCCGTTCCCACCACACGAGATGGACTTTTAGCCCGCCCATTGCCCCTTCCGGCCTAGCCCTTGCCACCATTCAATACCAGATTGTCTATTTCATATTAAGGTGCTGCTGTGGTGCTGAATCCGCTCCAGAAAGGAAAGAAATGTTGAGATTCGGGGCTGTCAACATCGTCCTGTCGAGGCCATGACGGAGCATGGATCGTTTCCAGGACATTCAACGCAAACAGGATCTATCACGAGAGGACATCGACGAGTTCCTGCGACAAAGGCGGGACAACAGGACGCCCAGGGCTTGCTATCCCTGCCATCAACGCAAAGTCAAGTGCAACTACGTGAAGCCTTGTCAAACATGCATCGATCGAGGCTATCCCGAAATCTGCATCTACGATGTACCCCGTACAAAGTCGTTTCCCGATAACACCTCAACTTCAATTGCCGCCGGCACCACCCCCGCAGGTTCAGACGAGCCGGTGGCGGGACAGAAGCTCGCTTTGTTCGAGCAGACGCTGTGGAAGGTGAAAGATGACATTGATCGGGTCCTGGGGGCGTGGACACCAAGGCCAGAAGCGTCCACCGTCGGGCAATCACGACAGAGTCCGAACAGAGACGTGACATGGTGGACAAGCCAGGCACTTGGGCCGAACACGCGGGGCACTGGTCAAGCTGTACACCTGGCACAGCATCCAGCGCAGTCTTCAGTTCTTGCGGAAGGAAGTGCTGGTCCGGCGGGCTGGGCACAGGATATTTCGAACCAAGAGATGCTCTCTATCTTTGCCCTGGAAAATCAGTCGGTTACCTACCCCTTCTCTGCCCTGTGGGGGTTACACAATGAGCCAACCTCGAGATTTCAGAGTCTGTGCGAATTGCTCCCTAGCGACGTCGACTGCCACAGCCTCTTCGGATGTTACAGTGAGACGGCCCACGCAGTTTTCCCAGCCATTCCCGACCTCGATCAATTCCAGAACGACCTGAATGAATTCCTTGCCCGACGTTCAAGCACCCAAGAGACACCCCCAGACCCAGACCCGGAACCGCATGCGGGACTAGGGGTCAGAAACCTGCATTGGCTTGGACTGCTTTTCGCATGTCTAGCTTCAGGTTGTCAATATTCAACCCTCCCCTGCGAAGAACGTCGCTGGAGATCACGAGTATACGGTAATTAATCGATTGATGCCTTCTTTCTTCCCGAGTTCCCGCAAACTAACTTACCCTCGCAGTGTGCTGCGCCTACGAATGCTTGCGATCTACCAACTACCTCGGGTACCCCACCATGATCGACGTTCAAACCATGTTGGTCATTGCCGATGTCATGGCCAACAGCCTCGATGCCGGCGTTGCATGGTGCTTTGAGGGTAAGATGCTTTGGACTGCACATTCTTCGTGGGAGAAAACCGCTGATAATGCCTAGGATTGACCATCCGGCTGGCGCAAAGTCTCGGACTGCACCTCGAAACCCCTCCCTCCACATCAGACAGCCTTCAGAGGCTCCGAAAAGAACTATGGTCCGTCACATTCAGAGTCCTTACCCTAGCGTGTCTTAACTTTACAATAGGTGGCGCATCATTTGGCAAGAAAGTTCGCTTGCCTTAGCTTTTGACAGACCTTCAACACTCCAGGTCCAAAGAACGAGCGGGATTTCCGGATCCAGCGAACTTTCCTACGACGATTGCATGAAGGGCATCTCACAAATCGGCCTCGAAATCGTCCGGGAGCGTTCTTCCAGAGTAGCGGGCCAGCCCAACCTTGACGATATATCACGATATCAGGGAGTCCTGAACGAAATGTCCCAAGAAGCTTCACCGTATCTCAGGGATGCAACTCTTTGCCACACCACCAAAGCTCGGCTCGAGTACTGGAGCCTTTACCTACACCGGTCGTACATAAACGCCGAACTTTGTCGGACGCTTCTTCGAGATAGAGGCTCCAGCCCCGATGACATGGATAACTACGTGCGATACCTGAGCGGTACGATCACGGGCTTCCTCCACCTGCAGGTCATTGCCCCTGCCGTCAAGCAGTCTTCAATATTTGTACAGCGATCACTGAGCTCGGCTTTGATGTTGTGCACCATGGACGATCTTGCAAGAACGAGACCGGTGCAATACCTTGTCGAAAATTTTATTTCAGTCATGGAAAGCGCTTGCACCCACTGTGCTGAGGCGCACTTGCCCACCCCTTTCTCGAAATCCGTTGCCAAGCTACGTCAAATGGCATCGACACGGTGGAGTTCTGATTCTCAAAGCTTTTCTAATGTTCCAGGATCGACAGAGAGCCACGAAATGATGAATTGAAAGAACTATCAAGACTGTCGGTAATGCTTACCTACTACTATTTAACGATCACCGCGGTATCGTACTGAGAATCGGTTGACCGCCCGCAGATCTGATTTGCTCGAGTCCAAAAGCGACCGTTTATGAGGTGGCCCGTTCCCCAGAGGTTGGAACGGGTCACACCACCTGGGGAAAAAAAAAGATTCCTGGCTCAGACTCTACAAGTACTTGCACAAGTAGAGAGGGAGGGAGTTGCCCAGAAATGGCGCCCACAAACCACTGGTCCGGAAAAGGTATGCGGTGACGGTCCCAAAGGGCGCCGTGAAACAACCAAGAGATGTGCGTTATAGAGGGACTTTGACACATGCTCCCAGCCTTGCTATACTATATAATATCATCATCCTCCTCCAACTCAACCCACTTCTCGTTCTACCTCAATCAATCTCTCGTTTGTTCCTTCCCCCCACCTTGACCGAGTGGCTGCGATCAGCTGATTGAATTCTAGTACTAGTATGGACAGAAACAGCCCGGCTTTGCGACTCTCTCGCACTTACTGACACCAGTCGAGCACCGTCTACGATGTCTCACCCTATAGAAACATTCGATCACCGATCTCGTTGAAGCACAGAACCCGTCCGCTTTGCGGGCATCCCAGTCAATTTGGCACCAAAGATCCTTGTGGGCTGGACCCGTTACATCGAAGGTTACGTATCCTCGAGGCTTTTGCGCCTCTCTGGACCGTCCACCAGCCATCAGTGGCAATATAGGACGTCTTTGAGGACAAAATCCATGTTCTCAGCCATCATGATTGAGATTTAATTCCCCGTGGTCCCGGTATGGATATACAAGGAATGCTCATTGGTCCATTCGAAAAGAGCTACAGCCTGACAGGTCCTGGTCGCCGAAGCCGCCGAAGTGACCGAGCAACCCGAGCAAGCCTATCCCGATTAGGAGATGCTCTCAAGCAAGTGAGCAAAGCTAATGCATGACTGGTGGAATTGCCAGGAAGATGGTTCCAAAAAATAGCATTGGTGGATATGCCATGCCGGTCCGGGACCGTGCTAGTCTACCCGGTACTTGGTACTTCTTACCCAGTACAACGATTCCGCGACGAATACTCCACTTCCAGCAACGCACATGTTCACGGCCTCTCGCCCAGGGTCGATCGTGCACGTCCTTTTTGCAGTCTCTTCTCTGAATCGGCAGTCGCCAGCCGAAGGTACCTGGTAAACTCTCGCCGCTTGGCTCTTGGTTCGCTCGGGCTTCTGGCCAGCCCCAAGGCCCAGGGAAGTTCCTTTCGCCCCTCTCAGCCAAGCTTGCAACTGACGCAAACGCTGGTCGTGAAGACCATGTATACATATCAGCCCGGTGATAACGGTTCTCTCCTCCTGAGGATATCAAAAGAGTCCCTTTTGAATCCGTTCACCAAGTAAATTGTCCCCAAGGAAGTCTTCCACTGGGGGAAAACATCAATGTTTGTATGGACTATATGCCAATGTCTGCCCACGCTCTCGTGGACTTTGGCATTAACAATGTGGTGGGCATCAATTACACCCCAAGCAACCCTGATGGCATTGTCTGGTATTGACAATTGAATTTCGTCTTGCAGACTTTAAATGACATTGACGTCTCGATATTTCAGCCATTTATCCGCCATGAATATTTGAAAGACCAACCTGGTCCTTTACTGCCACAAGAACAACATCTGCAACTACACAATGCCACGTTTCCTATCGAGCCGCTCGGTACAGATGCAGGACCTCCCTCACAGTTTCCGCTGTCGCCGCCCATATCCTTTGATGATTACGAGACGCTTCAATCCACCACTCCGGAAGATTGTTACCGCGCAAATTCCATCAATTTCGAACAACAGGTCTCCTCCGGGGATGGCTTACCGCAGGATTTCCAGGAGCCAGACTCTCCCACGCTAAATACCGTCACAGCGTCGGCCGTTAATTGGTCAGAAGTGGTACCATGGGTCTCGACTAAGCCGCCCTCACGCGGCCGTCCAAGGGGATCCAAACGAAAGCTGGCGGCCAGAAATGCAGATTCAGTAGACCAGATCGCGTCGAAACCAGGCGCCAAAAGGGGAAGGAAGCCTCGAGTCTCACGACAACAAAGCTCCAAGTCATTGGCGGACGAGGGCGATAAGGCCTCACTGGAGGAAGCCAAGGCGGCTCACTCGGTCGTAGAGCGCCGGTACCGCGATAACCTCAACGGGAAAATGAGTCAGCTGTATTACGTGCTCAGGGAAGTGAATTCTCCCAGCCCACGCTCTCGCTTATCATGCACAGGCAGTGGTGGCAGTGGTGGGAGTGGTGGCAGCAGTAGCTGTGGCGGCGGCGGCGACATGATAGCAGTCCCTACATTCCAACCGCCCACCCGGGTCCGCAAGTCCGAGATCCTCAACAGCGCCATCGACTATATTCACCAGTCGGAAGTGGAGATGAGGCACATGGCCGACGAGATCAAGCACTTGCAGGACAAGGAGCGGACGATCAAAAACCTCGTCAAATGCGAGGAATGGTCTGTGCTCAAGGCACTCTTGAGGGCCCCGGGGGGTGTCAGCTGTTAAGTGAGGGTGATTGAATGCGTGCGAGGGAGTAAGCGAGCGAGGGAGTGAATCCTCAAACGGGAGGGAATTAATATGCAGCCACCTTTTTGTCCCGGTCTTCTCCTTTTGAAAGCCTGGAAGAAAATGCGCGTATGTAAGGTGGAAGGGCGAGAGGGCAACGAGCAAGAGAAGGAGAAAGTGAGGAAGCTCGGCCTGAAATCTTCAACACAAGGCTCATTGAGCATAAGAAAATGGACGGAATGAATCTATTTTACAGGGTTCACGGGCGAATGGCGCTCGTGTAGGTGTTGTATCGGGTACTGGATTTGAGCATTGAGTAGTATTGAGAGGGGAGGACAGCGAGATAACTGGTAACCCCGTGCATCGTACGTATGTAACTAACTAGGTAACTGTGCCTTGACGGCCGTGATAGGTAGTTGACGATGGAGTCTGATGGTTTTGCCGTTGTTTTGGTGTGTCTCCTCCCTTTCCGTCTACTTTTGCCCTTGCGAGTGTATAGGACAAAAGAGGGGGGGGATGGGGGGATGGGGGATGGGGGTCGTGTTAGTCGTACACCCCCTGCATACCCTATATATATTCCCTAAGTCCCCTTGTTAAACAATATATACCCCCTCTATAGCCTTCTATGGCTTTCTCTCCTTCCTCTCTGCTCTGGCCTCACCCGTCTCCTCTCCTCTATCCCCGTGAGTCAGGTCGGGTCTCAAGGTTGCGAGACAGCCCCCCCAGGCCAGCCGTTGCCGGTTTGCCCGGCAGTCTGATGACAGGCGGTTTGATCGCCAGGGGGGCCGCTGCCGAGGCCACCAGGCCTCCTTGTTCGGAGCCAGTGTCCGGCTTTGAGCTTTTCCCCAGGGTTTTGATTTCGAGGCCCGGGGGTTCGGGTGCACATGTCGTTATCATGTAGCTATGGAGCTATGCATCTTACAGCAGGTAGACTGCGTCTCCGAGGCATCGACTGGGTAGTTCTTACCCGAATTTACGGTTGACAGTCATGTGCAGGGTATCCAGGCCGTTATGAATAGACCGACGAACTTCTCCCGCAAGAAACGGACAACAACGAAAAAAAAAAAGAGGGAAAAAAAAAAACAAAGACGGAGTCAAGAGAGTCTGGTTTCATGAAGCCATTTTCATTCCCACTATCTGTTTCAGAGGAGCACAATTCTCCTCGCATTGGACCATCTGTTGCAGGACCGCTAGTCTGCTCTTCAATCGAAAGATCTCGTCCGTCATATGCCGCATTTCCAGTTCTGACTCGTTAATGTACTGCAATGCATTGCTCAAAATGTCGGATTTTCGCGGCGGTTGCTGCTGCTGTTGCTCCGACTGCTGTGGTGAATCGCTGTCGTCGCTGCTGCTGCTGCTGCTGCTGCTCATCCGGCTCGTCCCCTCCAAGGTGCGCTGCAGCTGCCACATCTTTGCGTTCAGATTGTTCCTGTATCTGCGCTCGATCTCGGTGTGTGTCTGCTTTGCAAGCGCCCGATCGAGGTCCTCGCTGTCTCTGGAGTTCGCCCTCCTGGTCTTGGAGACCCTATGTGGGCGCGTCGGATCGAGGGATGCGGCCGTCTTGGACGCAACTTTTCTGGGCTTGTTGGTCGCGCACTTCTCGCGGCTCCGTCCTCGCCTGAGGGTCGGATCTAGCGTCCTCTGCGACAGCATCGTCGTAGCCGTGACACAATCTTCGACTTCGGAACTGGCCGATGAGTCACAAAGGGACGGCTCCAGATCGGGCAGCTGGTAATAGTCTTTGCTGGAATCGCTGTTTTGGGCTTCGTCCTCGCGGGCATATGCTTCGAGGAGACTGTCCGGACTGTAGGATTGCATTGGCCCCGGCACATATCGAGGAAAAGGTGTGGTCGCGGTGGGCATGGAATCTGTGGGGGTGCTCTGATAAAAGAGGCTTGTGTCAATGGTGTTCCAGGGACATTGAGCCCCGTGAATGGCGAAATAGTGCGGTGATTGGGTGAAATCGGCCGGGTTGGACTGGCAGTGGGGAGCAAGAGAATGAGACAAGCATCCAACCGGCTCGGCCATATCGCCGGTGGGCAAGGTAAAGTTGTACCAATCGTCCATGTCTATCAGGGAGTCTTGTTGGGGGATGATAGGATCCATTGGTGCCGTGAATGAAGCAGTGATGGGGGTGATTTGAGGTGGAGGATTGGAATGTTGGAGTTGTAGATCCGTGGCAAGAGGGCGGCAGTGGGTAGGGTGTTATATAACCGAGACCTGGTAGCCATGTTGGGATGATGTGGTGCAGCGTGTTGTGTCGTTCGGAGAAGGAGGCAGATTCGAACGTGGGAGGTTCGGCTGTGATGGCAGGTTGCGGACTGATTGAAACTCGGAGATGACATGACGTAGACGCAGGCAGCAAAAGGACCATCAGGACCATCAGGTGGACGAGCAGCTACTGTACAAGTACTGTACCAGCTTGGGGGGGGGGGAAGCAGGGGGGGGGGAGTTCGCGCTTCACGGAGCATGCGCGGAGTGACGGTCCTAGGGGTCCCCAGTGCCCGTCAGATCGTCGGGGGCGGATAATTGTTATTGCGTGTTACCTCACATGCCAAGGACAAGAACTTGGCTATGCAGCTCAAAGGACCCGCTCCGACCATGTGCGCTGCAAGTCCGAGCCTGCGACATCTCGTGAGCCAAGCCTTATGGGTGGCGCCTCCCAAGCTTCCCCCAATACTGGCTGCCAGCGCCCGTGTAATAATATTCGCTCGGGCCACCCCGGTCTTCAACCACACCACCTCCCCCTCCGAAATACATCCGAGCCTGCCCGAACGAATCACCTCCGGAATCAACTTCGAATGCTTCAAAAAGGGGCTGTCACCCAAGGTATTGCTGTTGATCCGAGGAGCAAAAAATACAAAAGAGTAGGGAAGGCCGAGAGGTTCTTACAGAATCCAATTTTCGTTCAATTGCAGGGGCAGTGGCTATCATGGCTTTTATACTATCACCCCCAAAACTCGACACAAAGTTGCGTCCGGAATAGCGAAATCGTGCAACAGACATACCATATCTTCACTTCAATCCTCAGACCGGAGATATACCCTGGGATCCCCACAAGATCTTCTCCATCAGCTCATAAGGCGAGTCCTCAGAACGACCCGCGTCATCCCCAGATGCCTCATTCGAAGGGTGGCCCCCATACATAAGAGCATCCGAACCGGTGCTTCGATCCCAACCAAGGATTCCATGGACAGCCGCGCCGTGCTCCGTCTCGCCCTCGGCGGCGTGGTGTGCGTTGAGCCGCGCAAGGGCCCTGACAGCTCTCGAGATGGGCGCAGACACCTCGGTGGGATCCAACGAAGAGTTGATGCTCGACATGACCATGATCAGCTTGTCAAGCAATGCCCGCACACGTGAATCGCTCTGGGGTTGTTTCAAAATCCCAAGCAACAGCGCCGAGCTCAGAGACCGATGCACCGCAGCCCAAGATTGAGTGGCAAACCGAGTCACGTTCGACAGCCCCAGAAATGCATCCACCGTGTTGGCCATATTCTCCAAGCACGGGGCCCGAAAGCTGCTCAGTTCTGGCGAAGCATGTCTGCGTTTCAATGCTGACCGATACAGTTCGGACAAGATATATGAGCGATGAAGGTAGAGGTTCCAATGTTCGAGCTGATCCCTCATCGACTGGCATGCCGTGGCGTCTTTGAGATGCTGCAGCGAGTGCTTCATCATCCTTGCCAGTTCCTCCTGATGTCGGTTGATCCGGGTGAGTTCATGTCGGGGATCGGTATGTTTACTCCTCTCTCGCACAATCTCAAGGCCGGTCTCACACAGGATCTTCATGCAGTCGGTATATGACAACCACGTGTTTTCGTTGGACTGAATTGATTTGTGATGCGAGATGGTAGGAGTCGACGATGCTCGATCAAAGGTGATCGAGATAAGACTGTCCTGCCACACAATCCGCCACCTACATATGTGGTCAACAAAAAGAAAAGCACAGAAGGAAGCCGATCTGGAAGTCGCTTCGACCTACCAAAGTTCCTCTCGTATGGCCCTCTCGGCGTCTGAGCTGGTCCGGAAGGTCTTCTGATGGAGACCAAGGCTCTGTCCAATCCGGATGGTCAACCCTAATGTGTCGGTCAGCACGGAATTTCTCACCAGCATTATGGACCACAGAGGCTGGAGAAGATCGGCACCTACCGAGCAGGCACCAGGCGATGCCGGAGTTCATGTTGTTGGAAATGACGTTCCCCAGCACCAACAGCGTCTGGATGTCGAGTAATTTGGAGTTGGACAAATAATTTATGATGCGGAGGCATTCATATGCACAGCACACTGCACCACTGTAAGCGGGCCCATTTCACCACGAAGGATCTTTTTCCTAACCGTATACTTGACTAGTCAATTGGCGTTCTTTCCGTGGCAACGACGAGCATTGGTAGCCAGATGCGAGGATGGCGAACAGCAACCCTACCCAGTGCAGACTCTTGCCGTATATGTTGTCATTGGACAGCGCCTCGTAGGGAGCATCCCTGGTTACGGCAGCTTTATTGATGAGAAAATGGGTGAGTTCGCCCTCAAACTGTTTGACGTCGACCACGCCAGGGAAAAGAACGTGGGCCGTGTCTCGGTACTGTCCGAAGAATTGGAGGCAGTCGGCGTCGGTGGGCAACAGCCTGCATAATGCCTGCAGTCTGGCATAGGATCCGTGAGGTAAGCCCCAGAGATCAACGAACGGGTAAGTGGCACTCTCATTATCCAGACCGAACAGAGGTAAGATGCTCTTGCCGAGCAGATCCTGAACATCGTACTCGTTGGGGTCGCTCTTCAAGGCAAAGACCATGGCTGGCACCGAGTTACCACCCAGATGGACCGCCTCGCCAGTGACTTCGTTGGCCGTGTGAATGGCGAAGTTCTCCTGGTCGGCACCGTCACTACTCGAGTCTCGTCCCGTTCCCTCAGGCCTGGACCGGCCAACCAGTGTCGAGGGAGACCCGTCGCGCCCTGCCAGATCTTTCAACTCATTTCGCAGCTCTTGAATGGACTGCTCGATCGTCTGCAATCTCTCGCTGATCCTGCTCCATCCCGTGACCGCACCATCGTTCGAAGCGCTGGTTGGAACTACATTGCTGGCAGAAGTGTCGATATTTGCTCGTTTCGACACGGGCTCATAGACGCAGAGCTCAGGGTGGTTGCGATCGATGCACTTTTGACAAGGTTGTGCATAGTTGCAACCAACTTTGCGCTGCCGGCAGGGATGGCAGGCCTTCTGTCCGCGCGCCTTGCGCTTGCGGCGCAGACGCTCGTTGATTTCCTCCTGAGTTAAAGCTTCAGTCTTTGGCCGTGTCTCTTCACGTTCGGCCGTTGCCTGGAATTGGCCCCGGGTCGGATCCATGGTAACAGAGCGTTTCAGGAGGATTCGTGGCGGACCTATCAGAAAACCACCAGATTCAGCGAGAAAGCTGGGGGAGGGGCCGCTAGACAAAGTATCACTCCCCCCGAGTGACTCAGCTTGCCAGATTTAATCAATTGAAAAAACAGCTTGGGGGGGGGAGGCGCGAGCGTATGCTTCTCGAAGCTTGAGCAGCAAACCGAAGACATAGACGGGTGGCTCTGTGTTCGGTGAGGGTTAGGGCATCAGCTGATATTGAGGAAGAATGCAGTGCCATAGGCTCCTTGGCTGCGAAAACTAAATCATGCAGGGAAACCAGCGAAAGGAGCCCAGGGAAGGTGAAGCGGGCAGAATTTCGGCGCGGTCGGCGGCGTCGGGGACCAGATCAGTTTTTTTCTTCCTGCCCCAGTTAGCCCAGTCAGCACTCTTGACCGCGCAGGGACCAGAGGCACCTCGCTAAATCGTCAGACACCACCAACCACCAACGTCCAACCACCACCGACCTTGCCTCCTATCTCCCTCTTTCCGGCACCGCGAACCTACTCCTCTCACTGTGATACAAGGGTCCTTACCAAGTATTTAACAGCGCAGATGGCCCCGTTCGGAATGCGGGGCCAGTATTGGAGCTCATCCCCTTTTCTCAGCCCAAACGAGAGAACAGAGTGAAGACGGCATCTCCTCACTATGTGAGGGATGCTGGCCCGTGCTGGTTATACTTTTTTAATGTGCCGCTGCTGCCGTCGCCACCGATCACTGAAGAGGGACGCACACTGGTTTTACGGTTGTTGTGATCTGGGGGAGCTGCCTTTGACCGGACGCTCGTGGCTGGCTGGCTGGCTGGCTGGCTGACTGACTGACCGACTGGTAGGCGGCTGGGTCCAGAGATGCAACAAGCAGGCCGTGTCACCTCGCTTATATTGATAGTCTCTCACAGGAGGTACAGGAATTCCGTCCGGCATCTCCCATGAATCACGATCACCACCGCATCTTGACAAGCTCCAGAGGTTTTGCTGGTGTACTGGACTGTTTAGGAGGAGCATCTCGCATACCCAAGGTCAGTCAAATATGACCTGTTCCACTCGATCAAGTGGTGCAACTTGAACGTCCTCTACTCCTGTGCTGTCGCTATCGGACCCTGACCTACGCCGTGCGTTCTGGCAAAGAAACCCCCAATCCGATCATCGCCCTCCCGTCTGTCAACCTCCAGTTGCTGTGATCCTTGCATGTTCTCTTCCCGCGACTTTGCATATCTCTAGCCAAACTATTCTTGCCGCCGGATGACAAGTCTATTGAAGATTGGCCTACAAATTGACGATATCCAGGCAAGGAACACAGCAGTCCCGCGTTAACGACCGGTCAAGATCCCAACCTACCTTCACAGCGAATCATGGTCGTGAGAAAATGCAAGATTTAAGCCTGTCGGCCGCGCAGTCAGTCCGTCTGAGACGCTCCGTTTCGAGCAAGCGTCAGATACCGGCCGATGGTTGGAGAATCTTGATGTCATGATACCGGAGAAGAATCATCTTTGAGCCGGTGATTCGAGCCGAAGACGACGCAACCCTTTTCGGCTGCGGGATTGCAGTCCAAGGTCGGTGGTACTTAGAAGTGCACCTGGCCACAGCATGCGCGTTGGAGGTGATTCGTACCCAGAGCAGAGATGATTCCTTGCCAAAAAGAACCTTCGATCGAGGAAGGGGCAATTTATAGGGATGGTCGGCTCCGGGCCCTGTGAGGAGAGATAGCCATGTCGAGGTGGAAAACACAACGCCCAGCATGATGCTAGTCCGTGGGAGAAAATCCCCAGTCAATTCCCCCCCTCCAAAGCACGCATCATCGGTGGAGATAAGCACAGCTCTCCCAATCCTGTCGCACATGTCAGAAGCGCCACGGGGTCAGAAATAAACCGGGGAAGCGAACACAGCAACCATGGCACCTCTTTGGTTGCTCCAACACTCCTCCATATTACGACATGGTGATCTCCTGCGATGGTATTTCACTGCCTAGAAGAGGGAGGGGATGGCTAATAATGGCAACTACATACCACTATCGATGTTGAGTCAGCAGGGCGGAAGGCACACTATTACTCTTGAGGACGATGTTGCCACTTTTTGAGTCATTCGGCCGTCCACCCACCCATCCATTGATCTCTCGATCCATCCATCCGGCCGTTGGGATGCCGAGCACAGACACATGCATGGACTGGGCACCCAGCGCCACGAATCCCTAGGTAGGTACGGAGTACTCTGTACGTGGTCTGGTTGGCCATTAGGAGGATTGAGTAGAAGATGGACAGAAGAAACAGGATATATGTATTCCCTGTTTCTTACTTCCACAGTGAAAGGGGGCATCATCGAAGGTGGTGGGAGACTTCCATACGCGCCGACCAATCAATCACCCTCAGCACTCCCCTGGGAATTGAGGCTTGAGGCTTGAGGCCCAGGACCTCGAAGAGTGCCGCGTACTTGGCCTTGTCCCTCTGTACCTTGTACCTGACTAACAAACAAACAGGTAGTTGGACTTCTCCGTCTACTTACCCCATATGCTCCGTGTTCCATAGTGAGCAAGAACTATGAGTCAGACAGGCGCACGACAACCTCTTGGCTTTCCCCTAGCCACGCTTGGCTTTCGAGGTCATTATTAAATGCAACCTCTGAAGGGGGTATGGTACGTATTCGTACTCGCACAAGTGTCCATACTATTGCATAGTGTTCAAGGGGCGCGCATAATGCGCCATTCTATGATGAGCACATGGCTCGGCCAGGCCAAGCACCAACCAACCTAACAGGGTAAATGAGACTACATACAAGAACCTATCAAGCAACCAACGGCGATCATGGGGACGGACAAGGCCACCACCAATACTACCCAGTCCATGCCCCCCTCGTGGTTGGGAGTCATCAGGGACGGCAAGACGAGCAAATAATCGTTCTCGTTGCTGTGGAGCTGGAATGGAAAGGATATGTGAGTACATACATGGGCTGCGCCTATAAAGGGAGTTGAGGGTGTCTGCCTGGCCTGGCCCGGCCTGATGCGAGATTCTTTGTTCAGTTTCAACCTTGTGTATACACCCAGAACCCACTGAGCGAGGTGTCCTCCTGCGTTCGCACATATTTCTTTTCTTTTTCGTTGTTGAAGATTCGATTGCCTTGGATCGTCTCTTGGGACTTGGGTGCTGTTTGTCCTCGCCGTACTACCCAAGGAGTGCATGCCTGATTCACCAACACGTCCCATAGTCGAGACCAAGCAGCGACAGCATCCTTTGACCAGCAGCACGGAAGACGTGGCCGTTGGAAAAAGGGACTCGAAGGAGAAGAAGAAGAAGTTCGAATCAAACTCCATTGACCACAGTCGTCATCTGTCTTACATCAGCCCTCCCTTCCTCCCGCGCTATATCTATATTCACCACCACCGCACATAATAATCAAGAACAACATCTCCAACGAGAAAAAAAAATGCCGGCCCCGATGAACGAGAAATCCAAGGCCGTGAGCACCGAGACGGCATCTATCCAGAGCACGTCCACCCTCTCGAGCCTCAAAGCGCTCCTGCACACCAAGGACAACAACAAAGACAAGCCGCGGGTCCAGCCAGAGACCGTTGAGCAGAAGACCACCAGGAGGGAGGCTGCCGCCACCTACATGTCGATGATGAGATAGGGTGCAGCGGAAAGGGGAAATGGCAGAGAAATAGAGGAAAGGAGAGGATGAGGGGAAACAAGAAATGGAATCGTTGTAATGAAGGCTGACATGATGGAATCCAACAGGACGCCAGCAAGGCACAATCTGGATCGAGAATGATCATAGAATGCAATGTTTGGATCGCTTGCCTTCTCCCGCTGGTTGCCTTTGACAGCGCAGCGCATTTCGTCGAGGTGGTTTTGTAGAAGACAATCTCCCGGCAGCAATAATATGCATGATCTGGCCGTCATTCAGCCCCGTGGTGATTAGAAGGGACGTGTCAGGCGCACCGTGTAAGCTCATTGCGAACACCCAGCCTTACGGGTGCCGCCTCGCCCCTTTTCCAACCCGTATAAGAGGCGCCGTCTCCGAGTTGTTCGTGTCGCACCACCCGCTTTTCTTGGTCGACAATCGTGTTGCGTCAGAAATAGACATCGACAGCGCCTATGCTAAAGGAAGGTGAATTTTGACTATGGTTGAAGTGCATTCACTCTGCCCGAAGTTTTCGGCGCTACCTCGCCCCTCGAAAGCAGAAACATGATTAGCGCCCAGCGTACCTCGTACCCCGTGCTCGGGGTCAATTGATGCCCTGGAGAGTCCACCCTACAGAAATTCGGCCGAAGCTCTGAAAGTTGGATTACCATGGTCGATCTGTGTCGGAAAGCGATCGTTTGTTAATTCCGCCGCTTGTTCGAGTCGAGGTGGTTTCGTTTGCTGATTTGCTGCCCGGCCCAGGTTGAGCAGCCCGGAGAAGCGACGTGCGATTCCATTGTGGCTGAAGGGCCGAGACGAGGGAGACGAGAGCCAAGATGATAACCGCGAAGTGACTGACCTGGGACCCCAAAGCAGCCCAAAGCAAGATTCTTCCTGGGTCAAAGATCGGCCGAGCCGTCTGTTACATACAGTATGAGCGAGGTCGCGTTGTGGGTACAGCATCGTACAACCCCAGGCGGGCGAACTCTCTGAAACGACGACGCATCGAACGGGATGGAGCTGGTCTGTCCAATGAAGCCGGCCCATCTAATCTAATCGTCGTCGAAGCACGCAGTGTCGATTGTTGTCTCGCGCTTTCAATAAGGCCGAAGGTCCCATGTTCTGTTTCCAGCTGGACCTGTCGGGTGCAAATCGATTTGGCTTCCGACTTTTCGATATATCAATAATCCAGGAGATCGCATGCAGATCGAACCTGTCCCCTTTTCTGCCAGATCTCTCTTTCTCTTCTTGTTCCTGTCAGCGTTGAGTTGGGTCGAGAGCGCCGCAACCCTTTCACTTCGCAGCCCAGATTCGTTTGTACGATCGGCCAAACCCTCCCCTAACGGACAAACCCCCTTCATCCGTCCCAATTGGCGCCATGTCGCAAGATCTAGAAAAGCAGATACCCGTCCAGGAGGAGCCGGAGTTCGAAGCCCAAGATAACCGCGTCGCGCCAGATTCCCAAGATTTCTCGGCTTCACCCACTGAGAAGTCGTCGCTTGAGCAGCCTCCCCAGAATGAGCCGCCCAAGCCGCCCAATCCATGGACGGACCCGACTTCATTTCCCGACGGCGGTGCTCAGGCCTGGCTCACTGTCGCTGCTGCTAGCGCCTGCTTTTTCGTTTCTTGGGGGTATGTGTGCTTCTTCCCGTGGCATCGGGCGGTATGGTGGTGCTAACAGACATCTTCTGCCAGGTGGATCAACTGTATCGGTGTCTTCCAAGACTACTACATGCGCGCCGAACTGAAGCAATATTCGCCCAGCACCGTTGCCTGGATTCCGTCGCTGGAGACGTTTTTCATGCTTGCCACAGGGCCTGTAGCCGGTTTCATCTTCGACAACTATGGCCCGACCAAGCTTCTCATTGTCGGTAGCTTCTTGCACGTCTTTGGGTTGATGATGGCTTCCATCTCCAAGGAATACTACCAGTTCCTCCTCAGTCAGGGCGTCTGCAGCGCCATTGGAGCCTGTTGCATCTTCACCCCGGCCGTCTCATGCGTCTCGACGTGGTTCTTTTACAAGCGGGGCATGGCCATCGGGATTACCGCCGCAGGCAGCTCTCTCGGCGGCGTCCTGTTTCCCATCATTGTCAGTCGCATGATCGACGAGACTGGGTTTCCATGGGCGATGCGAACCTGCGCATTTCTGATTCTGGGCCTGTGCACCTTCGCCATCTTCACTCTGCGCTCGCGGTTTCCTCCAACCCGCCGTCCGTGGAACATCATGGCCTTCATCCGCCCGCTCAAAGAGGCCCCGATGATCCTGCTCACTCTCGCCACATTCTTCTTCTACTGGGGCATGTTCCCTGTCTTCTCCTTCGTCACGGCCGTCGCAAACGGAAGAGGCATGTCGCTTGAGCTGGCTCAGTACCTCGTCTCCATCCTGAACGCCGGCTCTGTCTTTGGTCGAACGTTGCCAGGATTGCTGGGAGACCGGGTTGGGCGATTCAACGTGATGACCGTGTTCTGCACTCTGACAGCCATCCTGATTCTGGCTGTCTGGATTCCGGCCACGAGCAACGCAGGTCAGCTCGTGTTTGCACCTTTATTCGGCTTTGCTTCGGGTGCTGCCATTGGATTGACGCCGGCTCTGATCGCACAGGTGTCCCCGATCAAAGAGATTGGCGTGCGTACGGGCACAGTGTTTGCAGCAGGTTCGATAGGCGCGTTGACGGGTTCGCCGATTGGGGGACAGTTGATCACTCGCGATCACGGCGGTTTTCTGTACCTTCAGCTGTGGGGCGGCTGTGTCTGTATTGTGGGCTGTTTCTTCTTCCTGGCGGGTCGGATATACCTTGGTGGCCTGGACCTGAAGAAGAAGGTGTAGATAGAGGTGTGTGCGCAGCTGGGGGTTAGGAGAGCAGTGAAAAAGCCACGGGCATCCTCTGTGACACTTGTATTAGCGATAACGATAGACTACCTCCACTTCTTCAAAAGGACTCATTGTATTTGGCACCTGGCTTCTCCATGGATTGCGGGTTGGATGAATGCTGATTGTGGCTGGTGCTGCTCGTGCTGCTGGGTGCTGACATGCCTCTGTCAGAACTGCGGTCCGGGGCTCCAGGGGCCACGAGGCGCAGTTCTCCCCCCACTGGCGCCCACCACCTCCACCACCAAACTACGGCTAGCCACTTATTATCAATAATAGTCAGTATTGGTAAGTATGTACCACCAACTCAGAACTGTCTCAACCACCTCAGCGTTTGACTTTTCTTTTTCATTTGCAGTCGACTGGCCCAACTTTTGATCTATCGCGAATTCCTCCCCTTTCCTTTCCCATCCATCCGCCTGAGAATGCTTGCTTGGAACCGGCCTACTTCCAGCTCGGTGGTAGGCCCTTACACCATCAACCCAGCGAAACCGGTGTTGACGATGTTGGTGTTGGCGTGCTAGAGCTCGAAAATCAAGCTCTCTTGCACGAGGTCCTTCACATCAGCTCGATGTCAGACTGCACCTCGCGGGTGAGGCGCCTGGCCTGAGGAGCTGCGACATTTACAAGAACTGCCAAGGTTTCCGGCAAGAACCACCCCTGGACAGATGTTAGCAAGGTGCGGTGTTGCAGGGACGGAGCGTGCAGGGGGACTTACAATGGTATGCTTGTGTTTATGCGTTACCACGTCGGCTTCGCACCGCTTCGACTTTTTCCCACGTTTCAAATAAAGGCTGTTTGGTTGGGGTGATCGTCGTATCCGGTTTCGTGACATCAGAGCCGGTGTCTTGCGAGGTGTCATCGGCAGCCTTCAAGTTCTCCATCTTCTGCTGCAACTGTCGATTCTTCTTCACGTTCAACCTATTCTGCTTGTGCTTTGTGGCTTTTGGAGGCATCTTGACCAAATTCCCGTTGGACATGTAGGAGGACTGAGTGCTGTGCGGAGGGCGGTTCACGACTACCTTCGGTAGTCGTGGCTAACTGATTGTCGAGGATATCGAAGAATGACAAGCGACACTTGGGTTTGATGGAGAACGGATGGAAATCAGAACATACGAGGAAACACTTGCAAGGAGGAAAGGTAGGAAATTGTGAAAAGTGATACTGCCTCAAAACACCGCGAAAACGCCAATAGTGACAATGGGAGCAATCCACTCGCTAGATGTCACTAACCACTGCCTCCTGGCTGCTGCAGCTCTATTGCCAGACCTTCAGCACATTCACTCCGATTGTACAGCATTGCGCTAGCACCTTCCTCATTTCAACAGGCCTCGCCGCCAAAGTAACGGCAGAATTACAGCACAGCAACATGCGGCCTGAGAATCAAAAGAAGAAGAAGAAGAAGAAGAAGAAAAAGAAGAAGAATGATGTTCACAAAGGTAGGTCTGACGATTCGATCACCGTCTCAGAAGGTACCCGTTAACCTCCTAAGCCAGAGTCCCGAAGCACAACTAATTTGAACCACAGTCACGATGTGCAGTGTGAACGTGGAGAGTTTTGAAGAACCGCTTTTAGTGCAAAGGCGTAGGCAATGAAGGCATTGAGCCTTTCTTTCCACCAGGCTAATGTCCCTACCAGGGCTGGCGAAAATAACCTCGGGACTAAATTATTAATATATATATATATATATATATTCATATTCATACCCCGAACTGTGCTTTATCCCTTACCATTTGGGAGGGAGGCCGCTTTAATCGGACACATGACGGAGCCATCGAAGAGGTCTGGCCGAGCACGAGGGAGCCACGGCAGAGTACGGGGGAGCGCGCCCAAGCACTGGGCAAGCCACAAGGAGCGATGCCCTGATGCCACTTCGTAGAAGCTACTGTACTTGTACAGTAGTTCGGGCCCTAGGGGACCTATTTAGGCCTCGGCTATAGTTGCTAGCTGCACGTCTTATTCGTTTTAGCCAAGCACTACTGCCTAGAAACTTCAATCCTTTTGTCTGTATGATGACGCGTTTTATAGTGACGATATAGTAGTGACTCCCTCAGTCCCTTCTCACGTACCACAGGCGCGGAATGGGCGCGGGGGGACTAATGAACCGCTATTCAGTCCATGATGCAGTAATCATATCTGGGTCTACTATCTTCATCTGTAATCTCTCGCCCATTCGAGTACTCAAACTCATAAATGGCCTATATATTCGGCATCCTCACAGATTATCTTATCGTGCATCTGAGTATCGATGCGGTCTGAACGTGCCATTGTTGCCTGACAGCAAAGGAAAAGCGAATGGAGAGTTTAACGGGGCGCAAGGGGGTTGCCGTCGCAGCTTAGCGCCTAGACCATGTGACATCACCTACCCAGTACGCCCTCAACGGTTAGATAGTTCGCCTAGTATCGCTCCCCTTGTGATCCTTCCTGACTGGCCAATACTAACAACGCTCCTGCCTCGCGCAAAATCGTTACCCATCATTAGCGCAGAAGACATTTCTATCTTCTCTCTATTAGCGGATTTAAAGACTTCAATAACCCCTTTAACCTACTTACTTCCTTAAGTTTACTCACTCTCTCGTGACAAATGCAAACCTTGAAAAGTTTGGCTACGAATAGGGAGAATCCCGGTTGGGGCCCTTTCAGCCGTGATGTTAGACATAGCCTTGAAAGAGACCGGTCACGGGCTGCGAAGGCGCGGCTCAAGACACTCATTGGACAGATAGAAGGATCTACAAGGGAACAAGACTAAACCACGTGATATGCCCTATTGGCTCTGTCGGCCCTGTGGGCTCTGCCAGCAGAGCGCGTAGAGCGCACAGAGCGCACAGAGCATGAGCATTATATATACTCTCGTTTTCCCCCTAGATAGCTTACACTCTCTTCGTAGCTAACTTATATTAACTATTGAACTTATAGTTCTTAGTGATAAGTGACTTCTCATATCTTACGTTCTTCCTAACCAGTTCATATTATTAGGATTGTTACTAGGAACCCTAACTTAGTTAGGCCCCGGTAGGAACCTTAATACTTTAACTACTACTCTTATTATGGAGAACGACCCCTATAAGTAGCCAAGAAAGACCCGACCGACTCATCTCGCCCATTAACGAACTAGTACGACGTATAGTACGACTATCCCTTAACGACACTATATCTGCTACTACTAGTACTCCGAGGTTAACACCGAGCACCTTAAGAACGGTAACAACTATCGCCGCGCCAGCACCAGTGACTAAGAGAAAGATTGGTAACTCATCTAAGTCTTTTAACGGCGTGGAATCTAAACTTATACCCTTTATTCACCACACGGATTTATATATTCTAATGAACCTCACTAACTTCTAGAATAACTTATAGAAAATACTTTTTATGGGAAGTTACTTCGAAGGTAATATTGAGGCTTAGCTTAGACCCTTCGTTAAGAACTATATTAAGAACGAAGCGGATGATAGAGAGGACGAGACTATTAGTCTCTTCGCTACGTTTACGGAATTTAAGGAAATAGTAAAATTAGTATTCGGAGCGAAAGATAAAGAAAAGAAAGCTTAAAAGAAAATAATGAGCCTTCGATAAACTAAGTCTATTTAAGAATATATAACTAAGTTTAGAACGCTAAATACGAAGCTTAGCTAGTAAGATAATATTATTATCTCTATCTTTCGAGAAGAATTAAAGTCGAAAATTAAGTGGGAACTTCGATATTTAGAGAAGAAACTGCTAAAGAAATGAATAGCTACGGCTATTAAGAAAGATAACGATATTAAAGAATACTACTAATATAAGCGCTCTAATATTACTTAAAAAATCTATACGATAAGGACTTAACGAGCTAATATCTAGAAAAGGCGCGAACTTTATTACGGACTATAATCTATAGATCTAGACTAAGCGTAAAAAAAACGTAATAATAATAGAGAAAATGAGAAAGAGAAAATCGATTCTAGAAAAGGAAAAGAAACGGCTTATTATAGTTACGGTAAGCTAGGCCATTACGCGAAAGACTATAAAGATAAGAAAAAGTAGATTATAGCTGCCGAAAAGAAACCTAAAACTAAGGAAATAGCGACGACCACCCCTAAAGCTAATATAGTAGAAGAAGAAATAGTGATAGTCGAAGAAAGCATCGACAGTGGGAAAGCGATATTAATAGCGATTATATCTACGCGTATATATATCCGAACTAAATATTAAGTAAGAAGAATATATTTAGACCCCTACTGTACTTTAACACTATTAGAATATAATTATACTATATACGAACTAAAGAACCCCCCTTCTAAAATCGAAATAACCTTTAGTATAAGGGTCTATTAGAACGATGAATACCTATAGAAAAGAAGTTACCCGAACTTTATTTATACTCACTAAGAAGGCGACCTAAACACCTTAAACGTCTATATATCGAAAGTAAATCCGGAAGTATTAAAAGAATATAATATAACTAATTCGTAATATAACTTCGATCTAGATCTTAGTGAAGAATCGAAGGCCTAATATAAGAAAGAACTAAAATCTCTTATATAAGAAGAATTAAAATAAATTCTCTAAGAAGTAATAGAAAGAATTAGAGTAAGAACTCACTAAACTTAGAAATTAATAAGGAAAGTAAAGATAACCTTAATAGAAGAAACCCGATTACGGACTCTTATAGAAGACGATCTAAGAGAAATCGTAGCGATTACCTAAATATCTAAGAAAGAGATATAAGCCCGATTAACGATAGATCGAATACTAGCTAAAGTAGAGATAGAAGTATAAGCGGTCTTAAGAATCTACCGAGAACGAAAAGTTAGGGTTCTTTGACTCGTGAAAACTTTATCTAATATTAGTATTTAAGAACTATTTTCTTATAGAATAGTTTACGTCTATTCTCTACGACTAATTCTCTATTTATATATATAGTATCTCGACTATCTATAGCTAGAGAAGCTAAATATAACTATCGTAAAAGTATAGTAGATCTACGAAGAATTAGTAAAACGATATTGTTAAAGATCCTACTGGGGCCTAACTGGGTTAGGGTTCCTAGTAACAATCTGAATAGTATGAACTGGTTGGGGAGAACACAAGGTATGAGAAGT